ATATAATATATATATATATTTTATAAATATATTTATATTTCTAAATATATATTATATATATTTTATCTTATAATATTATTCTTATATATATATTTATAATAATTATAAAGAAAAAAATATTATTATTTAATTAAAACTTTTAATAACTTTTTTAGATTTTATTAAATTTAATTATTAAATAAAATAATTCTTTAATTAATAATATAAAAATAAAATTAAATATTTAATTATTATTAATAATCGATAATCTATTATCTTTAATTAATATAGATATTAATTTATTTAATTTTCTATTTTCTAATATTAATAATTATATCTTTAATAGATTATCTAATATATCTATAAACTAAAAAAAGAAAAAAGAAGAAAGAAAAATCTTACTTTTATAAGTAGTAATAAATTTATTTATATTAAATAAAATTATCGATTTATATTAAGATTTTTTAAGAAAGATATTTTTATTTATTAATTATTTAATTTAAAATAATATAAACTATATTAAATTAATAAGATATTAATTTATATAATATAAATAAGAGTAAGATTAATTTTATTATAAATAATATATAATAAATTATAAAAATATATTATTTTATAATCTTAATTTATTATCGATTTTTAATTTATTATTTTTAATTTAATTAAAAGAAGAAAAAAAATAAGTTAAATATAATATTTTTAATAAAAAAGTTTTTAAAAATAATTAATTAATTAAATTAAAACTTATAATTTAATAATTAAAAGATCTATTTAATTTATATAAATATTAATAAAAATAATAGAAAAATAAAATAATTAAATATCTATTTATAAAGATAATCTATAATTTTTTATCTTTAAAAAAAAAATATAATATATAAAAAGTTTTAAATAATTTATTTAAGATATAAATATAATTCTATTATATAATAAGATTAAAATAAATTAATTTATAAATATTTTATTAATTATTTATTAATATATATTTAATTCTATTAATTTTATTTAGAAAAGTCTTAAACTCTTATTTTAAGAAAATAATAAAATCTTAACTCTTTATATATCTTTTAAATTAATTAAATTTATTAATAAGTTTCTTATAATATATTTTTTTTATCTTTTATAACTTTTCGATTTCTTTAATATAAATTAATTAAAATTATTTATTAAATATAATAATTTATAATTAATCTATTATAATTAATTTTAAATATCTTTTTAAATAGATAATATATAAGAATATATATTTATATAATTTTTAAATTTTATTAAAAATAAGATATATATAATTAAAAAATTTTAATTTAATAATTATAATATTATAATTAAAGATTAAAATATATTATTATTTATTATAATTAAAAGATTAGATTTATAATAAGTTTTTTAATTTATTTTTAATATAACTAATTAATTAATTAATTAATATTTTTTTAATATATTTCTTTATTCTTTTTTTTAATATTAATAGTTTTTAATTATTAATTTAAAATCTATAATAAAAATTTATATTTTAATAATTAATTATTATTTAAATTAAAAGAATAAAGATAAAATAATTAAATTACTTTTATTTTAATTTTTAAAGATATATTTTTTTTAAATAATTATAATAGTTTTTAATATAATTATTTATATAAATATTATTATTAATTTATTTATAAAAGATCTTTATTTATTTTCTTATATATAAAATCTACTATCGATTATAATAGATTAAAAAAGACTTTTTATCGATCTTAATTATTTAATTTATAAAATTAATATTTTATTTAATCTTAAATTCTATATTAATAATATTTAATTAATAGATTTTATAAAATCTATTAAAAATAAGTTTTTATTTTTTCTTATATTTTATATATTTTTTTAAATTCTTTTTAATAGTTTATAAAATATAAAAATAATATTATTAAATTAATATTTTATTTATATAAATATCTTTTATAACTTTTAATTCTATAATAGAGTAATTTATTATAATCGATTATAATTTAAAATTAAATCGATTATATAGTTTTTAAAATTATTTTTCTATTAATTTATTTATTTTTAAATTTATAATTATTTAAATAATAAAAGCTTTTATATCTATCTTATAATTTTAAATAAAAATAAAATAAAACTATATTTCTTTTTTTATTTAAAATCTATAATCTATATAATAAATAAAATCTAAATAAAATATTTAATCTAATTTAAAGAAATATTATAATTATTATATATTATAAAATATTATTATCTATACTTTCTTTTTCTTTCTTTTATTATATAATAGATTTAATTAATATATTATAAATAATATTATTATATCTATATCTATAAATCGATATTTAAAAAACTAGCTTTTATTTTATCGATTTTATTTTAATTAGATAGATAGACTAGTTTATAGATTTAAATTATATTTATATATTTTATTATAGATTTAATTATATAAATTTTAAATATCTTTATTTATTATAAATATTATTTTTAAAAAAGATTTTATCTCTTTAAAGATTAATTTAATAATAACTAGATTATATTATAGAAGATTTTATATTTAATAAAATATAATTTTTCGATATAATTTAATAAGAATATATATTTATAATTCTATTAATAACTTTTTATATCGATATTAATCGATTAGATATTCTTAATAATTATAAAAATTAATTATAATAATATTAATATATATATATCTTAAATTAAATTAATATTTAACTTATAATATAATTTTATAATTAATATATCTATACCTTTTTCTTATTCTTTTTTTCTTTTATATTTAAATATCTTTTTTATATTTAATCTTTATAATAATTCTTTTTTTATAGATTATATATTTATATCGATATTATTTATATTTTAAATAGATATCTATATCTACTACTCTATTTATTCTATATCTATTAAATATTTATTAAATATTATTTTTTATTTTTAAGAATTCTATTTTAATAAATAAATAGACTTTTTTTAATTCTATATTAAAATAAGAGTTATTTATATTAATCTAATTATCTAAGAGTATTTAAAGGTTTTTCTTTATATCTTAAAGAGTAATTATAATAGATAGATAGCGATAATTAAAAATCTAATAGCGGTAGAATATATATAATACTAGTAGAAAAGATATAAGCTAAAATATAAAATCTAAATATTTATATTAGACGTATATACACGTCTTTTAGGGTTACACGCGTATATATACGTGTGAAGTAGATCAAGTAGACAGCGATAGAAAAAAAGTAGATTCGAATATCTCGCAATTTTATTTTTAATGCACGTAAAATTTCACTTATATAATTAGTGGAAAAGTGCCTAAATAAAGAAAAAATAAATTTTACAGCTTAAAGAGTCATATTTTACCTTATTCTTTAAAAACTCAAAAAACGCGCTTAAAAGCGCGTTTTTTAGGCACTCACAGAGTGCCTATACGAAAGCGCAGACACTGCGCTTTCGCAGGGCAGATCGCTTTGCGATCTGCGTGGTCCAATAGTCGCTCCCTGTATTGAGCCCATGCACGCCAGTAAGTAGGTAGTAACGCGAAAAGGATTAGAGGAACCGAGAGTGTTTCTTACAAACAAAAACTAACTTTTACGCAAATTCACTCTCCACCAACATATCACTTACCACAACCTCATCCAATCACAACCAAGGAGAAGGAAGTGGACATTGTTGAGAAGTATTGCAGACTTTTGCAAGTGCAAGCGTTCACTCTCAAAGAAAGTTACTTGCCCTTTCTCCTCTTCATAGCCTTTCGGCCTGATCATTGTCCTGCTTCATGAAAGATTTGTCCCATAAAATGATTTGTAAATCTTGAAGATCATGATTCAGCGTAACGCTGTATATCCATACGAGGACAAATCCTGGCCTTCAACAGCTCGGGATAGAAGTCCATCCTATCGTTCAAGAGCAGCAGAAGATGATTACGCTTCATCAAGAGCAGGTCCAAGCCGATATCATCATTCCGAATACGAAAGAAGGGCAAGCAACGCATACGATGATCATCGCTCTTACTCATCTCGCGAAGGAGAATCAAGACATCCTCGGACAGTGAATGGCTATGATTCAACTTCCTCCAGATATAGAGATGAGTACGATCGCCGCTCTGGATACAGTGAAAGCACAAGAGCTTATGATGATCTCAGAAGGCATGAAGACATAAAAGAGCACTACAGACGGCGTACTCCTAGTCCTCCTTATCGTTCATCCAGAGACTGGGAAAACTCAAATGGCCGATCAGACTATAGAGATGATTCAAGCTCTCGATATCAAAGGAGCGCTCGACCCGATGGATACCACAGAGACGATGTCTATAGACCTCGTGAGCATTATTCCACACCTCGTTCTGAGAGCAGGGTGGAAGAAGATCGGCACGCAGATAGTCGTTCATCGGCTCGGTATGAATCAAGAGAAGCTCGTCAGAATGGAAAGTCGTATGATGCTTACGACTACGAAAGGTCTGCGAAAAAGTCTGAGAACTCTCTTGAAGGTGCCAGACAGAATGGTACAGATAAAAGCTCTCATCGCAGCGTAAGACGGGCAGCACAAGAAGAAGATGACGACGATGGGCTACAGCAGCTGTGGAGCAAGTCAAATGGACGGAAAGAATCACCTTCTCGAGACAAAGATCGCCGTGCTTCCGGAACACCAGCACATACGCGCGATCGAAGGCCAATCGAGAAACCTTCTCTAGCAAGCAAAGTATTGGAAGAGGTACCCAAAAGAGGTAGAGGTGATCTCAGCAACGCTTCAGATCGACAAGAATACGTCCAAGATGTTCGAAGACATATTGAAATGAGACAGAAAGATCGAAGTGACCTACCCGTTCGTACGGAGAAAACAAAGACAGTGCTACGCTCCTTTCCAGAGATCCTCCTGCCACACGAACTTCTTCTGCCTGAAAATGCTCAACACTTACCTTCCGATGCAAAGGGTGAGAAGATACGATCTACACGTATCAGCTATGACCCAGAATTGGACAAAGAAAAGGATAAGAAAGGCAAGCGAGTTCTGTATCACGATTTGACAAAGGAAGTGATCGATCCGCGGAACAGTGCGGTCAAAGGCAAGAGTCGCAAAGAACTTCGATTATTTCATTGGAAGTGGGATGATCATTCTACAAAGTCCAAACCTCCACCTCCGCCTCGTTCGTTGGTAATCTCTGGTCTCTCGCCAATGACAGTGGTCACAACGGTAAAGAGATTTTTCGCCTCTTTTGGTCGAATTGATGAATGTGAGATCAAAATGGATACCAGCGGTATGAGCACGGGCGTGTGCTATCTGTCATTTCATCATGATTATGATGATGACTTGAAGCTAGTGGGAGATGTCAGCGAAGCCAAAGCTCAAAGGGGTGATCTTGTCGCAAAAGAAGCACGTCTAAAGATGAACGGACAAAAGATCGAAATGTCAGTCATCACGATAGCATTTGATGATCTGGACAGAACAACGTTCAAGAAGACATACAGAGATTTATTACAGAAGAAGATTGATGCTGTATCTCAAAAGAAAGAAGCCTCAACCCAATCGCCAGCACCTGCCTCAACTCCATCCATGCCTCCGCCTGGTGCACCAAGAGGTCCAAAGACGATGATCAGTAGAAACGGCCTCACTTCGCCCAAACCTCTATCACCTTTCGCACATGGCTCAAGACATACTGACGTTAGCCGACGAACCAGTCATGATGAAACGGACAAAGATGAAATCCATACTTCTGGCCAAATTCTTCGACAGCTTGTTAATATTGGAACTCCTTTTGCCTATGTGAATCGGGCAAGAGGAAGTACGATCGGGTGTGAAGCAATGGAAAAGTTGTTTGCCGATATGCGACCCGCCTGGATTAAAAGAGACGGTAGCGGATTTTATGTAGCCTTTCATCAAACCGATGGAGCAGATCGTGCGAAAAAGGTATTGGACGGTACAAGTGTGTCTGGCTATCGTATCTCCATCGAAGTACGCTCTCCAAACGATGAAAGATCCAATCGAATTAACAGTCGTCGCACTGATGGGAATCGAAGGAGTGAAAGTGTCGATCAAAGGGCTGAACCAGTGCAAAGTATTCCTGAAAAGACTGCTTGGACGGATGAAGAATTGTTTGAGGACAGCAAGTCAATGTTGTTGCGCGAGCTTGGAATTGCCTTTGGCAGGGATCTCAAATCAAGGATATTGAGCTCTTTTGTCACGAAAGTTTTGGAACCAGAAGGTTCATGTGGTAAAGCGTTGAGACAGCCAGTTAAGAGTATCAATGAACAAATCGAAGAAGAATTCAAGATCGATTTGGACGCTGAACGGCCAAAGAGCTTCAACCGGGCAGCGAAAGAGGAACGCCGATTGAAATTGGCACAACAGAAGAGAGAAGAGGAAGAAGCTGCTAAGCGAGCATTGGCTAAAGCTAATCAACCCTCGTCTGATGAAGAGGAAGAAGAGGAGGTAGTGACTAAGGAGACCAAGGCAAAACAAAAGAAGGTAAAGGCGAAGAAGGAGGTGAAAGTACCCAAACCGCAAAAGAAGATTGTCTATTCACCTAGTCCTGAACCAATTGATCCTTTTGTAAGCGGATTGGTGGAAGAAGAGGAGGACTTGTATTTCTGCCGTTTGGCACTAGAAATGATGCGAGAAGGTCAAGATCCACAAGAGCTTCCTGATGAAGATGAGCCAAAAGAAGAAGCTTTACAGTCTCATGCATCAGGTAGTGCACGAACGGAAGGATTCTATCGTATCCCACCAGCTGAAAAGGGCAAACATTTGGCCGATCGAAATATGGCATCTTCGACAGAATGGGGTTCCACTACTGCTGTGTCTACTGTTGGACTCGCATCAGCTCGTGACAATAGAGCAGACAGCAGAAGGTTTGTTCAAGGCATTGAGCAGCATAAGAAAGAAACGGCAACAGACACAGATATTCTCAAGTTCAATCAATTACGCAGTCGTAAAAAGCAACTTAAATTCGCCAAATCTCCTATTCACGATTGGGGACTGTATGCAATGGAAGCGATCCCAGCCGGTGATATGGTGATCGAATACGTTGGTGAAATTGTTCGACAACAAGTTGCCGATGAACGTGAAAAGATGTACGAAAGGCAAGGCAACTTTTCCACATACCTTTTCCGTGTTGACGATGATATTGTTGTTGATGCAACAAAGAAAGGCAATATCGCTCGCTTGATGAATCATTGTTGCACACCGAATTGCAATGCAAAGATCTTGACTCTGAATGGAGAAAAGAGGATTGTTTTATATGCCAAACAATTAATTTTGCCCGGACAAGAATTAACGTACGATTACAAATTTCAAGCTTCCGGTGATGAAGAAGACGCGATTGCATGTCTTTGTGGCAGTCCAGGCTGCAGAAGATTTTTATAGTTTTTTTTTTTCGCAAATCATTTTCCTCATACCTTATACATCTGTACTTTATTTGACCGCAAACATGTTTTTATTTTCATTTTCTTGTAATCTTGTAATAATGATGACCATGTTTAATGTGTGTTAATAGGAAGAATCTGAGTTTGTTACTGGTGGCTTTCACATTCGGCCCCGGGGGTAAAAATCAAAAAGGTTAGACTGGGGTGAATTCGGGCTTAACATTAGAGCGAACGCGCCTTTTTACATGAGCGATCCAGTGCCTTTTCTCCACAAGAACACTCAGCCAAATGCTGAAAGTTGGCTGCAGGCGTGTGCGCCCGGGTATTCAAAACATCTTTTGGGTTTGAAGTGTTTATTGTTGATTAACCATTGACACCATCATCTATTAAACTCCTTCACTTGATATAGATGGAGATTGCATACTCAGCCTTATAGATGTCGCCTCCATCTTCCTCATCAAAAGGAAAGGGGATTGGGACGTCAAAGACAAGTTCAGGGGATACGGGTAAACAGAGTTCAAATCAGTCTGCCAATGGAAATACATCAATTAACAGCAAAGATGGTTTAGACGTAAACAAAGGTCAACGAAGAACATTGTTCGCACGATCACCATCTGGCCTATCACTTTCTAGACCCAAATCACTCTTAGCTCCGCTTCGTCCATCACCACTGACGCCTTCAGTGAGCTCTACAAAACAAGATAATAATCAGCCACCGCATTTGCTTGGCGCAAGTCCGTCTAGCAGATCTATCGTTGATCGTAATCATGCAAGTGGCATAACAGCTAGCACGAGTAATGCTTCGATAAACAATGCCGATAGTATTCGAGCAAGATCAGTCAGTGACGGTGGCGCTTTGAGCAGATTAAGGAGAGTTGCCAGCAATGCAAGCTTAGCAAGCTCAGTTCGAAGATTTGAACCAAGTATCAAAGCTCAGTCTATCTTGGAGGATGACGATAAAGGGGCTGATTCGGTCGAACCATCCACTTCTCACGCGTCTGCTTCTGATAGTGTTGATAAAAAGGATGATAAACAGATGAATACTGCTGCTGCTAAAGCACATCCTACAGAAGTACAAGCCACGCCAGCACCTAGTGAGGCAAATCAAGAAGACACAACAATGGCTGAAGAAGGCAAAAAGAGAGCATTGGATGGAAATAGTGCAGATGATATACCAAAGAACCAGAAAAGGAGAACCTGGTTTGGTTTTATGGGTGGAGCTGAAGATGCACAAGCAAAGCCAGAAGAGCAGATAGATCCGGACAAGGCGGCGAACAGCCTTGATGTTCCTCCGACTAGAACGATAACGAATACTTCAGACGATCAGGACGGCCAAAGGACCATTCGTGGTCCACCCTCAACACTTAATGCAGAAGACAAACAGGCCACAATCAAATCTTGGATTCCTTGGAGAAATCAAGAAGGCGCTACAACTAATGATCATATCGAGAATTCCGGCCAAGCAATTCCAGATGAATCTACCTCATACACTGATAGTGTGAGAAAGTATATTGGCTGGTCATCTACACCAGCTACTGATGCTGCTCCCACGACATCCACTAATGGTTGGAGATGGTCGACATGGAACCCGTATGGAGCTAATGCTCAGCCAACTGGTGCCAATGAAGACAAGGCATCCGAAGTAGCAGCAGCGGCAGTTGAGCAGCCTAAATCGAGTGGTGATGCACGAGCGATGGAATTGAAACCTGATGTTGCCAAAGAACGAACAGATTCCACAGCATCGACAGCTTCGCCATCTCAGAGCTCTTTTCTTTACAGATGGGCACCAACTTGGTCTCGAGGAGCAGCACCTGTCCAACAACCCACAGAAGATGAAAGCCAAGATGACGAAGATTCCTCACCTAAAGAGCCGACAACGCCTGCAGAGCAATATAAAGCCGAGGCATTGGCATTGTTGGATGCGAAAGGTGCAGTGTTGAACCCGGCTACGAGATCCACATGGATCAATTATTTCAGCAGTCGTTCGGCGGCAGCACAACCTAAAGTGCCGGCAAAGGATTTGGATGAACCTGAAGTGATGCGAATTGAAAGTGGTACGCCATCTTCAAGTGCATCACCTGGATTACCACCTAACAGCGGGAAAAGTACACCGCTCACGCCTTCAATTCATTCAAAGAGTGATGCACCTCAAAAATCTGCTGATTCATCTCTAAATGCAAAGAGAATGGATCTCGATAAGCCAAAGCCTGATCCTGCTCCTGCAAACAGTCGACCAGCAACACCTCTGACAAACAACAAGGATGCCAAAATCCAACCAACTTCGCACGTCAAGCGATTGAGCTCATCAATGGTAAAGAATCCAAAACCGGCAAAGCCTGCTGCACCAAATCTACTTTTGCCATCCTTTGATGATACTTTCTCTACAGCACCAAGATCCATCACGCCAAAGAAGGGAGTATGGGAAAAGACGATGTCATTGCTATTCAATTCACCAGCCCAAAATGAAAGAGGTCGAAGGAGCTCGATGTTAGGTCCAGCATCACAACAAGATATGGACTCTAGACCGGGAGATGCGCAAGCACGTTTGCCACGGCTATGGTCAACGATGGGTGAAAAGGAAAGAGCTGCTTCTAAAGGATGTAAAGATGTTCGTAAAGTGACGATCATTGGTATTCATGGCTGGTTTAGTCAAGGCCCCATTCGAAACTTGTTTGGTGAGCCTACTGGTACTTCTACCAAATTTGCAAGTATGATGACGGACGCTGTACGTAAGCATTTCGCAGAAGCTGGATACGATTTGCAAGATGATCAAATAACAGTGATTGCATTGGAGGCGGATGGTTTGGTGTCTGATCGAGTTGATAAATCTTTTGCATCTTTACTCAGTAATCCAAAATGGGTGAAAGATCTTCTTGATTCAGATGCTATTTTTGTTGCTGCTCATTCTCAAGGCTCAGTCGTTGCAACCCATCTTTTGGCACGTTTGGTGGAACAACGTCATTTGAACCTTCGCAAATCGAGGATTTCGCTTTTGTGTATGTGCGGAATCCATAATGGTCCATTTGCACATTTACGAGGATCGATAACGAGTTATTATATGAACACATTCGAAACGCCGGCCGCAAAGGAATTATTCGAATTCCAGAATGGTCATTCTGCCGTTTCAAGATTGTACGCTGCATCTTTGCGTATCGTTCTAGCTGCAGGAATCAAGTTGGTCTATATTGCCTCTTTGGATGATCAAGTTGTTCCGCTTTATTCTGCTTTGCATACAGCCGCTTCTCATCCTAGCATCCTTCGAGGAATCTTTTGCGATGGTGCAGCATTTCCAAGGGTTGATTTCTTGACGAATTTATTGTCTTTTTGCGTCAATGTTCGAAATGCTGGCTTGGGCGATCATCATTTGGCAACGCTTCTTTCTTCTTCTGTTGCAGGAAGTTTGTATGGTGGTTTGGGACATTCGCTGGTGTATGATGAGCCACAAGTGTACAGCTTGGCGGCACGTTATTGTCTAGAAGTCACTTCGCCTGCAGGTTATCCAACAGCAAGGCCAGGTCAACAAGTAGCACCCGGTGTCCACTCTTCCATCACTCAAAACGCAAATCTGCCTCAAGGTATTCCACCACTTGATTTGGATGATGAATTCACAATCGCACGCAACCAAAAGTGGAACAGCAATCCGTATGCATTGCCTTGGAGTTTGCGTGGCTTGTTTGAAGATGAAAGAGTTCGACATTATTTCTCACCTCAAATTGATAAACTTGTTCGGGACTATCTGGATTGGCAACCTACAACAAAGACATTGAAAGACGTTCAATTCAGATTGGAGCCAATGCGTTTTATTGCGACAAGCAATAAGAATTATAAATCGAATGATGATCAAAAATCAGCTCCTTCTCGTACTCTTTCGGGAAGCACTGCTACACCTTCTAATTCGAAGCTCTAACTTCCTCAACGGGAGTCAATCCTTCTGCACAGAAAACATGTATTTTTACGATTCTAATTGCATCATATATACCATCGTACATTTTTTAAATCTCTTTCAATACTAGAAAGATGAGCATTTATTACGAATACGTCTAATTATGCCGTCTTTCCCAATCTGACCTTTCGCATCTCCTGCAATGCATTTCTTCCCGTGAACAGGGTCAACGTGGAAAAAGCCAATAGCCATGGAATCAATTTGAACAAAGTCAATCCAAATCCTTGCCAGTAGATGAAAGCCAAAAGTTCCAAAGCAACCAAAGAGACAACGAACGGAGAAGCGCGTGGAGAAGGTGTTTGAATGTTGAGAGAAGGAGCGATTTGCTTGTACAAAACGAAAAAGATGGCCCAAGGCACGACCAAAGTCAAAAGAGCTGCCAATGTTGTAATACTCTTTGCAGGCATTTGATCAGCGGCAGGTGTTGCAAATGTATGGAAATGATCTGCATGACGACCGAATCCTTGTTGTGCTTCTTTGCGTTGACGTGGCGTAAGGGGAGCGGAATCTTGCAATAGCGAAGATGGAAGTTTGATCGTTGCCAATGGTAAACGAACAGGTGCGGTAGAATGGTCAAATGAACCGATCAAAAGGGAAGCTTTCAATAAGCCACTCTTTGATTGTGTCAATATGGCAGGAAGACGATTGAATCTTTGATTCCATGTTGCTTTTCCAGAACTGCGTTTGACGGTAACGATGCTAGTATATGCAATCTCTTCATTTTCTGCATCAGTTAGACTGACGACGATTTGATGTGGTTGTTGACTGGCCGGCAGCTTTTCACCATCTGTTCCTTGTAATGTGAAAGCCAATCGTAAAACTTCATCTGACTCGATTGGAAGAGGCGATGGAACTCTGGGGGATGTTTTTAAATCGAATCCTTGAGAGATCCGTGCTGAACCATCAATGGTTGAAATGGATAGCTTTGCACCTGAAAGTGCAATCTGTGATCCGAATGCGAATGTGCAAAGTAATGCCAACAAGCAAAGCAATGCCGTCTGAATGTGCCGTATCATCATGTTTGCCGAAGTTGTCTTGGTTGTGAGGAAGAAGGTTTGGTTTGATGTGGTCAATGCTCGGTCTTTCTTCTCAACTCATTAGTCTATGTGCGGCGGCTGTGTGTGCTGGAAAACACTTTAGCGTGCAACGTAGCATGTACGCGTGCCGGCAGCCAGGTCATACGCTGATCTTCCATACTTCCCGAACCTCTTTTTGTTGTTCCACTTTCTTGATTGTTCTTGCACGGCTTTAAAGCGTCTCGGCCCCTTTCGAGATCATCACTATGACGTGACAATTTCTAGATACATCATGTGCCCTAAATTTCTGTTGAAATTGCAAACCAAGCAATTCCGGCGCCGCTTGTATATTTGCTCAAGTACCTTCTCCCGATTCTTCGTTGTGGCTGTAATTTTGCGCCAACGCCTGCCTGGAATTTTGTGTCATTGGGCGCTGACGTAGGCCGTTAAAAAAGGGCCCGCATAGAATCCAATTGAGAGAAGATTAAGGTTGAATACAAATAATGTATACAATTATTTATAGACTGCACTCCACCTCAAGAGCCAAGCGCAATTGCATTTCCAAATTGGAAAATAAAGATTACGTAGAGAAAGAGGAACGGCACACAGACCCTGCATTTGGTGAGGGGATGGAATTGGATTGCACTTCCATTCTATCTTCAATTCATCCAGAAACCTAAAACCTGATGACGACAAAGGACTGGATCGCAATCAAAGGTCTTATTTGACACAACAGATACGTTTATGAAATGGTTTATTACTGATGATCAAGATGTATGCAGCTCGTGCGCCGCGTGAGAGGTCACGATCAGACTATGGTTCACCTACCAGAACGGAGAAGGAGAAAAAAGAAATAGAAAATGGCGATAAACAAAACAGTCCATCTCGCTTCAAGATGGGAGGTCTAGGTGCACTAGGTGCAAAAATGCGATCTTATACATCAAACAATAGCCAAACAATACCTAGCCACCGACCGGACCCACAACGATCCCAGTCTTCCAATGAACGAATGCCAAAACGTTCGTTTAGCGGCTTATCATCTCATCTTAACTTGGCAAAGTATGCCGATGCCAACAAGTCACAAGAAGAACTCAAGAAAGAGCGCAGAGGAAGTCGATTCTTTTCACCATTCTCTGCTTCGATGAAAAAGACTGGATCAACTTCTAAAAAGGACAGACCATCTTCTTCCATCGATTCTTCCTCTCTTGAAAATGCACGAGAAGGCTCCCTGCATCAATATGACATTGCTTCTGTCGATACAAGCGAGGATGATGCTAAAGTATTCGCGGATTGGAAGGCGGGGAAACGAATCGAGGATACTTTATGCATACATCCACAAGACGGCTCACATGTCAGTTCGGCAACGGCTTATTTGAGCAATGATCTTGCCACACAAGATGCAAATGCTGTTGAAGATATTGCGAACAATGCTACTGTGCCGGAAGCTAGGAGTAGGAAGTCTTTCGTTGGTGCTCTAAGGAGGCGATTGAGCAGAACCGACTTGATCGACTCTCCTAATGTGGATGTCCAAGATGAAGGTCAAAGTAAAGGCTTCAAAGAAGGCAGCAGCTCACAGAATGAATCAGGTCAAGCTCCAAGCACCTTCAACCTTCGATCATTCCGTAATGTGAGAGGAAGCTCCATATATTCTCAAGAGATCGCCTTCCCAAACAATGAACGAACACGTAGTAGGACAGCAAGTGTATATTCAACTGAAGACATACCCAAACCTTCATTCGGTGCTGCTGGTGAAAGTTTTTCCAATTCTAGACGGGGTAGTATTATTACTGCTTCTGGTCCGCTTACAGCTGTGCCTGATCATATACAGGCCAATCGAATCACGGTAAACACCAGCAGTTTGGCTACAAGTCCTTCGGCAAGTAAGCCTACTAGCCCTCGACCGGAGTCGAGAAGGATGTCCACAGCTGGAGGAGGAACAATGACTGCTGGTTTATTCTTGAGGAATGCAGCACGTTCCAGGCCGGATTTGACCTGTGCCGTTGATGATGAGCCCGGAAGTCCACTGGCACCTCTTTCACCATTACTACCAGGCGGAGGCAATGCAAATGGACGTAATCGAACATCCTCTATCGGTGGAACGCCTTATCGCCCCTTGACACCGCTCGGACAAGGCGCTTGTAGCCCAGGCGAAGAATTGGCATTATTGGAAGCAGATTTAGCAAGGGCAAAGACGAATTCTTCTATAATGTATTTAGCGCAATTAGAAGAAGAACAAGCGGCAATCAAAAGAAGACAACAAAGACGAAGTAGACAATACAGTTCTTCAGGATTAGCAGAAAGTCCCGTTATCAGTACGCCGCCAAACGATAGCTATTTTCCTGCTTTCGGTAGAGGCGTTGGAGAGCATCTTGTCCGATCTACCGATGAGTACTCAAGGCAGTCTCAATCAAGTCGGCCGCCTCAGACGTTATTTGAAAGATTGGTCCAGCTAGAAAAAGATGCTTTGCAGCAAGAAAGTCGGAATGGCCTTGGACTACAGCCTGACGGTCAAGTAACAAACACGAACCGTTCCACTTCTCCGATCTCACGTTAGGTTGAGATTCATCATCGATACATACAATCAGTAATTGATCGACAGGGGCATGTGCATATACAAGCATACATACATGCGACATTAGCATCTTTTGATGTACTAAGTTGTTGCGTATGGATTCATTGCCCCTATCTACTGGACATTATCTTGCGTTCTTGGTTCCTTCTCTTTATTCTCTTTATTCATGTATGTATTTTATGCAGCTTTAATTTATGTAGATCAGATATTTCAACAAATCATTTTCGCGGGGAGAGAAGAAGAAGAGTAAAGAAGCATCACATACACATAAAGTATGCTTGGCATTCTTCAGGGGTACATACGTACATGAAGATCAAAGCTACACTTTTTGAGCTAAGGATCAATAATCTGTCAATCAGACGCCAAAAAGAAGCTAATTTTGTGGCTAGAAAGATGTTTTCAACATTACCATGACTTCTCTATTCGCTCTTACAGACGGGACTCAGATTTGTATTGAAAGCTGTACTATTTCAATTGATTGTGGCGCCTTTTTGCATGAATACATGTAGATATCAAACCCAGATTATTGAATTAGCTGCCAATGCGTTTCATTACTTCACCCGCTCAAAACGTGCCCACGACCTTATCGCTAGCCATCTCGATGACGTTTATGATAGGGATTTAGATTGTCTTTTGGGGGGCGTAGAATGACATATTTGATGGGCGGTGTTTTCCTGTAATTGGCGTCAAAAAAGTAGAGTAAGCCAAACAAGTCAATCGGGATAAAGGAGCGAATAGAAAGCCCTATTGTATGTATTCATCTGCACGATACGGGCCGAGAGGAGTTTGTTTGCCAAGAGAGAGAAACGGAACGGAGGATAGACTGAAATTGTGTAGGAAAAGAACGCGTTTCTTAAAATAAAATATTGGCAATACAAAAACAAACGCGTTTCAATTAAAAGGAAGGTACACAATTTTATCGCTGCTAGGGGCCGGTAAATGTAATATTCTTCTTTTCATTTTGTATGCATGCATTAATGCTCAAAAAACACACAGGGCTCCTATGCCAAGGATAATTAGAATTTAGGACTCAATTTTTATTTTATTTACAGATAGTCAGTCAAAAAAAAAAAGACGGCGGCCAAAGATAGCGGCAATGCGCCGCGCAACCCTGAACGAACTGGATCATCTGTGCATTCGTGCGTGTACGTGCGTTTTAGCTTTTTACGGAGCTTAGAGGTTTGGTTGGTTTTGGTCAGTTCACCTGTGTCTCTTCCAACTTTTATTCGCTTCCGTGCATATAAGCTTGATTGCAGCAACACTAGGAGAGAAAAGTGATGATGGGCAAGAGAATCTAATCGGCCCTGACAACATCTTGCTTTCGTGATCAACGACCATCTACCATTACCCCTCATTCGTCATCGTCACGCTTTTTAAAGCTTTTCGGCAATTTATGGTCGATCACCTCAAATTACAAAGTCACGAATTTGAATCCGGCAGGACCGGATATTAGAGCATACAACACTGATACCTCTCAGTTTGCAAGGCAATTCACGTTCTCATTGCCATAACATTTCTTAAGCAAGTGCTCTGATAGAGATATCTGATCAATACCGCACTACCTTTTCGAAAGCCTCGGGGTTTTAAACGACTGACACACAGCGGACGCCGCCGCATAAGACAACACATTCAAGTACTTTAAACAAAAGCCAGCACTACATTCTCTCATCGATACCTCTTTCTCATCATATCAGCATCACAGCATCCCAACAATGGTTTTCGGCAGCTCTAGCGGCGTACGAGCTCCACAAATGGACGAGAATGGTCACTTCTACGATCCAAACATCACATCCCCTTACGACGTAGGACCATCGAATCGTGCATACATTTCTGATCCCACTCATCCAGAATATGATCCCGCGATCGACCCGAATCTTCAATTGCGTACCGTTCGCACTGCTGCCGAAAGTATAGCAGAAAGTCATCGAAGTGAAGCAAGAAGAGAAGCAAGACAGAGAGCTAAAAGAAGCGGAAGTATTCTAAACCGCATAGGCAGAGGTCGAACATTATTACGCAAAGATCGAAAAGCGCCACATACACCTGGAATCGCCGACTTGGTGCAAGGAGAGCTGAGTAGGCTTCGACAAGGCTACTCAGAAGGAACTGGAGCAAAAGGTACGGGAGCTGAAGGGGTGGGAGTTCCGTTCGATTCGGCGCAACAAGATGAAACACCTGATTACCCTACACAGGATACACTTGAAGCAGCAGAAGACGAAGCACAAAAAGAAGCAACAACTGCAGCTCCCGACGCTACACTTCGAAAAAAGAAAAAGAAGCCTGCCAAGAGAAGAAACGTCTACCTCAACATTCCGCCTACATCGCCCAACGAAGTCACAAAGAATGGTCAACCTATCGCTCGTTATCCGCGCAATAAAGTACGAACGAGCAAGTATACAATTGTCACGTTTTTACCCCGATTCTTATCTGAGCAATTCAGACGAATGGCGAACGTGTATTTCTTGGGTCTAGTTGCTTTACAAGCCTCAAGCAAATTTGGAGCAACTCTTCCACAGATTGCCATGCTTCCTTTGGTCGCCATTTTGACAATCACAGCCATCAAAGACGGTCTCGAAGATTATCGAAGACACATGTTGGATAATGAGGTGAACAATTCCGCCGTTACTAAACTTGGAAATTGGCGTAATGTCAATCAAAGAACTGATCCAAGAAATTGGTTTGAAAAATTGATAGGGTTAAAGAATCCCAACAAGATCTCAAAAGGTGTTCGCAAATTACGTGAAAAAGAAGATGCGATCGGTCTACGGGTTGTAGGAGCTCAAGCGCAAAGAGACGTAGAGCAAGGTCAGTCTGGTGATTTATCATATGCAGGAGGACCACTCGCACGAGTAAATACGACAAGGTCAGGTCGCAGCGATAGTGTTACCAGTGGATATACCAACAACCTTGACACAATTGCATCGGAAAGCGAACGAGGCGGAAGCATCATGAAACCGTCTTTGAATCGCAGCACCAGTACAAATGTGCTGATGGCAAGCTCAACGGATTTCGGTGAACCATCTAGGATGAGTCTACCGGAAGCAAATGGTGTAGTTGACTACCATCGTCAAACACCGGGAACGGCTCGCTGGGAGAGAACGTTGTGGAAAAAGTTGGAAGTGGGAGATGTGGTTCTGTTGCGTGAGAATGAACAGGTGCCTGCCGATATCGTCCTCCTCAACTCATCTGATCCTGACGGAAATGCATTTGTTGAAACAAAGAATTTGGACGGAGAAACAAACTTGAAAGTACGCAAATGCCTAAAAGCAAGCGCAGGAATTCAAACGGAAGAAGACATTGAACATGCCCGATTCGTAATCGATAGCGAGCCACCTCATGCAAATTTGTACGCTTACAATGGTCTTTTGAAGTACAGCAAGCCTTTACCGAAAGGATACGATACCGACGTTCCGATGGATAGCAGCGCACATGCTGCTCAGCAAGCTGCATCTCGTGCAGTTGAGCCCATCACTGCAAACGAATTGCTCTTGCGTGGTTGTATCATGCGAAACACAGATTGGGTAATTGGTATCGTCGTCTTTACAGGAAAAGATACAAAGATCATGCTCAACGGTGGTGATACACCTTCCAAACGATCCAAGATTGAAAAAGAAACAAATGTGAATGTTATCGTGAACTTTGTCATCTTGTTGGTCATGTGCGTCACATGTGCTGTGGTTGGAGGTGTTATTCTCAATTGGACAGATACAAGCAGAGACTTCTATGAAATTGGTGCAACCGATAGTACAAGCAATATCGCCAATGCATTCTACATCTTTGGAACATGTTTGGTCTTGTATCAAAACATTGTGCCCATTTCACTCTATATCAGTATCGAATTGACAAAGACGATTGCGGCATTTTTCATTTACACGGACATTGACATGTACTATGAACCTCTTGATCATCCTTGTGTTCCAAAGACATGGGGTATTGTGGACGATCTAGGTCAAATCGAGTACGTCTTCTCTGATAAGACAGGTACGCTCACCCAAAACGTGATGGAATTCAAGAAATGTTCAGTCAACGGTATACAATATGGTGAAGGTGTCACAGAAGCAATGATCGGTGCAATGAAACGAGAAGGCAAAGATATCTCTGGTTTTAATGCCGATACACAAGCTGCAAAGATGGAAGTGCTCAAAGAAGAGATGGTGACAAAGATGAACAAGACGTTCAAAAATCGCTATCTACGAAAAGACAAAGTCACTTTGATCTCACCCGAATTGGCAGATACTCTTGGTTCAGCTACTGAGCAGAGACGCAATGTGACCAACTTTTTCCGTGCATTAGCGCTTTGTCATACAGCTTTGGCTGATCGTGCAGATCCAAACGATCCTTTCACCATCGAATATAAAGCACAAAGTCCTGATGAAGCAGCTTTGGTGGCTGCTGCTCGTGATGTTGGTGCAGTGTTCTTGAACAAGAACAACCATACAATCGATTTGGAGGTATGCGGAGCACCTGAGCGTTTGACACCTTTACGTGTCCTGGAATTCAACAGTACACGAAAGCGAATGAGCGTAATCATTCGTGAAGCAGACGGAAGGCTTTTGATGATCTGCAAAGGTGCAGATTCTGTTATTTACCAACGATTACGTCCCGATCATCCGGCCGAGCTTAAAGCCAAAACGCAATCAGATTTGGAAGACTTTGCTAATGCAGGTTTGCGAACGCTGTGTATTGCATACCGCTACCTAGAGGAAGGCGAGTACCTCGAATGGGCAAAATTGCACGATGAAGCTTCTGCAAGTTTGACCGATCGTGACGAAGCTGTGGATGAAGTCAATGAAAAGATTGAAGTCAACCTGACATTGATTGGTGCAACCGCTTTGGAAGATAAGCTACAAGTAGGAGTACCCGAAGCAATCGAGAAATTACATCAAGCTGGTATTAAATTGTGGATCTTGACGGGTGACAAACTTCAAACTGCTATTGAAATTGGTTTCAGTTGTAATCTCTTGTCTTCTGATATGGAAATCATGATCATCTCTGCTGATCATGAACAAGGTGCTCGTGCGCAATTGGAAGCTGCCTGTAACAAAATTGCCGCTTCTGGTAGACCAATTGTCGTTCGACCCAAGAAGAAAGGTGTCATGCGTAAACGACAAGGCGAAAAACAACGCTTTGATGGATCGAATGGAGAAGCGTCAGATAAGTCCGCTTTTGCCGTCGTCGTTGATGGTGAAACTCTCAAATTCTGTCTCGATAAAAGTCTCAAGCCGCTCTTCTTGGCTCTCACAACACAATGCGAGACTGTCGTTTGCTGTCGTGTAAGTCCTGCACAAAAAGCGTTGACTGTGCGATTGGTGAAAGACGGTATTGACGCAATGACGTTGTCAATCGGTGATGGTGCAAATGACGTTAGTATGATTCAAGAGGCCCATGTTGGTGTGGGTATTGCAGGACTGGAAGGTGCACAAGCTTCTATGAGCGCAGATTATGCTATTGGTCAATTCCGTTATCTCGCAAAGCTGCTCTTGGTTCACGGTCATTGGAACGCATACCGAATCGGTGTGTTGCATGAAGTTTTCTTCTACAAGAATTTGATCTGGACATTCTCGCTATTATTATACCAAATCTTCTGTGAGGCTAATGCAACGTACTTATTCGATTACAGTCTCGTTTTGCTTTACAATCTCGTTTTCACCAGTTTACCAGTCATTATGTTGGGTGCTTTGGATCAAGATCTTCGTGCTCCCGCTTTGATGACATTCCCTCAAACGTATGCTCCTGGACGAGAAGGAAAGCTATATACCCGCTCGCAATTCTGGTTGGCTTGCCTCGATGGTGTCTATCAAAGTATTGTATGTTTTGGTATCTCAGCGGCTGCGTGGTACTTCTTCCCAATCGTCAATTCGGATGGAATAAGTCTTGACCCGCTCACTGCTTTAGGATCAACGGTTGGTGCATGCGCAGTAGTGTGTGCTAATTTGTACTGCGGTATGATGGTGCAAAATTGGTCGGCCATTATCTGGATCGTGATCATTCTCAGCAATCTGTCATACTTCATTTGGATTTTGCTCTACAGTGCACCTGTTTGGGGTTCAATGTTTTCCGGCACAGCGTTTGTGATTATGGGCACAATCCAATTCTGGGCTACTTTGCTACTTTGTGTGGTAGCATCTTTGTTGCCTAGATTCACATTCCGTGCTTGGAAGAGCTCCTTCCAGCCGACGTATGTCGATCTCGTACGACAAGCCTGGGTCAATGGCGATTTGAAAGGACGTCTAGGTCTCAGGTCAGGTCGATTGGATAGTGAAAAAGCAGCAAGTCTCATGGAGTCAGGACAAAAAGTACAACTGTATCACGATGAAAGCACGTATGACTTGACGCCAAATTCTCATGACCCCGCAGTTTTGCATTATTCCCAATCTGGAGCAGGAGGTGAGAATACAAACGATTCGTACGGTAATCCTCAGAAATCAAATGATGGATACGGCAAGAAATTAAGTGTTGATGAATATGCCAAACAAGGCAATCCCCAGCGCAATAGTTTGAACGTGTCTGGAGAAAGTGCCATGCCAAGAGCGACATCATCATTCAGCTTCTATGATCCTGATCGATTGCCAACTTCCTACACTCCTGAACCTGGTATGAGTAGAACTCCTATGGGTACTCATCGGGAAGACGAGGATTTGGAAGACTATGAACAAAATGAATATGGAGTACATAGCTCAAATGGACTTCCGACGCCAGAGATTTACGTTCAAAGAGCATCAATGAGCAGCACGCGCAAATCAAAGACGAGTCCTTATCGTGCAGACTTTGATGATGATGTAATTAATAGCCGAACAGCTTTAGCAGCTGCCAGCAGCGTTGATTCATTCGAACAACAATTCCGAACAGCATTTAGACCGGGTGAAGAGCAACGACAACAACATCAACCATCACCTTTACATGAAGAAATTGCAGATGAACAAGACAGAGAGGTAACAATGTCTCCTCTCCAAAGATTCCATAACCGATTCCAACAAAATCAAGCAATGACTCCCTCGAACAGTTTCCCATCTGTAGACTCGCATGACAGCATGGATGCCTTGCGTGCGCCTATGAGGCCGTTTGCAGGTAGACAACAACAAGCTTCTTCCGCTTCAGCTGCTGACAGTGAAGCAGACGGATTCCATACACCTCAAGGCATTCATAGTCCTCAGCCAAGTGGAGCTGATGGACATCAATCGTATTAGTGTTCCATTTCCACTTCGACTTCTATCAGCACGAACAATTTTTTGGGTTCCAAGATTATCATTCCCAACCATCATTTTCCCTTTCTCCTACACTTTCTGATTCTGCGCTCATTCATGCACTGCATTCCTTTTTATGTTTATTACTGGTTTTCTGAAGACAATGATCATTATGTGACTTTAACGTTTGTCAGTGAAAGTGTGACTTAAAGTAAAGATAAGCAATATACATTAGTAGCATTGCAAAAGGTATAAGGTTAAAAGTACATGAAAGGTATTTATTCGTACATTCAGTAATCCGATTGGGGTTGGCAAAGGTTTATGACTCGCTATCGTCATCGTCATAAACAATCTTAGTAATAATGATCTTTTTTCGTTTGACCAGTGGTGAGCCTAAAGGCTTGCCAGCTTGTGGCACGTTACCAAATCGATCTAGAGCAGCTTGACCAGCATCAGCTAGACAACTCTTGACAGGCTTGGGGTGATGTTCAGCTAGGAAGGATAGATCATCTTTTGTTGTTCTATTTGCCCCAGATATGTTATCGCTTGGACCGGCAAATAATGCCTTGTGCCACCGTACTGCTTTCTTTAGTGAGATTCTACGAGGTGGAGTTGCATAGACTTCTTCATCACCAGCAGCAAGCCGGTGTGATCGAAGCGTCTCATCTTCCTGCTCCGTTGTAGAAGATGTATCAGCAGCATTACCACCACTGAGACGTTCAGCACGTTGAGCGGCACGATCCTTTCTTGCTTGTTTTGATTGAGCTTCTTTCGCCTCTCTTTGTGCTTTTGTCAAAGCTGCAGTAGCATTTCCTGCTTCAGCATTCTTGCGGAATTTTGAGCTTGGGCTTGGGGGTCGTAATTCACCTTGTTTGCGAATGATGATCAACTCAAGTTGAGCGACACCAGTCTCATTGCAGCGTGTGTGTAAAGACGTCAAGCGAGAAAGTTCCATACTAGAAATCGGAATTGGTCTAGGTGCTTGCGTGGCTTTCGTCACAGATGTAGTCACTGGAGCTGCTGCTTTGAAAGGTAGGGAAAGAGCCTTAGGCGAGCTGGATGCTGATGATGACGATCCGCTAGACTTGGTTGTACTCTGCTGCTCTGGCTGTGTTCTCTCTCGAAGACCTTGTCCCATTGTTGTCCTTTGACTTTTCAAGCCAGCTAGAGTATCCTCTTCCTTCATCGATTTCTCTGGTTTTACACTTTCTGGCGCAGGAGCATTTCCTTGTTGCCGTGAAGGTGAAGACAACGAATGATCAACTTTACGAATGAAGTCATTGATCCTCCGCATAGGACGTGCTTTGACCGCATTCCTTTCTTTCGTGGTTGTCAGTTGGGCTACTGGAGCAGCTTCTCTCATACCCAAGCGACGAGAAGGATTCGATTTAATGCCATTATCGTTCGATGCAGCTCTAGAAGCGTTTTCATCCAATGTCTTTCGCTGGCTTGACTGTTCTATCTTTGGCACGGCGACTACTCCACGCATCACTCTTCTTGCACCTCCTACGCTGCCTGCTTTGGAGGCAGTCATCATTGCAGCCTTTGGTGCATCAGAAACAAACCCTTTCGTGGCCGTATTAGCTGCTTCTTGATTTGTTTTCGTCTTTAGATCGACAATTTCTGGCTTGACATTTGAAGAAATAGGTTTTGCATTTCGTCCTGCTATCAGTCGGGCATCACGTACGATTGGAGCGTTGGCTTTGGCAACTTGTTTGGTCGGTGAAGAAGACGAGGAAGAGCTAGGGTTGGAATTTGTGTTTAGCACTCTTCTGCCATTCATGCTTGGTTCAAGATCTCGAAGCGGCTTTGTATTGATGGACCCGGTAGAAGCTTGAGAGCTCGCAAAGTTAGGCGCATGCGATGGATTTGGTCTGGCTGCAGGTCTTCGCTCTCCATTGATAGAAATCTTCTGTACCGCACTTTGCTTTGCTTTGAACAATGGTACAGCTTTATTCTGTGGCTGTGGATGACTCTTCGAAACGCTCAGCTTGAATGGGCGAGGTAACTTTGAGACAGCTGGGACAGGCAGTCTTGATGTACGCAAAGATGCATCAGAGCGTACGGGAGAAGCACGTTGAGCCGTCAGCGATGGAGTTGGATCGGGCATCTGTGTAGTTGAGCGTTTCGGTGGCGAGCTTCTCAAATGGGTCTTTATCGGAGATAGAGGCAGCGGGACCTGTGAAGCGATATCCAATAGATCGTATGCTGTCGTCTTGAGGGTCGGACTGAATGACTCCGGCTGGATAGAAGAAAGTCTCATCGCATCGAATTCTTTCTTTTCTGGACTTTGCGGTGTTTTTACTTTTGCATTTGCCCAAGCAGCCAGCTTTGAGCGAACTTCAACTTTTGTCGGCGAGTAAAGCGAATTGGCAGCATTGCCTTTGCGAGCGCTCTCTTGTAGAATCGGTCCAGATCTTGAGACAGAAGCACGTTGCGAAGTGTGACCTTCGTTCTCTCTGTCAAATTGGGGAGAAAAGTTGGACATATACGACATAGCTGGAGAGGCGATATAAGGTGAACCTTTCCCGCGAGAAGCCGCGAAATTCATAGGTGAAGGCCTAGATGAAAATGGGTAAGGAGCAAGAGCAATACCAGGAGAGCTATCCGCTTCGGAAGGTGCCAAAGATGTTCGACATCTATCGATTGCTGAAGTGAATCCCTTCTGACGTGTAGGTGTGCTCGGTAGAGATGGATGCGATGGAGATGAAGGAAGAATCGCCGTCTTGTTTCCAGACTTAATGCCAAACCAGTCCGCTTCTTCCGTTGCATCTGGATCATCTTCTGGAGTCTCATTGGCTATGTTACCGTCGCCTGGCGCCAGCTGCTCGACTTCTGCATTCTCGCAATCCATTTGCACTTGACCCTCAGCTTCGTGTGCTATGGTTTCAGTATCGTCTTTAGAAAGCAGACTCTCTTCAGCGTTTGTGTTCTTACGATCAGCAACTTCCGCTTCGTGCCCTCCAACGTCCTCTTCCTTAGAAGCTGCGTTCTCAGCTTCGTCATCATTATTAAGGTCAATTTGATCCTCTGATGTGGATCTATCGTCATCATCATCTGAAGTGCTGTCCTGCAATTGATCTTCTCTTACGATTTCAGAAGGTGCTTCATCATTGAGTTCCTCCTTCTCTGCAAGAGGCTGTATGCTGTCGGATATGCTCTCCTCGTCCTCCTTTTCCTCACGAGCGTCTTTAATGGGATACTCTCCCGCATCCATATCTCCTGCCAAGCTGGATTCATCCTCTATTGTGCGATCTGTTATCGTTTCATGACCTTCCCATCCACCACTCTTCCTTCGTGTTAGCTCTATACTATCTTTCCGTAGCAATCTCCTAGTCCGTAATTTAGCTTGATATTTATGTCTACGATCATGTTCCGCTTTTGATGGTGTTCCGAAGAAGATTGGAGGAGGTGCTCTGCTTCTTTGTTTGGATGTGTATGTTGCTGCTGATATATCTCCATTCTCGTCATCCCCCCTTTCACTGCTTGTGATGTCATTCTCATCATCATCTTCTTCCGTAAATGCATCAGATTCGGATGCTGTCAATAAGCTCTCTTCTGTATCGAAACTAGATCCATTCTGTTTCAGAGGACTACGAGCGATGGGCGACGATGAATTGTTTTGATTGGATTGCAATGTAGTCTTTGAGGATGAAGGTTGTGATTTGGATGGTGTGCATATTGATAATTGGTTGACCGAATTGGTAATATCTCCCAATGACCTTTCGAATGTGGCCATGATTATTCGAATAAGTTAGATGTCATGAAGTGAGATGTACTTCTGATAGATAGAGGAATTCAGTGTATATACTCAATCTTGCAATCATATACATCCGATGGTATGAAGAGTATGGTTACCCAAGTGAGAGAACAACACGCTTCTAACAAGTGGATTTTTGGTGTTAATTGAGAAAATGCACTCAAGCCCAGAGCGTTAGGGTTAGGAACGCGAGTTTCAATCAAGCTTTACTCACTCCTTCAAAGCGCGTTTTGTCACGTGTTAAATGCATTGGCAATCAGCAATGAAGATTCATTAATCTCATCGATGTGGATCACTCGACTTCACCTACATCCACATCACTACATCGCCAGACTCCCCGTCAAAGCCTGCTACAAAGCATCCAAAAGCTGTTCAATCACCAGCTTCTTTGCAAAGACGGGGTCAAGGCTTTTCAATTGTCTCAATACAGCATCTAAGACAAGATGAAGTTGGTCAGATTTTTGATGAAACTTCAAAATGAAAGTGTTACAATCGAACTAAAAAATGGAACAATCGTCCATGGAACGGTAACAGGAGTAGACGTTCAAATGAATACACATTTAAAAACGGTAAAAATGACAGTGAAAGGTCGTGATCCGTTATCGTTGGATACTCTAAGCATTCGTGGTAATAATATTCGTTATTGGATCTTACCTGATGCACTTCCACTCGATATGTTACTCGTTGATGATGCACCAAAACCAAAAGGAAAGAGACGTGACCCTGCAACTCGTGCACGCGGAATACCAGATCGTGGTGGACGTGGAGCAGTTAGGGCAAGAGGAAGAGGTAGAGGACGTGGGAGAGGGTTCTAAAAAGATCTTGGTCTAAAGGGCAAAGCAAGCGTAATCGCCTCATTCACAAATATTTGTACTATTTTCATCATCAAAAAGAGACACCAATTGTATTTGTTTTGTGTACATTCTAATCAAGCTCTAAAGACGAGCGCCACGCCTTCATCACCAGCAGCTACAACTTTCCATCCTTTACTGGCCTCCAAATTAGCATAAGCCCCAACACCGCCAGTTTCAGTTCCTTGGGTATATCCATCATCCGGTCCAGCAACGACGTTCAGCACTGCATCGGTAAATCCGTGGTGAACAGCAACGTGATTTGCATTTCTAGCATCGAATGTGACCACCTTGCCTTCCGATGTAGAAGTAGTGAATAGAGGTCCAGATCCATGGACAACCAAATCAGTAATGGCTTCTTCCAAATGTGCCTCACAGCGTACTTTTCCTGCTGAAAGATCCCAGATGATTGCCTTCCCATCTGTGCTAACAGATACAACATTCGTGCTTGTTGTAGCCTTTGGTGCAGGTTGTGTTGCTTGTCCATTTGGATTTCCAAGCAAATCAATAAACGAAATGCGTTCTATAGAGTCACCATCGTTGTGTCCTGATAAAGCTGCTACCACTAATGCTGCTCCTCCATCCTCAATATTTGACAAATTCACTACACGGATTGCACCTGCTGCTCCACCAACAACGGCGATTTTACCATCAGCACTAACAGCGAGCGCCGTTATACCGGTTTGCAAATTAAATCGAGCATCTCCAGACTGTAACTTAGATAGTGCATTTGCATCCTTTGGATCCCAAACAATCAGTGATCCATCATCAGATGCAGTGATGAGTCTTCGTCCATCTGGAGAGAATTGACCGCAAGAGACTGCTGCAGTATGACCAGAGAAAACGTTCATCACTTTTCCGCTTGGGATATGCCACATCCAAACCGTTGAATCCGAAGCACCAGCGGCAAGAACATTATCACCTTTTGGATGCCAATCAAGCCAGACGATTTCATCTGGACCTTCTAGAGTAGTGATGAATTCACAATGTCCCCATTCGGTCGTAGGAGCAGCTCCCATTTCTACAGGTGCAAACGTTCCGCTAGCAGGTGCATGTAAGTTCCAGATCCGTATCCGACCATCCAGTCCACCAGTAGCAACGAAGCTACCTGTTGCACTGAAGCCTCCCGACACAACGCTATCCTCGTGACCGGTCAACTCAACAATATTGGCTCCCGTTCGTGTGTCCCATAGTCTTCCTTTATCATCCGCACCTCCACTGAACGCAATTGGAATTTGTGGAAACTTTGGGTGTAATTGTAGTGAAAAGACGGAATTTCTATGGTCGTAAAATGCTGCTATACTTGAATCTTGAAATTGTTCATCTCCATTCCCCTCTCCGTCTTCTCCGCCTTCGCCACCATCATCTGAATCTTCTTCCATTGGTGCTTGACCACCTTCTAGCTCTGCATCTAGAATTTCGTGAACTTCATCTTCGTTCACTGTTCCTTCTTCAGCTCTATCTGTCGACTGCATGACGTTATGATGTATGTTAGGTGATGGTAAGAAGATACTTGAAACATAAGAGTTACCTTTGAATCTTCTTAAAGCCAGTTCGTTCGAAGAAATGCTGAAATCCAAAAAATTTAACTTTTGCCTTGAGAAAAAAAAATAAGGCGGAAACGCAGAGCATTAGTACTGCTAGCTGAGCGTACGCTTTCAAGCACGCACAGTACGCGTTTCTTTGCGGCCGTAAGAAGACGTCCAGCTTAAGAGTCGCATAAGGGTTACACACACTTTTGTAAATGCATTCATTCTTCTGCCTTCGTGATGCTCACGGTCGACTCAACCAACCACCAGACGTCCGCCTGATCGGCCATGTCACGATTCACATCACCATATCAATCTTCACTGCCAAAGCGCAGCAAATCGATTCTGTCCGATCTGTCTGTAAATTCAGACGTATCAACGCAGAGCTTTTCAATCCCTGGCATTCGTGGGCCACCTTCTTCGCTTTTTTCAAGATTGTCAAGTATTCGAAAACAAGAACGTCCCACAGAAGTTCCTTCAAGCAGTCCCATTCGATCATCCACACCGGCTTCCTCATCAGTTCAAGATGTCCAGACCTCAACCAACATGCTCAGCAATCCTGAAAAGCCATGGATTTGCGCTATTTCTGAAGGTAAATCCACAGGTAAAGAGTTGGGAATCGCAATGAGAAACATAGAGACTGGACACTGTTTTTTAAGTCAGGTATGTGTCTTTGATCGTGACTAGATTTCCTATAACGCATACATTGACCTTCTTTGCTCATATCAAATAGTTTGCTGACACTTCGGTGAGTGAAACAATGAGCGCATACATTGACACATAAAGGGACACTGACTTCTTTTCGTAGATGTATGGTCATCTGCAACATATGCTTGACACAAGACCATGTAGTGTGGTGCTCTTGCCAAGCTCGCAGCAAGCTAAGAAGCATTTTTCGATTCAAACACAAATGAAAGAGGATCCACTTCGAAAGATGTTGAAGCAATCTCACGACTTTTTCGTTGCTGACGTTCCAAGAAGAGATTTCGATCAAAATCTGGGTATGTATGCATTGGCTTTCAAGAGAAGTGTTTCAAATCTGACTCGAATTTGATTGATCATCAGGACTGCAACATTTGGATAGATTGGTCTCAGTCGCAAGCATCGATGGTCAGTCCAGTAGTGCAAGAGAAACCGTCTTTCCAAGTGTCGTGACTTTGGCGGCAGTTTCTCAAAAGTACTATGCCTTGAGCGCATTCTCAGCTTTGGTCTCGTGAGTCCAGTGGAGCAGTAAGCATTTTCATGGCACAAACTTGTCTGACCTATCGCCCTCTGAAAGGTATATCGAAGGCAGCCTTAGCCAACATTTGGAGCCACACACAGTGTTTATCCAATATGTTCCTCCCGAAGGTAAGAGTTTTCATTAAAGCAAACCAATTCTCTCTGACTCAACGATTCATGCAATGCTTCTTCTCCCGAAGGTACCGTGTTGATCGATTTTCACACAGCCAAAGATCTGGAACTCGTTCGTAATGCGGTGAACAATAAGCAAATGGGATCTTTGATGGGTATGTTTCTTGATCTTACAATCTTCGCACCTCAACCACTGACGTATGACTGGCCCACAGGCATCTTAAACTTTTGCAGTACAAGAATGGGCGAGAGATTGTTGCGTATGAATATCCTACAGCCGTTGTCAGGTGAGTACATCCAGATTGGCTTCGCATCCTTGAAGCTCACCCATATCCATTTTAAGATCCAAACACAGTGGAATTTCGACTTGAGGCCGTACAACAGCTAAGCCTCAATGCAGAAGTGAGTTCCTTCTACCAGAAATTTTGAGCGATGCGCTCACATGGAGCAACACTGACACATTCCTTGCAGCATTTTTACGACCTTCGCCAAAGCTTGAAACCTTTCTCCACCAACAAAATCGATTTTGACAAAATCATAGCACAGATGCTCATCCCGAGCAAAGAGACGGTCAAAGGAGAGGCAAGAGCAGTTGAAAATATGATTAAGATCATCATCCAATTATGGTCGTCATTGATGTGTTTTAAAGGGGGTGAGTGTATGAAGAGCCTTAGGAAACTCGTGAATATTATACTGAATACATCGAATGATACAGTGCACAGATTGTTGCACGAGATGAACATCGATGCAGTGCTTCTGCAAACGATTGCTCCGATTCTAAGCAATCAACATCTGGATACCATCATTGCAAAGATCGAAGAATGCATCGAGATGGCAGTGCTTAATGGTACTGCAAAGTCAAACGTTGCGTCCAAAAATGCCCGATTGCTTTCTATCAAGGTAATTGTGCTGCTCTCGATGTTTTATTTTCTGATGCTCACAGCGAATTTATGATTTCTTTTTTTACAGACAGGAAGTAATTCGGTTCTCGACGCTGCTCGTCGAACTTACACGGAAAATACGGCCGATGCACTCAATCTCTGCAATGAGCTTAAGGAAAAGTATCAACTTCCTTTGAAACCCGTATTTCTGAATGGAGTCAGTACAGGCTACGGGCTAGAAATGGCATCCGGCAATATCAAACTACAGAATCTGCCACGAGAGTTCATCACAGTTTCGAAGAAGAGAAACGGAAAAGTGATTTCGATGACGACAGTTGATCTGAAAAAGATCAATCAAAGAATTCAAGATTCTTCCACAGAGATCTTTTTGATTTCGAGAGATATCGTCGAATGTCTCCGTTTGGAAATTCTGCGGGAAGTGGGAAATCTTTATTTGGCATCAGAAGCCATTGCACTTGCGGATGTGATCCTCTCTTTGACGCAGTACACCAAGTCAGGTAACAATGTTCGACCTTCATTCGGTGAAAAGATTTCTATCACTGAAGGGCGTCATCCATTGTTAAGTGATTCTGAAGCTGAAGGGACAGTTCCGAACGATACTGATCTGGGGCAAGACAAGACGTTCGTGCTATTGAATGGGCCGAACAATAGCGGCAAGACGACTTACTTGAAGCAGGTAGCGCTACTTACCATCATGGCCCACGTCGGCTGTTTTGTGCCTGCCGCATATGCTTCCATCCTTCCCGTGAAACAAATCTTCTCTCGTCTGTCAAATCGGGATGAAGCGGAGGCAAATCTTTCAACTTTTGCGAGTGAGATGAAGACCATGGCGCAAATTATTGAGTCTGCTGGCCCGGAAAGCCTTGTGCTCATTGATGAATTAGGCAGAAATACGAGCACACATGAAGGTATCGGAATGGCACACGCAATTTCCGAAGTATTGATTTGCAATAGAGTTCCTACCATCTTTGCGACACATTTCGTTCAATTGAACGCAACGCTTTCACCGTACCCCGCCGTTCGAGTACAACAATTTTCAATCGAGGTCAACACAAGCCAGGCGGGCGATAATCTCATCTTTCAACATAAGTTGTCCGCGGAAGGGTACGAATGCCAACACTACGGTATTGCATTGGCCAAGATGTGCCAGTTGCCGCAAGACATTTTGCGAGATGCAGAGGAGATTGCAAAACGTCTCCAAAAATCACAGAGCACGAAAGAAGATGAAGGCGAGAATCGAACGAATGAGATGATGAAACGAAAGGATATCATTTCAAAGGTATGTCACTGGTTCACGTATTTTTAAGAGAAAATATTTCCATTGGATGCTGACTTTCGTAAAAATTCCCTGATCTCTAGGCCTATGATCGATTGCAATCAATTGTGGAGAATTCAGGAGGCAAATTTCCGTTTGAAATACGAGATTTGCTAGCGAAAGAGCAACAAAGATGTATTTTGGCAATCGATGATAGCTTTACAAGACCGGATCATCTGCACGATTTGCAAATGGAAGATGACGATTCAATGGTAGATTTCGATCGATTCACCATTCAAGACACACTAGAAGCAGCGATGGATGTAGGTTGGGGCTCCTCAAGTAGCTGATCTTCCCTTTCTCTGACGAATACTCTCATGTGTATATACCATGTCGGTTGATCCTAATACCATTGCATTGACGCGTATGAGTAAAGAAGAGTGTGGCGGCTTTTGGTGCATTTTAGTTCGCCTACTCCACACCAAAGCGAAGGTACGGTGATAATGAAGCCGGTATGGACCGTGCGATAAAGTGCATGATTGTATGAATTCTAGATCAACTCTTTACCATTCAAACCACCATCTTACAATCATACAAGAATAAACAGTCAAAATGTCTCTCGGTCCAAATTTCCTCGGTAAAACTCCCGGTCCAGATTCGGGTCCATTCAGTGCAGTTGCCAACATTACAGCCAAGAGTGAAAGTGATTTGAAAGAAATTATGCCACTCTTGTTGGCCGTTCAAAAGAATGCAAACTCTAACAATGAACCTGATTGCACGGAGGTGAGTATATGCGATAGTTATAGCAACATACAAAGAGTTTAAAGCTAACATATGCATCTTTCTTCCCTCACGCAGTACAAAGTTATCCAAGCACACGATGATCCTTTGGCCATCGTTGTTTACGGTATGTATTGAATTCCAAAGACACCCTCACAAGAGCTTTGAGCTGACAATGTCCTCCATTTTACTCTCACAGAGCAATACAACAGCGCTGACGCATTAAGCTTCCATTACAATCAAGAAGACTTCCAAAAGTTTGCCAAAGCTGCAGGTGAAAAGACTTCTGTTGCTCATTTGCGCTTTTACAAGCACATCACCCAATAAGCCATTCAGTAATACACATACACCATTGATCAATGAGATTGATGAGCTGTCAGCATGAATGTGTGACATTTCTCAAAGGTTGTGTGTGGTCCATGGAATATGCTATGTTTCCCCGCACGCGTCACTCCCAAGCGATATGCTGTTCACTGTTAGCTCTTCATTCCTTACCGTCATACCATTCATTTCCTTGTCCAGATAACAAAGATGTCACTCGGACCAAACTTTATCGGTACGCTACCATCTTCTGAGGAAGGCGCTTTCATCACTGTTGCTCATCTGACCGCTAAAGGTGAGCCAGAATTGAAAACACTTCTCTCAATCTTGCACAATGTTCACAAGAGTGCCACATCTGATGCCGAGCCTGACTGTATAGGAGTATGTGTCTTGAAAGAGTTTAAGTCTTGAAAAGATTTGAAGTTGACATTCTATCTCCCTCTCCTTAGTACGAGGCTATTCAAGCTCACGATGATCCGCTCTCAATCATCGTATATGGTAAGTTTCTAGTAAATTTGAATCACAAATTTCATTCGACTGAAATGCTTCAACTTCTTATTTCTGATTGCACAGAAAAATACAGATCCAGTGAAGCATTGGAATTTCATCGGACGACAGAGGCTTTTCAAGCTTTTGCCAAACAAGCAAAAGATTTGACAAGCTTGAGACATATACGCTTTTACAAGCCTTTAACTCCATAGTGATATTCTCAAAGGATCTATTGCATGGTATACCAGAACATAAGATAGGTAGATAAAACGTAGCAAATGTACATCACTTGTGTTGCCTTACATCACACAACAATTCTCATCTCCTCCCATTCCTGGCATATTTCCCAATTCTGGCGGTAGATCTCCGATAATCTCTTGTGGCGGTGCACCTTGATCTTGCATATCGTTCATCAATCCTTGTACTTTACTCTTCAATGCTGCTTTTTCTGCTTCTGTTCCATTATCGAATTTAGGATCATCGAAAGTAGCCACGACCGCGTTGACGATCTTTTGTTGTTCTTCATATCGCGTTCTATCTTCAGCGGAAAGTTGAGCTGGTGGATTTGCAAGATAAGCGGGGTACTTGTCACGAAGTTCTTTCAATGGTTCATACAATACTTCTTTGCCCATCAATTCGCTCATCATATTTTCCAGCATTGCCGCAACTCCTTCTTCTCCTTCAGCACCTGAAACGTTACCCAAAGCTTCCATTAACTTTTCAAAGTCCATCTCATTTGCTTGACTTGCATTTGATGTTGCCGTTTGATCGGATTCTCTTAGTCTTGACATTGTGCTTTTGATTGCATCTTGGAAATTTGCAGGTGGTGCAGCGGGTGCTTGTTTAGAGCCTGAGGCTGTTGGACCCGATCCACTTGCACCTGGTCCTGAAGCAGCGCCTGGAGCACCACCACCACCGAATCCCATATCTGCCATCATTTGTTCAAATTGACGCATCATCTCTTCTTCGTTTGGTAAACCTTCTACCTCTCCTTCACCTTGTCCGGCTGCTGGATTCAATCCATGAGCAGGAAGGCCATCAGGAGTAACACCTTTCATCAAAGCTTCCATTCCTTCTGCCAATTCTCTTGCGAATCTTTCATTGAGTTGATCTTCTGTTTCTTCTTCTCCATCTTCGGTTGCGGTGGCTGCTTTGGTAGATTGTGTATTTGAAGTTGATGCTACTGGTTCACTTGATGGCTTTTCTGTTTTTGTGGTTGGTGCAACTTTTGCAGGTTCATTAAACTCATCTAGGATATCATCTAGATCGTCCAAATCATCAGCTGTCTCAGCTTTTGGATCATTCTTTGTAGAAGACATAGTGTATGTTGATGATGACAGTAAGAGCATACAATTTCCCAACTTCCTTCCCTTTTGCTTTCATAACTGCTTTATCGGCGAGAACAATAGCCGACGCTTGACACTTTCATTCTGCTGCTTAAAACTCAAAAGTCGCTTAAACCAGCAATTGACTTTCCCCACGCGTGGGGGGAGGCACTTTCAAGCATAGTGTTGCACGTTCTGCCTACAAGACAGCTCTGGGCACGCGTTTGCTCGTAACGGAAATCGGGTAGAAAAAAAAGTGAACCTAAATTTTTGAAGAGAGGAAAAAGAAGAACAGACACTTTTTCATCATTCTCAATCAACACACACATACTCCTATTCGAGAACAACCTCGCAACCATGAAGGCATCTTTTGCCTTTTCCAACTTATGTGGAACGGTGTACAGGCAAGGAAATGTGATCTTATACGATGCACCAGAAGGCACATTACTCCTTTCGCCTTGTGGCAATCGATTGAGCGTGTTCAATTTGACAAACAATACAGCCACAACACTTCCATTCGAAATGCGAAGACCGATAAGAAGGATAGCACAAAATCCGAAACAAGGTGATATCATCTTGGCAATTGATGAAGTTGGTCAAGCACTCTTAGTAAATGCCCGTGCAAGAGTTGTACTGGCTCATATCAACTTTAAAGCACCCGTTCGTGATGCAGCATTTAGTCCTGATGGAAGATATATTGCTATCACTCATGGAAATCGAATTCAAGTTTGGAAAACACCAAACGCTTTAGCAAGAGATTTTGCACCATTTGTACTGCATCGGATTTATACTGGACATTTTGCTGACGCTCTTTGCGTTCGATGGACAAAAGATGGAAGGTAAGTTCGACGTGACAAACAAACAAAACAGAACAGCAATCATCGAGGATGCTTAAACTTTATACTGATTTAATGAGGCCGCTGACTAGCGGAAAACCTTCGCATAATGCCTGAGATTCGATTGCTGTTTACAAGGGTTGTTTGATGAGGTCTTATGAATTTCGTTACTGACCATATTTTCCATCTTTCTGACCACGTACAGATTCTTTCTATCTACCTCAAAAGATATGACCATCCGGATATACTCACTTGATCCAATAGCGCTACCGTCAGCACCACTAGGAAGATACAAACCCAAATCACTCGGAGGACATCGAGATGCAATCATTGCAGCATATTGGAGCGACGATGAAACCGAGATTTACTCGGTCGGACGTGATGGCTCTTGTTTCACATGGAGAGACAAAGACGAAGGCGATGACGATGACGAAGAAGACGAAGATATGGAAGAATACGACTTTGGCGAAAAGGATGGTGCTACAGCTGAAAAAGATATTGCAAGCACATCAACAGAAGCGCCTCCTGCCATGGCAACAAGGAGATGGGGTTTGGCATCTCGTAATTATCTGAAGAAAGTTTCGTCGACCGTGGTCTGTTCAGCTTTCCATGCGCCAACATCTTTACTTGTCGTTGGGTTCTCGACAGGTGTGTTTGGATTGTACACATTGCCCAATGTCGAATCTTTGCACACACTCAGCATATCGTCCGACAAGATCAGCTCCGTCTGTACTTCTGCTGACGGTGCTTGGCTAGGATTCGGATGTTCAAGATTGGGTCAATTGCTTGTTTGGGAATGGGCTTCTGAATCTTATATTCTCAAACAGCAAGGTCACTTTCTCGATATGAATGCTCTTTGTCATTCTCCAGACGGACAAATTATTGTCACTGGAGGTGATGATGGAAAGGTCAAGCTGTGGAATGTTGCCAGTGGCTTTTGCATTGCAACTTTGAGCGAACATACTGCTCCCATCACAGCAGTTGAATTTGCCAAACGTGGAAAAGTTTTGTTTACTGCAAGTATGGACGGCACGGTTCGTGCATGGGATTTAGTACGTTATCGTAACTTCCGTACATTCACAAGTCCAAGACCAGTGCAATTTGGATGTTTGGCAGTCGAAGCCAGTGGAGAGATTATTTGTGCAGGCAGTGGATACGGTGGTGATTCTTTTGATATCTTTATGTGGAGCGTTCAAAGTGGAAGATTATTGGATATACTTAGCGGACATGAAGGACCCGTTTCTTCGATTGCTTTCAGTCCAACGGGAAGCGGGATGTTGGCAAGCACAAGTTGGGATAAAAGTTTGAAGATCTGGGAATGCTTCAAGGGAAAAGCTGCTGTTGATTCAATTACTTTGAATGCTGATGCACTGGCCGTTGCTTATCGATTCGATGGAGCGGAGATTTGTGTAGCCACATTGGATGGTCAATTAGCCTTCTTTGATCCTCGCGAAGGTGCGAGGCAAACGGGTGTTCTGGAATGTCGAAGAGATATCTCTCCTGGTCGTAAATTGGATGATAAGGTTAGCGCTCGTGCGAATGCTGGAGGAAGTCATTTCAATACCTTGGCCTACAGCGCTGATGGCAGCTGCATTTTAGCAGGAGGCAATAGCAACTGGGTGTGCTTATACAATGTCCAAGAAAAAGTTCTTCTCAAGAGATGGCCGCTAACACATGATTCGACGCTGGACGGCGTCACGGATAGGCTCGACAATCGAAATTTGACAGAAGATGGAAGGCATATCGATCTGGTAGACGATTTTGCAGAAGATGACGAAATGACATTTGCAGAAAGGGCAGATAAGTCCTTGCCGGGCGGGAAGCGAACAGATCCAACCCAAAGAACCACAAGAGCTGTTGCACGTTGCAAATCTTTGCAATTCAGTCCTTCAGGTAGCATTTGGGCAGCAGCAAGTACGCAAGGATTGTTGATCTACAGCTTAGAAGCACGCAATGCTGCAGGAATGGGAGGTGGCGCAGAAGCGTTTGATCCGATCGATTTGGATATGGACTTGACGCCTGATAATGTACGATCAGCAATGAATGACGGACAGAGTGTGACGGCTATCATTGGTGCTTTGCGATTGGGAGATCAAACATTGTTGGCAGAAGTGTATGAACATGTCAAGCCGCAAGATATTCCCTTGGTCGTTCAACAAATGCCTTTAATCCACTTGCCGGCCGTTTTACGTTTGGTCACACGAAGGATGGCACCTTCTACCACTACATCGAAACCAATACAAGAAAAGGAGAAAGCTCTCAATGGGGAATTGGTCTCGGCCAGAACGACAACAACGGCCAGCGGAGGATCTCCACATGTTGAATTTCATCTGCTCTGGCTTGCGTCCATTTTGGGTATACATGGATCAACATTGAGAAAGTCAGCCAATTCGGGTAACTTTGCTCCAATTTTGCGTTCAGCTGCATCTGCTTTACAAGAAATTTCTGCAAACGTGAACCGAATGGCAGAAGATAATCTTCATTTGATGTTATATTTATGGGGAGCTATGAGAGAATCAGGTCAGGAAATTGAAGCAGCTTGAGAAAACCCATTGTATTATACAACATGCAAATTTTTATACTTGTACAGGATATTTTAAAGATCTAAGTAGTACGTCTTTGGTCCAATCGTGATGCCGATTTGATTGATTGTTATAGCCGAGCATGCACGCAATCTTGCTCCGTATCGTTGCTCTAATTGCGGAACACTCGATGCGATTGGATCGTGTACATCATTTGCAGGTAGTGCATCTACAAATGCAAATGATGTATGAAATCGTGCTTGTTCATGATACTTTCGAGAATGTAATCTTTGCTTCAGGACACTATCCAGCTCTGTTGTCAGATTGCGAACATGATCCCATCCTTGACCTATTTCAGCAGCCCAATAGGATCGTTTTGCATCCTCGCTAGGCAGGTGAGTGAATTGCGAGAAAGCAATGTGCAGCCTCTGTACAGATGCAAAAGAGTCTCTGCGATATGCCTGAAGTGCCTCCTTTACGATCGGTACCAATGCATCACATTCGTGTCGACGTAGCAGGATCGGACGTGTAAGCGAAATATGAGGTTCGTTGACCTGTTGAACGGTGTTGGAAAGATCTTGTCTTGCCAAGAAGCGACCACACTTTCGCAATATGTCCATGGCATCCGATTCCAAGGGAAGAGGCAGGAACACAAAGCATAGCCAATCACCTTGAACTGGCTCTGATCGGGCAATACCAAGGGAAGTATATACCATCCTATCAGTACCCTGTCCGCTTTCATCTTTCGTATCCGCTTCCTTTACCGCTACATGATCTTCTACCTTGTCTGCAGAAAGCCCCTCTTCATCATCATCCGAATCATCGTAGGGGACGAGTGACATCTGAGAGCATATGTCAGGGTCATCGTACAAAGGTAAGATGCGTGGTTCGGAAATGTAGCTGCAGTAAAGCCACAAAATGAAGATCATCATACGCTAAAATTCAAGCTTTTAATCTTGAGTCTATCTGGCATCTCATGCTCGTTCCTGAAAGATGCAGTTTACTGTTTTATGAATGTGTGTGATAGCATTAGCATTCTACATGAAGTATATGGTACAATTGCATCTTTTCAATTCGCATCAGTAAGCATCAAAGAGCGCCTTTATTCGTTGCTGTAGAAGCGGCGATCAACGTTGCTCCACCGCCGCCTGGTCCGTAATCATCACATCGACCTAAGCTTGGCTGTATTTTCAGAGTTTGCCAGAATGAGCGACTATCCAATGCCCTCTCCAACTCTCGAGGCACATCTGGCTTATCATCTTTTGGCCATGGACGAGGTAAGGATTCGACATTGTTCTCATTCATCAATTCTTCAACCCATTGTTGTCCGTTCGGGATTGGTGTTGGCTTCAGGATTTGCAAAAGCTGCCACCAGTCGTACACGTGGGTATCTGTGGGATATTCAAGAGATTCAAAAAAGTCAATGCTCTGTATTCTGTATTGTCTCTAGTCATCATATACCTACCTGTCACAATCCATCTCCTACCCCACATCTGTTTGACATGCTCTTCATCTTGCAATGTGTTGTACATTGCCAAAATTGCTCTAGCAACATCTCTTCCATGTACAAGATGCAAGCTGGTCTTTCCCTTTAGCTTCTCCTTGGTATCAGCAGCCCTTTTTGCAAAATTTGCCGGATTACGTTCATCACCATACAAGCCAGCTAGATTGAGCACTGCTGTTCTTCTTCCTGCTTCCTTCTGCTGAGAATGCAAGCCCAACAGGATCTCTTCAGCCTGCACACGCTCATTGTCTGCGTTGAATGGCGAATCAGAATTCGACACCCCTGGCTTTTGCCATGCACCTGTAGATCCTAATGCTAGCCATGCGGGTGAAGAAGAAGTTGCTTGTTCGTATGAGCTGACCAGTTGCTGTACAAGATTAGTCTTGAGTGGAAAGATTGTCACCACCATTTGAGCAGCAGGTAAATGCTGGCATGCTTGAGCGGTGACTGAATCATCTAGCGAGAATGGAAACACCTCTGCTCCATCATTACCACTCTCTTGAGAGACACTTCTCCTCGTTCTAGCAAATGAGATATTAATGGATCGTAATTCTGGAATGAGAAATTTTGACGTCCATCCTGAGCCCAATAACAAGATCGAAACGGGCTTAGGTTGGGGCATGATGAATACGAAGATGTGAGTAGAGTGTGGAGAAGAATAGGGTAAATGCAATGCATATACTTGGCATTTTTTGATCAATTGCTTACGTACGCATCATTGTCTTCGGTTTTCCTAGGCAAAAGCTCTAAGCGGCCCTTTGAGAATTCTTGGCACAGCGTAAAACTTACGATCTAGAATAGAATCTACAATTGGCAGTGCTTCTATGCCGATTTCAAGCAAAGAAAGAAACGCGTATCTTAAGCTGTGCTCTTCTTCCCGGCTTGTTATTTTTAATCTTTAATTTAAAGCCCCTAGCAGCACAGAAGCAAAAATCCTTTATTTTTAGACCCAGTGATCGTCCCATTGAATAATAAACACACACACACTCACTGCCGTCAGTCTATACATCCCTTTGCCGCTTATGCATGAAATTTCGATTGATTCTCTCTTTTAACGCGCAGCTGTGCATTTGCATACTATGTATTATAACACCTTATGACTGGCGCGCAGGGATCCCATGATTGAAACTTGTTTACCATTTACAACCATTGTCATCACGAATCGATAACCAACACAACTGAAAAGACGGGCTTACTCGTCATTCAGTACGACTTTCACCAATACTCACACTCGATCACACACCCACACACCCACACACATAGACAATGCTTTCGCAGTCGTCTAGAATACAGACTATACTGGTCATAGCAACAGTTTGGCTTGCTACATTCTTCACATTCACAAAAGCACAAGCTGTTAGAACACAAGCTGACGATCCAATCAACATCGTAGGAACATGGACAACTGGATCAGGTCAAGTAGCGACCGGTTTGAACTTTTTCAATCCTCTAAATCAAACATTCAATGTACCCAAAGTAGGTGGACAATCTTACAGTTTCACCAGTGACGGTCATTGGGAACAAGCATTGTTCATCTTTACCGCCGATCCCGCTAATCCAAATTGCGCACAAGCACAATTGATCTGGCAACATGGTACTTTCACAATGAACCAAAACGGTTCACTAAGTTTGACTCCCTACATCGGTGATGGAAGACAATTGATCCAAAACGGATGCACACAAGTATCTTCATCTATTACATCTTACGATCAAGCAGAATACATGCAATCCTTCTATATCCGTCAAGAATGGCATTTCGGTTCAGGAGGATATTATTTGCAAATGTATGAATTTGATGGAACGCCAAAGCCATGGATGTGGTTGACATACAAACCACCACAAATGTTGCCAACACAACAGTTGAAGCAAACGGTGTATGGGCATGTCAATCACAGTTGAGAATGTTTTCCCGATTTAATCTTTGCCCCTCGCCCAACGAATATACGTTACACGACCTTGTATACCAGAGAATCGCCCCCCTATTCAGCTATGCCAAGCTTCAAAGAACTTTTTATCCATCAGCACCTATCCAAAACCTTCAAAAGACGTATTTGGATGACATCTCTTTCCATCATACATTGCTATCTAATTTGTTTCGGACTTGTTTTTCTCTATCTCTCTTTTTCAAATTGTAATTTGACTAACATTTTTGCCATCTTTATCCTGACAAGCTTCAACAACAATCTCGCTTTTGTGGATCAATGGCGACACTCACTTGTCATTCTCCCTCCATGATCGTGTTGCTTCTTGCTTATAAATCATGCAATAAAAGGACTTTATCTTATAAATATAGTATTGATTCGAGAGAAGAAAAGATAGGGTAGTATACATAGATTCAGAGATTGGTCATTTTTTGTTTGCCTTTCTACGAATCATTGTTAGACGGTATTGCCAATATCGTCTGCGGATTACATCTGCTACGATCAAACGGCCAACGATCGATTCGGCTTGTTTGTCTAACTCTTGTTTCTTTGCTTCATCTTTCTCGAAAGCCATCTTTGCCTCTACATCATCGAGCAACCACTCTAGAGCCAGTGGAGGCGATCTCGGAGGAGCGTCAACGGAAGGATCTTGCAAAGCCTCTTGCGCAGTGGGTAAGAGACTCAATGCCAAATCCGTTGCAACTGCGTATGGATTGACAGAAGGATCGTTTGATTTCAGAAGAGAAACAACACCACGAAGGTAATTCCAAGCGCTGGCATTGTTTGGTATCATTTTGATACAATCTTTTGTGAATGCGATTTCGTTCTTGATACATTCTTCCTTTGTCTTGCCTACCTTCCATGCTTCTCCACACAAGTGTTTTGCGCTTGCATCCTTTTCAACACTTTGCACCCATTTGCTTGCAAACAAACAAAAGTATCGATGATTCCAAGCTGAATTGTTACGAGCGTCCATTTGCAACATTTGCGCGATGTACTGTCCTTCTCCTTCCCAGATCTGGGGATATTTTCCAGCAGACGACGGAGACTGATCAACGACTGAAGTAACCTTCTCTGATTGAATGGGCAAGCCGCCAAAGTATGAAAGTACCCATTGTCTGTACACCCAAGTATTGTAATTCTTACTATCTTCCTGTAATACACGAGCAGCGAACTCCAATTCGTGTGATGGATCGCCAAGAGCTGTGACGATTAATTTTCTGTGCTGCCAAACTTGATAATTTTTCATATTGTTCTTCGCAAGGTCGTTCAGATAAACAAGTTCATTTTCAAGTCTCTGCTTCTTGTTACCTAAACCGTTTGGACCATCTTCAGGACCGTTAATCAAGATTCTAGCCCGATAGAACCAGACTGTATAACTAGATGGACATAATTTTGAAAGATGTTCTGTCAAAGCAAGCGTACGTGGAGATAATTCATCTTTTGGTAGCAATGCTCTCAGCAAATCCATAGCCTGTGAATAGTTGGGAGAATACAGAATTGGACATAATGGTGCCGGTCCATCATCTTGTGGTACGGGTTTTACATCTTCCCAAACGGAAGATTTTGCATCGAATGGAAGGAATGTTTCGCTGGTTGTCGCCATATTTAGTGTAGAAGATGGTGGAAGAATGGATGTATATTCATAACATCGTGATCCCTTTGTTGGTTGTCCATCAAAGATGTTTGAGAACAAAGGGAAATTCACTTTTCCGCTAAGCAATCTTAATTTATGCAAGAGGGCCTGTGCACTTTTTATTCAAGAAGAATAAACAGACGCGGTGCATTCATTCATATACATAGAGTGTGCTTCATGCTGTCCTCACCCTTTCACCATTGCAAAGGAAGCGGGGATTAGAAGAATCTCTCTCTTAGATCTCAACGTCTACATACTCCGATCAACATAGAGGAAGACAATGCAATCATGCCACAATTAGACACAGATGCTCCTCTGCCAAGCTATTTACATTCATTTGCTTCAATCTTTTCAAGGCATCCAGATACGCCAAGGAAGGATGTCTTTCGACAATTGATGTTACGTTCGGTACGATTTCACCTGAAAAGATCCAATTCAAGAGCAGAAGATGAAGAACAGCTAGATGGTTTCAGAGAAGGAGTGCTTCCGCTTCGCATTCGTCCAGCATTTGTCATTCTCAACGTTCTGGCATTGATCGTCTTAGCAGTGCTGGGTTTCCATCCTAAATCGGGATCCTTCGTTCCGATCAACGATAAGGTACTACATTTCATTTGTTTCTTCTTTGCGACTGGATTGTTTTATTTCATTTGGGATGTAGATGAACCTGCAAGAAGGGTTTGGATATGGCGACATGTAGCACTCATTTTGACTTGGTTCGTATGTTTCGTTGGTGGAGGATTAGGATCAGAGATTGTACAATCAGCATTACCTTACAAGACATTTCAATGGGGTGACGTATTCGCAAACCTTTTAGGATCTGCTTTAGGTCTCTTTGTTTCGTATCATGCAGAAAGAAGACATCGATTGAGAAGGGAGATTGCTCGATTATACGAACCCTTAGATCAAGAATTGTACGGAGATGAAGAGGAAGAAGATGATTTGAATGATTGGGCAGATGATGGAGGAGATGCAAATGATCCTTGGCGCAATGTTCGGCCAACGGCAAGAAAGCTTTCTATCGGTAATAACTCCACAACGAAAGCTGTCCGATTTACCGGAGCCGGAAATGGAGATATTGAAAGTGGCAGAATGTCTGAAAATGAATCATCTTCTAATCACACCCAAGCTACTTCACCAAAAGAACCTTCAAAAGTACCGAAGGAAGCGCTATTCAGCATTGACGATGAGGATCACGAAGATGATGAGGCGGCTGATGCATGGAAAGCGGCCCGATGAAATGCTGCTTAAAATAGAATGTTTTGATTCTACTATGTATTGTATATTATGTTATCGCATATAACATTCAATCAAATTTATGGATGACACTTTTTGGTGGGAAGGAAATGATAGGAGATGGTAAATGAAGTGAAAGGCTATTTTTGTAATTGTTGGAGAAACCGGAATGCAATATATAATTCATTTCATCTTTACATTTCGATCTTAAACGCACGCCCTTTTGTTGTACTCCTGACCCATTCATTGTTTCAAACTGTTGTTGTTCATCTCAAATGACCGTAATATAGGATACATGCCCCCTTTTGACGAGCGCTGTGCTGCTTTATATTAAAGTCACACAAAAAGATCTTTCTCTTTTTCACCTTTTTTCTTTTTATTTGGCGGGGAGCAACAATAAACGCTAATATTTGACCAAATTAGCGTTTCTCTCTCTTCAAACAAACACAAGAAGGAAATAAAAGGTGGCGTTTCCGCTCGTTTTATGTGGAAAGGCTGAACGTGTGTGTGCGTACTTGTGTGCTCGTGCGGGCGTGCGAGCAGAAGCATGGAGCCGATGTTAAAGTTTAAAGGGAGATTGTGCCCAAATCCATACGCCCTTTACTGATTGATTAGAGAAGGTAGGGGTAACGAATATGCATTTCATCAGTGTGTAAGCATATTCACTGAGTAAGTGAAAGTGGTGGTGCAAATGTGTAACTTTCCATACTTCAAACACATTCATCCTGATTAGATTCTCTTTCTTCCAAGGATTTCCATCTTTTTTGAGACCGTAAGCTTGTTAGAAGGAGATACGACAAGATCAAACGTTTAGCTCACGACATTTTACGAATTACGAGGAAAAGGTCACCGCCGATACCCAAATCTAGTAACATTGCTAGCAAGTCTTTCCGCTTCGTTTCGGTGGACTTTGGTGACACTTCAAAGTAGCACAAGAGATAGAAGGGAAAAGAAGTAAGATTCGAAGATCTCGCTACAGCATAGTACAGATTTCAAGATATCCTGTCAATCACAAAGCATCTTGACATTAATTACCACTTTTCATACTTCTGATATTGCTATTGAAGAAGGCCTGAGCGGCAAAGGTACAAGTGCAAGCACACCGCCGGAGACATAAGCCGGCAGACCCCCCACACACATCGTTTCATCGATCTTATCTTCCAGGAAGACAAAGAAGTCATCAAAATGTGAGTACGTCAGCACTGCTCTTTCGAGATTTCCTACTGATCCTTTACTGTCACCATTCTTTTCCTTTCAGGTCTGAAAACTTAGATGCACAGGTGCCGCCTATGTCTCAAAATCCAGCCGAAGTGGACGGCAATGAGACGAGGGAAGCTTCAGAGATCAATGCTGATTCTGTCTCGCAATCCGAACAGCCTTCTACACCCCGATCTCAATTCACCAATTTGAGCGATTCAACGGATATATCATCAAAGAGCAGTAAAGCACCTGCTACAGGTGTAGAAGCAGTACCAAGAAAGCCGGCTGCATTACCTGCAAATGCTTCGCTGGCCGATCGTATTGCCGCTCTACAGAAAAGTAGTAGCATACGTAGATCAGATCGGAGTGCAAGTAGTGTGGTACCCGGCACATCCAATTCAAACGGAGCTGGTAATGGAATTGATCCGCTAGCCGGACAATCAAGAAGCGTATCATCTGGAGCAAAGATCGGATCAGTAGCAGGAGTGAGGGATCGCATTGCTAAGTTCCAAACAACCGAAGCCAAACCTTTGATCCCAAAGAGCAGTTTCGGATCACCTGCACCAATGCACGGTGAACGAAATCAAAACGCACTACGACCGTATCCCGGTGCAAATGCATCTGGCGGTGGCAGTGGATCGTGGGGCGAAGGTGTTTTGCGACCTCAGGCTACAGGAGGTGCATGGGGACCGGGAGCATGGCAAAGTGATACATTTGCAGGTGCAGGAGCAAATGTTCGTCCACAAATGACGGGAAATGCATGGCTTGGCGTAGGTGGATCTTCCCCTTCGATGGGTAGAGGCAAAGCTCCTGGACCAAGATCTATTTCACCTGGCAGCTCATTATCCCGCTCTCCTCTAAAGCAGAGAGATGCTTTTCTTGAACTTGATGAAGAAGCTGAAACAGATCTGCTGAGCGTCAATGGATCACCGCAAAAGCCAAAACCTCCAATGCGTCGTGATCCCAGCTTTTCAGAGGCACAATTGGCCGCTGCTCAAGTTGGCTTAGGTAGTATATCTCGTGCTGCTAGCTCAGATGGTACTTCAGATCCAGTCGGCACGCATCCCAGAAGAACAGCAAGTTCAGATGGATATTCTGTTAAACCATCTGGACTACCGCGATTGCCCGATCCTCCCAGATCAGAAATCAAAGTCGGAAGCTTGAGCCAGGAACAAAAGAAGATTGGACTGCAGATCCCTACTATGCCACCTGCTCCATCTTCAACTCCGAAAGCACGTTCTCCATCTGGTGAAGCGAGTACGAATGATGTCGAAATTGGCGTTGCCAATGTTTCACCGGAGAAACTGGAACTGCTACGCAGAACAGCCAGTGAATCATACGCTGATTCTTTCTTGACAAGTCCTTTGAGTGATGCAAGCCATGAATCAAGGGTGACGAAGGATGGAGAAGACGCTTCTTCGGTGAATGGACGTTCTTCATTGATGTATGATATTCAATCGAGAAGACGAGAAAAAGCAGCGACTTTAGCGGCAAGAAGTGCATATTCTCCCGATGAAGCATCTTCAGATATTGGTAGATTGGTTATTGAATCAAATGGAACGGATGATGGATCGGCAACTGATAGTCCAGCAATGAAAACGCAAGATTTGCCAGCACGGGCTCAAGTACAAAGAACGGAAAGTGATCGTGTTGATCCGAGTGATCCGGATGCACATAAAGTCATGGGCGCGGGATTGCTTGTACCGCAGGATGAGGTTGCGACAGCTAATGAGAATGGTGGACAACAGAGAAAAGCAACAATTCCAACAATTACTACTTCTACTTCCCAAACCTCAAACGGTATTCGCTCGAACAACGATGACTTGTACGAGAGTATACGACCGACATCAAGTTCAAACGAGTCTTATTCTGTTCAAATTTTAGATCCAACGGGAATGAAGAAGAGCAATAGTGAAGGATTGAATGAAAAACAAAATGCATCATTTGAATCTGCCACGCAAGCAAAACAAGCCATAACAGCAGCACGTAGCAAAAGTCAAAATATTAAACGTCCACCTCCTGGTCGTATGATGACAGCAGCCGAGATGGATGCAAGTGATGATGAATATGAACCTGGTTGGGTAAGCGTGACTACGGTAATGTCTTCAAGTAGAAAGAATTAGAAAAGCTGCTTAAACGCTCTTTTACACAATTGTGACAATCATTTCAATTCCCCTTTTTACTGGACTTTTCCTTTATATCCTTTTTACATGATTGTAACTTGCATTCTATACATTCATTTAAGCCATGGTCGTGAGTGGGGAGTGGTCCTTTTCACGTGAGAGTAGAGCTAAAGTCTTAAATCCGAATTCGTCGTGTCAATTAACCCAACGCGCTACTTTGCGCATAAAACGCGTTAAATCAAATAATAAAAGCATTCATTGTTCAAACGTAAGATTGAACCCTAGGGTTCCTCAAACTTGAACAATAGAGCGGAGATGTGAAAATGGAAATTAGTACGTGGGGTAAAGAAAGAGAGAGAGAGAGAGAGAGATAAACACCTCATAATTGTAGGCACACATATGGCAGGGCTTTTAAACGCCATTCTCGGCGCAAGTGCACAATCAGGGCGGGCGTAAGAAAAGATGAGTAGGTGTGTAGTGGGTAAGATATTCCCCCTGCTCCTCAATACCAGCTGACCTAATAATTAAGACTTTAAAACTTGCTCTTATAACGTTCTATTTCAATGTCCGATTTGACAATACACACGTACACCGACGCATGTCCTTCTTTTTAAGCCCGATGAGAATGAAATTCCGACTCAAGGATGTGTTGTATTCAATTGCGTGCAATGCATGAAAAGACGTTCACAAGAGTGGTTTTACTCCGTGTAGATCCCGCCGTAATACGAGTTTACTCTCTCTAACAAAAAAGAACTTTCACTTCAAAATGCATGCGTGCTAGTTAATCAGAGCAGAGCAGTACAGTACAGTAGTAGTACGTCGGCTTAGAAATGAGTGCGCAATAATAGTGACAGTTTACCTCTCTTCATGCGCGGTACGCTAACAAAACACATTCAGGGCTCGGCGCCAAAGCGGCAAAGCGCGAGCGAGTAAAATGGAATAAAAACTTGTAAACTGCACGCTAAAAGCCAATAAAAAAAACAATCTCTCCTTTTTCTATACACACACTGTCAGTGGGAATGAATCCTGCTGCACGCTCAATGGGGTCCATTACTTTTTATTATTTTTTTAGCTTTGGCTAATCCCAAGGCTTCGTTCGGGGTGCGTAATAAAGATTGACTCTTTTAGACAGCAAACCAAACCAAAGCAAAGAAACGGTCTGAGCACATGATCACTTCTTGTGTGATCTCATCGTCATCCTTTCTTTCTTTTACCAACAATCGGAAAGAAGGAACAACAACACATCACGCCTCCGAAATCAATCACCCTCAACACGACACGAAGGATTGGATGGAATGCATGGATAAAGCATTCCAATCGCGGTCATCCTTCTCTCACTTAATCATTAACTCTATTGCTCGCGGATAATTTAATGGCCTTGGTAAGTATCAGCACAATAGAATGCAACGGATGGGAAATTAGAACTGCCTGATCTTCATTGCGGGTGGCCGTGATTGGAAAATTGATGTGATATAATAAAGACCATTACGGTCCTCTTCCTTCCGGCTCACATCGGATTATATTCATGACACTAGACCCGGCAAAAAGCATACAACACGCTGTTTATTGCGCCACAAATTAACTTTGCCAATGTTCAAATCGTATAGATCATCAGGATCAATCTTGTTTTTTTATGTGTCTTCTTGTTCTCCGAGTAGTATTCTGACCTTTTTTTTTCTTGCCTTTACCGACATTTTGCAGCAATCTCTATAATCTATGGTCCTTACTCGATCACCACAACGCATCTTGACATTTAACAATCTGCGGCACAATTCTGCCTTTTCAAACTCGTCAATCCTGTTAAGATAGGTCTAATCGTGCATTCATCATCACAACGGCGACTTCAACTGTATCCATCACGTCGATATCGCAGCATTTACCGACAATTCGATCATCGTCGTACTTCTCGGCAAGTGTCTTGGAGTAAGTAATATATATCTCGACTTGGGAAGTGTGCTGGTAAATTAGAAGCACGACTTCCCCTACAAAGCGACAATCGATTGAACACTCTTTGGTTGCTTTTGGAGTTACAGACTCACAAAAAATACGACGTCATGTCTTTTGGCTGGCAACAACAACAACAGCCTGGTCAACACCAACAAATGCAACAACAACAAAATTTTCATCTCCATTCACAAAAGCCAACGTTTTCTGAACCTTTTGCTCCTGTGCAACAACAACAGCAAAACAATCAACACCCACAACAAAACAATATGAACACAGCAACGAGCGCCATGCCTCCAAATGCGATGCCTGGTTTGAATCATTCAGCATCGTTTAATGGGATTCCTAGTGCTTTCTCGAATGGTGGTCAAGATCAAAGTAATAATGTTGACTTGAACAGCATTTTGTCAAATTATCATCCAAAGATGATTTCTACGCAATTGCAACAGCACATGCCATTCTCACAGCATCAACAAGATCAAATGCATCAACAAATGGATTCTGCAAGTGCAGCAGCTGCAGTGGCGGCATATGGTCACCTAGGAATGCAACAAGGTCAAAATTCTGCTAATATGGGTGGCGGTTTCAATGCAAATCCGTCCAATGCTATGCAAATGAATCAACAGATACAGCAGAATGGATCAATGCAAGTTCAAATGCCGAGAGCCATGTCAGGAGCAGCATGGAACGCGATGCAAAATCAACAGAGTTTTCCTACACCTTCTCAACTACATGCACAGATGATGAATGATACGAGAGGAGGCTCGGCTGTTAGAGCGACGGGCGGATACGAAGGAGACGCTTCCGGTACATCTTCTACTCAAACGCCAGGCGCAAGTAGCGGTGATGATGTAAATGCAGGTGGAAAGAAGAGAAGCAATACTATCTCACATGAGCCGAAAGAAGGTTCACTTGCAGCACTTGCTAATTCAGGATACGGTGTGGGAGGCACATCGACTTCTGAAGCATTCGCTAATGAATCCGGTCCGGGAGGGTTATACAGAGGAGGAAGTTCATTAAAAGCTCCACCGCAAAGGCCTTCTCTACGACACAGGCGGTCACACAGTGGCTCTCAGGCGGTTAGCTCAAATAGCGTCAGCTGGGCCAGTGAAACGACTACGCAAGGAGGAAAACGATTATCAGGGCCGAATTTATCGTTCAATACGAATACGAGTCCTATTTCTTCGTATGCTCCAAATTTGCATGGACATGCTGCAAGTCATCCACCCGGTCTTGGCGGTCAAGTCTTACGAGGAGCGGATATAGGCACAGGCGGTAATAATGCGGCAACTGATTTTACCAAACGAAAAGGATGGCATAATCGAATCGTTGATGAATTATTGGATTTCGTTCATGTTCTTGATGAGAACGGAAAAGTTGTTCATGCTGCTTCGAGCGTTGGAACGTTGACAGGTTGGAAATTGGAAGAATTACGCGGAAGGATGATAACGGATTTCATTCATAAAGATGATGCCAAAGCATTTATGGATGAATTTCAATCTTGCTTGAAAGAACGCAAAGAGATGACAATGTATTATCGATTCCGCAAAAAGCCACAAACAGCTGAAGATAAGAGAAGGGTGCGGGATCAAAGGCTTGCATCAAATGTTGGACCTTCTAATTCAGGCTCTGCATCTGAAGGTGATTCATCTTCCAATCAAGAATCTGTTAATAAGAGTATGACTACATTCGCAGATGGAATGACGGAAGCTCGAGCAGAGAATGATGATGAAGATGAATCCGAGTTACGGGATGACAGAGAGGCGAGATATGTCGTTTTTGAAGTCACAGGACATCCATACTTTTCCGATGATCAAGAGGACGGCTTTGGACAAGTAACTGATGGACTAGAGCCCACTTCGCCGATGATGAATTCTAATGCCAATTCCACGCAAACGTCGCCAATAAGCAAGAAGATTACTATCAATGAAAGTGACAATTCTGTAAAGAAAGAGGACGAAGATGAGACAAACAATCGCATACAGTGCTTCTTCTTGACAGGAAGAGTTTATCCGACCAAGAATATTGGAATGCTGGACAGCTTCTTAGAGTTGAAACTGGAAAATGAAAGGCTACGACTGCTTCTTGGAGAATTGAGCGTGAATGACGGTACGATCCCTTTGCCTGCAGACGGAAGCAGTGACGGAAGGAGAAGTTTGGATGAAGGTGCATATCCGATCGATTATCCTGTAGATCTCGAAAGCAATAAGACTGCATCGACAGGACATGGCGGCTTCGGTCAGACAGGAAATGGTTCCATGGAAGACCTTTCAGCAACCCGAAGAGCATCGCTCACCAGTCCGCGAATGAACGCAAGTGCGCCTACCAGTCCACAACAATTGCAAATGGAAAGATCTATCACCAGCAATACGATTGGCGCTTCAACGAATGCAGGTGAAGAATCGGATGAAGCTGAAAGCCCGCTATTGGACGGAACAGATGAATCAAAACGGAAAAAGAAGAAGCCGAAGCAAGAAGAAGGCGATTATGTTTGTACGGATTGCGGTAGAGTCGATTCTCCTGAATGGCGAAAAGGACCTTTGGGTCCCAAAACGCTATGTAATGCTTGTGGATTACGTTGGGCAAAGAAAATCAAACGAAGCGGCGGCGATCCAAATGCAGTCTCAAAAGCAGGAGCAGCAGCCAAAGCACAATCAGCCGGAAAGGTGTTGGGTTCAAATAGTATACCTTCGCTACCGTCAAATCTTGGACAAAATCATAGCTTTGCCAGTGCAAGTGGCGAAATGCAAAGGCCGCCAATGACATCAAGTCAAAGTAGTAGTGCTGCCATGTTTGCAAGTATGCATCAACCACCACACCCGGGTATACCGCATTCCGCTTCTTCTTTCGATACCAGCTTTTCGAGCATGCAAGCTGCGATGTACAGTGCATCTCCCACTCAGATGAATTTCGGTCCTCACACCGGTCCAATTCCCGGCCATATGGATCATCCTGGTGCTATGCCTCCTTTGATGCATCACAACAGTAGCTTCATGTCTCAATCACCTGCTGCACCGCAAATGGGCAATCAGATGTCACAACAACAACAGCAGCAGCAGCAACAGCAACAAATTCAATACGGTCAAAATCAGGCTGGTCTTCCTCCAAATCACATGATGTATTAATCGATACCTGGAAATCACGCTCTTTCGTTTTTCTATTCAACCTCAATATTGTGCTATAATAGGCAAATTCTTCTTCTTTTTCTTTTTCGTTATGTACTATGCTGGATGGTTTGACCACCATCCTTGTTCAACATTTGCAACGTGTCACCTTGCCCCCCCCTTTCTCAATCATTTTTTTCGTTTCACACTTTGACCTTTTTTTTTCGTCAAATATTGTATCATTGTCAATACCCAAATACACGTAGGATCGACATCGTTTTCCCTTCCTTTCACTTTACTCATGCTTTTTATACATCCAAGGGCAATTCGGAACGAGAGAGAGAAAAGAGATCAGAGATGCAATCAATCAATCAATTTGATTCAAACATTATTTACCATTGCCTAACAATTGAGTGAATGAGAGTATGTTTTCATGCATTATCCACTTCATAAAGTACACGAAAAGAGCGTCTGGATTACTCGAGAAATAGAATAGATGTGTGCATTGCAGAATGTACCGCAAATGAAGGGGGAATATGAAAAGAATGGGTATCGATGCACACATTGCATTGCAACAGAGTCCTATTTTGAAGAGAAATTTTGTAAAGAATGTTATGTTTGCACAGAAAGCACCTTTCCTGCTTAACCTCTTTGATTTGCAGAATCATCGGCGGATGGCGAATAAGGTGTATCACTGGGGAATTCGGAGGATGGGTTTGGTGGTGTTGGCCAGACACGACTTCTGACCATGTTCATAATACCATCACTTTCACGTCTGCTTTGTGTCGGAGCATTCGCGCCAAGTCTTTGACCTTGAACATGCTGATCACTGCCACTATCACTTCCTGAGCTGGCGGGTGATTGTCTCACATTCGTTTGCCAGGCCGATGGAGGTGCAAGATGACTACCAGATGGGCTTGGTCCTGTCGTCTGTTGTAGAATACTACCAGTTGCGATTTCATCAGCCAATGACAATGGTCTTGGAGCAGCTGGAGATGCAAAATCAATAAAGCCAGTCCTTGCTTCTTCTTCTGCTTCTAATTGCCTTTTTACCTCTTGTTCAGGAGAATTGGGTTGAGTACTTTGTTCGCTTGAAGGGTACATCAAAACACTTGCAGCAAAAGATTCAATACTTGGTCTTTGCGTTTCTCTGGGCATAATCTCATGGGTCATTTGAGAAGAGCTTCGATCATCTTCCATCATTGAGTCCTCAACCTCCTCTTCTTCTCCTTCGTCATTCACATCGCTAAGACCAGTATCGGCACGATCACGTAGTCTTGTGTTAGGCCTACTACTACCTGGGTCATCATATTGCGTACCTTGAATTTGAGGTTGTTTTCCTCCATGTACCCTGCCTAGGCGCATGCTCAAAATTTGATCAATTCTTGAGACAGGTGCAGATGGACTTGAAGATTGTGCAGGATTTTCAGCAGCACGAATACCTCCAATATTGATTGAACCTTGCGGAGGAGCATAATGATCTCCGATACTGCTCTCGTTCCATGCTGATTCCGTATCATCCAAAGCAGAATCACGTCCTAAGCGAGTAGAACGATCCATGCTTGCACGACTTTGAGATTGGAAACGTAAAAGATTACCCATCATTCGTTCAATCGTTGTATCTGCAGGATGTGTTGAGCTATCATGTGCGATTGATGTTTGCGTCACATCACCTACTTCTTCACCTTGATACTCTCTTTGTCCACGTTCCATCTCTTCTTGATTGGGTGACTCTTCATCAAAGAGGTTTTCAGCTGTGCGATTTGTAGAAGATGATTGATTGGGCAAATTGACGTTTGACAATCTGCGGTCGGGAACGGGTGTTGTAGAAGTGTTTGAATAGATGGAAGTCAAACCTGACAGGTCCCGCGATAGGCTTTGAGAAGGTTTGCGGAAAAAGAGTGAATTGAATGCTTCATCTCCATGCTCGTCCGTATTCCACAACATCTCACGCGAATGTTGAGAAGCTGTATCATCAGATGAAATTCTGCCGGAACTTGAATGACTACGCTGAAGATTGCTCGCTTCGAAATCTTGCTCGTCAAGAAGTGAAGCTGGAACATGAGCACCTCGCAAAGGAGTTGACTGTTGTCTGGCTTCGCGCTGAGTAGACCGTAATGGAGAAGAAGTTGCCAGCGTATTTGCTCGTATTCTATCGACCGATCGATCTTGGCTTCTCGAATGACTCCCTTGGCTTCCGAACCAATCACCATCATCAACAGGTTGCACAAGAGGTGGTGTCTGGAATGCACCACTTTGAGCAGTAAATCCAGTTTGAAGACTGGTAAAAGGAGAATGCGGGATTCCGACTTTTCCTGACTTTGAAGCCTCTGTACTTGTCATCTTCGGAGTAGCACCCACGTCAACGTTTGAGGGTTGTCCATCTTGATCCGTCTGTGGACTAATAGACGGTGATATGCTAGAGTGACCAGGAGTACTACTTGTTCGTTGCCTTCTTGGCGGTACGGGCAGAGATTCATGAGGTCTGCTTCTCATCAAAATCTCCGAGTCAGGCGTAGGCCGCAAATTTGTTGCTTGATCTGGATCAATGGCGCTACCAAGCACACGACTCATGCCAAGACTCAATCCTCGCTTTTCCTCATCATCAACAGCTTCACCACTTTGACTTGCTGGTCTTTGTTCTTGATGTAGATCTCTTTCTTTTGACGATGAGGCGGCAGAACTAGCCGGCTGGCTTTGTCCTGTTTGCACATTCGTACGATTTGCGGCAGCCGAATTCAAATAAGCAGCCAATTGATCACTGTTACTTGGCCTGTGATAACCTTTCTTTGTTGCATGCCTGCCTGTAGTTGCGAGATCTTCTTGCGATTTATTTTGTGGGTTTGCCAAACCCAGATTGGGTCTTGGCGAAGAAATTGCAGCGCCAAATTGATCAACCGTAGATCGTGTAGCTTGAGGTGGTGGTAAGCGCAATTCTTCGATAGGTCTATTGGCAGAAGTGCTTGCCACGTACCAGCTCGGATGTCGAACCTGCAAAGGACCTTTACCTAATCCTGGACTGGTATTCTTGTCATCCATTTCCCTTCTGATGATGAAGGGCCTATCATACACTATCCGATCGTCGGAAGGAAGCGAGGCACGTTTCTCAGCATCATATCTAGACAATGTCAACGTACGACCCCTACGTGAGGCTGCCTTAGACCTTCTGCGCTCGGCATCTTTTTCCGATTCTCTTCTTTGATAAGAGGTTGATTGTCCACCACAAGGTGCTGCAAAGGATGCAGCAGCGGCAAGTGCACTCGCTCTTAAACGCGAAAGGCCCTCCATACTCTTGGATCTAGATCGTGTCGAGTCAAGTCTTTGTTGTTGATCAGTTCCGTGCTTCTTCGACCGTGGGAAACAAGAAGTCGTAGGAGGAGGACTGTGCGGCATTGGTGGCGGGACAGCTTCCTTTTCCTTTGACTTCTCCCTCAGATCGGGAGTGCTCTTTGCTTGTCGCAAACCAGCTTTGTCCTTTGGAGCAGGTTTTTTGCCCGAAGATCGATTGCTTTTGCGATGCTGTGACTGACTTCTGCGATAGGATGGATCGTTAGCCCCAAAGCTCTTGCGGTGCTGCTCTCGCCACTTTTCTCTTTCTTGTTCTAATGCTCTTCCTTGGGCAAGGACCATTGACGAATCGGGTATATCTTCATCATCAGAGTCAGACATAAGGTTGGGCGTAAGAGCTGGCGTAGAAGGACCTCGGGCGGCGTTGGCTGAACTTTGTGCTCTTCTCCGATGACCGAGTCGAGATGAAGTTCGAACGGGAATGACAGGCATCTCATCCGTCATCACCCATGGCCTTTGATCAGAAGGACCTGCATGTTCGTCATTTCCATCAGAAGGAATAGCAGGTGGCATACGATGATGAAAGAATGGACGACTTCTACCATTTGCGCTACCGAACGTATCGGCTTGATTTTGTGCAAGTAAAGCTTGTGTCCGGCCGGCATCGTGTTCACTATTGCGTGGATAAGCAGCAGGCATCCTTCGATTCCGTTCAAATGCTGCAGATCGCTGTGCAGCCCGAGTTGAACGCCGTAAAGCTTGTCCGCCTTCGCTGTGATATCCGTCACCTGCTTCATCGTCGTATCTGTCCAAGCTACTCATTCCACCTCTTAGCGTTGGTCTTGGCATCAAAACACGTTCACATCCATTCTTCGGTTCAAGCCATCCTCCTGCTTCCGGTGCATGCGATGTCAATTCGTCCAAATGCAACTGTTGTAGTAAAGTGAACCTTCTATGTGCTTCCGCTGCTGCATCCCTTCGGAAATTTTCTGTTCCAGTTGCAGTGTGAGTCTCTTCTGTGATTGCAGGTTGTGCAACTTGCTCTGGTTGGGGCTGTTCCTCCACAACTCGACTTGGAGATGAGGATGTGAATGGAGTTCTTGGTTGAGCAGAAGGAGAAAGAGCTTCTGACCAAGTTTGACTGATAGAAGCAGAAGCCGGTTCAAATCGTTCACTTTGCGATAATTGTCCAGTTCCGCCAGATGATGATGCAGCGACAGGGGAAAGCGTTTGGATAAATCGAGAAGTTACTAGCTCACCCGGTTGTAAGTTTACCCTTTCTGAAAGCATGGATGCATCCGAAGCAGAACCGAAACCATCGGATGACGGGACAGATCGCACTGATTCAGGTCCACCAACACTTCGCGAAACAGTTGTGGACTTTCCTTTTGCGTCTTTGATTGATGTTTCAGCTTCACGATCACTGATTGAAGGTCTTGTGGCTTGCGAGTTGATCGTTGACCGTGAATCTACTTTTCGGTGTTGTATCCTCTGTTGTTGCATAGAAGTGCGTGGCAAACTCTTCTGATCGAACGATGTTCCGCGTGCTCCAGATCCACTCGCTTTCAAGCTCACTGATCCATCTCGTAAGCTTGTCAAACTTGTAGATGCACTACCATGTCCTTTTGTGGGTGCAGGATAAGGCGTCGTAGCAAAAGAGCCGGTATGACCTTCAGAGGAAGAGCCTACTGAGCTGTCTTGACGATGCATAGAAATATTCGCGATCAATGGACTGCTTGAAGCACTATTAGCACCGACTCCAGTCCTTCTAGTGCTGTTCATCGTACTACTTGATCCTTTCGCCTTCATATCTCTCGATTGTGCAGAAGATGTTGGGAACGCAGCCGTTCGCTGCTGTGTACTTGGTCCTGCTTGTGACTGTCCAGGATAGAATGGATCGCGACGGAAAGGCCAAGTGCCAGAAGAAGTGATCATAGACGGACTTTGCCCTGTATCAAATCGCATTGATGATGGCAGAGAATCTTTGAGTGCTCCAGATCGAGGTACATAAGCTTCCACAGGCGCATTTCCTCCGTGTGTATAAGAAGAAGGCAAACCTGTTCCCATCATCGCTCCACCTCTTTTACCGCCACTGCCACCTCTTTGCATCGATGAAGATGTTGCCCGGCCAGTTTGCATTGATGATCCACCTGCTTGCTGTGATCGTTGAGACATTGTCGTATATGAAGGCGAATACCGTGACATGTTTTGATTTGTCTCGCTCAATCCCAAACCGATCAAAGATGATGATGTAGCTTCACTTCCACCCGCTCGCGTCATAGATGATTGCGGTTGCGAAAAAGGTTGAGAATAACCCACAAGACCGGTAGGCCTGGCAAAAGGTGGATTTTCTGCCGGTGGCGATATTGGGCCATGGTATGGAATATAATCTGAATCTGGCAATTGTTGAGCGTTTTCATTATCTTCCGATCGACTTCTTCTACGTGATAAAGAAGATGGATCCCAACCTTTCCCTAAAGAATGTTCTTTCGAACGTCTCGTTCCAGATTGCATTGGCGGAGGCTGGTGTTGTTGTTGTTGCTGTTGTGCTAATAATGGATTTTGTCCGCTCATATTTGAATAATACGAATGCGGTGAAAAATATGAACTTTTTCCCATTCCGCTTCCGCCGCCGCTTTGATGATAAATTGGAGGCGGGGAATAAGATAAAAGTGGACTTCTTGGTGAGCCACTTAACTCTAATTGCGGAGGGCCAGGCGAAGCGATCCGACCAGCGGCAACATATTGTTCTTGCGAAAGGTGACCTAAATCTTTCGTTTGATTTTGTTTCCTTAATGGGTGTAAGATATTGGTAATCTTTCCTCGATTACTTGATGAACCGCTTTGGTTGCCGCTTGGCTGACTTGGCTGAGCGCCAACGGAATCCATCTTGATTTCTTACAAAGCGGATCGTTCGAGTATAGCGGATGAAGGAAGGTGTCAATCTGACTTTGTGAAATTAGACCTGCCTTTGTATTGCTGGAAACATTGATTGCTCTTGCTACGATTGCGTATGGTGATGGTGTCAAAACGCAAAAAGATTGTTTGAATTCAAACAAAACACCCAAAGATAGAAACCAACGAAGCGGAAAGTTTTTCTCCGCCCAAATTCAATCCCAGACACGGAAAGACGGGGGGCGTCAAGTTTTTGAAAGACACCGCGGCGTCGTATTTTCACACCAGAAGTGGCTTGGAAATGAAATTGAGGGCGTTTGATGATTGACAGTGGCGAAATATTTCTTTTGATGACAGGCTGATTTAAGCTAGAGATTTGTCTACCCGCTCCTGTTTCGTAGGTTTGAGCGTCAAGATTACACTTGTCAAGGATTGTTTGCCTAGAACGAACGAATGACGCAGAGTAGAGGTCCGAGTGTTCCGTGTGTTCCTGATGCGTGGGAATCTGAAAGCATAGAGATTTTTTACTCAAGACTTATTGAACCAAGGCTCTTTTCAGCATAACCGAGAAGGAAAGAATTTTGAGCGAAAAGATAGGGTGAAATCCACTCGAAAGATTGTGAGAAGGCGGGCCTTAATGGGGTGACGAATAGGTAGTGCGGGCCTGTCGATCTTCTTGTCTACTTCATAAACGTTTGATCTAATCGAAGAAAGACGTTTCTATGAGCTAATTGCCCTAAATGATCATCGACAGAAATGCTCGACAAAAAGGCAGTATGTGTTGGAGATTGAGATGATCTTGTCGGGCAATGCTTTCAAATCGTTACCCTATGTCTGTAATGCTTAACGACTGTTTTGCCTTCCAAGACCCTTGAAGCGGATCAACCCCTATGATTTGAAATATGATGTTGAAGTATTAACGAAAGTGTGACAGACAAATGATTGTCGTCATTACGTGTTGTGTCAGAGAGGATGAAAACGGATGTATGCATGTATGTATGAGTGCGGACATGTACTTTGAATTGATGAGAGAGACAACAACGGCATTTCTAAGAAGAAATCCATGTTCCTTTCTATAGATTTTAGCGTCTCGTCATTGAGCAGTAATAAAGAGAGACAAACTGCTTCTCTATGCTCGGGATTCATTTGAAGCGGCACAAAACAACAGGGAAAACACTGCCATGAAGCCTGTACAATTAATTCTCCTATTCATAAACAAAAAAGTGCCTTAAAATACATACTCCCTTCTTTAAAACTAAATAAAAAAGTCCCCACTCGTACAAATACGCGTACGTAATTTAAAACGGCAGTCCTCTTGCCCGCTCTTGCATAACACAAAAATACACTAATGATGCGTCATTGTTTGTTAACTTAGACTTACTTACAAACAAACAAACATTTTAGAAGTTCTATTCAAGCTAACCTGTTCAACGCGTTTCCTTTCCTTCTCGGCTTGGGATGATTGTCTTGCTTTTGCGTGATCGTATTGATGTACGCTATACATGCATGACTGCACTAGTACCGATTGTATTCACACAGCGATCTTTTGTTTGTTTCTATGTGCATATGTCAATTCTCTTCTATGACGAAATGCTAATTTGATAAGGTCACGTTCGGCACATCCATGAGAACAATGGACCTGTAAAGTATATTTCTCGCAGACGGCATCAATGAACTTTATGCAAATGAAACATCATATTGCTTATCTATTAGAGCATCATTTGTATGTACGTCTTATTGTCCTTCCCGTCACATGAATCCACTCTTACTTTCAATTTCTTTCAGTAATGATTGATTTCGCGCTTCATTGACCGCTGCAGATGCTGCTTTGATCGCTTGCAATACCTGTTGTACATCCATCACTTTAAGTGATCCTGCAACCGAAGAGATGATCAAGTTTCCAAACGCCATTTCTGAGCGATAGATTGTTTCGGTATCACGATCGCCGCTCTTCGATTCTGTTTCAACGACAGTATTGATCAATGGTAGAAGTGAAGTAGCCAAGGATTGCTTTGCTTTTTCCTCCCCTTTGACTAATCCTATAGATGCATCCAGCAAGACAGTGGCATATGCTGTTCTACCCGGCTTGGAAAGTTCCTTGAAATGGTTTGCTTGGTTTAAGTGGGCGAGCACTTTGGCAGATTGATTAGCATCATTGGACACCGATAATGCATTGGCGATCGCTCTCAAAGCAAGCATAGATAGCGTTTGTCTGCCTTTGGCCTCTGCAGGTGACTGAGGCCAAGAATCTTTCCATTGTGCTGCCGTGAGCGAAAATTCAGCAACCTCAAGAGCATTTGTGCTTGCTTGAATACTGATTAAACGATACACATCAACCAAAGGAAATCGATGGGTGATTGGCCAACGCTCAATAATACTCTTCAAAGAATTCACTTGATCTGCATCAATTGCAAATTGTGATTGCGATAACTTCGAAAGAATACCTTCAACCACACTGGATTCTTGCGTCGAGAAGGCAACCTCTGACGGCAGTTGAGCATTTAGCTCTGCAATCTTTGATTTCGCTCCTTGCTCGTTGAATTGCTTGAACGTTAGTGCACTTGTATGGGGGAGAATTGAAGTAGTGCTTGACGCCGTTGAAGATGTCGGTGGCATCGATGCCGCAGGCGTGGCTTGTGTTGGTGCAGTGGGAGCACTACCACCTGGCCTATAACTTGTTCCACCAGTATATGGATCGCGGAATTGATCAGCTGCTCCCAACTGTACACCTTCAGTATTCGTTTCAATGAACTTGACCACTTGATCTAAATACCCAAAAGGTAACTCATTCTTTTCTAAAAATCGCTGAGCAGCAACGTAAGGATTCTCGGAAGCGTTGTATGGGAGCTTTAGCGGTGGAACACCATCTTGAATGTCCACATCGAACACATAGTCATACTCTTTTCCGTCATGAAGCTTTCTCTGTGAAGAACCAACTCCTCCGACCACCTCTCCAATTTTCACCCACTGACCTGAGGATGAACTGTATTGGTGTGCTTCTACCAAATCTCCATTTTTTACCATCTTCACTTGACCCTCCTTGCCTGGATCGGCAAGCGCTTCTGCTCCTGGCAGGCTTTCCTTCTGAACATCGCCAACTTGTGCCTTGTTGAGTGATTGCGATGAGACTGCTGCATCATAAGCTTGTAAAATATCAGGATCCGCATACTTTTGACCAACAGTGGTAAAAACGCGAACGAAGCCATCACTGCTTCCGCATGCAAGATCTCCGTTTGGCATCCCGGTAACAGACCAAACAGAGATAGCAGGGATTGTAATAGTCTGATGTAAAGAACCATTTCGCCATATACGAACACTGCGATCTTCCCCTGAGCTTATTAGATCTCCGGATTCCAAAAGCGATAGAGAATAAACGAAACTTGTATGACCCGAAAGGGTTTGGATGGGCTGAACAGGAGCTTGAGAATTAGCTGAAGCAGCATCGATGATTGGATATATGTTGATATTACCATCATTTCCACAGCTGGCAAACGTTCTCTCATTCAAGCGTACCAGCCCTCTGACTGCATCTGTATTTCCAGCAAATGTGGCAATCGGTTTGCTCTTTTCGCCTTCTTTTGCAGCCTTTGATATCGAGTAAAGTCTGACAATCTTATCTGCAGCGGCGGTGAGCACAAGATCTTCATTCAGGGCGAGTACTGCCCAAACAGCTTGTGTGTGACCTGCGAGGGTGGCAACGCATTCCCAATTCTTCCATACTCTTGCTGTCTTGTCCCAGCTTCCGCTTACAATGTAACCATTAGTACCTTGTAAGACGTCCAGAGCGCAAACGTTGTCATTGTGACCCAAAAGTGTGAAGTCTGGTGTGAGGGAAGTTGGAGATGAAGCAGATCCCGATTGCGGGATGATATATGCATTCACCAAGTGATCCTGTCCGCCTGATAGAGCGATGGAGCTACCATCTTGCTCTCTCATCCATGCGCAGCTATTCACGAAACCTGCTTGTCCTTCAAGAATGAACTTACAATGTAAATCTCTCTTGCTTGTTTGGTTATGGTCTTTTCCCCATACTCTTGCTGTTCCATCTCTTGACCCGGACAAGATTAACACATCAGATGAAGATGAGCCTTGCGTTGATGCAACACTACGAACATCAGCTGTATGACCTTCCAATTGAACTGAAAGCTTGAATGGTGATGTACTTGCCATGATGTCAAATAGCTTAGAATAGAATGATGGTTGGAAGAGTACCCGAAGACGCGCGGCATGAAGTGTATTGGGGGAAGTTCAATTCTTCCCTTCGTCATCAAAATGGTCCGTGCCTGTAAAAGATTAATTGCATGATGCATGGTGTAAAAGATTAATTGCATGATGCATGGTGGAGATTGACGCGAAGAAAGACGCGCCTTTTAAGAAATAAACTTTTTATCAGAAGAGAGTGACTTGCGTGATCATCATCATTATTAAACTTGTTTTCATCATCAACAAATGCTCTGGCTATAGCATTGGAAAGTTTAGACACCTCTCACATCGTCAAAGTGGCGGACACTGATGAATATTTCGCGCAATTGGCGCTCGCCTCGCGCGGCCCAGTGAGCTTGTCGGTCAAGGGAGATCCGGGAAGCAATGATGGGACAGAGGACAAAAATGGTGACAATTCACAGAGCAATGCATCAGCATGGTCTTTTCCAAGGTCATTCATACAAGCTGAGCAGCGGTGTCATGTTCTTTCAAGCTTAATAATAATCAACACTACTCGAGACTGTGAGATAGGTGTTTTACTAGGAGAAGATGAAGAAATCAAGTCGAATGCATACAGTGGACAGAAACATTCAGCCATTTTAAGCGAAGCCTTACGCAATCTATCTCACTCTAATGTTGGATTCGATGATGAATATCAAGAATCGAGCCATTGCCTTGCTTTGCTCAACTTAAAGCAAGATGGCAAAAGGGATATCGCAAGCTCACGATTGACTCTATTACGTGCTGGAGGAGTGCATGGCAACTACCTCTTAGCTGGACACATTCAGCCTTCTGAACATAGTGTTGGAGATGTAGATGAAGGAGATTATCTGTCGTTGCAGTACAGCGTGCTGCACAAATTCCCTACTCGAATATGTTCTATCTATTCGGACAATCAGGAGGGGACATTACAACACGGTGGTAATCATAGAAGAATCTGTGTTCGAACCATTTCATCAACCTTGTTCGCGGAGGTTAATATCGAAACTGGTATGGATGGAAGGATGTCACAGATTCAATTAGTTGGACTTTTGGAGATCATGCATGGAAAGTCAATTCTACCCTCTGGCGTAGAAGGACGGAAGAAGAAGGCTGGCTTCGAACAGTTGCAGACGGCGAGATCCAATTCATCGATAAGTGATGTCATGTTTCATCCAACTCTGGGAGATCAAGCTTTGACTGTGGATGTGCGCGGTACTTTGGGGCTATATCAGGCTGAGATAGTGCCCATTAGCTCAAAGAGATGGACTACTCACAATCGATGGGATGAAATTTCACAAGCCGATCCAACGATTGTGCTACCGGAGAGTGACTCTTACATTCTGAAGTGGTCGCTTGATTGGCTAGCAGATGCAGATATCGCATTCCTTACTTGTCAGAAAGGCATCTTTACCGTACATGTGCCCACGAAAGAACGTAAATGTATCTTCATTGCTCCACTGGGAAATCGGATTTGGTCTTGCAAGCTGATGCAAGAGCCACGCCCGCTGCTATGGATCACCACGACTACGGATATCTGTATACTTGAAGCGGATCCAGACCTCGAGTATCGGCAATTGATATCCTTTGCACATGAAAGGAGCTCACAAGGTGGTCTATATGTTACTGCTCTGGATTTTCAGCTAACAAGCCAAACCGTGGCTCTGTGGAATTGGAGCAGCCAATTCCTGCTTACGTATACGGTATTCGTTGAAGGAGTTCATGGCCCGATTCATGTGCAAAGCAGACAAGATGATCTTCACACAATGAAGATCGGGGTGATGGAGCGACGGGCATGTCCACCTTTGATCGTTGATGCGAGCGATCATGCGATACTGCAACAGACCCAGAGACGAAATCAGAATCTCTCTATTGATGACATTGACTCGGCCCGGATTGTCTTTGAACTATCCTCCAGTGGAGATGTATGGATAAGCACGATTATCCAAGATGAAATTCAAGCAGGCAGTAAAGGGTCAAATCTTGTGAAGCATCTCACACAAACTACTTTGCCTTCCAATCTGGAGATATGTGCTGCTCGTTCGTTGCATTCACTCAGTGAGGTGTACACTGCTTTGATGAAAACAGCCGTTGGATCTGGATCATCACATGGTACAGACGATCTATTTGAACGAATCGATAGCGCTTTGCAAGACTGGCCTAGCATGCTTGAAGTGGATCGTACAAACGTGAGCACTGCCGTTCTGCCCATCGAGCTCTTTGCATCCACATTGCAGGGACGGAGAAGTGAAAAAGAGGCGAAGCCTTTATCATTGCAAGCCTGCGTCGTTTCTCAACATTTGCTCTACAAGCAATTTTTGAACTCTTTGGACAGCTTTCTGTACTCAGTGAATGACCAGGGGGAAGAAAGGATCAAGAAGACGTCTTTTGCGCCTGCAGATATTCTGTCCGAATCAGGTCATGCTTTGAAGGTGGAAGACATTGTGGAAAAGTTGGCTAGTCCTTTTCATGATCTGCAAAAGCTAGGAGCAAGGACATTGAAAGATTCTGCTGCAAATGCACATCGATTGAACATTCGAACGGCGGCTCATGAAGTAGCGGCGGATTTAGCATTGACTTCGATTTCGGTGATGAAGACGCCGGTGGTAGATGATTCGACGTCATTTGACGAAGAAGCAAGCGCAAACTCCCAGAGGAGAAAAGGCAAGCATATCCCTGCTGATGTGCCACAATTCGCTTGTTCATTCTTCAAGCCTACGAGCCGAGAGTCTGCTGTATCGAGCACGGCAAATACAAAGACATTTCAATCTCGGCTGGGTAAAGTATCCTTGGCAGCACATCTTTTATTGGATGAATGGACACTTGGTGATGATCCGGCCGAATATCATTTCAGTCATCCGTACGACGATGATGAAGAAAGAGAATATATGGACTACCAGAACTATTCTTCTGGCAGGACGACGCCTGAAAGCAATCGATCATCATCATTGAGAGCGTCACAAAGCCGTAGCAGAACATCCAGTCAAGTACCGCCAGAAAATTCGTACCAAGGATTTGGATCAAGTCAATTCCCACGATCTTCTCAAACGATCGAATCGGCTCCTGCTCTGTTGTCGAATTGGGGCACGCATTCAAGAGGCAATTCCAATAGCTCTCCTTTTCATTTTCCCAACTCGAGTGCAGATGCTCAGCCTGCTCCAGAATCTGCTCCACAGATGGAGACGTTGGGCAGTCAAAAGCAATCATCACAAAAAGCACGAAAGAAGAGACGTGTAGGTGGATTCTGAGCGTGACCAAGTTTTGTATTTTTATGTGTCAACTAGTACTTTGTATTTTCGCCATCAATTCAATTAAGATAAACTCTTGGCTTTTGTTTTCGATTCAAGAAGCATAAAAGATGAAACTGCATAATCAAACCATGGCTCTGCTTGCAGGACAAAGGCAGGAAATGATGACCTTAAGAGAGAAAAGATGGATTCATGGTACACAGTACGTTTAGTAAGCAGGGCATCTGAAAGTGAGAGAGAGAGAAAAGATCAATATATGAAACATGAGTACAAAGTTAATCATTCATACATACCTTGCACGGCAGAATTGTCTCTTTTCACCTGCAACTTCGTTTTCGGCTGGGGCGGGAGCAGCGATTGCGCTGGCAACCATGACGGCGGCAATGATGGCAACGAAGCTGAAACGCATTTTGATGTTTGAGATTTTTAGTAGGAGAGTGATCAAAAAAGTTTTCTTTGAGAAGAGAAAAGGCAGTAAAATTTGGATGGGGGAATGCAATTATCCAGAATTGTGGAAAAAGACTGTAGCTTTTATAACATTTTTTATGATAAGATCTGAAGTTGAATTGTTTATGCAAGTGCGGATATGTGATCTAAGGCGCCAGGCACATCAATCAAAAGAGATTACCATCAGCACAATGGCGGTATAAGAATTATTAGCGTAAAATAAAAACATCAATTTATGCAGAACATAACACTTGGCAGCCAGGGAACTTTAACTGCAGAAACGCGTGTTGGCTTTTTTTGTGTGGGATGTTGTGAGTATACTTTATCACTCTTTCTTCTTTTTGCAATTGCTGTTTCGGTAAAATTTCACTTTGAATTTCAATATCCAATCCACCCCCCCCCCTTCCCTTCAACCCATCATCCAAAGTGGGGAACCAACCCAACGTGTTCTATATTGATTCTTTGCATTCACGCAGGTACTACCCATCAAAACGGTACCACACCAAGATGTTCGATGAGAAGCAAATTAAAGAGAACTTGTATACATAATTGAACTTTATTCAGCTAGCAATCGGATAAAACCCTTTGTATTTTGCAGTGATCGGTCATCACTTGTCCTTGAGCGTTGATCCTTAGATATGCAAGGATGCATCTTAAGTTAGCGGTAGCAGGAAAAGTCTCTTTCATTATTGCGTCACATTGGCAATAGCAAAAGGTCATTAGTTGTCCGGTCAGTATCGGGTATTATCGCTAACATCAATCAGTACAGCTTAACAGTGAAAATGCTCATCAGACCACACCAAAATTGTATACAGATAATCATTCTCATCATACATTAAGGAGGGCTACGAGAGGATTGTGAGTAGGGTAGGTGACACGGAAAAGAGAGGGAAACAAGGGGTTATTGAGGCTCATTCAGCGATCCAAGAATGAAAACAGAAAGAAACACATTTGTGATCGGAAATGGCTAGGGTTCCACATTTACCATCCTGGACAACGGGTTCTGCAGAATTGACGTTTTTCACCGGCTCCAACTTCGACTTCTTGTGGCGTTGGTGCAGCGTTGGCAGCAGAGATCATGACAGCAGCGAGTACGAGGACGACAAAGTTGAAACGCATTTTGATGTGTGGGGGTGTGTTTGTCTAAAAGAGAGGGAAAATGGTCAGTTGTGCTGTTTCATCGAAAGGAAAGCGAATTGATTGGAAGACAGTACCCACTGAATACTTAAAAAGATCACAAGAGGTTTCTTTGAAGAGGTCAACTTTTCGAACGAAAAGATGATGTGAAGGATGGAGAACGCTTGAAAGGGATTGAACTTGAACTCTCAATCAGTCTTTAAATCATCTTTTTCGCAGAAATGCGGATAGACAAAAAAAGTGTCAGGTAACTGTAAAAGTGACAGGTGGAGGAAGAGTTGCATTCAAATTCATTGCTTTTACCATCCATTGCTCTTTGCTCATTGTGTTATTCATCGTTGAAGGTATATACATGAGATCATGCTTCAATGGGATACATACATGCATGTGGAAGAATGATGGGTTACATATAATAGGGCTCCGTTTCAACGGGGAAAGGACCGGAAATGATGAAGAAGATACCGCGGCAAGAGGAAAAAGGGGGGCACATCTTTTTCGGAGTTCATTCCGGTTTTCTGAGCATATAACACTGAAATTGCGCGTGCATTCAATTGGTAAGGACAACTTATTGATTCGCAGGACAGGAGGTTTGCGAAGAAATACATGGAAATTCCCTGACAGTTCCTCGGCTGAATATCCGAATGAACAAAGTAACGTGTGTCTATCGATAAGAATTGGGTGCGTCATTCAAATTCAAATGCATGAAAGCATAAACGTTAACAGGGGGAGAAACACATTCTGTTCAAGTCAACAAGAACAATGAACAATATCTTGGCGCGCATGAACCTGCATTTGAAGTACAACTGTTAGTCTATTTACACTGCACCTGTCAAAAACCAACATCAAACAAAAGAGAGCAAGTTTTGTACTTTGCTGCTGTTCATGCAGTCAAGGTGGGAACCCACACATCCATTTCATTCGATTCCACGCTAATTCCCAATTACGCTAATTATGAGGCAAGCCACTTGATCAAAGCAAGAGAAAAAGGGGGCAAGGGAATGAATGAAGTGCATTGATACATCTCTACAGGAACACATGCAAGTGAGTGAAAATGACATAAACTATATTGATCATCGGGTCATTATTTCCGCAAATAAATTACGCCCTTGCTAGCAGAAAGAAAGGGAAAGCGGATAATTGGTCTTTGCATCACAAGAAAACAGCAAGGTACCGTGCATTGATGGACTTCACTTTGCTATCTCCAGTGAGGTATCAAATGATTGCCGGTTGTTAAATTTAAGTTTATCCGTTCACAACCATGAATGCATGCACAGCTTAGCGTGTCTGCCATTTCCTTTTTTGTTTCAGTGGCTTTTTTCTTCAGCCCCTGTCAAATTATTCAAGGGAACATCATATATGGAAACCATTGAGATAAAAAAGTTTGAATTGATTAAACGCGGGACCGATCGACGATGTGTAATGTATAATACAAATGCTAAATATGAAATTATGATGGGGGAGAAATACATGTGGGAAAAACCCTCTTGTCTATTCCGACGGCGTTGCTTGCTCTTTGCTTCTTCGGAGTCGATCCGACAATTCCCGGATCAATAGCGTTTCTTGCTTGTGTGCTGAATGTTGCTCTCCTGCTTCAGACGGTATTTGTTCTTCTTTGGCTGAACATGCAAATCCATCTAAGCTTTCCGCCAGTTTGTGTTTTATGCAAAACTCTTTAGGGGTCGCATTGTTCATCTTTTCACATATGGCATGACTGATGAGGTCCTCTTCAGCATCTTCAGCCTTTACGATCAAAAGAGATAGAAAGAAGGCTAGGCAGCCTGCGAATAAGGTCGAATGCTGATTATCTGTCTGCTGTGACGTATACAAGAACAGAGTTGTCATCTTGGTAACAGCATCACAATCTGACAATTGCCGAATCGTCTGATTTGCTTCATTTTGCAACAAATCCGTCAATATACCCAATGCCAATGCGGCCAAGTCGAGCAATCGAATATTGTGAACATCGTCACGGTCCATATCGTTGGCCACATCAGCAGACTTGACAATAATATTTGCCAGATGTAGAGCTGCCACATCAGAGACAGAAAGCATCGCCTTGCAATTTTCACTTTGATCTTGATTCGTCAGGCTAACTTGAAATTGCAAACATGCTTGAAGAGCTTCTGCACTCGCGTGAGACAAATCATCATCTTGGCATCCGATCTGGTTGCCAAGATGATCATTAAGCTGCACCAATTCACCTAACTGCTTGGAATTCATGGAAGAGATGTCACGATACCTTACACCTAAAAGCCTTAGGAGGACGCAGGCCTGCCGAATGGAAAGACACTTGCTTGCAAGCTTATGCACATCTGCGTCTTCCCCTTCGAAAGTTATGGCTGCTGACCATTCAAACAGTCGATCCCAAAGCGCTTTTTCCAAGCTTTGCAAATCTCCAGCAAAGCTAGGCGAAGGTGTAGGTGCTTGCACCTCTTCTGCATTCTTGGGTTGCACAGAGAGCATCATCACCAAAGCTTGAAGGATAACTCGATCCGGTTTCAGGATCTCCTCCGAAAGCCGAAATGTTTGCAGGGTACTTGCCAGCTTTTGCAATAGATCGTGATGCTTATCGCGCTTGAGCGGAAGGTGGTATGATGCCGAGAGAATTTCCTTCACGGTGCTCAAGAAGCTTGGTAAGATTGTCATGACTTCATCCAGACTTTTCCCTTCGAAAAGTCGCGTGAAAGCTAGACCGATCGATACATCAAAAGTGGCATCTTTACCTTCTCCAGCGCCAGCTTTTTGCAGAGCAGAAAGAAGATTTGCAGTCGTACTTGTCCGTCGAACAGTCGTTATGAACGTTGAGGAAGATGCTGGTGTCGGTTTCCAGTCCACAGGGAACTCCCCATCTTGAGGTGCATCCATTAGAAGCTTTATTAGCTCAATGCAGGTTGCCTTACGAGCACCTACTCGATTCTTGATAGCCAAACCACACAAAATGTCATCAATCTCCGCTGCACTTCGAAGATTTGTGCCTGCAGTGCGTAAATTGACGATCGAACGAATATCATTGGATCCCTCAACCTCTTCATCCATTTCTTCAAGATTCTTCCAATCCGTTTGAAATGTAGTTGGTATCGATGCCACATCCATTTCTTCTGTCTTTTGACTCCATCTTTCTAGACTTTTGCTTGATAGTGACTCTGTATCAAAGACATCTTGCATGAGCGTTTTGTTGATGGGAACTATTCTGCCTCGCTCTTCACCAGCTTCTGTTTCCTGAGAGTCTTTGCCGGATTTCCAGGCACCGGTCTCTTTGTCTAGATCAGAGCAAGGGGATGAAGGCTCAACTGGTTCCTTGGCCTTTTTGGGAGCCATTCGAGAAGCATATGCTAGTCGGGAAGGACGGGCTACAAAATTATTCTCAAGCGGTCCAGATTTTAGTCCATCTTCAGCTTGACCATCATCTTCATCATCATCAGCGAGAAGAAGTTGTGATCGATATGCTCTCCTTGCGTCGGCTGGACTTTTACTCATTCGATTCAATTTGGCCTTCTTTGGACTTAAACGTTCGAACACGTCTTTGGACAAATCCAGATCACTGTACGGTGAAGAACTTGGAGTAGAGAAATGGCTTGTTCGCTTCTTGGGTGTTGATGGAGATGCACTCGTGCTTGAACGTTTAGCCGGTGAGGAAATTGTACGAGATGATGGAGAGTTTATAATGCGATCTTGCTTAGGAGAGACTGGCTCATGTGAAGTGTGTTCTTTTTTACTGTCTTCTTTGCGTTGAGGCCTTATCTTCCCACCACGATTGCCGAACACTCTCTTTTGAGGCCTCTGCCTCTTGTCAGATGTACCCTCGCCTGGTACCATCATTTCATCTGAAAGCCATTTGAATCTTGGTTAGGAGAAGAAAGAGGATTGATTAGCAGTACGGATAGCTTTCTCCAATTAATCCAACACTTAGTGTGCATGCATTAATCTTCTCTACGCGTCTCACTCTTAAGGCAAGTTGGCCCACGTGTTTACACCCAACCAAGACGCGTCCAATAAATGCATTCAAAGACCAACACTTGGCCTCATCAAGTGTTGGTTCAAGTCCACCATTCCACATTCACCACAATGACGGGAGTCAATCGATCTATGAGCAGCTACGAAGCACGTCGTGCAACATTCTTTGTGGGAACGGAAGAATCAAGCAAATCCCGTAAGAAGACCGTTCCAGTTTGGCCTCATCCAATCAATTTGACAGAAGATGCATTGGAAGATGATAACAACGGTTCAGGCTCATCATCAACATCGTCAATCTTGAAGGAAAAGCGTACGAAGAGATATCCAACACCGAGTGAACTTGCAAACTTGGGATTGTACTTTGATCCAAGTGCTTCGGATGAACAAGATGCATGCGTGTTGTTCCCGGAGAATGTTGTCTTATCCGGATGGAAATTAGGAGATGATGTAGCGCAAAAGATTCGAGAAGCGGTTCCCAAAGCAACTATACTCACTATTCATGAAAGCAAAGATGCAGCTCATCAAGACAATCCCAAAAAAGATGCTTGGACATGGAAAGATGAAGATCTTTTACCCACCAGCAAATCAATGATTGCAACGCGTTTAAAGACGTTCACACCCACTTGGCCATACGATAGCAAGAAAGGATGGAAGCCAACAAGCAAAAAGCTAGCATCTGCTGGGTTTCACTATTTCCCAAATGAGGAAGAAGACGATTGTGCAAGGTGTCAATATTGTGAACTGGTTTTGGGAGGTTGGGAAAAGACGGACGATCCGATGCACGAACATGAAAGGAGAAGACCAACTTGTCCTTTCTTTAATTGCGCTTTGGCAGAAGTTCCTTCTGTGGAAATCGTGTCGAGTCCGGTGGTTGAAGTCACCAAAAAGACAAGGAGCGCATCTACAGCCACCAAGCGAGCCCGTGCTGTGTCTAAACGGAAAGCCAAAGATGAGGATGAAGTAGAAGTACAAGAAGATGATCCTGAACAGAAAGCACAGGAACAGGAAGAGGAGCAGCCAGCTACGTCTAAAGCATCTTGCGCTCAAAAAGAGCCAACAGTAGAATCACAACAGAAGCAAGAGGAAGTCGAAGCTCCGAGAAAGATTGCACCTTCTCGAAAAGTTTCTCGCAAGGTACAAAAGGTGGAAGAAACAGAGCCAAGTCCTGAGCGAGCGCCCGTGCAAGTTGCGCCAGAACCTCAAGCGAGAGTTGAAACAGATGCGGAAATGGAACATGATGCTCCAGAAGAAGTTGCGGCAGAATCTACACCAGCAGCAGCACCCGCCGCTTCGTCATCTCAGAATGAGAGGAAATCATCTGACCTCGACGAACCATCCAGTCAAAAGGACCTAGAGTCAGACCAACCTGCTTCAAGTTCCAGTCCCAAACGATTCAGCGAACCGGATCCATTCATGATCGAACCTTTAAAAAAGATTCCTAAACTTACACCGGCAGAAGAAGATATGACGGTAGAAGCATGGTTAAAGACACAAGTCTTGAGCGCATGCCAAGAGATGGAAAACGAAGGCATAGAACGAATCGAGAAATTACGTCAACAGATCGGCAAGGGACGAGCGGAGATTGAAGCAGTCTTGCGGGGAAGATCTCTCAATCCAACGGTTTCGTGATCATATCTTATCATTTTGGTGATACTTTGTATATTAACAATTTTTATCGATCCATCAGCATTGTTCGAGCGTGATATAATTCTTAGGTCTCCTTCCAGAGTGCAAAGCGACGAGCAAATTCGATAATCGCGCGAGTAGGTCTTCCGGTCATTCCACCCTTATCTTGATAGGCACAAGAAGCAACGGCGTCCATTGGTCCCGCAATATCCAAATGAGCATAACGAACGGTTGCCGGTTTACCCTTTGCTCTATCTTCCAAACCTTCAACGAATTGTTTCAGGAAGATAGCTGCCGTACATGCACCTGCGGGTACACCACGATTAATGACATCTGCATAACCGTTATCGATATATTGCAAATAACGATCATCTAATGGCATTCGCCAGAAAGGATCATTTTCAGCTTCTCCCGCTTCTTTCAATGCTTGCCAAAGCTTTTCATCTTCGGTAAAAGCGGCAGAATATGTATCGCCCAAAGCGACAACGATTGCGCCAGTCAAAGTAGCAATATCGAGCAAGACTGCCGGTTTGAATTCCCTTGAGACGTATGTCAGCGCATCTGCCATAACAAGTCTACCTTCAGCATCGGTATTATCGATATCAATCGTTAAACCGTTCATTGCTTTAGCAATATCTCCGGGTTTTGTTGCGTGTCCGCTTGGCATATTCTCCGTCAATGGCATCACCGCCACCACGTTGACCGGAACTTGCAATTTTGCCAAAGCATAGATCGCTCCAAGACATGTTCCACTGCCTCCCATATCCGCGCGCATACGTTTCATGCCTGCTCCTGGTTTGATTGAGATGCCTCCTGCACAGAACAATACAAATTATATTTATAAAAAGTCAGATCTCTTTAAACTTTGTCAAAAGGCCTTTCGCTACCTATAAAACTTACCAGAATCAAAAGTGATACCTTTGCCAACTAATCCGAGAACGGGAGCATCCTTTCCAGCACCATTATAGTGAACTTCCAACATTTTTGCGGGCTCATCTGTTCCTTGAGTGACGGAGATAAAGGATCCCATTCCTTTAGCCCTAGCCCAAGCTTCATCGTGAGGTTCGATTGTGATATTCTTAAGAGAGCCTAATTTGGTCTTAACAACCTCACAGTAGATAGAAGGAGTAAGATGGTTCGCAGGTGTTTCTACTAATTCTCTTGTCCAATTTTGCGCTTCTGCATACACATGACCGGTCTTCCAGCTGAGTGGTACGGTGCTTTGTTTGAGCTCATCACCTTGGTCGAGTAATTGAGAGCATTCTTTATCTTGGGATTGTAGTGGAACGTACTCCACATTTCTACCACCTTGAAGATCGTACTCTTTCTCAAAAGCAGCATTTGGGCCTCTAGATTTGAAATGATTAAATCTCCAAAGGGCTAAACCTGCTCCTGTAGCAGCAGCATGTGGACTTGTGAAAGAGTCAATAGCTAATGTCTTACGTTGATTTGCATCTTTATCGTTTGCCAAAGGAAGATCACGTAAACTTCTCACACCTTTTGCAGCCGCAAGACGACTTTGTTCCAAATGTTCATTTCGTAACCAAGTAGATGCTGCAGGAACAGTATCAGGAGCCGTTGTCGGCGCAGGTTTGACTTCACCACCTTGAACGGAAATTGCTGCAATCACAGGTTCATCTTGTTTGGAAGGATAAAAAACACGAAGTTGACCTGGTTTGTTTGGGTCAGCAATACGAGCATTTGACCATTGTTGAGCAACGTCGGAAGTAGAGTGAGCCTTTAAACCTTGTTGAGAAGCTTCGTTTAATTGACCTGCACGAATGCCAACTACGATTCCATCAGGTGCATTGGTAGACATTTTTGATAGAGATTGTTTGAATTGATGATGATGATGAACAGGACTAAGAACCGTACGTCTTGAAGCCAAGAACGTAAACGGGCGCATTTGATGGATGAGTGTATTGATTGATTGATTGTTGATTAAGAGAAGAAAGCCGTCAATGCGGTCGAGCCATGTGGTTCTGTTTGCGGCTTCTTCGGTCAAAACGCCGGTACCTCTTCAGTAAAGCTAAGCCTTTCTTTTGGCTCTGGCGCCTGTTGAAGCTAAAAGTGATATTATAGAAAGAGCTTCATATCACATGGTCATCAACTTATAAGATATTTGAAATTGCGCAATAGAGGATCAGCTTGGTCACTACAGTCTGGTGTGGCAGTCAGCCATTCGTCATCTTCAAAGCAGAGGACAAACATTTGCATAAAAGAGGGTTGCATTATCGTCATTGCTTAAAATATATACACTAGAACTCTATTATGTACATCAAAATATGTTGATTCGACTCTTCCTCCTCATATCTCGTTTCCCATCATATCGATCCTTCATGACATTGCTCGTATCTCTATATTGAAGTCTTGCCTTCCCGCATTATTGCGCCTTTTTGGTCTCCGATTGATTCGATATTCCCTCCGCCTGATCTGCTTCTGTTGGCATCTGTTGAATCTGCGTGGCAGAAGGTGGCATCTTATCCAACTCATTCAGGAACCTATAAGTAGCGAAGGTAGAATAATGAGATGAATCAGTCAATAACCCAAATGAAGTGAAATGCTTCTCGCTCATAACGTACCAATGAATAGACAGGAACAGCCCTATTGAAATGCAAAAGAGTGCGATGACATGAATGTTAAAGTTTGTCAAGAAAATGAGGGTAAACAAAACAAAAAATAATCCCATAAAGCTCATATCCATCACCCTTCTCATTGGCGTATTCAGTCCGGGTTGCCATAGTGAATCAAAAACGCTCTCTAAGAATGAGCTTGGCGGCTTCTTGTTGGAGGTAGGATTCTGTGCGGAGGACATGGTGCTGATCGTTGTCCTGTATGGGTATATGAGAGGAGCTGTCAATGCACCTTATCGGGAAGCTGGTGATCGTCGAAGGTCGATGAGAAGATCAGGAAGGAAGAAGTGTTGGACACGCATGTATGCACGAACAAAGCTTTAATTATTTTTAGCGTGATAAAACACAACACAACACACACAAGCCTTTCCACCAAATTAAATGAAATTATAATAAAAAAGAGAACAAGAAAATACAACTCTTTCAGCGATGATGATGATGTGTGTATATACTGCATCCTCGCATTAATCCAAAGAGTAAAAGAGAGTTAGATAAAACAACAACAAAAAAAAAGAGTGGGAGCAAGCAAAGAGCAGAAAAAAAGAGTGTGTGATTGTTTGTTTGTTTCGCTCAATCGACAGCATCCGAGCCACGTCTTCCAAAAGTGCCCATACTTGAAACCGAAGGTCTACGCATCTCTTCTGCATCAGCGAACCCTTTAGCCGAAGAAATCGAAGATGCATTTGTTGAATGATGACTGTTGTACGGTTGAAGTTCACCAAATTGATCCATTCCATTCATACCATCTCGTGCGCCAAAAGCCATCGTTGGAACGGGAGGAGCAGGTCTTGGAGGTACCTCTCCTATAGAGCCAGGCGTAATCTTCGATGGTGGAATGATGATTGGTTGTTCAGTTCGTAAATTGGCTTTACGTACGACTCTGTGTACCGTTGCACTATCGTTATTCGAAGGTGAAGCTGATGCTGAGAATCCTTCATGTTGATTGCTCGAATGATCGCTGAGTGAAGATTTGCTCAACTTACGTGTAAGGACAGGAATATCCTTTGGAGGTGCCATTGGTCTACGTAAACGTGCTTCTCGTCCTGCAACATATCCATTCATTCCTCCATGTTCAGAAGTGCGGTTAGAACGCGGTCGAGGTGAAAGACTTGATTCGATTTCTCGATCATCATTCATTTCCGCTGCATCGGAAAGTGTTGGTGTAGAGATTCGATAAATTCCATCTGTGATCGATGCACTCCTATGACGCATAGCACGTAAAGACTGTTGAGAAGATCTAGAATGTTCATCTTCCGATCCTCTCATCATCGGTGTAGAAGGACTCGAGCTGTTCTTCGTTCCGTTCATTCGGGGTAAAATAGATGGTTCCGGTACAGACGGACTCGAACGATCAAGAACCGGTATAATTCCATCATGATTTTGTCGAACATATTCTTCGTCATCATGCGTTCCTTCTCCTTCATCTTGCGGTACATCACTTGGAGGCTCAGCATGCGTCATAATGGAAGATGCAGCAGACGTAGATGGCGGTATTTGCCCAAGCCTGCTACTTCTACGTGGCGGTCTAGGCGGAGCTTGAGTAGGTCTTTCAGGTTCGCCAGCGATGATGTCATTTTGAATATGATGCACAGGTGCCGGTTTGCGTACCACAGTACGAGCAGTCGTCTTTGTTGGAGGTGCAGGTGGAATGCGAACATTTGAATCGATCGATTGCATTTGTTGTTCTAGCGGTTTAATCACTGTTGGTAATGGACCTTGCTGAAGATCCAACACTTCTCCAGGCATCAAAACTTCGGATAAAACTGCAGGTCTTGCTAATTGGTAGTTTTGAGTTCCATTTGCCAAACTAGGTGCACCATTGCTACTTCCGTACCGCAAAGACCCATGTGAACTTGTACCCATCAAACTGGTTTGAGCAGTTGAAATGTGACTCGAAAGTGATCCATCCGTTCCACCGGTCGATACATCCCGATCGGAATTCTCTGAATCTACAGTATGAGAAGCAGGCTTTTGATAGTTTATCGCTGCATTTTGTGCTTCCAAAGTGGCAAAAAGCGGTGGGACAGAAGGTATTTCGTTAGAAGCACTTCTTTCATGGGCATGTTTATTGGATGTGGGATTCGAAGCGGCTGCAAGGGAACCGCGACGGAGGGAAGATTTGCCCAAATCCTTTAGTCTGGAAGAACTTCTCGAGCGAGGTAGTCCAGGAGCCGATCCGCTAAAGCTCTTTCGGGAAGATCGAATCGATTGTGCCTTGCCGTTTGCATGTCCGTTTACCTCATCTGAAGGCCAATTTCGCGATAAAACAAGCGGTGGTGGCTTATCATCAGCAGACGACAGCTGCTGAAAGACGGATTTCCAATGCTTCCATATGTTCTTATCCGATTTCGTGGATGAAGAGGAACTGGTAGATTTGTTTGCCGCCAGCAAAACAGGCTCATGAGTGGCTGCTTCGCCTGGTTGTTTAATCTCACGTTCATAGATGCCGTTGGAATTCAACTTAGGCGCAGCAATTGATCGTCCTTGTGCATGAGGCGAGATATATTGTCCCTTTTTGGACATCATCGATGCAGCACCATGACGGGGAGTAGCATCAATTCCACCACTACTGGCGCTATTATTCTCTCCGTAGGTGAATCGTGTCCATCCATCCACTCCTTTTCCGCTCGGATCTGCCATCAGTGCCCGATTCTTATCCTCCTCATATGCCATTAATTTTCGTGACCGCTGTGATAGCTCGTCTTCCAATCGAATAAGCCATTTCTCAGCGAACAAGACGTGTCCATCTGCGTCAAAGACACCCTGTGCCATTGCTCTGATCGTTCCGCTAGGATCGATAATGAATGTGCATCTTTGGTCGATTAGACCTAACAGCGCACGTTGAACACCATATGCTTCCATCGCTTCTCTCTTTTCGTCGTGTAAGATTCTGTAACCTAAATGATGTTCATCCACGAATCTTTTTGAACGTGTCGGAGGATCTTGACTGATTCCGATGACGATCGCTTGTAGTTCAGAGAAAATTGGTGTTAACCCCAAAGCATCACGAAACATGCAAGATTCTTTTGTACAATGCGGCGATCCCGCAAGAGGGAAGAAGAACAGAATGATCGGTCTTCCTAAAGCAATTGTTGCGTGCAATGAGCACCGCCTGCCTAGATGATCGGGTAAATTGATCTCTGGTGCCATTTTACCGATCAAAGGACAATCATCTTGTATTGAAGCTGGAATGCTTAATCCTGTTCCTAAAAGAGTTACAAGACTCTTTTCTCCCACGATCGGGAATGCCGTCACGCGGGGCAAATGATGTGGAGCCATTTTGAATCGTAATGGTGGTGATTAGTAGCGAGCACCTGTGGCACAAGAAAGACACAATGTCTAATTCATCAGAGCAAGTTGGTATTCTTTTTGGGAAGTATGATGGTCCTTTTCGGTAAGAATGTCAATGCAAAGTGTGGAGCAAGATCGCGAGCTTGGCAAGGATGGCCCGTATCTTATTGACGCTAACTGAATGCAAGTCCGATTGATCCGAGAAGAGGCAATGTTTGTGATCCTTACTACGACGATGGCGATGAGCAATTTGCAATTGACAGCAAGACAAGGTAAAGGAAGAAGAAGCAAAAGACTTTAATGGAGGAGTTCCAAATTTGGATGGCAAACGCCGTCCAGAGTAGTATAGTAAGTAGTGTTAAGCAGGCACACAAACGGGCTTTATTCTCCAGAACCGAAATATACAAAACAAAGGGGAATCGCGCCTGTCAAAAAAGGTATTAAAATAATAAAAATGATGACTGCATGCATCTAAAGCGGATTGATTGTACAAATCCTGGCTTCCGATCTGTGTCATTCATCGTACGTATAAAGAAACAAAATAATCCGATTTACGCGTAAGATTGGAGTGGGTATTGGGCGGGTATATGGGTAAATTAACTGCACTTGCAGCAGAAGAGGATTAGCGCTGCGCCACGCCGCGCGGTTCAATATCTTTTTTACTCTGTTTTATCATTCGGAACGGCATATGGTCCGGCTCACGAAAGATGCATTGCAGTTGCAAAGAAAGATCCCCTTTTTATTTGTATGACGGAGAGAGGGGATCTAGAAATACGTTCGGCCTTTATCAAAGATCTCTTAACCGGGATACAACTTAGATTGCTTGCGCAGCGCACGCATACAGCTTCAGTCTGGACCTCTCTCGGTAAAAACGGCTTTGGGTCTGCATACTTGAAACATTTACCCCCGTTTAGCCGACAATTGCTTCTCTCAAACTTTATTTCTCATCAGCAATGACAATGACAACATGACACCGATAGCATCGATTTAAAAATAGCCTTCTCCAGATTGGTTTTTTTGCCTCTACCAAGGACTAAATCAGACCACTTTGGAATCTTCTAGTCGCTTTTCCTTCCGCAATAGAATCCAAACAAAAAGATGATCAACGTGCAAGCAAGGCTTCTATGCTGCTACTGCTCCTGAATCTAGACCGTTGAAGAATCGCGTTGCTTCCCTTAGCGCGGAACGCCGTGGAGATCACCACAGACCATGGTTCATACAGAAAAGCAGTCTAAAGGATCAATATGGTGCGGGGAGGTTTTAGAAAAGCGATCCCAGCACAAATTTAAATCCAAAAAATGACAAAATTGTGTGGGATTGGACAATTTATTAATTTTAATCGATTAGATTCAGCGTGGGTAAATATTTTAAGTATAAATTGCCTGTCACTGGAATTGAAAGAACTCCAGTCGAGGAGTCTTATCTATGGTATTGCCCATTCTGATTTCGTATAAGTACACAAAGAAGAGGTGCTCCGATCTTAAAAATCGTCCCTTCTGCTATAACTACAGTCTCAACTTGGCTTGGCTTCATACCTTCTACTAAAAGCATATTGATCAATATCATCCTGAAAATCCCTCGATGTTCGTCTTTGGTGTCTGTCAAGATCCATCGGTCGCGAGTCAGATTGACGTCGAATGGGCGGTAAGATGGGTACTTCTTGCCATCGTTCTGCTTTGATGGATTCTACATCGTTTCGAATTATGCTACTTTGATAAGAGTTTGAACGAATTGGTACAGATCTCATGTGAGGATTATGCCATCCAAGCTCGGATAGATGATAGCGATCGCCGATAATGGAAGGTCGATAGTCATTCCTGCCTACAAGCTTTTGATCCTGGATTTCAGAGCGATAGTATCCATTATCAGCTTGCCTTTGGTCGTGTAAGTAGGAAGAAGGTGTATAAGAAAGCGTTCTTCTAGCATGCCAAGCGTCATCTTCATTTCCTCTCCAGTCCATGACGCTCTGTTCCTTTTTCGAATCTCCTGCTCTTTGGGAAAATCGAATGTATATACTGGAAGGCATAGGAGCGTTCGACGATGGCTCAAACCTTGGTTCGGCTGCCGAAGTCATACCAGAGGGAAAAGGATAAAATCCTTCGCTAGCACCATCCTTCCTGTGCAACGACCTAGAACTTGAGCTTGAGCTAGATGACAGTGGGGGTAAGTTGGGCTTTTCGGTAGAGTGTACGAAGAAGGCCGATGCTGGAGAGAATTGATTATTGGAAGATAAAGAACGGTTGACGGAATCAGAAATAGCTCTGGGGCGAGAAAATGAGACTTTTGTGGCCGTTTGCAGAACGTTGACGTCAGACGTTTTCCTCTTCTTTTTGCTTTGTTTCTTCTCTTGTACGCATTCATCATCATCTTGATTGCCTTTACAGATGCGCAATCGTAATCCTCTAGCTGCAATATCTTTTATCAAAGAAGAACTTTCGGTAAAATTTCCATAGTACTTCTTCTGTGAATAAACGGTAAACGGATTTCCTACAACACTGGCAATCTTTTGAAAACGATTGTTTGCACGATCGATTAGATCATATCGTAACCTATATTGACCCGAACATCTTACACTCAATTCCGAAAAGATGAAAAAACATTCATCTTTAAGAAAAGGTGACGTACACGGGGCGATAAATGGACTTTCAACCGTATTTCCAACCAATAAAACACCATTGGGATCCAAATTTCGATCTTGAATTTCCGTTTGAGGATCATCAACGCTTACCAAGCGAACATGAATACACACTTCCACGGTTGAGAGAAATCTTGCACGTTCTACCTCATCCATTTCATCTTCTTCGCCAAAAGGTAGAACGATCAATTCACACACCGGAGGAGGATCCAAAGGAGTTATTCGTGCATTCTTACGGGCGGTCACATCCGTTCCTGTTGCGAATCCTTTGATTGGATCTTGTCGAATGAGAAGTTGAAATCGAGGTAATGCATAGTGTGGAAGCTGGTGTTGCAAGATAAGGTTTGAACTTGGACAATGAAACGAAACTGAACTGTGTAATAATTGATCATTTTTTCCCATCTGATTTCGTACCACGTCCTCCATCCGCCCTTTGCCTTTGACGTCAATCATTTCATCTGACTCAGCTGTCATAACTTTGCTTGTTTGTCTTGTTCTTTCTGGTCTCCATCACACGATCCAACGTGGCTAAAAGCAGCGTGCATACTTGACCTTGTTATGAGCGTGTAGCATACACTAATGCTGTGGTGGTGAAGAGACAGCATTTCTCCAAACTGCCTGCCCGATAGATGAACGCATTAGTTGCATTGTCGGTCTTTAAGCTGAGTCCCCAAGTTTTTCATGCAATAGCTTCTAATCATAGAAGCCCGTTTTAGAGCAAATGTACCATTATGTATTAGACTCACATCCTTTCCGAATTCTCTCCAATTTCGGATTCTTACGTCCTCAGCAGGTACATAAATGACGGACCCGAGGGCAAAAAGTTGAATGAAGATGCATATACCTTTAGACTGAACTTTTCGAGTCACATCCTTTTTTGATAGAATACCGAGATATATATAATACGGCGTTTCTCCCGCATTTTAACGCAGGGGTAATTCGATTGTCGTTGTTTATCAATTTGGTGCGATCTAGAATATCCCCGTTACGAACCCTATGCAATGTGCCCGTTGATTGATTAAATTTTGCTGGTAATCGAATGACATCTTTGCGCAGCGCAACGCTAAGCATCTTTTTTGCTCAGCTTTTCATTGGTACGCTAAAGGCCATTAAAACACAAAATGTGTCATCATGCGTCGTCGTGCACAAACGAGCACTCAAAAACTTACAAAACGAGAAGGAGACCCGATATACCGCTCGATGATGAAAGAATGGAAGGCCCGTGTAGTCTTTACCTGGGTAGGAGCGGTTGCATTTGTGCTTCAAGTCGAAATGATCGAAAATGTATGCACGCTTCGTTGCCATCTTTTTGCGCTAATAGGTTGTGATTTGCCATTACGTAACAATTTGGGTTGAATGATTGTATGGTGATAATAATGTACATTAATTTGTCTAGAAAACTCTTGAAGGAATGAATGTTCGGAAGTCAAAAGGTGAAGTTTGCGTATTCATTATTTCTTTCCGCTCAGTGAACCTTCCTTCTTCTGTCTTTCGAGCGGTGCCGCTTTTTCTCATGTGATTTTATCAAAAATTGTTCAAAGGATTGCCGCCGCCGCCGCATGAGGGTCAAAAGAATAAGCCTGAATGAGAAAACGACTGTGCGTATATGCGTGTTGCCCGACTTGGCATGGGTGATCGAAATGAATCCAATGATGACCGAGAAGGGGCCTGTGCTCAGGCTGAGTTGCATGAGTGCTTTTACGCCATTCATTTCAAATGGGGTGCTTCTTAAAAAGCATTAAATACTCACTGTTTCAATTCCTCCTTCTCATCTATCCCCAACTCCTGCTTTCACCTTCTCCACTACTATCTTCCCCTTACACGAAAAGGTGAGTGGTCTGAGAGCCATTGGTTGCTGTCCACATCTTGTACCCTTTGGACTTTAATCGGTTTGGTTTATCGCGCCTTCTCGGTACATGCTATTCGGCCAATAGCATATACCTCGCTGTTGCGGTTTATCGATCTGGTCATTGTGCTTTGAATGGGAGATGTGGATGACAATCATTGGCGGGTGCATGTAAGGGGTATTCTATTGGGACGGCTTATTGAAGTATGACGTCAAGCGGAAGTGCGCGAAGGTCTTTTTCTTGTTTGACAGGGAAAAGGCTGCGATCTGAATTTGTTCTTAGAGCAATGAAAGGTTTTTTTTTCTGCCTTTTTCATACTTTCATGTCTCCAATCCAAGATTGTGTGGGGCGCCAATCGGTATTCCTACTTGTAGCCTTCACTGACCACTCCTGGGTACAACATTTGATGTGATGATGTATCCAGCCAACCTTCTTTCCTTATGTGAGCAGGAGTAATGCTTCAAAAGTCAGGTGAGTTTCTCACTCAGGTCCCTCCCCTTGTTCATCGAGGATAGGCTCGAATGAAGATGATCATTGTCAAATGGCCAGAGGCTGGAGTGTTTAGCACATTGCTTGCACAAAACCAGATCTACGATGCAAATCATTCCTCCTCACGGAGTGAAGGTTTCAATTCTTTCGCTGTTTATCAGCTTGCCAATTTCTTGCGCAGTCATGCATCCGACGAAACTACACAATCAGAAGAAAGACGTCAACAGTCACCGCAAACACAGCATTCATTCTCAGGAACGGGATGAATTGCTTTTTCATTTTTTCGATGGAAACAGGTAAGGGAAACTTACAACGGAATACCGAGTACCGATTTTTTTTCATGTGGACAAAAGAGAGATCCACAAAATGATTTTTGAGTGTCAGAAACCCGAGCAACGGTCATAGATCCCAGAATGGTCAAGAGATACCAAAGAGGACAGAATACCGAGCGGTCAGAACACATTTTTTTTGCGTTAGCAGAGTACCAACGAGTTATCCAGTGTCAGAAATTCAGCTTACCACCATCCGAATCCGAAAGGAGAAGCTTATCAAAGCATCAGTCAGAGAGATCAACACATCAAGAAATACAGCAGTAGCAGGAACCGATGAAGAAATACAGAAAAGTTATCCAGTTTCGAACAAGAAGTTCGTCAAAGCATCAGTCGTACTACGAATTGAACATCAGTCTAGACATAGGTTCACATTCTTCAATGAACACTAGTCAGAAATCTACCGGGAACATCGAAATACAAGAGCTTCAGAGCGATTGCAGTCATCAAATTCATCTTCAGAGAATCCAAACACAGCTTGTTCGGGCGCTATATGTGCTTTCCCGCTTTCCATTTCAGGAGCATTTGTTCTACAGGAGCGGCCCACAATACGCATGCCCACCACAATTTGCCTAACAGCAATTTTTACCAGATGAAAATCTAGCACTACCAGAGTCTTGTTGCGCAATTGTGCTTTTCCTTTGGTCTTCTGTGCCCATTTTGACAATTTTCTCTTTCATTCGAATTTCTTCTTCCTCAAACGATGATCATGTCGTGTTAACACTTGAACAAAGGAAGATCTGACCCCTTTTTGCCTCTTTCTAGTCTTTAGATAAAGCTTATCACAATAATTCATGTACAGTAATGCATTTGTTCGTATAATTAATGGGTTAACCAGGATGAATTGGATAAATCAGAGTTAAAATTTTTTGTGACAGTGTCCCCCTTCTCGGACCGGCTATTTGATTCGGACACTTTGATTGATGAGCGAGCAATTTGGCTTGACAGCAGCACTTATTCAGTCTAATCTGTCCCCCGTGCGAATGCATGAATTCGATTTGACGCCAATGTGACGCATTACAATTCTCCTCCCGTGAGAGAACGGAAGGGTCATCGATTGCTTCCTTGGTTGCAAGCGAGTGCACGGTATGAAATGAGGGATGAAACGAAGTACGCCCCAGAAATAGAACAAATGCGTAAAGATTGTCATTGTTGACGATTGATGTTCTGCCACCATCATCCAAATATTCAATAGAGGATACCTGAATAGTAGGGTAAGTGAAATTGCATTGGCCATATGATCATTTCTCTTTCAAATATCTCATCAAACCCCTTGCTTCTGCTACAGTCACGTTCCTTCGTCCAACAATCCTCACAGCAAGCTCAATCAGTATCAAAAACAAAATGACGCTGACATGGATCAGAAAAGTATGGAATCGTGTTCGTGGCAAACATCAACGCGGGATTCAAAGTAATGGTCGATCAAAGTATCCAAAACAACGTACAAAGTCCAAAGAGTCTTCTTCTTCTCCGCCACCTCAGGCACCTCCAGCAAAGAAGGAAGACGATAGTGGATTGTATCGAGGTGCCGCACCTCCTATCGTGATCGAACCTGTGGGGATCGAAGAAGATGATGCAAAGTACAAACAAGCGATCGAACATCAACATACCCCTTTACGAGAACCAGGAGGAGAACTTCATATGATTATCGAGCGTGAACGTTCTAGTGCAGAACATGATCATCAAAATAGCAATGATGGTGATCATGGTCATCACAGCCAACAGCAAAAGCAATGAAGAAGAAGTCACTTCGGTCACTTTGGGATCACCCATTGTACAACTTTCTTTCCAGTAAAAGCAGTGTTGAAATCTATTAATAACTGAGAATTTGCACAGAAAAGAGATGATAGTGACGTAGAAACTTGCATCAAGCGTGAGAAGAAAGCACTTCCGGCGCGCGTACATTGAGATCCAATACAGAATTGAGTTGATGATATGTTGTATTAAATAGACTTTCAGATTGAAATCAGCAATCTTGTTACCACTCATCTTCTCTGACTCATTCGGGAGGAAGCAGCACAGCCCCAAGTCTAGAGCGGACAATTGCTGTGTAAAAGTGGGTAAGGTGCGGTGCATTTCAACCCCCGAGATCTGAAGATAGGCATCGGGAAGAAGGGCACAGAAGCTGATAACATTGGAAATGAAGCTGAGTCAAAGATCCGCTTGAGCTTTGTGCATTATAAAACCCCGCCTTTTCATCCTGTTCATCTTTCTCTTCCCCCACCAACTTCACTAAAATTAATCATCCCCAAAGATTTCAATTTTGTCAATTCTGACAGGTAAGCTTCCGCTGTTATACTGTGCCAAATCATAGAAGCTGTTTTTCTCATCATCTCTCTTACACACAGACTCACCACCATCAGAAATAAAAACATATCTTCAGCACTCTCAGTACAATCATGCCTGGAGCTTCAAAGTTTTTGCTTCGTACTTTAGAAAAGAGCTCTGAACTTCTCTCTCAGCTTTTAAGCTTTTTTGATGATAATGATGACGTTGGTGGCGATGGCGGTGATACTGTTGATTAATGTTGGCGATGGCAATGATAGCCTTGAATCAGGCTATAAAGATTCGTAGCAACACAAGAAACACAAAAACAAATGTTGATCAAACAGAGGAACAACCTCTGCAAGTCCGTTTCGCAATATCATTATAGAGATCGATGAACTTAAACAGAAAAGCAACACAAAAAAGCTCGCAAGTCCGCTTCTCAATAGCCGTTTGACTCAAAAAAAAAGATTCGGAGCAACACAAGAAACTCAAAAAAAAATGTTGATCAAACAGAGGAACAACCTCTGCAATCCCGTTTCGCAATATCTTAATAGAGATCTAAGAACTTGAAAACAGAAAAGCATTACAAAAAAGCTCGCAAGTCCGCTTCTCAATAGCCCTTTAGGTCAACAATAAAGATTCGTAGCAACACAAGAAACACAAAAACAAGTCTTAATCAAACAGAGGAACAACCTCTGTAAGCCCGTTTCGCAATATCTTAATAGAGATCGATAAACTTGAAAACAAAAAAGCATTACAAAAAAAGCTCGCAAGCTCGCTTCTCAGTAGCCCTTTGGCTCAACAATAATTGATAACAAAGAAATCGTTCACAAGTTCGTTTCGCAGTAGCAACTTGGTTCGAGCCACTAAATACCAAATATCTATCATAGAATTTGTCTTCTTGTAAATAAGCATTACGCAACGGATCGCAATCAACGAACATGATACATATTTTGACCAGAAGAAATGAGTAACAGTTGCATTGAGATTGAGAACTGAAATCGGAAATTGAGTATCCTCTAGAAGGACTATTGCCACCAGTACGCTCTCTTGAGTCACATCCTTCAGTAAGAAGCAGTGTTGAAATCTATTAATAACTGAGAATTTGCACAGAAAAGAGATGATAGTGTCGTAGAAAGTTGTATCAAGCGTGAGAACGGACTTCCGGCGCGCGCACATTGAATCCAATACAGAGTTGAGTTGATGATATGTTGTATTGGATAGAATTGTATTGAAATCAACGTTTTGTTACCACTCATCTTTTCTCATTCGTTCGGGAGGAGGAAACAGCACAGCCCCATATCTTGAGCGGATAGAGCGGGCAGTTGCTGTGCAAAAGTGGTAAAGTGCTGTGAATTTCAACCTCCGAGATCTGAAGATAAGAATCGGGAACGAAGGCACAGAAGCTGATAACATTGAAAATGAAATTAAAAGCTGAGTCAAAGAACAGCTTGAGCTTTTTATGCCCTATAAAATCCCGCCTTTCTATCCTTTTCATCTTTCTCTTCCCCACCAACTTCACTAAAATCGATCATTCCCAAAGATTTCAATTTGACAGGTAAGCTCCCGCTGTTGAACCGTACAAGATCATAGAAACAATCTTACTCATCAGCTCTCTTACACACAGACTCACCACCATCAGGAAAAAAACATCTTGAGCACTCTGATCACAATTATGGCTGGAGCTTCAAGATTCCTGGTTCGAGCATTCGAAATGACCGCTAAATTTTTCTCTCGGCTTTTATGCCTTTCACCATCTGGTGATAATGGTAAAGACGATAATGACGGTAAAAACAATGGTGATGGTAAAAACAATGATGGTAATAAAAACAATGGTGTTGGAAAAAATGATGGTGATGTTGATAATGGTGGCGATTGCGATGATACTGTTGACAATGGTGGCGATTGCGATAATACTGTTGATGATGGTGGCGATTGCGATGATGATGTTGACAACGGTGGCGATTGCGATAATACTGTTGATGATGGTGGCGATTGCGATGATAATGTTGACAACGGTGGCGATTGCGATGACAGTCCTAACTCAGACTCAGGCTGCAATGATTCGTAGCAACACAAGAAACACAAAGACAAGTGTTAACCAAACAGAGGAACAACCTCTGCAAGCCCGTTTCGCAATATCTTAACAGAGATCGATGAACTTGAAAACAGAAAAGCATTACAAAAAAGCTCGCAAGTCCGCTTCTCAGTAGCCCTTTGGCTCAACATTAATCGATGACAAAGAAATCGTTCACAAATTCGTTTCGCAGTAGCAACTTGGTTCGGGCCACTAAATACCAAATTTTTTATCATAGAATTTGTCTTCTTGTAAATAAGCATTACACAACGGATCGCAATCAATGAACAGGATACCTATTATGACACGAAGAAATGAGTAACAGTTGCATTGAGAATGAAAATTGAAAATGGAAAGTGAGTATCCTCCAAAAGGACTATTGCCACCAGAACACTCTTTTGAGTCACTTCCTGGGAAATCACGGTATGAATCTTAGAGTACTTCCACAGAGCGGTATAGAGCCTGTGTTTTTCCTTGTAAAGAGTTGACAGTGCTGTAAAGGTGGCCTTAAGGTGTATGACGTGCTGCAGGATTCAGGCACGGTCGAATATCGGTGTATCTTATGAAAATAAAAAAGACATATTCCGTTCGAGAAAGGAAAGTCTCGGCGACGCAATTATAGCCAGTGTTATCTTATCACTACTTTTCACCGGAGGGATACGGCAGACAACAGAGGTTGTGCCCACGGGGGAGCCGATTTCTGATTCATACGAGTAAAGCGTATGACGTGCTGAGAATTCTGAAAGGGTAGTATACCTCTTTATACTGAGTACCTACTTCTTACACCAATAAATGTGCTGAGTTTTCTTGAATAAGGATGGAGGAATGGGCTGTGTTTTCGGCAGCCTATAGAATTGACCTTGTTTATAATCTTGACTGTCGTTCGCAGGGTATATAAGTCGGTCAGATTTGCCTGAACTTTTCTGCTTCCCAACCATATCAACACTTGTACATCTGTACACTTGTATACTTGTTCAAATCAATCATCCTCACACATCTAAGCCTTACACAAAGCAGTAAGTTGTGCCTAGCCAAAATAGTATAAGTAGACATTCTGACAAAACCTTTTGCCGCCATGATCTAGATTCCTCTATAACAATTTCAAAATACCAAAAAAAAATGATCGCTTTGACAAACGCTTTCAAAGGCTTTAAGCTCCCAACTGATTTCACAATCGCACCTTATAAAGCTGCTTTGTTCAACGCTGTGGATGCACATATGCCTGAAATCATTGGCTATACCGGCCGAGCTGCTCGTTGGCTAATCGGCAATTGCCTCTTCGGGGATGATGGAGGTGACGAAAGTCCATCTGGCACAGACGGTTGATCCCGTCTTCTAGAAGCACCGCAGATCAAGAATCTTAGAGTCTTCATTCAGGCTTTAGACCGGAATCAATCAATAGTTCATGCTCGTTTCAGGTTCCTTCCAATCATGCTCGTTTGACACTGTATATGTCCACAAGACTGAGGTATCGCACAATCACAACGCAAACCCGATAAAAGATTCAAGCTCGATTCACACTGTATATGTCCACAGGAATGTTTTCACACTGTATAACTCCACAATCATGCTCGTTCCACACTGTGTATGTCCACCATCATGCTCGTTTCATACTGTACATTTACGCAATCATGCTCGCTTCATGTATATTTACTTCTTCCTGTACATTTTCTTTTACAATAATACCCTTTAACAAATCAGAAAGATCTGATAGTCGTGAAATGTGTGAATTTAGAGTGTAAAGCTATGAGACGTTATGTCCAGCAGATTCAGAGAAAGGGAATTTCTCGCTCAACTCTGAAGCTGTACTGGTGGCGGTGAAAGAGGCTGATGAGTATAGTAGTACGGCTCTGAGCTGTGGCAGTAGGGTGTGGCAAAAATGGTACAGCTACTTGCAAAAGTTCATGCGTGGAATGTTGTTCTATTCATCCATTTGCTCTTCTTCTCCTTTCTTGTTCTCGAAAGGTGAATTACAAGACATCTTTCTCACTTTCAACTTTCGTGCATTGTGCTCGTCGAAATAATGTTATCTCATTTTTGCGCCAACAGAATGACGGATCCTGCTCTTTCTCCTTCAGCATCCTTCTTTATGGCATGGTTCTGTTGTGGTCGATCGGGTAAGATCAAAAAGACATTCGGACTTCGAGATGTCCGTGCTGAACGCGATGACAGCAATACACAACATGATCATCATCTTCAGGAATTGGGCGTTCGTGCCGCACATGGTAAATAAGCGAGAGTATGCACTTAGTTTCGGTACCGTCCTCCCTTTGTTTTCTGTTTGCAATTCCGGTGCTGCAAGTATGTGATGAAGAAGAAAGAGCAGCTCTTGTATAGCGGTCCGAACAAGCTTTCTTCTGGTCAATGATTGTGCATTTGCCACACAAACACATCCAACATTTTCCACTCATTCTTGTGAGGTGACCATAGAGCTGATGGTCGAGGGTAACAAAGATACGATAGAAAAGCGATAGTGAAGCCAAGAAGGTAATGCTACTCTTACACGACATGAATGAATGCACCTGAATCGCCGCCAACATGCGCTTTGCTTCTCTGCAGAATTATGTGACGTCTGACTTTTAATGTTTACTGCGGGTCAAAGTGGAAGAATTATGACGGAAGCTGCGCCCAAGGGCTCATATAGCCTGTCAAGAGAAGAAAGGGAAATAATTACATTACATTATGTGCATGATAATTTTCAATCAGAAATGCTTGGTTATTTAAACCGCAACTTTTTCAGCTTCACTTCTTCTGCCTCTTCCACATCCTGGTAATTCCTCTCACTGCTTTTTATCCTCTCTCTCCCTCCAATCGCATTCCCACACTCATTCCGACGCAACTCAATCCCCTACAATATACAACACAAACTATCATCAAAACAAAAGGTGAGATGACATTCAGATTTGTGTTTTTGGGTGATTGTTTGGCAGGCATCGTTCATGAATTGGTGATCAGGCAATTCGGTTGCAATCGGTCGTAGCCTTTCATCGTGATGATGATGATCAGCAGATTTCCAGAAAAAGCGAGGCTCTTTTTGGCCTTCTGTCCACACGGGATCGTGGCTGGGGAGTACTTTTGAGGGGGAAAAAGTTGATGTGAATGGAATGATACAGCAATATTACGTTGCTGTAGAATGGGAGTGTGATTCTGGACTAATCGGTTCAGGGTTTCATGCACACGATCAGTTGGAAGGAGAATCAGTTCATTGTAGTAAAGTGGGAAATGCTGGCATCAGCACATTGTAATTCTACATGTTCTACATAATGTCAGAGTGCGGCAAGGTACCCGCACTCTTACACTATGTAGAACATGTAAAAGTACAATATGCTGATGCCAGCAATTCCCCTTTTACAATAATGAACTGATTCTATTTCCGACTGATCGTGTGCACCAATCCTGAACCGATTAGTTCAGAATCACATTCCCATTCTGCAGCAGCATAACGCTACTGTATCATTCGAATCACTTCAAATCCTGACGAGGATAAAGACTTTTTGGTGTGTTGTCCACCAAGATGAACGCATTGTGTCTTGGCCAGCACGATGCAGTCGGTTGCCTCTTCTTCGAAGTACACTCTTGATTGAAGTGAAGACGAGGAATGCATTCTCTTACGAAAAAGCTGATCACTTGGTGTAGGGTACCGACTCTGGGCTATATTTCTCGCCGTTTATCTCTCTGTTGCGAACGTTGGGCACGATTTTGAACTTTTGTCTCATTTGTGACTCCAGACAAATGGGATTAACGCTGATCGTCTTATTGTGAAATGGACTTGCTCGATCGCTTCTTTCAGACAACAATCTGACTCATCTCTTCTCAGTCCCATTCTGTCAGATACACAGATATCAAAAGGTGAAAAAAAGTTGATTGCTATGTATACAATATCATGAATCTTAGAAAAAATGTAAGGTTGTCAATACGAAAGAAAAAGAGTGCAAACAAAAGAATAAACGAAATGCATCAATTGTCCTTGAAATAGTGCTTATGCGTGCATCAAAAAGGGGGGAAAAGCCAAACAACAGTTTATCGTAATTTGGATGGATAATATTGCTTTTGTTCTGCCACATCGATCAATGGCATTCCGGTAGTGGTATTACTGCCGAACGTATCATATCTCGTTGGAGCGTTGAATTGGGTTGCAAATGATTCTTTACCCGAAACAGGCGTCTTCATTCCACTTGCGGCGTATTGTCCTTGACCGGAAATCGGTTGGAATTCATGGTCATCAAAGTTGGATCGGAATGCAAATGGTGCCAAACCAAAGATCAAAATCATCAAAACCAATGATCCTCCCAACAATCCTGATGCCAAAGCTTCGTTGCCGTGCGTTGCATATGCTTTTGGCTTGGGTGAAGGGTTTGGCAAGTTCTTCTTGTGATCTCCTGGGTTATGTGGAACGATTTCTGGATTACTCACGTTGTAATTATTTGCAAATAACCACCAGAGAGACATATTGGCCGAAATCATACCAAAGTCTTGATGGGACGTATTTCCGATAAAGTCAACCGTTTGAGCAGGCGGGAAAGTTCCGTTATTGGCATCAGTAACATGCAAAACATATCTTGATCCACGGTCCAAATGGTTTTTTCCTTGATCCTGTGCTTCACAGTGAGTGTCACCAGCACCGTTATCCAGTAAACCAAGGGCCATGTGCACTGGTCTGGCGAGGTATCGGTTAACGACTGCTTGATAATCAGCGATGACATCGGCACGAGCGTACATGCTAATCTTTGATGTATTTTGCGCAATACCATAATGCCATGCGTTGTAAGTGGTGGTACATGATGTGTTTGTGAAGGGTCTTTCGGGTGTCAAGTATGTCCAAGAACCTGGATTACCGGCCCAGAAAGACATATTGGGATCGTATGCCTTTTGTTTCTTAAGAACTGCATATCTGTGTGAAGCTTGACCACCCATAGAGTGTCCACCAATCACGACTTGGTTCAAATTTGGCCATTGAGTTTTATCAAACAACATATCTGTAAAGTTGTCCATGACCGAGTATGTTGTCAATCTGCGTGTTAGATTTGGACCGCGAGATGCACCTCCTGCTTCCCATTCACTTCCATGGAAGTACAATTCACCTGGCTTTGTACCTCCAGCGGCTGAATCTAATTCGTTCATCCATACCGGGCTGACGATCAACACGCTTCCGTTTGCGACACCGAATGTGCTCTCATTCGCATACACAACGTTAAGAGCGTTTCTGTATAAATTTGCATACTTCCATGCATCTCTCGGTTTACCGGGGAACGTGATCACTGCCCTTTTAATTGCTGCAGGATCAACGCCAGATGTGATATAGAAAGGCATCACTGCACCTGGTACGACTGCCCATGATCGATTGAGAGTGAATCCGACAACCTCAGGAATCATTTGCCATCCACCTGCGGAATCTGCAGTTGTATTAGCTGTTGGAAGAAAGGGAACTCCTGCGTTTTGTGGTAATTGTGCTTCATCTGTATCACCTTGGACAAGTTGGTATTGGGTTGGTGTTTGAGCTGTTTGATTGATGTAAGGAATATTGGCAACATCCTTTGCAGCTTGAACGGGATTTGTGGGCGCTTCATTTGTGATTTGTTCGGCAAACGTGGATGGTGATGGTGCGGGTAGAAGAGAGTATGGATCTATTGTGGTTGTTGCTTGTCTCTTTTGCGGTTGTACGTCATTCTTGTTACGACGAACGACAAGTTTTCTAGCGTTGTGTTGTTGTGCTGATTGATGTGCTGATACGAGATGGCTGGCTACACAGGCAATGACGATAAGCCATATTGCCGATATGTAAGCTTTTGATTGACGCATTTTGACGTTTTTGATCGTGATCAAATTTGATGCTCACTTGTTCCGATCAAAGAAGATGGCCAGCAACGTCTTTGAAAAATGATGTGATGGAAAAGAAGCAACGATCGGCTTTTGGTCAATTTGTTGGATGGTGTAGTGAAATGAGTGTATAAAATGAAAGATGACACGAAAGCAAGAAGGAGGAGTAAAAAAGGCGTGTTGATAATCAAGCCTTTCTTTTGACAGATTTCTATCAAACGGGTTAAAAATACCAGTCTGCCGTGTCTTGTCTATAATTCAGGAGGGTGCAGCCTCTTTAAAAGGGAAAAGGAGCCTGCCTGTCTATACGGGGCGCAGCTGATCTTAAGCCCAAAAGAGGAGAGAAAGGCAGGCAAACAAATCAATTTTGTAGTGTGCAAGGCACAGTTTGTCTAAAAAAACAGTTCCAGTGCTGTTTAACCAATTGAATTCTCTTTGGTATGTGTTTTGCGTGCTTTTTGAATAGTGCATTTCCATTCTCTCTGCCGAACCGCCGCCGGCGGACGGATTAAAAAGGGCAATTAATCTGTGTACAGCCAATATTATTTGCTGTTTAGATGATTTCTGTTTCCCTCGTCTTTTCCCGCTTTAAGCCCAGTAATTTTCCCCTTTTTATTGCGCTGCGCCTCTAGGGTTTATGCGATTAATCTTTGCTCGGCGCGCTTCCCAGCGCACTCAATAAAGTTTTTCTAATGAATTCTTCTTTTTTTATATTCACTCTATAATTAAAATGCACTGCCGCATTTGTAGCTGCACAACAGCAGTGTATGCAACGTAACCTCATCGGTCCTGACTGTGCGTGCGTACGGCTCCTTAACGCCATAAGAAGGGGAAGGTGCCACAGCCTTTGCCGTGCGTGTATGCTCCGATAAGTCTATTTTTGGATACCTATTTAACAAATCAGACACTAATTCGATCATCATCAAATTAAAGTCCAATTATAGATCATATTCAATGCAACCACTCGAGCATATGAAGCGAGCAAGATAGATGAGAGAGGATGTGATGTAGTAGTATATGTAAAGAAAAGAATGTGTATGCGAATGCTGAATGTGTGTGAGTAAAGTATGGAAAGGATATAAAGATGTTGATACGAGTAAGCTCACAGCATGTCATTTTATGCGAGAAACAAAAACGCTCAAGTGAAAAGCGTAAATAGTACAAGAAAGGGTATGAAGCATAAAGAGAAAAAAAGCTCATTTCGAACCAAAAAGCAGATGAAAGGCATTCCGATCATTTGAGTCCGATTGAAAGAAAAGAAAGATCTATTAACAAAAGAAAGAATAAACGAGTCTGTTTTTTAGCTCGAAATTGTTCGTCAAATAACAACGATCACTGGTTTGTGCTCATCGGTCCATTCATTTGTCCGCGAGTATTAGGCAAAAGGGTATCTTCAACACGTTCTTGCAACGTTGGCTGTCTGGTATTTGCCTCCTCTTCTTCTGGCTCATTTTCATCTTCACTTTCGGCTTCCGGTCCAGGCTCTTCTTGTACCTGTCCGAACTCCTGTACGTGTTCCCCTTCTGCTTCACGGATATCGTCATGTCCTGTGTCACTGTGTCGGATTGTTGACAATCTCTTGTCACGTCTTCTACTCAACGTATTTCTCAATCCGCTTGGCAACAACTTTTCACGGATGGTGGATTTCCGTTTGGGTTTTGGATCGTCTGCACTGAAAGAATATCCACGAACAGGTGTACGACTGCCAGTCAGCATATCATGTTGAATACTACTTGCTCTGCTCATAACATTTTGCAAGGGAGCCATTGGATAGCCGTGATACTGTTGTTCATCAACGATATCCGAATTGTCTCCACTACCGCCTGTTTGACCTTCAGGAACGTCTAATCCGTACTTCTTTGCTGCGCGAAGATTTGGCATCGCAGGATCACGAACAAAGTCATGCTGAGGATCAAACTTTTCGATTTGTCGCATGATTTCGATATCCGTTGGATAATAAATCGATCGAACGTGTCGCCAGATAACTTTGGGAATCAGAGAAACGACCACAACCATAATACCAGAGAACCAATACAATGCACTGTGATACAATGCTTGATTGTTACCATAACTGTATGTCCAGATCAACGAAGGCGGGAAAGCAGCATAAATAGGTGCAAAGATGAAGATCAAAACAGGACCGAGCCAAACACCGGCAAAGATCCACCAATTCCAAGCACGCATGTCCAAACCGACGAACAAGTTTGCTACCAAAACGGATGCCATAACAAGTGTTGTTGACCATTCCCACAAGTCGATAAAGTATCCCGTATCCCTTGATGCCGTTTCGTCGTAGCTGTACATGATCAAGAAGTAACAGACGGCTGCTTGCCATATTGCGTCGACAAGATAAATGATGAATAACCCGACGCCAAAGTATTTGCGTTGTCTGCTTCGTGCATATAGCTCCGGCACTGCCATCAGAACATGATCGGGTAAGATACGATCAAAGATACCCATAGCAATCACCGCAGCAACGGTCCAGAATGCGTTCCAGAACAATAGATAAACGTAATCCATAACTTGCGTACTGGACCATGCACAGTAAATTTGGAAGAAGAATAGTGTGAAAATATTGATTTGATTCTTGTAGAAGAAATTGATAATCATTGTACCGTTTCTGTGGTAAGACCAATGGCCGTGAACGAGTAACAATCTCTTCAAGAATCTGAATTGCGCAATTGCATAATCTGAACTATTAACGGCTTGTAAACCTTCTTCACCGGCAATACCAATACCAACGTGAGCTGCTTGAATCATAGAAACATCATTTGCACCATCACCGATTGCCAAAGTCATCACACCTAGTCCATCTCTGATCAATTTAACAATCAAAGCTTTTTGAAGTGGCGAAACACGACAGCAGATAACAGCCTTGCATTTTGTCGAAATTTCCAGTAACAATTCTTTACTAAATTCTTCGCTCAATGCATGTCCTAGAGCTGAACCGTCAATGACCAAAGCGTATCCACCAGATCGTTGTCCGTTGTCCTCGCCCACAAGTGAGGTAGCACTTGCCGTACTGCGTCTTCCTTGCATGGATGGACGTCCCTCGTGGTCTTCACCATCTTCACTCGTTGGCGGCTGATATACCATTTGTTCAAGAACTTCAGATCCACCAAAGAATTGTTCGACGGCACGCTTCAGTTGATTGTAAGCAGAATTAGGTTGACCATATTCTCCTCCTCTGACGACGATCAAATTCATATCTTGCGACAACAACATGGTACTGTAACCGATCGCGATAGCAGTTTCAAGCTTGTCACCCGTTGCAACCCAGATATTAATACCGGCACGCTTTAGATCAGCAATCGTTTCGGGAACACCTTCTTGCAAACGATCTTCAATAGCCGTTGAACCCAACAAAACTAAATCACGCTCCATGTCACTTGCCAAATCCTGCATACGCTCTTCACGTCTTTCCATTGCGACACTGGCTTCATGGTATGAATGCGCAAATTTGCTGTATTCTTCGTGAGTTAGAGGTTTGAATCCTAAGCAAAGCGTACGCAAACCCTTGTTGGCAAATGCTTCTAGAGCTTCATCCGTTGACGATTTCAATGAGTCTTGTCCTGCAGCCGAACGTTCAAAGATGACACTATCGGCACCCTTTGTGAGCAAAAAGATCTTTTCATCCGATTCCCTCTTGACAATTACACTCATACGCTTTCGTACAGAGGAGAATTCCAAAACAGTCAACAATTCGTACTTTTCAAAGTCACCCGAAGGAATTTGAATAACCAACGTGTTACGCTCCTTTCCGCAGAATATGAAACCGACATCAGCGGCAGCTTGAACAAGTGCTTCTTCATCGGGACTTTGCGCTTTGAATTCCAACTCTCCAGTCTCTTCATCTTCGCCAGTGACAACAGTATGACATAAAGCCAACAAACGCCAGAACCATCCAAGAATTTTCTCTTGATCAGAGTTGCCACCTTGACGCAAAGCATCGTTCAATGAACAATCTTTAAAAGGTGCAACTTCTGCATTGGCACGTTTGACCTTCTTGAGTGTCGAGCCAGCCTTTTCTGCGGAAGATGATACAGATCCTGTATCGACCGATGAATGAATCTTTTCTGAATCGCTTTGATCGTGATTGTTTTCGCTGTCCTGTCCGGTGTACAAAGCCGTGCCGATTGAGCATTCTCTGAAGATCATCAAGTTTTGCGTCAATGTACCAGTCTTGTCGGAGAAAATGTATTCGATCTGACCTAGATCATCGGCCAAATTCCATGAACGAGCAATTGTTCTTCGATTTGTTTTTTCATAGTAGATATCATAATCGTCAAAGATAAAGTATGCTTGAATCGTACGAACCACCTCAATAGAAATATATAGTGAGATCGGAACAATATTTTGGAACGTAATGAGCGAATTACCAAAAGTGACCAAACCGTTTATATTAGGATTATCGTCACTGAAGATTGCATAGAATTCCCAATAAGCGTCCCTGGCAAAGTAGTAGTTTTCGATCCGAGCATCAGCAATAGCACATCCAACAGCCATAGCAGCCAAGATGAGCAAATTGATGTACACCATTGGGTTCATCAATCGTTCAACTTGACCACGCTTGGTAGGTGTATTACCCGAATTGGCAATGATCTTTGTATCAGCACCCGTCATGAGCACCAATCCGATCACCCATCTGGAATTACGTAAATTGCATCCACGCAGTAAGATTTGATTGATCGTGACTGGGCATCGCAAAGGGTTGCCTTCATGATCAAAACGGTCTCCGAGAACGACACTTGCATTGAGCCTGTACATATTCGTATCTTGAGGTTCAGCATCAACGCGCATCAATGCTTCAGCACATGCACTTGCCGATCGAAGCTGAGTTGCCAATTCAGGAACAGCATGTCGTACTTTCAAATTTGTTTCTCCGTCCAAATTCTTCGTTTCAACGTAACAGCAATCTTCTTCTTCCGAAGTGGCACAAACGATAATATCGGCAGGGATAGGATCATTATTCTTCAACAAGACAAAATCACCAACCCGCAGATCTTCCCAATTACGTTTCTTCCATCGAGGTGAACGTTTTTCCCAATACTTTGCTTCTTGTTCTGGGGTAAGAATCTTTCCTCGATGTTTGATGCGACCGTCATCGAGATGCTCGTATTCGCTACCGCCCATCGTTGATGCTCTACGTGTCATTCCTGCAGGTAAAGAGCTCATTGAAGTTCTTTGACGTGTGAGATCATGTCCCGCAACGCTTGATTGCATTCCGCTATCTTGCGTCACCGTTCTGAATGGTGCTGTACCTCCTCCTGGAGCATCAAGTGGTGGTTCAGAAGGCCCAACAACGGATGCATTGTCATGATGAGCTGAAATGTCTTGTGCATGTTGCTCCATCTTCTTCTGCTGACGCTTCTTTCCGCCCAGCATTTGATCCCAGAAAGCTGATAGAGCTGATTTGATTGACCTTTGCTTTGATTCGGTAACATTTGGATTCGTCCATCCTCCGCCGATCAAAACACGTACTTTGGCATTGTTGATACTTCGATCACTGATGTGTCTTCTCCAATCTTCGTATCCATCTTTAATCATCGTGACTGCCAAGACGACCAAGAGTGGCAACATGGCAAGACCCGGTGAAATCGTGGCGAATTTGGGAAAGAATTGCAAAACAACAATCAAGGTAAAGAACATATTGGCAACACGATGATACTGCTCCCATAAATTTTTGAAAAAGAAATTGTAAATCGTATAACGTGCCGTTAAAAGTTGATTCGTTGCAAATTGCCAATGTCTGAGTGGCTTTCCTTTCTTGTCAAATGCTTCTGCTGGGAGGGGCTCATTGAAATAGACCGATCTTGGAGCTGGTGGCGGTCTAGTGCGAGCGAAGAGGTTCTCAGGATTAAGTCTCTTCAGTTTCGTCTGTAGCCTTGCTGACCATCCTTCCCCTGATTGGCGAACAGCACGTCGTCTCGCATTCCTCCGTCGTGTGGAGACTGACGTATTTGTTCTCCGGAGCATACCCATCTTTGGTTGTGATTATGAGCGGCGAGGAGAGAGACGGTCGTGAATTGTAAATGTGCAATCGATATATGAAATGATAGGGATACGGGTCTTGAGTATCCCTTCCTTAATGTCGATATATTTTGTTGATCACCAAGAGACCGGTCAGCACTGCCTTATCCGGGAGATGTTAAGAGTTTCTTTTAATGCTACTTCGCAGTAGCACAGAAAGATGAAGGAGGCGATGTCTCGGAGATTGAAATTGGTTGAGAAGAATGTATCCCTTTCCTTTCAAACGTGATTGCACCACTTGCAAATAGGAGCTTGGATGATGAATAGCGAATGATTCTTCGAGACTCGTCAATCAGTCGTCAACACCTTGCTGAAGGAAAGCTTAATCGAAGATGCTCACGAATTTCTTCCTCTGCTGAATTGATCAGAAGAGAAAGCTATGTTGATGGCGTAAAGAGCAGAGAGGGCGATAGAAAAGGCGAAAGACCTAAGTAAGATCGCCTATCTTGCACGCGATCAATTATCCTTTCCTTTCCTCGTGCTGTGATTTATACGCAACACACCTATGCGATAAATTGAGTGATGATGATCACAATGAGAAACTCACTCAGATCAGATTTCATCAAGTGTAAGCAAAAGCGTTGTATATTATTTTTCTTGTCATATGCTATTATGCGGATATAAAATTGACACCAGCCAAACACGCAATTTATTTGACCACGTTTCAGGCGCAAAGACAGTGTGTTTTGAATGTGACAGTAGTAAGCCTTTCATTTGAGTGCGGTTGCTAAAATTCCGAGTGTATATGAATATATTCGATGCGCATTCGCACAATCAGCTGCTGAAGAAGAATTCGGCCCGTAATAAGGAAAGGGCTCGCGTGCGTGTATTTGAGTGAGTGTACACCGAATAGCCACTGAAAATGATAGGCGCGCTCTTTGGCATACACTGTCTCTCTTTTCTCTCACTTTTATCATATTGAAACCCTTTTTCATGCTTGCGCGGGAGTCTGAGCCCGTTTTATCGACAAAGATTTCCGCGGGAGAGCGCAAGCACGCATAACGTCTTATGCTTGTACCGCACCGCTTCTTTTCATGCATTTCGTTAGCCATCATCATTGGTATAAGGATATGATGATTATTAAAGTATAATTATATTACATATCATTCACTGGCTTCACTTATGAGATAAGGCAACGGGAAGCAATATGATCTCGACTGAGTTAATATAGTATAAGCTGACAAACCACAGAATGAGGCTTAATACTTGATCCAAAGAAGATTGTCTTACCAATGAAAATTTCGTGTTCATCTGTTGTTGTTCTGTCATTACCGTTCTAAAAGGGCTCGGACATAAATGGAGTTAAAAGATTTGAAATTGTTCGATACGCAGCAGCATGCCTGTTGTATGTATATTGACGTACAGTGGTGGAGGAGTGTTGTTGTTCTTTGGCAGCATTTGGACAGTCTTTGAACCCTTACAGCTAGCTAACAACACGCGACCAAACCTTCTTCGAGTGTGTGTATGTTTGTGTGGCAGGGCGTAAGATGCATAAATTAGACCAAGAGCATTAGACTAGCCCATGTTCAAAGCATTCTATTCATCCTTGCACTAATTCTCCCATTCGGAAAGGCAAGCCAGCCATCCTTCAAGTGTGCATATATATGCATACTCAATCAATCCATTTAGACCAGCACAGATTGCATGTGGATTCCCATTTACCCCACCTTTATTCCTAACATTCACCTTTTTGCTCGATTCTCGTTCAATTCATGACGATCTAATTTAGCTTATCAACATATAAACAAAGAAGCAAGGAAGGCGCCAAGGAATACGTTCTTTTTTCTCTCTCTTTCATTCATTCAGGAGGACATTTGACTTTGACCGCTCCATTTCACTAGGCCAAGTTAGGACCACCCCTTTCTCCGCACAGTTCGCATCAACTCCTTTGGAGGTCAATACTTTACCCCAGATACACGAATATTTCATATCACAATCATTTATTCTCCCAACCACATCCTCCTCACTCCACTCGCAAAGAAGAACCTGGATTTGTAGAAACCATCAGACGGCAAGATGAGGCCAAACAGTATCATTGCTGCCATTGCTATGGCATTCACTATCGCTACGCCAAGCTATGCATCACTTAAACATACAAATGCGGAAGCATTTGTTCAATTGGCAGATCTAACAAGACCTGAGCATTTGAAGCAAGGTAGATTCATGAACGTGAAAGGTCAAGATAGCAGCAACACAGGCTCTTACACACCTGAAGGAGTGGATTGGACGGCAGAAGAATTATTAGGCAATATTCTTGGTAGAGATCCTCATCAGATGAACAAACTCGAATTAGAGAACAATCCAATCATGCAAAAGTTGCTAGCCGCAAGTGCTGCAGACAGAGTGGAAGCCTCAGATCAAAGCAGCACCTTCTCTCCTTTCAATCCACCAAGCATTCCTCTTGCCGTCAAGAGCCCTTATTTGAACGCTTGGCTTCCTTCTGGTAGCAACCCAGATGCAACACCCCCAAACTATGTCGGAAACGGAGGTTACCTTGCTGGTCAATATCCCGCGTTTTGGACATCTTCTTATGGTGCTGACGGTGATTATCGTTTAGGATGGACTGGGTACATTCGTGTGGATAATACTACCTATCAATGGATGGGTAACGGTTTCGGTACGATTGTACGTGCAGGACAAAATGCAAAGCAAACAAGTCTCACATACACCTCTACCAGATCAATCTTTTCTTTCGATGCTGATGGTGTCAAATTCAACGTGACTTTCATGACACCCGTTTGGCCTAATGATTATTTCCGTCAAAGTATTCCTCTCAGTTATATGCACTTCTCCTTGGATCGTAGCAGCGCGACAAATAGAAGCGTTCAAATGTATACAGATATCGATGAGAGATGGTGCACCGGTCACGATTACGATTACCAGAATTATCCAATGAACATGCAATGGGTTGACAATGCTAATGGATCTTCAATCTATTTCGTCCAACGAACAAATCCACAACAATATACAGAATTCCGTCAACGTGCCGAATGGGGCTCTGCAACGTATGCCGTTCGTAAACGTAAAGGATTGAGCTCGCGAAACAATAATAATGTGGTCGCTCAACTTGAATTCTTGACGCAAGGATCAATGACATATGACCATAATCCCGTTGGAGGACCGGATAATTCATTCTCGTATGCCATTGACTTTGATGGAAAAGGTGGAGATGAAGCTCTGTTTGCCATTGGTTTCATTCGTACGCCATATGTCAATTATATTAAAAAGGTCCCTTCAAAGAATGACACAAACCACGATGGAAGTCCGAAATCATACCTACAAGACAGGTTCGGTTATTGGATGGCAAAGTATCCCAACTTTTCTGATCTCGTTTCGTTCTTCATGGATGACTATGAAAATGCTTTGGATCATTGTATCAAACTGGATCAACAAATCGATCAAGATAGTCAAAAGGCTGTTGGAGGCGGTGAGATTGGTGCTCAATATTCTGCAATCACCCAATTAAGTCTCCGTCAATCATTTGCAACTTTGGAATGGACTGTGCCATACAACGATACCAGCAAATCTTACAATACTTCCGATACAATCGTCTTTTTGAAGGAGATTAGTTCCAACGGAGACATGCAAACAGTCGACGTTTTCACACCTCAATTCCCGATGTTGACTTATTTGAATCCGGAAATCTTGCGCGATATCATGAGACCGATCTTTGAATATACCGAATCAGGCTTGTACCCTAACAAATGGTGCGTACACGATTTGGGAGTGTATCCATCTGCATTTGGACACAATGATGGAAAAGATGAACCTATGCAAGTAGAAGAAAGTGGAAATATGATTTTGTTGGCACTGCATTATGCACAATTGGTAGGAGAAAAAGTTGCAAAGCCTTGGTTATCATCGCATTACAAAATTATGAAACAATGGGCAGAATTTTTGATTGAAGATTCATTGGTGCCTGCAGCGCAACTCAGTACGGACGATTTTGCGGGAACGTTGGCTAATCAAACCAATTTAGCTCTCAAGGGTATTGAGGGTATTGCCGCAATTGGACATATTGCAAACATGATCGGCAAGACTGATGATGCAAAGAATTATGCCAATGTCTCTCAAACGTACATCCAAGCCTTTTACGGATATGCAATCAACAAGAATGGCAGTCATGTCAAGTTGGACTATCAAGATGACAACAGTTGGGGAACTTTGTATAATTTGATTTTCGATCGCTTGCTCAATCTTGGCTTAGTGGCAAAGGAGATCTACACGAAGCAAGACGCATTCTACCCTACAAAGGTGCAAAAGTACGGTACACCACTCGATTCACGTTATACATGGGCAAAGACTGATTGGCAAATGTGGGCAAGTGGAACGGCCGATAATACGACAACAAAAGAATTTTGGATTGAAGAATTGTACAAATATGTTACAGATCGTAAAGAAGATGCACCATTTTCTGATTTATATGAAACTCTTGATGGAGATTTCCCAAGGGAGCCATCAACGCCAAGAGTTTTGTTTATCGCTAGACCGGTTGTTGGAGGACACTTTATTCACTTGGCATTGGATAAAGCCAATGCGGCAAACAATGTGACCGAGTATCAATATGGACCACCGATCAAATCAGGACACCATGGAAAGCATTCATTGGGTGAATTGGAAATGCATGCTAAACAAGCAAGGGTTGCTGCTTTGTCCGAATTGAAGAATCAACATGATGACAATGCACACAACGGTAAACATGAGAACAATAATTTGGTTTATGGATCTCAAAAGGCCTTCAGATTGGGCGGCGCAAAGAAGGTACATTACAACCGACAAATGTGATCAAGATCGTTCTTTACATACACCCTTTTGCTTATCTTTTCTTTTAAAACTTCTTCGCTAGCACTGCTGTTTATTATTCTTCTCCCAATACTTCAAATGAAACAATATTTTTCCCTTCAATATGACGCCTCCGTTTCCAATTTGTGTGTAAGCGCGTTTGTTTTCAGTTGATTAGCTCTTTTTACGACGTCCATCTTCCAATGTGATGGCGGATGACTCTGGAGATAGCAATCACGTACCATTACCTGCGAATGACACAAAAGAGTTGATCGAGCTACTATACCCTATTCCAAAGTTAGGATGTACATTCAAACTCAAACAAGTAGCAGGAGACGGTTCTACGACCGGATCTAGTCTCTGGCTTTCCTCTCAAATTCTAGTATGCTATCTCCAGCAAAAGTATGATCGAAGAATACCTCCGAAAGATTTCAGCAATAATCGAGTGATCGAATTAGGCGCAGGGATCGGGTTGACGTCATTGGTTTTGGAGAGATTGGGTTGGAATGTGATTGCAACGGATATTGCGCCTCCTTTGCATACAGTCTTAGGACCGAACGTAAGCCGGAACAGTCAAGGTGGTGTAGAGGTGCGTTCATTGGATTGGACGACAATCTCTAATGATGTGATTGACGAAAGTGACTTTGATGTGGATTTGGTTGTTACTGCCGATACAATCTATCAACCTGCATTAGTTGATGGGTTGTGCAAAACGATTCAGCTTCTCTTGATAAAGGCATTGAAAGGGCAAAGTTCACATGCTCAGCAAACGATCAAGAAGGCATCTTCGTCTCAGAAACGTCCACATGCACTGATCGCATTAGAGAGACGAGATGATAAACAAGTTCAAACTGCTTTAAATCATGCAAGAGAGCAACACAATCTTATCTTGAAGCAAATACCGCCTCGTGAAGTTCGTAAAGCCGTTGATGCATGTTTCGGCAATTCTCCCGATTGGCCAAGACAGGTGTGGGATGATGTAGAAATTTGGCGAGCAGATTATTTCGATCAAGATGTAATTTAGTTAGGTACCTGATCTTCTAATTGTCTCACTTTTGATTCATTCAATTCAAGATGCACTGAATGTACACTACTAGACTTTCCATATGTACATTCATCTTACAATCACGATCGGACAACATAATTTGAAAGTCCGATGTGAGATTCTGTGCATATCAGCATTTCAACAGTAAAGTCACAGAAAGAGTGTGGAGTGCGGCAGTACAACGGTTTTGTTCTTCGAAAAAGATCGACAGAAGGGGAGGGTAAAGCCAAGAAAAGGACTAGTGAGTTAGGGTTTGACTTTCAATCTGCCCTGTCAAACGAAAAAAAGAAATCATCTTCCCTTCTCTTTTCCTGTTGTCTTGTCATGCCATTTCTTGTTCGTGTATCTAACTGTACGCACGGGGGGAAAGAACAGGCGTAGCGCGAGTGCATTGCATCCGATCCACAAGAGCGGGGCATCGTTCTATAACAAAAGCCGGGTTATTATGGTTCACAAGGAGACTTGATTTAGTATTTTTCCCCTTTTCGTGCGTATGCGTGTGTGTGTGCGCCCACCCGCGCATGTACGTTTGCAACCGTATGTGCAGTGCATGGGTAGGGTACCGTACCTGTCATTGTAAGTTCTTCTTAGTGTGAATAAAAATATTATACATTATGAATAGCAGCATATTTGAAATGTCTTGTGAAATATATATGCAAAACCGTTCTCCAGGCACATCCGGAATTCAATCAAACAGCATTAATTAACTTTTCATCTTTCTTCCACCCTTGCATCCTTGCTTCTTACTTTGCTGCCATCAACTTCGACATCATACAAGATACACTCTTTATTTATTCGGGTGTGAATGGGAGACTCCTTCAACAGAGTAACGCGTTAAAGCCCTTCCTTCTCATTCGGCATATCCGCACCGCTCCTTTTTGATTATCGACGCGGACTACCAAACGATCATCTACACATTCATATCAATCGCCTTTCCATGGCTTCCGTCCAGAGTTATCTCTCGATTAAAGAGAGACTCTTTCTTTAATTTCAACAGAGTAAAGCACACAATTATCAATTTATCTGTATAACAATCATGTTTCAAAAAGCTGGCAGTAGGAGCTGGAGCGATCTAATCCATACCTCAAGACATCGACAAGGGCCTTTGCCACAGTACAAGCCCCATCTCAAATCTTTCACTCAATGGCAAGATACCTTATCCCAATTTCACAAGCAAAGACGAGTAGTTTGGCGAGATGGAGACATTCTTTGGCAAAGAATGATGCGGTACGCATACACTGTCTGGTCACATTGCCTACGAATAGCATATGCTGCCTTTGTGCAGATATCGATAATGGCCAGAAGGTATGCTGAAAATGCTACTGGCTTTCAAATCTTAATCGGTGTTGGAATAGGTGGCTTGGTATTCATCGTCTCTCTACTTCTCATCGTACGTTCGCAACAGAACAAAAGGGCGATCAAAGCGCTTCATCTTCGTGAAAAGGAGGCATTACAAGATGAAGAGTATGATTCGGATGATTTCGATTTTGAAGATGATTTGGAAGAAGAGGAAAAGGCATCTTCATTACCGCCACATCTACGCAAAATGTTGATCGCATCCCGACAAAATCGAAGATCTTCTAGCAAAGATTCTGCTCTATCGAGACCTCGACCTAGTAGTCTGATTCGAATCGTCAGCTCTGATCCGCAATCACAGTTGAGCGAAAATGCGATGCAGATGGATCTGCATGCACGTCCTGGTCATAGTCCTGTGCCCAATTCACGAAAGAGAAAAGAGAGTGGCAGGCTCTTGCATGGCAATGAGCAATCAAGCAGCTCCTCTAATGCTTCCTCTCCTCGTTTGGTGCACACAGCTGGTCGATCGGCAAAGCAGAGGAGATCTACTTCACGCAACTCAGACCACGAATCGAAGCGACCTACTCGATTGGATTCACTCACACGTCAAGGAAAGTCTAGCCAAAATAATGATGAGATCGGCTCCCAATCGCCCAACAGTCTCAAATCATTCGCTTCTGCACAGACAGATATGGATAGTCTATGGATTGGATCTCCGGCAGAGACATCGAACAAGTTGGCATCAATTCTAAGAAGAGAACCACAATATTACGCAAGTCTACCCCAAACGCCTTTAGCAGTTGATCAGCATATTCTAGATACCCGATCACCTTATGGCTTTTGGAGTGTGGAACCCAATTCTGAATTTGCCAATAGCGATACTTTTCACACTCTTCCACCTACGAGTACTCTCTCGCCCGGTAGGCTACCGCCTGGAGCAGGACGTGGACCAACATCACCTGTGGGTGGCGGACTCGGAGCCGGTCCAAGGCTAGGCACGCTATCACCCGAACAAGCACAAGCATTATGGCCAGAAAAGCGGCAGAAGATGGTCAAATTACGTGAACCGGATTGGAGTCCTTACATAGAGGTTCATGAACGAGCACGAGAAAGATTAGATAAGATGGCAGAGATGAGTGCGATTAGAAGTACATCACCTTTTTTGGTCTCCGGATCATCAATCTCGGAAGAAGGATCTGGGTCTGGAAACGGATCTAATACAGGCGATGAAGATGATGAATTCTGGTTTGAGCGCTTTACCAAATCGACCGCTGCTTCTGGAAGAGATTGGGATTGGCGAAAGCGCAGAGCACGTCAAAGAGCTACAGCACGTATGGCTACGATTGGAGGAAATAGCGTTTCAGCAGTGGATGCTAATGGAATGCCAATGCAAACCTTGAATGGTGTTTCTGCACAACTGATTTCTGACCTACAGCTTCAAAAGCCATTACCCGTCCAGCCTGGAGATTCGGCTGTCTATCTTTCCGAAAATGGTCAGCCAAGGAGACAAAGTCCAAATTCGCTACCTGTACCATTACGAACTGCAAGTGCACCTCTTCTTTCGACTGTGTCTACCGAGAATGATAGGCAGGACAACGTCAAAGCGGTTGAGAATGGCAGTCATGGTCGAAATGGACAATCACCTCCTTCTGCGTATGAGCAAGGCAGACTAATTGCTTCCGGTCAAAATTGGCCTAGATTTCAATCTTCTGCTCGAACGTTGAGTCTCGGAAGTAGCGCAAACAGTTCACCTAAATTGAACAACGAAGCAGGACCTTTTGAGAAACGTAGCAGACGATTTTCAGATACGGATCAAGCAGATGCAGATGAAGCTGTGAGTGTGCCGGGCAGATTGAGTAGCTTGAAACCTAAAGCGGTGAAAAAGTTGATCATGCGCGGAAGGAGTTCGAAGCAAGATCTGCGTGCCGTTGCAGAGGAAGAGCAACAAAAGTATAACAGACAACAATCAAATGGCAAACATGTTCAGGAAAATGGCATACAGGCAACCGGATGGTCAGTCTCGCCAGACGATCACCAACGTCAAACCCGCGATGTACGAAAAGCCAGTTCGATGAACCGATTGAATGCTCAATTCACAGCCAGTACGCCTGCTTTACCTCTCAGCTCAATGCCTGACCCACCACTCGGCAATCATGTCTCGCCTTGGACGGAACAAAGGATAGAATCACAACAGGCTTGGAGTAGCGCAGATGCTTATGGTGTTTCTGCTCCGACATCCTTTGAGCCAGAGAGAAATGGCGGTGGCGCAAGTTTATTCGCACGTCCTTCTGGTCGTATGACAGAATCACAAAATGACAACGTATTGACCAGTGATCTGGCCCAGTTGTATAGCAGCTTTTATGCTATTTCTCCATCCCAGTCACCTACCTTGCCACAACAAGATCCATCACAGCATTCGCCTGGCCGAAGAAGACCAGTTCGACATGAAACAATGCCATTGCTTCATTCTACCAATCAGCTTGGTTTTACTATGCCGTAATCTCAAGCATACCCCGATGCAATACTGTAGGAGAGCGTAGATACCACATTTAATTTTACAACAAATCCCCTTTATCATGCTCTCGATGCATTTCCTATACAAAAGCTAACTATTTGCTCTACTTTCTGTATAATACCCACCTCTGCAACGAGGTACACATTCATTTTTTCAATTGCACAACCATCTTTTAGTTCTACATTTTTGCATGAAACACAATCAGGAGTGAAATGAAGGAGAAAAAAAGATTCATTGCATTACTTTAAATCGCTCATTTTGAAATTTTGTCCTAATCTACGTAATTGATTGATTCGATCACAATTTGGCTCTTGAACACATACGAATCCGCCTTCTTCGAAATTACCGGTTTGTCCATCGGGATATGAGCATCTGATTTGTTGTTCGAATGGGCATGGGCAATGTGCTGGCTTGTCTACACAAGAAAGTGTTCTGGGACAAAGGAATTTAGAGCATGTCGCTAAAAAGGAAAGTTGTGGTAAAGGATGATTGATTAAGCTTCTGGCGGGGTTTACTTCATTTATCTCCTCACGTCCATTAACTTACCTGCTTGTACACGATCGTCAAACCATTTACTGTCGCCAGACTTTGGGGACGAAAAGAATATCAGTCACGCATCCCTCAACCGACATCAGCATTTCACTTACAGGTGGCACTTCTTGCTCTCTTTGTTCGAATGCCTGACCTCCGCCGAACATATGTTGAAAGAATTGTGCATGAACGACTTGTGTGAGTTGCAGAATTGTGATTAGCAGCAAGATGCATGCACTCGAGATATTCAGTAGTCTGTTCTTCATCTTGTCCTGATGAGGTCAATGGCGAGATCAAGTGGTTGTAAGAGGTTAAAGCATAGAATGGCCTGAGCGATCTTCTTAACAAAAAAGCGGACAGCCTTGAAGCAGCTGACTTTACGCGTTACAGACAGACAGACACTTTCACCTTCGTGTTGTTCTCCACTCAATACAACCTTCTCATCCAACTACCACAACGCAATGGCAAGTCCACTTCCTAATCGTGGCAGGATTGCTCGTAATTCAATCAATAATGCTTCTCCTTCAATGAGAGCACCAGCCACGCCATATGATATTTATAAAAGTCAACATCCAATCGGACGTACTTCATCTAATCTATTGACTGCAAGTCGAAATGGTACGCCAAACACTTCTCAATCCGTCTTTTTGGATCCTTCAAGTCCAAAGACATATGCATCTTATCGTCGTAATGCTGGCTTTGGAAGTCCAGGAATAGCCGCTGCTCGTTCTCCAAGGATGAGTTCGCAAGGTGTACAGCAATCACAATCATCAAGTAATGATACCGCTATGGATCAACAAATGTCAACCCCCAATCGAACACGAAGGGGATCACGATTTGTGAGAAGGAAGTCAATCTCACAAAAATTGCAAGAACTACCCTCGATCTGGTATGATCGTATCGTGTTCAGTGAATATCTGGATTTTGGCAATCCTGCAATAGGCTATCCGCTCGGTGTTGCGTTACACGTCATCAGCTGCTTATTATTGGCAATGCATCCAGAAGGATCTTTACGTCTTACTTCAGGCAATGGACAAGGAAGATTTGGTCGAAAAAATGCCTCTTTGTTCGGAAATGATCAGACTGGAATGGCAGGCGGTCTTTCCATGCGGAAGAAACAGCAACAAGATGCAGCATGGCGTTGGTCTGCAAATCTGATTTTGCTCTTTGTGATTGTGGCCGTTGCTTCCAATGCTTATCACCTTTTTACAGCACGAAGAAGGTATCATTTATGGCTCAAGTCTACCAACGAATCATTGCAAAGCGAAAATGCAAAACTGGTCGACTTGCCAGTGTCAGAAGTGGGTGCAACGTATCGAAAGCCGGTTCTTGAGGTTGTGCTAGAGACATCAGGACAAATCGCACACAGGATCACCACTGGATTGATTTGGATTGCAAAGAAAGCGTTATATCGTATCCGAGTCATTCGATACATTGGCGCTGTTGTTCGATTCTTCTTCCCACCTTCCTCGGGACCGGCAGGAGGCAGACAGTCTTCTTCCGGCAATCTTGCTCAACAGATGCATGCTCTTGATGTATGGCAAGCACCAGAAGTATCTTTGAGGATCTTTACGCTATACTCGCCTTTGCATCTTTTGATATACATCGCAAATACTCGTACAGGTCATCATTCAGGCTCTAGCAAGGCTTTTATGTTATTCGTCAGTTTAGGATTGATGGCTTTCATTTCTGCACAAACGGCAATCTTGGTTTATTTCTATGCAGCTTTGGTGAAAGATAAAGAATTGATCGCAGGAGAAGTGATGAACGAATATAATCAAAAATTCGTCATGCCTCGTGCTATGCCGGTTTGCAGAGATGCATCAACAATGACTTCACAATCCGAAATGCTTGGACCGGAAGATTTTAGACCGATCACTCAAAGGGTTTATGCCGATTCACAGACGCAGCATGAGAATGAGAATGGATCAAGTCGTACTTCGACAACCGAATCAGCCACACCGAGACGCTCGAAAAAGGGCAGAGCCACAGCAGCTTGACAAGATTTGCATACAATGCTTTATTTGTTTTATATTGTACAATTAAAATACATGATTTAACGACGAAATATTGTACAATAGACTACTTATTTGCCATCGATCTCTATTCATTGCATCAATTCGGTGGCGAGCCATTCTGAGGTTGATATGGGTATGTGGGCCATCCTTGTTGCCCATAGGAATATTGGGGAGGAGCAGTCGATTGCTGCTGCTGCTGCTGCTGTTGTTGTTGACGATAAGGGAACAGAGGCTTGGAAGGATCGTATGAATTGGTAGAATCGACACCTTGTTGTTCTACAGCTTGAGTATACACAGGATATCCCTGTGTGGCAGCATACCCGGCATACTGTTGCATTTGTGGATTCATCATTTGTGGTTGCTGTTGATATGCCTGGCCATAAGAGGCTTGCCATTGTTGCTGTTGCTGTTGTGGATAGCCTTGACCTGACCATTGCGCTTGCTGCTGTAGCATTTGTGGCATTTGCGTACCAGTATTCCATCCGTTCGCTCCTACAGGCGAGCTTGAGTTGTTCATATTTGGATTAACGTGTCCTATCATACCACCTCTTCCATTTCCTCTGCCACGGCCACGCATTACCTGCGATGAACCACCACGAGGTCTGATGTGTTGGTAGGAAGGAGCACCTACAGTAGAAGGTGAAGAATAGGACAGCACATTACTCTCGTACGAGGTTTCTAGTCCGGGTAATGGTGTGGAAGATATTTGTCCATCGTCATCATATGGCAATGGCATCGATCTTGTAGCCGAGCTCAAATCTGCATCCCTGTGCATGGCCGGTTGCATTGCGGACCCCATCGGTCGAGCAGGTAGATTGTGTTTTACAACGGATGACTTCACCTGAGCGCTATTTTGACCTGCAAATGCATTTTCAGCGTTGCGTTTCTTTCCTTTACCTCCATCTTTATCGCTATTTCCACTTCGTTTTGCTTTTTGATTCTTTTTGAAAGCTGCTTCCGCTTCATCATCACTAAATTCTTGCTCTGCATCTCCAACTTCTTCATCCCAGATATTGCTTGCATCACTACCTTTACCCATTGCTCTAAGAGCACGTGTTAGGATATAAGAGCTGCCGTTTGGAACGTAAAAGACTGGCTTGCCAAGCTGAATCTGGTCAAGATTAACATGAGCGGAGGAAGCGAATCGAAGAGCATACAGAGGCGCTTGAACAGATCCAAATGTCTCAAACACAACACCAAGTACATTGCGATCTTCGAATGCCAATACGCTGCCAGTATCCAGTACGCTATATTCTCCTTCTTGTTCGCCAACTCTGCCTGTCCGATCAACAGGAGGGACCAAATATCCATTTGTATTCTGTGCTCCAGGTGCTTTACCCGTATCTTGTGAAACAACCACGACACTGTCAACGATTGAATGAATCTTGCCCAAAGAACGGATATCGATACCTTCCGGAACGAGTGTGTAAGGAGGTACATCTACAGTTGGCTCAATTACTTCATTCTTTGTTGCTGGCCCTCTCCCTCCTGCACCAGATGCGCCACCCTCACCATCATCTCCCGAATCGTATCCGGTTTGCATGACCACTTTTCCTCTTCGTTTTCCATTTCTCACGCCAGCGCCTGTAGATGGTAAAGAGTCGCTACTGCTGCTGCTCTCATCGCTTGAAGAATCAGAATTGCTGTCATCGTCCTCCTCAGAATCTGGCACTTGGGTAGCATCCACTTTCTTCAAAGCAGACTGTACCAGATCTTCAGAACTTTGGCCTTCCCCTCCAGGTTGTGCTTGTTCTCCTGGAACAACTTGTTCACTTCCCGCTTCATCGTCCCATCCTGGAGGCAGTTGTCCTTTGCTTCCTCGTGTAGCAAGCACTAGCTGTCGTAGACGTTTCAGCTCGTCTTGCGGACCTGAAGTGATACCTTCTGATTCTGTAACTTTTTGCATCTCAGCATCGGCTTCTATTTGTGCTCTGATTAGGTCCAGATCGGATATGGCTGTCTGTGCTTCTGGCATAGCATTTATCGAGTCTGCGATCACGTCTGGGATTGTTTCTTTGGTATCTTGTGCGATAGCCTCGGTATGAATTGGATCTTGCGCCGTGTCATCGTGGATGTCTTCAATATTTTCCGTCTGTCTGACATGATCGTTCTCCTCATCTTTCACAACATTTTCTGCATTTGCCTTCTCCTCAAGAATATCAGAGGGTACCATTGCAGCCTGCTCCCCATTGATGATTGCATCATTGTTGCTCCTTACGCTGTCGATCTCCAGCTGTTTTGAATCATCATCCATTTTGAAGAATGAATGGATGAATGCTGCAGAGACTTTTGTAGAGAGGAAGGAAGAATGAAATTTCTTAACCCGGTCCGAAAGAAATTCAGTGCATGAAACGCGTGTATTTGCAAAATGTTTTTTTGGTTGGTGGAGAAGGCTAAATTTCTAAAAAATATTATGCACGTGGAAATTGTGATCAGCAGATGGCAATGAAGACAAGGTGATTGATAATACATGATGGTATATACAGTGTGCTCTAATATACATGAAATTGTTGTCAACGAATACAAGGAGACGAAAATGGTGGCAGAGCAATCTTCTTGGCGCTTTTTAGGCGTTTCCCTCTTTCTGTTTTCTGAAAAATTCACGAACGCTTTCCGCATCGACAACCTTTCCTTGATCGGCAAAAGGACGCAAATGATCAAAGAGTGCATCTCTCATTTTGTTGTATGCCTGCAAAGATTCCATCATCCTTTCCCGTGGTAATTTGCTCAAAGCTGCTAAACCTAAATCGTACGTTGAAGAAGTTTGTGAACCGCCCGCCTCCGATCTCCCATCCAGTCCATCTTCCTCAACTTGCGATTGAGGTGGTGAGTACGTCTCTTCAGGCGCAAGAAGGAATGGTAAATGAGTCCAATCAGGTGCGCATCGTTTACATCTGCATATCCGATCACGAAATGACTCTGTCAAAAATATATCCAATCGAGCAACTTTTTCTTCTTGCACAAATAAAGGTACGTCTGGTTCTATGCAAATGTCCAGCTCTTCCAATTTGTCTGCGCTGACAGGTATCAATGGTGCATCTGCACCTCCGACAGATTCATTGTCTGCATCGGAGAAATTGTCTAGTACGCTGAGACCGTTGATGTCTTTTCTGGCTCTTTTCTCGCTTTTTCCATCCTCTTGGCTTGGTTCTTCTGAGGCTTTTCTCTTAGTTTCTCCTTCATTTGGCATTGTTGTAGGCAAAGGTTGCTCGACCTTGGCTTGCACCGGCTCTTTCTCTTGTGCTAATGTTGTACCATTGAGTAGTCCATACACCTTCCAAGAACTCGTCCAACCTTCGCCTTTTGCAACGACAGGTATTGCAGGGATACCATCAATTTCCTTGGGTAGAATTTGATTGGGACCTTCTGGTAAGCAAATAATCCATCCTTTTGCTCCCAAATAACGACGCAGGATGTAATTGGTAGGCTTTTGTATGCATTCATGACAGATGAATAATTCGAACGATTCATGATCCACAAGAGGCCCATCGGATATGGAACGATTAGGTGATTGAGACTCCGATGCTTCTAGTGGAGACTTATGTGGACGTAAAGAAGTGCAAGACTCGTGTAGCCAATCTTCACAGATTAGACATTGGAACATGGTCTCATCTTCCTTTTCGGGATCGTACGACTTTCCACGTTCGCATCGACAAAATTGACCATCAAAATTCTGATTGTATGTGTTTTCATCGTTCTGCGGTGCGAAGTTCAGTTCTTTTATACGCAGAGAACATGGCAAGAGCGCCTTTTCCTTTTCCGATTTTCCTCTACAAAGCGAAAGTGTTCCACAATCACAACGAAAGTTTCTCTTTGCAAACAATTCCACTAATTCATGATCTGCATGACAGCCTACCGAGCAACCAGCACAAACACCACCTCCGCCGCACGTTTTGCAAGCATATACGGGTTGTCGTATATACCCTCTTTCATACGTACAGCCTCCTTTTGTAAAGCTAAAAGGTACTGCTTGTCGAGCTGCTTCTTCTAATTCAGCTTGTTTTTCGATTAGTTGTGCTGCTGTGAAACCTTGTTCATCATCTTGCAAAGGAGGAGCGGGTAGAGATGGGTCGGGTAATTGAGTAGATGAGGATGTTGCTTGATTCTCCATAGTGATTCTGCCTTCGAATCAAGATGGAGAAAAAGATTAAGTTGACCATCAATGTTGGTCGTGCATTCATCATCATGTCGCCCGACCCAGAACGCGACGCGCTGAGCAATTGGGTGAATAAGGATTATGTAAGCAGCTCATCTTCAAAGTCAGTCAGCTTGAAAGGACAAGCAATAAAACAAGTCATTAATCCTTGCGTAGATTCTAAGTGAAATAATTGTCTATCAATCATATTAACATTGAAGTGTCTTTGTGATCAATTACCCCGTTCATGCAATGATGATCAACTTTCTCAGTCGGAATTTGAATCTTCATTCTTCTGCATCTTATCTTTAAATTGACGTCATGACGCTTGGATAGAATTCAAAGAAACACCTGACAAGGAGAGCAAGCTGTTTTTCTCGGGTGATTATTTAAGCCTTTTCTCCCCCATTGATACTGCAATAACCCTAGGGTCCATGTCAACGTCTAACGCGGGATGAAATCAGTTGAGCATGACCCGTGCACACTGCTTTTTTGCCTAAAGTAGTTATTCCCATAGCATAATTTCGCTCCGCCCCCTTACATCCTTTTGAAAAATAAATAGCAACTTTTTATTTTTAAAAGGAGCACGAACCTTTACGGGGACAGCATTCAAGACAGGGTAAACGCCTCCGAGTATATATTTATATATAAATAATATCGATATATAATTTGAGTCTTGATCCGTTGCTATGACTCTAAAGAAGAGAAGTGAGCCGTTATTATTATGGGTTATAGAGGTCAATGTGACACGTCAATATACAAGTCCATTCGTGTTGAAAACATTTCCCCTAGGTATCACTCCTCCTTGTGATAGAAAGTTAGAACGAGTTAATCCGATTTATTTCCATAAAAGAAAAAGAACCGGACCAACAAGTGAGCCTTGCTGCTTTTTTTGCACTATCGCCCTAACACGCGGCAGCCCGCTGATATTATCCCCCTTTGAGCAGAAGAGAGCAAAAGCGGCGGCGGCGGCGGCGCGCGCGCGCGCACAAACACACACACAAAAGCACTCACTCGTCTTTCCAGCGCTCAACCCGCTGAGTTTCTTCAACACTGTTCTTCTGCCCCGGTTTAGTTTTTATCATCTTGCGCGCTCTCCGTGGCGTGCTTGGCTCAAAACCATCATCAAATTTTTATCAACAGCTGGCCATCTTTTGGATCTTCGACACAATTCTGTCATTAACGACCAACAGTTGCACATTCCAGCAATCATTCATTCGTAAAGACCTCGCGACATTCTTTCAAGATTAAAAGTCGATATTCGAGGTGAATGAAAACAAATTTTCAATCGATCTAAACAAACTACATCTCTCAAGGAATCTTTTCTGTTACAACATCTTTCACTCCTCCCCTGGTGCTGAAAAGATTGACAACAAAGTAGTCTGATTAACAACTCTTCGTTGACTATCTTCACGCTTGGGGTGGGTTTCCGATTTTATCGTTGGGTCAAACGCTTTTTCCATTCGTCAAATAAGACTTTGATCCGTCTCCGATCAGTATCGTGACTTTCTTTCTTCTCTTTTCGGCAGCCGATATCGCTCTGCCATTCTCTCGAGAAAGAAGTCATAGCTATTGATCCGTTTCATTGTCCGTAAAAAGCATTTCTGCCTCACAATTATCCGAAGCCTACAGTTGAATCTCTGTTGACAGAAGATCAACCACAAATTTCATCTCAAACTCTTCAACGCGCCAGTTTCTTTTTGGCATCAGTTCGTTTATTTCTCGTTTCGATCACAAGCTCTCTCTAGGAGTTTGTTCGCCATTCCGCTTCATTAACTCCGAGCTTCTGCATGACCTTCCGATTCGCTAAGGTCGATCTTCCTCTTTTTTGACTCTTGAATTAAAACGTCTCAATCCAGACTTTCAAGAGTGTTGTTGTCATCATTCACAAGTTGACAACTCTGCATATATAACCCACGCCATTAATCTGGTATAGCTTTGACGATCAGCATTTTCGTCAATCATTGTCAGAATTCATCGACTACAAAAGTCATCAGAAGCCACTCCCGGTTCTCGCTTTAAGCAATCACAGGCGTCCGATTCCGCTACGCCATCTTTACCAAAAGTCCAACTCGACTCAATCACCGCTTTCAACAACCCCAAAAAACAAAGTCCAAAAAATCTCAAAAACCCTATTTTGGCCAAAATGAATGAAAAGACGACACCTACTTTTGATTTTTCCGCCTTCTTGAATTCGCCCGCCGGTGGGAATGATGCCTCCTTCCCAATGATGGGAGGTGTAGGCATGACAAATTCCATGAGCAACGATCTGGTTGATTCATTGGATAACATACAAAATCCCTTTGAGGATTCTATCAATTACAACGACACTGGTATGCTGCCAGATTGGGCATCCTCCAACGCTAACGGCTACGGAGAGCATGATATGAATGCCAACACCATCGAAAGCTCTCAAGACTCCGACATGATGCGGCCACCCGTTGCATCTGATACGCCAATGAGTGCTAGCATGACACAACCGATCAATGGTACTGAAACATCAAATGGTGGTTTCACAACAAATTATCGTGCAAGCATTGCTGCTCATCATGTTGCGCAAATGAACCATTGGCTACCGCAGATGGGAGGCGCGGCCGGAGGAGCGCCTGCAGGATTGGGTGGAGCTGGTCAACGCAGTCAAGGAGGAAGTCATAGCTCTCCTTCTGTACCATTGAGTCAAGCTTCACGGTTAAGTATCGCGAAGAAAGCTTCTGAGCTCACCATTCAAGAACGACGTCGCTTGTCGAGACGGGGCGCAGCTGCCGGTCATGGTGTTAGTCAACCAACATCGATGCGTAATGTCGTTCAACCCGATACCAGTGAAGTGTCTTATGATATCCAAGAGGCTTCTGCTCCTATGGAAAGTTTAAGTGATATTCTACCAGATGGCAATCAAGCAATGCCATCTGTCGATAATTCTCACGGAGCTGCCACGCAAGGAACGCCCGAATATAACAACATTCATAGCGATTTTGTTCGTCGTGCATATTCAGCAACAGGCTTCGATCTCATTGGTGCTTTGATGAAAGTTGCAACTCGTCCAAATCCCAAGATTGAAATTGGTCCGGTAGACTTGTCGTGCTCATTCACAGTCTCTGATGCACAACATCCCGATCAACCGATTGTGCATTGCAGTGATACTTTCTGTCATTTGACTGGATACGACCGCAGTGAAGTTATCGGTCGCAATTGCCGTTTCTTGCAATCACCTGATGGAAATGTAAATCAAGGCACTGAACGTACACACACTGACAATGGCGCCGTTCGTCATATCAAGAAGCACCTCACACGTTTGCAGGAATGTCAAACAAGTTTGATCAATTATCGCCGTGACGGATCTCCGTTTATCAATTTGGTAACTATTGTTCCAATCACATGGGGCGATAGTCAAGAGCCAGTCTTCCTTGTTGGATTCCAAGTCGATCTTGTCGAACATCCGAGTGCTGTGATGGAACGTAAGCCCAACGGTTTATATGTCGTCAACTACAGCTCACCCAATATGATGCCATCAGTGCATATGCTGAATCAAGCACAACCTTCAGGACCGAATGCAGCAGAGACCGAAGCCAATCGAAAGGCAATGCTTGCCCAAGAATTGGCAGAAATAATGACCAGTGGCAATGAAGAATCCTCAAAGTGGGCAAGAATTCTTTTGGAGAACAGTCATGACATCGTGCATGTTCTGTCATTGAAAGGAACATTCTTGTACGTTTCACCATCCGTGGAAAAGATACTCGGATACAAACCGGAAGAACTGGTTGGAAAGAGCATCAGTGAATTCTGCCATCCTTCCGATGTGGTGCCTGTCTTCCGTGAATTGAAGGATTCCACAAGCAATGCTAGTATTGCAGCTGCTGCACGCCATTGGGCACGTTTCGATGGCACTGTCAACCCACCCACTAAAGGAGGCGCTGGTCAGACCGGTCCACAAGTCAATTTGATCATGCGCATGAAGCACAAGAATCATGGTCATGAGTGGATCGAGAATGTCGGTAAACTTCATTTGGAACAAGGAAAAGGCAGAAAGGTTGTCATTTCTACCGGTAGAATTCGTCCGATCTACAACCTGCCATGGGAACAAGCACGCAGATCTCTTAACAGCCGTGCCCCGGGATTCTGGTTCAAAGCTTCTGTCAATGGTTTAATCTTGAGCACATCTGGTAATGTGACAAGTGTCGTTGAAGGTGGATCACCAACAAGTGAACACAACGTTGCTCTGACAGGAAAGCATTTGAAGGAAATCATTGATAAGAATGCTTTGGAATCTATGACAAGCGCATTGTCATCCATGCAAGTATCTGCCATTCCTCATCTTATGACCAATGGTATTGGAGGTCCACAGCAAATGGTGATTTCGACCGTGATCCCTTCAACTGCAGGCGGTTCAAGTCTTCCTTCCGTTTTTGTCTACACGCAAAAAGCCAATCCAGCAGATTTTGCCAACCTACAAAAAGATGCTGTATATTGTCAAGAGGCATCTTTGGCAGCAGCACAAGCCAATCAAGCTGCAGGATTGAAACCAGGAGAGCCCGCTGCTGGATCGGTATTTGGAGAATTGTCAACGTTCCGATCTAGTAGTTGGGTATTTGAATTGCATCAATTGAAGAATGCGAATAAACGTTTACGTGAAGAAGTTCGTGCCCATCAACGTAGACTTTCTTCTGGCAATCGAATCACAGTTGGTATTCCACACAGCCCATCAAAGACCAAACCGGCTGTTACAAAGTTGCCGGTTGTCAATCGATTCAACAGCAATGGCAATTCAAGTAGCAGTAACGAGATCAGTCCATCTCCTGCTCCTTTCTCAGGCTCAAATTCAGGCTCTGGTACAGACAGTACTGGTGCTTCCAGTGCTTCTGTTCCAGCAGTAGCTGGCTTGAAGCGTTCAAGATCATGAGAAGATAAAGAAAACCGGAGCAAAACACAAACAAAACATTCAAACACGGGTTTTATGTAAAATGTATACGGGGGATTTTTTGTGACAACCAAAAATAGTAACGACTCAAGCTTTCTTTTTTAACGACCTTTACCAAGTTTTATTCGATGCGTTTCCTCTTTTGTTTTTTTCTTACAAATCGCTCGATGAAATTTCTCTTTTTTTTTTTCTTCCTTTCTTTGTGGTTGAAAAATTCTCCTTTTTTCGACCACTGTCATTCCTGTTCAGCGGTCAAGTCCAAAGTTGTTTTTCTGTTGGGCTTAACTCTTCACCTTAACTCAGACCGCCGTTGTACATTATAATTATTTATTTGAATTTGAATCTAGTTGAAGACCTGAAGAGTGAATGATGATGACGACTGTTTATCCATGAATCTTAAAAGCGGGTAAAAAGCATAAAAGCGCAATTGTAAGATTACTTAAGCACTTCGAACGCGTTTTTTTAAATTTTATCTTGTGATCTCGATGATGATGCATTTCACATCTTCTTGCTTTGAAACCATCTTGTCAAAACCTCAAACAAAAATGAGCTATCAAGGTGGTGGCGGCGGTAACAATGCCGGCTCTTACGGCTCAGGAATGATTCGACCTCAACCACCAATGGAGTACATCTGTGCCGGTAAGTGATGGGGTGTGGTACTTGATCTTGTGACAAGAATACTAATCTCTGTTTCTCCCCTTTTTTGGAATCCAGAATGTGCTTCCATTAACGAAATCAAACCTCGTGAGCCAATCAGATGTCGTGAATGCGGACATCGTATCATGTACAAGAAGAGAACCAACAGAATGGTGAGTTTGGAACAGTTTCTCGGCATGGATGCAGAAGATTGACACCCCCTTCTTTCCCCTCTTCCATAGCTTCAATTCGATGCTCGGTAGATGGAGCCATTCAAGTACACGACTGACAGGTTTCTCATCAAAGTGCAAAAAGAAGTGAAAAGACATGTATATTATTCGATCTTTGATGCGGAAAATTATCTTATTGGCAGTGGACAGGAGTAGTGGGTCGTGTGCATAGTCAGGAGGAAAGGGGCTTCAGGAGATGAGCAAGGGAAGAAGTTTAGACAGAGCTAGTCTATCAAACTGGCAGTGCAGTGGACCTGCCGAGGATTGTATAGAGTGGACTGTCAAAACCTGTGTAGATGAAAAAGTCAGCCAAGAAAGCACCGATAAGACCGCCAGGAATGTTTGCCAACCAAATACCCCAAATCCAATATGCTCCATCATGAAAGAAGACACCTTCATAACCCATTAGAGAAAGAGCGATTCTTGGACCGAAGTCACGCGCTGGATTGATTGCGAAACCGGTCTGAGGACCAAAAGCGACTGCGATTGCAGAAATGATGATGAATAGATGAAATGAAAGGTTTGAACCGACATGAACGTTTGTGTCTGAAAGACAAGCAATCATTCCAACCAAGATTGCCGTTCCTACGAATTCATCAAACCAAACATTCAAATTTGAAAGGCTTGCGTTCGGAATACTGATAAAGTTTCCAATGATTGAATTACCTTTGCTTGCATGTTCAAAAGCTTTGATAGCATCACGATAAACGAAACAAACGGTAAACGTTGCTAACATACAACCAATCGTTTGAGCAAGAATATAACGTGGAACTTTTTTCCATGAAAATTTACGAAAGACTGCCATCGTTACCGTTACTGCAGGATTGATATGACCGCCCGAAATTGGTCCTGCAATCGCTGCTCCAATCGAAACACCTGCTGCCCATCCGATCAAACATTGAATGTAACTGCCTGTCTCGGGATAAAGTTGGGCTTGACATTGGGCGCCTGCTCCGAACAGGATGATCATGAATGCACCCGCCATTTCGGCCAATTCTTCCCTGTACAATGCCATTGTCTGATGGGAGGACAGAGACATTTCAGTGTGATGGTTCGTCTGGTATGAGCTTTTTTGCACTTACCATTTTGATAATGTTACTTAGATGATTTCACACGTTTGAGTTGGTGGTCAAGCAAAGAACGCCATGATAAAAGGGCTTTATGTTGCAAATTCTGCACTTTCTAAGACCCTTCTGGTGGTACCTCCTGTTTTTTGCTAGAAAGGAGCTTTTTCGCATTGATCGTATGAGGGGTCTGTCTTCTTCCGTGAGCTTCTCCTTTCCTTGCGCCGATTTCGGCTGCTTCGTGGAATGAGATCCTGGAAGTCTTGGCAGGGTGCACTTAAGTGATTTCTCTACATCTCATGGGATACTCATGTGAATGCGTCTTGTTGATTTTTTCTATCATCTTTTTGAAATATGATTTGGTTCAATTTATTATATTCTTCCAAAAATTTAATGAATTAAAGTACAACAATCTTTTGGTATTTTAGGGTGAGGAGAGCAACCGGTCACATCTGAATGATACAATTGAAAAAATGCTTAATAACATATATTTTCTGACAGTAGAAAGTGAAATAGTATTTCTATAAATCTGATCAGGAGAAGTAGGACATGCGATATTCTAGCGATGATGAAGACCACGTGCACGAGTTGGATTTCCAAGAACTTTCTCTCAAGCACGCGTTCTTTGTGAATTGATTCAGCCAACACTGTTCATGCGCCTTTGTTAAAACTTAACCAGTCGGGAATTTTATTTCTCCAAAAAGAAAAAAAAAACCAAACTTTCGGAGATCTGAAACAGAAAATTCACCACGGAATAAGTGCTTATTCGTTCCGAGGAAAAGGGCTTAAAAAGAAAGAGTTGTACAGACATACATGTGAGCACTATGGGTGATCCGTGGCACGCTCAGTGTTAAACGAGTAGCCTTACAACTGTACCAAAAATGATTTAAGGACGTGCGCGGCAGTTTATATACGAGTTTAAAACCTGTGGAAATACGCCTGTGATCATGCAAAGACAATAGAATAATAAAGAAGATTCATTTCACTCCTCAATTGCCATTTAATGGAAAGTTGGGAAGCAGCATTGTCGGGATAGGTCGTAGGAACAATAGCGTATGTATTAAATTGACAAGAAGATACTCATGCATGTCAATCCAAATCAAAGTTGGAACATTGTTGTGAGCATCACATCATCCTTTTCTTTCTCACTTTCATCGATCTCATTCAACCCAATTTCATTTCATGTGAGTACTACTCTAATCAGCCATCGCCGCACACACTCATTACGGTCCTGCGAGTAGAAAACAAAAAGAAATGCGGCGTTCGGCCATATTCACTCCGATATGAAGACAAACTCTTAAAGGCTGAAAGACAATGTACTGACACTTCTTTCACGCACTTGCACTTCACTACCATCTCTTTCCATCCATCTTGCCATTACCATCCCCCACTTCACACTTTCGCACGCCACATTCATTCCGCCCTCTTTTTCATCATTCGGTCCGGTTACCCGTCCGCTCTTTTGCAATTGTTCGGCCGGCTTGAATTTGATGTCCTTCATTTCGATCACAACATTCATCGCTTCGCCATTTTCACCGATTTACACGCACGCAAATGAATCGTAAACGTATAAAGAGTAGCCTAAACAAGACACCTCATCCATAACCTTTACAACCAACATCTTCCCCTTAAAATGGTCGACAAAAAGCGTATCTTGATCCCAGGTGGTGCAGGTTACATCGGTAGCCATGTTGTCTTGTGCTGTCTCTTGACACGTCGTTACAAGGTGACAGTTATTGAAAACTACAGTAACTCTTTCGGCACTGCATTGGAACGTGTTGAAAAGATTGCATTGGATGCCTTACCAGCAGATGCACCTCAAGCAGATCGTGATGCATGCAAGATTGATGTCATTCAAGGTGACATGCGTGATCGTGCTACTTTCAAGAAAGCTTTCCAAAAGTATTCTGGAGCTGATGCCATTTACGCTATCATCTTGACTGCTGCTTTGAAATCTGTTGGTGAATCAAGCTCAAAGCCAATCGAATACTACGAAGTCAACACAAGCGGTTTGATCGGAATGTTGGCAGAGATGAAGGAAGCCGGTTGCGGAAGATTGATTTACAGTAGTTCAGCAACCGTTTATGGAACACCAAAGACAATCCCAATCCCCGAATCATCTCCAATGCAAGCCGAAAGTGTTTATGGCCGCACCAAACAAATCGCTGAATTGATTATCAAGGATGTCTGTGACGGTCACCCAGACTTCTTCCGTTCGATCAGCTTGCGTTACTTCAACCCTGCAGGTGCTCATCCTTCTGGATTGATCGGAGAAGACCCACGTGGTAAGCCAGGAAATTTGCTTCCTTTGTTGGCACAAATGGCAGTGGGCAAATACCGCGAACCAGGATTGAAAGTGTTTGGAAACGATTACCCAACACCAGATGGAACATGCGTTCGTGATTACATTCACATTATGGATTTGGCAGGCGGTCACGTTAATGCATTGGACGCCGTTGATGATGATAGCAAATTCCACGATGTTACCACACCCGGTAAATTCAAGGCATACAATTTGGGCAAAGGTAAAGGATTGAGCGTGTTGAACATGATTGAAGCAATGAGAAAGGTTAGCGGTTATGAATATCCTTATGAAATCGTTGGAAGACGATTGGGAGACGTTCCTGATTTGACTGCCGATCCATCTTTGGCTGAAAAGGAATTAGGATTCAAGGCAAAGTACAGCTTGGACGATATGTCACGCGATACATGGAACTGGCAAAGCAAGAACCCAAAAGGATATGATACCGAATAAAGAATTCTCAATTCTGACAAATTAGTACTTGCATCATTTGGCATGCATGCATGGTTTCTCAATAGCAAAAACGTCCAACTTTTTAAAAAATAAATCAGCAAAACTTTGTACGAAACATTAGCTTTTCCTATATCCTTAATAATAGATCGTATTGTCATTCTTGCCTTTTGTATGGAGTGGAATAAGAAGGAGAATGAGAATCTTTCGAATGTTTGTACATACCCAGAATTCAAGCAAGTTGTACCCATGCAGTCAGTGCCTTGCGCGGCATCTCACAAGGCTAAAGAAGAAGCAAAGGATGATTTGAAGCGGTGTTGGATAAGGCGGTCTTCTTATGATTAGTGTACGCGTGTAAGACCTTCTGCTGGATTTCTGCTAAGAATAGAGCATACAAAAGCGTGGGTGCGTACTGAGCCTGAACCACAGACAAGGTCAAAAAAATCCGACACGTTTCTTAAAAGTGATAATATAGTCTTACTGCTCCCGATCTCTTTCTCGCATTGACTTACCATTCCTATCAAGTTCGTCAACATCACATTCTAACTGTGATTACTGTAAATCTGACGGCGGCTTGAAAAAGTGTGGAGACGGGGAAGAGTCAGTCTATCAACGAACGAACGAACGAGCCTCGGCGCTGAAATTTGCCGAATCAGTTACGCCTTCTTCCCTTGTGATTGGTCGGTTTATCGTAAAATCGGTAGGGTATTCTATCAATCACCATGAGTGATAGTATCGATCAATCCCTAGATGGAAAGCCAGAGCTTCCGACTGGTGGAACACCGATCATCGGAACATCTGCTTTGCCAACAGCACTAAACGAGGAAAGGGTTGAAGATGTTGTAAAGCAAGAACATGAAGCAGAGCATGACACACAGGCGATCATACATGAAGAAGGAAAGACGGGCTCAGAATCAACCATGGAGTCTTCTATAGTTGAACATAGCGTCAGTGGTGGAGAACAATCGTATACTGGAGATGCCAGTCACGAAATGAGCACTGTACCAGATATTTCAATCACTTCGCATGATGATGGAGAACAACACGCACAAATGGCAAGAGCGACAAATGCATCTGCAGATCCTGATTCTACGATCGAATTGGAAGATGCACCTACACCTTCTGCTAAAGAACTTCCACTACCACCCCAGCACACCATCGAACAGCAAGCCGTACAAAGCGAAAGCCATGCAGACACAAACACTTCCACTTCCTCAAGAGCGCCTTCGCAATTACATTCAACAGACTCACCTGAGCAGAGTATCACAGATAGATCGAGAAGGTCTTCGGTTACCAGCACAACGTCAACCGTTCATTCTCGTTCATCTTTACGATCTTTGAATAAGGGAAGTGCGGTATTTGTAGTTTCAGCTTTAGAGCAAATCGCAGCCAGCAAAGAGGCAAAAGGCAATAAGCCACCTGCAAAAGCATTACGAGAAGCTGCTTTGCGAGCGTTGGAATTGGTACGCAGTGCTACACAGCAACAAAATGCCAACGTTTCAGCAGAATCAGGAGAGCCACCTGCGCCAGGAATTGAAATGGATCCAAGAGTGGTTTTCGAACCATTACGATTGGCATGTCAAACGAGAAATACGACTTTGATTGTTGTTGCTTTGGATTGTTTAGGAAAGTTGGTTTCTTATTCGTTCTTTGCGGAAGATGCGCCAACTCATGAAAACAGCGAAGAAGCTTTATCGGATGTTGTAACTTCGACTGTTTGTGAAAGCTTTTATGAAGGTGTAGACGAGAAAGCACAATTGCAAATCATCAAAGCTCTCGTGGCGGTCGTCTTGTCTACCAGCGTACACGTACATCAATCCAGTTTACTTAAAGCTGTCAGAACGGTTTACAATATCTTTTTGCATTCTAAAAGTACAGCAACCCAAGCTGTCGCTCAAGGTGTATTGACACAGATGGTACATCATGTCTTTGGACGGGTTCCAAGATCACAACGAGGAGAAGTGAGTGCAAATGGGAATGGATTGCTTAGCCCTACACGCTCTGCAGGAGAAAGTGAGCCACCACCTACGCCTAATAGACGCAATGGCGAGCAAGACAGGGAAGCCGCTACCCAAAAGAGCGAGACTGGAGAAGAAGATGTGCCGTTGGACGATGGAAAGGAAGAAGGACATGCAGAGAGTAGCAAACAAGGCGCACAAGAACGTCAAGTAGGAAATGAAAAGGTTACACTTAAATCTCTCGAAGGAAGAGCGTCATTCGAAGGTGCATCAGAACGTGATACAGGAGCAGCATTAATGCAGAATTACAACATTACACAATCTGAATTGTTCGTCAAAGATGCCTTTTTGGTTTTACGTGCTTTATGCAAGTTAAGCATGAAACCTGTCAGTGCGGATAGCGAACGTGATCTCAAATCTCAGGCGATGCGATCGAAGCTTTTATCGATGCATTTGATTTTGACAATCCTTCGTTCGCATATTAGCGTATTCACAGATCCAAGTGTGATCATTCACAGTGCATCAACAGGTGAACAAACCCCGTTCGTTCATGCGACAAAACAATATCTTTGTTTGAGTTTGAGCAGAAATGCGGTTTCCAGCATCAATCAAGTTTTCGAAATTTCTTGCGAAATCTTTTGGATCGTTTTGAGCGAAATGCGAACAAAGATGAAAAAGGAAATTGAAGTTTTGATCAATGAAATCTTCTTGCCAATCTTGGAAATGCGTAATTCAACAGCAAAGCAAAAGTCTATCCTATTGACTGTTTTCATTCGACTTTGTCGTGATCCTCAAGCTTTGGTTGAGATTTACCTGAATTACGATTGTGATAGAACAGCTTTGGACAACATTTACGAAAGATTGATCAATGTCATCAGCAGGCTCGCCCAGACTCACATCATGCCAGGAACGCTATCGGAAAAGGATGCCGATGCTAGTACACCTTCATCGAGTAGCCGCGGAAGGAGCGATGCACCCACTATCCCGCCAACTTTAAGTACAGCCAACCCTAGCGAAGCAGGTGTACAAGAAATTAGTCAAAGTCTAGCAGGACAACCTATTGAAGTTCGATTGAAGAGACAAAGCCTAGAAAGCCTTTGTTCAGTTTTACGTTCCCTTGTGATTTGGTCAGGCAAGTCTGCTATGCCAGCTGATGCTGTACACCCTAACGGTGGCTCATCGTTTGATGGATCTGCATCTCCTGCTCGTGCAAGCTTTGATGCTCGTGGAAGTGGCATGAGTCGAGGAGATGGAAGTGCAAGAGGGATGGAGCATTCGAGAAATGATTCGGGATCAATCACTCCAAGTATCACATCTTCTGCAGTGATGAATACGAGTACACCAGACTTTTCACGTGTGAATACGCCTGATTTGCCCGTCGACGATCCAACTCGATTCGAAACAGCCAAAGAACGCAAAACGATGCTCATGGAAGGTATTAAACGATTCAACTTCAAGCCAAAGCGTGGAATCGATTTCTTGATTCAACAAGGCTTTATTCCTTCGCGAGAACCGATTCACATTGCACGTTTCTTGCTGTACACCGATGGTCTCAATAAAGCCCAAATTGGTGAATATTTGGGAGAAGGAGATGCAGAGAATATTGCTTATATGCATGCTTTTGCTGATTTGATCAATTTTGAGCGTATGTCTTTCACTGATGCTTTGCGCAAATTTTTGCACGCATTCCGATTGCCAGGAGAATCGCAAAAGATTGATCGATTCATGCTCAAGTTTGCTGAAAGGTACATGTCCGGAAACCCTAAAGAGTTTGCGAATGCAGATACAGCATATGTGTTTGCCTATTCGGTCGTAATGTTGAATACAGATGCACACAATCCGCAAGTCAAACATAGAATGACATTGCAAGATTTTATCAAGAACAATTCTGGTATCGATGATGGTAAAAATTTGGCAGACGAATATCTAGCCGGTGTTTATGATGAAATTCAAAAGAATGAAATCAAGATGAAGGATGAGATTGCTTTACCTACTCCAACAACAGGTCAAAACGCCGGTGGTTTTGCCAACGCAATCGCTGCTGTAGGAAGAGATTTACAGAGGGAAGCCTATGTCTTGCAATCTGAATCGATGGCCAGCAAGACTGAAGCTTTGTTCCGAACAATGGTGCGCACTCAACGTCGCATTCATCCTCAACAAAGAGCAGCAGCCGAACAATTCTATTCTGCGAGTCATTTTGAGCACGTTCGACCTATGTTTGAAGTTGCATGGATGGCATTCTTATCGGGTATTAGTGGTCCATTACAAGAGACTGACGATCCGGAAGTGGTTGGATTATGCCTGGATGCATTCAAAGATGCAATCAGAATCGTTTGCTTATTTGGAATGGAATTGGAAAGGAATGCCTTTGTGACTACGTTGGCCAAATTTACTTTCTTGAACAATTTAGGAGAGATGAAAGGCAAAAATGTAGAAGCAATCAAAGCTTTATTGGGTATCGCATTGACGGAGGGTAACTACCTGAAGGGAAGCTGGCACGAAGTATTAACCTGTGTTTCGCAATTGGAACGTTTCCAATTGATCAGTGGTGGTGTCGACGAACGCTCTTTACCAGAATTGGGAAGAAGAGCATCGGCCGCCAGAAAATCTTCAAATCCAAGAGCGACAACTCTGCCCACAGAAGAGGTCGTACAGGCGGGAGCTTCAAGTGAGGTGACTGTTGCGGCTGATCGAGTTTTCTCTTCTACGCCCTTGTTATCGGGTACAGCTATCGTTGACTTTGTTCAAGCTTTATCCGATGTTTCTTGGGAAGAGATTCAATCGAGTGGAATGTCATCCGATAATCCAAGATTGTTCAGTTTGCAAAAATTGGTCGAAATCAGTTATTACAACATGAACCGTATTCGTATGGAATGGAGTAACATCTGGTTGATTTTGGGAAATCACTTCAACGCCGTTTGTACACATTCGAATGGAAGAGTATCCAGTTTCGGCTTGGATTCTTTACGTCAATTGTCGAATAGATTTTTGGAGAAGGAAGAATTACCTCACTTCAAGTTCCAAAAAGATTTCCTCAAGCCATTTGAATACACAATGCGAAACAATCGATCTTCGGAAGCAAAGGAGTTGGTCTTGCAATGCCTTCAACAAATGATGGCAAGTAGAATTCATAATATGCGATCAGGTTGGCGTACGATGTTCGGTACGCTAGGTGCAGCATCAAAGGCATCTGAACGGGTTGCATCATATGCATTCGAACTCGTCAGGCAGCTCAATGCTGATCATTTTGGGGAGATTCTCACGGCTGGTGCTTTTGCTGATTTGACTGTCTGCTTGACCGATTTTGCAAAAGCATCTCACGCTCAAAGAGTTGCACTTCAAAGTGTTTCAATGTTACGTGGAGTTGTGCCAAAGATGCTTGCTGTACCTGAATGTCCAATCGATGCAGATGTGGAACCAGCTCCTCCTGCAACCACGCCAATGATTGATGATCCAATGGTCCGCTTCTGGTTCCCTGCCTTGTTTGCATTCTATGATATTATCATGAATGGTGATGATCTGGAAGTCAGACGGGTAGCCTTGGATGCCCTGTTCGAAATCTTGAAGAAGCATGGTACAACGTTCAGATTAGACTTTTGGGACACTGTCTGTCAAGAAGTTCTCTTCCCAATCTTTGCCGTTTTACGATCACGTTCTGATGTCACTCGTTTCAGTACGCAAGAGGATATGAGCGTTTGGCTTTCCACAACAATGATTCAAGCTTTGCGTAATTTGATCGATTTATGGACACATTATTTCCGCATTTTGGAAAGATTATTGCCGGGTCTATTGGATCTGTTGTGTGCTTGCATCTGTCAAGAGAATGATACATTGGCTCGAATTGGAACAAGCTGTTTGCAAGCATTATTGGAAAAGAATGTACGCAAGTTGAATGAAGAACGTTGGGGTCAAGTGGTTGATACATTTGTACAATTGTACAAGACCACAACTGCGGTACAATTGTTCGATCCTGCTTTACGTGCAGAACATGTCTCTATCAGTCCTTCTACCAGTATATCTAGTGTTTCAGTTGCTGATCCAAACAACGATTCGGCACCTATGCAAGCGCAACCGCTTTCTCCACCTATCCAATCTGCTCAAGTGGAAGGTAACTTTGCTTCACTTGAAGGTGTCATTTCACCCACAAGCGCAGGACCGGAAAAGACTGCCGCTGCTGCAGCTCCTATGACACAATCCGAAAGAAGGCGAGCTTTCAAGCAAATTATTGTGAAATGCGTTTTGCAATTATTGTTGATCGAAACAACAAATGACCTTTTGAGCAAAGGATTGGTGTACGATCTCATACCCAGTCATGAGCTATTACGTTTGATGGGCGTTTTGGAAGACAGTTTCCGATTCAGTCGCAAGTTCAATGCGGATAAAGAATTACGAACGGCATTGTGGAAGGTCGGATTTATGAGACAATTGCCTAATTTACTCAAACAAGAATCCAGTTCTGCTGCAACTTTGATTCACATCTTGGTAAAGATGCACAGAGACACTCGTGGAAAGATGAAAGCAATGGTTTCCGATAAGCTTGTTCCGCTGAGTGAAGATATTCTGGTGTCGTACTTGCCGCTCGATATTGAAACGCAAGCTCGTAACATTACAGCTTGGACACCCGTGGTTGTAGAGGTTTTATCTGGTCTCTGCAGCCTGTTGGAAGCACATCACGGCAATCGCAAGGATGATGAAGCGGAAGAGACGCCTGTAACGCGCAATGGATTGGATCGTGATTCGCTTGTGAGAACATTCTACCCATTAGCAGTGGATCTTTTGGGTCGTGAATCTTTGCCAACGGAAATCTCAAGAGTTCTTCAAGAATTCTTTGGACATGCTGGCTTTGCGATGGGAATCATGACTGCATCTTCTGAACGTGATCGAAAGAAAAGGATGCGTGAAATACGCGATAAAGAACGTGTAGAACGATTGGCAGACGTCAATCCTCCATCTCAAAGTAGTGAGAGCAATGAAGGAAATGGTCAAAGAAACGCCAATCATCCTTACTTGAACGGAAGAGCAGCCGCAAACGGAAATGGGGGCTCTGAAATTGCACAAACGCTGATGACAAATTCGCAAGTGCAATTGGCTACAGGAGGTGGAGCGAATGATGCAGTAGAAAGTTCTGATCCTGTACCTCCTCCAAGCAAAGCACTCGTTGGACAAGCTGTAGAAGAGGATACTTTGGCTCCAACACCACCTGTGATTTCCAAATTGAGCGAGGAAAGCGATCCCATGGAGACCGTTAATGTCAACGCTACAAATTGAGAAAGTGTTGTTGTGTACGATTATCAATCTTTGTCCTACCTTTAGAGATTATCCCTATTTCGTCTTTGCAATCTGTACTGAAAAGAATTGTGCTTCTATAATTATTACGAATACAAATGGAAATTGAGCATATCATACAATTAGTGTGTTGTACAAATAAAGCAAAGAAAAAGAGAACAATGACGGCAATCACTTTTCTCAACCTTGTGATTGCTCATGGGAGAAAGATTGAGAGAAGTCCGGAAGTCCCAAAAATAGTTGTGATTGTTGATTGCTGCGTGTATTGCGAGCAGGTGAGGTGTGTAGCGATGGCGGCTGGTCAGTGCCAGATGAATGGACTGGGGCGGCCCGTCTCACATCCGAACTATCTCTTGATGTGGAAGCTGATGAATGACTTTCGGGTTGTGTGACAATTCTCGTCGTGAGAGCGATCGGCAATCGATTCCACTTTTCCATTCCTTGTCGTACATCTTGTAAGAGTGGGGGTATACGCCAAGTTGCATTTGAATCACATCGAGTTTCTTCAAATACACGCTTCCAAGATCGAAAACTGAATCGGATTGGCTTTGTTCGTCTTTCTGCAAGAGCTCTTGAAGCTGCACGTTGTTGAACGGCAATAGTAGCAACATTCAATCCTTCGATCAATTCTGCCATCCTAATGAAGACCTGCTCCGTTTCAGAAGGTGAAAGCTTGGTTGTTTGTTGAGCTGAACAATTTTTCTTAGACCAAGGTTGAACAAAAATGCCGTCCAGTATGGAATCATAAACGAATGGATGAATCAAAAGACTGCAAGAAGCAATCAGTTGGGCAGAGAAGCGCATACTGTTTGGCGGCCCTTCAAAGAGGATTTGATGGAAGAATTTGCAAAGTAGAACCTCGAAGCCGGTCAAGAAGTACAATTTAGCATGCAAAGCTTCGAACAACATCGCAATTGCAACGATGAACAATCTACGTTCGTGTACCGATTGGCTTCGCACATAGCTGTATCGAAAGAGCTCATCCAAAGCTGCAGAAAGGCAATAGGCGGCCTCTGAAGCATTGAATCGGGTATTGTCTGTTGGATCACCCACAAAGCACAAAGCCGAGAGCTTCCGGTGCAGCTTTTCTGCCCATACCTTAATTTGACTGTTCGGCGAAATGTTAGGCAAGATCGTATCCAAAGCTGAAGTGACTTCCTTTCGTACATCATCAGCTCGAACCGAAGCAATCACTGAAGGTGGCATATCGGAGACTTGAGAGACATTGATATCTTCCAATTTCACCGAAGGAGCAAGTGAAGTAGACCTGCTCTTCCCTGCCTCTGCTCGCATTTCGATATCTCGCGGTGTCTCGGGAGGAGTCAAAGGACTAATCTCGTACTCTGCCTTGACGGAAGATCCGTTCGTTGGCTCATACGACGAAGACGAAAGCGAGCCCGAAGCAAAGAGTGAATCGTTTGAAATCGTGCCGTGGGTAGACGGGCTCTGGACCCTCGTTGTGTCAAGGATAGGCTCAGCGTCTCTTTGAGAATCGGCGGCTGCTACCTCCCCAAAGGAGTCTCTGCTATTCTGTCGACTTGCAGAGGGGTCAGAGCCGTGGTAAACGTCAGCTTCAATTATGCTTTGCCCATCCGACATGCCGGTCTCACCATCGTCTTCAAACTCTTGCACGTCTGAATCGTTATCAGGCTCATCAGTCAAACTGAGACTGTCCAAGCCTCCTCGCCTTCTGGAAGGGCCAGGGATGTCCAAAGCTTCCACCCGAATCGCATCATTCTCGTATCGTCTGCGGGCATGTTGAGCGCTTGTTGTCGAAGTTGATGGAGCAGATAACCTTTCACTGTTTACTCGGGCTTGCATCCAAGCAATATCATTTGATGCTCTCCTCTGCATGGCAGAAGCGAGTTTAGGTATTTGTCCTTCGGACCTCGGTCGATTTGTAGATGGCTGAGACGTACTCCTGGCTTTTGTCAAACGGGAACGCGGGAATAGCGCTTCGATATCAGCTGGAATCCGTTGCTTTGCCTTACGCATCTCGAATACACGTTTTTGAATCCTACCTTCCAGAACAAGTGCGGTTCGCCCTTCGAATCGTTTGGCGTTATTCTGTAGAAGTATATTGAACACATCCCTCCTTTCTTCCAAGGTGTATGTAGGACCAGATGATGGACTGTCTCTTAATTGTTCGGTCAACTTTTTCCATAAGAATGCCTTGTCTTTGTCTGACCAAGCGCGACCACTACTTCGCATTTGATCTTGGGTAGAAAGTGGCATCGTCCTAGATCGTACTGGCTGTACTTCTGGCCGACTGTTGATTGGACGTGAAGCGGGAGATCGAGATTGCGTACCAATGGCCCGATTTGAAGGCGATCCGGGCGGTGTCCTAACTGTTTGAGCAGGTGTGCTAGTTTGTGCTATCCTCTTTGCTGGGGCTGTGATTGGCGCAGAAGCCGCCGAATGATCTGATTCTCCAGAGGATCTCCTGCGTTTGCGAGGCTGCTTGCCTTTATTTATTTCAGCATGAATGATCCATCCATCGGCAATTGCGCTGTTATAGGTATCCTCACCCTCGATTTCCCATACGATATCATCTTCTTTGAACTTGAGCGTTACCTCTTCTTCTTTGCAATTTAATCGTTTGGCCGCTGCTTTGATCGCATCTGCCATTGAAGCATTTTCCATTTGAAATGGTCGATCGCCACATAATAGTTTTACGCGAACCATTATTGCGATGATGGTTGTAAGCAGTTGAGAGCGGTCAAGGTGCCATGATTAATATTTTCAGTAGATCATCCTCCCATTAATGCGGGGCGTTGATTGATTGCGATGGTAGTTAAGAGTGTAGCTAAAATGTTCCGCTCCTGGATGGATGGATGGATAGCCTTTGATTGAGTGACTTAAAATAAAAATGCTAGAGCTCAGCTCCACCTCTAGTGTGTGTTTGAGTGACAGGAGGAAATGTTAAAATTAAAACACATTTTAAGGACGTGTTGCGTTGCCTTACGCACTCCCTTCTGTTAGACGTGTTTAATTAGCACTTTCATTCGCAAATAACCGAACCGGGGTTTAGAGGGCTAAGTAAAACGTTCAAAGCTTCTCCCATCATCACCATCAAAAAGGCTTTAACAATGACTCAAATAAGGCGGCTGGCAGCTATAAGCTTCTTGCTCGCATTGGGATCCATAATAACCGCTTTGAGCCTTCCATTATTAGCACCATCACTGTTTGTCAGCGCAGCACAAGTTGAACAAGTACAAAAGTTCTTTAGCAATCCTGAAACAACAAATGGTCAATACAACGATGGTGGACATACTAATAATTGGGCAGTCTTAGTATGCGCTTCGAAGTTTTGGTTCAATTATAGACATATGGCAAACACGCTTGGGATGTACAGAACAGTGAAGCGATTAGGCATACCTGATTCAAACATCATTCTCATGTTGGCCGATGATGCTGCATGCAATAAACGAAATCGCTCTCCTGGCTATGTTTGGATGGATCACGACAAATCTTTGGACTTGTATGGAGAAAGTGTGGAAGTCGATTATCGTGGCTATGAAGTCACTGTCGAGACGGTCTTACGTGTCTTGACAGGAAGGGTGCCACCACACACACCACAATCAAAACGATTAGAATCCGATTCACGTTCAAATGTGTTCTTGTACATGACCGGACATGGCGGAGATGAATTCCTCAAATTTCAAGATTATGAAGAAATCAGCGCTTTCGATTTAGCAGATGCGATTGAACAAATGTGGGAAAAGAGGCGGTATAATGAATTATTCTTTATGATCGATACTTGTCAAGCCAATACGATGTATAGCAAGATCTATAGTCCAAACGTTTTGGCCACAGGGAGTAGCGAAAAGGATGAAAATTCATACTCACATGGAACGGATGAAAATCTCGGTGTGGCATTAAGTGATCGATTCACATTGGAAGTGTTGAATTATATGGAAAGCATTAACAAAACTAGCACCAAGACGATGAAGGACTTATTCGATTCATTCGATCCGGCCGTCATTCACTCACATCCTGGCGTACGTACAGACCTGCTACACAGATCCACCGATTCAATTCGAATCACTGATTTCTTTGGCGGAGTTGCACAGGTTGAGCTGGATCATACTTCTGCCGGACAAGGGGTTCAATTAACTTTTTAATCTACATCACCAACACAGATCTTGCTACTTTTGCTTAATCTCACAAGCATGCTCAGATGAATGTACAATAGAATGTATCTGCTTATTGCGTACAAATGAATACATATACCCACCCATCATAGTGCCAAATAATCCTTCACCTCACTCTCTGTTAATTTGCGGAAGCATGGAATTTGCTTTTGGCTCTGTCCGATTGGTGATTGTGTTGATGTTCCGATGATACCGATCTCGATCGTCTTTTCCGTCATCTGTCCCTCAAATCCTTCTTTCAATGTCAGCAGGGCTGTATGGATAGCATCTTCTAAAGAAATATCGTCATTATACCGCTTCTCCAAGAAAGTCTTTGCATTTGTCATATTTTTTCCGATCGCACTTGCTTTCCACATGAAATAACTTCCAGAAGGATCGACTTGGTATAGAGATGGTCCACGAGCGCTATCGAATCCTGCCACAAGAAGTGAAACACCAAACGGTCTCACACCACCACTTTGTGTTGCTTCTTGCATGATTGATGCAACCTCTTGCACCAGAATTCTGGTTGGTGGATATTCGCCATAGATCTTCCAGTATGCTTGTGCACTCTTTCTTGCTTTGGCTAATAAGACTCGGAAATCAGGTCCCATTCCAGAGTATACGATACCGATATTAGGACAAACGATTGAGACCTTTTCTAGGAATGAATCGTCTACTAGAGGTGAAGGTGGACGTTTTTCTGTTGCAATTACGATGGCATTGGATGCTTTGATACCTAAAGAAGTTGCACCTTGTGATACTGCTGCTAATGCATGTTCAATTTGAACCAATTTACCGCTCGGCGAGAAAGTTGTCAATGAGAAGCTACGATGGTAAGCAACGTGTTGGAGAATCGTCAGTACCTATGCAATAAAGAAACATGACCAAAGTTATTCTTTTTTTTGTGAACATACCTATAAGCTCCTTCTCCTGCACCAGCACTCATGATGTGCTAGAGAATATGTTGAATTTGATGCTGATGGTGATGAATGCAACAAATGTCAACTGCCTTATCAAACATACGCGCGGCATAACGTACACTTCCTATCCACGACGCTCAATGCTCATCCAAATGTTCTGAGTGGCTCGACCACAAAAGTGTTGACTTCTCAAAGTTCAAGTGACGCGCGTTAATGAGGCAGTGATTATATCAGCTTCAGCTTAGAAATGAAATCAGGACTCACTCATCACGTGGTCGAAAAATAATCAGATCGATAAGCGCCAATTTCCTAGAGCTTCCTGAAAGCGTATGCCGGGTGGCCGATAAAGAAAAGCAGAAAGGGCACAAAAGCAGTCTCCACTTCTTTTTCCCTTTCTTGTCCTTCCCTGCGCGTGGTGTGCATCCGGTCAGAGTAGTTTGCTGGGCCGTCTATTCAACCAATAATAGTGGCAAGGTACGGTGTGATAAGCCAAAAGCAGCGTACGCAATCTTATACGAATATTGAACTGCAACTCTACTAACTTCTTAACCATCATCTGCGATCACAAAATTGAACATAGTGAAAGGAATAGCACCAATACAGGATATCAACAATGACTCTTCTACGTAACGCAGCTTCCACATTGGCCCGCAATGTTGGCTCATCTTCTCGTTCTTCGTTGGCAGCTGTCGCAAGACCATCGATGGCCACACCCGCTCGTTCAGCCATTCCAGCAATCGCCACACAATCAAGAGGTTATCATGAAAAAGTGATTGATCATTACGAAAACCCAAGAAATGTTGGTTCATTCGACAAAAAGGATATCGATGTTGGTATTGGTTTGGTCGGTGCACCAGCATGTGGTGATGTGATGAAATTGAGCATCAAAGTAAGCGAAAAGGGTATCATCGAAGATGTTCGATTCAAGACTTTCGGTTGCGGTAGTGCAATCGCATCTTCATCTTACATGACCGAACGTGTAAAGGGTATGACATTGGAAGAAGCAGGAGCAATCAGAAACACTGAAATTGCCAAGGAACTCAGTCTACCACCTGTCAAGCTACATTGCTCCATGTTGGCAGAAGACGCAATCAAATCTGCCATTCGTGATTACAAGAAGAAGCGCGATGAGACCGGAAACACCAAGGCAGGTCACATTGATGTAAGTCAAAGTGTTACCACCGGAAAGACTACAGCAACTGCCCACGTTGGATCAGGCTCAGTGTAATCGGATTCTTGTTGCGAATCGAGAAACATACTATATATGCCAAAAATACGATCTCCTTTTAGCGATCCTCGATCAAACTCATTCTTGTTGAATTGACGAGCTTCTTTTTCTACTCTGTAATCATATCTCACGTCTATAATAATTACGTTATTACTCTAGCTTTAATTGATCGGCTGTACAATCGCCGACTTTTATCTGATAATATCAATGTGGTCTCATCTTCACAGCCGCAAACTGGAGAGAGAGCACGAGCTTTGTATTGCAGTGTAAGGCGTACGATTGTTGAAGATTAAAATAAGGTAAGGCAATCATAAAAGTTTGAGCTTGAGAGTGTCCCGTAAAGGCGGTGGTGGGTATCGCATTCATTTGATGCAGGCGTAGGGCGCGTAATTTGCATTCTGACTAGGAAAGCCTTTTTTTTCTGGAAATGACAATTTTAAGTGCACGAACAAATCTTCTCAGAACGAGATTTATCCATCATCACTTTTGACAAGAGGCTGCCTATACAATCTTGCCAAAGAGCATCATTACCATCCTTTGATGCTTCTTTCGAGAGCATTATACAATACATATAGATTGGCAAGAACTTCATCACTACGCTCTGCCTCACCTCGTGGCTATTTGACATCTGCTTCGAAGGCGGCTACACATTTTCAGTCTATTCGACAACCAATCACTTCTAGAGCCATTCACACAGAATCTGACATCATGTCAAGCGAACAAGAAGCAAAGATCGCGGCTGCAAAAGCTGAAGTTGAAGCACAAGCAGCCAAAGTACAACAATTAGAAAGCGAGAATGCAAGTGCATCAGAACGTTTAGCAAACGAAAACAAATTGAAAGGTTTGGAAAAGAAATTGGCAATGATCACATTGGGAGAAGCAAGTGGTTCTTCTGCCAAAAAAGAAGCTGTGAAATTCACACTCAAAACACCCAAAGGAACAAGAGATTGGGAACCTCTCTCGATGGCATTACGAACAAAGATCTTTGATACGATTGCAACTCAATTCAAGAAGCACGGAGCGGTAACGATTGATACGCCTGTATTTGAGCTCAAAGAGATCCTATCAGGAAAGTACGGAGAGGATTCGAAGCTCATTTATGATTTACAAGATCAAGGTGGTGAATTGTGCAGTTTGCGTTACGATTTAACAGTTCCATTTGCCCGGTTCGTTGCAATGAACCCGGCCGAATATGGAAACATTAAACGATACCATATCGCAAAAGTGTACAGACGTGATCAACCTGCTATGTCAAAAGGACGATTTAGAGAATTTTATCAATGCGATTTTGATATTGCAGGTCAATACGATCCAATGGTACCTGATGCAGAAATTTTGTTAATCACATGCGAAACTTTAGACGCACTAGGATTGGAAGGATTCACGATCAAGCTCAATCATCGTAAGATTTTGGATGGTATCTTTGCCGTTTGTGGTGTACCAGAAGACAAGATCAGAACAATTTCCAGTGCAGTAGACAAATTGGACAAGAGTCCTTGGGAGGAAGTCAAACGGGAGATGGTTGTCGATAAAGGTTTGGACGAAGGCGTTGCAGATCAGATTGGTACATACGTTGGCCGAAAAGGAGGACGTGATTTACTGGAGCAGCTGCAAAAAGATGAACGTTTAGGCTCTCACAAACAGGCAAAAGAAGGTATTCGTGATATGGAATTGCTATTTGATTATCTTGATGTCTTTGGCATTACCGGAAAGATGTCATTCGATTTGAGCTTAGCACGTGGATTGGATTATTATACAGGAATTATCTATGAAGCAATCACTGCTGCTTCTGCACCCCCCGGCTTTTCATCCAACCCTCCAACAGCTGATGTCAATGGAGAATCTGCAGTGAACAAAGTTAGCAAGAAGAAGAGCAAATCCAACAAAGACGACGATGAAGTGGATGAGAGCAAAGTAGGTGTAGGATCAATCGCAGCAGGTGGAAGATATGACAATTTAGTAGACATGTTCTCCAGCAATAAAAAGAAGGAAGGTGTTCCATGCGTGGGAATTAGTATTGGTGTCGAACGTGTATTTGCGATTTTGATGGCCCGTTTGAAAGAATCACAAGCAAAAGGTGTACAAGACGTACGTGCGAAAGATGTTGACGTTTTCATTATGGGAATGGGAGGAGATGGAATGTTGAAAGAACGAATGAAAGTGGCAAAAATGTTATGGGATGCAGGAATAAAGGCAGAATACATGTACAAAACCAAACCAAAAGTACCCGCACAATGGACAACGATCGATCGAGATGGAGTTCCATTGGCAGTGATGATTGCACCTGATGAATATGGAAAAGGATTAATTCGAGTAAAAGAACAAAAAGGTAAAGATTCAGCCGAAGGACAAGGAAAAGGTGAAGAAGTGAAATTAGAAGATATGGTGGCATACATCCGTCAAAAGTTGTCCGCTTGATTCAGTTTCTTTTTAAACAATCCCGGACGTGATTCATTTGTACTCTGACAAATCTATTAGTCATGCAATAATACATCTTTTGTAGAACATTCTTGTGCGTCGTCGGAGCATTTGCATTGGCTCGATCGTCAGAAAATCTTTTGAAGAGGAGGGGCGTTGCTAACCGTTAAAGTCCGAAATTTGTGATATTGTCTCATTTGAACCGTATGTATTTTTTCCAGAAATACTTCATTCAAACTCCGGGATGCCAATTGAAACGGAAGCCGCTGCTTTCATTATTTGAAGCGCGCAAGCAAAAGTCATTTAATGCACGTAAACATGGTTTGAGGTACAACAGATGGGATAAGTGCCCCCTTTTTATGATAACCCTCTTTTTCTCTTTCTTTTGCACCACAACATACACTCCTCTGTATTTCTTGAATCTACTCCTGACATTCTTTGTGAAAACCATCTCTCAAACAAACTACAGTCATTCATTCTTACTCCTAACCTTCATAGCCCCTCAGAAAAGACTGCATACATCAAATCACGTCAAGATGATGTTCATCAAGACACCAGTCAAATTTGTCATCCTTTGCTTCCTTTTGAGCTTGACAACTAACTATGCAAACGGTCAAAGTTCAACATCGGGCAGCTTTACAACAACAACGAACGGTGTTGGAACACCAGCTAATGATGTGGGAGTACCAGCCTCAGACGTAGGAGTACCAGCATCAGATGTCGGTGTGCCAGCATCAGACGTAGGAACTCCAGCTTCAGACGTGGGCGTGGCAGCAACACAAGCACTTCCAGCTTCTTATACCGATGATGAAATGACTTATCACGTTGCCGGAAAGACGAGTAAAGTGAACGGATCAGATATCACAATCACTTCACCAATCAGTACTACGACTTGGATTGCAAATGCTACAAATGTGGTTTCATGGACAGGTACAACTCCTGAACGTTTATCGATTCAACTTATCAATAATAATACTTCTAGATTGGAAAGTGGTTTATCCCTTCGTGCAAGTGTGGAAACAAAAGATGGTCAAGCAACCGTTTTATTGCCAAATCTTAAAGATGGAACTGGCTATTATATTCGTTTGTATGATCAATTAGACATTTCAAAAACTTTGGCAACTTCGGATAAGTTTCAAATTTTGAGACAAACCAGCATCCCCTTGCAAACTCCTTCGACAGCGGATGTTACACCTCTTGCGACTGGTGGTCAGCCAGGCGCAACAAGTACAACCAGTAACGGTACAACTAAAGGCGTATTGCCGAACGGTCACAATGATGCTTCAAGGATGCATTCATTGCCTTGTCTACTTATCTTCATCGCATTGGTGTCAAGTATTTCCATCATGTTCTAATCACACCCCATACAATTACCATGCATGTACGAAATCTCCTTTGTGTCCCTTTATACCATTCAATGAGACTAAATCGCAGAGATGTAATTTCCTTATTGGAGGTCAGCTAACATGAGGAAGAATCAGACTGCACTTCAGCAACTATAGTACGTGGCGATGCGAAGCAATGATTGAAGCAAATGAAAGTGAAAAGATAGAGGGCTAGTGCAATGAAGTATGAGAAGCAATCAATGAGATAGAGAAGCAAAAGGAGGCAATGGGAATCTGTCAGAAGCCAAGTTCAGCATGTTGTAATCGAATAGTAGCGTCCAAGTCAAGAAAAAGTTCTTGCGTCTCTTTATCATCGGAATCAAGGATATCGAGCATAAATTGAGGATCATATGCACGCTTTGGTCGAGAAGCCAAGGATGTGTTTTGCCAAGCTTTCATAGCGATATAAGAAGGCGAATGAAGATCATCTTGATACATTGCAATTGGATTATGCGTTTGAGGAGGAACAGGAAATAAAGTTGATTGGCTTGAATGAGGATTGATCACGGTAGAAAGTTGTTTGTTGGTATTGGAGATATGTTGCATAAAAGGCAATTTTGTATCGGTATTTGATGATTCTGAATAACGTCTAAAGCGAGAATGTTGAGAGCCAGAGCCACCGCCACCACCTGAAGAAGATGTTGAGCTTTCTGATCCGCTCATTTGAAAACCATGTCGTTTAATCTCTTGCGGCGGTGAATTTGATGCGTTCATCATTTGTTTGCGCAATCTTGTCGCCTTTCTCAATGCATAGAAGTACCTATGATGTTCTTGTTTGGTTGCATTTGGACGCGGTGGTGGTGGAAGGGGCGGCAAAACTTGCGAAGCTGTAACAGTGTCGGGGTTGGAAGATGATCTTTGTGAAGAACTGTACGTGGAAGAAGACGGTCTGACCACACAATTCTGTTTTGATATCCTTTGTGAATTAAGATAAGGACCATCATAAGCATCAACAATCGAAGAAATTCCGTTTGAATAATTTGCATTGTGCTCTGTTTGACGCCATTGTGAGGTTTGATCAGCTTTTGCTTTTTCTACAGCAATGATAATGTCAACAATGCTGCGTGGTCTTCGAATAGACTGTACTTCATCTGATGCTTTTGGAGTGGTTACTTTTTTGTCCCAAACGGATCCATTCTTTGGTGGTGAGACAGTCTTCCATGCATTGGCTCTTGGCTGAGCGAGTTCACTGGTGTTGGAAGTAGCATAAGATCGAGAACTGGATTCTGAAGTTGATAGGGAACTGCTGGAAATGATTGAAGAAGGAGCTTCTACCTTGTTGATGGAAAGTGCTTCCTTTCCTTTTTCTGGCTTCTGAATGTTTTCATCATTGAAAACGTGTATCATCATGGGTAAGCAGTGAATAGAGCAGATATACGGGATAGTGGAGGGGCAAATAGTGTGATATGGTGGAAGACATGGTGTTGATGTATGGTTAACTTGCCCTTCTTATGCATTTTGGAATACGGAAGCAAATCCATCATTGTCTCAAATTACTAATCGATGTCAATTGGTACCGACGGAAGTAAAGGATGAAGTTGAACATGTGTCTCATGGCAAAAGTGAATACTTAGCCTATCTTTACAGCCGCATACACACGCACACATAGGCCTATTAATGCGGCAAAAGGTAAACATTCTCACGCGTACGTACTCACGCTTATGCGTATTGCCCGCTACAATGTATGCGTTCTCAAGTCTAGACAATAAAGAGAGAAAGAAGTACACATCTTCTTCCCTACACATCACAATTCACGTTCAATGGACCACAAAATAACAGATGGCCTCCTCAAAAAGATGTTCAATGGTGTTTCCATTCTTTTGTTCAGGAGCCGACATTGACCCTAACGTGATTGCGCCAACACTCCTTCTTCACTGATTGCCTCGCTACAGGGTCAGTTGCGGTCCCCTAATATGCCTCCTAGCGCAAGATGTCACGGTCAAGCCTGAAATGAAGAAGATCATAAACTATTGCTACTCTTCAAGTTTGTCTCCTGCTTTGAAATGGCGACTTACGCCCACAGGCTTTTTGAATCATGGGGCTACATTCAAATGAGCAGATCTACGGCTCCGGAGTAAAGCGCGCCGCCATACGCCACAACTGCTATCACACAATACTCCCTACAACGGAGAAGACTTTTGAATATCAGAAGCTTGTTTCTTACCTCCAACAGCACACTTATTCAAGATGTCACTTCTTGCACATCCAGAAGTACTACGAAGGAGAAGGGTATGGGATGAGAAAGAGTTCATTGAGCCACAACATGGTCGTAGAACGCCAGAAGAAGTAGAAGCAGATCGTCAGCGAATCATCAAAGAAGAGATCGCACGACGTGAACGAGAACATCAATTACACTTGGCACAGTTCAATTCTGAAGGTGTTTATGCAACTGATGAGACACATATAGTCTTCACGCTTTCAATTCTGTTGGTTTGCATGATGTTGGTCATCTATCCTTGGCAATCAAGTATAGCACTTTGGAAGCCTGAACATTATACTGATGGCAAAAATGCTACTACGATAGCTTGGAAAGACTTTCCAGACAAGATGAGAAAAAACAAAGCACCACCTATGCCTAGACCATCTCCCGTTCCGCACCCAAGAAGATTGGATGTGTCAACTCTCTTTCTCAAAAAGCGACCTAAAAGTGTTCCTGCACCTGCCAAAGCAATGCCTATAGTGGAATCAAAGAAAGACTTAGACCTTGCCTCCAAAGAAGAAGAGGAGACATCACGATTGCAGGACAATCAACTAGGCCCCACGCCATCCACCGGCCAAGGACCTGTTGCAGAAGAGAAGGAAGCACCGCCATCACCTACGCAAACGCAAGGCAGTCAAGATTGGACATCTACCCTAGCCAAACGAGTATCCAAGCGACTGGAGAAGGGCAGGAGGATGCTTTAAAAACTTTTCAAGGAAGACACACAATCTCGAGAAGTCTTAAAGAATGATCTTGTTCCTACATAAGTTTAAGTTTCATGCATGCTTTGTACAATGCATGTAATTCATCATTGGAGGAACTGAGAGAGCTTATTGTCGTCGTGTTTAAGATAGATTTAATGGCTAGCTGATTTGTTGCGGTGTTGTTTATAGTTGACAAGAGATGTCTCTAGATTCTGTCATGGGGGTACACTAGGTTCTACTATCTAATAACGATGATGTCCTTTAAACCACTTCTGACTCACACTCACCTTCCGATGAAATCATTCCATGATGTCAATTTTATGCATTTCTTCCCATAGCAAAGGACAAAGACGGTATGACAAGCAAAGTGTATATTGTGAATGAAGATAAAAGAATGGCAAATATGTATCAAGCCTATATCGAGAGGAAAAAGAATGTGCAGTGTTGATTTCAGTTCGACGAAAATTTCAAAAATTGGGTATGCATTTGATTGTGAGCAAAAATCTGGAAAGTCATCCAGATCAGGGCACGTACGGAGCAGCCATTGGCTTTTGTCCGTTCGTCTGGGCTTCTTCTTCCGGCAATCCCACACGCATGGAATCCAAAAGACCTCCAACGGTACTATTTGTGACGCCATTGACGGCTTGTGATTTGATAGGTTGACTGATCTTACGACTTGCTCTTCTGCTCGTACGTTTATCCAGATTAGATCCGTTTGGCAAAAGATGACCGTTTGTTTCTGCTTGAATGACACTTCCGTTGCTGATCGATTCAGCTTTGCCTCCATAATCTGCTTTACCGTATGATCGATTGCCCAAAGCTTGTCGCAAGTCATCCACTCTGACTCCACTTTCACTATTAGTAATAATGGCCGGAGCAGCTGCTTCACGATCAACGGCAGGTGATGCAAATCTGCTTGAACTTTGTCCTGGAGCCACATCATCTTCGGCAGATTTGAAAGGAGATGCTCCGACGTACGAATCATCAACTGCAATTTGCACACTCCAATCACGTCCGAACCAATTTTGCAATGCTTTTGCGTCTAAATCAGTTGCTTGTTGTAACTTCACACAATTTGACAAAGAGCTGATCACTGAATCCGATCGAATAGAACTGCCTCCTCCGCTTCCACTTCCGCCGAATCCTGCATCTTCGAACGATTGCATCTTTGATCCTTTTTGTGGTGGGAAATTTGGAAGCTTATCGAGGAAAATACTGTTTTGCAATCCGCTAATGCCGCACATTGATCCAATCTTGTTCAATGCACTCTTGACAAGCGTATTCGCTGCATCTTGTCTAGGATCCGGTAAGGAGGAAGAATCTTTGTTGATAGCCAACAATGCAGGCACGACACCCAAGATTGTTGCCACTGGCAATCTTTCCACCATGTTATCAAGAATTTGAACAAGCGCGGCAATGTCGGTTGGTAGGACAGCTTTTTTGGCGTTTTCGCTAGACGATCTTCTTTCCTTGTTGGAACGATCAATAGCTGGAAGAGCTTCGAGTGGACTCTCTTTGTGTGACGAAGGTGCAAGCAAGCCTTGACTTGTCGTCAGCACGTACAACGCAGCAGAGAAGGAATGAGTGAAACCAGTAGCCTCAATGCTCAATTTAGAACCCAATCTGTCAGACAAGGGATCATCCTCGTTTAATGTAGTCTTTTGCACCTCGCTCACAAGGAATGCCAAAAGAGCCTCTTCAAATGATTGTCGTACCCATTGATCGGGCGATGCCAAAAGACTTGCAGTCTGATGTAGAACTGATGGCGAAATTTGTGATCGTGTACCTGATGAAACACCGTTGCTTTGCACTTGACCACTTGAGCTCTTTGCAGTGTTGATCAGCTTGACAAAGCATCCAAGTAGCATACGAATGCTCTCTTTCGCCTCTTCTCTATCGGTATATGTGACAGAAGGTCCGCCTTGAGTGCCTTCTGTCTGTGGTAATTCAATAGTTGCAATTCTTGCAGTGATTTCTTCCGCTAAATCGTTCAATTGATCAGCATAATAAATGTGAGTTCCCAAAGATCCTACAGCGCCCACCAATGGCGGCAAGAGCGAGTCTTTTCTGTCTTGGTGAACTTTTCTGACAGCAAATCCGAGCAGGTTGTTGGCGGTGTCTGAAGTAGAAAGACCGATCATGCTGAGTTTGCCGCCTAGAAGGGCAGTGATGATGGCGACCAAAGTGTGGTGCTTTTCTTCCGTCGGGCCATCAGTGTCGCCAACAAGGTATTCGACAAAGTTTGTTGGAATGATGAAGCGATATTGCAAAGCTGTCCAGCTGCTGATTGCTTGTGTGACCCAACAGCACCAATCCGTGTTGGCCCATTGCCTGCTTGCACCCAATTTACCATTAAAGTAATCCACAAGAGCAGCAACGAATGCTTGAACATGGGAAGCATCTCCGTTGTGAATGATGGCATGTATGTTTCCCATAGCAGTTGATGTTACAAACTCGTCCGAAGGAGCTTCTTCTCCTGTTGTCAAACCAAAGTTGGGCACACTGCGTGCATTGACTGGCTTTCTCTGTGCAGCAAATTCGTTCTTGCTGGCTGCACCTGATTCTGCAATCTTTCCAGCTTCAGCTTGGATATCCTGACTTGCATATGTGTTCGAGTCAATATTTGCCAAGAGGGATGGCAAGATTTGCTGAAGCTGTTGGGTATAAGATGGCGTGTAGAATGCATCAGATCCGATTGCACCTGACAGAGCGCCCAGACCGATCAATCGTACACGATTTTGATTCTCCTTATCACCTCCTTGTTCGCTGGCAATTTTTGCAAATTGCGAAATCAGACTGATGTATTGACGAGTACTCTCTGCATCGAGAGAATTGGAGGCAGAGTTCAAATAATTGGACAAAGCGAAAAAGGTAGCAGCAGATCGTGCAGTGATGTCTAAATCACGCTTTCCCGCATTTCCTTTTGCAGCACCTTGCAAAGCGGCATTTAGGATGTTGGCGGCAGATGAGGCAAAATAGTTGATATCGCGATGACATTCGGTGATCAAGTCCTTTGTGATTGCCAAAGTGACCATCAAAGATCCTTTTGCTTTATCAGCAGCTTGTCCAGAACCTGAAACACCTTTAGATTCAGCATTTGCTTTGGTTTCCAAATACTTTCCCACTTTTGTCAACTTTTCAGGTTTACGGTTTGCATAATATGTCAACTTGCTCAATTCGTTACTGTTCGCCTTGTATTCTGGTCCAATGCTCGCTAAACTCTTGGGTGGAGGATAGCATTCATCTACCATTGCCCGATGGTTTGACTTTGGTATGCACAGCATCTTGTTGGGTTCTGATGGTCGATAGTGTTGTGCAGTGTAATTGTTGGTATGATCGAACTCTGAGGAAGAAGTTTCTAGCTCTGAACCTAATCAAAGAATGACACCTGAATGTATGGTAAAAAGGGGTCACTCAAATTTGCCAAAACCGACACTATTGAAAGTTGCCAAAAGAGAATAGATGGCGATATGCCGAGATGTAAGGTGAAACGAATGATGGGCTCTGTCAAGATAGAGTATTGTCGATGCTATCGAAATGAAGGAAGGAAGGGATACCGAGGATGAGAAGATGTGGAATTGATGAAGGTATGCTGTATACCGGCGCAGCGCTCATCCGCAACGTGGGGTTTTTAGGATAAAGACGTTTCAAATTGTACAACATTTGACTGCCCCTTCGCCTATTTCCTTTTTTCAGCACGCTTGCTGCTTATTATTTTTGTTTCAGAATTCACACAAGCAGAGCAAAAAGGCCGAACACACTCTGATTGTAGAGTGGCATTTCTTCTCGTCTGGGAAAGAGCGGGGAGGGGCTTAGCGTGTATTGAAGCTTATAGCTCGGTATACCTTTCAAGGCTTTCTATCAGTCAGGCTAACTTCACCTTCGGGCATTTTATGACAGGCAATCAAATCAAGTCTCTCGAACAGCCAGTGCCTGAATTGAACAAGCAGACCTTGTAGTCAGCAAGATCTTAAGTATAGCCGAACTTGTGATCGTACGGAAGGAAGGTCGATAGAGAATGTAGCATTACAGTCCGAATATAGCAGCAGTTATAAACGTAATTTGCACAGGAGGCGGACGCCGCGTACGCATAAGCTGTGTACCCAAATAAAACATAAAGTGCCTATGGTTGTTGATGTTATATTGAAAGCGCATACATTCGGAATATTGAATCCAATCGGACCGATAATGCTCTATGATTGAATGCACCATCACTTCTTGACTATCATCAAAGGTAAGGGTTACTGTAAGACCACGACACATTGGTCATGGTAGAAAAACGAAAAGGCGAAACTTCACGGCCATTTCGGTTTAACAAGAAACGTAAATCCTTCACGGGAAAAAGGAAAGCGAGGTGAGTGGCTGAGAAAAAAGGAAACACGTTTTCGATAAATGGCTCTGACCTGTTTTACATGACGTTATCTCCCCATCTCTGAAGTGCCTCCAACGAATCGCGATCCGACCCTTTGCACGATGAAGATGATCAAGAAAACATTTTCATTGAAAAAAGTGATCAAGAGAAGCATACATCACATTTATTCATCGATCCAGAGAACCATCTTACGATACCTTCACACAATACTAAGCCCAACTTTGAGACTCTTGAAAGGTTGAATGGAGCATACGAAGCAATGAGAAGACCAAATAAACGGTTCAAGCCAGAATCGCGCATCTTTCAGTCACTGCACACGTCTTCCTCTTCTTCGTCTCAGCAGCTTTTGTCGCCGATTACAAGAGGCAGCACATATGCCGGCGCACGAAAAGTATTGTCGAGGCAGAAGCCGGATGAAAGAATGCATTCAACTCAACATGACGCCGTGAATGCACAATCGAATGGTTGGCGCGATGAAATCAGTGATGGCCGTGAGAGCCTACCACCCTGGCAACGCAATGAGACACTGGACGATCAACATGACACGCGAATGCCAATCTATCAACCCCTTCCTGCGTCTTGGCCTTCGAGTAGTACGGCAGACGAATTTCTTGAATGGCACAATCAACCAATAGTACAGCGTATAAAATCGTCGCCGATCCGAATTTCAAGTATTGGTCCTTCAGAGCCAAGTTCCTCGACTGCTGTTCAGAGCTCGCATCAGTTCTGGGAAACAGATGCGAACCCCTCAAAGAATATTTGGCTATCGCAGGCAAACAGTGTTGCATCCGCACCGCCGTCATTGAAAAATGTGAGTGTGCATAATAATGGCTTAAAAGTCCGGAACTGACAGTCTCATGATTTCGCAATACAGCCATCAAACATCTATATGGATCAGATGACAGAACAAGATACAGACGATCAACTTTACCCGGTAGATGAATTGTATCCGTCTACGTCATCGGATGCATTCAGCATGCAGCCTCTCGATCAAGATGTCGCAAATACATCAATATTGCCAAGCCCGATCCGCCGTACAAATGGCATTCATCCTGCGCAGACACCCGAGCAAGAATCCCATTTTCCTCAACGATCAGACCAGGGAGGTCCAATACCACTGTCTCAAAATATATTGGTGAATTTCATAAAAGCTCCTCCTAAAAACAAAAGTTTATCTGTCAATGGCCTGGACTACTTTGGTAAATAGTCCGAGCGAATGAATTGAATGAAGATGTAGGCTTTTCGCCCATTGAAAAAATAATACAAATTACTGTATAAACATACTTGTACATGAATGAAGAAGCGCAAGCGAAAAGGGCAGATCGGACTGCAGTGTTCTTCAAAGAAGAAAGCAAAATAAAATATCAAAGACACGATGCCAACTTCGTCTTGTTGTTGTTGTTGTTGTGACGGAGGCAATAACGTGTTTCTCACACAAATACCACATCTTTCTTCATCTCATCAACGAAAAGCTAGACTTTTTCGTATGATCTTGTGAATCTTGTCCCATCGTCATTAGCTCTACTGCATCTTGCCTTCGTGGTTGCGGTCGTGCAGGTATACCACTCGATCTTCGCTTTTGCTGTATCTGTTGTGCATTTTGCATGTGTGACGATGATGATAGGTTAGGCGTATTAGGTTGTGAATAATCAGGTGGTGAAGGGGAAGCGTTTCGATCCAGAGCTCTAAATTGCTGGTTATTGCGAACTGTGCTAGGAATTGAGGATGGACTGAAAGATCTTTGACTGTTTGGAGGTGACGCAATGATGTCTGAGCCATGCAAGCCCAACAAATTTGCCATCTTATCGGCCTCTTTCGATGCATTTGCTTCTTCTGGTAATCCAACACCTTTTCTTGTACCCCATCCAGTCTCATGCAAAGTGCACAAAGCATAGAGCTTCATCACTGCAAAGTAATATCCGAATGCGATATAGGCCGGTACGTAGATGATATCTTGCGGTCTGAACCATAAGTGTGGCAACAGCTTAGCGGACCGGGTTGCCATAATCCAAACAAAGTAAGACACCCAAATGTTCCAGACAGGCAAATGATATCCTCCTTCTTTTGCCGCTTTGCCGGATTTTGTACATAGGTAAATCACCAAACAAGGTCCAACGAGCAATGTGAGAGGGTTGATGAATTTGTCACACATGCTATAAGCAACATAAGGATGAGCTGTCCATACCTTTCTCTCCTTGAAAATCGAACGCATATCACTTCTCCATGTGTTTCGCGTCCATCGTAAAACTTGCTTCAAGAATCGCCAATCCGGCTTCATCGTACTTAGAAGTTCTGCTTGTGGACATACTTGGATGTACGTCTTCCAGCCATTGTATACTAGCCATCGGGTAAGGAATTTATCATCACCTGAATTGAGCAAGTACTTCCCTAGCCAATAATCATGTGTGAATTCGTGCAGAAAGGCGGGATCCTTCAATATCACAGTTCGATAGGCCGCCGTTCTGCCTGAAAGACAAGGCACGCCTCCATCGATATGTGTAGAAGCAGCAATTTCAAAATTTCTGATTGATAGTCTGAATGCCGCCAACGTTTCCCAAACAGTCATCTTGTACCCTTGCGGCTTAACACGTTGACTCGTTCCTACTCCTCCAACAGATTGATCTTCAAAGCATGCTAATACCCAAGGCAACATTGTCGGCGGCCAAATTGCATCATCATCAGCAAAGACGATGATATCCGTTTCCACATGCTTGATACCATGTACCATCTGTAATCGCTTATTCGCTCTTGGCACAGTTAAAACTCTGATTTTGTTTGGGTCAACGCTATTTGCCAATTCCTGCAAAGGTTCCAACATCTTTTCTTCTGTAACGATGATAATCTGTGCTGGATTACCCTGTAGCCAACTGAACGCAGCTTCTTTGAATTCTTCACCTGCATCAATCGTTGGAACGATGATCGTTACATCTTCGTTTGCAATGTATGTCGGATTGATCGGAGGAGGAATTGGTCTATAAACAAGAGCGGCTGCCATTCGTATTAGATACCAAAAGTATCTATAAAATCCAATGACACCAAAAGGCACAAAGACTGGAAATCGATCCGCAGTGAGGTAGAGCATTTTGCTTTATGTGTATGTGGGGTATTTGTTGTTGCAAGATGAATCGTAACAGATTGATCGTTAAGTGTGTGGCCCTTTTCGTCTTGAATGCGTTTGTGAAGCAGAGTGACTGATTATCCTATATATGGCTTGCAAGATACGTTCTTCAGATGATTGCAATCTGTAAAGAATAGCCAAGAAGCGGTCAAGAGTATCGAGAGCCGAAATAGACTGACTGTACGGAATGCGGAGCTGGATTGTGAAATTGTGTCAGGCTAGCTGAAAGATCGACTGTTGGAAGGATTGGCGTAATGAAGCAAATATTATGAAATAGGCATAAGGCTGTGTCGGTGATTAAGATGTATTGTCCCTTTTTATTTGTGCAAATGAATGCTAAATGGGGCACCTCGCTTTTTTTGGTGGAAGCCAAGAAAACGTGCTGTGTGTTTGTTGAAAAAGCAAAGCAAATGAACAGCAATCAATGATGACTTTTTATTTTTTTGGCTCAATAAACGGTGCCGAAGATGGAAGGATATGGCAATCGTTGGAAACGTTCTGGCTTGAAACGGACCGAAAGAGGACGTGAATTGATGGATTGGTTTTCACCGCCTCTTTCATGCACTGTAAAGGTGTGCCAAAAAGGTGTCGTGGAGGGAGAGGTAGGAGGTGATGATGGTAAGAAGGAACATGAAAAGGAAATGTGTCAATGTATCAATCTACAATCTCCCCGATATGAAGATCTTTTTTTGATTCATTATTGAACATGCAAGGAATGATAATAATAGTAATAAACCTCCTCTCTTTTTGCATTGAATCAAGGCACGCGCGATCTACGTTAACAGTAGAATCGACAATCTTTGCAAGATACACTTTATGCAACCCATGCATGCATAAAAGAAGGCCACAAAAGGATGTCAAACTCCGAAAGAGCGAGAATCGGCAAGTGAATGTTTAAGTAAGATTGGGACAAAAATAAGCCAGCCATACCATACCCAAACCTATGGGAAAGCTTGTCAAAAGAAAAGTGCATACACACTTGTTAAATGCTATAAACAAACTAAAAGCCGGCCGAAGGATTTAAATTAATAGTGCATTCTTCATTCATCTTTTGTCCCTGTTGGTAGGGGCATTTAGCGTGTTTGTGCAAAAACGGACCACACCGGTTTAGGAGAGACCCTTTTGATAAAGAAACTTTCCTCGGCACAACGACGGCCATAAGTAATGCACTTCTGCTTGAATCTGATGGGCTCACATAGACGGAGAAGGATTGTCAACTTCTTGATACTCTTATACAATCCGTCAACGCGTTTGACTACTTTAAAACGTGTGGGGATTCTCTCGGATTCCCGACACCAAAGCCCGTCTCGACGGAAAAGTGAATACCGAACACATTAATGAACTTAAAATCACCTTATTCTTCTTCGTGGCTTCATCTGCAAATTGTGTTAAATAGTTATTGAATATACACTGTTCCATATTATAGAATATCATACATCGGTTTATACAAAAGGAAAGAGAAGGAGAGGCGAGAATGATTAAAACCCAAGAAATAATATATAAAAGTGTTTGATTTGCATAGCATATATTGGAACCCTCGAAAAGTATTATTATGATATAAAAATCATTGTTGCGTATTCTGTATAGCACGCATCCAATCTGAATCACTCCAAAAGCTATTCAAATTTGAAAGAGCATCAAGAGGATCATTTGTCATTATCCTGTTATTTGTGTTACTAAAACCAGGTTCGGTTCCGGTCGGATCACTTTGATTGGCTAAGTTTGCTTGTAGTTGTTGCTGTTGTTGTTCGTTCCATCCTTGAGAATCTCTTCCGGTCATGCCAATACCGCCGCCCGCCGAACCGAACATAGAAGAATTCAATTCGAATCCTGGCGTAGGCAAAGCTGTTGAACCTCCAAAGAAGGCATCATTCCTCAAAGCACCATTGGGATCCAGCATACCCGCACCTTGTTCATTGCCAAACACTGATCGGCCTCCCATCATATTTGAATTATCAGCAAAAGAAGTGTTACTTGCGAATAATTCTGGATAAGCAGTAAAGATTGGCTGATTGGAACCTTGCATGTTCGCTTGCGCAGAGGCAAAGTTTGATGGACCATTTCCAGTACTGGTGAAATTTGGATCAGGTGCAGGAACAGTAGCGAATATGGTAGAATTGGATATTCCCGATGATGTGAGAGAAGACATTTGTGCATCAAGACCGACTGCATCATTTTGCTGCCAACCAGAAAGTGCAGCAACTTGATCAAGAGCTGAACTAGGCGAATTTCCAAATGCACCTTGTAATTCAGTCGTCGAGAGTGGCAATTTGGTAGCAATGCTTGCTAAATTTGGATTCGACTTCATTCCTCGAATCTCTCTTGATCCTACATGAAGCGTACTTTGCTGTTGCAAAAGTGAATCAATTTGTTGCTGTTGTTGTCGTACACCTTCATCTTCATGTTGTCGCTTTCCGGTAGCATGGAACGAAGCGCCATTTGATGCGTCTTCAATGCCATTCGAGATATCCGTGTGCTTTAAAATATGCTCTAATCTGTTTGCAAATCGTCTACTAATCTTCCATGTGTTTTGCAGCTTCTTTAACGATTCCAAACCTTTCATCACATCGCCGATCAAAGTACTTGAAACATTGTAACTCTTTCGTGCAGCGCTATAACTAATCAACAGTAAGCTACTGCTGAAAATGAAAACCCTCAATACAGCTTCTGGTCCAATCAATGATCCAATGCCACGGTCTGTTAAATTGGACATAATGTGGATTCCTGATCGGGCCGAATTGGAAACGATTGCAAGCGAATGGAAGCTCATAGGAGTTGCCAATTTGTATCGTTGAACGAACGGTCGATGAACCAATGCTTGAGTAGAATAGTAAATCAAAAAGATTCGTGAACTTTGCACAAGCCATTCTGTGTTGACCTCACTTGGAGAATAGGCTAAATGAGCAGGAACGTTCTCTAGCCATTTGTTCAACGATTTATCAATCTCTGCCACGATGTACGAATCCCACTTCTTGCCAATGAAGCCTCGTTCGGCTTTTGATTTGGAAATCGCATAAATCGTTCGTAGTGTTCTGCCAATAATCTGCGTCAATCGAAGCGTTTGCAAGAAGCCATGGTATACACTAGGTTTGTCGGCCGGTTGTTCAGCAGGAACACCTCTCTCATTCGCTTCGTACACATATTGGTCATCCACAACAAGAATGTCATCCAAATCAATATCTTCATCTTGTATTGACACCGGTCTTCCCATATCGGCACTCATCAGGCGATCAATTACATAGGCTGACCACCATAGTCGGCGATACGTCTCTTCCGTCAAGAGTGCAAAGTTGCTGCTTGTTGCTGTGAATTTTCGGTGTGCTCCCATATCTTGTAATAATCTGACCACGACACCCAAACAGATCCAAGCAAACGATCGGAAACCCATTGGCGTTGCGATGATGTAAATTGTGCACAGCAGCATAATCTGGATATACGTAATCTTTGAGCTGATCGGAACTAGACTTCGTTCTAGCAAATGTTTGAGTAAATGCGCCCAATGTTCACCATCTGCAGGTAAGTTTGGCATAACTTTAATCTCTGCATCGGTCAAATAACGAGAAGCAGTTGCAAAAACACCCAAAGCCAACATGATCAATTCATTATCTGTCTTCCAATCCGGCCTTTGCATTTGCTTCTTAAAGACGATTTCGTTTAAGATTGGATATTGTGGATTTGCACGTTCAAAGTACAATTGAATCAACTTTTCTTCTAATTCTTTTGAAGGCCAATTGAACGCAATACTGGAAAGATCCAAATCAGATTCATCCGGTAAACCGAAATCGGAGAAAGATGGCGTAAGATCGGAGCTGGGTGAGTGAGAATTGTACATACTATTTCCGTTCTCTTCCTTTAGTATTCTGTTCAGATGCGGTACGATATGGAATCCAGATGCTTTTCCATAGAACAACAAAGGTGCATCATTTGCACCATCTGTGATTGATGGTCTTGCAATCGTTCGTCCTGTAGCATCATCTCGATTATCGAATTCGTATATTTCCTTTCCGCCTTTCTTATTGAAAGCAGCAATGATTGCGTCTGGTTCGGAATGAGCGATATTAACTTTATCCATCATGACCCGAATAAATGCTGCATCTTCTTCTTCTCCGATTTCTTCGTATTCATCATCTTCGTCTTGCCAGCTATCAACGGTTGTATTGGTCATATCGGATGACTCTCCTTGATGCATATTCAAAGGCAAACCTGTTTGTTGCTGCTGTGATGGCATGCCGAACCGATTCGATTCTTGTTGTCTGTCGTTGCCCATTGAAGAGACATATGAGGGAGGATTGGATGGTCCGTCTTCTTCCTTTTTACCTTCACTTGGCAATTCAGGCATAGGTCCGATTGCTTTTGTTAGATCGATGCTTGGTAGTAATTGAGTGATGAGCTTTTCTGCCCTTTCCATCCTTGCCTCTAGTGCGATCACATAGCTTCTTGGTGGGGCACGACGTTTGGTGGCGTCGATGAATGTGCATTCGTGGCCATACGAAGCGCAGTTGCTGCATGCTCCCTTTTCCGGTTGTAAACCATCACAACGAATCTTTTTCTTTCTACAAACATCGCATGCCCTTTGAACTCTTCTTCTCTTTCCGTTTGCGTCACCATCTTCATCGTGTGAATGATGATCATCATCTGCACTTATTGCATGTGCGGCTGCCATGATTGGCGATGAATCTCTGTGTCTATGATCGGATAGATTGATGATCGTAAGTGGCACAGCCTTGAATTGAATGAAATTTGCCAAGAATGTTTATAAAGTATCTGCACGATAATGAGCAGCCATTCAATCGATAATCCTAATTACCCCGAAAGTGGAATAATTCTCTTGCACTAAATGACACTTTCTTTCTTGACAGGATTTCTTCCTCTTTTTTTTGCTTGAATTCCAAAACGTCAAAAGCTGTTAATTTCTTTCGTTCGTTGCATGAAATGAGTTTTATTCGTTATTCGGACAAGGCATTCATTCATTCTTCATTCAACGGGCTCCCTTCATACTGTGGGCGATTGAGGACAGGGTGCATTCCGTCTCCACTTTGACAATCTCTTATAGTCTCGTCTTTACTGCACATAAGCCAAAACCGCGGCTTTAAAGGAAGGAGAGGAGAGGAGAGTTCCGCGCGTGTGTTTTGTGTGTGCAACACTGTGATTCCGCTTAGATTAGAATGCCTTCCTTGTTCATGCATCGAAGGCGAAAAAAAAGACTTGCTATGCATTTGCCCGCGCACATTAAACTTTTTTTGACTGTTCTTCTCAAGACTATGTTATGCACTCGGAAGCGTAAATCCGATGGAAATTTCAATAAAAAAGCCATGATGCAGAATGCTGGATAAATTATATCAATGAAACTTTCATTCGGGTCACTTTTATCTGTATTACCGGTTGAATTTTAAAGTTAGGACCCTATCACTATGAGGGGTCTATTCTATAGTATACATGTATATGCCTATTTATTCTCCTGGGATGTTGGAATGTCGGATGACTGTTTGAGCAAATTTTGCACTTTTGTCTGTGTTTGATCAAGTTGATCTTGATATTCATTTGCAATACGTTCTAATCCATCTGCCGCGGTTCTACTTTGTGCAGCAACAATTTCATCAAATACTTTTGCAACGTTGGATTGAAGATCGTTATCCAATCCATCACTGATGCTTTGCCATTCACGCCAGAATCTTCTCTTTGCTCTTGACCAACGAGATTGCATAAATACAGCTCCAATCGTACTCACGAATGCAAACGATGCAAATGCAGTAGAAGGTTGTAATGCAATCAATTGAAATGTAAGGGGCATCCCGGCTCCAAGCGTTGAACTTCCAGCTAATCCTGAGGCTAATGTAACCAAACCCGTTGTTCCAGTCAATCCAACTGTTTTCATCGTACTTGATTGTGCTTTCGTGCATAGTTTATCCACAGGTCCACCATCGGCTAACAATTGTGATCTTCGCAGGATGATCGGCTTGGTGAACAAATCTTCTTCTTGGAGTCGTGCTTCGATTGCTTCAATCCGATATTTGCGTAGTTCGTTCAGCAGCAAGGGAGAAGCAAAAGGATTACGATGTTGTCCTTCTTGAGCGGTGGTGTCGATGAAATTCTCTTCTGTGCTATTCAACTTTCTCTCAGATTGGTTTAGACTGCTAAACAGTGTTCTGATACGTCTTTGAAGCCTTTCTGCAATGCTGATCAACCTTCCCGTTTGTACCATAAGACGCTGTTCCAGGTCCCTAGCATAGCCTCGTTCGATCGCCGCTTCCATCTCTGCACGTACATCATCTACCTTCCATACCACTTTCCACCAAGGTAAACGAGTGGAAAGGGCCTTCTCAACCTCGTTCCAAGCATCTCTTGCTGCCGCATCTACATTTGTACTTCGATCTCCTGCTCTCTTGTGCATAGCAGCGTCTCGTCCGGTAAAAGCACCTTTATTCCCATCTTCAAATATCCTCTTCATTATACTTTCTAAAGCAGCATCTGTCTCATTGCGGATCACATTTGCTGCTCCACGAGCTTGTTGAGCTTGTTCGCTATATTCTCGAATGGAAAATTGTGCTTGTTCGAGGGCACGTCTCAATGCAAAATCTGCTGTCAAGGCTTGACCTTCTTCTGATCGAGTCTTGCTTTGCTCTTCCATCAACGAACGAACTTCTGCAAATCCTGAGCTGCTAAATAAGGTTGTAAAATGATCCCATTCACTTGCATCTGGTGAGCCGGGTGCTGATCTTGCCAGTGCTTGTCGTAGGGATTCATTCGCTCTTTGTGCCAAAGGTAAAGATGCATGAACGATTGCAGAGCTCTGCAAAGCATCTTTACCAAGAGATGCAAAAGCTTCTTCCGTGATGGCCGCTTGCAGACCTCTTTCTAACGTCTGTGCATTTGAAATATGTTGACCGCTATGATTAACAATAACCTTCGTGTTAGGCTTCTTTGCAAAGTATCGTAGCAGACGTAGACTATCGTCAACCTTTAGATCTCTGCCAAATCGTTCGTGAGCTGCTAGTGTTACTTCATCAAGTACGAAAACGAGCACGTCGCATTCGTATAGCATACTTCTGTTCGTCTGAATGTCGGTAGGATTGACTAGTTCGACAAATTCAACATTTCTTTCCCTTAACCATGTCGAGGAAGACAAATTGGAGGTAGTGTCTCCTTTTGTGTCATAGTACAGCCGTCTGATGGCATTCTCTGATTTTTGCGTTTCGTTATCCTGCCTTTCTTCTGCCACAGAGTTTGCCCCTTGATTAGTTTGTGTCGCACTTTGAGCCAATGGATCGTCAAGCAAAACCTTTATCAAGCTTTCCGTACCTGATGCTCTATTTCCAATGATGCCTATCCGTAGTCTAGACCTGTCAGGTTGGCTTCCATTTATCGATGGATTGGTATGCAAATTTATTTCTGCTGCTTTTTGTGTTCTTGCAAGCCATACCGGTGAGGAAAGGATTGAGTCGGGTGTAAAGAGCTGTGATGATTGCTGCAGTAGTGCTGTTATTCTTGCATTCGATAATGGTAAGCTATTTTTATAATTCGTGGTACTTTGGGATAGCGATTCATCATTGTTCTGTAGATGGGACTGAGTCGAAGAAGATGCATATCCCCTTGCTACAAGCAAAGATTGTCTGTTTTCCCTTCCAGCCCTTGTTGCCATTCGACAGGAAGATAAGCCATTTCGTCGTCCTAACAAGTGACGAGCATTCATTGTATGAATGGCTTTCCTTGATTCGGTACCTTGATGTCGATCAGGAGGTTAATAACATAAATGTTCTTCTGACTTTGCCCAATCTTAAGTTTAGCCTTGTTTTTCGGAAAAGATACACACACACACACGCAACACGCGTATGCCCCCTTTTGTACCGCACGCGCCGCGTTTCAAAAGTGTTTCTTATGATGATTGTTATTTGACACTCATTACGCTTTTCATTCCGTGCCCATATCATACGCATTTTACGGTGCCGTCAAAACGCCCGTTTCATACACAGAGAGAGAGAAAGAAGGGCTATTGGCATAAAGGTGAGTAACTCAGCATGGTCATTACTTCAGACACGGACAGACATCAACGAAATTAAATAGGGCAATTCCGATATACAACGGTAATCTTCCTTGATTGCTGTCCATCTTTGGTGCTATTTGAAAGCGTTACAACAAGTACTTGTACTCCTGAGTCATTCAGTCTGATGCAATACATGCGTCTGGCTGGCTGATTGTTACATTCTTATCGGTATATCACTCGAATACTTACACATCACCCTCTCCACCATGCCTCCAAAAACGATCAAACAACTTCAACAATCAATCATGACTTCACAGGCATTTTTACAACCTCTGAAACCTGCATCAAAGTCTAGCGTTAGACAGATCGATCAGCCTTCAACAGAAGCTGCAAGAAAAGAGGGACACTTGACTCAAACCCAATCAGCATCCACGACTCAGCAAACAGGGCTAACAACTTCATCCACATTACTGCCATCATCCGGTCCAGAAAAGGTAACACAAGAAGGGAAGAAAAGAGGGATGGAAAACGGTAGACGTCAGATCAATAGAGGTAATCCGGAGTTGAGTTATGCGTATGGCGCACAAAGCGATAAGAGAAAGCGAAGGAGCGTGTTTGATCATAATGCGAATCGAAGTACTGAAACTAGCCCAAATTTGAACGAAGAGCATAATGGCCATGAGAGAGAAAGTATGGAACGTTCTGAACCTTCTGCTACGCCAGAGCCACAAGACCGATATGCGATATTGAAACGACGAAAATTGGAAGCACAGAAGAAACAAGGTGAAGAACAGCAACAAGAGCATACTAGGATACAGCTTAAATCACCAAGAAAAGGTGCACAAACGGTAAATCGAGTAGACGTCGTGGTCGCAGACTCTCCTGGCAGATCAAAACGCGCATCGAATATCAGAAATTCGATCCAATCACCAAAGAATAGAGGGTTGTCGCAGCAAGAGGCGGATGCACCTTCACCTCCAACAAGTACACATGGAGTAAACAGCGACGGTCGAAGCAGCAGCGCAAGGCATAGTCAAAACTTGTACGATGTATCCAACAGCCGTAGTTTCCTGCACGGCAAGCTCAACAGCTTTTACATGAATCAAGACCCCGATTCGATAGAAGAAGCTGAAGAGGATGAAGTCAATGAACATGTTCCATCTTCTCTTCTTTTAGGTGCACAAAGGCAATCACGCGATCCCATCGATTCACGAATTGACATGGATAGCACTCGATCTAGCGGCATTCTTAATACTGAGATGGATATCTCACAGCTACAAAGGCAAGTAGAGGGCTTGCCTGGACCAGAAGAAAGCTCTGTATCGGGAAGCGTGATCGATCAATCCAACCCTTCTCTGATCAGAAAGAATGGCTTTCAAGGAAAAGGAAATCACAAAAATGCCAAAGTTGTATCGATCGAAGAAGAGCCTGGATCGGGAGGCGAACAAAGTGGTCCTGAGAACAGCAAGCATTCGCATACCCCACTAAAGACAAAGACTCCAAAAGTGCAACACAAAACACCTCTACAGGAACAGAAAACTGCCATTCCAGCATCATCACAAGCAAGCAAGAATGTCAAGACCGGATCTTCAAAGCTATTGCTTCTTTGTGCTGCGCTTCTAGGAGCCATATTTGCCGTACTGCTCACCGCACAAAAGGATTTCACAAAACCTCTTTCGCCTTTCCCTTCAAATACAACGCTTGGTGACAAGCTGCTACGCAATCGGATTGATACGCTGGAGAAGAGATTGAAGCAATCTGAGAAAGAGGCTGCCAAAGTAGATCAACGAATTTCGGATGCTAAAAGCGTTGCAGATATGGTGACCGATTCCACAAAAAGCCTGCCCGAGGTTATGCGATTGCTACGTGATAAGCAAAATGGACAGATGAAGCTGGACGACCAAATCTTGGAGAAGCTGAAGCAAGTATTTGTCGAGAAAGGCAAAGAAAGTCCAAAGCAGGCCTCTGCAGCTAGCATATCTTGGGATACATTCCAAAAAGCGAATGACAAAGCGTTGCGACAATATGCCAAAGATGCGATCAGCGGCGAAATCAATACGGGTAATTCGATCATTACACGCGCGCAATTCGTCACTCTCCTAAAGCAAGAATTGGACAAAGCCAAGATTGACATGGAATCCAAGTTCAACGAAAATGCTCAAGAAATTCAAAATGAAATCTTGGCAAAAGTACGTGAACAACGTGAAATGTTTGAACGTTCAGGCAGTTGGAAAAAGATGCAAGGCGGCAGTGGAGGAAACGTTCCAGCTAATTTGGAATCAGCACGATCATCGATTATCGAAATGATCGAAGATGCCTTGGAAACCTATTCGGCAGATCGAATCGGAGAACGAGATTATGCACTCTATTCATCGGGTGGCAGAATCATACCTTCTTTTACTTCTCCCACTTTTGGCCTTCGTAAACGCTCTTCTTCACCTTTGGCATGGTTCAGTAAAGCTCCTCTGCTTGAGCGTGTTGGCGCTGAAGGACAACCACCAGTGATCGCTTTGGTTCCTGATGTAACGCCAGGAATGTGTTGGGCTTTCGCTGGATCGGAAGGTACTTTGGGAATCTCGCTTGCTCGACGTGTTCTTGTATCAAAGATCACTATGGAACACACTTCTCCTTCCATTTCTCACGATCAGAGCATTTCTGCTCCTCGTGATGTGACTGTTTGGGGTATCGTAGAAAGACCGAACGATGTCAAACGATTGACAGAATATCGCCGAAAAAGAAGTCAAATTGGCGTTGAAGGCGAAGAGGGTGAAGAAGATTCCATTTTACCTGCGCCAATTCCACCTTCTGATCGTCATCTATTATTGAGCACATTCACTTATGATGTTTTGGCTTCAAAAATGATTCAACAATTCCCAATTTCACGCGAAGCTGAACAATTGAACATTCCGATTGCCATTGTTCAAATGCAAATTCATTCAAATCACGGCAAGAAAGATTATACGTGTTTATATCGCGTTCGTGTTCATGGCAACGAATGGACCTTGGAAGATGAATTGCAATCTCAAAATTAATCTTTTATTTCTTTGTTGTTTTGTTAAATTTTTTTTGTACGACTCACTCACTCGCAACCTACACTCTCTCACATAATTGTCAAATAAAGTACATGTATACTATCACATATCTCACCATCTTTTCTCTCTTGAATGTGTAATACCTATTTACAATAGTCTAACTTTCTATGGCCACGATGGACGTAGTCTGGCTATTCTTGATCTTCTTCCAGAAAAACGTACTATTCTTCTAGAAAAAGTACAAACCATCAATAAATAGTTCCCACGGGAATACAGGGAATGGTTCTCTATAAATCGAAAAGTGAAATTCGAATAGGCAGATGTATAACTCTATTCAAGACCTACTATGAATGAAAGAAGAAATTCTTACCATTACTCTAGTCCATGTTGACTCCATTTCTATGCAACTGTTAGAAGAAAATAGAAACACACAACATGTTTACGCCCACAGGCGTATAGTAGTCTACTCGACTATTGGCAATACATGTGAAAACGGTCCCAATGGTACTGGTCATATGAATACAGTGATTTCATCAATGAAGATGGAATTTCTTTGCAAGATGACTGAAAAAAAAAGTACATGATTTTCTACATTCGGTCTAATGGCTCGATTGTCAAAAGACGCAAAGCAGCATTCAAAACGTGTCTTGCAGATCGATACATGAACAAACGTGCCAAAGCGAGATCTTTTTCTTGTCCTTTTACGATCAAAACTTCCCATGCACTTGAAACTGCATGTGTAAGTTTATAACAATATTGAACAATGGTTGAAGGTTGTTGTTCTCTCGTTGCAGTTTTTACCGTATCAGGCCAAGAGGCTAACAATAAAGTCAAATCTCTTGCTTTTGGCTCGGTGAGTAAGTCTAATTTCAATTGACTGATATCCAATGGACTTGGTGGTAATTCAATTCCATCAGTTTCGGCCACACGACGTTCAACGGAGCACAATCGGACGTGATTGTACTGAAGGTATGGTCCTGTATCACCTTCGAAACTCAACATTCTACTCCAATCAAAGTTGTAGTTGTTTCCACGACGACCAGTCATATCTTGAATCTTGACGGCTGTCATACCAACAATATCTGCTGTACGTTCTTTATCGATAATTTGTTCATACTTGTCTGCATTCTTTCGCATAACATCGTGCATGTTCTCTTTGGTTTCATCAAGGATGTGATCCAAAAAGACAGCGGTACCTTTACGTGTAGACATTCCCAAAACCATACCAAAGTTGATATGTTGTAGTCTGCCTTCTTTGGGATCGGCATAATCGTATCCGAGCAGTTCCAAAACTTTGAAGAATTGACCCAAGTGAAGATCTTGTTGAGATGCAACAACATAGATCATCTTGTCAAATCCTTTTCCGTGTTGTTCTTTGAATTTAGCCCATCGTTGATTTGCTTCACCCAAATCACGGGTGATGTACAAAGGTGTTCCATCTGAACGTTCGACAATTGCCTTTTCCAACTTGTATTTCTTCAAGTCGATCAATAACGCTCCATTGTCTTCACGTTCGCAGTAAGGTGATTCACGTAACTTCTCTACAACTTCTTGAATACTCTCTTTGCGTACTTGCGATTCACCACTGTACACATCAAAGTGAATGTTGAGACGAGCATACGTTTGTTCGTATTTCTTGATACTCAAATCACGGAACTTACGCCAAAGTCCAACTGCCTCTTCATCGCCATCTTCCATCTTTTTGAAAAAGGCACGGGCTTGTGTGTGTAAATCAGGGTTCTCTTCTGCTTCTTTGTTGATTGCAACGTAAATATTGTACAAATGTGTTACGGCATCCTTTCGTAATTCTTCTTCGCTACCCATCTTTTTCCATGCAACGGCCAATAAACCGAATTGTTTACCCCAATCACCAAGATAATTCCATCTTTCGACATACCATCCATTTGCTTCGTAAAGGTTTGCCAAAAACGCACCAATGATCGTACTTCGTAAATGTCCTGCATGGAAAGGTTTAGCGATATTTGGAGAAGAGAATTCGACAATCATTCGTTTTCCTTCTCCGCTCTTGTTTGTACCATAAGACATCTTTCGGATTCCGTTTGCATCGGGTGCAGATCTACTGAGGGCATCAATTGTTGCCAAGGTCAATTGTGTTAATGTGGTCGTCGGTAGCATATAATTGAGGAAAACACCTTTATGAGCGAGTGATTCCATGTATGCATTTGGTTTGAATTGTTCCAAAACCTTTTTTGCCAATTCATCAGGCTTTGCTTTTAGCTTAAATCGTGGTAGAGCAACGACCAAATCTCCATCTTTGGCTGTTGTTTGAACGGCTTCGAATGCTGCTTGCAATTTCACTTCAGGCAAGGCTTTATTGATTTGTTCAGCGATTGCGACACGGAAAGCGTCTAAAGGATTCCTTTTTGGATCAGCGCCTTCAATGTGAGGCAGCTCTGGCAACTGAGAGAGCAGGGGCACTCCTGCAAATGCTTCTGCGGCTGGCATGATTTTGTATTTTGCGTAATTGTTCGATGTGTGAATTGTTTTGTGAGGTTGTAATCCGTTTGTTAGACGTAGCGGTCTGACAACGTTTGTCGTTCGGCAACAGGCTTCACGAGCCAAATACGGCACGAATCGCTTGCCAAGTGTTAATGTTCTTTGCGAACAAAACGTTTTGAAAGATGGGTATTGTACCAAGTACTGGCACAAAGAGGATCACGATGTAGTGAAAGTTGGAATGAAGAGGACGATAAAATGTCAAATGCTACTTCAACTTCTTCGCGTTTTTAGGCTTTGCATGCATGCAAGCAGTGTGAAGTGACTTACGCATAAAAATAAAATTTATTCGAAAGATAACTTCACGTGTAGTGATTGACATGACTCCCATCAGAATGACTCAGTGATGCAAATTGATACAATTAATGACGATGATTATGCTATAATACAATGTTGATGATATAGTACAGAATGGCAATTGTGCGGACATCTTCATGAGAATGCTAGCTTTCTAGCTAACCTCTTACGTTCAGCGATCGTGCCTGGACTGATCTCGCCCAAGACACGTTTGACCTTTTTGTGTGTTGGATTCTCTCGTGTTGCTTCCAATCGAACGGCATTGGCTTGACCTGCTGCTGTATCACCTGCTAATCGATTCTTGTCCTTTACCTCGCTATCCGACAAAAGTGGATGTGCTGAATTGGCTTCAACTTCCTTACTTGCATGTTTGGGTAATTTGCTATAATGCGTAGGTTTAGGAGTGTTTCTAAAGTAAGGATGATGAATCACTTCTTCTGCATTTATTCGTTTGCCAGGGTCAAAAAGTAGAAGTTTTGCCAAAAGGTCAAGAGTATCCGGTGAAGCAGCGGGAAAGACAGCATTTAAAGGCGGTCTTGGATATTGTTCAATGGCAACGTAATTCGGTAATGATTTATGTCCTGGCCATTCCTTCTCTGTAGGCGTACCGAGTGCACGACAGATGGTAGTGATTTGTTCAATATCCGACCCTCCCGGTAAGAAAGGCACTCGCAGCAATAGTTCTGCCAAGATACAACCGACTGACCAAATATCCACAGCGGGGGAGTATTGTTTGGCTCCCAGTAGTAATTCCGGCGGCCTATACCAAAGGGTAATAACGAGAGAAGTCATCCGAATTCCAGAATCTGCCAATTCTCTTGCCATACCAAAATCGGCAATCTTCAATTCCCCGGCAGGAGAGATGAGTAAATTGTTTGGCTTTAAATCTCTGTGTAAGATGAAATGACGATGACAATATTCTATTCCACGGGATAACATTGCCATCCATCCTTTTATATCTGCAGGTGTGAATACGATTTCTTTGTCTTTAATCAAACGTTCTAGATCTGTATCCAAAAATTCAAGTACCATATTCAAGCTCAAAGTTGTAGAACCTGACGAGAAACAATCCACCAATCCGATAATATTCGGATGCCTCAACTCTCTCAACACCTTAACTTCTCGTATTGCCGACATATCCATTCCATCTCCTGAATTGGCAACTTTGATCTTTTTTATGGCCACTTTTTGTCCAGTTTTTGTATTTCTTGCCAAGAATACTGATGCATATGTACCTTCACCTACTTTTGCTAATTTGGAGTAAGTGGATCGGATCGCATTATTGCTCTCTGCTGCCGAGAGCAACATGGTTTCAGCCGATCGAATGAATGATCTTTGTGGTCAGGAGGAAGGGAGGAAATTGCCAATTGTGGAGAGTGTTGTCCCAATCAAGTTCACGTGTGTGTGTGTGTGTGTGTGTGTGTGTGTGTGTGTGTGTGTGTGTGTGTGTGTGTGTGTGTGATGTGAATACGATCATGGCTTTATTACAGCGTATGCATAAAGACGGCTGATTGAACTGCGTATAAAACGCGCCGCCTGAATGTAATGGCACACGCGGCTAAGAATGCATGGCACACACAATGCAGAGGTGCATAAAGACTGATGAAGTGCATTTAGTTTACGCGTACATGCCTTTTTTTTCCTTTTCGTTTGCATATCCAATTCAGAATATTCAGACACACACACACAACAGAGTACTCCTCGGATAAAAACCAGACACAGGATACTCACATACATACATACACAGTACTCACCTCTGTAAGCAAATCAAACATGCTCATTCTTACCTGCCATCATCAAATGCACTTTTGATTACAACGCATCCACCTGTTCAACCGCTCACTTTAATCATCTCTAACGCGGTTTGATCGCGTCAAATCAATAAAACAAAAAGATGGACAGGCCAAGACGTTCGGGTAGGGTAGCACAAGCTGCAACAATTCCATCCGTTTCACAATTTCAAACACCTCCTCCAAATCAATCACAAAGAGTTCAATCAAACAATAATGCAGTTCCTTCATCTTCACGTATGGTCGTTTCTGCAAATACAAACTTTTCAGCAGGAAATCAAGGTATGCCAATGTATCATGGAATGGATAATATGGCAATGCAAACGGCTTCGGCTGGTACGTATGGAATGCCAAACGGAGGATTGAATCAAAATCAAGCTGGAATGATGTTACCGCCAAATGGATTCCCAAATACTGCATCAACATCCAATCCTGCTTTGAACTCATTCCAACTTGGAGGGACATCCGCTCCTGTACCACCTCAATTACCCATTGGACCTGGTCAAGCACGTTTTTCAACACTTTCTTCTCGTGCAAAAGTCGGTGTGACAACTTTGATGCAGCCGATCTCGAATGAATCCAATGATCCTTATAGAGGCGTAGATTACGGTACAACAGAACGTACAAGAGGAGGAGGCTCAAGAAGACGAGCAGCAGCAAATATACGCTACTACGGAGAAGATGTGAGCGATTTCGAAGAGGATGATGATGAACGTGGAAGTCCATCCAAAGCAAACACGCCTTTAGAGCAAGAAGAAGAGGAATATGCACCTGGAACCTTACTTGGAGCTCCACCTCCAGGCAACAAAGTGTTTGCCAAGCGATCACATAGAGTGAACCCAATCGCACCAAGTGAATCAGAATTGAACGAACAAGCTACAAAGAAAGACTTTTTGATTCCGATCAGGATCGAATTGGAGACGGATAATCATCGTATTCGTGATACATTTACATGGAACATTCGCGAACATATCATCAAACCACGCGAATTTGCTAAAGTGTATGTCCGGGATCTAGACTTGCCAAATGAACCTTTTGTGGAATTGATTGAAGGTGCAATTGTGGAACAAATCAAGCTTTACAAGGAGAGTGGAGTTGATCTAGTGGATGTTGGACCGGCTTCTGGTGGCCCATTTGCATCGAAGGATGGAAAGAAACGTAAGCGTGACGGCAGAAATTGGGATTGGGGGATCAAAGGTAGTAATGCAAATAATGATACACCAACGAAAAAGGTTCTGGCTCTGGAGCCATCTGCTGAATCGACAACGAAAACCAACGGACATCATGAAGAAGAGAGCAAGACTGATGTCGAAAGATGGAATACTGAAGGTCCTGATGGCAATTTCGAGGATGACTTACGTGTAGTCTTGGACTATGACGTTCAAATTTATCGTCATCATTTACGTGATCGATTAGAATGGGACCTTTGTTCGCCTTTGACGCCTGAAGCGTTTGCAGCTCAAATGTGTAAAGATCTTTGTTTGACAGGAGAAGCATCACCGATTATCGCGAATGCAGTACGTGAACAATTACTCAATCATTTACGTTCGGTTATCGAATTGGATTTGGTAGGAAAAGGGTTGGAGTATGCACGTTGGCAACAAGAGCTAGAAGAAGCAGAAAGAGATATGCAAGAGAATAGTCGACGAGCCAAAGAAGGATTGCCACCGCTACCACTCAAGCCACTACAAATCATGCAAGAAGAACAAGAAGAAGAACCTGAACAATTGGGCAGAGGAAGAAGAAGGGGTGGAGGCGGAATGGAAGATGGAACGAGTACGCCTTATAATGAAAGTAGTGCGGCTGCCACTCCTGCACCATCATCTAGCAAGAATATCATTTTACGTACGCCCGATCAAAGACGTTCGATTGCTGAATCGTACTTGTTCATGTTGACCGAACGTGGACCACGTAAACTTGAAGGCGTTTGGCGTGAATATGCTGAATCGCGAGAATTTGGACCGTTGATCGAATTCTTGACGGATGAAGATTTGGAAAAGATGGATGCAGAAGCAACAAGAGCTGGTAGACGTAACCGTCAAAGGAATACTACCAGGAGAAGACGCTGAAATGTTGTGCTATATCTATAATTATACTATCATCTTACATGTATGTACATCAGCATGAAAATTAAATGTTTAATTCCATTATCACTCAGGTACGACAGGCAGCCAATAGACGCGCGTCTTAAAGTGGCAGGAAGATGCAAACGCTATTTTTGTTGATTCTCCACTCCTTACAGTCATCCTTCGAACACATTGTATTGGAAGATGTCTGATAGTTTCGATCTAGGTAAAGCATGTCTCGAAGGCAATTCAAGACTTGTTATTCGTCATTTAGAAGGATTACGAGAAGAAGATGAATCATTAGCACAAAAACAAGTTTTACAACCTGATGCCGATAAACGAACACCACTTCATTGGGCAGCAAGTTCAGGACTTTCATCAGAAGCGATTCGGCTATTGTGTGATTGTGGAGGCAAGGAAATCTTGGAAGCAAGAGATTCTTCCGGTTGGACAGCATTGATGATCGCTTCAAGTGCAGGAAGGGCAGAAACGGTTTCACAGCTGTTGTACGCAGGTGCTGATGCGATTGCAGCCAATCCTAGGGGACAGACTTCCCTACATTATGCTGCGAGCAAAGGACATCTAGATGTTGCAAAAGTCTTATTGGAACAAGGACCGGGAGGAGCAGATGTGAATGCTAGAGATGGAACAAAGCAATGCCCTCTACATCGTGCAGCTGGACCAGGACACGATGCTCTTGTGAGATTGTTGCTTAGCCCACCTGCACCAAAGAATGGTGCCAAGAGAGAAAAGACCAGGGTGAACCCGCAAGACAGACTAGGAAATACGCCTTTACATTTGGCGTTTGATTCTGGGAATGGATCTACGGCAATCATTTTGATTGAGGAAGGAGGCGCAGATAGAAATAGGCTAAATCAAGACGATCAAAAACCAGAAGAAATGCCGGGGACAAATGAGATTGAACAAAGAAAAGTACTAGAATATGTACGTAGTCATGTAGGATAACACAAAAAGACAGATGGGATCATCAAATTGTACTTTTTTTTTCATTGTTTTAGATCTTGTTTTGCGCATTGCCTTCTCGGATCCATTTGGCATTTTGTTGAGACTTTTCAGCGATAGTCTTGCCATGCTTTTCTGCGTAACCAGGCTTGAGCATTTCTGGCAGCAATTCATTGAACGAAGGAACACGCATACCCTTTTGAATTGCATCACGATTCCATTGACGTTCAATCCAAGCTTGAACGTTTGGACCGATCTTTGCGTCTGGCACACCACTGTGTCTGCCCATCATGACCCAAGGGAATCCGTTCATATCAGCGATTGTATACTTTCCGCGACCGGGGCCTACGAGCCAATCACGATCTTTGAGACGTTCTTCCAAAACGGCGAACAAACGAGCGCTTTCGTTTGTATAACGTTCTTGACCGTAAGGAATCTTTTCTGGGGCATAATGATTGAAATGGTTTGCTTGTCCCATCATTGGACCGATACCGCCATGAATGAAAAAGATCCATTGCAAGACTTCTGAACGGTAAAGGTCACCGTCTTTTTCATTTTTGGAAAAGTTGAAGTGATTTTCCGGGTCATAATTTTCTTGCAAGTAGATTGTGATTGCGGCAGTTTCAAAGACATTGAAACCATCACCACTTCCTCTGTTTGGATCAACGATTGCGGGAATACGACCGTTTGGACAAATCTTTAAGAACCAATCGGATTTTTGTTCATTTTTGGAAAATTCGATCTTGTGTGTTTCATAATCCAATCCTTTGTAAATTGCTTTCAATTCTTCCAACAAGTTGCTCACTTTGAAGCCGTTTGGAGTGGCAGCCGTGTAGAGTTTGATAGCTTGAGACATGATTGGTCGAATTGTGGTTTGGTGGTGGGAAGGGAATGTATTCGATTACCTCTTCTTTATAACTAACCCCTCCCCACTCGGTGGCATATAAGCCGATCGATCACTTAAATCCGAAAATACACTCACGCCGTGCACCTAATCACTGTCACAATGTTTCAACCCTACGGCCGTGCGCGTAAATCCTCCACTTTTAAATCCGAAAGATAATCGAACCAATGGGAGCCAACCTTCTTGCTTTCGTTCATGGTGGTCTTCATGTCATTGTGAATTATGAGCTTTAATTGAATCTATATTGAATCTGTTCAGGCACAGAGTAACGCCTTGATGATGGCGCTCGTTCAGTTCACACTTGGCGGCGAAAGGCGTGATGACGCCAAGATGATGGCTTTAAAGAAAGAATAGGCAGATTGTAACGCCTTTAGTCGTAGGCGTCAAATGATGATTGATTGTACTAATGAAAGATATAAAATCATGAGAATCAAACACAAATTATCTTGGCTTTTCACTTTAACAATTTACAAATTTGAATTCGGCATGGTACCGATATTTCCAATGGTCACCAAGAGTGATCCACAACCAAACAATATGAAAGCAAAAACAATTGAAGATCAACTGGAATCTGTTGATCTGATTGCTCCACCACCTTCTGCTTGTGTTCTAAATGAGTCAGATCATCCTTTACAAGCGTCACCAGTAAAGGAATCCACCGAAGTAGCACCGCCAGAAAAGGAGGAAGCAGGAGCTGAAACAAATTCTAAACCAGCAATGCCTCCATTACGTAAAAGAACAAGTTTTTGGGATATTTTTCGATCATCGATTCATAAAGGAGGTGGAGAGCTTACGTCTGAAAATGATCAGTATAATGAAGCGAAACTCGATACATTTGTGGCTGGACTGGAAACCAAATTACGAAAACTCACGGATGACGATCAAAAGGCGACTGGTCAAAATTCAGTTGAGAACGAGGCCCCAACTGCCACAACACAGTCTGGACATTCTAGATCACGATCTGATGTGGGCCATGCATTTTCTCAACAATCTTCAAGGGATAGCGAAGATGAAAGTGAAAATGCGACAAAAGGAGATTCTCGACCTCCTCTGCGTAGACAAACAAGTATGATGAACTTTGCTTTGAATATGCCATGGGCAAAACGGACAAGAAGACTAACGGATTCAACGTCATATTCGACGTCACATGCCTTTCCAAGTAGTGGTATTGCATCTCGTTCAAGTACGTTTGATAGTACAAATCAAAATGATGCAAATCCTTCAACGTTATGTCACATCGATGATCAAAACGGTCATCAAATTGCTCAAGATTGTGTTAAATTTGCACATGCACGTCATACGATCAAAACGACAAAAGAAATTGAAATTTTACGTAAACTTTCGATCGAATTGGAAAGTGCGTTCAGACATCAAATTGATAAAGTTGCAATTTTGCATTCACAATTGGAGTCTGTTCATTGGCGTCAACATGATTTACAAGATGAAAATAAACATTTACGTGCTCAAATTGGTTCACTTAGCGAACAAATCGTTCATCAACAAGCTCAAATTGAAGCTTTACGTGTCACGGTGAAAAGTTTATCTACGATGATGTCACCTGGTACGAAGGAAGAAATTGCAGATGACAAAAGCGAAAAGAAAGTTGATCAACATCAAACCGCAGATCACGACACAGACACTTCCGCACACAATAGCATTTTGCAACATTATGAAGATAACGATAGCTCGCACGAATCTACCGAAGCTTCTACTCCACCTTTACCGAAAGCTGAAAGTCCGAAAGCAATCGAAACAGAACATAATCATAACAAAGAAGAATCGATTCATCGAGAAGCATATCCGGAAGGAAAGCAAGATGATCCAGTCTTGTTCTCAGCAGGCATTTTATCAGCTAATGCTACTCAAACATTCGCCAATATGCAAGTACATGTATAATGTTAAGACTTTAGTTTCTATACCTCATTGTTTCTGTTTGTATGATACTCTCACTCTGTCCGTAATCTTGATTCGATAATCTTATTTATTATTTTTGTCAATGCTCATACAAGATGATTATAAACCAGCAAACTCAAAATATTCAATTTCACGGTTGCATTGGATTGCAAAAAGAAGGCGTGAGACAGAATGGAACGAAGAAGAAGAAAATAAATGAGGAACAATGTTGTAGAAGTATGACCGTTTGAATGGAAAAAAAATATGATGTGGTTCGAACAGATGTGAAATAAGAGAAAAGCACATTCTAGATGAATCAAAATTGTTATTGTATCAGGATGTGGGAATGATCAAGTGCGTTTTGTTCCTTTTGAGTGGTCCAAGATTAGATGACCGTAGCATTGATGCCAAGAGTGAGTATCGCACTCAATCACTCAAGAGAGGTATGTTGTCGCAGTTCCTGCAAAACGCTAGTGTCCATAGGGATGCTCGATTTACGACGAAGATGCGCATTTGGTGAAGTTGTATCAACTTGCTTTGGATTAAGTTGTGGTAATCCTGCCGTCAACGCATTGGTATGAATTTTTGTCGTATTCGGGCTCGTCGTAGAAGAAGAGGAAGAACGATCGGCATCCGGCTGATGGATGGCTGACGGCGGGGTAGATGTGCCGGTTAACGAAGATGATGAAGAGGATGAATTTGAAGATTCACCCAAAATTACACCACCTTTTTTCACCTGCCCCGCCTGTTCAAAATCCTGCCCACCATCTTTGCCTCCTGCAAATATTCCTCCGCTGCCTACATTTCCTTTTTCGTTTCCTGACAATCCCGGACTTATTCCTTCCAAAAAGCTGCTTCCAGGTCCTCGTGCTGTGCCTTCTTCTTCTTCTCCAGTCATATCTCCAATCGATCCCATAGAATCACTATCTGAGAGACTCAAAAGCTCGGCTGCACTTGATCTTGGTGCAGGATCGTCATTGAGTAAACTTTGAGGTGGTTCAGCGCCAATCACTTTGCTATTCTTCAACGCGGATTCACGCAATTGCTTCCATGCTTCATCTCGAGTTCTAAGCTTTTGTCTCTCAGCCTGTCTTTGTTGTTTGAACTCATTTGTGCACATATCAAAAAGGGCAGGATTGATCTCCATAAATAGCTTGAGTGCATTATATACCAGTCCATGAATCGTTCTGTTCCAGTGACTCTTTGAGTTTTGATAGAGACTTGCAAAGACGATTGGCAGAATCACTTGAACATTATCACCGATCAAGTTCACAATGTATTCGTTGTTCCAGAAATATAGCGCTCGTTCTGCAACTTGGAAGTGCTGTGAGTTGATGCACCTCTGCAATTGTTGGAAGAGGGGTACTTCGATCTTGACAAATTCAGAAGGCTCAATGACGTCCAAAATTTCTTCGACTTCATTCAAGAACATTACCTCTTTTGGACTGTTTACCTTTGGCCAGTAACGCAATAATCCGAGGATGACCTCTTCCGTTAGGCTGCTATCCTTCTCCAAGAATTGTACGACACAGTATGCCAACTGTGGGTGGTATAGTGCAAGACTTTTGACTTTGTGCAGAGGGATCAGGACACGGGTTAAGAACGTTTTGTGCTCTTCTTTGAGCGGTAGAGCAAATCCATTGATAATCGAACCAAGAATCTCCAATAGTTCCGCGATTCCGTTGTGTCGCTCGGTTTCATAGATGAATTGGAAAAAGACATTGTTGATTGACCTACGAATGAATGCACGAAGATTGAGGAATTTTCCATAAATACGATGCAAGGTTGTTTTCAAGAAGTCGCGCTCCCTAGGATCTTCGCTGTCAAATAGCTCCAAAAGTTGCAAAACGAAATGTTGATCGATAAACTTCTTGGCTACGTTGGTATTAAAGTCGGGCGACTCGACGAAACGCAAGAAGAACTCATAGACAATTTGCAAATGAGGCCAAGCAAGCTCTAAGACAGGTTCATCTTCTTCAGGATCAAACGCATCACCGGTTGGATTGACTTGAGGAGGAATCGAGCGGAAAAGATTGGCTCCAAACATGGCCACCACTTCAGGGTAAATTTGTTCAGTGATCACACCTCGTTGACTTGTGATGTAGTCGAGCATTTCGTGTAATGTCTGTGCTTTGACTTGTTTGCCTTTTAATTCTTGACTTGCGTCATTGAAGTCAAATACGACTGAACATTGTCGCAGTTTGCGAACAAATAGTTCAGGTCGATCAGCTGGAACCACTTCACCAAAGTTGGGCAGCTTCTCCAGTTCAATCTTTTCAGTCACATGGAATCTGCTGCTGCGTTGCTTTCTTGGTGGTGTTTTGCTGGTAATTGGGATGGTATCTTTTGGTCCTTGTGGCATTCCCTGTCTCAGCCTGTTCAAGGTACCAGCCTTGGGTGGTTGTCCTGGTCCCAATTCGGATGCAGTCAAGCTTGAGCCACTAGATAAGCCGGAAAGAGCAGGCACATTAGCTCCGGGAGGCGGAGGAGAGCCGGGGGATCCAGTATGTGGATGATGTGGTGTATGTGGAATAGGATCTGCGGGCATTTCGGACGATACAACGACGATTGGCGGTGCTGGTGAAGTTTTGTCGGCTAAATTGGAGCTTCCTCTTCGCTCTCCCGATAATGCAGATGCACTTCCACTACCTCCTTGTTGTCCTGAAAACTGATTTGAAGAACCGCCTGCTCTTGCGTATGCAGCCTGTCCTGCAGCTGTAGCGTCGTTAGGCTGTGATCCACGCGTGAGTGATGTAGTGGAAGAGGATGGCGATGAATTATTGCTCGTGCTGCTTGTGGCTAAGCCTTTAAGTGAGCCTTGGAAAGCAGAGGAAGCAGGTACTGAACCTCCCTTTGGTGGTGGAACTGGAATTGAAGCGCCTCCTGCTCTTGGTGTTGATCCGTTTTCATTAGACTTTGACCTTGACAGGTTCTGATGAGAATAAGAAAGAATGAAAGTGTGGTAGATGGTCAGTATTCGATCTCTTATTTCACGCAGCGATCAAAAAGTTTACTAACCATAGCCTTTTTGAGACCCTTCATGGTGTTGACACGATGTGATTTCGTGTCTTTCTTCTCTAATCAACACCCCTGTCTATAGACAGTCAGACGTGTTGAGTGATTGATGAAATTGGCAATCGCACTCGAAAGCTCTTGCAATTATTTTCAGTTGCTGATTGAATAAGCTGAAAATGTGATAATTTATGCGAGTGTTTTTGCGTACGCCAGATTACGAACTCCAAAGTAGGGCTGAAAGGGGAACTATTCCGGAACTTTCACTCTGACTCCTTTTGACTGGATTGAGAGTTCCGTAATCAGCACGTTTGAATGCAATCTAGATGTTGATGATTCTAGAGACTCAGATCCTCGCCTGTCTATTATGTCGAAGTGATGATCTGCTTGTCGTTATTTGACAAAACAGTGTGATTGATGATCGTGTTGAATATGAATGTGATAACAATCAATACGCTCGTGTGCGCAATGAGAGGGATGCGCGTTTTGTATCAGTGCTTTGGTGCCTTTGGTTAGAAGCAGTGTATGTAAATTGTAATACATTATATACAACACACGCACTACACTCATACCCTTTCCTTTACCAACTCGGCAAGTTCCCCCTTAGCCTCAATTTTCCCATTTGTATTCCTGAGCGGGATACACACGCGCGTGTTTGACACTCGGTCTACGCGCAAAGGCTAAGAAAAAAAGAAGCTTAAGCCAACCAACCAGCCAGCTGTTAAATTCTGGTGTTGGTTCTTAGCAGCCTGCGCCGTACAAAGTAGTGTGTGTGTATGTATATTCAGGGCTGACTGCTTGGCTGGCTGGCGTAAATCCCCTTCAGGCCTAGGATAATCTTGTACATGTGTGCATGCATTTGCTGCTTTGTTTCTTCCACGTAATTCTCAAATTTGGGCGTATTCTTGTTTCTATTCTCAAGCCCGATCATTCTTTCACCGTCATTATCAAAAGTTGATCCTCTCACAAGAGAGAGAAGTAGAAAAGATGGCTCTTCCTATCTATGTTCCAATTGGATATATCACCGTTTTGGTCGTTTCACTTTCGATCTTCAGTAAAGTATACAGAAGAAGGACCGCAGAGGCCTTGGTACGTGAACATGGTCAGCCTTGGTTCCCAGAAGGACATCCTGAACGAGATATCTATCAAACATTAGTACAAGCATCATCTTCAGAGTCAGGAGGAGAGAAGCAACAAAATGTCGTTCCAGATGTGGTGCTCAAAGCGGCCTTACTGAATCGTGCAATGGCAGACGTACGAAGAATTATTCGAATGCGTGATGATAAGCAAGCATTATCAACATTGCTACAAAAAGGATCGATCGGAGATGAGACGATGGCAAAGTTCACTCTAGCAGAAAAAGAATTGGAAGCCGAAATCTTGGACGTGGTAAGCGAAGCAAACACATTCAGAGAAGGATGGGGACAGTTGATCTTCCCTTCAGCGAGCGAAATGGTTGCCCACTTGAAGCACAAGGATGTCTACTATGGCATTCAACAACAAAGAGCGGAAGAGGTGAAGAAACTCACAGAAGCCGGCAGACCTGTTCCACAACCAAACGTTACTCTTCCACCGCTCCTGACACCACCGGGAACAAGCATCACTCTACAGGCACCAGGATCGCAAGTTCAAGGTCCGCAACCTCCTCCAGCAGGCTCTGTTGCGGTGAATGGCAAAGCAGCGGCATCAGCGTTAAAGTCAGGCACTGTGCAAGATGCTGACGAAGAGGTGAGTTGAAGTCTGCTGCAGTAAAACTGGGCTAGTTAAGGTTGGGATTCATCCCAGCCTCTATGCAGTCTCAGCCTCTGCTTTTTTCTTCTTCTTTTTTTTCCCTTTTGGGACTTTTTTGGACTTCATGCCAAAGCATGCTCTCACCGAGTGATGTGCTTTGCTTGGCTATTTCGATCTTTTGACACATTGTACATAATCTTACCACAACACTTGCCCACGCGATCCACCTTGGGATCTTAAACCTTCAGCAGGCGTAAACTTTTGACGCCTGTTGTTTGATGATATTCTGTTTCTTCCTTGCGGCCGCAGTGAGCAGAATATACCCACACTTGAAAGCGGACCGTTTTTCAGGACGATCGCCTTCATTTCGCTTTTTTCAGCCGAAACTTCTTTCTTTTCCTCTTCTCATCCTTTATTGGTATGATGGACGGATCTGATTTCTTTTTCCACATTATGGCGAAAAAAATTTTAGGAACAAGCATTGAATGAAAAGGACAAGAAGAATCTTACTCAATTCGAAAAGATTATCGGACCAACATTTTTACGTGAATATTCTTCTTTGGCGAAAAAATCTCCTACAACATTGAACAATTTATTGAATTACGATAGTGAAGATGAATGGGAGAGTGAAGAAGGCGAAGCAAGTTCAAGTCAAGATGAAGGATGTTGTAGTGATGATGAAGGTCCGGTAACCCTCTATTTCAAAGATCCGACTCCGCAAACTTCACCTGCTCATGATGTCCAAAACGGTTTAGCAAATCAACAAGTCAACGATCAAGCAGAAACTTCCACGGGAAATGCAAAGAAGAAGAATAAGAAGAAAAAGAAAACAGCATAATTCAAAAAGTATCACCACCACAGAAGCTCGAATATTATAATATTACAGCTTCAAATTCATTTGTATTATCCTTCATTGTCATAAAAACATGCACTCCATCGTCGTTAGCGTGAGAAAGTACCAATGATAGCATCTGCTTGTTGTGCGGCCTCCTTATCGCAGTCATGCATACATACATACACAGGATTGAGAAAAGAATGAATTAATTAAGGAAGAAGACGGGTGGTATGTGAAGAGGAAATGATCAATCTTTGGAAGATCGATCGATCGAGAAGTTTGACGACGAAAAAGGGAGGTATGAACAATCAGTAACACAAAGTAGGTAGAGCGAAGGGCAGAAACGGTTGATGTTCCATTAAAAAAAAATTTGGATAAAAAGTCTTCTTTGTAGTGGGGAAGGTATCTGAAGCAGCTTCAATGCTCTCGAAACAGAAACATTGAAAAACAAATCTTCCAGCCCCACCAAGTCTAAACTCTTTCGCTTGTGTACAAGAAAATTCCAAAGAAAGTGACATCCTTATGCATTCGACGTAGGAATAGCAGCAGCAGCAGCAGCAGCAGTTGTTGGTGTTTGCTTCACTGGCGTTGCATCAAGGTCTGAGCGTACGGTAGAGATCTTTGCAACCGTTGGCGTCGTTGGTTCTTCTACAACTGTTTCGGGATGAGCAACTTGAGCGGATAGACCCTGAGCATCGCCATTGCTGGTGTTGGAGTTGGCACTAGTGGCCAGATCATGACTCGAAACTGGTCTAGAATTTCCTTCGGGAGTTGCAAATCCACCTGCAGTATCAATCGATTGTCGAACGTTAGTTGGATCGTTTGCCGGACCATCAGTTGCTTTTAGATGTTCACTATTCTGAACAGTCGTTGCTGCTGGCTGAGAGATCACATTCGAATGTCCTTCAGAGGCTGGAGTTGAGGTGATCGGAGGTGGTAAATTGGCAGAGCCATTCTTATCTGGCGCTACCGTTTTTGCCAGGCCGGCATCCTGCTTTTGCTGTGCTGCGTAATCTGTGGGATACGATGGCACAGCAGAGTTTGATGAGGCCTCATTTGTAGCAGCCGTTGAGGCAATAGCAGTCTTTGTTGAATTGATCACCTGTTGTGTTGAAGAAGTACGGGAAGGGGCTACAGGTGCACTTGCAGCAGGTGGGTTCGTATTCTTACGACCGAGTTTGAAGCTTGAAGTGCGCTTTTGCGCCAATTCTGCCGGTCTTGCAGGTGCTGTCTTTGCTGTTGATTCGCTTGCGCCTGCTTTTGCTGCACCTGCCTTGCTTGTCTCTGGCGATTCCCACAAACTATCTCCCAGTGGATGATCGCTCAAGAGCTGTTGCTTACGCTGATGAGATTTATCCAAATCCTCAAAGCTCATCAAACCTCCTTTTGAGTTCAAAGTTGTATCAGGAGACGTAAAAGAAAGTTTGTTCAAATCAGTTGGAGCAGTAGAACGAGGAATCGTTTCTTCGGTGACAAAAGTTGGTTTCCATTGACGACGTTGTTTCAAGAATGCTTGAAGATCTTCGGTATTATTTTGGGTATTACGTTCCTGTACTGCAGGAGATGAGCCTGGACCGGCCAATTTGACTGTTTCCCACTGAACTCCTTTACCTGCAAATAATTCACTTGGCTTTGGCATACTGCTGTATGATTCCGAAGGCGTAACTACTTCCATCAGATTAGGTGGTTGAGCTTGAACGGCGTTTGATTGATTCGTACGAACGGAAGCGGCCGAAGGAGAAGAAGGAAGACCTGAAGCATACGTATTTTTGTTGCCGTTGCGACTTATGCTGTTGAAATCTGATGCTTTCTTGCTGCTATAAGTAGCATTTGAAGGTGAACGTGGTCCAAAATCTGATGGTTTATCATTCTCGCTCAAAATAGAAGCAGAAGAAGATTTCAACGAAGATTTGGAACGCAATGACTTGAAGAGAGGCATTTTGACGGAGAGGTCGCAATGTGAGAGGTTTTGATGAAAGAGCAAGATGTTCAATTTCCAAGGGCCAATACTGATATCTGTCCTTCTCTCTCCCCAATTGTCAGATTTGAGTCGATTGGATGTCAAAGACGATGGTTGTCAGATTAGCTGGCAAATGCTTCTTGACCCCAATAAGACATACGGTTGAGCGTGCGAGTGTTGAACGTCTTAATTGGGCTAAAGTGCATCATTGGCTGAGATTGAGTGTGTGTGTGTGTTTGACTTTATACGCTAGGATGTATGCATACACACAGACGTTTCGCCTTTCAAAAGCTAAAATACATACAAAAGAGAGAGAAAGTGTATCAGCCACTTCCTTCAATTAAAGTCAGTTTTATTCTAGTGTGCGCGTTTAAGTGCACTGCGCTGCGCACTATTGAATTGAACTTGGATGCAGTGCACGCACACTTTAAAAGGACACGCCGGCACATGCACAAAAGTTGCCTGACACAAAGCAGAGCTTCCTTTCCGCTGGCTGAGAAGGATGACATGAATGAATGCTATGTTATCACTAAAAGCTTGAATGTAGTCCTTGGCAGTGATCTTAAACCCTTTGTCTTTTCCTTTGTAGATCATATAGACTAAAAGATCAATCATCAAGTGTACTGAAGCTTGATAATGAAAGGTCATCAGGTATACTTTCTCTTGATTGTTTTTAGCTCGAATCAATTATTCTACTCCGCTGCTGCTTCCTCAGATGAATGCTCATGAACCGTCGTTCTCTCACTTTTGCCTCTCACCGAGCAGCCCCTGTTAGAAATTTAATCAAGAAAGCGGAGCCGTTGTATGCTCGATAAGCGCGTCATCAAGAATTTAATTTTGGAAAGTATGAATACATGCATTTTATGCCATCATCCCCACCATCTCTTAAATCTTCCCCAAGCTGTATGTGGACGATTGATCTCATCTTCCAGATCACAATCTTTGGCATCCTGTTCGATTTGAGCAAGACCCGAAACGAAATCCATCTCTTCTGCTCGAACAAATTTGGTCCTCCACATCAAACGGAAAAGGACAAAGAAGATCACAAACCATCCGATTGGCGTATACGTACTAAAGAATCCAGATGGATCCCATTGGCGTAAACTTGTCCAACCGGAAAAGATACATACGATCGAAATCATAAATACAACCCACCATGCCATAAAGATTGTTAAATTGCCCGGCGTTTTCCATGGAAGCATTTCACGTGAAAGTCCTTGCGCTTTCATTCCTGCGTGGAATCGAATGAATGTGATGGCGATCACGAGCCAAGTGATGATGCCGGAAATGGAAGTCAAATTGACAAAGAAGGTAAACGCCTTACTACTTCCATTGTTGATGCTCAAAAACGATAAGAAAGCCATCAACCAAGATATCAACATTGCCCAAAGTGGAATTCCATGTTTCGTCGTATAAGCAAAGATCTTTGGTGCCATTCCTTTTCGTGCCAGCGAGTGGGCAGCTCTGGAAACGGTAAACAAATCTGCGCAACCGGCAGAGAGAGCTGAAGTCAAGATCGCTGCATTGATAATCGAAGGTAAAGCACGAATACCTGCATCTTTGATCGCGATCACAAACGGACTTGCGGCAGCTGTACCACCTGAACCCAAACGTGGATCAGTACTGCTAACAGTAATACCGATAACGAAGACGGAAGTTAGATAGAATAAACTGATTCTAATCCAAACTGTGTTGAGGGCCATTGGTAAAGCTTTACGAGGGTTGCGAGTCTCTGCAGCGGCTAGAGCAAGCATCTCACTTCCAATCTGTGAGAATGCTGCTTGCATTAAAACGGAGAAGAAGCCTAAGAAACGACCAGTGGAACCGTCAATTCCCTTGTATTGTACCAAAGGACCAGGGTTACGCCAAAAACGAAAACCGATACTTGTTTTATTTGGCGCACCTCCTGCAGAGATGACAATACCGGTGATGACCAAACCAACAATTGTGACTAGTTTGATCAAGACGAAGTAGCTTTCCACTTCTCCGTACCACTTTACGCCCATGACGTTGACAGCAAGAATGAACACTAAGAAGATTGCCGTCCAAATACCTGGATTGATATCCGGCCTCCAATAACCAACAAGCGTTGCAGCAGCAGAAATTTCAGCACATTGCACGAGACACCAGCATAGCCAGTAGTTCCACGAGGCAGCAGCGGAGAAGGAAGGATCAACGAATCGACCTGCCAGAGTCAAGTGACCGCCACTTACTGGTAAGTAAGCAACCATTTCACCAACACAGCATAACACGGAGATGATAACGGTTGCCATTACGAGATAACCAAGGAACAATCCCAACGGTCCACCATTTTGTAATGCACCACCTGTCCCCAAGAACACACCCGTTCCAATCGCTAAATGGTTATTCAGAATGAGAGAGAGAGAGAGAGAGAGAGAGAGAGAGAAAGAGAGAGAGAGAGAGTTGAATTTAGAGTCGTATTCCGATTGCTGGTCATAACTTTTCTACTCACCTGCTCCAATAGAGATGAAAGCTAATTGTCGTTGTCCCAAAGATCGTTTTAGACCTGCTTCATTGTAATCTGCAAAATGGTCTCGTCTATCGACTACCTTTGTTTGTTCGTTAGATTCTACATCTCTTAGACTATCAACAGCCTTTTCATCTTGTCCATTGTTGATTGAAGGATCTGTTGTAATATCGTGGGGAGCCATGATGATGAAGGTGATGGTTCGAAAAGAAGAAAGGCAAACTGCATGATTTGCTTCTCTTATATACGATCAGTTGATTTCTGCGGGGAAGCTGCACAAAGAAAGAGATAACCGCAACATGAATAGTATAGAGTTGCCATGTTCCTGATCGTTGCCTGAGTATTGCAATTGTACCCTTAATAATACTTTTTAGGGATATTTGCCGCACCGTGAGTAAGGTGTTCACTAGCGTATCGTTTCTTAAATTTATCCAAGGCAAAAACAATCATTAGCCTTTTGTTTTACTGCCGATTTATACTTAAACACGCTAAAATAAGCCAAATTCATGCATCACAAAATGTTTCACCGGCTTATTCGCCGTAAAGTGCCACTCACTCTTTCGGTTAAAGAGGAGAGTGAATTATATCAGAGTGGGCGCTACCACGCTAAGCGCAGCGCTGTGCGGCACAGCACAACAAAAGAAGAAGAGATACGCTTACCAACCGAGAATCCGGCGTTGATCATCACTGAGTTGTGGCCCGATATTCTTGTTTCCATCTTTTTAAGCGAGCTGCACGGTGTTTGTCATTCGAGAATGAATGCGATAATATAGATGCGGGGAACGAGTGCATGACAAGAGAAAGAGTATGAGCGCGGATAAAGACAATCTTCTTGCTGAGATAGAGAGCGGATAAATTACCCGCTATCAGCGCTAAAACTTAATCACAACCTATTACTTCTACGCTATACTTTCGTTTAAGATTTAGCCACATTGATAAAACTGCAATCTTCTTACCCCAGAATTCATCTTCCTTATTCATCATGTCAAATGAGACATACAATCCTCGATTAACACAAGCAGCTTATCAAGCTCAGCCGGGCGGTCCTTTAGATGTCGATAAAGAATTCTACGATCGTATAGGTGATGCTAAACGATCAGTTGCTCAATCATTCGTCCTGCCTATTCGATCAGGTAAAGCATGGCATGTAAAGAAAGGTCAGATATGTCGTATAACAACAATTGAAGGTCCACAAGTGTGAGTGTAGGCGAGATAATCAAAAGAGGGAGAAAGACATTGACCTCAACGCTGTATTTGCAGAGCTGATTTAAATCTATGGAATGCACATAATCCACGAGAACGATTATGGGCTGCAAGGTGAGTGACTGTACAACACTGCCCAGAGAACAAAAGCTTATATCATAGCAGAACCCGACAATTGCAACGAGCTCACGTATCGATTTATGATCGATTATGGTCTACTTTACCTTATTTAAGGCCATTATGTACAATCGTTGGTGATTCTTTATCGGGGTATGGTAGTGGTGGGAACGGTAAAGGAGGCGGGAGAGATGCAGAAGGTGCTGGTGTACATGACTTATTAGGCACTCGCTGTGATCCCTACGTGAACAAGATGTTAACAGGACTAGATTTTGATTATCATTGTCATTCCAACTTGACACGAGCAATCATTCCCTTTGGATTGGTAGAATCAGACGTTCATGACGTTTTGAATGTTTTCCAGGCAACAGGGTTGAATGTCAACGATCAGTACTTCATGAAAACATGTCCGGCTAAAAAGGGGGATTATTTCGAATTCTTTGCCGAACAAGATCTTTTGGTCGCTTTGAGCACTTGTCCTGGCGGTGATTTAAGTAAGCCGATGTGGGGAGAGAACGACACAAATAATGACAACGAAGACCCGACTTTGGAATGCTGTAGACCTTTGGGGATTGAAGTGTATAATATTCCACAAGATCTTTTGGCCAATTGGACGCCACCTCAACCAAATGGACAAGCATACAAAGGCGGACATGCTTTACGCGAACAAGCATGGAAATGAGAGAATTAAATTAAAACGCGGGGAAGTTCGTTAACGGTTTTAGAGCCGATTGCTTACCTCCGATCCGAACAACTCCTACTCTTGACCTTATCAATGTATAATCGCGCTTTTACATTTCAAAGACTTATTCATACAACAACTCGTAATATGTCAGGTTATTCAGCCGAAATACTCAATGATCAAAGTAAACATCATTGGAGCATTAAAATGTTCGATCGCGAGAATGGTTTAGCAGATCGAAATGCACATTTTGGTACACATAAAGCACGTTTAGCAGAGTTCAAACAACAGAATCCAGGAGTGATTGGTGAGTGATATCTGGGTAGTCTTAGTGTATATCTCTAATGTCTCTTCCCTCTTCTCTTATAGAATTTGGAGGACCAATGATCTCTCCTGATAATCATCAACCAATCGGATCCTGCTTTGTGTTCAAGAGAGGTGAACTGTTCCCCAATGTTGATGCAGTCAATAAATGGATAGAGAATGACGAGTATCATAAGCAAAAAGGTGAGTGTGACTCGAGCTTATACGTAAAACTACTTACTGACCAGTCTACCTTCTCCACTGAATCACAGTCTGGGAAAGAAGGGATATCTCCCTCTTTATTGCAGCAACAGATCCATGGACGTCGCAGAAATAATTGTATAAAATATATCACGAAATAAAAACAGATACAGAATGCAAACAATAGACCCCAACCATCATCACTTCCGCGAGGGAAGTGGGGGAGGTGGTACATTGCGTTTCTTGAGTTCATGCTCGTGAGATGGTGCCAAACCTAGCTTGCCTGCAGGTCCTGCGCTACCACCGATCAGATCAGTTGCCTCAGAAACAGTGTATGCCGGTGGAGCATCATCAGGAGCAGAGCTTGATCCCGAAGTACTCTCATATGATGATGAAGCGAATACATTCCCAGGCACGTTAATTCCTTCATCTTGAGGTGAGAATGGAATTTTTGGTATTTGTGAATGTGTTTCGCTTCTTGGTAGTCTCTTCAATTTGCCCGATCGGATCAATTGTTGACGTTTTTCCAAATCGTGAGCATACATTGCTGCACCAACTCGATTGCTGATACTGAAAAACATGCCCATCAATGGAATACTCTCAAGCAATGCCGCCACAAATCCAAAGCTGCGATACTCGAATTGCCTCTCCGTTAGCCACAGCTCCACTTGCAGTGGTGTCATCTTCTTGTATGCGAAAAGGAGACTATGTAATTGTCTGCCCATCGAGAGTGATCGCAAAACGGCTGAAACAATCAAACCTAAGAAAGGAATAAAGTCCAAAGGCAGTAGTGCAACTCGTAAAATAAAGATTCGAATGAAAGGTGAAGCAAGTCGAATGTATAACTTTTGCTTCTGTGAATTCTTCATTGCTTTTTCCGTTGGTGGATCATCCCATTCTTCATAATAAGGTGTCCACCATTCTTGTGGCTTACCGCGTGAAAGTACTGTTGCCTCATAAGCCGTATTACGAAACTTGCGTAATTTACGTCGAAGCCAAAATTCCATAATGGTATGACATTGTCCCAAAACAAACATCATTGCGGCAAATGTTGTCAGTGACGGCAATCCGAATCCTAACATTCTGGAATCATTGCTGCCATCCAAGCTGTCTGCTTTCGTTGTGACTGTATGGTACAATCTGCAAAGGGAAGTGGAGGGGTAAGTTTGATTCTGGTCACCATCACAACCTTTGAGGTAGTCATACTCACGCTGACATTCCCGTCACTTTTGCACTTCCACGCATAAAGTAGTACACAAACAACTTTTGAATCGGCCAAGTGATTGCTGCCCAACCGCCGGCAACCATTCCTGCTCGTTTGACAGCTTGACTGCATTCTTTCCACATTGGTTTCCATAATCGATCATCATGGGCAAGTCGATATGCACCAACGATGCAGTACAGAGGCGGAAATGCTAGTGTTTCTTGCGGCATCTTTTAGGGAGGGCAAGGATGATGATAGAGCTAAGAAAGGAAGATTTCTCTTCTAAGAAGGATATGAAATGTGAAAAAGGCTCATGTATGTATGCAGGCGCCGGCAGAGTAATGCAGTGCAGCAACTGCCCCATGCGGGAGGATTACACACGCCTTTTGTGTTGATTGAAAGAGCAACACTTTTGCAATCGTACGCGTTTCCAGCTTTCTTCCTCTTCTTGTCTGTTGTTCCCATCATTGTCAATAATGGAAACAGCATATACGCAACCATGGCCAGGAGGATTATCTGGGATAGAGATTGCAATCTGTGCATTGATTCACTTCTATGTTCAGCATGAACCTCTCAATGAAACCGGACCTCTGCTGACAAGACTGTTATCGTTCACAATCCGTTTGATATTTCGTGTCGATCCATATGCAAATGATCTTACCACCTTCAATAATCAGCTACGTGCATATTTGAAGGGGAATACAGACAAATTCGACGATGAAAGCTCTTCAAGATCAATAGATGCAATCATTCAATCAATCACAGATTGCATAGATGAAGCAACAACCTTTTCAGGCTTGCATACATTCTTCTCACGTATCGAACGTTTATTGATGCGTGAAGAAATGTATGACGAATTGCAGAACATGACCATTCGTCCGGCAGAACGTCAAATTGATGAATCTTCACCTTTCGGATACTTTATTCATCGATGTTTGGAAACGTATTTGAGTTTGGAAGATGACGAATTTGGCAAGATTGTCGAAAAGATTGAAGCTTGGGTGGTAAATGATCAAGTTGATGCTCAATTCACAGTGTCGCTAAATCTATCTTCAGAAGAGGAAGTAGCGCTTGCGATGCGAAAAGGGGATTACGCTACTGCCAGAGCTCTTTTAGAGGGATCCTTTGATCGGCCACCAGCTGCGATGCTAGGAAGAAGTTTGCCAGAGACACTTTTGTATAATGCTGTCTTTCATGTCAAGACGAAAGCCTACGATACAGCTAGAGATTCTCTACGTGAGGCTTTAAGGTTAGCAAGAGGGGTCAACGATACCCGGGCAATTGCATCTTGTGATGACCTTTTACGACAAATCGAATTCGAAGAACGAAAGGCACGACCTCGGCCAAAGCTACGCACGATGGATTCTGATATGAACATTGAAGGCGAGAGTAAAACGATCAAACACAAAAGAGACGCATATCAACAAATTGAAGATGCGAATCCTCTACTTGGCGTCTTGCAAGGGATAGAAGATTTGCAAAAGCAAGCCCGGAAGAGAATTACGGGATTAGGGGATGATGGACTTGATGATCCAAATGTATGCGAATACGATCTTCTGCAGTCGAATATATGGCAATTGATCGGTAGCGAGGGAAATGCAAAGGCTATGCAGAATGTCAATCGGGATGATTCGGCCACGATAACGAACTGGACAGCAAAGGAGTATGCCCTGTCACATGCTTTATCTCAAGCCAAAGGGGAAGCCATGAATGGTAGGGTCTCAAAAGCGCTTGGCATACTGATCGAGCCTGAATTAATCAAAACGATGGATATAAACATGCTACAAAATTGGCACTCGGAAATGCTGCGTATTGTCTATCAAGCTGCAAAAAGATCAGGTTCTGAAGCTACTGCGTCAAAGATTGAACGCTTGCGACCCGAACTGAAATATGCTACGGGCTATGCAGGACATAGTCAAAGTAGCAGCGAAGTTAGGCATGCTTCCGACCCGTTCAGACCCAACGAGGCATCCTTTGGTCAACAAGTACGCACGAGCAAGGAAGAAGATCTGTCCAACCTCCTGTTTGAAGCAGTTCAGATGCGACTAATTTCGAATGAACCCTCAAAAGCGCTTTCCACATCAATGCAAGTCATTCATGAAGCCGGACGATCAAATTTGTTCACACTGCATCGTAGAGGTGTAGTAGAGGCATCTGAATCCCTCTTAGCATTAGGACAAGTTCAACAAGCGCAAGATTTGTTGGATGAAATCATGGCCAGGACATTGGTAGATCAAGATATTGAAGCTAGAGCTGATGTTTCATGGACGTACAGTCGTGCGATTCTTGCCCGTAAATCAGACGAGGCGTACAAGGAATCCTTTTCATGGCTTAATCGGGCTATAGAAGGATATCGAAGTGCCCAGATGTGGCCGAAATTAAAAGAAGTACTATATGTCAAAGCAAGGATCGCTCATCATCTCAATGATTCCGAGCAAAGAGATGAAGCAGCACAAGAATACAATTTTATTACGGAGGAATGTAGCAAAATAGACGAAGAAGAGTCGGAGATCCTAGAAAAGCTACAAGACGTAGCAGCATTAGTAAGCGCACGTACAGCATCTGGTGGCTAGCTGGGAGAGGGTATTGTGTAGCATATAAAGTGTAATATAGCTTGTAATTTAAGCCTGATCAGCATCAGTGTCGACTGTCGTTGTGGGGGTCAATTGAGAAGCATCTTTGCGTTGATGGCTATGATCAAACATTCCCGAACCCGGCTCGCACAAACGTGGGCATCCACGCCATTCACCTGTTGACAAAGCTGAAACGATGCCATTACTGTTTAAAGCATGTTGCATAATTTCCTCTGAAGCTTCTTCAGGTGGTGCATTTGGACCGTCTAAAGACGTAATGGTTTCCCATAAAAGTGAAAAGAAGGCTAAAGCGGTCATTATGCCCAATAATTTAATCGTGGTCATCTCTATACCGGAATGATGTACCTCTCCTTCCGCAGGTGCTTCGGCGTTGCCTTCAGTACCTGCTTCTGCAAGTATTTGAGTTGCTTGTCTTGCCATAATTCCGACAATGTGAGCAGCAGTATCTGAACTCTCCCCTTCTTCGTGTTCTGGCGGACCTTGATATGTCAAGGGTAAAAAGATGACGATTATTCCGGAACACAATCTTGGCAATAATCTAGCCCATCTTGGTAGCCATAATTCTCCTTTTTCATCTCTTTCATGTTCCAACATTGCCAGCATCCATAAAGCAATCATTCCGACTGCGAACGATTCGCATGCAAGCCAGCGAACGCCAGACGGAACACGGTCCTCTTTGATAAAGTCTGCCAATGCATCACCACATAATGTCAATGCGCTGACGACGGGTAAATGAAGGAACAAAAAGCCAGTCGCATGCCAAACGGAATAACGAAGAGGATGAGTGATTTTCTTTGACCATCCACCGTTCATATACATGAGTTGAAATGAAAATGCAATGATCAAAGCCATAATTGCTTTACCAGCTTTTGCATGAAATCCAATTCCTGCCGGTGAACCATCAAAAAGACTATAAACGAATTCTCCCATTACGATTGTGAAAAAGTCTTGATAACGTTCGATTTCATGATCGATCGCAATAGCGGAAGAATATCGTAATCTCATCAGCTTTTTGAAGATCGGACTGTAGAACAAAATCCATGACCACCAAACTAAAACCATTGCAACGACCGATAAGGCAATCGCAGCACGAATTGGAACGAAAATTGCACCGATCATAAGTGCAGTTGAAGCGATCCAAGCAAGAATAAGAGCACGAATTTGAATTCTGTATGCTTTGATATAAAAGCTATAAAGCAGCCATGTACCAAAGATAGCCGCTTCAGCGATCAAGTAGCTTCCAATAGTCACTGCTCTAGCTGGACTTTCGGAAAGGTCTTTTTGTACTTCTGGTGCATTGTTGCCGTATAGAACCAAACATGCCATGACGAATAAGACCAAAATACGTTGACTGAGATCGTCCTTGTAGAAAGCATCAAATGTTTCTCTCATCCAATTCCACACTAAAAATGCCGCCGTATAAGTGAGAATATAACGAACGAATCCAGGTCCAGTTGGATCAGCGACGGCAGATTGTGCCAAAACGGCAATAATACCAACGAAAGTTAAATCAAAGAATAATTCCAAACGACCCGAACCTCTTTCTTCTTCCGATCGAACCAATACATTTCCACGGAAGTATTGTAATGGCCTTGGTCTTCTGAACAAATAACGTCTGTTTGCATGAATCTTACGTGCTTCTGAATCCAACAATTCACGTGTATGATCTTTGGTCATCCTTTGACGACGATCTGTTGGATTGAGTTTTGTACAAAATGTATCCGTTTCAACATGTTCATCTGTTGGATTTAGAGTAGGAGGAGCAAAACCGCTTGTTTCGATTTCACCCCATTTTAGATGATGTGCATGTCCGCTACTGCTGTGTGTTAATAGTGGTGGAGCTTTCTGAGACTGAGAAGAAGAGGTAGCTGTTGATCCAGCCGCCTCCTCTGATGGAAGGGAGGTCTGATGTGTTTCAGCCATGGTGAGTAAGGTGATGGATAGAAAGTGAGAATTGTATCAGACTTGGATGTATGCTATTTCATTATTTTTAACCGATAAACCGATTTCGGTCAATCAAAGAAAACAGCTTCTATTGATTCACAATTTTGTATCTTTTAACTGTCTGTTGTGCATGCATTAGCGTAAAAACGGGAAGCAAAAGCTTAAAACACGCCAAAGATCCGTCGATTGATTTTCATGTGAACGGATTTGTACAATCACAATTCGCACATCTCCGATTGCATACAATTACAAGAGAGGCTGACCGTAGCCTTGCGTGAGAATGATCAAGCAAATCTATAGCGGTCCTCCTTTATCCAAGTTGATGAGAAGTGGCATTAAGAAGAGCCACATTCATGCTTAATATTGATAAATAGACTTGGTATAATGACAGCAATCATATTTAACCTTTAGAGCATGTTTAAACAAGTCACTCAAGTCAAAGAAACAAAGAGAGAATCTAGATACAGGCAATGCGTTGAATTATTGATGAGAAGGACGGCCAAGAGTAGAGCGGCGTACGAATCACGGACGGGCAAGCGAGCGGATAAGAAGTATGACGGACGGCGAAGGAGAAAGAGTATGAGAAGAAAGCAAAAGAGCGCCACACGCCCGCACAGGCGCGTATCAAGAAGGACAGGCATTAATTTATCAGAGGAAATTCTCAAGCCATGGCTGAATCTAAGGCACAAAAAATATAAAAAGTCGGAGAAAGCAAGCAAGCAAGCGTACGGTGTCCCGCCTTGATCGATACGCAGGCTAGAAGGAAAGCATTAAATAGAGCTTGTACATTAATCTTCTCATCCTCACCATCATCACCTTTACACAATGTCATCTACAGCAACACAAACAGCAACACAGCCACAAGGAGAAGTAGTAGGCTCACTTCAGGCTACAGGTACATCTTCGTCCAACGGCGCAGATGAAGCATTCGCAGGTCATGATGAAGAACAAATTCGATTGATGGAAGAAAGATGTATCGTTGTGGACAATGACGATAAAGCCATACGTGATGGAAGTAAAAAAGAATGTCATTTGATGACAAATATTCAAAAAGGTTTATTACATCGTGCATTTAGTGTTTTCTTGTTTGATCCAATTACCGGAAAACTCTTGCTGCAAAAACGTGCTGCTGAAAAGATCACATTTCCAAACATGTGGACAAATACTTGTTGTAGTCATCCTTTAGCCATCAAAGGAGAATTGGAAGAAGCACAACAGATTGGTGTTAGACGTGCAGCTCAACGTAAGCTGGATCATGAATTAGGTATTGCACCTGAACAGGTTCCATTGGACGAATTTCAATTCTTGACAAGAATTCACTATCTAGCACCAAGCGATGGCTTGTGGGGAGAGCATGAAGTTGATTACATCCTCTTCATCACTGCACCCGTCACCGTCAAACCAAACCCAAACGAAATCGGAGAGGTGAAATGGGTAGACGCACAAGAATTAAAGGCTTTGATGAACGAATTGGATCCTGCAAGTTTCACACCTTGGTTCAAATTGATTGCTTCTAAATTTTTATTCCCTTGGTGGAACACTCTCATTGAACGCAAGACAAGCAAACCAAAGAGCGAAACTGCCGCTCAATCTGCCGCTCAACATGGCACAGCAGTCGTAGATGCAAAATCACTGGCTGATTTGCAAGACGATACCTTACATCGTATGCTGTAATCATTGATTGTTCAGCAAGGAGAACCGACAGACTGAAAGAACAAATACCCAGCAACATTCGCCCGAGCTCAACCATCATCACTTTCACTGAAATCTCTGATAATCTTGATCTTCTTCAATATGTACTACCTAAACGCATCTTCTACTAATTCGTAACGCAATTCCACTCATTTTGTTTGTTTCAAAGATGCATAGATATGCTTTTCATGTGTGTATGTATGTGTAAACATGTAAAGTCTACGTAAGAACGCAGGGATTAGTTGCGTAATAAAGTGCTAATGAACAAAGATGACGAGAGATATCGTACCGAAAAAGGTTGGCGAGGAGATGATCGTACAAGGCAGGGAATAACGTTGATTGTTTCTGAAGTGAAACTCTTACTCGTCTGCCTTAACAATTGTGGTCTTCTCTTGGCAGTAAACACCGTCCAAGAATTTCCGGATGTCGAAACGACGGATAGCAGGCAAGCATGCACCGTGCAAGTCAGCAGCAGATTGAGAAACCTCGTCCAAATCATTTCCTTCGACCAAGACTGTGTCCTTTGCGGACTTGTCTTCCTTGATTGTAACACCGTTGCGCATAGCGACACGGAAAACTTGCTTGCATCCCAAGAAGTTACGGACTTCAGCAGATTTGGCATCACCAGCAATGATGATGTTGATGGGGAAATGTGCGTAAACGGCACGCATCTTGTATTGCCATCCGACAAGTAGACCCTTGATCATGTTAGCGACGGCTGCCTTTGCTGTACGCAATTGGGCAACGTGCTTGCGTCCACCGTGCCAGATTGCGAATTTGACCTTGTCACCTTTGGGAGACTTGATCACACGCATTTCCATGTTCATGTGTTTCAAGTTCTGTTTGACAAAAGATAGGCAGAAAGCAAGAGTGATGTTAGTTATACTGTTTCGTAAAAGTCGTTTCTGAATGTTTAGAGAGTCGAAGTATGTCGAGCTTTGAAGATTGCACATGTAGACACCGGTATCATACACTCCCATCCGCCTCACATCCCATCTCTCCATCTTTCATTGTCGAAGTACCCTCTCTCATACATTCCTCTCATCTCCAATCTACGATACCTACCTTTGTCAATTCTCCTCTGGGACCCTTGACGGTGACGATACGAGAGTCGATTCTGACCTCGACTCCCTCAGGGATGGCGAGATCTAAGTCCTTGTAGATTTGCAACATCTTTTATACAAGTCGGATGATGTTGAGGTGATCGTGGACGATGGATAGAGAAGTGAAGTTGTGCAAGTTTGAATGGCTTCAGGTCAAGCTCGAGAAGTGGAATACAGGAAGCCTGCTTAATCAAGCGCGCATAGGCACTGTACGCAGTCAAAGCTTGAGTAGAGCCAAACGACGCAAGTCTTCCTAAAGCTTAGTACAACTACAGCCAAACACGCGCATAATTGGCAATTTCTTCACCGCAGGCTCAAAGCAAGCAAGTTGATAGCATCACGTGTTTTGCATGCAAGTTTTCTGGTTTCGGACTCTGCACGTGGATAGAGAATTTTGATGCAAAGGGTGAAGGGGTGCGAGCAGGCAATGTTCTGACACGTGAAGTGCGCTGAACACGACGCCCTTCCATTAAGGATACGTAATCAGGCGGAATGCATCCAATCTGGCGTTAGGGCGTGTGTTTTGACAGAACGCATACATTTCGGCAATAAGAGTTAAGCAAATGACACAAACCCTCTTGCTTCATGATTACCAACGCCATTTGTTACAATTGATTACTCTCTGGTTTTCGTCTAATCTCTTAGTATCCATCATAGTCAGTCTTTGTTTCGTTTCGTCATCTTCAACAAGATCCGTTGCTCGCTTTTGAGAGGCAGCAATGAATCAATATGGTGGTCCTTCGATGAATCCCTTTCCGGGCGGAATGCAGCCGAATGGGTTTGCGCAGTATCCCCCTTCTCAGCAGCAGCAGCAATTCCAACAACAACCACAAGGGATGCAATATGGTTATGCTCCGCCTGTTCAGCAAGCTCCCGTACCATCCTTTCCTGATCCTAATGCGTTCGCACATATGTTTAAGCAACATCTGTCTTCACTGACTTTCAATTCTAAGCCAATTATAACAAATCTGACAGTGATTGCAATGGAGAATGCCAATTCGATGGCAAATGTCGTTGCACAATGTCTTGAAGAACATATCATGATGGTAAGTGCTATACTTTTGAGATTAGCTTGATACTATTGATACTGACTTTACCTCTTACATTTTCATCTACGATCTCGGACTGATACTATACTGTCTTTACACTATCATTTGTCTTTCTTTTTGTATCGTACAAATTCTTTTTCATCTCTCGAAACCTTATAGTCACAACCAGCATATCGTCTCCCAGCTCTATATGTGCTAGATTCCATATGTAAGAATGTTGGAATGCCTTACACTGAAATGTGGGGTGGACGGATTGTGACAATCTTTATGGAAACTTACAGAGTTGTTGATCATGCTGTCAAGGTACGGATGGAAGAATTGTTGAATACATGGAGAGACGCCGGGCCCAATGGCACACCTTTATTTGGACCGAATGCACAACAAAATATTGAGAGAGCTTTATGGGGACAAAGTGGTCCACCTTCACAACAAGCAAGAAGGCCAACTCCTCAACAAACTCCCCAAATACCTTTTCAGCAACAACAGCAAAATGCTATGCGGTCACCACAACAGATGTATGGAAATCAACAAATATTATCTCCCAGACATAATATTCATTCTCCCTCTATGAACAATAATCCAAAGAGGTCAACAGAAGCTGCGGTGATGATGGGAAGATTCGATCGATTGATAGCCGCTTGTCGTAATGAACAGAGACAGAATCCGAATTCGTTTGATCCTGCACGGCTAGAGGCATTAACGAAGTTACGCAGCATCGTTGAGAATACTTCATTGTCACCTGTTGAGCTAGGTCAAATCGGAACACAACTTGATGCTCTGGAGAGTGAGATTCAAGGTCGTACTCCACAAATTCATAGTCCATCAAATTTGAGGAACCAAGCTGGCTATCGTGCCACACCTCCAAGCGGTCATCAAATCTTTCGTTCGCCTTCTCAACAAAATGGAGCCGCTGCCATCCCGCCTTCGCTAATGGGAGCGTTGGCAAATTTGGGAAAATTGTCTGGAAATTTAACTCCGCCATCGCATCGGTCAACACCACCTCCTGCGCCTTTGATACATCAAGGCGGTGCAGGAAATGTTGGTAAGCCAGGCACATCTGCTTTAGATCTGCTTGCCAATCTTAGGAAATCTGGCTTTTTACCTGCGGCTGCAGTTCCAGATCAAGATGCTGAATATTGCAATATGGTCAAAGGGATGAATATCCGATTGATAACGACTGACTTACAAAAAGAAGTCCCATTGGGTTCTCTGGATGCGATCAGTTCTAAAGAGTTACCACTGCAGTGTCGTCAATGTACAAATAGGTATCCAGTCGGAGACAAAGGTCAGGCAAGCTTGGATAAGCATTTGGATTGGCATTTCCGACAAAATCGAAGAGCAAAAGATAGTGCAGTACGCGGACAAAGTCGCTCATGGTTCAGCAAGTTAGAAGACTGGATTCGTGGAGGACATGACGATGTCGCACCTTCAAAGCATGCAGGTCAAGGTGGCGAAGGCCAAGATGGAAATGGCAACAATGGTGGAATTGGTGCATCATTAACGCCAGCTCAAGAAGCTGAACTGAAAGCGGCCACAAAAGCCTTTGTCATTGCACCAAGTGAAGATCCTGATGCGGCCACTCGGCCTTGTCCTGTCTGTAAGGAGCTATTCAAATCGGAATGGAGTGAAGATGAGGAGGAATGGATATGGAAGAATTGCAAGTTGGTTGATGGAATATATTACCATGGATCTTGCTACTATTCTGCCAAAACACTTTCAACGAATGTGAACAAGAAGAATTTGCCTGGATCATCTTCTGGATCTCGGGATGGAACGCCTCAACCGACAATCCCCGCCAAAGCTCCCAATGATGCTATCAGCCGGATCAAAGAAGAGGAAGTAGAGCAGACTACAAGCGGAGTGAAGAGGAAGAGTGATCACTTTGCCTCAGAAGAGAATGATGAAGGGAGCACAGAGGCCGGGGAAGAAAACCCAGCAAGCAAAAAACAGGCATTGTCACCTAAGACAGAGGAGGAAACGCAAGTCAAAACAGAAGTAGAATGAATGATAAATGCATGCTTTTAGACGCAACAAGACAATTTCAAAACAAATGAATGCAAGACAACTTCCAATGCTTAATAGCCATCATGTATAATACCCTTCAATGCGACATTATAAAAAGAATTGCAATTTATCGTGTGAATGTTGTTCAATTGTGAAAGAGTGGCAGCTTGATTTTGCCACGCTAAACTTCCACGTCCGTGTTCCTTAGCGGGCGTCAAAATTGTTTGAATAATTTTTTGGATTAAAGCCAAATTCATTTTCCCGCACTCCACCCGAATTCCCTCTCTTTTGGTTGTTGCGATCGGATGAAGCTGTACAAATGTCTGTCCAGCTTAGCCATGCGATGGCAAACGGGCATGACGACAGTGGTGTGATGAATGGAATGGGAGAGAAGAAAGCAGATAAGACGATTCAACCACTTTATACTTCACAGAGACGGAGAAGTATCGGTCAATCTAGAGCTAGAATTGATCCGATGACACTTTCGATAAAGTTGATCGTCTATCCAATTCTGTTCTTAGCATTGCTATTGGTCCATCTGGTCTATTACGTTTCCATCAAAGCTAGAGCGTCTTGGCGATATCAAAGGTCCATTATCGCATTCATGCGCAGCGATGAACGTTTGAACAGGACGATCAAAGGCAAAAAGGCATACAAGAAAGAAAAAGCTCGGATAGAAGAACAACATGAATTGGCAGCCCAAGTAAGACTGGCAAGGATGGAATGTATGGGAAGGACAAACGTTCCGCGTCATATAGCATTATCGATCGGTCCAAAACCCATTCGAACCAGTACCCTACTTTTACGAGCGATGAAGATTTCGGCTAGGATACTGAGTATGAGAATGACCAGCTGGATACCCAACAAGGCGAAAGAATTGTATGAGCAAAAGGCAAATATAGTGGCAGAAGCAAGACAGCAAGAAAAGTACGCATGGGATAACCTAGAAGCAGCATTACGGAATTGTGCTTTATCAGGAATTAGAGAGTTGTCTGTGTACGATATTGAAGGATATCTCGCGAATCGATTCAGCGAAACGCAGAAAGAGGTCATTGAACAGGTATGGAGACTACCTCAGGAGTCGATTGAGGATGAAGAATTGATTGAAGGAGAAACAGCCTTCTTACCAAATGGTAACTCTGCTCAAAAGTTGGACAGAAAACACATTCAGATCACAGCTACGATCTATAGACCGTTCAGGGCGCCCACACTACATGATATATATAGGCGTCCTTCTCTAACGCCACATAAAGACGGACATCATTCTGTCCAAGTTCGTATCAACATTCTTGGACCGGAAGATGGTCGACAAGCACTGGCAAAAGCAGCCACGATCTTATCAAAACGTCAAAAGAAGTCAAGTGGACCCTGCAAAGTTGGTGAAAATCAAGTTAGAGATGTGTTAGCAGAACACGGATACCCCTCTGATCCTGAATTGCTCATCATTCATGGAGGTCCAAGACAAGTATCAACGTTGCATGCATTTCCACCTTGGCTTGTGAGATTATGTGAGATCTATCATGATGCCGATGCATCGCCTTATCAACCTTTATCATCCACCTCTTTCGAAAAAGCATTGCACGCCTTTGCCAAGAGTGAGCAAAGATTGGGCAAGTAAACTAAACCAAATATACACGGGCATTCACTTTCTTATTTTCTCATCTTTTGTAACCTCATCATCATGTACTGATTTGTAAGCATTGATTCCTTGTAATACATAATTTGATCTAGTGTACAGTGCATTGTGAATGTGATTTGAGTCCATGATAGGGGATTATGCGGTTGTTGCATCTGCAGGTTGCGTGCCATCAGTCACTTCATCCTGCCCTCCTCCATACTGTTTGATCCATTCCTCATCTTCCCAAACCGGTTTTCTAGAATCGAAGCCAGCGCTATTAAGTGAAGTTCCAGATTTGATTGGTTTAGCTGGTGTAACAGTGATGACACGGCCTTCGATTTCGTTTAGATGCATATTATCTATTGCACCTTCCACATCCTCAGCAGAAGAAAATACGATGAATCCAAATCCTCTATGATTACTTGATTCAGTCGAGGCAGGTCCTCCATTCGTGGTCGCATTTCGATGCTTTGGAAGATGAATTTCTACAATTTCTCCAAATGGTTGAAATGCTGATAAGAGTGCATTTTCATTTGTGGTAGGAGATAGTCCGCTAACATAGATTGTTGTGTGTCGTGTAGACATCTTTGAAGGTGCATCCACTTTGGATGGTGGAAGGAACACCAAAAATGAAAATGCGCCAAGTCCACTTTCTTCTTGCGTTGAATTTGTCCGTGCGTTTCGCGTTGGGCCCTCTCGCGCCTCTCTCCAAATCATATAAAATGCAAGCATTTACTCGAGATGACTTTGAAAGCAATTGGGAGTTTGTCAATTTCAGTCGAAGTATAGACAGCTTCTACTATGGCGGCTAAATGCGACATGATCCCTATCATTTACTTGGCCAACCTTTCTGCCTCAGGATTGGGATTGCTTGCGAATATGTAAGCTGGAATATGCTGCACTAGCCATACATTCAATACATGTATTCAGGAACACGTTTGAGAAGAGTCTGTCATATTTTCTCGTTGTCCCGACTTCTGTTGTATGTCTGAACTTATTATTATCAGCGTGAAACTTGATCAGAAATGGAGGAAACAGAATTGTATAGTCAAACAGAAAAGTGCCGAAAGTTTGGGTTTTGTCATGCATGTAGATTAAGCACGTCTCTTAATCAGACGCGTACATACATTAAATGGGGCGGGCTGCTTGCTTTTCCTCGGGGCTTTTTTCTTACACACCGTACGCTTCTACAAACAAAAAATAAGCTCAGAATCGGAACCGGGGAATATTGCATTTCAAGCAACAAAAAAAGACGCGCGAATTGTTCCTTAGTCTGGCGCTTGGACCGTTTGGCGCAATGAATGTTGATTCTTTTGGGTGGTGTCACGTCAAATTGCCGCCGCCACTTTATTTTTGGTTTGTTGGCTATTGTTACGCTAGAATCAGGGAGTGTGGATTAGCGTATCTCCGTCATTCTATCTACCATATAGTTGAGTTAAGATGATGCAAAGGAGAGTACAATTCAATGACTTAACAGGGGAGAACACCTGAAGTGGCGTATTTCTCAAAAGTAGAAGGAGGAGTCCACTCCTTTGACAGAAACAGAAGATCTTCTTTGCAGCTTACGCCAACACTTCTAATTCCTTGTCAGTACTTGAAACTGACAATGATGTATTGTCGCTTACTACTTACGGTCATCAAAGTAGTCAGTCTGCGTCATGACTAGTTTGATTTGAAGTGATCCCCTGAATGCGCATCCTTAATCAAGTGTTCTTTTGCCAGGAACGTTTTTCTTGCTTTTGCAATTTCCCTTTTTCCTTGCATGAATTTGTATGCACGCGCTCTGCTTCCAAAGGCGTGTGACCCTTCTCGTGTGCAAGCCTGCATTAAACGGTGCCGCCTTAACTTACACAAACAATCAATGACTGCTCCCTCATTGAATATTTTCAATGGGAAGGGCTGACATATCTTCTCTTAGATGACAATATCATGAAATCATTCTAGATTGAAGAACTATATAGAATATCGTTGTTCCAAAACTGATCTGATTTCCATGGAGGATTGCTTAGCGTAAAAGAAGTGAACCAGAATATGCACAATAACCTTGTGTCTCATCTTATCATACTAAACGCGAACAAATAATCATCGAAAGGTACAGTGCAGCCAGGCAGGCACCTTCATTGAATAGGTAAATGCAGTTCTTCTTCTTTGATCGACACGCGTTCTGTTTGCATACAAGCAAGGCAGTAAGGAAGGGTTTGATCGATCTTCCAAGCAGCACCAACAGCAGCAGTATCACCAATCAATCATCATGAGAATATCATCATCTTCAGGTCCCCAACTAATCATCTGGAAGATATATAGAAAATCAAGGGCCGAGAATTAATATGATGGCATAAAGGTAAAAAGTCAGTATGAAAAATAACGCGCGCGCGGAGGAGGTATAAAGAGAGAGCAGCTGTCTGTCTAATCTGTCGTCTACGCATGCATTCCTATTTGGCCTGGGCAAAAATGCCCGCGACTAGTAGGATAATGCTGCTTATTTTTGATTTTTATTTTATTTTTTCTCTCCTCTTTTGTTGTCTCAATACGCCGCTCCGTTTTCCTACTCATCCTCCGCCCATTGCACATTTCGCCTCTCTTTTTTTATTATTATTCTGGACACTGCGTATGTGCGTGCTTTGTGAGGATTAAACATACGATCCGCCTTACTTTTGATTTTAAACTGCTTTAGCAGCAGCAGCAGTACACCACACAAGCACGCATTGCATCTTTTGGGTGTACATTATTATATGAATTGCATGTATGCACGCAAAATCATTCTCTTTCTTTTTGGTTGCAACTGTTTTTGGTCGTCATTGTCATCACTCCCTCCTCATCGCTTTTTCTTGTGAGAGAGAAGTGCTTCTGCGCCGCGGTCACAGATCACTTTTAATAGCTTTTTTGGACAAACGGCTATCCGTACAAGAAGAAAGGAAAACTTGTCGAAATCGCGATTACAATCGACCACAATCCTCAAACGCGTTTTGATTTTTTTCGACATTCTTCAGAACAATTTCGCAATCGGTCATCGATAATCGATAACGATTCATCTTCATTTGCAGTTCTATCAGTTCATCGGACCGCTTTTGTGATCACTTTAATCAATACCTTGGAGACCCTACCAATCTATCTCATCGTTCTCGCCGCGCGGTTGCATGTGCACACGTTTGGGCCTTGGCTGCACATGAAAAAAAAGTTTCATTCGATCTCGAGCGAGAGCACTGAAATTTTTGTGTATTCATTCCGGCTTTGGATCTAAGATAGGATATTGCAATGCTTCTATCATCACTTTGATGTCTTCAACTTAATCGAAAAATTATTCATCTCGATTCATCCACTTCTCCACTAACGGTTTCAACTCCGATCTCCCAGTTCATGTCGTAGGATACGTTACTTTTTTCACCATCGAAGTCTTTTTCAAATCAGAAATCCAAGGAATAGTACGCTGATCTGCGATTCTACAATCTGTATAGGAAGGCTGTGTACTAAGAGTGTACTAGTATATGCTGTTCAAGGGCATCCAATTTAGGCTACATTGATCAAAGACAAAATTTTTGGTGCTGTGTTCAACTTAAGCTCATCTCAGACAAGATGTCGAATAACTTTGCCCATCTTTTCAGTGCTTTCCAGCAACAGCAACAACAGCAGCAGCAGCAACAACAACAACAGCAGCCGCAGGCTAATAATCAGCAAAACGTACCTCAACAATTCCAACAAGCAAATGGGATGTTCCCTGCAGGCGGTCTCAATAACATCCAAAATGGTGGTCAAGCATTACCGCCAGGCGTCAATCCTGATCTTTTAAGAGCTATGATGCAGCAATGGCAGGCAGGACAGGCAACTGCTATGCAACAGCAACAACAGCAGCAGCAGCACCAACAACAACAGCAGCAGCCGCAGCAACAGCATCAAGCTCAACAACAGCCTCATCAGCAGGTGCAACAACATCAAGCTCCACAACAGAATTATATGGCAAATTTCAATCAAGTCTTTAGACCGAACAATGCTATGATGGGAGACAACCATTCTGGAAACGGGATGATGACACCTAATATGTTGGGTCAGGCAAACGGCGCACAAGGGAACTTCAATAATATGCAAACAGCTGGATCGATATCTGGAGCTCAAGCTGCAGCTGCGGCATCTCAGGCAGCAGCTTTAACGAGACAACAGCAGTTGCAGCAACAACCTCAACAGCAGCAGCAGCCTGTACAACAGCCGCAACAGCAAATGCAACAAAATGTACGGCCAGGACCGTCGCATGAAGCGAATAAGCCCGTTCAAGCACCTGCGAATCTTCAGCAGGCTTTCGAGATGGCACGTAATGGAACGTTATCTGCTAGTCAGGCAAGCTCATTGCGCTCGATTTTGGAGGCACATCGAACGAATCCAACGTTGAACCCGCAAATCGCTGCTGCATTGATGCAACAAGTCCAAGGGCAAACAGGTCAACAAGGGCAGCCGCAACAGCCTCAGGCACAACAGCAAGCACAACAAGTACGCCCACCATTCGCTCAACAGATGATGGAACAAGCAATGCAACAACAAATTCGTCCTCAACAGCAACCTGGTCAGCAGCCGCAACAAATGCCGTCAACCTTACAACCGCAACAGCCACAACAACAGCAGCAGCCACAGCAATCACAGCAACAACAAGCACAACAACCTGGTGTGAATGTTGCTGCAAGACCTCCAGGATCTGCTACGCCTGCACAAATTTTCAAAGCCTTGGAAACACGCATTGCAGATCAAGAGGCAAAGTTGGCTTCCGTCACGGATGCAAATGAACGTGCATTACTTGAGAAGCAAGTCAATGATGCTAAACGTATGAGAGAGGCTATTACTGCTCGATTTGCAGCTCAGATTCAAGCTCAACAACAGCAACAATCTCAGCAGCAACAACAACAACAAGCAAATCCTCAAGCACAGCAGGCAAGGCCACCGATGCAGCCGCAGCAACAGCCTACTCCGCAAATGCAAACCAGACCATCGCCTCGACCTGGAAATGCGAATGCGTTTGGAAGTCCGGCTTTTGCACAGCAAAAGACACCAACGCCTATGCAGCAACAGCAATTCGCTACTCTGAATCAATCTCCTCATATTGGCGGAAATCCTGCCGGTGCAATGGGAGGACAGCAACAGAGTAATCAGCAAGCACAGCCGCAACAGGCCATCCAACAAGCCCAAGCCCAAGCCCAAGCTGGCCAGGCAAATGTTCGCCCGCCAGGTATGCTAGCTATGAAGCCGGAACAATTCATGCGAGCTGTTAGCGATCATATGTCTCAACGAAATCTACCTTTCCAAAGTTCGCCGGTGGTCAATAGCCAACGTGTGGACCTGTTCAGATTCTTTCAAGCTGTTCAAGCACAAGGCGGCAGTGAAGCTGTGACGAGGAAGAATATGTGGCCAACGATTTTATCACAATTGGATCTGGCTGCTGCCAACCATCCCAAGTACTTCGAATTGGCTAGAGAACTTGAAATGACTTTCCGCACGCAACTTGGTCCATTTGAAGATTTCTATCAGAGGGCCGCGCAGTACCAGTATCAAGTTGCTCAACAACAAGCAGCCAACCGTCAGCAAGCAGCACAACAACAGCAACAGCAAGCGGCTAGCATGCGACCTCCAAGTACTCCAAATGCCATGATGCAAAATTTGCAACAACAGCAACAAAAGCAGCAACAGGTACAACCGCAACAGGCACAGCAACAGCAGCAAGTCCAGCAGCCCGGTCAGATGAATCAACAGCAAAGACCACGACCACCAATGCAAGCCGGGTCAGTCACGATCAATCTGAATGGAAGACCTGTCACACTCGGAGCACCTCCGATTTTACCACCAGAAAAGTTGGCCGAAATGAATACGACGCAAGAAAAGTTTGCCGCTGCTTATCGTCAACAGCAAATGTTGCATTTGCAACAGCAGGTAAAGCTTGCCCAACAGCAGCAACAGCCTGGCGGTCAACAGACGCCAAACGGAGCCACCCTTCCACAACAGCAGCAAGCTGCTCAGAATGCTATTCCCGGTCAAACTTTCCCGCCAAACTTTGCACAAAACCCACAGATGATGCCAAACGGACAGAGTATGCAACAACCTCTTCAACCTCAACAGCCTCAACAATCTGTAAATTTCCCTGGTCAACAGCAACAACAGCAGCAGCAACAGCAACAGCAATTCAACGTTCAACAGCAACAACAGCTTAATGCAATGAATAATGTTGCTGGTCGACCTCCTTTCCCTGGTCAACAAGGCGATCCAACTAATCAAGCCAGCATGGCAGCTCAACAGCAAGCAGCCAACGCGCAAGGAGCTTCGCAACAACCTCGATTCATTCCTGTTTCTCAGAAGCAGTTAGAAGAAGCACGGGCTGTTATGGCACGCATTGATGAAGAGTTGAGCAGAACAAGACCAAGGTTGACTTTGAACACCACTATGCCAGATGCTGAGCGAGAGGAAGTGTTGAGTGAGGTATCAAAGTTGACATGGGTCTTGGACACGGTCAATGCCTTGCTGCCCGTATTCTATGCCATGCAAAATAATCTGGAACCTGCTAAAAGGTTGAAGATTATGGCGTACATGTTCCGTGATCAATTGGACTTACTACCGAGTAGACAATGCATCTTGCGTAAAGCTGATTTGGACAAGCTGAAAATGCAAATGAGCCGTTGCATTCATTACGTTCGCACTAGCAATCCTACAATTTCCAATTTCGTTATCGAAGAATACAAAAAGGACAAGGAAGGCGAAAGAGTTCGAATGATGCAACAGCAGCAGCAACAGCAACAACAACAGCAACAGCAGCACTTGTTAATGCAACAGCAGCAACTTCAACAGCAACAAATGCTGAATGACGTAAATGTAACCACAGATGCATCTGGTCAGCCAACAATCAAAAGACCTTTGCGTGTTGAGGATCTCAAACCTCCTCCTCAAAAGAAAGGTAAAGGTGTCAATGGCAAGACTGGAACAAGTCCCGCTTTGGCTGCTGCAACGGTCAATACCTCGCCCAAAGCAGGCGCAGCAAACGAAGCATCGCCCGAAGCCACTTCAACTCCTGCTGCCGCAGGAGCTAAAGGTAAACGAGGAGCAAGTAATAGCTTGCGCGGTAAGAAGCGTACATCTGTCAATAATCGACCAGATTCTGGTCAAGCTGCCGTTGATGCAAAGGCAGGTGCAGCAAAGGGCAAGGCGGGTAAACCTGGTTCTTCCAATGCTGATGCTACGCCTGGATCGATGGTTGATGTGAAGATGGGATCAAGTCCAGCTGCAGCTGCGCAAACACCTGCCAAAGCAGCCAATATTGCTTCTGCTCAAGATGCCAATGCAGAACAAGCTTGGGATGCAATGGTTAATGAAAATGCAAATGCTATCAAAGATCCTGCCGGATTTGTTGAATCAGCTTGGCACGATCTGTTCACGAACGGTAATCTTGCTGTTTCTCAACCTCAACCTGACAATTCTACCCCGGCCTTGACTCTACCAAGTGACGGTAATTCGATGGAATCCCTACTGATGATGCTTGGACAGACAGACAATTCCGTTGATGTCAATACAAACCCGACATCGACTGCTTTGGATGCAACTCAATCATCGGATACACTAAATGCACTCGAACAAGCAGATGCTCAAGTTGATATAGATCTACTAGATTTCATTGATGCTGATGCACTCGGACCTGATTCTACTGCCGTTGAAGATCCTCAAACGGAATTGGAGAATTTGCTGGCCACCTCTCATTCCTCTTCTGCCTCTGTTCTTGGAGACACGCCTGAGCTGGTTGATAGCTCGAGGGCGAGCAGCAGTACTACTTCAAGTATGAACAAACGCTTACTTCACACCAGCCTCGACATGTCGTCTTGGAACGACCCAAGTCCTGCCAGTGTTGGTATTGGGTCCACGCTGACAAACTCCTTCGAGGAAGATGGCGATGGAATCGTTTCCAAGCAAACTAATGGGACCGCAAGCTCTACCAGCCCTGTGAATGATGCACTATCCAAACTGACTGGATTGGGTGCAAATTCTACGGCTGAAACGTCACCTAATGCAAAAAAGAGAAAGAGCGGCGATGAAGAGGACTGGTGGGATAAATCTTTTGATGACTTAGGTCAGCAATTCGACTCATCTAACGGTCGACCATGGGCAATTCTCTCTTGATCTAGCACTTTGGCTTACTGTACATTTCCACAAGATGTGCTAATCCTTAAAACAAAACAAAAACTCTGTATCGTAACAAATCTTAAGCAATCGCTTCTCGTCGTCAAAATCTCGTATTCGGAAAAGACTCAATACTTCTCTTGGATGATATCATATTGTTTGGAAGGCTCTCAATTTCTCGCAGCAAGATTCTTTCTCCACTCCTTCTTCTTTTACTTCTCAAGGCTGGTTTATTATACCTTTTCTTTTTGGTTCTTTCCCATCTCTTTGGTAAACGTAACGTGATTTTTTATACCATCAATTTTCCTTTGAATGCGCAAGCAAACATTTGGTCGCATTTTTCAATATCCCAAAATTCTTTCTTATATTTGCCTTCTTGACTTTTATGCTCCCAGAAAGGCATTTTTTTTATTCTCGCTTCAGCAAAAATTTTGCTGTTTTGTCTCCATATCCACATGTAGTGTTTCCACATGTTCTTGTAGTGATCGTGAATTTTAATCCGGTTGAACTTATTACAAATGCGAACAGATGAATGATTAAATATATATGATTCTCGACTATGAGAAGTGAGCGTACAAAAATTGTATTTGCGCTATCAAGATGATTCTATGCTGCTACAAGGAATTGCTCTGTTAACACAAATGGATATTGTTCCTGTTCAAGGTAAGCGGCATACTCTCCTGGTGCATCATCATTGCCTGATGAATTTCCTTTTCCTTTCTTTCCTGGTGCTTCGAGGTAAGAGAAATGAGAAGTCAAAGAAGACAAAAGTGCTTTCGTTCTCTTTGGATTCGGTTTGACAACGATGCCAAAATATTCTGCCGGTAAACCAAATCGTAACACACTTTCAACAAACGTTCTAATCACTTTGATATGCGTCAAAACCATATATGCTTCACTGAAATTCGTCCGTGCTAAACGTAAAAGCTCAGTCCAAAGCTCTTTCTCGGAAACGTTTGCTTCGTCCAATTCAGCTTTTTGCTGTTCTGCAAGATCATCTTCCCAACGGAAATCCCGAATGACAAACTTGTTTTCTCTGCATTTATTGCAAAATTCTTCCTTGACTTTCTTGAAAACAGTAACATTGAACAAAGAGTATTCTTCATCTGATGCAAGCTTGTTTGATGATCTTGGTACAACCATATCTGTCAAACGTTCGTATCTTGATTGCCAATCTTTCACATTGTTGTTTGGGACGGCAACGATCAAGGTTTCGATATATTCCGAATTAGGATCAACGATGTCATTTCTGTGAACAACATCTCCCAAAGCCCGTGTAGACAGATTACCATTTCGCCTTCTTTGTATCTGTTGCAGTTGACCTTTGGCGGTGTTATAGCTATTCAATTTGTTCTTCATCACGTTATCGATCGAAGTGATTTCTTTGGTAAGGGTATCGACAATCTCACGTATACTTCTATCCGTTCTGTATCTCTGTCCGTTCCAAGACCATGACAGTAGGTAGTCATCGATACTTTGTTCGTTTACTTGAATATGTTGACCTAAAGCTTCTGCATCGTTGTTGAGTAAGTTTCGTAATGTGTCGACAACTTTTGCAACAATTTGTGTGAATTGATTGTCAGATCTAGGTAATTCTTCTGATAGATTGATAAGCTGATCCAATGTTCCAGTCTTGAATGGTGGAAGACTTAAAGGTCCAAGTTCATTGGATGTTGTCAGATTATCCTTCAGTAAGATCTTTGACAATGAAGACATCATCTGATGTGGATCATTGCTCTGAATCGGCACAGCGATCATCCAATATGCCAAATCTGACGGCATCTTTGGCTAGATTCAATTTGCAGCGTATGGCTGTGATGAGGGGAAATTGTTGCTGCCTGACGTGCCGATTCGATGCAATATGGTATATATATGCACTGCCAATGATGGTGATGATGATGATGATGATGATTGTATATGCTTTAAGGAGTGTTCCATTTTAGGGCATGAAAGCAAACTCCTGAGATTGTAGGCTTGTCTCGCGCACGGTCTCTCCACGCACTCCAGGGCGGGTATTTAGACAGACAGGCGTAGGCTATGCAATCAATCCACGTGAATTAAGGCGCGATTTCAATCATGCAAAGGGAGTTGACATGTTTTGTACATTAGATTGAGATATTGTTGCTCTCTTCGATCTTATTGACAACCATCTAAGCGCTATCGATCATGTCTCGCGCTCGTCGTCATAGGAATAGACGTGAAGAAGAAGTGGATGCTTCATTGGGAAAGCTTGGTGCAGGTAAGAAAGCAGAAGGAGATTATTGACACCGAGCACTGATTGCTGATCAATTAAATCGCATCCGATCGTACAGACTTTGAGGAAGAAGAATTACTAAAGAATGGAGGAGAAGTGTTGAATATAAGTGAAGTTCATCTCTTGCTGAGAAGGGAACTGGAAAGAGGATCGATTGGTGAACCGATGAATCGTGATTTATTGACATTACCCGTTTTCAAGAAATGTTTTGAATATTGTGAAACATTTAATCGAGTAAAAGATGAAAGTACGGTCGAACAAATTCGAAATGAATTACGCGAATATGCATCTTTTGAAAGACAAGGTGAAGAAAATGGAGAGATTGTTGACGAGAAACGATTGCTGCTTTCACGCTTTGAGATGGCTCAATTGGCTAATTTGAGCATCGAAAGTGCCGAAGAAGCAAAAGTTCTCATTCCTACGTGAGTAATGAATTAGACATTATCAAAAAGTGTAACTATTCTGACAATTCTGCATCACCCTCCAACAGCCTCGCACCAAAAGATGACGACAAATTGCAAGCCCTTCTAGACGAATTGTCTACAAAACGTAAATTCTCTGCATAAACGACCTTAGACGTCTCAAAAAACTTAACATTTGTATAATCCTGTATTTCTATATTATCACAGTGCATCTTCATGCTCAAAACTCATCATTTTGTGTGCGTGTGTGAATTAGTATGCATTTTGAGCTCATCTGAGCATATGTTAAGCGAGATATATACAGCATATCATATCAAATTTGTCTAATTTCTTTTTAAAGCTTTCCAGCTCCGATTCCCTGAGCTGACAACTTCTTCTTAAGTTTATCACGAACGTGATCCAAGAATCCGGTAGTTGTGACGTAATGTTCACGTTTCATGTTCTTTCCGTGAATGGCCAAAGCGAGATCCTTGGTCATCACGCCATCCTTATCGATTGATTCAATGCATGCATTTTCCAATTCGCGTGCAAATGTGATCAATTCTTGATTATCGTCCAACTTTCCTCTGAAAGCCAAACCACGAGTCCATGCATAGATGGAAGCAACACTGTTCGTACTTGTTTCGTTGCCTTTTTGATGTTCACGATAATGTCTTGTAACTGTACCGTGTGCTGCTTCAGATTCCATAATTTGTCCATCAGGAGTGATTAATTCGGATGTCATCATACCCAAGGATCCGAAACCTTGAGCAACGATATCAGATTGAACATCACCATCGTAATTCTTGCATGCCCAAACGAAACCTCCTTCACCTTTAATTGCTTGTGCAACCATATCGTCGATCAAACGATGTTCGTACCACAATCCCTTCTTTTCGAAATCAGCCTTGTATTCTTTCTCGTAAATTTCTTGGAAGGTGTCTTTGAAACGACCATCGTATGCTTTCAAAATTGTGTTCTTTGTAGTCATGTACATTGGCATGTTCTTATCCAATGCCATCTTGAAACTTGCATGTGCGAATCCGCTAATGCTTTCGTTTGTGTTGTACATTGCCAAACCAACACCTCCTCCGTTGGGGAAGTTGAAGATATCCCACTTTTGTGGTTCACCTCCATCTTCAGGTGTGAATTGCATTGTGAACTTTCCTGGTTTATCGACGGCAAAGTTTTGGCAACGGTATTGATCACCGAAAGCATGACGACCGATACAGATTGGCTTTGTCCATCCAGGGACGGGTCTTGGAATGGATTCCAAAACGATTGGTTCACGGAAAACTGTTCCTCCTAAAATGTTACGAATTGTACCGTTTGGTGAAAGCCACATCTTTTTCAATTTGAATTCTTTTACACGGGCTTCATCGGGTGTGATTGTTGCGCATTTGATACCAACTTGATATTTTTTGATTGCTTCTGCTGCATCTACAGTTACTTTATCATCTGTTTTATCACGATATTCGATACCTAAATCGAAATATTTGATATCCAAATCAACAAAAGGTAAAATCATTTCATCACGAATTTTTTGCCAAATGATACGAGTCATTTCATCACCATCCATTTCCACGACGGGATTGGCTACCTTGATCTTTTCAGCGGACATCTTTGTGGTTGATGAAAAAGAACGGTAGGTGGTTGATGCAGGTTGAGCAAAAGAGAGAGCAGGAGCAGAGCGAGCTTTTACGGAAGCAGATTGTAATGGTGTGACAGAGATTGAACGTTGTGTTTGTAAATGAATTGAACGAACAGAAGTGTATGAAGTCAAAGATGAACGTGAGGCGCGCGATGCCAATCGCACAGTATTCGATCCGTACATCTACGTTTGGGGGTGGATGATGGCAGGTCGGAAAAAGAGTTGGTATGGAAATGTGCGGGAGAGGTAAGAAGCCGGAAGTTTAATTTGTGGCGCAGGGGAGGAGAAGAAGTTGAACAGTAAGAATAACAGCCGCATGTTTAGCATGTTGAGTCAGTCCACAAGGCTGTCTGCCGCACGCACGGCTTTTGACGCATTAATGACTAGAGAGAAGAAAGAAAAAATTCCTCTGCCGTTTTGCTTCAATTTTCTGGAAAATAAGCAAGCACGACAACCACTAAGCCCGAAAAGCGAGCTACGGAGAGAGCGGCGCTAAAGAAAATAAAAGATGGAGATATGTCAAGGTGGGGTCATTCAGTGATCAGATATCCGATCCGAATCGGATGCCGACAAAGAATATCTGAACGGCTTAGTCATCTTTGTGTCGAGAAGAAGAACAATCTCCACTTCAACCAACACACGACACTTCATCACACATGCGATTGCTAGTGAATAGAGCGTCATTGATAACGAAACGGAGATCATTCAATCATTGCTGGCAAACAAGACCGTTTCTCCTTCTTACTCCATCCTTGCCAAACTTGCAAAGGAAATATACAACGATGCCACAAGAAGCAGTACCCGCATACATTCAACATGATGGAAAACTTTCAGCACTATATCAAGCCATGAATCAGATCGCACCTTTGTCAATGGCAGATACATCTTGGGATAATGTTGGCGTTCAAATTCAAGCACCTGAACCAGAAAAGAACAAAGGAAACGTGATTATGCTATGTGAAGATTTACGAACAGCAGTTGTGGATGAAGCACTTGAAAGAGGAGATGTTGCGATCATCATGACTTATCATCCGATCATCTTTAGAGGTTTGAAGAGTTTAACATTCAATGATACACAACAAAAGAGCTTGTTGCGTTTGACAGCTGCGAATATTAGTGTGTATGCTGCTCATACTTCTTTGGACGCAAGCACGAATGGTTTGAATGATTGGCTTGCCAGAGTTGTATCAAATCAACAGTCAGATGTCGTCAAATCTGATACCCCGAGCAACTCACTGCCACCTGCGATCGAGCCACTCACAAAATCATACGAATCGCATCCTAACGCCGGACAAGGTAGAATCGTAGAGCTAAAAGAAGCAATCTCGGTCGACCAACTGGTTTCAAATATCAAATCAAATTTACAGCTAAAGAATGTCATCCTTGGTCTTCCACACAATTTTGACCCTAAAGAAGCACGGCTGACAAACATTGCCGTTGGAGCTGGATCAGCAGGATCAATCGTGACAAAATATCCAAAAGCACAAGCGTACGTTACAGGTGAACTATCTCATCATGAAGCACTTGCAGCAGTGGAAAAGGGGATCGTTGTTATCACAACTTTGCATGGAAATTCTGAAAGGGGCTATTTACGTCAAGTTTTGGTCAACAAATTGGAAAAGACATTGGCAAGCATAAACAGTGGAACACCTCTTAAAGTTGTGGCATCTCAAACGGACTCAGAGCCATTAGAAATCGTGTAAAATGATAGTGCAATAATATAGATGTACAGTAGTGATACAATGCTCATCGAGAACGCAATCTAGGGATGCCCATATCCCAGGGTCCTCTTCTGGCTTGTTTCCATCCTTGTGCCTTTCTCATCCAGGCAGGACAGATCACACTTAGAAAAACAGCTGTTGCCACGTTTGCAAAAGCAGCTGTGATTGAGAAACGAGCCAATAGTCCGATACTGATACTCAATAGAAACACAGTTGCACATATGGCAGACCGCCAATGAGTTGGAGCTCGTCTTCGAAGATGATGTTTGAGCCATCTTGACACAAATGCAAACAGAGCAATTGCTGCCAGAATAAGTGAGAATGCATCAATGGGGGATGCTAAACGTGAGGCCAACACGATACTTGCACACAAAGATGCATTGAGAGATAGCGTTGCAGGTAGAGGGCCTTGTGCTAGATGGGGTAATGGGACTGGTTGACCGCTTGAGCCATTCCTGCTGTGCTTGTGGCTGGCTTTATCTTGATCAGAAGGTCTCTCATTTATTCTAGCATCTTCACCTACTCCAAAATCAGCCAGAGCGAAAGAGAAGAGGAAAAGCGTCGTTGAAAGAGCAGCGATGGAATCCGAAGTGGTCGCCTCCGTCAACGTTCGCAGAAGAGGCGACAGTGCCAAGACCACTAATCCAAGAAGTGCATACGACAATGGTTGAGCAAGTGCACGATTTGTATGCTTTTTCGACTTTTCCTTTGACTCCGTCTTTGTATGCAACTCTGTCATACTTTCGCTATATATGCTAGTGATCGGCATCGTTGCTCCACACAAAGCAATGGTCAAAGCGCTACAGATTGCCAAAGATTCTGATCCGATCAAGTCATCTCTAAGGCTGAGGAACAACCCAACGAATGTCAAGATGATACAAACATGTTGTGAGAGCGGTAAAGACCATAACATCAAATCCGTCAAATTGGGAAGAGCGGTTGTTGGCTTTGTACGTAGTTCGCCCAAGAAATCTGGGGGTACATAATTGTCCGTATAAGGTTGCTGTGACCATAAGATTCGTTGCCAAGGCTGTAACCCCTCATTGCTACCGGTTTGTTGTTCTTCTGTCATAATACATATTGTTGTATTGTATGCTGATCGTTGCGAAGAAGCAAGAGTAAGGAAAGCCAATTTGCTATTAATTACGCTTTTTTCAAATACCGCGCACGGGCTGTAGCTTATTATGATGATTAGAAGAAATAATGTATATTATTCAAAGAGTATTGACTATGGATGGAAGGTAGATTACAGTTCATTCTCAATCTTTTTTGTCTCTTTCAAATTTTGCAATCGACGTGAGACATCATCTAGAGAGATCACTTCTTCACGTCCTTTTGTAGCGGAAGTAGCATGTCCGTTACGAACATTAACAGCACGCTTTTCTTGTTCTTCATGACCAACAATGAAGATGAAATTATAACCACCAGTTTCAGCACGCAAGACTTTCTTCTTCAATGTTTCAGATGTAAGGTCTGCATCTGTAAAGAATCCTTGTGCATTAAACATACGTTGAACTTCTTCTGCATATCCGTAAACCGATTGAGTGACGGGAATGACGACGATTTGACGAGGACTCATCCAGAATGGCCATTTACCGGCGAAATGCTCTGTACAAATGGCAATGAAACGTTCCAAACTTCCCAAAACGGCACGATGAATCATGACCGGCCTTTCGAATTCTGTACCTTCTGCATCGGTAGAAGTACGGAATTTCAAGTTGAAACGATTAGGCAAATTGAAGTCCAATTGAATGGTAGCACATTGGAATTCTCTTCTCATTGCGTCTGAGATTGTGATATCAATCTTTGGACCATAGAAAGCACCATCTCCAGGATTCATTTCCCACTTGCCAGGAACGAATTCGTTCAATGCATTCTCCAATCGTTTCTCCGCATCGTTCCATACTTGAATATCACCAATGTACTTCTCCGGACGAGTACTCAATTCCAACTTGAAGGTGAAGCCAAACTTGCCATAAACGGCCTGCAAGAAATCGAAGCACAATTTGACTTCATGTTCGATCTGCGATGACATACAGAAGATGTGGGCATCATCTTGAACGAATCTTCTCACACGGGTCAAACCGCTCAAAGCACCACTTGCTTCATTACGATGAATGACACCAAATTCTGCATATCGCATCGGTAGCTCCTTATAACTTCTATCGCGGGACCCAAACATCAAGCAGTGTCCAGGACAGTTCATTGGCTTCAAGGCAAACTGTTCCTTCTCGACTGGTAAAACGAACATGTCATCTTTGTAATTCTGCCAATGTCCTGATGTCTCCCAAACCTTGCTGTTGTACATGTTGGGCGAAATAACTTCAGTGAATCCACGCTTGCGGTATTCCGATTTCATGTAGTCCAAAAGGGTATTGTAAATTCGTGTTCCATGCGGTAACCAGAAGCAAGATCCTGGACTCATCTCGTGGAAGAAGAATAGCTCTTGGTCTTTTCCGATCTTTCGATGATCCCGCTTTGCTGCTTCTAGCAGGAATTGTTTGTATTCTGTCATTTGCTTGGTGTCCGGGAAGGAGATACCGTACAGTCTTTGCAACGAATCGTTGTTTTGATCTCCCAAAAAGTATGAGGCGGAGTTCTTTAGGATAGACATTGCCTTGATTCTACCAGTGTGAGGAATATGCGGGCCAACACACAAGTCCACCATAGGTCCACAGCGGTATACGGTTGTGGAAGTGCCGTCAGGGATCTTTGAGGAGATGATGTGTTGTTTGTACTTGTTGTATTTGAACATCTCCAAAAGATTTTCTTTTGAAACAATGACTCGTTCAAACTTTTGCTTGTCCTTGATAGCTGATTTGATCAAGTTTTCTAATTGTGTAAAGTCTTCTGGACGAACGGAGCGGTCTTGACTGAGACCCATTCCCATTTCGTAGAAGAAACCATCTTCGGTGGGAGGACCGATACAGAGATGGCAACCATAATGACGTTCCGCTGCTTCTCCCAAAACGTGAGCAGAGGAGTGCCAAAAGACTCTCTTTCCTTCTGGACTTTCAAAGTCGAAGAATTCCACAGAGCTATCTTTCTCGAAAGGTCTTTCTAGATCCCACAAATCACCATTCACTTTGGAGATCACTATACGTTCACTCAAACTTTTGCTGATCTCCCTGGCGACTTCCATGGGGCTGGTTTCAAAAGCTGTGCCTTTCTTCTCCTTGCCATCAGGAAGTGTGATTGTGATTTCTTTTCTGTCTTGTTTGGCCCGTTCATCATCTTGCTCTTTCTTCAATCTGTCGAAAAGAGCTAAACGATGTGCAAAGAAATCTGGAGTAGGTGTGAATTCAAGAGGTTGCTTAACGGAATCATCACCACCTTTTGCTTTCTTTTCCTTCTTTTCTTTCTTTTGTCCTTTTGGTTTAGCATCATTTGCTGATGCAGGGTTTGTATCTTTGTTCTGCTGTGCATTGATGGCTAATTGTTTTACACCATCAACCATTTCTTGAGCTGGATTTTGTCCAGAAGCGGACGATTCAACGGGATGAGGCTCAGGGGCAGACATTTTGAATTGTCGATTCCCTGGATTTCGATGTTATCGTTAGGAAGAGGAAGGATTGCCAGATTGCACACGACCTAAAAAAAGATGTCCGCACTTTTGCAAGCTAACTTCAGTACGCATACAGATCTTCCTGACTCCCCCAGAAGTGACTCCAAGGCGGGCAACTTTAAAACGCGTTGCAAAGCTTGAGAGTCACAAAAAAGTGCTTAAGCGTCATTGCACGTGTAAAAATAAATATGCAAGACAATGTTACTTTTGGTGTCATTCATGTCAATTCTTACTCATTGCTACCTTCTTCAACTTGCTGTGGATACTTGAATGAGAAGATGAATTCCCTCCAAGCTTATGGATCAGACTCAGAAGTGGAAGATGAGTCGAATATAGCTTCTTCTAGCAGGACCACATCCACAAATCAACAGCAAGCCTCCACTACTTCGAAACGGCCTCGTAAAGATGATGGAGAGGATACCAGTGACGAAGAGGAAAACGAGAAAGTAGACAGGGATGATCTCTTCGGAATAAAGTCTATTGGTGCAAATTCAGCATCTAATCATGACCAAGTAGCAGCAGAAAAAGCACTTCTTCGAACAGCACCCCAAGTACCTACAGATCCGGAACAAGAATCAAATTCACTCATCCTTCGGCACACAGATACGGAGATGCATGTAAATGTGCCATACAAGGATATGATAAGACAGATGCAAGGCCCAGAAAATCCTTTCTCACAAAGAAAGATGAACGCTCAGCAGAATACACTGAATGGCCACATCGAAACGGCTATGATGACAGATTTCGATTTCCGAAATCAACAAAGGACCTTTGAGACTATGGGCTACGCACGGAATCCCAACCAGTATTCAGATTCAGCATATGTAGGAGATCAGCAGAGGGCGTTGGACTTGGCTGGGTCATCGGCGGTTGAACTACGGAATGGCCCTAATGGATCACGTCAACTGACGAAGGAAATTAGAAAGAAACGAAAGGGCGTAAACGGAGATAGCAGCGTTGTAGAAGGAGAGGGTGCTTATGTAGGACCTTGGGGTGGATGGGAAGAAGAAAGTGTAGAAAAGGTGGGACCGAGCGAAGAAGAAATCAAACGAGTGGAAGCATTGGATGTTACCCGGAAACGTGAAGAAGCGGAAGCATTGCGTAAAAGACAAGACGAAGAAGCAAGGGGAACGGAAAAGAGTATATTTCATGGCAAGAGCATGTATGACTATCAAGGACGTACGTATATGCATGTGCCTACAGATGTCGATACAAATCTACACGGCGAAGCTGGTGAAAATGAAAGTTTCCTACCCAAAGCTTGCATTCACACTTTTACGGGACATACAAAAGCAATCAGTGCAATGCGGCTATTTCCACGCAGCGGTCATCTTCTTTTGAGCAGTAGCATGGATACAAAGATAAAGCTTTGGGATGTATACCACGAAGGAAATTGTTTGCGAACGTATATGGGTCATTCGAAAGCAGTAAAGGATGTCACCTTTTCAAACGATGGTCGCCGATTCTTGTCTGCTGGATATGATCGCCAGATTAAGCTGTGGGACACAGAGACGGGAGAATGCTTACAAGCCTTCAGTCCAGGAAAGATGCCAAACGTGATCAAATTTCATCCTGATGATGACAAGCAACATATCTTCTTGGCCGGAATGAGTGATAAGAAGATCATTCAATACGATATAAATTCTGGCGAATTGACGCAGGAATACGATTCACATCTTGGACCTGTCAATACAATCACATTCGTGGATGAAAACAGAAGATTTGTCACCACTTCTGACGACAAAAGTATGCGTGCTTGGGATTTCGATATTCCGGTGGTGATCAAGTATATTTCTGACCCACTTATGCATTCTATGCCTGCCGTTACCGTTCATCCAAATCGCAAATGGATCGCATGTCAATCGCTTGATAGTCAAATTGTTGTTTATGCTTCTGAATCATTCCGTCAAAATAGGAAAAAGGCGTTCAAAGGTCATAATGTATCCGGCTATGCTTGTCAAGTTGGCTTCTCACCTGATGGCAGATATATCTCTTCAGGTGACGGTTCGGGAAATCTAGTCATATGGGACTGGAAAAGCGGAAGGTTACTCAAGAGATTACGTGCACACAAAGAAGTCGTGATCGGTCACGAATGGCTGCCGCACGAGACTTCGAAATTGATTACCGCCAGCTGGGACGGTACCATGAAATTATGGGATTAAGTATGATTGTACACTATCAACTCCAATGTACTATAGGATCTATCTGCTGAGAAATGCAACAAATATTGCATGACCTTTGACCTACGCCTCTAAATCCTCTTTCGACGTTTGAAGAACAGTCTTCATGCGCCGTAGCTGACCTTCCAACTCCAATACAGACCCTACTAGATCTTCTAAGTCTTCAAGTGGCATCGGTTGCGAGTCGCTGCTCGGAAAGGCCTGTGTTGCTTTTACTCCGCCATGTCTCCAAGCGAATGTAGTAGAAGACATTTGCGCATCTTGACCGATCGTTGGACTTGCTTCACCTTCTTCTCGTTCATCACTAGGGCTAAGCATAGGTTCATCTTCGTCTTTTGCAGCTTTGTTCCCTCTTGTTGATCGAGTATTTCTCGATGAAACAGAGTCTCTCCTGTTACCACGAGAAGAGACGTCTTTCTCTTCTTCTTCTTTGTTTGCCAAGCGTAATTCCGATTTAATCATATCTTCTTCATCTCGAACGCGAGATAAACCCTTTTGATATTCATCGTACACACGATGAAATCTTTTTGCAAGTTCATGCCATTGCTTCGTAGATCGCACTTCAAGCCACGGCTCTCTCGCAAGATTAAGGCTTGATATTGAGCCATTCTTTGGACGATTCACTGTTAGGTCAACTAGGGGTTTTGAATCTCCTGCGATCGTGTCCGCTTTCTGTGAGACCGCCGACAACGCTCTTCCTCTACTTCTCAGATTTTCATCATCATCTGATGAATCGGTGTATTCGATATCTTTTCGGTTAGTTGATTTATGTGATACACTTCCATTTCCGCTTGTCGAGGTTCGTGGAGCTGATGTAGTCTTACGTTTAGTAGCACTGGGAATATCTTGCTGCATTGTCGTTTCCCTCGCATCTGCACTTCTCGGTAAGGACGTCCTTGCTGCCTTTGTTTTTGTAAGGTGCTCCTTGTCAGCAGAAGTAGCCTGCTTCGCATTCACCGGTGTGATGCGAGGAGAAGAGAGCTTTCCCTTTGCTGCACGAGCAAGTCGGTCTTTCGTTGTAGGTTTTTTGCTAGTGCTTGCCTTGGGTCGTGCCGAATGTGCGGATTTAGAGCTATGATCATCTTCGCTTACTCCTTCGCCAAGGTCCAATTTCTCGAACAGACGAATTCGCTTCTCTGCCGGAACACGTACGAGCTGATCTCTTTCCACTGCATTGTGTGGTATACCTAGCCTGTCTAAAGCCATTTCCATACGTGCACTGATTTGGATCTTCTCTTCCATGGAATAGCCTTCCCAGTCCTTTACCAGCAGCTCTGTATAACATTCATCTTTTAGTGCATATACAGTACTGTGACTGCTATTATCGGAGGAACTTGCAATTGAGCCACCCACACTATTACGACGATTGACTGGTCCAGTAAATTTGCGAGTTGATGATACGGAAGAGCCCTTTGGTTGTAAAGTATCGGGCGTGTTTGCAATAGGACCCAAGACGCTTACAACTTGCGGCTCTGCAAAGTGACTCTCACGAACGATATCGCGACGTGAGAGAGGTCCTTTTGCCAAAAGTTGAACCAATTGACGTCGTAGTCCCGTGGGTGAATTTTCTCGTTTTAGTGGACTGGATTTGGCCTGATTTGTGGGGGTATTCTGAACAGAATTGTGTCCAGATCCTATATTTGGACTTCCAGGTAAGCTTTGTGAATGCGAATCGATCGGTGTGCCAGAGCGAGACTGTAAAAGAGGCGATCCTTTATTTGCTGGCGCTAATCCTTTAGCTCTTAATTTGAGACCAGATGTTGATTTTGAAGGCTTGTTTGATACAGGTGCCGAATCTAATAACACGGCCCGGTGTTCTAATTTCCGAGCTTCCTCTAACTCTCTCCTCTCCTTCAATCGTGAGGTAGCAGTTGAAGATGGTGTCGAATTTGGTCGAATGGCGTATTTTGTTTGTACCTCTCCGACATGTGATAGCTGGGAGTATCCAGACGATCTTGATGAGCTTCCTTGTTGCTCTAGACGATAGATATGGTGAGGAGATGCTTCCGTTGATTTTTGTAGATTATGTTGCGCATCATTGATTGTCAAAATCTGGTAAGAGATAATTATGCGTTAATATCACACTTCATGGTTATTTGAGTACCACACTTACTGTATTTGCATCGTCTATCGCACGAATACTGATTCGCACATCCTCTCTCGTCAATTGCTCTAGCGCTTCTGCTGATAGCCGTAGGTGTAGTACTTTTTCAGGTCTGCTTTCATTCCTTGTCACTGGAGTGTATTGGCCATGTTCACCTGCCAAGAGGTATCCTTGATGTTGATCCAGCATGGCCTTTAGGTGCTATGTTTTGTCTTTGACCACCTTTACCACATTCCTGCCCGGTGATCGAGAAGAGGGTGTTATTGTCATTGCCCCAAGTGTTAATCTTGCTGTGCGTGTCACACGGACCACCTTTGTCTGGAAAGCCATCTTAAAGTGCAGCTAAAATAAAGACGTGTTTGTTTGCTTGAGGGGGGTTTCGCCTGCAGCCTAATGGCTCCACGTTAGCACCGCCAACTTCTCTTTCCAATTCTCCTACCAACTCAAAGAGCAAATCAAGACAACTACCTCTTTGAATGCTCTGATATCGTCATCATATTTCGGTCATCATGCCGGTTGTGTTGGGTGCCGCTTCGGCTTTTACTTCACGTCGATTAGCCCTTTATGGTCTTGCATCAACGATTGCCGCTATTGCAATCACCTTTAATGCTTTTCGACAAAGGCCAAACTTTTATTCGGCAACGGTGATGCTAGGTGGTAGCAATGGCTGTATGATGGTATTGATAAACTTTGGTTTGTTTTTGGCTTTATGCTTCGGGAAAGTTTGTCAAAAGGTCTTCTTTGGTCCTTTACGTGCAGTGGAAGTAGAACATTTACATGAACGTTTATGGTACGCAATCACAGAAACTCTACTAGCGATGACAATTTTCAGAGATGACTTCGATTCAAGCTTTGCAATCTTGTTTGGAACATTACTTTTCTTGAAGGTCTTCCATTGGCTTAGTGCCGATCGAGTGGAATATATGGAACAATCACCTTCAGTCGGACGCTTATTCCACGTTCGTATGATCGCCATCTTATCGATGTTATTCGAATTCGACCTTTTCTTAGCAACATTTGCTGTAGAAGTTCTGATCATCGACAAGGAAAGAAAGGGTATCATGATTATGTTTGCCAACGAATTTTTCATCTTGGGCGCTACACTTTGGTCAACTATTGCCAAGTATCTTATCAATTGTCAAGATATGCGTTCAGAAGAGCCATGGGAAGCAAAGAGCATGTATGTGTTCTTTGTTGATTTGATCACAGACTTTCTCAAGCTGGCCACATACATTGCATGCTTCTGTTTGATACTCAGCTACTATGGTGGATTACCGCTTCACATCTTCCGCGACGTATATGTGACAGGTTTGTCCTTTTTCAGTCGCTTACGTGATTTTATGAAATATCGAGCAGCAACGAGAAATATGGACACACGCTTCCCAAATGCAACGCAGGCCGATTTACGTAGCATGAGCGATGGTACATGCATCATTTGTCGAGAAGAAATGGTCGCAGAAGAAGCAGGCGGGGACGATCAAGGGGAAGCTCCAGCAGAAGGAAGACGACCCACTCCTACGGTCCCAGCTTCCGGCAGCTCTGGTCTCAATGAGACACCTAAAAAACTTCCATGTGGGCATATCTTTCACTTTCACTGCTTACGTTCATGGCTGGAGAGGCAACAAAGCTGTCCGACATGTAGGCGAACTGTATTTGCATCATCTACAGAGGCTGAACGTGATCCCTCGGCAGGCCAAGGCGAACAACCTAGACAAGGAGCTGCTCCTGTACCTTTGCAGGCACAAGCCGGTGCAGCAGCCAATAATTCCCGCAACAATGCCAGTTCAGCAAGTGCTGCCCGAACTGATCAACAACGCACTCAGCCTGGCAATGCAAATGATACGGTTCGTGACCGACTCCAGTCATTCTTGCAGCAGATTCAAACGGATGCTCAGCGTATTCGACAGGACCATCAAGATCGCCTTGCTGGCCAATCTCAGGAAAACTCTGGTAGGCAGGCCTCACATCCTAGAGATACGCCCCAATCAGGCACACGTACGGGCAACAATACAGATCGTACCTCTTCACCAGCCCGCAAGATGTTGATTAATTCCTTGTTTGCCTCTAAGCCTGATCCTTTGGCACAGCTTTCGCGAACAGGCAGACGCGAAAATGGCGAAGGTCGTTCGTCAGGATCAGTACTGCCTCCTCCGCCGATCTTGAGAGGTTTGAGCGAGTCTGGTAGTACTAGGCATGACAGCCAGAGCGATACCTATATCCCACCAGCTCCCTGGACTTTGAGGTCTGATGGACGAAACGGTCCTCGAGTTGCTGGCTCATCTACGAACCTTTCTCAAGAAGCAGAGAGAAATTCACAAGCGCTTCCTGCCGATGAGAAAGTCGAAGGAAGCTCTACCTCTGCACAACCTGATGATGAAACGAAAGATAAGGAGACAGCAGCATTTGATCCTGCCGATGCAAGAGAAGCTGCTCGCGCTGCTGCTTTACGACGATTCCAAAAGCAACAACCTTCTGCATCACAAGTCATGAAACAACGCAACGCCGAATCGAATGGATCAAGTAAGCTAAGCGAGACAATGACAACTGCGAAGACATTGATCAATGAACAGCCAACTTCTCCAGGTAATCCACATCTGATTCCTCTATTTGACACTTCAAGGGTGCAAGGATATGCAGAGCATCATGCTGCACATCTTCCTTATCCGATTATTGAAAATAGCCGCATGGGAAGTCCATTGGGACGCTTGAATCGTATTCGATCTGACACGCTCAATCTCGATTCCCTTTCACTTTCGGATGAAGAATTGAAGAATCTCTCAAAGGAAACGAAAGAAGGATTGCAAGAAAGATTGCGATTGCTATATCGTGTTGAAGAAAACATTAGCAGTTTAGTCGAAGAGATCACACGTGCTTTGAGTGCTATGCCTGATGAAAAAGAAACAGAGGATATGAACAAGACCGAATCAACGCAACAAGGCGGAAAGGGCAAAGCACCAGCAGAAGGTATTCATGCTTCTGCTTTTGAGTAGATCAAGTCATCGTCCATGTATCATAATAATGATCCTTTTCAAGCTAATTATGTGACTTCTTAAGCATAATGAATGATGTCGTTTATTGTATAGTGATACAGAATGAAGTGGGAAAGCGTAGTACATGACGCTTTATTAATCTACAGAAAATAATAATTGAGCAGAAAGATAAAATCGAGGCGATCCTGTCATGTTACGCCTGTTCCGATTGTTTTGATCATTGTCTTTGTTGTTGCTGTTGCAAAGGTGCATTATGATGAACGGCAGCAGGGGCAGAACTCAAATTGGCAGGATTCAATCCAATATTCGGGGCGAGAGAAGGACCGGAAAGGAAGTGTAAATGTAAGGTAAGATCACGAGCACATGTTGTTAATTCTGCCATACTTGCTTTAACGTATTTTGGTAAAATGAAACCTTCAGCTGAAAGTGCTTTGATAAAATGTGAAATGTGTAAAATTGATTTGATAAAATGATTGCTTTCAACAAATAATTCTCTTGATGATTTATTTGTTGATGTATCGGATGATAAGCTCTTGTTTTGATCAAAACTGTTTTCTTTTTTGTGCTTCACATTTTGACCATTTTGATCGGCCCGAACAAGGGATGATGGATTGGATGGCGTGCTCAGGCTGTTGACGCTGCTCACTGTGCTGCCTGCACGTCCATGATGTCGAGGATTGTTATTCGTCGTACTTGCACTGATGGTAGTCGGAACAGGAGAGAGAGGAGTAGGCGTACGACGATAAATTGCATCTTGTGCCCTCTCCAGACACCCATACAAACGTTGTGTGTGCTCATTCACACCACGTGTCAAATCATGAAGTTGTCGTAAGCGTCTCTGAACCGCTGGAGACGGTGCAGGATTGGTTGGAGTGACGGCAGTGTCTGTCGTTTCTTCTCCTTCCACAGCCTGAGTGATAGAATTTGACACTGTTGTATCACCTGATATGGTGTTTGAATCAGTAGATGGCGTGGGTCCTTGCTCAGAGTTATCCGGCAGCGTTGAAACCTCTGAAGCTTGCTGACGTGCTGATCTTGGCAAACGACTTTTCGACTGACTATCCTCTCCTGCCTGATCAGCTGTTGATGCAGGATTGATCAGCATGGATCCATTACTGCCCTTATTCGCATGTCCGCTTGACGCTTTCGGCAACCCCAGGGTGATGAGATACTCTTCAATGCCCGCCCAAACGCTAAATGCGACCGAAGTGATCTTCACGACCAACTGTAAGAGATGATCATCAATAGGTATTTCCCGTTCAACATCTGTTTGTGAGGTATAAAGTGCAGTGCCTGCGCTCTTTGGACCGCTTGTGTTTGAGAGTGTTCTTCTACTGATTTGCTGCTGTGCCTGTCCAGCTTGTTGTTGCTTTTGTTGTTCTTGGTTTGCGCTGAATGGAGTAGTACCAATCTTTTGTCCATCTAGAGTGCCTTGTTCGGCAGAATAAGGCAAATTAGCTGGTGAAGGCATACTCGTTAGTGCCGGTGGTCGATTGGCTCGCTTGTGATCTTCACTGATCGGCACGGATGGCAAGACGTTGGGTGCCGATATGCTACTCGATGATAACGAAGCACCATGAGCGACATCCTGAGCACTGAAAGATCCCGCATGTCGACGCCGATGAGGTCTTGCTGGAGGAGCTACCATACGAGAGCTCGTGGGCGTAATAGGTGAAGTAGCCTCGGCAATACTAGGTAAAGCAGGTTGTTGTAAAAGATGTGAAGATGTGTTTGATTGGAGTCCCATGGAAAGGTACGGGGCAACGTCATCCAGTAATGGCTCCATGGTCTTCCAGCTATTTGAAATCTCTGCCAAGCTTCCATAGAGTAGGATTAGCAAAGTTCTAGTATACCGAATATCTGCGCCTCGTTGAAGTGAGCGTAATTGAAGTTGAACGACGTGTATCAGCTTTCGAAAGGTTGCAATGCTCTCAATACAAGAAACCACAACGCCACGAATGACCAGTGGATCGAGTGTATCACCTTTGATTCTGGATAATGAATCAAATCTGTCCAATGAATGAATCAAGGAAGCCATTGAATTTCCAGCAATATCGAGCACTCTACTCAATTGTGATGTCATTCGTTCATCAGTCGCAAAAGCAACGTATTGACGAAGAGCGGTATGCATTTGTGATAATGCATACAACACACCTCGGGTAGCATCGACGCATAAAAGCACAGGCACAGAGACTCGTGTGGATATTGTTGAAGTAGGCAAAGTTGATAAACGTTTGAAATAACTGTTTCTCTCCGATTCAACTGCTGCTACCGAATTGGAACTTTGTCCTGTCCATTTACCTCCAACGACTGATGCAGGTGGAGTTGCTGATATGATCTCATTTGGACGTCCCAATCCTTTCGGGTTCCATTTGGTTGAAGGTAATGGAGGTGTCGCGGGAGTAGTGTCTGTTGCACTGTTTGAACTTTCACCAGCTGATTTGCTACCGACCGCTGATGATGGTGGTGTATTGGCAGAGTCATCATTATTTGTCACCACTGGAATGACATTTGTTACTTCCTCTGGAGAGGTGGACATGACTGTGCTAGCAAAAGGCGCAGTCTCCGGTACCGCTACTGTCTGTATCTCATCATTTGCCTTGGACTCCTCCACAGGTGCGGAGGGTATATCTTCAACTTTGGTATCAGCATCTCTGACATTTGGCACTTCTATCACCTTGTCTTCCACTCCAGACATAGGCGTAGCTGATGGTGTAATGGCGCTATTGCTCATGTCGAGCACCTCTTGTGATTCAGCTTTCCCCTCATTTTCCGCAATCCATTCTTTCAGCTTTGCGATCCACAGCATCATATGCTTATCCTCTGCCCGGCTACGAGATGCTTGTGCTTTGGCTTTGTCATTGGCTTTACCATCTCCGTTTAGGTCATTCACTGCAGCTTTCTCGATCGGTGGCATAACAGACACATGTGGTGGTGGCCAATTGATCGGATTACCCTCTAACTTGAGGATTCGTAGATTTTTCGCTCTACTCATCCATGCTGGCAATCGACGTAAACGATTATTGGATATGCTCAAAACACGTAGATCTGCTAGCCGGCCAGGTTCAGCAGGTAACTGACGCACTTTATTTCTGCTCATATCCAGGATCTCCAGGGAAGGCAACGAACACAGAACGGGAGGTACTGTGCTCAATAGGTTTGCACGTATGTTAAGATATCGTAGCTTGCTTAGATTGACAAAATTTGATGGTAATGTAGTGAGAAAGTTGTATCCTACTGCCAAACGAACGATATCGTCTTTGATAATATCCACCATTTCATTCGGTAACGACCGAATCTTTTTATGACTTAAATCCATCGTGCCGGAATCGGATGTAGAGGGACCGTTTGAAGTAGTTGCCATAGCAGATCCTGCGCCATTGCTAGTAGTCCTTCTGGATCCATTGAGTGAATTGGATTGACCATTGCTACCACCTCCAGAGGAAGAAGGAGCGCCGAGTCGCATTTCGATGATCAGGGCTAACAGTTCTGGTTCGCCCATCGGCGTATCTTTGCCTTCCTCTTTTGTACGGAGAGATGATGTAGATGATTGTGCCGCGGCAGGGAGATTGATACCATTGACTTGTAATGTTGCAAAAGTTGAATTTTGAGCAGACGATAGAGCGCTCGCAGGAGTGCTTGCTGAAAGTTCAGCCGCCGCTCCTGACGACATTTTGAGTATGAATCGTTCCAACGTTTTTTCTAGGTGTTGATCAGCTGTGTTTTGGTGTACTGTTTTGCCGCTCAATTTCTTTCGAATTTGAGTACTGCCTTCATCATGATGTGAATATGATGTGTGTCATAAGTGTCGCTGTTGTTGTATGCTGTTGTTGTTGTGTGGTGGTTGTGGTGATGAGTTACCCCTTCTCTTAAAACTATACACGCTCTCTCTCTGTCTTTGTGCCGGTGTACCCCTCTCTCTCTCACTGACTATAAATAAAGCGTATAAATACACACACAAGAGGCTGCCCGATCAAAATCTTTAATTAGTTTGAATCTGCTCTTGTTTCCCTTTGTAAAGTCGTCTAAGCCTCTCACGCAGTCAATTAATTATGCGTGTGTGTAGTGGAGTAATTGGATTGCCATAAAAAATTATAAGTCGAGCGACAGGAAGAAAATTGTTTAAGGTTGCATACACACACGATCACCAAGTAGAACACAATGGCCAGATCAAGAAAGCGCAAGCAGGGCAAGCCAACAGACGATGCCGTTGAGCTGCGAACACGAGAGATGCAAAAGCTTCATCCTAATCAAAGAGCAGGTCAAGGACAAATCATCATTCCACAAAAGAAGTTATATCGTCAAAGAGCACATGTTAATCCATTTTCGGATCATAATGTCGTTTATCCATCAAAACCTGAATTGATGGATTGGCATTTTCATTTCCCATCAAGGATACCGCCAGGCAAAGAAAGTCTTGCAGAAGGAACTGCTAAAGTAGAATTCGCGGATATTGGTTGTGGATTTGGAGGACTTCTGTTTTATCTTGCACCGCACTTTCCCGATAAGCTGATGGTCGGCATGGAGATCAGAACTTCAGTCACGCAGTATGTGCATGATAAAGTTCAAGTGCTGAGAAAAGCAAGTCATGCATTGCAGCCATCTCAAGATAACCACGGCGATACCAGCGAATCAGCAGAACAAGGAAGTGCCAATAAGAAGGCACGTCTGGAGGGCGAAGAAGGACCATCAGAAACGGAGATAAACACCTCAATGGTGAAGGATGCTCCCAATATCGCGGGAAGCTATGATAATATTTCAGCAATGCGAGTCAATGCAATGAAACATTTACCAAACTTTTTCTATAAAGGACAATTATCCAAGTTGTTCTTCCTTCATCCGGATCCTCATTTCAAACAACGTAAATCCAAAAATCGAATCATTTCTCCGACTCTTTTGGCAGAATATGCGTATATTCTACGACCGGAAGGTATCTTGTACACAATCACAGATGTGGAAGATTTACATATTTGGATGGTGAAGCATTTGACCGCCTTTCCGCTATTTGAGAGAATACCGGATGATGATCCATTTTTGAAAGAGGACATTTGCGTGGACGCTGTTTGGAATGCAACTGAAGAAGGACAAAAAGTTATCAGAAACAAAGGTAGCAAATGGTTTGCCGCTTTCAGAAGGATACGTGATCCGGAAAATGAAGAGTCGATAGAATGAGTAAAGGGGGAGCCGCTCCAATCTTGTACTATAGCAGCTATACTGTACAAATATCGCACAATCCAAAGTGAACGAGCAGTGAAAATCAAATTGAGAACACGAATAAAAAGTAGAGTACAGAGGTGACAAAAAAATACAGCAGAATAGTGCCTTAAATGTGACGAATGCCCAAATTGGAGTCAATGATTACCATAATAGTGGTATTATACCGATACCGTTGTAAAAAGGGAGGTAGAAAAAATAAAGAAGTTGCGAATGATTTGGGAAAATTTTTTTTGAGGTGACATTAGCCACTAAACAGTGACAGATACGTTGTTGTTGTTGACGATTTCGGCGTTTTGGAGTTCATTCTCTCCATGCCATGCGATTTCCCAATCCCTTTGCCAGGCCACCATATCGGTACGTAAAGTTTTGATACTCAACGGTTTCGTACGCCAATCGTCCATACCACATTCTTCCAGACCGCGAACTTTATCGTCGGTCGAACTCAAAGCTGTGATGGCGATAATCTTGGGGATATGCTCTAGTTGATGAGCACGCATTTGAATGCAAGCGCCAAAGCCGTCCAAGAGTGGCAATGAAATATCCAAAAAAACCACAGAAGGTTCAAATGCTTTGTATTGCTCAACAGCTTCGACACCATCTTTCGCTTCGACGAATGAATATTTCTCACGTTTCAGCAATGTCGTGATCAATTTCATATTGACCGGATTATCTTCCACCACTAAGATCCTAAACGGTTTCAGTTGCTTTGACGTTTCTTCCGCCGTGGTTTTATCACCGCCTTCTGCTCGTTGTGCGACTGGAGTGATGTTTTGTGCAGTTTGCGTAGCCTGAACAGCTTTTTCAGAAAGCATGTCATGAATTGGTAATTGCTTTGATGCGATTCCGGGTGATTCCAGAGGAGGTGCACTTGAGATTGCTGAAGTAGCGACCGAATTAGTGAGCGATTCCATCTCGTCCCAGCTAGATGTTGCTTGTGTTGCAGATTCATCTCGATTTCTCTTGCTGTCTGGCGTTTTGACTGGTGATCGAGGATGAGCGCTAGCATCTGTATGTCGCCTATCTCTGACTTTATTCAAAATGTTCTTTGCGGTATGCGAAGGTGTTGGGATCCGTTTCAATACAACAGGTGATTCTTCACGTAAGAACTCATCCATCAATTCCAAACTATCACGACCAAACGGAGGTCGGAAGAACCAAACGGTTAAGCCATCCAAAGCACGAGATGCTCGACTTCTGAGTGCTGTTCTTGTAACGACCAATGTTCTTGCTCTAGGTCCAGAAGTGCGTGGTAGAGCTGAGGCAGGAGTGTCAATCAATGTTTGATTATCTTCGCTAGGCCTATACAAGCATGCTTCTTGCAAAATGAGCAATTCGGGAGATTGATTTGCATCAACGATGCGAACATCATTCTGTACAAGTCGCTCACGAATGAGATCCGCAACTGCAGTTTGACCTTCTCCTTCAAACCCATGGAAAGCCGCAGTCTTGACCTGATAAGGCTTGGCTGAAGCAAGGCTTGAAGACCTACGAGGCGTTGGATGACGTAAAGGTGCAGCCAATCCTAGAGGCAAAGAAAGTTGAACATGCGTTCCTTTTCCCAGTTCACTTTGCACGTTGAAGCCACCGCCTAATTGCGAAATCAAGCTAGCAGCGATCGTGACACCCAAACCAACTCCTTGACTAAAGGAGTCTGCTTTGCTGAAAGGCTTCAAGAGCGAGTTCGCCAGGAACTCTTTCGACATTCCAACGCCGGTATCCTTGATGTTGAAATCTACCCAGCGATCTGAACCGATCTGCATGCCTTTTGAATTGCTCGTGCCTGTGACACTATCACGACGACGAGAGGCTTGAACAATTACTTCAACAACTCCGCTTTCATCAGTATAGCGCAATGCGTTGTTGATGAACTTGTTCAATATCTTGCGCAATTTTGAACGATCGGTTCGGAATCTTGATTGAAGATCGGGTGAAACTCTGATAAGCAATGTCGGTACATTAAAGATGCCCATACTTTGACCCATATGACTATCTTGACGTTTTGATAGCGCAAGATGCTCAATATTATCCAAACAAACATCTTCAACTTCACGTTCCAAATCCACTTCTTCAATTTGTGTTGCTCTAGGCGCTTGCGAATGTGCTAATCCAGAAACTGCTCCAAAATCTAAAACATCATCAAGAATTGTCGAAAGATTGACACCAGACAATCGGATCGATTCAAGCAGATTGGCCAATAGACCATCATGCGTTAAATCGAGCTTTTCCGCCTCGGAATCGTTGATCAAACTTTGACGTAAGAAATCAGTGATTCCCAAAATACCGTTCAAAGGCGTACGTAATTCATGTTGTACAGAGCGAATAAAGTCAAGTTGGGCACGATCAGCGATACTCGCCTGTTGACGGAATGCCATAGCGGCCAACATTACGCCAATGGTGTAACAAAAGTATCGTTCAGCGTTCAAGAGTGATTTCGGTGTATCCCACGTAGCTACGATAAGACTTAGGGGATGAGTACGATCGTTGGAAAAGACCGGAATAGCAACACATGATTTTGCTTGAGCAGGCAAGATTGGACTCAAGGAATTCTTGACTGTTTGCGGTGTTTCTTCTTCATCATCGTCTGAATCAGGATCGAGCGTCAAATCGTACCATTGTGGTTTGGTGTATAAACCCTTTCGCTTGAGGTCTGTGAATAATCCACAAACTGCCGAACGTTGTGATGGATTACTCACTTGAGGCGATTGTGTCTCGTCACCAGAAGTGCAAATGATGCGTAAAGGCGTCAGAGGATCTGTTTTGTACATCTCATCGTCATTGCTGTAGGAGAATATGGATGAATTTGATCGATAGTGCTGTCTTGGAGGTCTTGGAGTTTTTTGTTGAGTAGGCGAGCCTGATTCAACAGAAGTGGTAATTGAATCTTCCGAACTTGGCGTGAGTAATGATGCACCAAGCAAAGGTGACATGGGCTCTTGTGAGGGTGAGAATGTGGTCGAAGCGGATCTTGACATCCACGTATATCCTGCCGGAGAAGCACCAAAATTTGTGCTAGTCCTAGGTGAACTAGAATTGTAGGATGTTCGAGCTGGAGACATCAAGTGAAGATTGCTCGCATCTATCGCCGCTACGTTTGAAGCGCCAATCTGTTCGCGCAAAACGTCTATAACAACTTGAATGCAGGATGAATTGAATAGCAGGCCTGTTCTGTCTCCCTGTGCAACTTCTTGTGAAAACACTTCTGAGTCCAGCATCATATTGAGCTTGTAACTTATCTTTGCGGCTTCCCTTTGCATTGTTTGTACCTTTCTTGTGTAATTTTGCAAGTATTCGTTCTCCAACGTTTCTTGCGTCATACGAGCGATGTCGAGTAATATTTCTGCTTCAGCGTCACCAAATTCTTTCCAAGGTTCTTCTCGCATGATCGTTAGTCTCCCAACATGTACGGGTACTTGATCTTCATCCGATTCGACCTGTGCTGTTAACAAGATTGGTGCCGAAGCATAGAAATGCATACCGGGCCCTTTGTTTTCTTGGTCTTCGATCAAATGTTTGAATCGCCAGTCCTCGCCAATATTGGGCACTACAAACACTTCGTCTTCGCCCAAGAGCATTGCATGACCACACATGACCGTATTGGTGACAAGGCAAGCCGATCCTTCTGATGCCAAGAAGAGGGTATTCTTTTCATCACTGGAAGCAACTGAAACAGATACGTAATCGCATTTGAACACGCTCTTTGCATGTCTGACGTATCTATTGACCGATGGACGAATTTGAGGACCTGTAAAGCCATGCCGTAGCAAAGTTTCCTTTCGAAGGCAACTTTTCTCTCTGGGTAGGGGTGGTGCGGCTAGATATTTGAATTTTGAAAAGAATTCAAAATTATCAATCTCTTTGCCTCCTTCAGTTTTGACTTTTTGTGCTTTTTTACTGCAAGCTTTCAGTGAAGTTGCCGTACTATCCCATTCTCCTTTTTGATATGCTGCTAAGAATTTTGCCCATTTTTTCGGATCATCACATTCCGGTTGCTTTGGCGCTTTGCGAAAGATGTGAACGAAACGTGAACATGATGCCGTTGAAGCGGCTGAGCTTCCATTGGGTGATGAAGATCGATCGATCTCCATCATTGCTTGAGTTCGAATGTGATGATGTATGTTGCTAAGGTGCTGTGTTCAAAAACACCAATTCCGACTTGCCATTCACCGCGACATGTGTCTCTTGAAGATGATATTGGAAGTGAATGATGATGGTGTGTATTGTTTTGGTGGTCAAGATTGCTTCAGTCATATTTCATGCAACATACTCAGTGTTCAGACCCTGGGCTCGATCATATATGCTGAGCATAATGAATTTTACACGGGCTGATAAAGAAGAAAAAGAAGAAGTGGGCAAGTGCAGAGTATACTTTTTTTTAAAGATGCACTGCATATGCAGCATATTCACTGTCGTTAAATCCGCCAATTCTTCTATTCTATAGTCAATAAACGCGCGCGTGTAAAGTGTAATGAAATTCTCACTGCATTTTCGGCTCAGCAGCCACGATCCACTGCCGATTTAAAGGTAAACGGTCGTTTAATCCCGAAAGCAAGCAGCAGCAACAGCAACAACCTGCTTACGCTCCAACCTGTCAAATTGCATTTAAATCCGCGGTCAGATTACAAACAAGCATTCAGTACAACAATATCATTTACATTATAGCAAAGAAAGTCGGAAGAAGATGGAAATGAATGAATGAATGAATGGGCTGATGATGAATATTAGTCCTTTAACCATATCCGGTGTCTGTAAGTTCTCTGGTAGTGATTGTCAATGGTTACGGGCCCTTTTTTGGCAATTCAATACAATCAATTTTAGCGTGTAACCTTTTTTTTTGTATATGCACGACCCTTTAGGTCACAGCGTAAGTGCATTCATTCATGATCAAACGGAGTGTTCCTCAATTTTATGCTCGGGTGGGAGGATAACAATGAGAGTCAAACAGGACAGCATACACGCAAGATTGAATCAAGATCATAACACTTACTAAGCATTCACATCCCCAATATCAAGAAGCCGGCTTTTACTGCAGCTGGTTGAGATGTTTGACGCTAAGTCAGTGATTGCGCTGCTGCGACCTTATATGCTACTCTTGTCCTAAGGATCATTGGAGAGAGGAGTTAGGAAACACAAACTGAAGATCGGCTTCAATCAAATAGTCTCCGCCCTAGAATAGGGGAAACGACAAAAGGCTGAGATTGAAAATAGATCCCCAATAAATGCGGCAGCGGCCATACCGTTCCGCGTTTCCGCTGCGCTTTCTTACCAAAGGGCGTCAAATAATTTGGTCATTCTTTTTCTCTTCCGTTCAAACTTTCTTTTTCTATTCATTTCGGGGAGCCTAACAAATCAAATCTTTAGGAGTAGTCTAAATGCATATACAGATCGAAACGGAGTAAAAAGAACGTGCTACCTTTTTTGTCCGACCAGGAAAGGATGACTCCAACACTTCCTCCTCAACTCGCGCTTTGTTGTCGCGCCTTTCTTGCCATACTTTAGGAACTGTCTCATCAAAATGCTGGACCAGGTCCACACAAGAGGTTGTTGGCAAATTATCATTGATTCTCTTTTCGCGATCGCGGTATCGCTCCTATCACCGATGACCATAGGGGAATCGAGGAATAAAGAAAAAAGAATAACCGCTCATCTGAGCCGTGGAAATTATCCATACGTCCCTATATTGAATGCGTAAATTTACGGAGGCCGTTGATCAAATACAAATTGCATCATACAAAATGTTCTTTGCTTTTTGGCACTGCCAAAAAAGAAAAAAAAGGTCCGAGCCCACTCCCCTGCCAATCTTCCTCTGATGAACTCCTTGCCAAGTCCCCTTTTGGAGTGTGGTGAAATTAGTACATTATAAAGTGTACATTGTCATCCATTTTTATCATACCTTTCTTTTTTGTCTTGCCCTTTTCTTGTTGTTTGCCACCATCTCCTTCACCATTCTCTTGCTACACAACTGCACAACCTCACCATCATGACCGCCGAAGACACAAAAGCTACTGAGACGGCCGCAGAGTCTGCTCCAGCCGCCACCACCGAAGAAGCAGGCACTTCAAATGACGCTTCAAAATCATTACCAAGCACGCCAACAGCTGAAAAAGCGGCAGCTTTATTCTCAAATTTGAAAAGAAATTTGACCACAAAACTAAACACAACAAAAGGTGAATCAAGTGAAAATAAAGAAGAAAATGCTGATGCCAGTGGTGGCGATCAAAATCTTTCAACGCCCACTCCAACAAGCGCAAAACGTTTAAGCGCAAGAGCAACAGAATTCTTTAGTGACATTCGTGGTGCATTCAAACAACCTTTGGTAACAGAAGATGCAGATAAGAATAAGGAAGGCGAAACGCCTGCCCCCGCCGCCGCTGCTGCTGCTGCTACTACAGAAGGAGGAGCCGAAGGAGAAGCAAAACCGAACAGACGATTAACGCTTCGTGTTCAAGACCTTATGCGTGGAGCATGGAGTAAACCTTTGGTTGACAAAAAGGATGAAACCGCAGAAGCGGCGAACAATCAGGAAGCTGCAGGAACCGGTAGCTGGCTAAGCATCTTTGGTGGAGCAAAGACAGCTGAACCAGAACCAGCACCAGAAGCTACAAAACCGAACAAAGAATCTTTCTTTGCCGTTTTCCATAATCTCGTCAAAAAAGAAGAAGAAGCAAAAAAAGACGATGAAGCAACGGATGATGCAGGAGCAAAGTTAAAATCTTTCTTCAAACGTCGCAAGAGCACCCAAGCTGAGACAAGCGCAGATGGAAGTGCAAAGGCCGAAGCAGGAACCAGCGAAGCAGCGAAGTAGGACTGATGGATTGGATGTAAAGCCAGCTTGCCATATAATGTTCGTTCTTATCGTGTACCTAGTGATCGTTCTTCCACTATGATACCCTCTTTCGCTTCTCAATCACCTTGAAGTAGCATGTAGACTCATTCACTCTTCCTCCATCATATCCTTGCTCTATAATTGATGAGATTGATCTTTCATATAAAGTAAGGCTCGGACTGATTATATGTTATAGTAAAAAGTGTATTGAGGAAGATGAAATGTTTAAGAGCACAAGGTGTATGGTGGAAAGACAGTTTAGACTGGATAGACGTATGATGTTTGACGGAAGTCGGCTTATACCGGATCAGCACATGTTATAAAAGCGTGGAATCAGCAGTTTTTGCGTTGTATAGACTTGTGCTTTGAGCATGATCCACTTTGAGCTTGAAATATTGCTCAATCAATGACCGTGACCGTTTGTGGCTCCGCTTGGAGATGGATTTGCCCTTGCCCAGAAAGAATCACGGGCCTCAAAAGCGGAAGGCTGTTCTCTCTTTGAGGCTGGTGCTGCTTCACTTTGTGTGAGCAAAATGACCATGAATGCCATTACAGCGAAGTATGTTAAAAATTTGGAGTGCATGTTTGTTTGAAAAGTCTGAAGATATGTGAAAATGAATGATGAGTTAAAAATGTAGTTATGAAGTTTTGCAAAAAAGGCCTCTTTTATACTTTCGACTTTTCAAAACGAGGTGCCAAAACCTCCTTACTTCAACGGCAATGAGGGATGAACATGGCGTGAGGAGTGAGACTAGGAGATTATGATCAGGAGCTGCGTACGGACAAATATTACAGCTTATTAATACGGGTCATTCAGCCATCATTTAGCCTAATCATCACCCCTTCTTGGGAGCGAAAGCCCAAGCATCAAGTTTTTTCAGGAGAGACTTTTGTCTTGGAAAACCCAATGAATAGAATGTACGAGAATACCTCCTATACATTCACTAGGGAGTAAAGTTAGTGAATTATGTCGTCAAAGTGGCCTGGAATCAGGGCTGTTGGGAGGTAACCGTGGAGATGTGCAAGGCGCAAACAGGAGAAGCTATTCAGGAGCGATTAGTGGATTAAAAAGGGATCATCAGTATATGTTCTAATATTCAATTTACGCTTTTCCAAACTTTCACTCCTTTTCGAGTATAATTTTTTTTTGATATGCGTTTAATGGGAGTTCTATATCTCTGAGACTTAACCAACTTCGGATAATTAGCCCGACAGGAGATGCTCCCTTTTATTCATTACGCATTCTTTTGCTATACTCTATCACAATCAAGCTAGAAAGACAAGCTGACCACAATATTCCACTGTGTTATCATATTCGAAAGTACCCCCGTCTTACGTATAGAGGATCTTTAACACTTCCCTCTCACAATCGGAGAATATCCTAAATACCCCCAAGTCCAGATTATCAGACCACATGTTCACATCACTTCAGGTTGTTATGCACTTCGTCCGCGCTTCGATCTAGTTCCGGTATGTCATATTTCATCTATCACTCCTGTATTTTGCTATCTTTTCCCTTCTCACCTAGAATTTGATATGATTCATTTCATTTTCATCTCATTGACCGAAATATATATAATCGAACTTGTACTCATTTACAGAAATCATTTTACTCTTCATCTCATTCTTTGTGACGTTTGAATCTATAACAAGTAAAACTCAGACAAAGCCAAATCCCACAAAAACTTTCAGACAATCACAATCACAAAATGCGGTACGCAAAGACGTTGACTATTTCGCTTTTCATTTTCGCTTTCGCTTCTCCACTCGTTTCGGGAATGACAAAGCGCAACATCAATGAGGAAGGACCAACGAAAACCGTAAATCTCGTTTCACGTTCAATGGAAGAAAGAGCAGAAGGAGATAACACTCACCAACTTCCACCGTAATCAATAACCAGCACAATCTTTGAAGGATTTTATCAAATGATCGAATTTAGCTTTCGGTGCTAATCCACAATCCGTCTCTTAGGTTTGGTAAGGGAGAGGGCCAATTTTTGGTTGTTTTTATACTCCTTTATCTTTTTGTTTTCGTCATCATCAACTTATTTCTCTTTTAATGTCAAGCATCCTTTATAGCCTTTTTCTGATTACCATTAAATGTCCTATGTTATCTTTATATTTCCTATGCTAATAACTGCTACTCTTGCTAATCCTTTCATTCCGGAAGATGAAAGTAGAAACGTTGAGTTATACTCAGCGCAGCGATCTTCCCTGCCCCCTCAATCTGGCCGCTCCGAGCTTTGCAAACTAGGTAAGTGTCTTTTAAGCTCTTACATCAATCGAACTTATACATCTCTGCACTTTGTCCATGTATATAGAATCGCCAAGCCGGCCACAGAGCAAGCATCTGCACCAACACTTAATTTACAATATTAAGCTGTAAATGAATTATATGTTTGTGTAGGGAAGAAGATTCCGGCATATAAGAAATCTTTTTTGATCTCCTTTTGTTGCAGAAATTTTATCAGACAGGACTGCATTAATGAAGAAGGGTTACAATACAATTTATCGTACTAAAAAAGGGATGGTTGAAAATGCGAAAATTACTCTCCTCACTTATCAAATATTCATCTTCCCGGAGTGACCACATTAGTTGAAAGTTTAATTTGTAAGACTTATTGAAGAAGTTGACTTATAGCTATAAAAGGCACTATTTTTCTGAATAAATAAATTTCGAAATACCATCATTTCATCAAAATTATCAAATTGCAATTTCGGTAAAATGCCTGTAGGTAAATTTTATCTTACTATCTTAACGATGATGGCTTTCATGGTCTTATCAGTAGCAAGCAGGGGGGCAACTGTTGGTGACGTCCCGCAAGAGCGAGATTTAAGTACGAATGGGCCTACGAGAACAGCCAAATGGATGTCAAGGTCCCAACCTGTCCAGCCCCGTGCTCCGAAAGATAGTCCCGGTTACTCTACGCCTCAAGATGGACCACCATAGTCAGACTATGGTTGATATGCATCAAGTATGGCAAGCTCCATCATTGTTTAAATTCATACTTTTCGAATAGCTTGTGCTTTTTGACACTGTACCCGTCCACATAACATAGTACCATAATATTGCATCTCCTTTTCCCGCTGAGACCTTGACTGCTATGATATAAATGATGCTTGCTGCTACGATCTACCGTATTCGATTAATACTCACCTTTACACTGATGAAAGATGAAAAACCTGAATAAGTATAAAGGAGCTTATCGTAGATGAGGTAAGAAGAGAGAAGAGGGAGAGTCAAGGAGCATTCTCCTACATATACTCGCTTCATTCCTGAAACTATCTTATTACTCGTATTAACACTCGCATTCGCAGGTGCGGAGAAAGAGCAAGGACGTGTAGGAGGACGTTCAATAAGCGACATAAAGAACTTGAATAAACGTACTCTTGCTTTCAATACACCAACGGCTACGACAAAACTAGTAACGAGAGCAAAAGAAGGCAAAACCTAAAGACCCTCAAGATCCAGCAACAAGTGGACATGCTAATGGATCTTACTTTGATTGCTTGCAACCACTTAATCCTATGTCAAAGGTAGAAATCATTAATCACTAGTCGAAAGCCCCTTAATGATCTGAAATAAGATTTTCTTCCCCCCTTTCAGCGTGATTATAAAGAATACGAAAATATTTATTGAGATCGAACAGACAAAGAAAAGATCGAAGAAGAGAAAGATGATTGAATGTGAGTGCGTTTATTGCGCTTACTCTTCCTCTTTGTCTGGTTCAGCATCGATCTGCTTTTGATCAGACGTTTGAGGTTGTTGAACATTTGTAGAAGTAACAGCGGCCAAGGAACGGCTGCGTTGTTGCTGTTGTTGAGCAATCACAGATCCCGACAAGGTACCACCCAAGCCTGATGCAGCCTGACTTTTGAATCGATTTCCACGATTACCTCCAACAGGCGTTGCACTGCGGCTAGTAATATTCGTTGGCGTTCCAGAGACTCCTGGGGATAAGACGTTGGCAGTTGGACTTTGCACCGTTCCTGTACCACTTTCACCAACGTTCATTCCACCTGCATGTGTATTGGAAGTTTTCATTTGTCGGCCGCGCAACAAGCTTTCACTAGCAATCACAGTCTTTTGCGTTCCTCCGGGCATTTGCGCACGTACAACGATTGGCTTACTTGGTTGAGGTGTCATCAATGGCGGTGTTGTGACGAATTGACCGCCAAAGCTTGGTGGATGATCCGTTTCAACCTTTGCTTCACCAAGCATGGGCGCGGGCAACAAACCAGTATCGTCTTGTCCATCTGGCCCACGTTCGCTTTCAGCTGGCATGCTGGACGAACGAATTGGTTGACGTACACCGATTGATTTGGAAGTGAAATAATTGGTGTCGTTTGAGTCCTCTTTCACATCAATTTGTGCCATCTCCATCGGTGTAGCACTCAAGGAGTGCGGTGCAGTGGGTGAAGTGTGCGTGATATTTTCCGTGGTGCGAAGTGTATTGGCATTAGCACTCGAATCCTGTTGTGCACTTGTCTCATCTTCTGCTGCTTTGCTTGTCTTTTGCCGGTTCAAACCGAAACGACCAAGCATTGTCTTCTTGGGTGCTGCTCCTCCAGGAGTGGGAAGAGGCGTGACATTTGTCTTTTGAGCGTCACCCGGCTTGTTCGAATCAGATTCAAGCGTTGCAGATGTAGTATTGATGTCTAGGATGCCAGCGCCATTTGATTCCTCGGCCAATTTCTCATCCTCAACAGGTTTGAAAGGCTTGTCAGGACTGGGTGGAGGAACGAATGTACGGAAATCTTCCTCTTCGTTCCCACGATCATCGTACTCATCCAGAATTTCTTCACACAAAAGTTCTTCCAGCACATCTTCCAAAGTGATGATACCGATTGGCTGACCATCTCCTTCTTCGTGTGCAAAGGATAAGCGTGAATCAACTTTGCTCAACTCGCCCAAATCGATCGCTTTTTGCTGTACTTTCTTCTCATCCAATTCTGCGTCCGCAGGCACCGTTTGCTCAAGCATATCCTTTTCACCAATTGACAAGCCGAATCGTTTACGCCAAGATTTGGTTTTGCCGTTCTTGGTATTGTCACTAGCTTCGCTGTCAGAAGAATGATTTGAGGTTCTATCGCCACTTGTATGAGTTCCATCGATGTGCTTCTCTTCATCAATATTGCCCAATCCATCCACTCGGGGAGCAGCAGAAGAACTCAAGGGACCACCAGGACCTTGACTGCTGTGATACAAATGGCTCTTGCTACCAAGATCTGCTGTGCTTTCGTTCATGCCGCGGCGAGGACGAGGGCTAACGATGGCCATGTGACTACGGCCTTCTTGGAACACATTGAGGACGTTCAAGAGAGGTTCATCGCCCGGAACGGTAGGCAACGCATTGATGATCATCGAGCTTACGGGAACAGCATCTTCAGGATCAAGTAAAACGCATGATTTGACCAGCAATGTACCGATCACTTTCTTGCGAATAATAGTCTTTACAGTATTATCGCTATCTGCGCCTGTGCTGTCTTTGACGTCATTTGTTTCATCGGCAACTGGTCCCACAGAAGATTTGCGACTGAATGGAGACAAGATATTATTGAGCTTTCGACGAGGCGTATTACTTCCACTCTTGGGTTGATTGACAGGGACCTCAACTTCTTGGTAGATCGGAATACGTGAATGACCACTTCGGACAACTTTCTCAAGTGTAGGATAATCAAGTTTGGCCGTAAAGGGTAACATAAAAACCTTGTCGATCGGTGTCATTGCCTGTTTCACCACTTTTTCTTGCAAGTCCAATGCACCGCCTACAATCATAACTGTATCGCGGTTCAAGTCTCCTCCTCGACCTCCACTAGCAGCATGCATCGTGACCAATTCTTTCAGTTCCGCTCGTCGATACACGATACCATGATGCGGACCTAAAACCCAATGCAAGATGCGTGAGACAGGCCACGCAATAGGGTAGAAGATGAGAATGATGATGCGTGTGGGAAAGGCCATTACAGCTCCAATTTGCAATCCATAACGGGAACAAGTTGATTGAGGAATCAATTCGGAGAAGATAACGATGAGAGCGGTACTGATGATGACGCTGTACACGCCACCAGGCAGTAAAGGGTCAAAGATGACTGGCAATGTTTCATTCGTGATCATGTTTGCAATCAACAGAGTTGTCAATAACAAATGACCATCTTTACGAATGGGCATGATCTTGCTTGCGCGTTCACGTTGAATTTCGTCACCCGTTGTCATGAGAACGCTCAATTGTGTTTCATCCAAAGACATGTAACCTAGCGTTAAACCGGCGAATACACCGGACAACAATACAAGGATGGGCACTAAAATACCAAAGGCGACTTTGCGACCTTCCGGGATGGGTTCCTTAACACAGCCGGAGGAGCTGCTCGGGCTTGCTTGTTGTCGCTTAAATAATTGTGCGCTTGGTAAGGTGAATGAAGGTCGAACGGCGTTCTTGTCACGCTTCATACCGACATTACCTTGAGGTAGGATATTCAAAAAGTCATTTTCCAAAGAATGTCTCTTTAAGGCGGACCAGTCCTCCAATGATGCCTCGCTATTATCGCGTGGCGTTGGATCATATTTGAGCCCATTGTCGGGTTGGAAGGAGATGTGATCGGGGTGCGTGCTTGCATCATTGGTGGCAACAATGCCGCTCTGTTGTGAAGGCAAGACATATCCACTTACTTGACTAAAAGTGGATACAAAGATGCAAAAGATGAGGCACAAGTATGCGAGATTGAATGAGTTACGGCGCTTGAATGCGGTACGAGCTTTTCCGTTGATGCTCCAATGATTGTTTTTGTTTAAATGTTGATGTTGTTGAGCGATGTGGTCATTTACACGATGACGGCTTTGATAGAAGGAAGGGAATGAGTTTGAAGGGTTTTTACCATTCTCTTTGATCGAAATGAAATCTTTAGGCTTTGATGAGGAAAGGATGAAGCCACATATATCGGGAGGGTCAACCATACGTTGGCTAAAATGAACGCAATTGACGCGTGATGTTGACGAAAAGTGAGAATTTGTTGTAGTTATGAGTTGTTATTGTTGCCCTTTTCGATTGGAAATGACAACAAGAATCAAGAAAAGTACCGTTTTTGTGTGTTGGTGGAGAGAAAGGGAGAATGGTGTGTTTTACTCGATGTTCTATTTAAATATTTATCATTCTCACTTTGCGCAAGCATTAAAAAGCACATCATTACTATTTCACACGTCTAATGTGCAGTGCATGCATGCATTTGAATGTGTTTTAGGGAGTAGAAATACTGCTTGCTTTAGGGAGGCAAGATAACCCTGTAAATTATTGTTATTGTACGCGTCCTCATCGTGTGACCCAAATGTATGTTCCAAAGGCTCTCGACAACTCCACTCTTTTATATGGAATACATCAATCAATATCTTCTTTTACACAGCCATGATGTATGCTAGATCGAACAAGAAGTAAGCCCGACATGTTCCCCATTGACTTATCTCCGTCTTTCGATCTTGTCAAAAGCCATAAACTATTTTAGGGTGTGGGACATCTCTTTCAAGGCTGCTTCTTTCCAATTTCCCAAAATATGCAATGACAAAAGAAGACCGATCGATTCAAAAGAGGTCAGGAGCATTAGAAACCGAAAATGCGGTGAAGGTGTCCCGCATCCCCCTCCTCTTTACCGCACATCCATTCTAACCGTAGGCTCAAAAGCCGAAGGGGTACACCTTATCGGCGGCATTTCATCATTTACTTAGCTCGCCTTGGCAAAAAGGGTGCAAGCGGTCCGCGGGGGTGGGGGGAGAAGAAGCTTATTTAATCAGACGATTTGAATTGATTACTAAGATCGGCGATAAAGTGAGCATGCATGAAAATTATATGATCTTCTTTAGAAACGACAACCACATCCATAAGAAATCACAATGTCAATGACATCATGACAACAAAAGTAGATCAAATAGACAGCGATTGTCTATTTGATGAGGACTCAGTCCAGCGGAGAGAGGATGAATTCATGGCATTAGAAGCAATCTTACCTCAAGATCAAATCAGTATTCGGAAAGGAGGTCAAGATGGCTCGATGCCTTCGGTACTTTTTACGATTCCGATAACATTTGATGAACCCAAACGGGTAAGGATACGATCGCATATGGTCTCCGAGACTGGAAAGATTGAGAAAGATGGAGATATTCTGAATGACCTTTCCGCAAGCATTGATAAGATGAGCATACAGAGAGACTCTCTAAAGAAATGCAACTCTCTGAAAGCTCGGCCGGAGAAGGAAGCTGAGGGGAAGAAAGTGGGAAACGAAAAATCATCAAGCAATATTCAGAAGCAGGACTGGGAGGAGACAGTGGAAGAGACTGCTCTAGAGAATATCATGCATCTTCCGTCTATCCGAGCACTTGTCAAATTGCCACCTGGATATCCAGACAAAGAACCACCTCGGATCGCTTATCTTGCATCAGATTTTATCGGAAGAGTGAGCGTACAAGGTGATCAATCTACATTTACGCAATGGCAAAGACGATCAGCATTCTCTGTTGCATCAACACAAGCTGCTATGTTTCGTGCGAATATAATCAAGCATCTCAAAAATGCACTCCTGCATGCTTGGGAAGAGATGCCAGGTGAAGTATTGTACTTTTGGTACGAAATGCTGCGGGAGTCTTTGTGGAGCGGAGAGGAGAGTATCGTAAGGGATGGTACACATAAAGACGGCATATTGTTGCACGAATACGTGGTATCTGGGCAAGACAATAACACAGCACGATTAGCTACGATCATTCGTACAAATGATATCCTCTCTAAGCGAAAGAATTTCGAAGGAGAGAGATATGGATGCGGGATCTGTTTGGAAGACGTACGTGGCGGGAAATGCTGGAAAGTATCATGTAAGCACGTCTTTTGCCAAGAATGTCTAACGGAATATATTTCAAGATCAATCCTTGATGGCTATCCTCGTCAAGCAACAGCTTGTCCGGACCCGGAGTGTGTCAAGCTACGTGTGCAATCTGAAAATGCAGCTGACACAGTCTCACTGCCTGTAAACACAGAAAAGAGCCCTCTGCAAGCCGATGATGTGAGCCAGAACGGTGCTGGCGTCATTACAGAAGATGAGATCGTATCTTTGGTCGGTGCGAATTTGTTACAGAGACTACATGAGCTACAGGAAAAAGCGCTTGCTTTACGTGATCCAACGTTTGGGTTTTGTCCAAGACCGAAATGCGAACAATTGGTTCATGGCGATCCAAAAGATGTTGGAACTGCCTATGAAGCTATGCGTCAATGTAGTGCATGCTCTTATACGTATTGCGTTTATTGTCAAAAAGCATGGCATTATGGTAATCCGTGCAATATTGTTTCCAATACTGCCTTGATTGAAGCCTATCAAAATACAACGGAAGGCAGTATGGAAAGAAAGACGATGGAAATGAAATATGGAAAAGCAAATTTGGAAAGAATGGTTCGTACGTTTGAAGAAGAAAGAAGTAATCGAGCTTGGATTGAAGCAAATTCACAAAAATGTCCTTGTTGTCATATCAATATCACCAAACTTATGGGCTGTAACCATATGACCTGCAAGGCTTGCAATACGCATTTCTGTTACAGATGCGGAACAAGATTACCGCCTAATGAACCTTACAGGCACTTCAATACGCCTGGCATGCCCTGCTATATGAAATTATTCGATGCTGACATTATGGACGCAGGCGGATGGGAGCCCATCATTGGAGCGGATGAGATGAATGCCTGGGAGGCAGACAATTTATGATTCACAACTGTATACTACTACATACTAAACATAATTCATTGCTAAACTTTGTACATTAAAATAAGCTCATTTGCGTGATCTACGAGAGAAATAATCCAAAGCAGTACGGGGCTGAGCATCACCATCTTCATCTTGATCCTTTCGGGCTTGTTTGATACCTTCATTCTTTGCACGTAAAGCAGCTGAATTGATATCATCAACATTTTTGCTTCGTTTGATAGCGACTCTCTTTTGTGCGCCGTCTCTTCCGCGCATCTTACGCTTTGATCGATCTTTGCCTTTTCCGATGTAAGTAGGGTCGTTCCAGTCCCGACTTTCAACAGTACCTTTTCCATCAAAGAGTGCATCATCGTCATCATGTTCAGAGCCATTGCTGGCGTTGTCTTGTTCAGCTTCACCTTCACGATGCAACCGTTGACGAACTTCATCAACGACAGCACCTTCACCTTCATCTGCCTTACCTTGCAACCGCAAGCGTTCCATTCTTGTAAGTCGAGCAAAAGGTCTTCCATCAGCCGAACGTGGTAGCTTGTTCTTGTTGTTTTCTGGCGCATAATTCTCGTCTGCCTCTACGTTCAATTGACCCAACATATCAGGATCCAAAGTGATTGTTTCTGGTCGAATTTTATCGAGCAATGACCGTACTTCTCTCTCGCGACGGCTTTGACGACCTTCGAATGGATCCAATTCGCTTGAATCGAATCTTGGCTCACCCGATCCTGGCACGATTAACGAATCAAATCCATTCGAATGTGCCACACCTAAAACATCTTCAAACGGGCAAAAGTTTACCTGAATCGGTTCACCTTTTGGGAATCCGTTTGTCAGATATGGTCCTGGAGGTGCTTTGCCCATTGCTTTTTGTGTATTGTACACGCTTACATGGTTACCCCAAGCAACGCCCAAAAGTCCTCTTTGACTGTATGTGATATCAGTAGCAGGTCTTCTACTTATCCATTCACGTACAGCACCTTTTCCTAGCATTCGAGCATCCCACACTTTTACACTGCCATCCATTCCGCTCGTTGCCATTTCGCGTCCACCCGATCTGGCAGATACACTTATCCCGCTTACAGGTCCACGATGAGCCAACATCTTCAACGCAGGTGAAGAGAGGTTGGGTGTCCAAAGGGTGACTGTACCATTTGAGTGGCCGAGATGAATGACTGCTGTTAATGGATTTTGCGCCATCGTAGAGCATGGTCCAAGTCCAGTTCGATGTTCTGCAACGATATTACCTGTTGATGTATCTTGATAGCGTAGAAATCCAGCATGTCCGACAGTTGCCAAGAGAAAGTGATAAGGCAAGAACTGCATTCGATTGACATCTGTATGCTTCTGTAGTCGATGTATTTCCGTTCCTTGATTATCGTATATGTAGGTGTACTTCTTCTGTGCAACGGCAAAGAAGGATGTATTGTGAAGCCATGTGACATCTCGTATGGTTTCATTGACGTTAATCTCGCACATTAGCTTTCCCGTTTGCCAATCCATGGCTGCTAAATGACCTTTCCTTCCTCCCAGTAGAAGATGTCTACCATTTCGAGTATAAGACGAGCGATAGGGTCCTCGGCCTGCGTTAGACTTTCCTCCAGAAAGATCAAGAGAGAATGATTTATTGGCTGCATCTACGGATACGCTGTCCTTGATCTGCCCTTGTGTAACCTTTGCCGTACGTTCCAGCGCATCTTCTGTCTCTATCAAACCAGATTCTTCTCCGACTGCAGAAGAATAAAGATATTCGTTTACATCCTTTGCATGTTGTGCTGCTCTCTTTTGATTGAGATGGACATCGTTTAGATGTGATCGCAGTTTCTTATCTTTAATCTTTTGATATCTCTTAGGTGCTGTTGCATCTGGCAAAGGTGTTGTTTGGGATAATGAAGGGGGTAATGCAGTGGCTCGAGAGATACTGTTGTCTTGTTTTGCCAGTGCTTCTTCACTGTGACGTCCATTTCCTTTTTTGTTACCATCTTTGCCTCCTTTTCGCCTCGATGGGCCTGCTTCTGATGATGACATGCTGATAAAGATGGTGGCAGTAGTCTCAATAACAGTTCTTCTTCTTTTAACATTTTTCTCAATATGCAGCAGCCAAAAAAATTTAAAAATTTCACGCGTAAGCTTAAAAGCGGAGTTAATGTCACGTACGCTACAAGTTCCTATTCTATATCCAGATGAATGCTTAATCGCGTTTTGGTCTTCCATCCAACACCTAGCCATCTACACCCTTACAAGAGGTGATCATATCCAACAAAGATGTCGATGGATGTAAGCTCAAGCAAGTATATCCAAAGTGGTGCTCCACTGCCACCATTACCGGGCTCGGAAGAAATGGCAGCAAAAGTGGCAGCCTACAATCAAAGTGAAGATGCAAACAGACCACCACCAGGCAATCTATTTTGCGTAGTTTGTGCGTCAAACAATAATCGTAGTATGGAAGCTCATAATGTTTTACAACATGCTGGTTTGAATGTCACTTCGGCTGGAACGGGAAGTGCGGTTAGATTACCTGGACCTTCGGCTGATAAACCCAATATTTACACTTTTGGTACCCCGTACGATACCATTTATCGAGATCTTGAAGGGAAAGATCAGAGATTGTACACGCTCAACGGGCTGCTACCGATGCTGGATCGCAATCGACGGATCAAATCAGCTCCTGAAAGATTCCAAGAGAGGAGAAATTTGGCCGATATCGTGATCACATGTGAAGAAAGATGTTTTGATGCCGTTTGTGAAGATCTACTCTCCCGGCATGGCGAGCTAAATCGACCCGTTCATGTGATCAATGTGGAAATCCGAGATGATCATCAATCAGCTCTGGCTGCCGGTAAAGCAATCTTGGATTTAGCAAGAGTCATCGAGGCATCTTCCTCGCTGGACGATGATATCACTTCAATTTTGGAACGTCATCAAGAACGATTTCCACACGCTTTGTTGCACAGTATTCACTATTATTGAGCTTTTGTCTCATTTATCTTTCTCGTTGGGTACCTTCGAAACGGGCTTCATCACACACCACACACACATCATCTGTAACAATACAATTTCATCCAATCAAAATCTTCATGTAAGTAAAAGAAAACAAGGTCATCACATCGATCAATTTTCAAAGTACAAGGTATTATGCAGATGCTCCATTCATTTCTTCTTCGCCTTTGCTCACTGCTAAAAGTACGCAATGTTGACCTCCTGCATTTGCGAATACTGTACTGAACGGTTTCAGTTGTTTGCTCACAACAGGCGTAGGCGTTTCGATTTGCTCTTCGTCCCCTTGACCTAATTGAGATGAGACACCGAATCCCCAAGAGTATACAGTGCCGCTTTGATCGACGGCCAAATTGTGTCGTGCACCACAAGAGATGCTCGTGATTTTTGCATCGTTAGGGAAGGGTATATGCGCCGGGACTCGAACATATTCATCCGGAGGTGGACCGCGACGAGGTGGCATATCTTCTTCGCTCAAAATCATTTCTGTTCCCGAAATACCACCACCTCCTGGGCCAGTCTGCGATGCTCTCTTTTCTGCCATTCTCTTCTCGTATGCCACCATTTCGCTCTTGAGCTCTTCATCACGTTGAGCTGACCATGCATTGCGTGCTTCCACAACTTCTTTCATCGCAGGATGCGATTCAGGAATTCCAAGTTCCAATCCATCACATCGCCCACAGCCAAACACACGACCATCGTCAAGCAGGAACAAGCTGTGATGCTGACCACCATGTGCTTGAATGACTCGTGCTCCTCCCAAATTCTTTGGCGAAAGACTTGGAACGCGTTCAGGCATAGTCAGAACATCATCCTTTGTTCCAACACCCAATTGACTTAGAGTATTGAGACCCCATGCCCAAACTTCACCACGCTTATCGATAGCAAAGCTGTGATAAGCTGCAGCACCGATCGAAACGATATCGCGTAAATGTAATCTCTCAGGTGTAAGACCGTTGATCTTGCGTCTTTCAATGATTCGTCTGCCCAATTGACCTTGCTGTCCATTACCCCAAGAGAAAACGATACCTTCGGTAGATAGAGCCAAGACGTGGTCTGCACCACAAGATACTTGTACAAAGCTATGCTTGATCAATGCAGGAAGGGAGACGGGCTTGTATTGCAGCTTTGCCGAGCCAATTGTTCCATCAAAGCCCAACAAACCATCATTGGATCGGAAACTTCCCCAAACACGCAATTCGCCACGATCACTTAATGCTACACTAACACTGTCACCAGCTGCTACTCGCGTTGCTCTGAAGTGTTCCACTGCGCCTTCCGTACCTCCTCCTGCCGATGCTTCCCCTCCAAGGATACCCTGTCCGGTAGGTGAAAGTCCTTCAACAGGTAAAGGCTGCGTTTCCAATTCTTCTGTTTCTACGTTTGGATCTCTGGATGTTTCTCTGCCCAAACAAGCATTATCGTTGATTCCCCACGAGAATATTCTTCCGGTCGAATCAATTGCCAGTGTATGCATACCTCCTGCTGCCACAGTTTCCAAGCCTTGTGAGCCTAGCTTTCCTTCTTTGATCAAATCACCAAGCATTACATGTCTTCTTGGTCTTTTGATCTCATCCAGAACATCCGTTCCTAGCCCGTGTTGTCCCATATCACCATTTCCAAACACAAACATTTCTCTGGTAAGAACGGGAGGCTGTTTAGACAAATCTTCGGCGTTCTGTGGAACATTGCTAAAAGGTGAACTGACTGAGCTTGCCAGGTGTTCCTTTAACAATGCTTTTGTGATGGGCAGGATGGGTGCAGGCAATGCATTTATTCCTTTTTTGATCACATACAATGATGGATCTTGTCTTGTTCTTTTTGCACTTCTTGGCGTACCAGCCACGGATGGTGTTGCTAGCGCATTCAACTTTCCATTTCCAATTCCATCAATTTCACCAGATGCTTTACGTTTACCCGGTGTTTTGGGGTTTGTTGTTTCAGCAGCAGCAGTAGGTGCGATCGAAGGTGTACGACTGCGACCTCGCTTATTGCCAGCAATTGCAGCTTTTGGTGGTACCAATGCTTTCGTCGGCATTGTTACTCTAAATTGAAAAGTAGATTATGGTGAGTTTGAAAGAGGAACCTTTTAATAGATTCAAGAGCAACACTCACACACACACATCTTCTCATTTAATTTGCATGATTCCTTTACGCGTGCTTAGGGCACGTGGTGTGTGTGTTGCTTTATTCTCTCACGGCACCCCGTTTAGGCTTCTTAACGCGTACATTCATAAAACATGCCTGGGCGTCTTCGGCTTTGAATCGCACCAACTACTTTTGATCACGGTGAGCAATAGAGAAAACTCTTTTCATTAAGAATTGTATATTTATCATCCGAATCAGACGAAGCAAAAATGATAAAGAGACAAAGAATCAGCTAGCGAGGACTCGACTCGGAATTCGAAACATATACCAAAACTTGGTTTAAGTATTCATCAACTGTATCAGCGTCTGTTATTTATCCTTTGTATGAAGAAAACCTTCTAAAGGATTAGTGTGAGCTGTGGAACAGTGGGATACTAGTAGATTATCTTTGTTTTGCTTTCTCATTATGACCACCTTCTTTTGTGAGCGGATATTAGCGCGGTGTCTGTCCACGTGATTGAGAAGAAAGGGCGAAACGAGAAGAATGCAATTTAAAGGCGCGCTGCATGTCAGTAGTAAAGCAATAATAGAGTCACTCACTACTGTACAGCTTAAAAGTGCGAAAAAGGGCGCGTAATAGAATTGATAGCTATCATCTTTTGATTGTTAAAAGCAATTCTTTCTGCATCACTGTCAAGTCAAAAAACACTTTCACCAGCATACACCCACACTTTCTTGCCCAACATGCGGTACTACGAAAAAGCTTTGCCCGATACGGACGAAGTGGTGATGTGTCAAGTACGTCAAATTGCCGAAATGGGAGCATACGTAAAATTGCTAGAATACGATGATGCAGAAGGAATGATTTTATTATCAGAATTGAGTAGAAGACGTATTCGTAGTATTCAAAAATTGGTCAGAGTTGGAAGGAATGAAGTTGTGGTGGTTTTAAGAGTTGACAAAGAAAAAGGTTATATTGATTTATCAAAACGTCGTGTTTCACCTGATGACGTTATGAAATGCGAAGAACGTTATAACAAATCCAAAGCCGTTCATACGATCATGTCACACATCGCAGGAAAACTAGCCAAACCTATCGAAAGTCTATACGAATCAATCGCTTGGCCATTGGACCGGAAATACGGACATGCATATGATGCATTCAAGATTGCTGTTGCGGAACCAAATCTAGTCTTTGACGATATGACAATCGATCCAGAAGTGTTCAAAGAATTACAAGCAAACATTGCAAGAAGGTTAACACCTCAACCGGTGCGAATTCGTGCAGATATCGAAGTTACTTGTTTCTCAAGCGAAGGAATTGATGCAATCAAAGCAGCCTTGATCAAAGGTGAACAGACTGAAAAGGAAAACATTCCGATCAAAGTCAAACTTGTTGCACCGCCACTATACGTTCTTCTCTCAACCACGACAGATAAACAAGGAGGGATTGAACTTATGGAAAAAGCAGTCGAAGAGATTGCAACCGAAATCCGTAAAGCTGGAGGTGAACTAAACGTCAAAATGAAGCCAAAGACCGTTTCAGAATCGGAAGATCAAGAATTAGAGCAGCTTATGGAACGTGTAGAAAGGGAGAACGCCGAAGTGGAAGGTGATGAGGACTCTGAAGATGAACAAGTATAAGAAGAAAACCTTTCATTCTTTCACCACATTTGTACACTGATATTGCAATCGATTCGATTCCTGGTCTCAATCTAGATAAGCGTGTGACTTTGGCTCTTGTAATGCTCAGATGCAAAACTCATTTGCCGCTAAACTGATTTGGTACAGCTCATACAGATAAGATCACTCAAACAAGGGGAAACATCTAACCGTTCAAATTGAGTTGTGAAAGTGTCTATAGTGTGTACAGATGGGAGATGAGAATATCAGACATCCTTGCCTTGCAAAAAGGTGTGTGCCTCTATGAATTGTAGATGTGCGTTTTTGCTCCCAAAGAATGCAATCCCAGAATGCAGCTCCAGGATGCGTAGCATTACAAGCTTTTTGGTGACAATTAGAAGAGAGCTGTCTTACTTGCTGACCAAGCTGCTGCCAAACCCATCATGATTCCACTTGAGATGGCCATCGGTCGAACTCCTGCTGTGCACTTGAAAAGGGCACCACTCAAGCCGCCTGCTGCAATACTACCTGCCATATCGTGTTTTCCACGAGCGGCATCGATAGAAGCATCTGCGATGTTATAAATCAAAGCAACGATACCACCGCTATTTCCCAAAAAGCTTCCTCTTCTGGTGACTTGATTTAAAACTGCGTTCAAACGTAAACGGAAAGTAGGAGATTGAACGCCTAACGGTCTTGCCAAACCTTCACGGAAGCCCAACATTCCTCCGATTGCCAAACCGGAAAGGTAAGTTGTTCCTGTTCCGTAGCAAAGATCATCACTCCATCCACGACTTGGCAAAGCTGTTCGTCCACCTTCTAACGTGGAAGGAGATGCGTCTACGATGTCCAAATATTCCAAATCTTCACGACCTAAACCTGCCAAAGGATGAAGTTGAGCGACATCGAATTGTGGATTTGAGAACAACTCAGCTGTGCTAGGTGTATATGATGAGGCTGGATTGGCAGCAGTGTGATCGAAGCGGGATTCTCCGGAAGAGAAGTAAGCAGTTGGTGATGGTGCTTCCTGTTGTTGTGTTTGTGGCGTGCTTAATGTAGATGGTCCGGCTGCATTATCTTGGGATGAGATTGGATTAGCCTGCTGTGAAGAGCCAGAAAAGGGCCACATTATGATGTGTATTTTAGGTGAGTGATGGAATGAGCGAAGAAGCTGACAATCAATCAATCACTCGAACAATCGTTTTGGATTATTCTTGTCACTTACTCTCCAAGCAGGCGCCACAGGCACAAGTCCTGTTCCCTTTGTCCGACTAGACTGTATAAATTTTTTCTTGATTTTTTGGAACCTTTTCCCCTTGTTCTTCCGTCTTCCGGCTCCACCACTCTACAGCCGCGCCCACAAATTGGGGGAATTCACACTCCCCGCTTTGCCCAGGCTACAGTCACGTGTTAAGAAAGAACTCAATTGCCAGTCCTATGACAGAAGCGTTTATGGTGAAGAACCCAATGCATGTAGCAGATACCTGATCGCAACAATTTCCATTGAAAAGAGATTTTAATCATCAATCTCGATCAAGAAGCAAGTCAAATTGAATGATTGAACTTTAAGCCTCGCGCTGCAAAAGAGGCAATTTGGGTTTGTCAGCCAAACTTCAAATGAATTAAAGCTAAAAGCTCTTATTGGATAATGACTTTATTCACTTGGCTCCAGGCGCGCGCTTGCCAATCAAAGCCAGCCTACAAGCCTAAAGCGTTGGCTCTGGAAGTGATTCTTGCTTGGGAAGAAGCATGTCTAGCCAATACGCCCAATCTGTCTGATATCCCTCCATCATCATTGGTCAAAATGGCATCATCACTACGTATGGCAAGCACAAGTGCAGCACGCACACTATTTGCAAGATCAGCATCAGCCGCTGTTGCATCTAGACAAGTTGTGCCAACTGCAACTCGTGCATTCTCTACAACAAAGCCAGCCTCTTCCGATGCCCTTTTCGTTCATCGTGATACGGATTACAACAATGCTTCCATCCCATTCAAGTTCACAGACGAAAACATGAAATTGGCCGAAGAAATCATCTCACACTACCCAAAACAATACAAGAAAGCTGCCGTTATCCCACTCCTAGATTTAGGACAACGTCAAAATAGCGGTTGGGTTTCGATCAGTGTGATGAATTATGTGGCAGAAGTGTTGGAAATGCCTCCAATGCGTGTATATGAAGTTGCAAGTTTCTATACTATGTTCAATCGTGAACCCGTAGGTAAATATTTCATTCAATTATGCACAACAACACCATGCATGTTGGGCGGATGTGGAAGTGAAAAGATTTTGGAAACAATGAAATCTCATTTAGGAATCGATTTAGGTCAAACGACAAAAGATAAACTTTTCACTTTGATCGAAGTGGAATGTTTGGGAGCTTGTGCAAATGCACCAATGGCACAAATCAATGATGATTATTATGAAGATTTGACACCCGAGACCACTGTTAAGCTTTTGGACGGACTACGTGCCGGTCAACCACCTAAGCCTGGCCCACAAAGCGGCCGTCATTCATCGGAGGCTGCAGAAGGAAGATCAGCTCTAACGGAAGAGGTGAGTGTATCTGATGCTATAAGGGAAGATGTACAATTACTGACCCAACTTTCTCTTTTCCCCTTGCTACAGCCATACGGACCCGGACAACACTGCCGACCTGAATTCCAATAAATTGCTTATATATCTGTAGAGTTCAGGTTATCGTAATGAATCTGTAGAAGAATCTTTTGAGAGCTTGATATCCAAGATGAAGCTGTTGTTTTAAGAGAGTCTCATGATTAGTCAGCTTGTTCCCATTCCCTGTACTCTGGCGCGTTAGAAGTGCACTTTAAGCAAACGCGTACGTAAAACACAGCGCGTTGATAGAATTTATCAGTCAGTTGTTCTTCGCATATGCACAGGCCGAAGTAACACTTTGACAACCTTCTTACGTTCATCCCATCATAGAAGGATTCGACAACATGTTCCTTCCACAAAGGCCAAAGAACGAAGGAACAAAGCAGAAAACAGACAAAGAGAAGGCCGAACTGGCAAGATTACGACCATGGGTGGAAAAATATAGACCAAAAACGATTGATGATGTGACTGCACAAGAGCATACAGTGACAGTTTTGCAAAAAGCGTTATTGTCAACCAATTTACCGCATATGCTGTTTTATGGACCTCCTGGAACGGGTAAAACTTCTACAATTTTAGCACTTGCAAGACAGTTGTTCGGACCTGAATTGATGAAAACAAGAGTATTGGAATTAAACGCTTCTGATGAACGTGGGATTACGGTCGTACGTGAAAAGATTAAATCGTTTGCAAAGTTGGCCGTTAGCAATGCAAATTTGGATTTCCCTTGTCCGCCTTATAAGATTGTGATTTTGGATGAAGCCGATAGCATGACACATGATGCTCAAAGTGCATTGAGACGGATTATGGAACAGTACAGCCGTATCACACGATTTTGTTTGGTTTGCAATTATGTTACCCGAATTATCGAACCTCTGGCAAGTAGATGCAGTAAATTCCGATTTCGTACACTAGACAACGTTTCCACAAAAGATCGTTTACAAAGTATTGCAGATGCTGAACATGTTGCTTTTGAGGAAGGCGTCTTGGACACTTTGATCAAAACTTCAGATGGTGATTTACGTAGAGCGATCACTTATCTTCAATCAGCTTCTCGGCTTCATAGCGCTGGCGAAAAGACTACGCCGATTACACCAAAATCAATCGTTGAAATCGCAGGTGTTGTGCCAACGCAAATCGTGACAGGTCTTGCACGTGCTATCGGTATTCCTGCTCGGCCAGACGAAGATGAGGATGAAGATGTTTTGGTGAGCACACGAAAAGGATCAAGTGAATTTGAAAAGTTGCGTAGTCAAGTCACATTCATTACACGAGAAGGCTATTCAACATCACAATTGTTGATCCAATTACACGATTACATCATGGATCATGAAACTTTGACTGCTCCACGTAAAGCAAAATGTGCAATCGAATTAGGTCAAACGGATAAGGATCTAACCGACGGAGCTGATGAAGAGCTACAGTTGCTCAATCTCAGCTTGAAGCTGAAGCGAGCTGTCGCATGAGTGACATTTAAGTAATTCCCTTTTCATATTTTTCATTCATCCTGTATCATTAGTCATCAATCGAACGAAATCGTAAACTATTTCTGGTGTGCACGGATTGCATGTTGATTTCTACACAAACGAAGGAGGACTTCATGAACTTAAATGATGCCCTGCATCTATTTTGCCGTGTCGATGATATTTGCACTTCTTAATTCTTTGCTGAGAGCGTGACGAAAGCAGAAATGGCATCTTGTACCTACTTTACTTCCCTTCACCCCTTAACGTGACCGCTCTTTACTACGTGATGTTCAAACATATTCTCCAAATTTATCCTCTAGACAAACTATGTAATGCGTATAAGATAATTCTATGATACTCTACAATAGACTCAACATCCATAATTCTCTTTCAAAATGCATTTGCAACAGCTCATCACCTTTTTCCTGAAATCGCTCGTTCTTGCCGAAACGATTGATTCCAATAAATCGCAAGAGCGTTTCGCGGACCTGAAAGATGAATCTCAAATGTCCGAGATCAAACGTTCATTCAATCCCACAAAGACTTTGATATTGCTAACACGAACAGATAAGGTCCAATCAATCAATTCAAAGAACTTGCATTGATCCGCACGTTACTCTTCATCTTTTTACTTTCATCATCAATCATGGAAAAAGTCAACATTTTGATATTAGGAGGAACGCTTCATGTTGGTCGATCTCTTGTTCATTTTCTACTGAACGAATTACCTGCGTCATCTCCACAGACAAGTATCGGACATATTCGAATTGTAGACAAGTACTTGGTAACAGAAGATCTATGTTGAGCCTGATATGCTCAAAGCTATACGGGATCTTTATTCCCCAACTATTATGATGCAGGATTTAAACTAATGGCAGCTTTAGAACAAGAATTGATGAATAGAGGAGGCGGAACAACCAATTCTGAACAAGTTGGTAATCGGGCCAATGCAGTATAAAATTAGGATAATTTTACTATCACACCTACACAATCATCTTAGGAAAAGGAAATGGACTGTATTTTTATCTCTTGTAAACAGTAATTCACCACTTGTTCTTCTGTGAAAAGGGGCTACCCTTGTATGCTGGCGTGCGTCTAGGTTTAATTGATTTCGGATCCGCACATTCTAAATTCGGCGCCTTTACGCATACAATGGTTGATGTAATGTATTTACTGATATTATTTAAGTGCATCAACTCCTCTCTCTCTTTATTTCTCCTAATTACCATCACTAACAATGACAAATGAAGCAATTGACTATCTCGTCGAGCCTTTAACAGGTCTAGACGTTTTGACAAAAGGTAAATATGTTATATAATTTGGACAGATGCAACAAAATACTGATCACCTATCACTTATCTAGATTACGTTCTAGATGTTCGCTTTATCATCACTGGCTTATTGGACTCTGACAAATTGCTAAAAGGTTTATATGATGTAATTACGCAAAAGTGGCCAGTGATGGGCTCTAGAATTGTAAGATGGTGAATGGTGGGTGTTGCTGATAAGATTTGAAATTGAACAAACGCTCTTCTATCCTCCTTCAGGCCTCATTACCGCAAGGTAGATTCGAGATGCGTATTCCGAAAACATTCTGTGATTCACAGCCACCGCTTCATTTTGATACATATGAAGCGGCAGAAGAAGTTGCAATTGCCGATTGTTTCAATCGATTACCAGAATTGGATGCGTTGGATATCAAGACCGAATCTGACTTGATTGCATTTGAATCATTTATGCTTACAAAGCCTCAAGCGTACAAAAAACTCAAACGTAAAATACCTTCTAGTTCAATCGGGAAACAATGTTCAGGTTTATCAAACGGTCCATTCGTACTAGCGAAAGATTTAATCGATAAAGATATACCACTTATTCAAACTTTAGTTCATCTTTTTCCAAACAGTAACGAAACATTGGTCAGAATTATACTGCCACATTGTGTTTTTGATGCCAGTAATATTGCCGCTCTTTTTCGTGCTTGGTCTGATAGCATGAATGGCCGATTGGATCGAATTCCTTCTTTCTTACCAATATTCCAAGCATCGAAATCCATTCAAGAATTACCAGAAGAAGTCTTACAATCTTGCGATCCAAAACGTCCACCTATGCCTAAAGGATATCGTTATGGTGATCTTTCACAGATCCTCATGATGTTGTTCATGTTGATTTGGCGTTGGATAATGTTACCCTTACTCCGTTTACAAGTTCCATCAATGCGTAGAGCTGTCAACATTTGGGTTCCAAACGAAATCCTACAAAGTTGGCGTGAAGAAGCACGAAAGGAGGCATTGACGTATGGATATTGGCATGACTTCTTTATTTCGGATAATGATCTTTGTGTGGCTTGGTGTTTAGAAAGAATGGCGAAAAAGTATGACAGTCAATTGGACGGTAATTTCACTCTAGGCCTAGCGGTCAACGTACGTACACGAATACCTCAACTTGCTCAAAAGCTTGGAATTGATTTACGAGGTCCATCACAATCTAGTGCAATGGCAAATGCAACATCCATCTTTGCACATAATGGAGCTTTTTTATGGAACAGCGGCATATTCTCATGGAAGGATGTAAGTGAATGGCCTAAATGGTCAATGGCGATCAAAATACGCGAAGAATTGATTAGATTACGTCAACCTGAAACAGCAGATGAAGTTTCACGTATAATGGCAGCCATGCAACATTGTCACATCACACCCGGTGCTCCGACCTTACTTCCAATGAATCCTTCTACGCTATTATGTGCAACGTCTAATTGGAAACAAGCAGATCCAATCGCAGCAATTGATTTCTCTTCGGCCGTTCTAGACACAGTTTCAAAACCCTTTCATAACAATTGGGCAGCCAAGACTTCACCGGGAAAAGCTTCAGAACTTTCAATGACGGAGAAAAAGACTGAAAATCCTGCACCGACTGTTGCGGTGATTAACGTTTTGACTGATCGACCAGGTAAAGGTGTTTTGATCACTGTGGCATGCGATGGTAATTTGATCAAAGATCATACTTTTGGCACGCTTGTTGATCTGTCGAAATTGTAAGCACTTCTATCGTCGAATTGAATCGATTAATCATAAAAATACACTAGTCCAATCTATAGAATATTGGTATATCTTTTGAAACTGCTCACAATCCTAGAGCAGCTCTGGCTTCCCGTGTATCAATATGCTTTGGTCCTCCTTTTGCTGTCAAGATTTCAACGCCAGTCTCGGTGATAAGTAGCGTTTCTTCGGCTGCTGCTGATCTAGCACCATCGATTGTAGAAATCGTCCAATCATCAGGCCAAGAAAGATCTCTCCATTCCGTTCCTGCATTGAGCATAGGCTCAATAGTAAAGATATTTCCAGGTTGCATAACTCCGTATGCTTTTTTGGTTTTATGATGATAAATCGTTGGAGCAGAATGGAACACGTTACTGATTCCATGTCCATGCCAATTCTTCGCGACTGCTGTATTTCTACTTTCTGCTAATGGTTGAATTGTTTTGCCTATTTGAGCAAACGGTACCCCGGGACCACAGATTGCAATTGCAGCATCCAAGCAATCTCTTGCTGTTTTGATCAAATTCATGCTTGCTTCATCTGCCTCTGCTTTTGGTCCGACAGGGTATGTTCCATTCAAATCTCCATGGAAGCCATGATGGTATAGTGTGACATCGATATTGATAATATCTCCATCCTCTAGCGGTCTCTGATCGGGAATGCCATGACAGATGATCTCGTTTACGGATGTACAGACACTTTTTGGGTATCCGTGGTAGCCTAGTGGACTAGGATAACAGTCTCTCTTGATTGCTTCTTCGAATACCACTTTATCGATCTCATCCGTTGTAACGCCTGGTGCTACTTTTGATGCTGCAATTTCCAGTACCTCTCTTGCCAATTTTGCCGCTTTACGAACACCCTCTTGTTCTTTCTCGGAGTTTACTTTGATATTCCGCGAAGAGAGAAACTGTAAGAAGTGACGGAATGCTAGTTAGCTTTTATGTTTTATTTTGCTTTTCTGGGAGGCGAGCAATCATTTCCGATTGAATTGCTGCTCAATCCTCTCACAAAGGGGAAATGACATGCTCACCTCCCAATAAGCCCAAAATGTTCCGCTTACCGATTCTCGTGCATAGTTTGGCCTAAAGATTGAATCTGGTACTTTACTCTTTGGTGAAAGAGGATAACAAGCACGTACTGTTGCTCCCACGGGATATTGAAATCCTGGAGTATCTGCGAATGGATCAACAGTCATCTTTGTATGAGGATGGAGGTTTAACATGCATGCAGCATTTACAGAATTAAAGTTTTATAGTGCAAGCTTTGAACTTCTTCTTTTTTGGCTGCAAGAGCACAGGCGCTGCACACGTGCAATAAATAATTTTTGGAAAAATGGAAATTCCAAAATAAAAATGGACCGAGAAGATCTGATGGTCACCAACTTGATCAAATACAGTCATCATAGATTGCTTCTCTTTGTATCATGTCAAGTCACGTAAAAGCTGCAGCTCCCAAGGTGAAGGGACGTATGTCATTCAAAGCTGTCAATCAACAAAGAGTCGGTAAACCACTGGATGGAGGCAAACGAAAGAGGACAAACAGAAGGGATGATGCAGAAGATGGAGATACAGAAGCAGATGAAGATATTACAGATGAAGGAGAAGAAGCAGACGGAAGTGAAATGGAAGAAGAGATGGATACTGATGATGAGCTTACTGCATCTAAGCTAGGCAAGAGTAAAAAGACAGCAAAAAGAAAGCGTCGTGCCACATCACCATCTTCATTTGGTGCAACTCTTCAAGGCTTGCTAGGGAATGCTGATGAAGAGGAAGCAGACGAAGAAGAAGGATCTGATGGAGAAGCAGGACCATCAAAGAAAACACTCTCAGCACCCGTACCGGTTGGACAACCTGCAATCTTATCGCTAGCTCCTCACATTCGACGTGGAGCACAATCTTCTCGTTTGAACGAAAAAGCTGCTCGATTGGCTTTGGCGGCAAAGAGAAAGCGTGAAGATCGTGCAAGGGTGACAGATGTTATTGGAGGCTGGGGAGCACCGGGAGAACTTCCAAAGACGTTTGAAGGGGATGAAAAGATGGGTGAAAGCTCTAATGAACCAATGCAATCTTCCAAAGAAGAACAACAAAAATTGAAATCATGGCTAGATGAAGGAGGCGTACAAGGATATGAAAAACGATTAAGGAAATCGGCACAGAGAGGGGTGGTGAAATTGTTCAATGCGATCCGCGCTGCTCAGAATACGACGGAAGCCGATTTGAATGATGAAGATGGAGAGCGGAAGTCCACAACAAAGAATGAAAAAGCGGTCAAAGAGAATAACACCCAAGCAAGCGCAAAACGTGCCGATAATGCATTGGGTGGAAAAGCCAAAGCAGGTGAGTCTATCAGTAGTGTGCAGCGAAGATCTTTTTCTAACTCCTTTCCTTTTCCTTTGCAGTCTCTGAATTGAGCAAGAACAATTTCTTTGATCTTTTACGTGCCGGTACAAAGACCAAATGATGTCATATTCAATATTTTTGTGCATTTGTAGATTAGTCAATTTTCTCATGACCTTTAACATGACCTTATGACGGCTGCCCTGCTCTCATTCATGATCTTGACCGTTTGTGAATCATACGTTAAGAATAGAAAAAGGCGGAACCGCCATCAAGGACGGCGCGAGAATTTGATAGTCTTGGCTGCATGCACATTTAGCGTAATGAACTGCTTGAATGATCTGCATGTTATTTAAAGGAGTGAACAATACTCGCATTCACTCTTCCTCCCAACCATCCCGAGAGTATATCACCATCATGTCAGTACTCTTATTCGGTCAACCTGGATCCAATGCTCGTCGAGAATGGACTGTGAGCGATTTTGTAAACGTAGACGATACAGTACGTGGAGGAAGTAGTTCGAGTGAGATGGAAATCGTAAAAGGTGATCCTCCACCACCTCCTGCTCCTGCATCATCATCAGTACCGGAACCGCCAAAGAAAGAGGACAAAAAGTTCAGTGAGATCTTGGCAGAAAGAACTCCATCATCGCCTGAGCCACCAAAGAAAAAGGACAAAAATTTTAGCGAGATTCTGGCAGAAAGAACTCCATCATCACAGCAAGATGCAGGCTCGATCGACTTTAGTGGATTTTTGGATACGACTACTTTGGGAGGAGCGGGATTCGCATCACAGGCATACTCTCATCCATTACCCGGAGATCCAATAACAGTCGATCGATTTGCAGGTTTACGATTGACTGGTCGTCGATTGCAAGCCGCAAATCAAGCCCGATCTTTTTCTTCGAGAAGCGAAAAGTACCCTGGAGGTGGACAAGGACCAGTAACGAGTTTCATCTTGAATCTCAAAACCGAAACGCCAAAGAAAAGACCTGATGGCAGACGTGAATCTCAATTGACGTACGAATGGGAAATCGATCTTGCTTCTTATGCTGCTGATGGTGGCGCTTTTGATGTGGAAGCTGCTTGGAATGACTTTAAGCCAACTTATCGTGGAAGACCGGTTGAGGATGCCCCTAAACTTGATTCATCTAAAGTGAAGGAATGGAGTATTATGGCCAGAAGTGATTTCGGGGTGAGTAAAATGCCTGAGAGATATTTGGTATGCTTGGATGTACTGACACGATTCTTATCACAGAAACAATCTGGGCCTTTTGCCGTCCGTTTGATTGGTTTAAGCGCAGTTTTATCGATTCACAAGCGAGACTTGATGGGTAGTGAGAAACTATCTGCACCTTCTTACGTATTTGCAACGGAAGATACTTCTTCGGGAGAATATTATGGCTTTGCTCTGTTCATCTTTGCAACCGTTGCATTCTTTATCTGGATCATTTGGGCTCTCACGCCTGACAGCATCTTGCAAAAGATCGGAATAGATTGGTATCCGAATCGGTATGTATCACATCAAAGCGGCGATTCGATCATCAGCAAAGAGAAACACTGAAAAGTGTGGCACTTTCGGTCCAACTTGCTTCAAATGCTAACAATACTTCACCCTCTTCTGTTGTTGATATCAAGTGAATGGGCTTTCCTTATCCCGGCTTGGAGTTTGTTCGCCGTTCTTTTCGTTTATGCCGCTTTCATGTGTCTTAATACGTTCAACAATCCTGATCTTTCTGATCTAAGGCAGGTTGTAGGTGGGTATCAGAGCGGTGCATGAGGGAAGTGTTCAGTATGGCTAAAGTTTTTCTCTCTCTACAGATTCTCACAGTAATATCTTACCCATCCATGAAGCGGTTAGGAATGGCGAAGAAGCGCATCCTTTGCAAGGAGCAAATACGATGTCACAAACCGGTGAATCAGGAGGAGCTTTATCGCAAGATATATATGAAATCCCACCTGGTGTGGTCAGCCGTCAAAGGCACGGTGTTAATGTGTAGAATATATGCCATTTAAATTTGAATAGATGAAACCTATTTGCTTCTTAGAATTTAAGGATTGGTCTGTGCAGGTGGAGTGTTGATCTGCAGTGTATGCCATGCCATACACTGCACACACACGCGAAAATATCAAGCAAACCTCCCTTCTCCCTTCAACCTAGAATAAGACAAAGATGTCACACAATCATCATCATGGAGATGGCTGTGGCCACGAACACAACGATGATGATCATATCAAACCCGGAGAAGGTCAACAAGATTCGTTATACGGCCGAATTGATCGAGACAATGTGACAGCTTTAAACGAACAAATACCCGAGATGGCCAAAGGAATAATTAAGCCGTTCGATAAACAAACCGATGAAGAAACATTCCTGGAAAGTGATGCAGATGATCAATTGATCATTCGTGTTCCATTCATTGGTGGTGTAAAATTACGTGCGATCATGATGAAAGCTGGACCTAGTGAACAAACTCCGGAAGAAATTCACCTTTTCGCTAATCGAGAAGAATTGGATTTCGATCAAGCTTCTTCCGGAGCACCTGAACCAACGCAAAAGTTGACTTCTATTGCGGTAGGAAGAGAAGTGATCAGTTATCCACTCAAAACGGCAAAGTTCAACAATGTTCGTACACTGCACATCTTTGTTCCTAAAAGTTTGGGTGGAGATACAAGTAGAATCTACTTTTTGGGTTTCAAAGGTGAATGGCTTGGAGAACAAAGACGGGAAGGGCCGACAAACATCATTTATGAATCCGCTCCTCAAGTCAAAGATCATATGAAGATCCCTGGAACAGAAAGTGGAGCGCATTCCATGGGACCTGGAAGAGGCCAATGATCCGATACTAAAAGTTGTACTATACGAGAATGATCAAAGATTTATTATCGCATGCTCAGAGACTGAGTCCGATATCGATTAGCACGGAAGATTTGACGAGCTACAAATACAGTATGGGTTGATGATTGCCGCAAGGGTCTATATGGCACGAACTGGCTGAGCGGATTCTTGCTCTGCTGGAGCTTTGTTCAGAGGCTCGTTGCTAACATCTGGCAAAGCAGATGCACCTTCAGTCAAATAGGAAGGTGTTTCTCCTAGCTCCTCTCCAAGATCATCTCCTAGAGCATCCAATTCAGCTTGAAGTTCATCTTCGTCAATCTCATCCGGAACACCATAAGATCTTCCAAGGGTTGATTGAACTTCATTTGCTTGTTCGATCATATCTTCCATATCATCTTGAACACGTTCAATTTTGTCCAAATCAATTTTACCGTATGTCTTTCGCATTTCTTTATTTGCACTGTTCATCGCATCAACGGTTGCCATTGTGTTCCTTAGATTTTCAGTAGTCATTGTTGCTTGTTCCATATTATAGGATTGTTGATATAATTGATCTAGTTGACCTTCGTATAGTCGCTTCTGACGTAAGACACGCAAAGCTCTTTGTTCAACAGCTTTCTGTGGAGATGTAGAAAATCAGAATAGTCAGTCAGCAATCTCTCTCCCTCGCCCTAATTTCTTCTACCCACCTTTCCCGGTCCAGAAGTCATCTTTTTCATTTGATCACGATATCTTGCCAATTCTTGATCAAGTTTTTTAATCTTTTGCGTTACGCCATCTGCGCGTGTTTCCGTACTCGTGATCGCATCTTGCAAACTTGGCTTTGGCGTTGCAGCCTTGCTACCGAATAATCTGTTCATTCTTCCGTCAAAGAGATGATGATGGTAAGAGTAATCAGATGTGTTTGATGGAGAGCAACTTAAACGCGCACAGACGATAGAGTGTATGCACTCGCTCAGCCTCACAAACATGCCACTGTAATTAACTTAGGGTCTCGGCGTTTAATTATTGCATACACGCATACTATCACCACCATACACAAAGGCGTGAAGTTAAAAAAGGCTGTTCAAAAAGTGAATGCGTTTGTTCTTCCTGTTGACCGTCTATAAATTGATCCATTTTGGTTCTGTCCTTAACAAATGTGACTTCTAGAAGTAGTCAAGAATGTTGGTCTCCATTCTTCACTGTAGCATTATTGTTCTCATTGCAAGCGAAATAGTATATCCAGTAAGCATCAGAAGACGTAAACATCTGTTCGGTCAACAATGGGACCCAAATCAAATAGAAAGTCAGATAACGACACCTGTAGAGCAGCCATCAGAAGTAGCCATACCCGAGTCATCTGCTGTCACAACGCAGGAACAAGCACCAGAACAAGTGAAGCGAAAGCGAGGCAGACCAAGAGTACTAATCAAAAAGCCAAAACGAAAGAGTACAGAATCAGTAAGAAAATGGTTTGCACGTAAGAAGGAAGAGAGTGAGAGAGGTGATAAGAAAGCTATCGAATTCTTTGCAAAAAGGACTAAATACAAAATGAAGAAAGTCAGAGAAAAAACTGCTAGAATTCAACAAGGTACTGCTACACCCTTAGAACAAGAACAATATAGAAATCTACGAATGAAACAAAAGCAATGGAGAGATAATAATCGAGAAAAGAGGAATACATATCTCAGAAAGTGGAAAAAACAACGAAAGGAGAATACTGATAATTAAAACATGGGTGGCTGTTCGTAAACTTTCACAAATAATTCGAAAGACCCGAGTTGCATATTTTCAATATTCATCCAATATCGACTATGCTCTTGTCCTCCCTAGCACGATAATTTGATTGATCACCGATTATCAAAATCATGTCTTCTATCTCTTCTAAATTGACTATGGCAATAAAGCTCGTATGTTGCTTTACCTTAATTATACTGTTCATCGGCAGCCCTTCACTTGGTGTCAGTATTCGAAAAAAGAAACAGCGTTCTGCTTCTCAATTGGAGCCTGATCAGACAGTCAATCCGTCACAAGGATCTGCAAGAACGGTAGAGGAACAGGGAGTAACAGCAACACCAGATCTTTCAACGATAGCAGCTACTTCCACAGCTACTTCAGCAGCCACTTCATCAAAACGGAAAAGAAAACCAAGAGAAATAAAGAGTACAGAAGCTGTAAAAGCATTTTACAAACGCAAAAAAGAAGAAAAAGAAAGAGGAGATCCAAAAGCGATTGAACTTTTCAGAAAAAGGACTGAAAGAAATACAATGAGGGAAAGAATCAAAAGAGAAAAGGTCTTTTCTGGTGAGGCTACACCAGCGGAGGTAGAAAGATACAAGAAAGCTCTAGCTAGAAATAGAGAGTACAAACGCAATAATCGAGAGAAAGTCAATGCGTCAAAAAGGAAGAGGAGAGCAGAAAAAAAAGCTGAAGAATTAAAGGACTAATAGCATTTGTGTAAAAGTTCTTGCCCTTATGATAAAGTTGCGTTTCTTTCAATATACCACAATGTGTATGCAGAAACTCGCGAGCCCCGAGACCAATTACAATCGAAATGATGCTATGAATAGCTTCAGCATCCGTCTGCCATTGAACGTACAGACCTTATCGACTACTACAATATACGATGTTCAGCTTGTATGCACAGAGCGTAGTGCTGCAAATGATCTTACTCATTCTTTCTTCAGGACCAGGACCAAAGAGATCTGTAGATGCAGTCAGCGTCCGACGCAGACTGCATATGTTTGGCCAAGATCCATTCTCACCGCCAAGGACGACAGAATATATGCATCCTTACACCTTAAGAGACATTAAAAACAGAGCTGTACAGCAGGTTTACGAGCGTAAAGGAAGAAATATTCACGGATCAATAGTATCAGAAGTAGCCAGTCCTGAATCATCCGCTCTTACAATGCCGGAACAAGAACCAGAACAAGTGAAGAGAAAGGGAGGAGGACATGAAGTACTAATCAAAGAGCCAAAACGAAAGAGCACAGAAGCAGTAAGGAAATGGTTTGCACGTAAAAGGGAAGAAAGAAAAAGAGGTGACAAGAAAGCTATAGAATTTTTTGCAAAAAGGAATAGGTATAACAACAAGAAAGTCAGAGAAAAAATTGCTAGAATTCAACAAGGCACTGCTACACCTTTAGAACAAGAGCAATACAAAAATTTTCGAAATAAACAAAAACAATGGAAAGATAATAATCGAGAAAAGAGGAATGCATATTTGAGAAAGTGGAAAAAACAACGAAAGGAGAAAACTGATAATAATTAAAAAAAGGGTGGCTGTTCAGATTCTTTCACAAATTGTTCTAAAGACCCGGATTGTATATTTTCAATTTTTAGCCGACGTAGAATCTGCTCTACCCCTTCTTAGTAGTATGCATGCATGTATTTCCCATATCACCAATTACCATGTCATCGGCTCACTGTTTCTCTAAATTGGCAATCAAACTCTTATGCTGTCTCACCTTAGTTATATTGTTCGATAGCAGGCCTTCAATTGGCGTTAGTATTCGGAAAAAGAAACGACTTCCTGATACGCAGTCGCTGCCTAATCAAACAACAAATCCACCACAAGTTTCTGCGGGATCGATAGAGCAACAGCCAGTAGTAGCTGCACCAGAAACTTCAACAATAGCAAAGACGTCCGCTGCGACTCCATCAAAACGAAAGAAAAAGCCTTTCGACCTCAATTTAAAACCACCGAGTAAGAAAAAGAGTACAGAAGCCGTGAAAGCATTCTATAACCGCAAAAAAGAAGCCAGACAAAGAGGTGATCCAAAAGCGATTGAATTTTTCAAAAATGAAAGCTTAAGAAGATCAAATAGAGAGAAACGGAAAAGAGAAAAAGTTTTCTCCGGTGAAGCTACGCAGGCGGAAGAAGAGGTGTATCAACAAATACTGGCTAGAAATAGAAAGTACAAGCATGATAATCGTGAGAAAGTCAATGCGTATAAAAGAAAATGGAGAGCAGATAAGAAGGCAAAAAGACTAGAAGATTGATAGCATCCATCTAAAAGCTGTGTGATAATGAGGGAATTGCATTTTCATGCATACGACAATGTGTATGCAAAACCTTCGAGCCCCGAGAACAATCATAAGCGAAATCATAGCATGAATAGGTTCATAATTAAACTGTCACTAAATGTATATACCTTCTCCACCACCAATGCATGATGTTCAATTTGTACGCACATGGTGTAGTGCTGCAGATGATTTTTCTCATTCTTCCTTTTGAATCAAGGATATTCGTGAATGCAGTCAGCGTCCGACGCAGACTGCGCATGTTCGGCCAAGATCCATTTTCACCTCCAAAGACGACAGAGTATATGCATCCTTACACCTTAAGAGACATTAAAAACAGATCAGTACAGCAGGTTTACGAGCGTAAAGGTAAAGAGGTTCTTGGATCAGCTAAAGACTACGTACCTTCAACAAATAGAGTTCATAGTCGTAAAATTGAGAAGGGTGGGAACAATGACCGAAAGAATTATATCCACGCGAAAACGGCAGAAAGCGAAAGTGGTGATACGCAGTCGCAGTATACTCTTCGATCGAAAGCTGCAAATCATCTGAAGAAAGTAAGTTGTGTAGAGTACGACGATGGCGGCTACGATACCGATTCAATAAGAAGACCAAAAGACGGGGACGCCATCAACAGGATCCGGAGAGTATATAAAGAATCATCCGAAAAGGAGCACCGCGATGCAACTCTGATATCGTCCAAAGACCAGCCCCCTAAAAAATATCCTAATAAGTGGTACTGGCAACAAAAAGCATTACGCAACAGTGGTGACGTTGAAGCAAAGCAGAATTATACTCTGCGAAATAGAAGAGAATGGCTAGAAAAAAAGGCACGCAGAAAAAAGGTCATTGATGGAACAGCAACCGAACATGAATTGCAAAAGCACAAAAATTTCACAAATACTCGAAAAAAATACAGTGAAACACATCGTGAACAGATTGCCGAGTACAAAAGGAGGTATCATATGAGAAAAAAAGTAAACAGGAGCAAAAAGGAGTAAAATGATATCGGGCACATTTCAATCGAGCCGCAATTGAACAAAAGTATCTCCATCATCCCTGTTCCCAGCCATGAACGAATTCCAGGAGCATTCATGAGCAGTATGATTGCATACAGATTAGGCTCCCTATCTCAGTATACAACTTTTCTTTGAAAGGCGTGTTCAAGTGCGATATACTTTCGCACGTAATCATTACATCTTTTCTCTTGATCAAAGCAGAACCGCAAGTAAGAAATGATTTCCAACAAAGTTTAGCTTTTCATTCTTATGTCAATGGTTTTAACATCATTATTAACAACCATCACAGGTGCTAGTCCAGTGACAGTGAAAGAGTGAAAAAGGGTACATGATTTCTTCTAGCAAGGAAAAATGAACCGGCACCATCCGCAGATCGCGATCCTGGTGTGATTGAAGGCTGAAATGTAATGCTAAGGAACAAAAGGACTTCGAAAATCCTCTACACTAGAAACAGCAAGTTACAGGACTTTCGTGCTCTAATTTAACTTCAATTACCTCATAGTATATCCCATCTTGATCTTTCTTATCACGTTCATCCTTTTTCAATGATTAAGTCTTTCTGTCTTCGTCAATTTACAATAAGCTGTATCCTATACCTAATGACAGACGAGGATCACATCAGTGGTGCCGTATTATGACGATTTGCGTGTTTCAGGCAGGGATTGTGTTTGTATATTCGGCGCTCTCTTAAGCCATTAACCCCGAACTCAAGTCGATGGTGTTCATTTGCGTATCAAACGAATTTTTTTGAGTCATATGACACTACAAATCAAATGCAAATCTCAATGAATCATCCGTCCCGACTCCATGGGCTCTGACTCCTCCTTGCATCACAATCTATGATGATTCATCGAAGTGTACAGTGTATACTTGGTTCTATACCTCTTTTACTATTCTACTTTAATTCAAATCACACAGCAGTTGCAGTCAGTCTGCGACGTAGACTGGCGAAGTTTGGGCAAGATCCAAATTCGCCACCAAAAACGACAGATTATATGCATCCTCAAACCTTGAGAGAGATCAGATCTAGAACTTCTCAGCATACTTACCATCGTAGAATCAACACAATCAATCAAGAGCTCAAATTTTCGCGCTTGGATGTACCACAAGATTCTCGTCCTTTGGGTTATAGTCTTTCCAAGAAACAGCGAACAGATCAATCAACTTATATACCTGCTCTGCTTCATGTCTATAGCCGTAAAATTCAGAAAGATACAAAAGAGTCGCCTACTCGACAGACAGGCTACAAGCTACGCTCCAAGAACGTACATGAAAGTAGAAAAATTGTCAACACTACTAAGATTGGCGACTCTACCGTGCACAGCGAACAAAGAAAGGTAAAGAAGACAAAACTTGAATTACTAAGGGACAGGGCCAGACGATTCAAAGCACGTTCCGAAAGAATAAGAAAAGGAACTGCTTCTGACCACGAAATTGAGCAGTATACTAAACACTTAGCTAGGAACAAACAATACCGGGAGAACAACCGTGAAAAGTTCAATGAATCGAGTAGAAGAGCACACGCAAATAGGAGAGCTCGATTGCGAGCAGAAAAAGAATAAAACTGTGTGTATATGAGGCACTTTTTGTCTTCGTGATATTGTTGGCAAATCCAGCTCGTAAGAAAAAAAGAAATATCGATAAGTTCTGCAGTACAACACACTCGTTGTTCCCTTATTCTAGACATCAGGCTATTGCTGAATACTGAACACAATGACTATGTTGAAGTTAAGTATGCCTATGCATGCGTATCAATATACTAGATTCACTTTCTGAGTCAAAAGCCAGAGCATGATGCCGGAGTACGTGAGCTATAATGCGAGGGACCTAAATCAGTCGAGTGAGAGGCCAACATAGCATTAATCGTGTTATATCTATCAAAAATTTGGTTCCTATCTGGACCAATCTTGTAAAGATGCAGTGCCTGCAAATAACTCCTAAATCTGCATACTTGATCTGATACCACAATGCTGTACCGAAATATCCGATATAGTCCTCGAACCGAAATGTCTGATATAGCCCTCGAACATATACACCTTGGCCTTAGAAACCGAGCAGAAAGCTGTGCTTGCATTAAAGGTGACCACACTTCTCATACAAGAATCGGCAGTAATCGTCAAAATCTCAATGGTGTTCACTGATGTATTGGATCTGGTCTGAAATGCCATGGTACGCCTGTCTTAAATGACGATTGTCATGACGAACACGTTCAAAGTGCTGATCATCTGTTTGCACTTTTTTAGGTTGCGTAACTGATTTGTACAAATGTTTAACCGCATTCGTTCCACCAGTAGCCGAAGCATTAAAACATCCAGCGATTGCAGCCATAGAAGTCCTTCTGGCCCGGGCAATCTTGTGCGCTGCATCACCAAAATAGCCACCACCGCACACCCCTAAGACTGCATGTGTGTTCAAGTGCGCTGATCGTTCTATTCCTCGTCCTAAAGCATCCATTGCCAAGTCTAAACCTTTGCTTGCATGCGCTTCTGCTGTTCTTAAATGATGTTCACGTACCATTCGTTGAAGTTGAGGATGTCTATGGATACGTACCAATGTACCAGATTCACTTTCTGAGTCAGAGCCAGAGCAGAATGCTACCATAGCAAGTTGCATGCTGACCAACAAGGCAATGAAGATGAATTTGAGAAGAAACATCAATGAAGTACGTGAGCTACAATGCGAGGGAACCGAATTGGTCGAGCGAGAGACTAACTTTGTAATGATCGTGAAGCAAAAAAGACATGTTTTCAAAAATTGTTTTCTATCTACGCCAACTTGATATGTGCAGGACGGCAAAGTAGATAGAAGAGGAAGATGCAGTGCCTGCAAATAACTCCTGCAATCCGCATATTTGATTATACCACGATGCTGTACCACGATACTTCGATATAGTATTCGAACACATACAACGTGGCCTACGAATCCAAACAGAAAGCTGTGCTTGCATTTAAGGCGACCACAAACCTGCCATAAGGATCAGCAGCGAAAGACCAAATTTTAATGATGTTGACTAATGTAATCGATCTGATCCTGCATGCCACGGTAGTCCTCGCGTAATTGACGATTGTCATGACGAACACGTTCAAAATGCTGGTCGTCAGTTCGTACTTTTTTAGGTTGGGTAATTGATTTGTAAAGATGTTTAATCGTATTCTTTCCACTGGTAATTGAAGCATGCAAACATCCAGCACATCCTGCTAGAGAAGTTCTTCTGGCCGTAGCAATCTTGCTCGCTGCGTCTAAGTGACGGCATTCGCACGAATCCACTAACGCATGTAGATTCAGCTCCACTGATCGATCTGCCCCTTTTTCTAGAGCATCCCTGGATAGCTGTATTCCTTTAATCGAATGCAATTTTGCTGTCTGTAAATGGTGATCACGTACCATTTGTTGAAGTTGAGGATGCCTGTGGATGCGTATCAAGGAACCAGAATCACTGTCCGAATCCGAGCAGTATGCTAGCATAGCAAAACGCATACTGAGAAGCAAGACAATGAAGGTCAATTTGAGAAAAAAGATCATTGGAATATCTGTTCAATAACCGAAAGAGCTTGAATGAGTCAAAACATAAGCTTTTTATTTTATCGACGGTCTGTCAATACCAAAGCAGGCAGAACAAATGCTTGTTCCGGAATCAGATTTGCATAGATGCAGTGCTGGAGGTAATCATATGGATCTAGATCCTTGATCAGATAAAGCAATGCTGTGTCGAAATATACCGACCGAGTAACTCCTATGAAGGGAAGCTTTGGATTGCGAGCACTCTTCTAACTTTCGGGGCCTTTTAGCTATTGAACAAACGCGAGTGAAGCTGATCATGTCTGGCCTGTAGCAAGTCACCCAACGGCCATGTCGTTTTTGGATCATTTCCAGAGTTAAAGCGGTCGTCAGCCCATTGTTGATCATCTTGCCAAACCCAGTCAAAATCGGCATTTGATTTGCATGAAAGCTGCTCTTCTTTTTTGTCTTGCTCAACAAGCAGACCACTTTTGCAGTCTTTGACTTTGACCATACATCGTTCGATAATCTGCTTAACATCAAAAGCAAGTAGCCTATGTGAAAGATATGGACCAACGATATTTAACCTTACTGCACTTGACAGAATCGCACGAGCTTGTAAGAACATATGCACAGCCAAGGCTTTTTCCGAAGAATGAACACCCAAGGCGGCCATGAAAGCAGCCCAACAAATTGGTAGATGACCATGACTCGTTCCACGTCGGATACGTAATTTGATCTCTTGCAATAGAGCATAGCCACGTTTGCTGGCTAGGACGGATATCCGATCATCCTTAAGATCTTGTCCGTTCGGTGTAGGTGCAAAAGACTTTGCATATAATGTGAGAAGAGCTATACCTTGTGCTTTACTTGCTCTTTGGGCTACATGATTGAGCATCATCGCATGTAAGGCGATGTCCAGCCTTTCCACCGTATCGGCTACATGCTCAAGTGATGATGATGTATCCGGTGCGGTGGAGTGCATATATCCGTATACGGTTCGATGTACATCTTGCAAGAATCCAGCGATCAAGTGACCGTATGTGTCAAGGGAGGCAGAAATGAAGGCGACGAGTTGGTCAGAGGGAGTGCTTGTACCGTTTGTACTCCATTGCGAACCGAGCATATGTAGTAAGCCATGTGCCCAATATGACTCCAATCCAGAAGAGGCAACAAATCCTCCAGTCGGTAAATTTGAATCTGACAGCACGAGTAAGATGTACTCCTCTAGCGAGCTGTCATCTTTGGTTGGATCAGAAGTGAGATGAGAAGCCATCGCTGAGCTAGGCTTGCTCAGCATGATGGGGAACGATGATCTTAATAAAGATTAACGCGAAGAATTAGTGTTGGTTGATCTCGGGAATGCGGAGTTCGGACGAAGGAAGTACTTCAGTGTTAGCGCTATCACACTCTTTCAACAATTAATGTACAATCAAAATCAAATAAAACAAAAAAGTGTGGAGAAATGCATGGCTTATGACCGGCTCGTATGCCGACTCTGTAATATCTAAAACTTAAATGCAACCATTAATCGTGCTATCCCATCGACTACCAACAGTCGCCTCTTCAAGTATTTCAATCAGAAATGACATCCTCTTCTCGCCCATGGGCACTTGTAACAGGCGCATCAGAAGGTCTAGGTAGAGAATTTGCACGACAAATAGCACAACGTCAAACACACAACCTGATCATCACAGCACGCAGTGAAGCAAAGCTAGAAACACTGTCCAAAGAATTATCATCGCTTGTAGAAGTAAAGATTATTCTTGCTGATCTTTCGGTTAGTGGAGCAGCAAAAAAGTTGGAAGAGCAAACGAAAGAATATGAAGTTGCAATCTTGATCAATAATGCGGGCGTAGCTTTTGGTGGACAGTTTGAAGATATGGAATCTAGTGAAATTCAAACATTACTAAACGTGAATATTGTCAATATGACAGAGTTGTTCTTCCTCTTCATTCCTCGCATCAAAAAGCTAAACGAAGAATATGCAGAAAAACAAAAATCATCAAAGCACGCATTAGCTGGTATCGTAAATCTGTCTTCCGTTGCAGCATATATGCCAATTCCTTCTATGGCAATCTATGCTGCCAGTAAAACTTACATCCTATCCCTAAGCGAGTCTGTCTATCAAGAACAGCGTAATGCAGGAAGTACACTAAGAGTGGTCACTTCATGTCCCGGCTCCACAAAGACGGAAATCTGGACAAAGGGAGGTGCAAATGAGAAAAGTCTTCGAATCCCATTGGATACACCTGAACATGTATGTCAAGCAACTCTTAAAGCTTTGGATAAACCAGACAAGCCAATCATCATTCCAGGTTATTTCAATAATTTGATGGCTTTCGGAAGCGTTCGTCTAACACCAAGAAGTTGGGTTCGTATCATCTCACGCAGAGCTATGGGTCAAGATCCTGCTCTACGTGATGCAGAAGAAGTCAAAGCAGCATTCGCAAAGCTAGGCAGAAAGGCACCAACAAAGTAAATTTTAAACTTTTATTGTTGTACAAGCATTTCGATTTACAGCATGCGATCAAATACGTTACTATGATCTTTCCCCTCTTTCGCTTTCGTCTTCTTTGCCTTCCATATCCTGTACGCCACCCAAGCTATCCCTAGGTAACATCTCCAATGCTTCTTCTTCGTCCCCTTCTTCTTCATCTTCTTGCAAATCTTCCAATCTTCCGCCATCCAAAGCAGACGTTCCCGCTCCTTTTGCTGTCCTTCTTATTCTCCTCCTTCCAAATAATGCTGACCCATCTCCTCCTCTGCCTGCTGTACCGGATCCTATTCCTCCGTTTTGTCTACCCATACAACTTTGTAGTCCGCCAACGAGTTTGGCCATACCTGGAATGTGCGATATGCTTTCTCTGCCTGATGTTTGCGTGGCATAATACATAGGAATACCAGCAGAAATAAACAGCAAAGCGGCCAAAGCTTCTCCCGGGGCGGAAAAGATTGGCATACAAAGTAAGAATAAAGCAACGGCTGAAAATGCAATCGGAGTTGAAATCCAAGTTTGATAAGGTCTCTCTAGATTTGGCTCTTTGATTCGTAAGTAGAGCAGGCCGAGAACGGTTGAGAAGTAAAAGGTCCATGCACATACTCCATAGAAGTTGACCAAGCTGGCGAATCCACTTCCGAACAGCAGGAACAAGTAAATCAAAGATACTTGCAAAAGCAATGCATTCAAAGGTGTTCGTGTCCGGTGATGAATACGTCCGAAAGCAGCGGGAAGATGCCCTTCACGTCCGGCTGCATAGACCAATCTGGCGGTTGTGTACACTTGTCCATTAAGAGCACCAAAGCACGAGAATGCAACAATGAGAGCAAATAGAATGCCACCCGTAGATCCCAATACTGCTGATCCGAAATCCAATGCGACAGTGTTCGTCTGAGACACCAAGTTTGGTGTCAAAACCAAAAAGTATGAAACGACTGTTGTCAAAAATAGAAAGACAACGATACCCAAACTGATATGTATCACTCTTGGCAAATCGCGGCTTACATTTTTCATTTCTCCTGCAACATAGCTTGCTTGATCCCAACCATCGAAGGCCCATAGACCACTATACAAAGCCAAAGCATATGCACCAGGCCCACTTGCTGATCCTTCAAACATGTTTGACAGACTCGAAAATGCAGTCCTAGAAGCATCAGGCATCTTCCCTCTTGCCGTTTGAATTATTGCCAAAATCGGAACGGAAAGCATGATACCAAGCTTTAGTAAAGTCAAAGTCACTTGCGCCCTCATACCAAGTTTAGCGCTTAGAGCATTGAGTGCGGTGACAAGCGTCACGATGGCTATTCCAATAAGTTTGATGCTCCAATCTGGAATACCTTGTAAGCCTTGCTCATGAGGATCTCCCGCTGCTGAAGTTGTGGTATGGTACAACACGCGTGCAACGTATTCGCCAAAGATTGTTGCCATGATAGCTGCTGATGCCGGCTTCAAGCATACGATAGCCGACCAGGAGAACAAATAGCCACTCAAAGGTCCAAAGGAGTAATTTAGATATGCTTGTGATCCCCCATTTAGCGGAATGGCAGCTCCTAATTCAGCGAATGAACTCGCACCAGTCCATGCTAGCACACCACTTGCTAGCCAAACCAGTAAACTGGCACCGATTGATCCAGTATTTAGAGTGACAATTCCAGGTGACGAGAAAATTCCACTTCCTATCTGCAGTCCTACTGTTAATGCTATTCCATCGACTAATCCTACCCTTCTTTCCTCTTTCGCTAATCTGCCCCCTCTTCTTCCCGAACCGGTCCTGGATGATGTCATTTGCTCCGATTGTCCATACCCACCCTCAATCATTTCGCTCGATTCATCGCCATCACCGCCGCTTAGCGATAGTGGTAGTAGATGATCCCGATAGCTGAATCCGACAGATTCCAATGAAGCACGTGCCAAGGAAGATCTTCCGAGAGAAGGTGAGAAGTTTGAACCTGAGGATGATTCCGATCTTGTTCGTTGATGGTTATGCCTAACGTCTCCACTTCTATCACCTTGGTCCTTTCCGAGGCCTACATCATTTGCATCAAAAACCACCGGCCCATCTTCGTCATCGCTGTACTCGTCATGTTTGCCTGTTTGTCGATCTACTTCCAATGATAGACTGCCATCTTCCATTCCATCGAGTGGAGTGGAATGTTTGATCGGCTTCGAGTTTTCCGAAGAAGGTTCATCTGTTACCCCAGCCGAGGCTATGGCAGAACCGACGGGATCGGAAGACATAGATGATTATGATGGTTTGTTGACCCGAAGAACGGGCTTGTTGATAACATTAGGTCAAGAAGTAAGTGCAACACAAATAACACCTTTTTATGATCCTCCATTCAAGACGCGTGCAAATTAAGGGCAACAAGCGGAAGCCGCACTTCTTTTATGGATCAGCTAGTAACCAAAAGTGTCAATTGCCACTATTGTCAATCTTTCTTCTTGACAGCCATTCAGCACAAGTGCTTCTACTTATTGTTGCGGGGATCAGCAACAGAGATGCTTCGAATATGGCAACTCTGCAAAGTCTCTCCGCAGAGGTGATTTTGCGGATATTGGGCCAGGCAAAGGATGCTAAGGATATCGTAAGATTTCGACAGGTGAATAAGCGGATGTACAGTTTAGGTCATGATTCACTCTTGTGGAAGGAACTGTTTATAGATACCTTTTTGACAAATCCAAGCAGTAAGGAAGAGGAGGAAGGAATACGGCCTTCAAAGCGTGCTCGTAAGACGAGTCATGATGAAGAGGACATTCAAACATTACCCGCTCGTGCATTGACGTCTTTGCCTTCCATAGAAGATGACAATGATAGAAGGACAGACTGGCATGCGCTATATCGTATTTCATGGAACTGGAAAAAGGGCTCATTTAACATTCAACAATTGAATGCAGCAATGCAAATGGCTCAGAAGTCCAATCAATCCGACACTGCAAAGTCTAAGCTTGACCTGCCGAATACAATCATTGAATCTACCGAAAAGTATATATTCACTGCGGTGCGGGAACCCACGTCCTCAGCTTATCCTGAAGTCTCAGTGTTTCCCGCTCAATCGCTGAAAAGGCAAAGGGAAACCAATGTCGAAGAAGTTCTTCAAGTAGCAACATATTCCTCATCGAGTCTATCCATTCAGGATAATGCAAGCGTGTCTGCTATTGCCATAGACCGGGAAAATGCCGATACAGATCGGATCAGACTCATTACAGGTTACACAAATGGGCTATTGAGTATGTCAACATTCTGTCCATCTACCAAAGTCTTTCATGAGCTTACATCCTATCGACAGACGCAACATCCAGCTATCGTCACTGCAGCATTTGCTTGGCCATTCGTTGCGACTTGCACTATCGACTTCCGCATACGGATCTATCGCATGAATGAAGAAGATTCTACAACCACTTTCAGACTCCTTGCAGAGAGACGGAGTTACTCATGTCATTGGCCAGCCTGCCTTCGGCTAGAGCGAGCAAAGCAGACCGAAAACACTTTTCGTTTGAGTATCGTATACTCCAATCCGATATATCCCTCAGGCTGGTCGATAGGTTTACAAGAGCTATATTTGGACAACATCGGAGTAATTGACAGTCGATCAGCTTCTGCGAAGCGTTCTCATGTGGTCACAAAGATTGATGCTCCTAGCAAAGCACTTTATACAAAGAACAGCTCGACCCGAACAACTTCTATCGACCAGGTAGGAAGATTGACTAGTCTTTCATACGAGGAGCCTTTTGTGGTCGTTGGAAGTCGAGATAATGGAGTTTTCTGCTTTCGTGTAGATGAGTTGAAGGATGATCCTAACTATGGCTCAAAAGCACTTTCTATTCGCTACCTCAGAACCTTGCACGGACATACGGGAAGTGTTCATAGCGTAAGCTTGAACGGAGGTCGATGTGTAACAGGCGGGAGCGATGGTAAAGTACAAGTGTGGTATCTGGGTGACGAAGAAGTATCGATCGCCCGTGCAACAGGTGTAATTTCGATGTTGAAAGGTCGCATACGAAGTAATCTTGGTAAGGTTACCAGTTTGCGTTTATCGGATGCAAGATCTGAAAGAAAACGTGGTCAGAAGCGTAAACTGTCGGATGCCACGAATAGTGAAGACAGTAGCAGCAACTCGAAGCCGCTCACTCTTGCTGATATCAGGCAGCATCATATTCTTCCCTTAACCAAGTCACCCTTTACCTCACAGCCAATGCATGTGATTCGATGGGTGACAAGCGCTTTTGATCGCATTATCAGTGTAACATCGAATGAACGATACAGACAGGAAGATGGGGAACATTCAGCCATTTTACCATCTTCTTGCAGGGCAGAAGCGCAAAATGAGAAGCAGAATGGAGAGGAGAGTGTTCAAATTTGGAACTTTGCTGCTTGACTTATGTATTATAGACATAGATTGTTTGTATATTACTTATCACCTTTGGCTAAGGTTGTAACAATTCAGTTACACATGTGCTTACAACGAATTTTAGCTTCATTCCCACGCCGCGCAGGACACCATTTGTCGGTTTTAAGAAGATAATGGTTAGTAACAGTTTTGACGCAACCCCCCTCCAGGGCGTGCACGCCCTGGAGCACCCTTGCACGTGGGCTTTTCACGCGTTTTCAGGCAAAGGTGAGTGGTGAATGTTATTGTATTGTGTTTTCATGGTGATCTAGTGATGCTGACATACCGTGGCTTATCAATTACACCACCCCCTGCTTTCAATACTGCATCTTTACAACGAACTAAATCTCTAATGTATTTATCTATAGTGTCTTATGGGAAATCATCCCAGGCCTTTTTGATGGACTCCTAAAGTTCATCAGTATTAGTAACAAACTGACCGCTTGCCCTTTTTTGTTCTTTGATTCCAGCCCAAACCCGCTCAATAGGGTTCAAATCAGGTGACTTGGGTGGGTGATAGGCTCTGTCGATTTGGCAAAGAGCCCGGTAATCGTTGGTATGGTCTGCATTGTGGATTCTGGCGTTATCCTCGACACTTTTGTAGTGATTACCGGTAGTTTCTTGTAGGGCTATCATAAATGGGTGTAATTCCTCTTGAATCACCTCCTCACAATAACGAATTGCATTGATTTTGCCTTTAAGGCGTATAAGCTGGCTTTTATAGCCTATTGTGACTGCACCCCACACCATAATTGCATTACCAAACGGCCTATCCCGTTGTACTAAATAACGAGCGCTCCTTGCAAGCCCTTTTTGCCGGCTTACCTATTTCCTTCTACCGCCCCCACAATCATCGATCATAAATCCTGCTTCATCAGAAAACACCAATAAGCCTAGTTGTGCAATATTAAACCCATTAGCCCACTCTAGGCGTAACGGTAGGTGACGAGGAAGAAGCACTGGTGTAGTAAGTGCTATAAAACGTTGTACTCTAAATACTCTCAAATATCGCTTAATTGTACTGTTGCAAACTTTTGGGTATTGACTGGTATTGTGCATGAAATAAGATAATTGATAATAGGTATAACGAGGATTATTGAAGCAAACCTCGAGTAGGTTTTCTTGCTGTTCTTGACTATACTTGGCCTTTCTTCCCCTGCCTTTTTGGTTGTCAGTTTTGCCTGTTTCTTGCCATTTCTTGATAAGCCGACCAATTGTGCTTACACTTCTGCCAACATCTTTAGCAATTGCTTTGTTTGATTGACCGCCTAAGTGCCTACCAATGATTCGTTCACGATCAATCGATGAGATCTCCCGACGTGCTGTCTTTGCGATCCTAGGCATTTTACCGCAGAATATGGCAAAAGAGCAACACTCATCTTACACCCATATGCACCCATATGCACTAGCGTACAATTTTGCAGAACACGTACATTTCACGCGAAAGCCCACGTGCAAGGGTGCTCCAGGGCGTGCACGCCCTGGAGGGGGGTTGCGTCAAAACTGTTACTAACCATTAGTTCAACGGTTTTGTGCACGGACGTAAAGCGAGAAAAAGCGGGGTGACAACGGTTTCGGATAAATACTTGTTTGATGCCGAACATCTAATAACTCTAAACCTTCATCATTAACACTTAAAAGACTGACCAAAATGGTATTGACCAGAGCATTAATTTCTACAGTTGTTATTGCAATTGGTGTATTCTATCAATTAGCATTGCAACCCATTCTCTTCAACCGATTCGGAGTTGGACGTTCGGTTGAAGCAATCAATAACCAAAATTGCGAAATCATCAAAGAGTTGGAAGCATGCGAAGGTGAGTCCATACCTGTAATATCTGACTCAGAATGCGTTTTGCTAACTTTACTATTCTTTCTAGATGCATGGTACCATCAACCTTCAGGATTGCTTTACTTAGGTTGCTCTACTGTTGCAAATAAACGAGCATGGTTACCCAATGCAGATTTCTTTTCACATGAAAAGTTGACAGGATCCGAATATATGGCAATCCTGGATACGAAAGCAACAGGACCATATTCTAGCCGCATTAAGCGAATCCAAACCCAAAACTTCCAAGGGCATGATGGAAAAGGTACACTTTTGCTCCATGGAATTGGTGCTTTCGTAGGTAAAGATGGTTTAGGTGGAAATGCAGAAGATCAAAGTTTACGTTTATTCCTCATCAATCATCGTGTTCAAGCTGATCCTCATATTCATGGAGCAAACTCAACTGTCGAACTGTTTGAGACTACTTTGGGAAGTGATACAATGACCCACATTAAAACTTTTGCTCATCCACACATCTTTACGCCAAACAATTTAGTACCTACCGGACCTGAATCGTTCTATTTCACAAACGATCACAGTGTCAAGAAAGGATGGCAAAAACAATTGGATCTTATCATTCCTGGTTCTGGTATCGGACATTGTGACGCAAAGGGTTGCAAGATGGTGATCGAGAAAACTCTTTATCCAAACGGACTGGCTGGAGCATTGAATTATCCAAGTAAAGAAGCCAACGTTTTATATCAAGCAAGCACAACTGAAGAATTTGTTTATTCTTATGAAATTCAAGCAGACAAGAGCTTAATTCTAAAGGATAAAATTCGCTCAGGTTATCCAGGTGATAATATCAATATGGCAAGTGACGGTAGCTTGGTATTGGCTGCTTTCGCAAAACTTTTAACGACCGCTGAAGGTTTCAGTACTAAGGATCCAAACCATGTCGTTCCATCAACAGTTGTTCGAATCTCAAAGAATCAAGGAAAAGACGCATTTTACGGCAACAAGTATAATGTTGAAAAGCTCTTTGAAGATGATGGTAACGTTGTGAGCTTCCAAACCAATGCTCAACTCGATTCACAGCGAAATTTATTGTTCTTAAGTGGTGCGTACTCAGTTTCATGTGGCTATTGAAACATGTGCTAACATTCTATCTTTCTCTATCACAGGTATTCTCATGCCATACACAGCTGTTTGCAAGCTTACCGGACCTGGCAAGAAGATTTAAAAGGAGACACAATACTGCAACTCAAACCAAATCTGCTTAAATCTACATCAATTGAATCACTATAAATTATTTCTCCTCCTCTTTGCCTTCTTCTTCGAATTGAACAAGTTCCGTTCCTTCAGCGCACATTGCTCCTTTCTCTACCGCAATCTTGGCTACGACTCCCGCTTTGGGTGCTCGTAAGGTATGTTCAGTCTTCATTGCTTCCAAGACAACGACAATATCACCTTCTTGTACTTCTTGTCCTACTTGAACTCGAACATCAACTACTTTACTTGGCATAGGTGCGATCAAGCTACCTTTTTCTGCCATCTTTGCGCCCTTCACCTCTTCGTACCAATTGGGTGCTACTACGTCTAGCTCGTAATGCGCTCCTGTTCCGTGAACAAACAAGTCTAAGCGCTCTTTCGTTGAGATAGGACCTGAAGGTGCCGCGGAACGAGTGATCACTTTGATATTTGATCGACCAGAAGAAGTTTTGTTGTCATAGCCATTCTCCACAACAGGCTGGACAGTCAGATTTAGACCATCAAATCCTAGTGCAACATCGAATATACCAACGTGCTCGTTTGCAATACTGACTTGGTATCGATTTGGTAGATGGGGTACACGTGTGACTGTTACCGAACTCGTTTCCACTTCTTCCTCTTTTGCTCCATCTGCAGCATCACTTCTCTTTGCCCTTCTTCTGAGTATGAAAGTTGAAGAAGGTATCTGTGCGGATGAATGTCTAAATGAAGAAAACTCTTCGCTGATCCATGGGTTGGATTGTACTTTTGCATTTTTCGATTGTTTTTGTTGGACAGATTGTTCTTTGACTGCTAGGAACAGTGCAGCATGAATTGCCGTCTCTTGATCTGGTGCTTTGTGTGATTGCAGAGGAGGATGTAAGTCCGACTTGTACTTTCCAATGAATCCTGTCTCCAATCCGGATCCATCGATGAAAGCTTGATGTTCGCAAAGGCGAGATAAGAAATCAACATTGGTCTTTGGTCCAACAATATGAGTTTCTTGTAGAGCTGCACGCATCAATCGAAGGGCTTCGAGGCGGTCTCTTCCGTGAACAATAACTTTTGCAATCATCGGGTCGTAATACACACTGACCTCATCCCCGGTTGCCACACCAGTGTCAACACGAACACTTGACAAAGCTTCTACACCTTCACTGTCTCCACTGACAGAGCCATACAGAGGAGGTGGTGAAAGAAGCGCAGTAGTCGGAACGGGAAAAGCAACGTGGCTCAAATGACCAACGTCAGGTAAGAAGTTGGCACGGGTATCTTCTGCATAGATACGTGCTTCAAATGCATGACCGCGTTTACCAATCTGATCTTGACGTAGCGGCAAAGAATTACCTGAAGCAGCTTCTAATTGCCATTCCACCAAGTCAATCCCACTAACCATTTCTGAAACAGGATGTTCAACTTGCAAACGTGTATTGCATTCCAAGAACCATGCTTCTCCCGTATCGGCATCCAAGATGAATTCTACGGTACCTGCTCCTTCATACCCAACGGCTCGAGCGGCAGCTGTTGCTTTATCGCAAAGGTCTTTTTCGACCTCAGGAGACAGATGAGGTGCAGGTGCTTCTTCGATGATCTTTTGATGACGTCTCTGAACACTGCAATCGCGCGTGCTGATAGCAACATGTTCGTTGAAGGGTGCACCTGATGATACGATCTGCACTTCAACATGTCTCGGTTTGGTCAAGTATCTTTCAATCAACACATCCCCATCTCCAAAAGACGTCAAAGCCTCTCTTCTTGCACTCTGTAATTGTTCATCGAATTCTTCCGCTTTTGTCACGATCTTCATACCTTTCCCACCACCTCCTTTGACGGCTTTGATCAGAACTGGGAAGCCAATCTTTTGAGCTTCTTCCTTTAGCTTGACATCGGACTGATCACTTCCATGATATCCTGGCACGCAAGGCACTCCAGCCTCAGTCATGATCTCCTTTGAAGCACTCTTTGAGCCCATGGAGATGATCGCTTGAGCAGGAGGTCCAATGAACTTAATTCCAGCAGCATGTAAGTTGTTTGCAAAATCTGCATTTTCAGACAAGAATCCATAGCCAGGATGAACCATTTCTGCACCCGTTTGTTTGCATATTTCAATGATACGATCCATACGTAAATACGATTCAGCCGAAGGTGCAGGACCGATACAGTAAGCCTCATCGGCCAAGAGAGCATGCGCTGATCTTGCATCTGCTTCACTGTATACGGCTACGGTTCGGATTCCTAGCCTTCTACATGTTCGAATTACTCTGCATGCAATCTCTCCACGATTTGCAATCAACACTTTGCTTGGTAGAGGATTCCTTTTGGTTGCATTTATTTGATGTCCTGGAACGGTTTCAGCGTCACTTATTGTCGTCGTCATTACTGAACGATGCTGTACAATTCTGTTTGCATAGATTTGAGACGACCTCAACGTAGACAGGTTGGAGGTCTGATATTTATTCATAGCACCACCCGCAGGCGAGGCAAGAGTTGCATTTGGGCACCGATTGATTGCAGTTACCATCACACGAGAAGGTACGCCTTGAGGCCATACTCTTGTTCGGGCATTTAGCCTTGCCCGTGAGATCATCTTTGCGAGATGGAGATGGATGCGAGAGGCAAAGATTTGTGTAGAATGGGTGGGCTTCTTACCGTTTGACCAAAAGCTTGTATATAGCTTGGGAGTAAGGTCACTTCCCCGCACTTGTCTTTGTCTATTCGGGCAGTTCGGCCCCGTTTCCGTTCCGCGTTTAAATACAAAATTAAGCTCAATTAGAACAACAACACGTGCAATTTTAGAAGATTACCAATGCTCAAAAGTGACACTCTATCCTTTGCTCACTTTCAACAACACCTCTTCTCAACATGACATCCAAATCAAGCAAAAATGCGTCTGATGGTGAAAAGATTAATGTCTTGTTCGTCTGTTTAGGTAATATATGCAGAAGTCCATTAGCCGAAGCTGTATTTAATCAAATGGTGGAAAAGAATGGTTTATCATCAAAGTTTGGACAGATTGATTCTTGTGGAACGGGTGCTTATCATGCAGGAGATGGATATGATGATAGAACGATTGCCGTTTGTAGACAGAATAAGGTACCTATAGATGGTGTTTCACGCAAAGTTCGAGCGTCTGATTTTGTTGAATTTGACGTCATCTTTGGAATGGATGCCAATAATGTACGCAATTTACAACAATTGAAACCGAAATCAAGCAAAGCAGAAGTGTATCTATTTGGTGAATTGTGAGTAGAATGTATGCGCCGTCCAAGTACATATGAACTAATCTTCTCACTTCCCTCTCTCTACAGTGATGATAAGAAGCCGATTCAAGATCCATACTATGGCGGAGATCATGGCTTCCAAGCTGCCTACAAGCAATGTGTTCGATATTCTCAAGCTTTCCTTGATCATTTAGGATTCGAAACATCAAAGATTTGATAGGGATTCACACAAATGTATTTTTAGTAATAGATGAGAGGATATATGATTTGATTATATAAAACGCGAAGCCATTGATTCCAATTCCGCGCCCGCTACTTGGCTGTTGAAGGATGTATGCAACGTGTGCAAGCTAACAAACAACACGATTGAATCTCGCCGAGCAAAACCAATACCTCGCCCCGCACTCAAGTGGGGTAATTAAACTTGACATACTTTAGCCGTATGAATGAATGCTGCATATCAATCAATCAAATAGATAGACTTTAGGTCTAAAATAGAGAGGGTCTCTTTAGCGAGTTTGATCATAGAATTACACCGACGAAAGTATTCGTATCCTCTTTACCATCATCGTGTGTGACCTACAAACATTCAGATACTCATTCCCCACTCTCGCATTAGAAACCTTTTTTCATCATGTCACGCGATAAACATGAACATGATAGCTCAACTAGACGTCTGGCTGCCATTGCAGGTCAATTAGGCAGCGTAACATCTTCCTCCGTTCAAACCATCGCTCGTCGTCCTATGCCTTCTTCGAGACCACAAAAAGAATGGCGTCATCTTCCAACATTCAAAGAATTACCAAGAGAAGGTGGTTTCCCCGGTTGTGCATGGAACGTTTTCGGAGCAGGTGATCAATTAGGTACAGTGAACTTGTTAACAGATCATGTGATCGCAAGAACAGCAAAAGAAGAAATTCGTACAGGTCATGCGATCTCACTTAATTGGCCAATTCATTTACCCCTCACACCTTTCTTCGGTCGTCGTGCTGCTCAACATAAATTATTGGCGAGACGTGCTCATGATTTCGCTGAACGAAGGGAAGCTGTTCAAGATACAATGAAACGTAAAGGATACCATGTAGAAACAAGAACCGAAAACGATGATCCATCTCAAGGTCCACTTTCCGATGATGAATTACACATTAATACCCAAAGCGGTACGCAATGGGATGGTTTGCGTCATTATGGACATATCTCACTCAATTGTTTCTATCAAGGTATTCCAAGAAAGGATATCCATTCCACCTTCGACCAGAATGACCATACACAAAATCCATATGCAGACGTCAAATCACATGCAGCTCAATTGGGCATTCAAAATTGGGCACAACATGGTATCGTTGGTCGCGGTGTTTTGTTAGACGTTTGGGGTTATCTATGGCGCAAACATGGTCGTCAACCTTATGATCCTGTTTCAACTCATGCAATCACTTTGGATGTCTTGAAAGAAGTTGCTCGTGCTCAAGGTGTTCGATTCCGTCAAGGTGATATTCTCTTGATTCGTGCCGGATTCGTACAAAGGTATCAGAGTTCAACCGTTCAAGAACGTGAACAATGGGCCAAACAACCTGCTCCAACACTTGCAGGACTTGAACAAGGCGAACATATGTTGGAATGGATTTGGGATAATCATTTCGCAGCAATTGCCTCTGATCAACCTGCTTTGGAAAGATGGCCTTGTCCAACTGGATCTACCTTGTTGCACGAAACGCTATTATCGCTTTTCGGTATGCCAATCGGTGAAATGTTTGACTTGGAAGAACTTTGTATGCACGCCCAACGTACACGAAGATGGACATTCTACTTTAGCAGCTGGCCAATGAACATTTACGGTGGTGTAGCCTCACCCGCAAATGCGTCGGCAACATTCTAAATTTTCGGCACAATTCTCATCAGATATACTCTATACATATTGCTGTTGTATAAATGCCAATGAAAAAAGTACATGCTTATCAATTGACAAAATGTCTATGCTTTAGTTTCTTCTTTGATTTCCAGCGCAGCAAGTTGATCGCCCAGATCTGACATTTGCTCTTTGAGTTTCAACAATTTGCTAACCTCTGTATCGACTTCTGCAGAGTTGTTTGCATTTCCACCAGCTTTCTTTGCTTCTTCTTTCAACTTCTTTACCACATCTCCTTGTTGCTTTACCTGCTCTTCCAAAGCAATGTATTCGGGAGTTGGGTTCTTCACTTTAGGTTCAGCTGCCTTTTTTGCTGCTTTGGCCTGTTTGGCTGCTTGCTTCTTGCTGATAGCCGGCTTTGCATCTGCACCAGCAGCAGCTTTTGCATCTTGTTCTCCACCAAACATTTGACGCCATTCATTTTCCTTCTTTTCGTCAATACGACTGAACAGATGGGCAGGCTTGTTGATCTTGTGTCCAGGTAAGAGATCCAATGCAAATGATGCTTTCAAAGGTCCCTTTTCACTTGCAATACTTTGTTGTTGATCTGCATCAATCACTCCACGATCTTCGACGGGTAACAGACGTGGATTTGCGTCAAGTTGTTGACAAATCGAATCAGTGGTATCGGGCATGAAAGGATGGAAGACCGACGACAAAACGTAAATCAAATTGACGGCCAAAAGCATGGCTGCATCACAATCTGCCTTTTTGTCGTTGAAAAGTGCATTGTCCAGACGTACTTCAGACAAAAAGACATTACCTCTCTGACTAATTTGCATGGCCGTTAGCAAACCAAGACGAAGCTTAACGGCATCCATAGCTGTGGCATAATTTGCCAAAAGGTCATTGACATCTCGGATGAACGTTGAGATCGGATCTGTGGCATCCTTGTTTACCGCCAAAGGTGCTGGTCCAGCTTGCAATCCTTTTCCTTCCGGAATAGACGGTAGCGTAGAATCATATTTGGCAGCCAAGAATTTTAGTGTTCTGTTGACAAAGTTTCCCAGATTGCTCAACAGCTCATTGTTGTTTCTTGCGATAAAGTCACTCCAGCTGAAAAGCGAATCACCAGTCTCGGGTCTGTTGACCAAAAGGTAGAATCGCCAAACATCTGGCGGAACGCCAATCGAGCCAGCTTTGTCACCGAACACACCAATATTTCGAGACTTTGAGAATTTGCCTGATTCATACTGAAGGTAGTCAGTTGTGTTGATGTGGTGCAGCTTCGTCCAAGTCTTTCTTGTACCAATCAAGCATGAAGGGAAAATGACAGTGTGGAATCTGACGTTATCCTTTCCCATGAATTGGAAAAGTCTTACGTTCTCTGGATCTCTCCACCATTTCTCCCACTCGCTCGTGTAATTTGCTGTGATGGAAGGATATCCGATCGGAGCATCGAACCACACATACAACACCTTCTTTTCGAAGCCTTTCAGTGGCACTGGAACACCCCATTTAAGATCACGCGAAAGACTGAAAGGACGTAAACCTTCCTTGAACCAACTCTCAGTGATGTGTCTAGAATTAGCACTCCATCCTCCACGTGTAGCTGCATCCCTTGCCCAATCTTCTGTCTCTTTTTGTAACGAGTCGATACGCAAGAACATATGTGTGGAATCCTTTTGGACTGGTGTAGAATTGCAGGTTTTGCAACGGGGTTGAATGAGATCAACAGCGTCTAGCAATTGACCGCATTTATCGCATTGATCTCCACGTGCATCATCATAACCGCACTTTGGACATATACCTTCTACATATCGGTCTGCCAAGAAACGTTCGTCTTTTGGACACCATAGTTGACGCACATCTCGTTCTTCCATAAATCCATTATTGTATAAATCCAAAAAGATCTCTTGACAAATCTTTGTTTGGGCAGGAGTTGTTGTGCGACCGAAATGATCAAAACCGATTTTGAACCATTTATATACTTGAGCATGAAGAGTGTGATATTTGTCTACCAATTGTTGCGGCGTAACACCTTCCTTCAATGCTTGCGTTTCTGATGCTGTTCCATACTCATCTGTACCACAAACATAGACTGTGTTGCGACCTCGAGAACGTGAATATCTTGCATAACAATCAGCACTCAAAGTTGATCCTACAATATTTCCCAAATGTGGCACATTATTGACATAAGGTAAAGCTGAAGTGATTAAAACATTCTTCTTTCCAGGTTCGGGTAAAATGATTGGTCTTTCTGAAGCAGGTGTATCTTCTGATGGTCTTGTTGTTTTGATCAGGATATCTCTGCTGGAAATTCTTCTTGTGGAAGACTCCGGTAACGTGACCGGGAATGGTGATGCCATTGCGATTGGTTTGTATTACCGCTCTCAAGATGATGGCACAAGACACATGTATGTTTTAAGAAGATCGTCCACCAGTCATGACTGTGCTTCGTCTATTTTTCCTTGACTCCTGTGCTAAGGTGCCTAAAAAAGTTTAATTCTCCCATCACGTGAATTTGGACAAACCAAGCGTTCTCCAAGGCATTCTGTCTTAAAATGCCCTGGCTACATGCTAAATCATGCTCAACATGGCTTTTGTTCACAGACACACACACTCGTTCGATGGTATAAATTACATTAGATTACACATAAAAACACAGGAGTTTTGGTATTATTGAGCTATGTACCTCAATCCGCCTCCTCCTCCTCTTCCTCATTGTCATCGTCTTCTAGTCCCACGCAGACCCGCGTACCGCGAATGTCGACCAGCCACTCAGGAAGTCCCTTTGTCGTTTGTCCCACGTCAGAGGAAGCTAGCTTCTTCTTGACTGCGCTCGATTCAAACTTTTCTCCATCCAAGCCCGCTCTAACCAATTTACGCAGACCTGCCAACACGTGAGTACCATCAAGTCGAAGCTGAATAGGTGATTTACGTAAATCTGATTTGGTCAAATCGCCATATCCGTTCATTTCCGGCATCGGTAGGATTAGATCGTACTTTGTTCTTTCAAATCGAGGCAAATCCTCAATTGCTATCTCGTTTGCCTGACCATCGACCGATCCGCTTCTTTGTACCGACAACCTTTCATCCTGCCCAAAGAGTTCATTCACTTCTCTCTCTCGCTTCTTCTTTTCTGCCTCTGATCTGCTTGCTTGCATTTTTTGCTCTCTAGGATGCTGTATGTGAGAATTTGCCTCAGCACTCGCTTCAGCATTAAGCTCATCCCCTGCACCGTTGAAACGATCTTTTTCATGCCTAGCTATCTTTTCGTATAATCCACTCTTGTCATCTCGTTTTCGTTTATCCGCTCGTACCAAAGGTCCATCTTCTGCTTGATTTCGATCCATCGCTTTACCTTTGCCTGCTTTCAGACGAGATGACATCACATCACCATCCAATACATGATATTCGTTCACTAAAACTTCACGAAGCGCTAAAGGATCACGACCATGAAGTTCGCCCAATATGCCTGTTTTGTATTGAGTATGATCCGAGCCGGATCTCATTCTGGTTGCGTTGTGTAAAACCTTTTGTGCGCCAAAAGCATGAGCAATGGCGGTAAACAACATCTCTTTTTCTTCTTGTCGATTAACTCCAAAATATCCAGAAACGAGACACCAAGGTGTTTTTGGTATATGTAAGATATTCAATCCATAATTGCAAACACTAGTTGCCGATTCGCAAGAAACAATTCGTATCCTTGTGAATGATTTTGTCCAATCTTCTTCTGCTCGTTTCGTCTCGGTAAGGGAAAGCATCTCAGCTGCTTTTGTTGGTGGTGTATCGAGGAAAATAGAATGGGAACAATAATTACTCAGTTCTTCGGATATCCGCTTCACCAGTTCAGCAGGTGTAATTGTTTGATACAATCTATGTCTTGAGGAATATGCATCTTTTTTTCCCAAAAGATTTTTCACCTCTTCGCCATCACCATAATCAAGACAACAAGCGTTCCATTGGTAAAGCATGCGATTCCATCGAGTTGTTTCGAAAATGATTGATGCGATCATCGAATAAGTGATCCCTTCTGGCCAGTCGAAATCAGTCAAACGCTCTATAATTCGGTTTCGCGTTAGACTTGATTTCCAAATCTCTTCTAATTCCTCATACGTTCTTGCTCTCATCCCTTCCCGATAGTCTGAATTGAGTGATTCTTCCTGATCTAACGAGACACTATTTCTTGCTCCCTGTTTCATACGTACAACACCATCTTTTGCTGAATGTTCTGACACATTTGATCCTTTCAATCGAGGAGGTTGAATGCTTGCAGTTGGTGCATGTTTTGAATCCCTTATCCAACCAAGAACGAGTGATTGTAGTTTTCGATGGTCTATGCTGTAAAATAGCTTATGCAAGGCTGGACAAGGTTTGAGTAATGTTGAATCGGGGTATACCGACATCAAAGTTGGCCTTGAGATATTTGTCTTTTCAACCATCTTTCATGTTGGCGATATGGTATGATGTTAATGAAGCAAGAATTCAAAGCATGGTTATGAAAGTGTTGTTGTTGTGTTGGGTGCATGACACGTGCTATTTACGCGTTTATTCATAGACTGGATCAGTCAACGCGTCTGTACCTTTACATGCTGCATACAAAAGTAACACTCTCTTCTCCTCCATCCAACCCTTACGATATGAGGTGAAGTTCATCACAATGACAACACTCTTACAATCACATCAAACACCTTTTCATCCTCCGCCACTTGGAGGAGCACCTTCAGAAAATCAATTCGGATTTCCAATCGAAACAGACGATGTAATTATACAAACGTTGGCAAAAGTTGGAATAACAGATGTAAAAGAACACGATATACAAAAGCCCACTCAACAAATCGCATTAACATGTTTTGCTGCATTTTTGGAATTACTCTCGTATGTCAATGATGAAGTAATCGACACACTAAAAGGTGATTGCCTCGATAGGCTCGAGCATCGTGAATTATATGATGATTCGCTACGCTTCATCATCCGATTCAGAGAAATACGTGCATTGATGATCGCATCATGTGTACCAGATTTCAATATAACCGATATTACCAGGCCAAAACCAAAACGATTCAAGAAACAGATATTCGCACTTATCAACTTTTTACGTTTCTCAGAACATCATATTCAACACTTTGACAAATTGAAAGAAGATAACGACCACATCTTCAGGGAGCGTGATGAGTTATCGTCTAAACTTGCCAATGTGGAAGAAAAGGTGAAAGAGGAGGAAGACCTACGAGCATCCCAAGAAGAAAGAACGATGGAATTGCGAGGTATGAACGCAAAGTTGAGCGAAACTCTACGCAACCTCAAAGACGAACAATCGAGCCTATTGAATGAGCTAGACGATGCAAAGCAAGACAAGAACGTCGCTCACTCCAAACTTCTGAAATTGATCGAGACAAGTCGTTTATTGAATGAAGAGATTGAACGGTTTACATTACGAATCGAGAATACACCAAAAGAGTTACGTGCAATGATCGAAAAGCAAAAGAGACAATTGAAGGAAAAGAGAAGTGCATATGCTGAAGAAGAGACAAAAGCGCAAAATATGCATGAAAAGAAACGAGTACTGGAAATTCTTGAATCGGATATTGCAACATGTGCTCAATTGGTGAAAGCATGTTTAGAAGAGAATACGAAGCTAATCAGAGAAAGACAAGAATTGGATAACGTTCATCATGATATGCATGATATGTCGAAAGAACGTGATAATCTCAACATGCAAATCGATCAATTACAGGAAAAGCTTCGTTGGGCAATGGAAAGGTTGGAACGTACACAAAAGAATATCGAGACAAAAAGAGAAGAGAACAAACGAAGAATGGAAAACGGTGCGGAAGAATGGGAAGGCGTTCAGGCTGAAAAGAAACGAAGAACAGATGCTGTTGATCAATTAAACAAACAATTGGCCGGTCTGGAAGACGAATACGCACAGATTACCGCTGAATTCGATACATTCTACAGCGAACTTCAACAACAGAAACAAAAATTAGAAACGCAATGTCTAGGCTACATGAAAGCAATCTCCAAAAAGATGGATCTACAGGTCGATTTGTAATAATAGTGTATATGATTTTGTAATAATACAGAGAGCCCTTTTTCCTTTTATCCTTTATCCAGATATTTTATCCATTAAACTTTGCCAAAATGCTGGGTCATAAGAAGCTGCGTTGATGCTGTTCTGTGCAGGATCAGAATTTGGATCAACGAGCGATGATCCGTCAAAGAAGGAATTCTTCATCCCTGGAGGAATACCTATTCCAGCCAATTGTGCCGAAATATCCGTTCCGCTCATCGAAGTTGATGTTGCAGGATTAGTGAAATTAGTTGATCCCATGATCGACTGATCTTGCTTTGACTTAGATGAAGCAGAAGGTTGTTGTACTTGATTTGATTGATCGTTGTTTGAATTATTGCTATACGATGGCATAGGTACAGTAGACCAAGGTACGCTTGAAGATTGTGCTGAATTCATCAAAGGTGGTGGTGGAAGAGGTCCCGTATTGGATGCGCCTCCGTTCCAACTTCCTTGTGCGGCCGTATTTGGACCATCCGAATTTGTGTCAAAAACGAATGGAGATATCGAAGTAGGATTGCTTTCGTTTGCTGCAGTAGGAAGACTAGATGCGTTCGACAATCTTTGAGCACCGGTACCCAAAGCATCCACGTCGATATTCTCGAACGCATTATATCGGAACCATGATTCAAACATTTGAAGTACCGAAGCGCCATTCGCATCATCTGTAGAACCTGAAGAGCTGGTGTTCATCCCATTCGTTGTCATCGGAGGGGTGTGATTATTTGTTGCACTGCTATTTGAAGATGCTAATCCATAAGGACTTTCGTTTGAATTATTATGATGTGGCGTTCTCATTGGCAAATAAGGCCAAGGTAATCCTTCATCTTTTCCTTGATCTTTAGCTTTGCGCTGTTCCAGTGCTTTATTACGTCTTGCATCAGCACCTTGATTTAGATCCAACAAAACGGTTGCAGTATCTTCTTCTTTGCTTTGACGTTGAGTTGGACTTTCTACAAAGTGAGCCTGTTCTCCATCGGAAGGCAATAGAGAGGATTGAGGTCCAAGCCTACTATTCTTTTTCGGTCTATGATCTTCAACACTGTCTCCTTCATTTCCACGCTTTCCACCCAATCCTCTGTTTCGATTTGCTTTTGCTGCACGAGCTTCATCGATTCTTTCAACGAATAACCGTAAGATTGTAAATTCACGTTCTTTCGTTTCGTCATACGTGCCTCCCATCCTTTTGCGTTTCAAGAGTTGTAATTCATAAAATGCTCTAAGAGGTCTTAAGAGCATATCTGCATTCTCTGCGTCAGGTTCCATCAGCAAGTAAATACCCAAAATGACAATTGCACTTGTTGTGTTGAATGTTCCCAAATGACCTACCCATGAAGGTGGATTTTCTCCCTCTCTCAATCGGCTATAAATTGTCCTTGTTAAATCGGCCCTTAACTTTAATGTTTGATAAGCAGCTTCAATGCATGACCTACGACTAAAGTTGTACCGATGATGAGGATGGTGATGATGTTGATGCGCTCCTCCCTTTCCAGCCGACCCGCGATAAGATGGACGTAAGAGGTAAGATCGATGAAGCGACATCCGAATGAACAATAATTCAGCCTGTTGCAAATACCGATGAACGGGAACGAATTCATACACACTGTCCCAATCTGTGTTGACATTGCGAACTTCTCCTGCGGCATCAAACTCGGAACGAAGATGGCCGGCAAAGGTCTTGTGAAGTGCATCGAGCTCATGATCAATAGCCACTACATCACTATAGTGGGCTGGAGTCTGGACATTTTGATATATTCTGACCACCTTTCCCATCACGACTGCAAGTCGTGATCGTACGCGGGTGAACGTGAGGAACCTTGGCTTTTCTCCTGGAGGTATCTTTGCTCCAGGTAAAACCTTCATATATTCGTCAAATTCACCGGTAGGATCCGAATCATCCACTAATTCCGTATCGACCACATTATCATCGATTGCCGTCGGACGACCTAAGTTCATACAGAGTATTCGATCTCCGAAATAGACGATAGACCATATCCTTCTGCGTGCTGCAATTTCTTCGCTTGGTAAGCCTAGGATGGAACCATCTCGATGCAGACCGATACTCAAAGCTGATCTAACGCCATTCGCTACACAAGACCAAGCTTCAGATACTCTTCTGTCTAAGAATAGATAGCGACCGGCCAAATGGAAGGCAACGACTTGTTGAATGTCTTCCCTACCCAGCATCGTACTGATCAAAAGACCTTGACGAGCAGCAAAGAACATCCTTTTCGTAGTCAATCGGATTATACGAGGATCATCTGAGACTTTTAGCCTTCCACGATAAGTGATAGCTCCGATCGCGGCTGCCAACATAAATGTAGAATAAGCATTGATGTTGTTCACGTGTAAGATTCCACCATTTTGCCAAAATCTTTCGTATGTTTTCATCATTCGCTTTCGACTGAGCGGTTGTCGTAACCAATTGTTGTGGACGAAAAAGTGATCAATCAATTCATCGAAAAGCTCACGTGGCGGCATAGCAGATGTCAGTACTTGTGAAATGCTAAATGTAGCACCTAGTTCAAACATGACGGCATCCAATTGAGCTGCTCCTTCTATGTGTGCCATAGGATCTGTGACCAATAAAGGATCTCGAAAAAGAGCGCCTTGACGATCTACTGAATCGGAAATTAGTGAATTGAATCGAGCGTCCATTGATGATCCAGCGGGTATTGGTCTTTCAATTTCATCTGATTTTGGGAAAATGACGACTTCATCTCCAGCTTCGCTTCCTTCTGCTTCCTTCTCAGCACTGTCATACTTTGCAGCGTTTGAATTTATTTGATCACGCCAACTGGCTATCCCATTCGAATGCGCCTGTGCTTGCTTGCCTTTCGGTATTCCTACCCTACCACTCGAGTTAACAAGAGTATTGACCATGGAGAACATCCGTTCAAAATTATCATTAACGCTTTGTTCCAATCTAGATACTCTCGTTGTTAAATCGTTTGGATCTTCTCCAGGTTGGAATATTTTGCATCTTTCCGGTATCTTTCTTGCGATACAATGTTGACAAGGTGTTTCACGATTACATTTCTGTTTTCTTCTACTGCATTCTGTACATGAAAAGTGTACCCTTTGTCTTTTAATGCCACTTTTGCTCGTATTACTAGGAGAAGCAACGGATTTATTCATCTTTTGACCTCCTCCACCTTTATTACCTGAAGATGGTCCTGCTTCCTCGCCATCTGAATTGGATGCAAATGATTGGGTTTGACTGTCATCCATGGTTTCTATTAGAAGTGATGTGATGATATAAGGGCAAGTATGATGATTGATTTTCTGATTCGAATTTAATTCAAGCAATCTTCTGATTTCGGATTTGTTCGGCTTAGGGATGGGGAGTAATAGGATGACTCTTGTTTGCTCCTGAAAAGATGATCTGACAAGTCCTATGGTTGAAAAGGTTGCCCAGTTGCGATCAATTGAGTGATTTGATGATGACAGTAAGATGTAAGCTTGGTCTATTCGACCAATAAAATGTTCTCTGATAGTATGACTCCCCTGTCAATTCCCACACATGCATAATGAATTGGATGACACTAGCGTGAACAGCCTTTGATTTAATAATGAGAATGCCCCGAATTGTAAAAGCGGGCCTCTACTAAGCGTTTGGAAAGTGATCGGTGAATTCCATATTCTTAACACGTGCAATAAATAAATTTAAAAAAGTTCAGAAAGTATAAACCTAGAATAATCCTTCTGGGGTTCTCCAACAGCAGCATTTCTATCACGATAACTACTTAAGCCTCAAAGATGGGATTGGCAGAAGTCAAAAGAAAGCAAAGACTGGTAGGCTCAGCCCAAACAAAGAATTCAGCATGGTCGAATGATTCTTCTTTACCGGGTCAAAGGTTGTTGGCTTCGATGGGATGGTCAGCAGGTCAAGGAATCGGTCAAAGTAAAAGTGGAATGGTTGCTCCTGTCGCTGTCGCTTTCAAGATGGACAACAAAGGTATTGGGGCACAAAGACTAGAACGTGAAGCAAGAGCGTCTGGACAAGCAGATGCTTGGATAGGAGGAGGAGGAGAATTGGGCAGCTTATTCGATAGATTAAATGCAGCAGCTGCCAGCTCTGCTTCCACATCCACCAGTACTGCAGTGGATGAGGAAAAGACAAAAAAGGAAGAAAAGGAAAGACGGAAAGCAGAAAAGAAAGAAAAGAAGAAAGAGAAAGCAAAAGAGTTGGACAACGAGAAAAAGGCAATAGAGCAAAAATCTGCCAGTACTCCCGTCATGATCAATCCAAGAATGGCAGCTAGAGCAAAATATCTAAGAGCAAAGCGAATGGTCGGCAATGATTTGAGCAGTATCAATGAAATCCTCGGAATAGCATCGCCTTCAGGATCAAATTCGCCTGCGCCTATTGCATCACCCGCACTTTCACCCAAACCGGCCGATCTATCGAGCGAAGAAGGGGAGACAACAGAATCTGAGCGAAAGAAAGAAAAGAAGAGAAAGCGAGAAGGATCAGAGATTGATGATAAGGATGGCTCAAAGAGCTCATCAAAATCCGACAAGGAAGAGCGGAAGAGGCGGAAGGAGGAAAAGAAATTGGCAAAAGCAAGCAAAAAAGAGGAAAAGCGAAAGACCAAAGAAGACAATACCTCACAGCCAGCCTCAGTAGTCGTGCAAGATACTTCCGATCCATCTTTCAGTGCCAGTGGAGGAGGGAATCGGGTTTCCTCTTTATCGGTGCAGCAATATCTCTCCAATAAGCTGATGTTGCGAAAAGCAGAAATTGTACGCAAGCGTCGATTGCAGGAAGAAGGCGTTTGGAGTAGAGCAGCAACCGTTCAAGCTTGATCTTTTTCTCTATTATGCATTGTGAATCTTCTCCCCGAGCTGCACTTACTTGCTCGCCCCGTTGTGTGATGATTTATTAGTTTGCGTTCTCACAAAGGCTCTATCGGGGTGTCAAGGCATGCTTTTTGCAGTCACAACAAAGTAGCTCGATCTCGTATATTAATCGTTCAATCAGCTCAGTAAACTTTCAGTGTACTCTCATCACACTGTTGATAGACTACAAGTCATGTCACGTATCATTGTTATTCATTTTGCTGCCTTGCTTCTTCTGTTCTTGTTCGGATTGGGAACTTTAGCAATGAAGGGCGACAGAATTGAAATGTTGGATGGTTCACATAAAAGACTTTCAGCCAAGGCAAATACTCCTAACCCTAATCTGGACAATCTTTCGGTGCATGGAAAAAAAGTTGAGAATCTTCTGACAAAGCATGATAAAAGCACAGTAGTACACGACAGAGTTTTCGAGTCTTGGTGGAATCATGCCGATGCAGAAAATAATCGCAATCGTGAACACTCAACAATGAACATGCACGCCGAAGAGATTGAATCACATGAGAAGAAGAAAAAATCAATCATAGGTCGAGTGCGTTCAAAGATACCTATTCTCTCAAAGAAAGATGAGCAAAAGGGGATCGCTTTACATCAGAAATTCAATCATGCTAAGCAAAAAAAGGATAAGTATAGACAAGTGATGCGAGAAGTTGCATCAGATGCCGCAATTCATCATAAAGCGGGTAATTTCGTGGACCATGACGTGCGATATGTGACACAGATGAACTTTGATAATTCTTCTGAGCTAGGCTATCGAAGTGATGGACGTCATGTTACAACTGCTCCAAACTCTCCGCCTGGCTCGCCAAAACTTACGAGAAGCGGCTCAGGATCGTCTCGCAAGACCGTTGGTACCTCTACCTGACTTTATAGTATTGCTATGTATCTTTCGTTTACCAAATTTCTTCTTTTTTGATCCTGTTATACTAATGTTTATCAATTCCCTGTTTAAGTTTTCGCTCACCCTGACTCTTATTGTCGCAGTCTCTACTGTGTGAATTCAGTTACAATCCTCGCCTCCACTGATTATGTTGTTTATATCAACCATTCTTCTATTGATCTGAAAGCGATTAATCGAATAAAGAAAGCCACCCAGCAAATGCACTTTATATAGCAATGTCGAAATTATACGGCATCGCATTTACAGCTCAAGGCACGCAAAGGAGTATTTATTTTGATAAAAGAACTAATAATGACAAATGATGATGATATTGAGAATGCATGATAAAAGAATCGCTTAAATCGGATCACATGTAAACGAGCTTCCGACTGTTCCTGAATTGAACGAATCTTTGATACTGACCACAGATCCGTAAAATCCTCCAACCAAAACCAAAAAGCCCATTGCTATGCAGAGCGTGTTCATGATCGTAAGTGTGGTATTCTTTAGACTGCTAAAGCAACCACCTTTACGAATTACTTTAAGCCACAACAATCCCGGTAGATAGATACTAAATCCACTGATGAAAAGCGAAGAGATAATACCTAGCAAAGAAGAGAAGAAAGGAATGGCTTCTGCGATCACCCAAGCAATCACAGTTACAATACCGATCATCAAAAGCCAAACGGACCAACCCTTGACGGTGTTTACGTACTTGATAACACTCTTTTTGAAAAGACGATCCATCAAGAAACGACAAACTGTGACTGTATTGATAGAACCGGAAATGAAGATGACGGGAAGTGCGATTCCGAATGCGATCTTTGAAATTAGCTTTCCTGCCGAGAGCAAAGCTGGACTCGCTACACTCTGACCAACGAAAGCGTATCCAACAGCACCTGTGACGGTGTAAATGACGATTTCCGTTAAACCAAGAACCCAAATTGATTTAGGAAAATCAGTAGGGGTATGCATTTCTTCCATAAAGCTGAATTGACAAACGGCAAACGAATAAGCAAAGACAATGTTTGTAACAGCAACCATTGCGCTTGCAAAATCAGTTTCAGGTGGCGGTAGAGCACGCCAATCGACCGAAGAAAAGCCTTCAGGTGCTTTCTTTGCTTTAATACCGGTGGCGATCAAGGTGATTAGGATAGCAGCAATGATTGAAACGAAATCAATGTAACCCAAGATTGCCATTTCTGCGAAACTTGGTGGAACGGCGCAGATGAATAGGAGAACGGCAGAAACTACTCCAAAAATCAAAGAGCAGATCGGCCATTCAGTGATTGTGCCGAAAGCGATAGTTCCTGTCAAGCAATGTGATCCGACGAGCAAGACCAATTGCAAAACAAACATCACACTGAACATTTCACGTAAGAATCTTCCAAACCATCCATTTCCGCCCAATAGAGGTCCAACGTCAGAGTAATGTTGCACTTGTGGGTATTTGAGTTTTACTTGACCGACGACATAACTTGTATAAATTGCCACGAATCCGAAACCGACTGTGATGATCACACCAGCGACCATACCAAGAGTTGCAAAAGCAGATGGAATACTCAAGCTTCCCAAAGCGATTGCTTCGACGATCAAGATGACGACCAATTGGAACCATCCTAATTTGGAGTATTTCTCTACTCCTTTAGTTTGCTTTTCCAGCATGTAGTCGTACTCCATCTGTTGTTGCGAATTTTTCCTCGTTCTTGACATAAACGGTCCAGGTTCATTCACATCTCCAGATCCGTTATTGAGATTGCTGCCTTCTTTATTTGAATGATCTTCATTGTCGCTGTTTGCTAATGTTTCATCCACTCTTTCGGTTACCTTTTCCCCATTAGCATTGTAGCCATCAACAGCTTTAGAATCCATCTTTTCGTTGACTGGTCCACTTTCAAAGTTTTCAGTGTAGGCAGACATGATGATTGGGAATTGATTTGTGATAGTATCCTTTTTATCTTGATCCGCTCTTTATAGGACTTTGATATACTTTAGATAAGATGCTGTGGAATTGCCAAGGGGCGGATAAGGATGAACGAAAAAAGTCCGTCTTATCTTTTTACACAGCCGCGAAAGAATTGGGCGAGATAACGAAAAAAGCAACCGATGATGTCTTGTCCCCGTAAAAGTGATGAATAGGTGGGGCTGAACACAAGATAGGGCAACACTGCAAAGCACCAATGACGAACGTTGATGGCGGTAAGGAGCAAGAAGTGATTGAAAAAGTAAGACTTTGCTGGAGAGGAACAGCTGATAAGCGCCACCTCTGTTTGTGTTCAGAGTGGGGTAAAAGAAAGCAAAACGGAAGATCTACCTCTCAAAAAAAAAGTAGCTTACATTTGCCCTCAGAATGAAGTGCCGCAGACAAAAAAGACCTTTAAAAGTAAAACGTCATCAACAATAGGAGCCAACATTTGCTTATCTTTTTTACCTCATACGTACACATGAACACTATTCATGCATTCTATTGATTCAGGACATAAATTGAGGTTGAACCTGACCCCACCCAAGCTAAAAAAGAAAGATTAGGAACATCATTAGCGAAACAACTCGTTAAGCGACCCAAATTTGGTTGAATTTAGTAGCCGGATTGGTTGTTTAGGATGTATGCACTTCTTAAGCGAAAAAAAAACAATCAGGTCAGAATATTCGTGTTTTGCCGCTGGGTCTCCCGCTGGACGGGCAAAAAAAAGAATGGACGATCTAAACGCCGTATGCACTGAGTGACTTTGGAACCCGATCTAAGAAAAGACGCGCGGCATATGCAGCACAACGCCAAGGGCTTACTACTGATGCGGCATGAATAGACACAGATCACTTGTCAGACGAGTACGACAACACATGTGTCTTGAGATCGGCTGGGGTTGTTCTGTTCCCAGCCTAGTTTGGGCGTTTAGTGTGTTACTTTAAGCCGTGGACGTACTCAATCAGACCGGCAAGCAATCCGAACGTCCGTGTGTCCGGCATTTTATTCTTTGATATAATAAAATGAAATTTAGGTGTTCCTGAAATCTTCTTAATCGATACATAGACTAGATAAAAGCAATTCTTCTTACGGGAAAATAGGAAAATTAAATACCAACAGCTTCACGAACCTTTCTCTCATTCGCCCTTAATCGTTCATTTTCCACTTCCAATTTGCGAATCAATGTATCACGTTTGGCCATCTCTTCCTTGAGTATTTCCAGCTCTTCTCGTAATGCATTCATCTCTGTAGGTGAAGAAGTATTAGCATTTGGAGTGGACACGACAGGGGTTGCAGTCGCAGAGCGATTCCCATTGCTGGTTGTGATTGGAACATGGCGAGAAGTGGCAGCAGCAGAATCTTGTAGGTCTTGCTTTGTCGAATAGGTAGGCTCTTCTCTCGTATCTTGAACAGGTATTGCTGCGCTTTTGACAGGCGAGACGGGACGACTGACTCGTTGTGGACGCTCTTCAACAGGTGCAGGTTGTGCAGGAGCTGGAGTTGGGGTTGGCAAGGCACGGGCTGGAGTGGCAGCTGAGGAAGTTGCTTGTCCTGTACTACCTTTGATATTGCTTCCATTCTCTAGACTGATCAGATTAGGCGTAGCACGCTTTCCAGAAAAGAATTCTGCGCCAGTCAATGCTGGAACAATGGAAGCTGCAGGTGGGAAAATGTCGGATTGGAAATTCTCCGCCCTTCTAGGCACTTGGAAACTGATAGGTTGGATGAGATTACCAGTGACCTTGAACGCTTTTCCGATCTCATTATCATTTGCATTGACTGTCCTTCTCGGCACGAATGTCATTCCACGTTGAGGTTCAGTAGATTTATATTCGGCTAACTCGTACAATTCATCCCCTTCCAATTCGTAATACCGCACATTTCCGTCTCCTTTTCCTGCCAAGAAGATTACTTGGTTGTCACTCCAAAAAGGCATCACAACACCGCTACTTGTGTCCAAAGTAAGAGATTTGACTGGTTTGCTCAAATCGGAAGAGTTCCACAAGAACATCTGTCTATCACTTGTTCTTGTGAAGCCGGTTGTAATCAGACGATCGCTATCTCCACACCAAATCACACGTGCTCCCTTTACACCTTCATGACCTGGGGCCTGTGCGATTGGTTCTCCTCCTTTACGTGCATCGTAGATACGGAATTGTTTATCACGAGAAGTGACTGCCAATCGATCACCTGAATAGTCAAAGTCAAACGATTGAATCGAATCACGCGGTCCTGCCATCACACTACTGGGTTGTATGTTGGATCCATCACTTCCTCCTTCAATGATTGATGTAATGTCATAAATGCGAACTTGATGATCACCTGTACTAACAGCCACGAGACCGGATGCTGTTGGATGAAAGACAATTTGTCCAACTTTTCGAGTACCAGTATTAATTCTTGCTAATGGAGCTATATCTTTGACGTCCCCTGCTTTCTCACGTTCTTTTTCCGTCATATCCAAGATTGCAAACATTGAAGAATCAATCTTCCAAATACCCAAAGTACCATCATCACTTCCGCTTACGACGATATCTTCATGAAAAGGTGACCAAGCGGTATCCAAAACGGTTGCTGTATGACCTCTACAAAGTGGATAGATGTCGGGAAATTTGCCTGGTCGATCGACTGGCATGACTGCAAATGCACCACCTCCGGATGCATTCCAATTCAAGGCAACATATCTTCCATTCGTTGATACCAAGTTTGTATCCCATGCATTATTTGATACCTTTACGTTATCCAAACATCCTTCCTTCTTGGCAGCCGTACCATATACATGTCTATACTTTGATGGTCTTACAAATCGACTCATGTTGATCCCCTATTCACAGAACTTCTGACTTTCTTTTTGTCTTGTACCTAGCTCGTTATCAGATAATACCTTTTGATGGAGAAGACTTAAACAAAATGGCATCCATTAATAGCATTCATTCATTGACTTAGGCCGGGATCCGAATTGATAATAGAGTTTCTGCTATTTAAATGACTGCTGGTGTGCCTTTTCTATTTAAACATACGCCGCGTGTGTATGTGAGTGTGTGTGTGCGCTTAAGACGGCGCAGCGTGCGCAGTGTGAATTGGCGTAGGCACTTTTATAGCGGAAAGATGCCACATGCACACACAAACGCAGAAACCTTCTAAATATCAACACCATCATCTCATTCACTCTCACAACAACAAACAGAATGTCTGACGCAAATGGACCTCCTCGTGAGGAATTGGCTCAAATATTCAAACACTTGATCTCATTACGCAAAGAGAATAAACAATGCTTTGATTGTGGTGCAAAAAATCCTTCTTGGGCAAGTGCAACGTATGGAATTTATATTTGTTTAGATTGTTCTTCACGTCATCGTAATATGGGTGTTCATATCAGTTTTGTTCGTTCAACAACGCTCGATTCCTGGTCTTGGTCTCAGTTACGATTGATGAAAGTTGGTGGAAATGGTCCTGCTTTTGATTATTTCTCGAGACATGGCGGTAGTTCATTCCTTTCTCCTGCCGCAGAAGCAAAAACAAAATATACATCTGGAACGGCAAGAAGTTACAAAGAAGAGCTCACAAAACGAGTACAGGAAGATGCAAGAGGTGGGCCTGTAGGTGCTCGAGTCGCTTTCCCAGGTTTATCTTTGAATGGCGCTGCTGGAGGTGCTTCTTCTAATGCCCCAGCCTCGAGTGCAGCAAAAGGCGGCAATGATGAAGATGACTTTTTCGATGATTGGGACAAACCTGCTGCACCGAAAGCAGCTCCAGCCAAAGCAGCTCCAACAGGTCCTCCTGGTATTGGCGTAAGAAGGCCTGCCGCACCAACACCCGGTGCAGTTGCTGCTTCTGCCGTGCCAACAAATGCAGGATCCGCTACATCTTCTGGCTTCAATACTCCTGAACGTAGCTCAACACCCACAACAACCACATCCAAAACATTGAACGCAGGCAGATCGACAAGTGGAGCAGGCGGACGCAAAGGAGCGTTGGGTGCAACGAAAATCAATGCAGGTGGATCAGGTTTGGCAAAAGGTAAGCTAGGAGGTGTGAAGAAGGCTGCCGCACCAATCGACTTCGAAGAAGCGGAGAGAAAGGCAAAAGAGGAAGAAAAGAAAGCAAAACAAATGGAAGAACAAGCTTTGAAAGAGAAAGAAAGCTTTGAACAAGCAGAAGCAATGGCAAAAGCTGCAATTCAAGCGGCAAGTGCAAGTCAAGCTGCAGCACAAGTGGCAAGCGCAAGCAATGGATCTGCTGCTGCACCTCATAGTCCACCAGGCAATCGTCGTACGAGTCAAGAAGTAGAACGTTTAGGTATGGGTTTTGGGCGTTTGAATATGGGAGCTCAACGGGTGGCCGCACAAAATGCACGTAGCAAAGAAGCTGCCGCTGCTGCAAATGGATCTGCATATGATGAGCCAAGTTATGCGAGAACAAAATTCTCCGCTCAAAAGTCCATTTCTTCTGATCAATATTTCGAACGTGGAGGATATGATCCAAATATGTCTTCCGAAGCAAAAGAAAGATTACAGAGCTTCGCTGGTCAGACCAGTATTTCATCCAATCAATACTTTGGTCGTGATGACGAAGAGGAAGAAGGAGGTATGGGCGGAGGCGGTGCCGGATATAGTGGCGCAGCGGCAAATGGTGAAGATTGGGCAGGTGACTTTGAACAAACTGCAAGAGATTATTATCAACGCTTTATGGCCAATCCGGACGTTCAAAGTGGAATCGAATCATTCCGTTCAGGTGCGATGAAATTATCACAATATTTGGAGGACATGTCTCGTAACGGTGGATGATTCCTTCTTTCTTGATGTCCCTTTATCTTCTTTTACCACCTTCATGCAATGATCTAATCATCAGATTATAACAATGAGACCATACATATACAATACATATGCTATTCAACCCCATGATAATGCGATGTAATGTGTGACGCCGTAGTAAATCAAGGTGGAGGAGAGAAAAAGAGAATAAAGGCGAAGAAACAACAGCTTTACAAGTTTAAGTAGTGAATGAAGGCGAGCGGTAATGACTGCTTGAGCGAGGATGTGCGAACCTGGACCATTTGAAAGAGGTCCTTTTCGCACCCCTTGAACGCTAATTGAGCATTACTGAAAGAGAGTATGTCAATGCTGCAGAATCATGTCGTTTCGTTCAGCAAATGCAAGTAACATATTTTCTTTGTGCATCTGGGAAGGGGTGTACTCTTGGCATTTGTCCGGGACCTTGATGCTAGTGTGATATTGTGGTTAGTGAGTGTCAAAACCCGATTTAAAAAAACGATTAAGCTTTCTTTATAAATGCGACTAACAACATCAATCAAATACCGGATCAGATGGTTGTAGCGGCATTTGAATCTGTGCGGTTACTTGTGACAATTAAGTTCAAAGAGAAGAGAAATGACAGTCGAAGTGAGGTTTGCACGTAGAATATTCTATCGGAAAAAGAACTGTCACTCGGAAATGAATCGGGGGCTAGCACGCAAGAGTATTTGGGCACTTAACCAGTGTAAACATCAATCTCCTCATCACATGTCGGAAGTATGCCTCCACTGCCTACTAAGAAAGTTGTGTCTAAATATAAAATCTGCCCCGCAAAAATTACATCTAACATCTTTATTCCCATCCCACTTGTCACCATGTCAAGCTCATTACCAACTCCCGCTTCTCCATTCGAAGTTCGATCAGCACAGATCGATGATGTTTCCATTGCTTATCAAACAGCAGGAAAATTTCATCCTACAAAAGCGATTCTATTGATTCATGGATATCCTCAAACAGTTTATGCAATGCGTTATCTCTTGCCCCTTTTTGCCGAGAAAGGCTTCTTTGTCGTTGCTCCAGATTATCGTGGAGCAGGTGGTAGCTCGATGCCCTTGGGCGGTTATGATAAAATGACAATGGCAACCGATTTACATAAATTAATGGTTGATAAACTTAATGTTCAAGCTTATTCTGTCCTCGGTCATGATATTGGAAGTATGGTAGCAACTGCTCAAGCTCTCAAGTTTAGAGATCACGTTAAAGCTTTAATCATTATGGAATGTCCTCAACCTGGAACTTCAGTTTACAAAGCATTCACTACCGAACCTGAATTGACATTGGGTCCAACATTTCACTTCTTCTTCCATCATGCAGACAATTTACCCGAACAATTAACTTATGGCAGAGAAGATCTTTATCTTCAACACCTTTACGATCGTCTTTCTTACAAGCCTTATTTCCTTACAAATGAGGAAAGACAAGTGTACTACGAAAGTTTCCGAAGATCAGGCAGGATGAGAGCAGGTTTTGGAGTATATCGTGCGTTCAGACAAGATGATAAAGATGTAAAGGAGAACATCGCATCAAAAGGCAAATTGAGCATTCCCATCTTGGCTACCGGTGGATCAGAAAGTGTATTCTGCAAATATATCGAACAAATCGGTAAAGAGATCGGTGGAAATATGCAATTCAAACCTGTAGAAGATGCTTCTCATTGGGTTCCCGAAGAGAATCCTGTAGGTTTGGCAAATTTGACTGTCAAATTTTTGCAAGAACATAAAATCGAATGATAATCAGAAGCGCAATCTCGTATTCTTCTGCAAACCAATCTCAGAGAAGGACGTTCTTCTTGTGTGTATAATGAAAGAAAATTCATACTCCTTTTTTCATGAAATCTCAATTCAATTTTACGACTCTTTTTCCTATGCTTGTTTGTGAATTTATACATATACTATGACAAGTGTATTTTGCATTGTTCTACAGATGGATATTCTATTTATTGCAGGTAATGGAAGAAAAAAGTGGAAGATGTGTTTATGATGTTATCAAGATGGCTTCTGATTCTGTTGAAATATTTACTGCTGTTGATGTTGTTGTTGTTGTTGCTGCTGCTGCTGCTGCTGCTGCTGCTGTTGTTGTTGTGAAGTATAATAATTGCTTTGTCCAAAAATGAGATTGTACAACTGTGTACCTTCTATATCGTTCGAGTACACCATATCACTACGCTCACTACCGCCTCCTCCAGCTGGTTGTTGTGGTCCAGAGGCATGGTTGAGATTCATTTGTGCTTGCATTCCTTGTACGGTTCCACCTTGGCTAGGGAATGTACCTTGCCAATACATAGGATGCGTCTGAGCGGTTGATGCCGTTGGTTCACCAAACATGCCACTTGTCGCATTTGGATGTTGAGCTCCCATTCCGAACGATCCTGTTTGAAATTGATCGACTGTTGGTGCATTCATATTCGCAGGCATGCTGTATTGGTTACCAAAACCTTGTTGAACTGGAAGGCTCGGTGATGATTGTACTATCGAGGAATTAGGCAAAGGAAAGGACTTCAAACGCTCATCTGAAATTTGCATATTTGGGCTTGCAGCTTTTATCTCTTTTGACTTTCTTTCTTGAGATGGCCCACTTTGTTGTTGTGCTGATAACAAGCTACGCTTGGACTGTTTTCCTTTTCCGACATTATACTTTTCTTTTGCCTTTTGCAGAACAGCTTGCAAGAAAGGTCCATAATTACTTGCTGCTCCTTGTCTATGTGGCGTGATGGTAGCAGCTCGGTTGAGAGCTTCTGAAATTTTTGTGATCAAATCAAATGCTGTTGGAACGTCCATACTTAATCTTGAAGGGTCAATGGAAGAATTACTGATGATCCCTACCAGACTTAAACAAACACTGGAACAGTAGGTCGGTAAAACGACTGAACAATTGTTGGAATATCGAAAAGCGATTGCATTTTGGGAATGCAAGAATTGATATAAAAATGCAGTGCAGGAGTTAAAAATATCCAAATAAAGATCCAATGAAAATGAATTTTGTGTATCGACTGTGAATCGTAATGCTCTGGAAGCAGACATTGCTCTTGCATACCAGTAAAATATTCTTGCCCTGCGAAACCTTGGATGTTGAGAAGAAATACTGGCTGCATAAGGATCCTGTGACCATGCGTTTGACCATGCATCTAATTGTTCAATCGATTGTTTGTAAGTCGCTTTCATCATTTCGACCAATCCGTTTGGATCATTTTGCGTTTGATTAGAAAGAATGAAACGTTCAAACATTTCCGCTTGTCTGGCTAATATTAGACGTAGTTGAACCAAAGCGACGATTGCATGATCTGCAGCTAAAGATTCAGGATGTAAATGCCATGAACTTGAAGAAATCACAATTGGATCGAATCTCATCATAGGCGCCATTCCCATCAATTCGCATAAAGCCATTTCTGCAATCCAAACGTTTAACCATGTTCTTTCACGATTTCTCACCCTTCTAACCAATTCCCGATCGTTGGGAAATCGTGAAAGTGCATCTTGCATTGAAGTATTCATACCCAGTTCCCATCCGATTCTAGAAGCATATCCGATGAATAACCAAGAACGATCTTGTGAAAGTTTTGTAATTTGTGGATGATAATTTGCTAAAAGTACAAATGCTTGAACGATTTCAACTGATCGATAGTCTTGAGTGAGAATTGCGGGTAAAATGGATTTGTAAATGTGTCCTTCTAACCTTTTTGACAAAGTACTGCTTTCCATATCAAACATCGAGGCAAGAAAACACATTGTCGTAAGCAAGAATGAAGATGTTGTTCGAACGAATTCAAAAGTGTGTAACTGTGAATCAAACATTGCCACACTTGATTCCAACAGATCGAAATATAATCGAAATAGCTGTTCCGCTTTTGGCTGAGAGATGATACCCATGTCGATTGGGTCGAATCTGTCCAATTTGACACTTCTAAGTCCTTGTAAGAAAGAAGTCTGGTCAATCATCTCTGAATTCCTCCCTGATGCGGCAGCCAAACTCATGCTCGGTGTAATCGTTGGGGTATAATCTCCAATTTGCGCATTCAAAAGGGTATCTTGATAATCTGCATGTGAGATTGCATGTTGATTATTACCATTATCCCCTTCATTCAATCCAACATCTTTACCGAAATGTGCTAAGAATCGAAGTGGATAAGACAACAATCTTTCAAAACTTGTTTGTTGTGCATCCAGTAAAGGCGAGTTGGAACGTGAATCGAGGATTTTCCATAGATCATTTTGCTGGTCAGGTAAAGGAGGTGCGGTAGCAACGGATGAAGGCGAGTTCCCATCTGATTTGCTTGATTGAAATCCTTTAGATGTTGATGCTACTGAAGATCTGCTTGATTGACCCTCTCTGGAAGTTTGTGTTTGTAAGCTCCTTATTTGTCCTAAAAGTGATTCAACAACCCGTTCAAGATGTTGAACTCGTTTGCTATCGGAAAATCTTCCTCTTCTGTGTTCTTTATAAACACATTCCCTGTTCAACCTCTTGCACCTTTCACATATGTCCCCACCTGAACATTTAGTTTTACTAGCTCTGCATTCTAAACATGAAATCTTTGAAGATGCTGCGATTGAAGCGGGCGAAAGATGAATGGATTCGATTGATTCCAAGTCGAATTGTCTTTTTCGAATCGGACCAGAGGCTGAAGATAAAAGCGGTTTTTGTGATGATGATGATGACGCACTTTTTGGAGGAAGTGAAAATGTTACTGGAGCTGTTGGAGGTACATCGGTCGAAGCTGATAAATTTTGTTCATTACTGTGTGTACCGGAAGAAGAAGATTGTAATGATGCTGCCGAAAAGCTATCAAAAGAAGAATCTTTTGTTGTAGTCAAAGTAGAAGGATTCAAGCTATCAAACACATTTCTTTGATCTTGATTAAGTTCCCCATCCATTCGCGTAACTTCCTCATCGCTTTCGATAAGATTTTCATTTTCACTTCTTTCCTTTTTGATTACATTATCGCTTCCTTTCCCCATGGTATCACTCTTGATGGGTATATGGAAAGACATTATAGGATTGCACTTGTTGTGTGTGTTGCTGCTGCTGATGATTTCATTGATTACGATATCGGTCGAATTGAGTTGTGTATGTGTTTGAGGACAAGGTCCAATTAAGGAAGAGTCGGTGGCAAATCGTCTTTATTATTTGATGTTGAGAGCTAAGAGTTTTGAAGATGTGGTGTCGTTATTGTTGATCTTTTGCCTTTTCGGAATGATGATCCCTTGCAATTTTGTCTTCTTTACATTCAAAATTTATATCGACATTTGCAACATCATCCACAAAGACAATATAACGATATAAGATGTTGACGGAATAAAAATACACTCTTTGCTCGTTACGAAGGTGGAAGGAATCTTTCCTATCCAATGTATATGTATAGCGGACGGTTCCGGTTTCCCGTTAAAGCAAAAGGGATGCTGTAGCGGAGTTAGTGAAATTTCAAATTGTGTTTACACTGCGGATAAGTTGAATTGTTGCATCTGCAGTAGAATGTCATTGAAGTGCCATGGACGATTAATGAAAAGAAGGTGTGATCGGTTATCCCCGATTGTTTGCATTTGAAGCTTTCCTCCCTCACGCTTCTTTGTACTAGACCCACTATAGATAGACAAAGGAGGCTATTTAGGCCTTTCAATGCTGGTCGTTGCAAGAATGCCTGCCCAGAGTATCGATCAATGCATACCGAACATCCAACAGACAAAATAGTAATTGACTATATCTATCTAAGCGCTCTTTACATAACTATATGTAGTACCACCAATCAGACCTGACTTCTATTGAAGAAGAATTGTACGATATGCAAACAACAATGTCGTTTTGTCTTTCATTAGGCCAAGATGCCGAAGCAGAACAACGAGAGGGGAAGAAATAAAATTAAAACTTACGCTACCCGTTTAGAATGGTGGCGTGCATAATGTTTTAAAAAGGTAAACTTGCAGCAGATTTGGACTGCTTTTGTACTGGACTGAGCTTATTGTTTATCTTGTAACGGACAAGTGATCGCCGATCGATTCGCTAATGTCGAATTGATGATCAATTCCTCTTGTCATTGAATTTACACTGCTTCACTAGCCTTTGATTGAAATATCAGACTCGTTTATGAATCATCGAAATGGAATGTCGGATATCCCGCTTGTCAATAGTAGAAAGCTGAAAAGATTTATGAAAGATTATTTTGATCTTGCACACACATATTGTACACATATACTAGTCTATCCAAAATTACCACGAATTCCTCGCACTCACTCCAAAAGAATCAAATTAAACAAGGGCCTCTAAGCCATGATCGGAAATTAACGTTTTCACTCCAATGAAAAGGCCTCTGCTCAAAGAAAGAGTCACACTTAATCAACGATTTTCTCATCTTTCAAGAATATATATTCGGCTTTAAAGTCGGCTCTCATTTTAGTGGAGCCGAAAGAATAGTCGTTCAGGACAGATATATCGCATAATCGCACGCACATTTATTGTTCGAAATCATTATCCAGAACTTTGGGTGTCAAAGCAGAGACCAAATAGTGCAGGGTTGATGGCAGGGTCTTCTTCTTTTTGAATCATTTTAGTGACCGTTGCGTAGCGCAAGCATGTATTTTAATTGAGAAGAAGTGAGTGAGTGCGTGCGCTGTTTAATCACTTTTCTTTGATTTCGATCTTATGTTGCATATCAGCTGAGAATAAGACTTTTTCATGCTTCAAGAAAGAGTATTTTTAATTATGGCCAGTTGTACGCATATGTACGTGCATATGCATATACACTATATTCTGCTTCATTTACTTCTCTATCAATTCTTGGGAACACAACTTTAGCTTTTTCACTTGTACTTTGGATCGCTAGCGTAGATAGAGATCTATAGTAAATGCAAGATTTCCCACCAATTTCAAACTCAGCAGCACCGAGAGGGCACAATGCATAACAGGTCCTCAAAATGTGATCTTGTCATAGTTATTCTATAATTCTTGATTGTCTCCTTCGTCCACGCGACGATTGATAAACTCAGAGACACATATAACTCACAGAATGAAGGTGAGACTGTCATACTTTAAACGTTGTCATTTAAAAGTGTATCAATCACTCTTTGCTCACCTCTGAGTTGCTGTAGGTATGTAAAGTCTGCTCCAGATGGATTACGAAGTCTGCAACACTTGCAACGACTTGTTCAAGACAGCGTCTACCTCAAACACTCTTTTGATAATAAGAATGTCTAGCTCCTCACACCGAAATATCTAAAATTCTATAGCTGTTTATGTTTTTGTCTTCTTGAAACTCATTAAGACGAAAACACGAACGTCAACACCATCATTGGAAGATATAAACAAGAAGCTTTCTTGCTTATGTAAAGCCAAAGTGTTGTTGACGCGTTTTAGCGTGTTTGCTGCCTTTGCGCCAGAGCCGGATTTATGTCCGGCGCTTATACGCATTTTTAGATCTTCATTTTGCGAAGAATTGTTTCAGTGCAACCCTCTTGGCTCTGATCACCATCACAAAAGATCCATTCAATCATGTCTGCTATTGGTGCAAAACAAACTGGTGCAAGTGCTGGTGCATCAGGTGCATCATCAGGAACGCAACCTGTAAAGACTTCTGCACCTGTAAAGATTTCAACGGGTGAAGGATTCGCAGTTGGTTCTTTTGCTGCAATGACGGCAGTCTTGTTCTCCAATCCAGCAGAATCTATCAAGACACGAATGCAATTACAAGGTGAATTAACCGAATCAGCAAAACGAAGAGGTCCAGGTCAAGCACCAGTGCAAAAGCTGTACAACGGAACATGGGATTGCTTCCGTAAAACTGCAAAGACGGAAGGTATAAAGGGTATCCAAAGAGGTTTAGGAGCAGCATTGATTTATCAAGTTTGTTTGAATGGAAGTAGATTGGGTTTCTACGAGCCTTTTAGGAAACTGTACAATCAAGCAGCCGGAAAAGATGTAAAGGAAGTTTGGGCTCTTGGTGCTTTTGCTGCAGGTGCAAGTTCAGGTGTGGTAGGAGCAATTCTAGGGAACCCTTTATTCTTGGTAAAAGCAAGACAACAGGCTTATTCTCCTCATTTCAAAATCGGAAAAGCACAATACAACTACAAAAATGCTTTCGATGGTTTGAGCAGTATCGTCAAATCGGACGGTATAAGAGGATTGGCACGTGGAATGGATGCTGCTATCCTGCGAACAGCGATGGGAAGTACTGTGCAATTACCTGCATACAATTACGCCAAGACATACCTAGTCAATCTATCCCCAGACAATACGTTTGCATACAATCCACTACTCCTTCTCGCTGGAAAGCCCAATGCATTTTCGACATACTTGGTATCTTCATTCTTCAGTGGATTGTGCGTTTGTGCTGCAATGCAACCTGCTGATACTGCTTTAAGTAGAGTATACAATCAGCCTACACGGATTGATGAAAGAGGAAGATCTGTTGGAACGTTGTATAGAGGTCCTATACATTGTTTATATTTGACGGCTAAAACAGAAGGTCCTTTGGCATGGTATAAAGGAACGACGGCCCATTTAGCACGTATTGCACCTCATACGGTTTTAACCTTGGTGGTGAACGAAGCCTATTTACGTTATTACAGTAATTGGAAAGCCGGAAGAGATATCTTTGCTCAACCTTTGACAGAATGAATATGCTGATATAGACGATTATTAAAACTTGTACTATTACGAACTTTGAATGACCATGCACACACATTGCAAATGAATGCCGATAAATTGGAAGTCGGTCCGGGTAGCGCGTTTCCCCCCACTTTGAGAAGCAAATAAAATTAGGCGCCAAATAACGAACGGTTCGGCTGTTGCGAATAAAAAGGAAATTGATTGGCTTTTGTTTCTTCAACACGATGATCAGGTCGGTTGCCATCTGAAAGTATAGCAAGATGAACAGTCATACATCAAGACTGCTGAGAGGATCGATGAGGGGTTCTGGTGTCAAGATCGCTCACTTGAAAGCCATACCAAGAAGGATAAATGCACAAGCACCTACCTTCATTAATGCAAGGCATTCCTCAACTTTCCAATCAACAGCAACAGCACCATATACTACCTATAGAAGCAGATATAGCATCACATCTATTGCTGCTGCATTCGCGTCTCTTTGTGTGATAGGTTATTATGGCTTCTCTACAGCATCTGCAGACGCGGGTGATACTTCCAGCACAAGCACAAAAGGGCCCGATACACCTCTCTCAATGATCAAAGGCGGCAAAGGAAGATTGATCGATATGGCAGAAGTACAAGAACATAACTCCCCAGAAAAAGGCGTCTGGGTAGTAATTCAAGGACAAGTGTATGATATCACTTCATTCATCAATAAACATCCTGGAGGTGATCGAATCATTTTGAAAAATGCAGGAAAAGATGTTACGGATATTTATGTCCCCGTTCATCCTTCTGATGCAATTGCGGAGAATCTTGATCCTTCACAACATCTTGGTCAAGTTGATCCTTCAACTGTAAAAGAAGAAGCCGAATCGGAAAAAGATTTGAGTCAACGTGAACTTAAACGCAGAAAAGCTCTGAAGAATTTACCTCCCATTGGAACGATCTTAAACCTTGACGATTTCCAAAGGGTTGCACAAACAATTCTCACCGATCAAGCATGGGCTTATTATTCTTCCGCGGCAGATGATGAGATTACGAAACATTTTAATCGATCAGCTTATAGTCGTATTTGGTTCAAGCCAAGGATATTACGTCCGGTGATGGAGGTAGATTGCAGTACAGAATTAATGGGGCATGATGTTTCTTTACCGATTTATATCTCACCTGCTGCAATGGCAAAGTTAGGACATCCAGACGGAGAAGCAAATTTAACAAAAGCTGCAGGAGAAGCACAAATTGTTCAGGGTATTTCTGCAAACGCATCAGTTTCACTTGATGAAACGATTGCTAATCGAAAATCCGATCAAGCTCTAATTTATCAACTTTACGTTAACAAAGATCGATCAGCATCCGAAAAAATCTTGGCAAAAATTCAAAAACAACCTAAAGGAGCGTTTGCAGCGATCATGCTTACGGTTGATGCACCCGTAATGGGAAATCGTGAAAGTGATATGCGTGCAAAAGGTGAAGAAGTTCAAACTGGTGGTGATACGGAAGGAGGATCAAGCGAAGGAAAAGGTGTCGGAGTGGCAATTTCTGGTTATATTGATCCGAATATTGGATGGGATATCGTAAGTTGGTACAAACAACACTGCAAGTTACCTCTAATCCTTAAAGGTGTTCAGACGGTTGATGATGTAGAACTTGCTTTCAAGAATGGCTGTCAAGGTGTAGTCCTTTCAAATCACGGTGGTCGTTCTCTAGAATATTCGCGAGCACCAATTGACGTTCTCATTGAATTACATCAAAAACGACCTGATCTATTACAAAAGATTGACGTTTTGATCGATGGAGGTGTAAGAAGAGGAACAGATGTTCTAAAAGCACTGGCTTTGGGTGCAAAAGGTGTTGGTCTCGGAAGACCGTTCTTATATGCTCAATCAGGATATGGACAAGAAGGTGCAAGTAGAGCCATTCAAATCATGAAAGATGAAATCGAACGTGGAATGCGTTTACTAGGTATCACTTCCCTGAAACAGTTGACGCCGGAAATGATTGAAATCTTGCCACCTTCGTTCGATCCTTATCTTCTACATCGTCAAGAAGAAAGACGGAGAGAATATGTCTTTGAACATGAAGCTGCTACTGAGGAATAAGGAAGGAGAGGCTGCACCCCATATATACCAACAACAATTCATTGCAAATGTACTTTTTTACGAGGAGATTACATAAGGTGCATAATCGACATGTTTGCGAGCCCAATGACCAAATTGCGTATAAACTTTTCTTGAGTGTGGAAGAGCAAAAGGTAGGGTATAAAAGTCGTGAGGTTGGAAAGGTGTGATAACATGGGTAACATCAGCTTTTGCTTGTCTTGCTTTACGAACGAATTCTTTTCCTTCATCTAGTAAAACTTCAACGCCTCCGTTTCCTACAAACATTGGTGGAAGTTGAGACATTTCTTCTACACTCTTGTAGACAGGTGAAAGCCACGGATCCAATAAATCCAACGAACAACGTTTTTCGTACTTTGGTCCTAATTGCATTGATTCAACACCCCAATCTCCGTATGTTAAAGTGATAATGTCCGAGCCAATATTTGCAGGTCTTGATTTCCATGGATCGTTTAACGTTGAAAGCCAAGGACTTAGAAGTAGTAATCCTGGTGCGGCAATTGTTTGATTTTCTACATCTCCTCGAACCTCTGGCATCTCTAAGCGCAAATAACGTTCAAGTGCCAAAGTCAAATGTGATCCAAAGCTATCACCTCCGATAAAGATTTGATCAGGACGATAACCCAACGTATCAGTTAGGTAGAGATAACCGCCTAAAGCTTGAACGAGAGGGATAGGGAAAGGTGCATAAGGAGCCAAATTGTAATCAACAGAGAAGACTGGTAATTTGGACGATTTTGCAAGATTTGAAGCAAGAACTTCACCCATGAACAAATCACCTGCAGAGAATGTTACACCTGCTCCACCATGGAAGTATAGAACGACTGGCTCTTTCTGACCTCCAGGTTCGCGAGCTGGTGGATGTTGTTTTTCACCATTTGGCAAGAACCAGAAACCACGTGTACGTGATTTTGTCCATGCAATATCGACCATTGCAGGTCCATTATATGTCGAACATCCCTGCACTTTTTGCGGTTCTCCTTTACCATGTTTTAATGTTAAGATACCACGATAATAAGGTAATTGAGGAGCATCAAACCAAACACGATCATTTCTGCGTTTACCGGATTGTTTATGAGCCTGTTTGGTTGCTGCTTTTAGTGTGAGAAGTGGATGAGCAACTCTACTTCCTGGTCCGCTCATATTCAAAGTTGCTAATGAAGCACCGATCAAACCAGGTTGTTCACGCCATCCATGTTCACGAGGCGGTAGAGGTTGAAAGCTTGTAAGAACCATCATTCTGATTGAATAGCGTACCATTAATGTACCTAAAGCAGCAACAAATGACATCCTTCTATGCGGCCTTAGGAATGGAATTGCAGCACGAATAAAGTTTGCCAAAAATGCTATTGGCAATGTTCCTACCGTTAGGAAATGAAAGATCAAAAGTCTAAGTAACGGTCGCCATTTATTCGGTCTTGGAGGTTTTGCGCTTTTGACAGCAGCCACCAAAGCTTCATCTCGAGTAGGATCTGGGCTCATTTTTGCGGGAAGAAGGAGATGGTAATGAAGATAGAAAGTCGGGAAAGAATAATAGAAACCCCGCACTTGAATTGTTTCATCATAAGACTTAGCTCGGGTTTCTTCACCGAGCATATAATGTATCTTTCACGCGTGAAAGAAAAAGAGTGGCACTATAGCTGTGTTAAGAGATGTTCGGTTACTTTAGAATCATTTAAGCCGATTAGAGCAAAGGTGATTGATGGGGCATACGCTCTCTAATGGTTAACAGCAGGTAAGATTGATGGTGTCAAGACAATATATACTACTCTCTCGGGTCTATCACTGTCTGATGGCGTCATAAGGCAATATAGTAGAGCTCAATTTCGATGCTGCTATTGACCGCGAAAGACTTTTGCAAGAACATAGAAACAGCTCGCACAAAGGCTAGCAGAAGGGATTTGCCAGAAGTGACAAATTATAAATCTCGAGATAGAATCCCAAGTATGCTGTTTATTTGATTGATGCCCCTTTTGCTTTTGCCCCGATAAATGTGTCCATCCTTATTGTTTGCTCCAAATCATCTGCACTTTGAAAATCAGCATTACTTATTCAATTCTTTCCATCATCGAAATTGGCCTTATGATCAAAAAATATCCGATGAGGCTTCTAAATTATTTCATCGTAATTTTAAATGGTCTGATATTGATTGCGCTTTCTTTACCAGCTAGCGAAGTCCATACAGGCGAATCTACGAGAGAAGAGCTTAGACAAAGCCACCCAAAGTATAGAAAGATTGAAAAGCAAAAAGAAAGTCATTTGAGGAATATGGCGGAAGCAGGTGCAAAGTCTACACGAGCCAATAATCATTACTTGGAAGCTCATACCTCAATATGTGCTCCTTTTGCGGCTTCTTTATACTACGATCAACAAAAGTACTATGATCATAAATACAATTCCCATCAAAAGAAAGCAACGCAAGCAATGACGGATCTTAAGCAGATCGAAGCCGTACATGGACAAAGAACGCAACATCCAGTGCGTTCACCATCACATAATACACAGCATTAAATCTCTTCACATCTCTTTCTTCTTGCGATAGGTCGGAACATAGTCCGCAACTTGATGTAAATTAGCCCCATTCTACCTTTGCAAATCAGAATCGCCCCAAAGTGCTTTACGTCAAATTGAAAAAATGTCTGGAGTTTGCACGAGAAGCAATTCAGCGATAACCACCAGCACTGCTTGAATTTCTAATAGCCAATGTGGAAGTTCAGCGTAAAAATGATGCACGTCCTCCTCTTGATTTTGTACTGCTCAATGCTTATGACGAACGCTTTACCTGCCAAGAAGACAGAGCTTGAATCAGCAACAAAAATTGCTCAAAAGCATGAGAACTCGGCAAACAAGTACAAGGCAAAATCAGACAATGCTTACAGGAAGTTTCAAAATTCTTGTCTTGGTACGTGTTTATATGGTGCACAGATTACATACTATGATTCAGAATACGATAAACATAATAAGAAGGCTTCTATGGCTCGTATTAAGGTGAACGACTTGAATGGAATACCCAGACGAACGCCTACGCCGATTGTAGAGGAAGTTGCCAAAGAGGAATCCCAACACCCACACCCACAAACAACAAAGACTGATGCTCATCATCCGAGCACATCTAGTCAAGAAATTCTGCTTGCTGAAAGCTCACCTCCTTCGCCGTTATCGCGCACCTTGAGTCGTGGTAAAACACCGGTCCATGCTTCTCGTCATTGAATATACATTTTACGCTTGTTCTTCTTCTACTTATCTAATTTACGTATGAACTTTAAGTATAAAGAGTGTAAAGGTGTGATCGCAAAATACTGAGACTGAACGGTACATCAAGCGAATGCAATGATCTGTGGCCTGTAAGATGCTGCTGATTCTCTTTCAAAAATTCAAATCTTCTTGGGGCTGAAGGTAGTAATATGAAGTACATGTTTGTCTGTAAATGGTCGCAATACTTTCGGGGATCGTTTGGTGCTTTTATGGTCACTCTTTACGCAATTGATTGTGTATTCTGCCTCTTGCCATTCGTCCCACATTATGCCTTTTTGTCTCTTGACCGAATTTGCTCCGTATTGTTTGTGCGACTTGCCCACATTCAAAGTGCTCAAAGATAAATTTTATTGTGCCTTACCTTTCTCCCCGTTTAGAATTGGGGAGCTGATGCGGTTTTATTTACAACGTAAAAGATTCACGCCACCATATCAACAATAGCACCGTGATATGCAAACGTAAAGTAGATCTTATGCAAAACTTCCCATATTTATACCGCCGGTATTTTGCTTCAAAGTTTCCCCTCACATACTCAAAGTATCAAATTCCAGAACGAGAAAGGACTCAATCTCAACAATGAGCAGAAACATCTTTTACTTATTATGCCTTACAATTTTTCTTGTGCAATTGACAACATCTGCAAGCATTCCAACAGACCATGCTGAACTCTTGCAAAAGGTGAAAGATCATCCTGATTACAAGAAGATTGCAGGCGAGCGAAACAGACATCGTGAAATTGCCCTGAGTGAAGATCAGAAATCACAAGATGCATATTGCAAAGCTCGTAATAGTTGCATGCCAGGTGGTAACGTGTTACGTAATATTCAAGGTCGCTATCATAAAGGTAGATTTGAACGTCATACTCGTAGAGCAAAAAGGGAGAGCTCAAAGCTTGATTTAATGGAAAATTTCGCAAAGAACACACTTTCTGCACAGAAACAAGAAATGTTGCAAAAACATGCAGATCAAGGAACGCCTTGAAGTTCCGCCATCATATCTTTGATTTTGATTGATTCTGTTATACTCTTCTGTTTATCCATCCAAAGTGATTCTCAGATTCTAATGTAAATATTCACCTGTTTCGTTATACATATGATAATGCTTTACGCTTACATGAGCTCTGTGAGAATAATTCGATTGACCGGGGCGTGTAGAGAAATGCAATGAAATATAGTCGTTATTCGGAGCTGAAAATCAGGACATATTTATCGAGATGCTCTGGTGAGATTTTGCACTTTGCTATTTCTGCCGATTGGAGCCGACAACCATCACAAAATGATTTCGCGATTTCGGCTTTTACTGATCCTCTGCATCATCATGCTGCAGGAGCGGAACTTTTCTGCTGTTCTGTGTGGCCAGACTTCATCAACAGAAGCTCAAAGAGAAAAGCACATATCTGAAGGACATTTTGCACGTAGAGAAAGAAAGCAATCATTACGAAAAGCATTTGAAACGAAAAACTATTGTAGTTTTGCGTTTCATATGTTTTCGGTACGCAAACACCATAAAGAAAAAAGAAAGCATGCTCATGCAGTAGCTGAGATTGATAGACAGCAAACACAGCGAGGCAATAATGGGAATTAATAGTGATCACTCTCTGTTAAGATCCTGCAATGGGGGTCCCAAACCTAAGACACAATAAGACGCCAAAGCTGTGCCATGAGCCCCACATTACGTTGACACTTGAAATCCCAGAAAGCCCCATTGCATCGATTGTCATAATTAGAACTTTGCTTGCCTTCCAAATTCTGTCTCTCTCACCACCACCATTTTCAAAAGCTTTTTTAGGAAAAAGAAAGATTCAGCAATGTTTACCTTCAAGATCTTATTGCCCTTTTGGCTTTTGCTCATTTGCAGTATGCCTTTAATCATTGCTCTTCAAGACCTTGAACACAAACGTCTGACGAACAAAGTTTCTAGGGAAGAAAACAAAGCTCGAAATTCTTTTGATGTATCTATGAGAGCTCAACAACGAGCAAACAATAGTCGCTTCGGTATCACAAGAGCTTTTCATAATGCTTTCAGTCAAAATAGATGGAAATCTTATGAGCGACATAATTCTGCTGCTCAACGAAATCAGGCTGACTTGGCTAGCCATTCGTATAGAACCAAAAGATTTGATACACCAACTGTTTGGCGAAAATGAATGACAAGGGGATAGAATCCAAGGACACGCTACGCTTACGTTGGATCTGTTTAATGTACTTACGACAGAGTACACACACGTTGCACATAGATGATGATACTTATTAATTCAATGCGGTTGAACAAAATGAAAGGCTTGCGATACGTCTATTCCTTAGCTGTGATGACAACTTCGAAAGTCTTGCCCTTTTCCAAGCTTTCCACTTTGACCTTGACGATACTGCTCTCTTCATCAACGGTTGCATGTACGCCAGAAACATCATTTCCGTCCTTTGATTCAATGGAAGCATTCACACCGCCGATGTACATCCGTTTGCTATCATACAAGATAGAAAGATCATCAGGTCCATTAGAAGCATAATGACCTGTCCATGTCTTTTCTCCGTTTTGATCTTCGAATACTTGGGTAATTGCAGTTGTTTTGAAGTCTGATTTGACCAAAGTGGAATTACGTGTGGTCAATTCGAGAGGAGCATGACCGTGTTCGTAGTATACATCGCGAACACGTCCAACACACATCGGAGTTTCTTGTGCCAAAGATGCAACGACAGCAGAAGGGATGGATCCGTTGAGCAACACTTTGACCACATAAGTCAACTTTGTACCTTCTTCCACCTTTTCAGCAATCCAACCACTCAGTTCAACAGTTGCACGTGTTCTACTCTTTTGATAACTTCCATCTTCAGGTAAACGTTCTTCGTCTGAAATGGAAACTTGAATGAGCTGCATCTTTCCATCTGGTTCGGTCCAGTAAGATTCTTGAACTGCAGCGATATCACGAGCCCAGATGAAGTATGAAGGTGATTTCCTGGATGGAGGAAAGAGAGGGTTAGGATAAGGGTGCAACTCTTTTTTAAATGTCCACTCGGGCTACTCACATTACACTGTAGATCTCAAAAGAAGATTGAGAGAAACGTCTGATTGGGAAACCATCTTCCAAACGAGGATCCCACTTTTTACGCATACCAGGTAATTGAATGACACCAGTTAATTCCAAAGGCGTAACGCCTTCAACGATTGTTGAACCACGAGTGATTGGAACGCCAGAAGGATCTTCTGCATTTGTAATCTTTGAAAGTTGGACATCTTCACGCTCAGGTAAATCTTCCCATTCCGTTGAAGATTCTAAATCGTTTAACAATTTTAATGCATTTTCCAATGCTTCTGCATAATCTGCTGGACGATCAAAGTATGTGCCTTCGGGAGTAGCAGCTGAATCTGGAATTTGCAAAGACATGGTATAAGCTTGATTGAGGTTTGGGTATCCTTGTAAAAGTCAAGATGATGTTGATGATAATGAAGGGAAGAGAGGTGAATGAATACAAAATATCCCCCCCCCCGCTTTTCCGGCTTCTTTGAATGTATGCGAAGGTATGTGTGTGTGAATGCTTGTACACTGTTGTAGTGCCTGGTGTTGTACCTTTTCTTCTATAAACCCCGCTTTGAAAGTGTTGAGCAGTCGCACGGACAAAAGAGTCTTCTTTCTGTCTCTCAAAAGCCGCGCGGTGATTGTGGCTGTTGATTAGATAATCATCAGTCAATTGCTTTTCGGTCATTCGGATTTTTATCCACTAGCGTAAGAAAGAATGCTTATATTTTATTGGCTTAAACTCTTATCAATTTTTAATCTGCAAGGTCCCTGTGGAAAAGTGCTCCTCCGATCATTGGCTTATCTGCATCAAATCTTCTGAAGCAGCAGGAAATGCAAAAGATTAAAGTTGTGGATGTAATGCGATAAAAAGGTTCTTATAAAAAGGCAAACACTCTTCTTCCCTGAAACATACTTCTCACCTTCCATCCACATCCTCCTCCCCCATCCTCTCTCAATCATGTCCATTGCCGGTATCTTCTTGTTCACCCGACATGGTGATCGTATGGGATTCTATCAATCACCAACAACCTACACAGCCAAGAACACCAACTTGACAGTCTTGGGTTACTCACAAGAATACAAGAATGGTCAAGATCTACGTTCCATGTACTTGAACGGAACAAATCCAATTCAAGGTATCAATGCAACCAGAGCAGAAGGTAATCAACTTCGAATCTCAGCAGATGCAGGTGGTGAAGGAAGCGTGATTGTCGATTCAACAAATGCACTTTTACAAGGTCTGTTTCCTCCTTTTGATGATACAATCACACTGGCAAACGGACAAAATGTTACCTGGAACCTGGCACAATTAATCCAAGTTCAAACAGTTACTTCTGATGAAGATGTTTGGTTTGAAGGTTGGACAGATTGCAATTCATGGCAAACAAGATTGAATGATTGGTATGCCTCAAAAGAATTCGAAGCACAAGCTGCAATCGCAAATCCATTCTTTGAAAGTATGCAAAACATTTTGGGTACAGGTCGTCCTGCCACATTGCAAAATGCATGGAATCTGTTCGATTATCTCAACGTTGAATCGATCCACAACAGTTCCGTTCAAGTAACTCCTGAACAATTGCAATATGCTCGCTATTGGGCCAACTACCATGAAGCAGGAAGTTTCACAGATGTTGATTTACACAACCCTGGTAACATTGCCGGTCAAGCGTTCCTCTCTCCCCTTTTGACAGCCGTTCAAGATTTGGCAAACTCAACTAACCCTCTCAAATTTGGTTATATGTCTGCATCTTATAAGCCATTCTTGTCTTTGTTCACCTTGATGGGACTACCTTCTCCTTTGAACGATACCGTTGTGGATTATGCAAGTGCCGCAGTGATCGAAGTTCATACGGATAACACACTTCGATTGTTGTTCAGAAACGGTACCGAAGGTGATTTCGAACCTTTTGCCTTATTTGGCAGTTCAAATCCAAACTCATACCCTGTTCAAGACTTTGTCAACAAGCTTGAACCGTATGCATTGAACGATTTGTCATCCTGGTGCAATCAATGCAGTACAACAAACGAACGTGGATGTGATACCCTTGCAGCATTGAACGGAACAGGTGGTGCAGGATATGCAAGTGTTGAATCAACAAATGGTCATCATCGTGTTAGTCCAGTTGTGGCAGGTGTGATTGGTGCAATGGTCACTTTGGCAATCGTTGCATTCGCTTTGGCAAGTTGGTTGTTGTTAGGTGGCTTGGTCAAGAAGCATAAACGTTCTTCTCGTGACACTGCTTCCGTCAGTACTAAAGCACCATCTGAAAAAGGCCTAGAACAAAAGGTTTCTCCTTCGCAACAATGATAAGATTGTATACACTACTATGCTATGGAATATTTTATTGAAATGGAGACTCGATCCAAAATAATTTATACATGTGGGAAAGGAAAGCCGTAATGCACCTGATATACGAAGGAATAGAGGATCGACCACAGATTAAGCGACAGAATGCGATCTTACGATTTGAGGCCCGCTCGAGTAAGATCGTTGTGGGTTGTATGAATTAGCAGATCGTTGTGGTGCGTGTGATACGTGCGAATTGCCATTGCTATGTGTTGAACTTTCTCCATGTTGAGGAGAAGGATGAGAAAGATGCTGTGAAGTTGCACTTTGAGGTGCAGAATTTGCTGATGATGATTGACCAGACAAACTTTGACGTTTGCTCTCAAGCTTTTGCGATTGTTTATTCAACCTTTGTTGTTGATGTTGAAGTTTCATGTTTTTACGTTCTAAAACTTCTATCTTGTATTTTTCTTGACGTGGAATCGGTTTGTTTATCTCTTCTCGCTATAGATCAAAAGCAAGGTGATGTCAATTTTAGCATCTCTGTATGATTTTGTTACTTCAATATCCTTTACTTACCATATTTCGAAAACCTTTACTTATTTTTGCCGTAATACTGTCTGAGCCCTTCAACGCTTTTGAAGCTGTATCACTAATCGCATGACCTGTACGAACAGGCGCTTCAACGAAACAAGCATGACCAGCACACTTTACGCCTCTTGCCGCTTTACCAATAATTCGTCCGAAACTGAATTTTGTAGGAGCAGAAGAGGTTGCAATGCTGGAGGAAAGGTTAAAGTTAGCTTGTTGTAATATTTGTCTTTCATTGTGCTTACTCACATTTGCAGTAGCACCAAGAAAGTTAATTGTACGATAGTAGTTATCAATCTCATGGTGATAGGAAGAGGACAGGTGATATGTTGAATTAAGGAAAGTATGGGTAAGAGGATGGATGGATGTTGACCAAATAAGCCATTTATATACCTTTTCACGGCAACAGCCCAATCTTTCGAACTTTTTCCAACGCAAGTACCGCTTACGCCCATCCTTGCCGTTGCCCCGATACGAACCCCGCGCAAGAGATGTATTCGTGCTCTCGATCTTTCGTAATGTTTTCATGCTGTACCCTTGATGCTATCGAACGCCTGCATCGCATGCTCCTCATCCCACCCAAAAGAAGGAGGGGTTTAACTCGATCGCGGTGTATGCTGTGATGCAAGAATTTCAACCCTTGACCCACAAATGACATTCATCATCCGCTCACACTTTCTCACATCTCTGTAATGGTACAAATTATAGATTGAAAAGGTTCAATGTCCAAGCAAATGATCAAAAAAAATTTGTTCAAAATGCAAACCTCCTCCGAGGGGTATATATATGTACAATCTCGATACAATGCAGAGGGCGTATTGATGTTGAAATCGAATAAAAAACACAGCATGAAACAATGGCAGTGTCCTGTTTCTTGTTTTGCGTTGACGGGAGAATTGCGAATGCCGATGCGGCGTACCAATGTATGAATACAACGGATCACAGCCCGCTCCTTAACGGCCAGAAGTGGCCAAAACATCTGGTCTGTTCAAAAAGTCCATTGGTCCTTTACGGAAGGTATCGTCAATCGTGGTGATTGTATTATTTGCATAATACAAAAGTTTTGGTGAATTTGCTGTATAATGTTTCCATAGTGGACTTCCATTTCCGGCTTTGTTGGGTGTTTGATAAGCGGCAAACGATAACCATTGACGTGACAGCGTTGTTCCAAATGGATTTCCGTCTTGAATGTTAAAGACATAATCCAAATCTGATCCATGCGGATAACCAAGCGAATCTGCATTTCCTGGTACGTATTGTGCGAATTCGTACGAATAAGCAGTCGTTCCTCGATTTGCGATTGCATCCAAAAAGAACCTTCTGTTGGATTGATAACGAATATCACCGTAAAGAGAAGAAATGCGCTTGTATTGGTTAGTCGCTCCGTAGAATCGGTTTGAATAATCACCATCGTGTGGTTTATAAGGCGATCCTACTACTGGATCATCGGGATACTGCTGTAAAGCTTCTTGCAAGAGTTCATCGCTGTCAAAGTAGATTCTCCTGAAATAGTCAAACGTTTCTTGAGTATTATTACTATCTTGATCAGCAAAGTATGTACCTTCATCATAACAATCACCATGCAAAACTGGCACATTTGCAAATTTACCAGCATTGATGACCTGACTTGGACGATCGGAAAAGAATCCGCCGTTTGATGGTCCGCCATCTTGAACGGCTGTCCAAGCATAGTATCCACGTGGAATAGTATTCACATTTCCATTCAAGTTGGCCTGTAAATTAGAGATTTGAAGTAAGTTAGATGCAGATGCACCACGTAAGCACCCGATAACATCTGGATTTCCTGAACATCCAGCGCTGGAAACGACTGTGTTGAATTGACCGTCTTTGCGTGAAGCAGGGTCGATTGGGACACCACCGGGAGAACCAGATTCCAAGATAACACCTTTGAATTTTGGCGATGTATGCTTTCCGAGCATAACAGCAGCAGAAGCGAACGAGCCTGCGGATTGACCCCACAGGGTGATCTTGTCTGGATCACCGCCAAAAGCTGCAATATGATCGGATGACCAATTGATTGCTTGTACAACATCTGTGAATGCTGCATTTAGGGTAACATCATTTCGATTCTGTTTTTGACGTTGCGCGAACGTACTTCCGCCCAAGAAACCAAAGAGACCTAAACGATAATTGATGGTGATGACGACTGCTTGTAAATCATTTCCACCTGCAAGGATCATTTGTGAAGGATCATGTTCTGACCCGGCGCCTGATTGGAATCCGCCTCCATGTACAAAGATCAAAACGGGTAATTTTTTGTTCAAACTAACACCTGAAGGACGAAAAACGTTTGCAAACAAACAATCTTCACTTTGTCTTCCATCTCCGCTTTGCAAACATGTTGGTCCGTATTCGGTTGCATCAACCGTTCCTGTCAAACTTGCGGGTACTTTTGCAGGAGAAAAACGTTGATTTCCAATCGGTGGTGAAGCATATCGAATTCCTTTCCAAGAACATATTCCATCAGCACATGAGCCGACGTATGTTGCTTTACCATCTTGTACGTTTGATGAAGTTGCCACTGCTACATGGCTGGATCGAGCTTGGGGAACGATGAGAGCAGATGATGAAATGACGAATGAAACGAATAAGAATAGAAGCGAATTAGTATGGAACAACATTTTGGCGGATGTGAAGATGGGTTTCGCAAATGGATGTTGGATCGACCTTTTATATTGCCGGAATTACTCCTAAATGGAAATCTTGATGCCGTCCAATGCGGGGAAAGGAGAGACCAGAGCGTTGTTAGCGTGATCGTGATTTGCTTCCAAGAGATTTGCGGGGGTTCAACGATTCCCACCAGCTAGCTCCTTTTGGATGAGTCGGATCGTCGGTCAGAAGGGGTTGTGTGGGGTTGTTTGATAGCAAGGGGTGATGAGATTTTATAGTTTGATGGGAACAACCTCAATCAAACAAGAATGGCAATTCAAGTTTTTCCGTCATTTGATACTCCGACAGTGAAGGAAGGCAAGAGTTGTCGGTCAGAACCCAGTGGTTGTTGTTGTGTAATTCCGCCCATGAGGAGAAGGAGGGGAATCCATCAAAGACCGCATGATTACATTTATGTACAACGTGCTTCTCTACTTGATGCATGTACTCGACATTTAGAAAGAAAAGAGACTAGAATCAATTGATAGAATGAGCATTATGCCACTATTTGCCGAATTGTTGTAGATCCATGTCGTATGCACTAACGCAAATCTTGTTTCATTAAAGTCCATTTTGTTGTTGTTGTTGTTCTGTGGTCTAGAACCCATTCAAGAAGAACACGCGTACGTAGAAATGCATTCATTCCCGGTTTTATTGTTTTAGCGTTTTTCATTTAGTCGGCGGTTCGTTCTTATGGGCATGCAAATGTGAGCAACTAAAAAGGCGGGGGAGCAAACGCTAGAATCTTGCCAAGAAGAAACGGGAAATGTGACTAATCAAAGAATGAATGCATTCATGAATCGCCGCTTTTACCAATTCTTTTCCTTTCTTTCATGATGGGGTTGGCAAGATAGATTCACGTGAATCAATGCTAGGAGTAGTCATGCTAAGATACATAACCCCGACTCATAGGCTAGTATTGTCTAATTGTCAGCAACTCCTAAACGGACCAAACTTTCTTTCACGGAAAACAATATTCCGTTTAACCATTGTCTTCCACTACTTTCTGGAATAAATGTGATCTCCGTTCATTATTTCATTCACTTTCCGATCCGCATTGGTGATAATTTGAGAACATGACGTAAGCAGTCGTCATCCTTTGTGATCATATTGAATAGCATGCCGGCACCGCAAGGCGCGAAGTAATGCTGAGCAAGCGAAAGGCTAAGGCCTGCACACAAAAGCTTATGGCGTACGGGGTGGAAATTTCTAGAAAACTCGCCAAGCTTCATGACCGTGCGTGATGACCATTATTCGATCTTCGATAGCGATCAGACTTGACTGTAGAATGTGTGATGTGTGTGATGCTTGGTGTTGAAAAGAAGGGGTAAAAGGTATATAAACCCTGGTCTTGAGGCCATCAAGAACCTTTCTCTCCTCATCATGTTAGCCAAACAAGCTTTACAACCAATAAGCAAAGCAATCAAACCAACTTCTGCATTCAAAAAGCAATACTTACAACCTTTTATTCCTCGTCGAAACATCTCAACAACACCCGCAAGTATGTCTTTGTTTTCACGTTCAAGTCATCCATTTGACTTTTTCTTGAACCAAAACGCAAGTCCATTCTTATTATTGGATCCTTTGGTTGATGCTTCTCAAGCACACAATAACATCACTCCTGCTCGTCGTGGTGAACGTAGCTTGTTCCGTGATGACTTTTTCAACGGTCCACGTTGCGATTTACATGCAACCGAAAAAGAATTCGTTTTAGAAGCTGAAATTCCGGGAATTCCAAAAGATCAAATCAAACTTGAAGTTGATGAAAAAGCTCGTAAGATCACAATTGCAGGTGAAGTGAAAACATCTTACACTAATCAACAACCCGAACAACAAGCTCAAGCCCAAGCTGGTACAGCCGCATCCAACGAAGTGACAAAGACTGAAACCAAAAAAGAAGTCGCTCAAGCTCAACCACGCACTTTGATCTCTGAACGCTCTTACGGTAAAATTGAACGTAGCTGGGTCCTTCCATCTACAGCTGATTTGAGCAAAGTTACAGCAAAGATCAATGATGGTATCCTCAAAGTTACCATCCCATTCGTTCAAGAGCAAAAGGTCAAACCTCGTGCTGTTACCATTGAAGACGCAGCCGAGTAAATATCTGCCGTTCGAAGTAAGCTCAATCAAGCTTTCCAAGATCAATCAAAATTCCAAGTATCCCCAAGTCAAGAATTACCCCCCTGATTTCCACATGTAGCATAAACAGATCCATAGCTCACCATTCTTCCAATCAATGTGAATAATCCCAATCTGAAACGAGTGTGCGAAATGTCTGATAGGATTGATTCCATTTTTATTTGCTTACAAAGTTTACCATCTCATCCACAAATTCTCTTGGCTTTTCAGCTTGAACCCAATGCCCTGTTTCGAGAGTTACATGTTTGGCTTTAGGGAAAAATGCATCGCAAATCGGAATGTTTCTCTTGTTGATATACTTGCTCTTTGCACCTTTGACAAACAGTGTTTCTCCATCAAATCTGCTCGTTGGCCTTTCTTTGGGTGTGAACTGCGTTCCCAGCCTCTCTGCAAGTGCTTCATCAGCTTTGAGCATCAAGCCTTGTTCGTCATCATAGGGAAAATCGCCAATTTGTTGTTCCAGTATCCCACCGATGGTCTTGATCGGTATCCTGAACGTCCAATGATCTGATCCGGGTGCTCTGGTAAGGTTGGTGAGCAAGAACTGCCGTGTTCCTAGTTCAGGCTCTACTTCTTCCAATACTTTATCGGCTTCTTGTCTTGATGAACATTGCTTTTCCTCAATTTCACACATCTTCTTGACATATTGTGCAAATTCTTTGCTAAGCGGTCCACGAGCGGGTGACATATCGACACTGATAAGGTAACGTATAAAATCGTTCGGAACATCTTTATCTAAAGCCATACTTTGAACTGTTTTACCTCCCATAGAATGTCCAGTCAAGATTGCTTGTTTGATCTTATGATCTTCGAAGAATCTAGTCAAATCTTTTGCCATTTCATCGTATCGCATGCTAGATATATGCGGAGAAGTTCCATGATTTCGTAAATCGACAGCATATACCGGAACTGACAATCTTTGAGCGATAGATTTACCCAACGATCTCCAATTTTGTTTGGAACCAAACAAGCCATGACATAGCACAACCGCTTTGGCATCCGTTATCGGGTCTTTGTCTTTCGGTGGTTCATACGATTCATATGCCAATTCTACCGGACCTTCCGATTGACGAGATGCAGATGCGCTGAAGGACCTCAATCCTAGAGGTGAGGTTCTATACGAGCAGTTGGACACCCTGAGTGATTTGGCACATCCCTGTCTTAGAAGCATGACGGCTTCAGATCCACACCGAAGTACCATTGTATGTTTGGAAGATGGCGGGAAGAAGAAGTCTTCTCCACTGAAGAGTAACTTTATTCCTGTAGACTACTTAACGCGTCTGATGCTGCTTGACGATAATAGGAGAACAACACCTAACATACACTTTGTGTTCTTCTCTTCCTCCAACGAACACACATTATGGGGCTTAAGATGTGATCAAAGTCAAAAGGAGGACATATATTGAAGAAAGATATTGGGAATCGGACGACAATGGAAGCAGACAACAAAAGGTGATCAAACTTATTGCTTACGAGGCGGCTTTTCTTTACGTGGTTCACGTACTGTTCTGGTAGCAGCTCTACTACCAGTCCAAGCCGCACGATCAGATCTCGTTTTTCCCCTTACGATGCCCAATTGTGAAGCTTTGGGTAAATCTTCATGTACTTCTGGCGGAGGTCTTAACTTTTGACCGGCATTGGTAACGTACCATAAAGGCTCTTTGATTCGAACGCCTTCTTGTGGCGGTTTACCCCATCTACCATAATACATATCATGTTTGTCCGTATCAACTCCGATTTTTGCCATACCGTTCATGATCTTGTTTGGGTGAGAATGAATCACATCACCTACGTGATGCGAACTATATTCTGCCAAATAAGAATCACTGTCTGATGGATAATAACCTAATTGTTTTTCTGCTCCTTTCTGTATGCATGAACAGAGATCAGCAAAGGCAAATTCATTCTTTCACCTCGTATCACTCACTTCGCTATACTTTTGACGTTCGAGCCTTGCCCTCTTGCCAGGCACAGGCGAAGCAGAAGAGATAGTCAACCAAATCACAGCAATGACAGGGATACTGAGGAACAACATCGTCATATTCGGGTTCTTGAAAAGAAGGGAGGAATCAGAGAGGATTTATCCATCTCTATATATCGTTTCAAGCATATCTAGCACAGCTTCAGGTATTACACAATGATAAAATATCGGTGCTTTTTCGTTTTCGGGGCCATCAAAGCATGATCCCAAGCTCCGAAAGGTGGTTGCACTGGAAGGCGTCAACGTACGAAAGACTACTTCGTCTTTGTGCGCTTTTGACCTGGCTGTACTGTATACCAATATTGCTGTTTAAGACGGATCTCCTTCTTTCCTATTTGTTTGCCCCAAGGTCCGTGATTCATATCATGTTTATCGGTTGGTAAACCAATAGAAGCGAGTGCATGTTCAATCTTATTTGGTTGTGCTTTAAGTAGATCTCCTACCCTGTTGGGATATGATTCAGCAATAAAAGAATCGTACCTGAAGGGATAATGTTTATTATATGATTTGGCTTCTCGCTAAGAAAAGAGAAAGAGAAGATTATGAAGTTGAGATCGCTAGTCAAAGGTCTTATCATGTACTTACTCTTGTCATTAGATTAGAGTTCATTCCCAAGGAGGAGCATTGACCAAAACATTCAAAGATTGGCAATGTCCTGCTAAAAGGGAATAGAAAACCACACAAAGTCGCATAAAGAATTATTCGGTTGGGAAACATGCTGAGTGGTAGAAGATGTTTGCACGATGATCACAGGAGATGAACAACATGCTTTCACTGCTAACGGCAAATAATTCGCCATGAATCACTCTGACAGGGGCGTTAAAGTAAGCGGTATTTTCACACTGCCATTCAAGCAACAAGTATTGTTCTGTTCATTAATATTCATGGTATTTTTAAAGGGGCGTTCTTACATGTTTGAAACCTCTTTCACTCAAGACAAAGCTTGCAAAACGTTGTCAGCCTTTGTGACAGTAACGTTTGGAGCTTCATCTTCAATGAAGATTTGTTGAACTGTGTTATTTTCAACAACGGCAACGTAACGTTGAGAACGTGTGTTACCCAACAATCCTGAAGCGTCAAAAGAAAGACCGGCAGCTTTTGTGAATGCACCGGTATCATCAGCCAAGAAGTGAACATTTGGGTTTGATGAACCGAGCTTTTCCTTCCATGCTTGTGTTGTGAATGCGTCATTGACGGCAACGATGTAAACTGATTTGATACCTTTTGCGGCAAGTTGATCGGCATGTTCAACGTAACCCGGTACGTGAGAAGAGCATGGTGGTGTGAATGCACCTGGAACACCAACAATCAAGAATTTACCGCCAATTTGATCTAGTTGAACGGTTGGCTTGTGTGGGTCGTCTTCTTTCAAAGCGATTCCAGATGGGACCTTGGATCCTTGCTTGAGTTTGGAACCACCAGTAGCGGCTTTAATCTTGTCCATTAAATCAGCCATTATGTGTATGTATGCGGTTGTATTTGTGTTTGTGTTTGTTTTGGGATGTGGTGGGAAAGAAAGTAGATTGAAGGGGAGATGCACTTCGTTTATATACATCCCCCTCTTTGTGAATGTGGAGTGGCTTTTCTTGGAATTCTGTGCACCTCTTCCCTGTTGTGATCATCCTTTTTTGGGGCATGTATGTATGTACAAGCAGGACGGTATTTGCTTGCAACGGCTTTTGAATCTTCTTGATGTACAGCAAACCTTTAACGCTACATGACGTGTGTGTGTGTTTTAGCACTCATTTCCTCCACTTAAAGGCACTTCTTCTCTCTCCCCCGCACTTAAAACAAATGAAAAGAACAACACCATACACACCTCTAGCGTATTTGCAATACATAAAAAACAGCTTTTACTTCCATGCCATCTTTTGTTCGGCATTGGCTTTTGTCTCCCGAGAAAATCGTGCATGGGGTTCTTCAACGGTCAACAACTCACCGCATCGGCAGTCATTTCAACAAAAGATAGAATATCATCACATCAATCACGTGGGTAATTGTACATTGTCACAACCTTGCTTCTCTCATCACTGGCATCTTTTGTGATGGTCTTGGTGCAATATGTCGAATTCCCTTGATAGTATGCAAATCTTTTCGTAAGATTTTACCAGATGGATTTTTGATAATTTTATCGCAAATGACAAAATATTTTGGCCATTTATAATAAACGGCTAAAGTGACGATATAATTTGTTAACCTTTGAACGAATTCTTTTTGGGCTTTTTCTTCTTGTAAGATGGAAGTTTGATTTGGTACAACGTACATGCAAATCTCTTCACTTTGATCTGCATCCAAAACGCCAACTGCAGCAGCATCATTCACTTCTTCATGTTTGCCAAACACGCTATCCAATTCAACAGGAGCCACTTGGAATCCTTTCACTTTGATCAACTCTTTCAACCTGCCGACGATCCATAATTGTCCATGAGCATCGAGAACGCCTTCATCACCTGTCTTGAACCAACCATCTTTGGTGATCGAATTAGTAGTATTGGTCAGGTCTAAAGCACCAGAAAATGTTTCGGTTTGGACATTGTCGTCAGAACCTAGACCAGAATAATAGCCTTGCATATTCGAGCCAGCTCGAACCCAAATCTCTCCTGGCAATCCTTCATGCAAAGCATGCAGCCTTTTCTTTCCATCTAAACCAGTACTTTCAACTTGAAGAATGATGTCTTGACGTCTACGTTTGGTTTCTTCTGCCGTCAAACAACCGGGAATGGCATGAATGGCAATTTCTACGTTTGTCATTGGCGCTCCTACACTTCCGATTTCCATTTGTGCGGCTGTGTTGCTTTCTTCATAATCCGTTGCTGTTGCATGTGAAGTTGATCCTGCTTCCGTACTTCCGTATGCTTGATGGACAGGTTTGCCCATCGCATTAAAGATCGTTTGAATGGCAGCGTTTGAAGTTGGTGCCCCACCACAACATATTGCCCGGACGGTGTCCAAGATTTTGGGGTTGAGCTTTCCTTGTCGTTTTTGTTCGACGATCAAATTTCTCAGATGAACAACGACTGGCGGCGAAATGTGCATATGTGTAATACGATAAAGTTGAACGAGAGAAAGGTAGTCTTTTAAATCGAATCTTGGATTAGCTGGAATAATCACCGTTGCTCCTGTCGTGATCGCAGGTATCAAAATCACAGTCAAGCCATACATATGACTCCAGGGGGCCATTGCGATCCATCTTTCTCCTCCGTGTGTAGGGCCATGCAAGATCGGTAAAGAAGTCCAACCTGAGTAAATCGAAGAAATGAAACCGAAGTGACTCAACAAAACACCTTTGCTTGGTCCAGTCGTTCCTGAACTCCACAAGATCAACGCTGTCCGTCTACGCTGTTCAGCTCTAGATAGTTTTCGGATGGCGAAAGCAGGTCGAGAAAGGCTGTCTAAAGCGCCAGATTGCTTGTGCCCTTGCGGTGGTGAGAGAAGATGTGACCAATCGTTCGGATCGGACAAAGCAGAAGCGCCATCTTTTCTTGCACTGCTACCGTAGTAATCTACTCCTCCAGCATGTGTTGCACCGACATTCACAGTGAACACCCTTTTGGCTGCATTTGGTGGTAAATCTCCTCTCTGATAATACCTCGTTCGTTGTGCTTGCCAAACGCTTGCTAATTCTTTTGCCCACTTTTGTGCACGTTCAGCAATTGCGGGAGTCAAATTTGTCACCTTTCCATTATGAACTCTTTCTAATGCTTGCCACATTCTTTCTTCGCCTTCTTCTCCTGCAGCACAGAATATAAGTTGAGGTCGAGCTTTGGCAAGGATATGTGCCAATTCATCAGGCATCAAGAGATAATTGACCGTCGTTACTGTACACAGTGCAGACCATGCTCCCAAGACGATGGAAGCATAAGGCATACAATTTGGCAAACATACCATCACTGTAGTACGTGGTGAGTGAATTGGAACATCATTATCTTGGCCATCAAAAGGCAATTCCGGTCCAACTAATGCATTGATCGAACGGGCCATTCGTAGACTATCACCACGTAAACGTTCCCAAGTGATCGCAGCTCCCGTTTTAGCATCGTACATGATTGTAGATTGAGGTGGAATAGGGAGTCCATCGAATGAATGCCCTTTATTGATCTTTTTCGTGCTCGGAGAGGCATAGGTATTTGGACTATGTTGAAACGGATTAGAGAATGCAAATTGTGCCAAATTCATTGCTGGCAAATCTGCCTTTGGACCGATGGCCACGGCCAATCGATCGCCGGGCTGTTTTGTCATGTCTATATGAGAAGGGAGGGGGGTTCTTAGAGGTACACAAGAATGTATACGTTTTAGGGTTTTTATATATTTATCCTAAAATACAACTTAAAGTTGCTTGTCCCCGTGTTTCCGGTTCCTGATGCAGAATTACACTGTTATTTTGCTTGCTTCGCGGTCCCTATCAAATCAATGTCAAGTCACTGCTTCTGTGGGGAAACGCGTTCAAAAGTGTTGCTGCTTGTGTCCGGTGTCAATTTAGTATCACTACGTACGAGAGGAAAACGCGGACGGCTTCAAGTCCGTCTTTTGTTTGGCGTACAAGGTGGGCTGAACTCTTCCGTTCATATTGCGTCCTTTATCCGTTCCTCTTTCGTACGATAACTAAAAGAGCGGCCTTTGTCATAACTTTGCTCATCTTAAAGACTTCTTGTCAGTAAGAGAAAGGAGGATTGTATTGTAGAGATGCTTACGTAAGGTCTGGTGCGGAAGACGGTCAACGCGTTTGTCTTTTTTCTAGTGTATTGCCTTAGGAAAACTTCGCAAAGAAGAAGAAGAAAGTTGCTTCCCATCATACATATACCCTGTCATATCGAGCATGGCACCTACACTTTCGCTCACTCAATTGAGCTATACATCATCAGGATTATTGTCTACACCAGTTGATAGACTAGACGGAAGAGATCTTTTGGCTTTTAGACCATTAAAGATTGTGACTGGAGTGGCAGATCAAGCTGCCGGAAGTGCAAATTGTACTTTAGGCGATAATACAAGATGTTCGCTTGTAATTAGTAGTGAAGTTGTTCAAGAGAGTGATGAAATTGAAAGCGGTCTTATTCAATCGTACATCGACATTCATCCTGCAATTCCATCAAGTGCAAATCTATCAGCACTTTTAGTCAGTTTACAAAAATCACTCGATCAATTGTTCAACCCAAACGCAAGCGCTATCGATACATCTCAATTGATCATCTTACGGAATCCCAAAGCACCACATAGACCAACAAGAGCATGGAAGCTGATCATTGATATCACACTTTTGGATGTCTCAGGTGGAAATGTAGCAGACGTAGTATTTGCAACAATATATGCTGCTTTGCAAGATGTTCAATTGCCAAAGACAAGAGCAATTGGATTTGACATTCAATCTATGCAAGCAGCACAGGCGAACAACGGGCAAGGATCACAGAAAGTGGACATCTTTGATGTTCGTGGTTCATTGACACGCACAAGAGGCGCTGGAATACCTTCATCAGATGCAACCCGATCATCTCAAACAGACGATAGCCCTTTACTGGATGCAGAGCAAAAAGCAAAAGTAGGAGTGGACTTTGAGATTAAAGATATATACGATGGATCGAATCGACTCAAAGGTACACGAGCATTCCCGATTGCGATCACGATCAATGTTCTTCCCAATGGAATCTTGTTGGACGCAACCCAAACCGAAGAGGCATGCATACCTTATACTCGCCGAGTGCTGATCCTTTGCGATGCTTTGACTGGCAATGTCTTGGGTACGCAAATGCTAACTGCATCTTTCGAAACCGGTTCCAGCAGATTAGGAGAAGAGAGAACAAAAGGCGGTGCTTCAGCAGCTGAGCAATCCATTTTGGGAACGTGTGATTTTGCTACCATCAAAAATGCAATCAAGCAAGGGCAGATATACGCAAAAGCCCTGCATTCAGCCATTGAAGCACAGATAGGCACAAAGGGAGAAGATGATACACAAATGGCAATCGAATGATGCAACCTGTACAAAAGAAATGCTTTCTATCAAATTTGCAAGTGTGATACAAAGAAATACAAAAATAAGTGGTGGTGGGTATACCTCGTTTACATATTCGTGGCTGGAACGGTACTCTGTGAACTGGATCGAGTACTTCGACTGGAAGATGATGCGATCGCTGGATGTTTGTCGCCTTTGAATCGCAAAGAGGACACGTCCACGCCATCCCATGATCCTAAATCGCTCAAAGAGCCGGCATTGCTATGACTGCGAAGTACTCGGGTGATGATATCGGAGGATTGGCTTGCATGATCGGCTTGACTTGCACCATCTTCTGTCGAAGCATCATCAACCAATTTACGCATCCGTTCTGTAAAGCTAGGTCCTATTCTGCCGACCAAATAATTGACAAATCGGACACTATTGCTCCCTGCCAAAAAGAGTGAAAGACTGCTAGGAACACTTCGCAAACCCGATAACAGTGTCGCATGCAGAGCTTCCGGCAAACTAGGTTCGGCAACATTTCCAGTCACATATGTACGATGAGGATGAGACGAATTAGAGAGAGCTCTTGTTTTGCTTCTGGCTGAGTTCGATTCTGCATCAGCCTCACTTCCGCTTTCAATTTCCTCTACCTCTTCCGCAACAGATCGCCCATCGAGCAAGAGCCTCATATGGTGCTGTCTTCGGTTCCTGCTCCAAACATCGTCATCTATACCATTACCGATAGGTGCTCTACTTGCAATGGCTGCGTTTGTTGCCCTCTCTTTTTCGCTTTCTTCGATCCGTAGCGGTCCTTCATCGCGAAAGAAAGATTGCAATACTTCCTCATCGTCCACACCAAAGACTCGCTGCAAAATCGCACTCAAAAGGCGTTCAGAACGAGAAGAGGATTCGGGTCGGTATGTTGTGCCAGCATCTTTGCCACTTTGCTCATGTTTGGATCGAAGACGGCCGACGGATGAACCAACTTGGCTTCTGCTTCGGAGAGAGGCGGCTGAAGTTTGGCTTTTACGACCTACGGCACTTCTTCGTCGATTGGCAGACAACAATTCACTGGCAATAGCTGCACTATTATTGCTTCGCTTGCTGCCCTTTTCGCTTTCTCCGTTCTTGCGATGACGACGTTTGGGCACACGAGGGTACAAACCGGCAGAATATGCTTGATGAGCTGATCCGAGAGCTTCTTCGAATGCGGCATCGTCTTTCTTTCTTCTGGCTTGCACTGCAATCTTGTTTGCCTTTCGAACCTCTTCCTCTTCGCCTTCGGACTCGGACGTCAGAATAGCTGGCACCGCTTGGGAATGCGCATTGCTTTTGGATACGTTGCGTGCCGATTGGACCTGTGATTGTGCTGCATTCATCCATGACCAAGAAGATGATGCCAAAGTGGATGATCCATGTTGATTGAGTCGAGATGCTCTTTGTAATTGATGTGCAGAAATGGATGTGCTTGGTTGATTCTCTTCGCTGGATGGATGATTGCTTGACCTTCTTCCGACGTTGAAGCTTTCGGAATCGGAGAACAGAGCGGAAGACGATACATCCGCCTCATCCAATAAATCTAGTTCGTCATCAGTGAACAATTCCGAAGTGACCGCTTCACTCGGTGGCGCACCCCAAACTTCTGGTGATAGAGAGGCGCGATCGTGTTCATCATCAGCATGATAGGAAGGCGAAGATGGTCTTGTGAAATTGCCCGTTCCGTCATGAGCAGGTGGCAGTGTTAGATCCAATTCAACTTCTTCCTCCGGTGAATCTGATGGAGACCTGTCCGTTTTTCTTCCTTGTAAAGCATTTGATCCGGATGGAAGATTTCTTGGTTTTCCAGGAAACACAATGTTCCAATCCTCTTCTGCTACTTTAGCGGCATTACTGCGGATTCTGGAAGTGCCCAAATTATCATGTTTGTCTGGATGGGCTGAATTTCTCCCTATCTGTTCATCAGATTTAATCGCATCCGTTTGTCTCTTGCTATTTAGCCGCGAAGGCTGATGTTGAAGAAAAGCCATGGTTATGGGAACTTGGTGATGTTGAACAGAATACAAATGATCACCTCAATCTCCTTCAAACGATGATATCCTTTGATGATGATGATAAATTTGATGAGGGAATGCCTATCGGGCATGAGCCTCTCTAAAAGATATTCGGCGGACAATCGTCACGCCATACAAACGCCAAAAGATGCACGATAAAAAGATCTCATATCTTTCATGCACTTTAACAGTGTATTTGTTCAAACCCCGCTAGTGGTGTGTAAGCGCGCATATTACACACAGTGCGGCCCAACTATCCGATTATGCAGACAGAAATGCAGGGCTGTCATACTTGCAGAACTCTAATCACTCGGTGCATCCCCCCCTAATAAGCGGCGCCACAACCGTTGAATTGTCTGTGCCTTTGACAACTCTCTCTTTTTTTGGGGGTAGCGTAATTAGACTACAAATTAGAAACTTCTCTTATCAATTATCAACGTGACATATACAAAGCCGTAGACTGATAAAGAAATCTTTCGTGTATACATCTTGAACCTGATAATGTCGACTTAATGACGGATAGAGAAATTATATTATCGAAGTTCAGGTCTCATTGGCTTCCCTTGTCTCTGTCCACCATAGACCTTCTGACCTTCTCTATACGATTGACCGGTAATCGGAAATGGAGAGTGGACGATCGAGGATAATTTGTACTCCTTTTATGTTTAATAATCAGACTCCCTTTTATCCCTATAATTAGGGTTTTTACATTAGATTCTACTATTATAAAATATTAAGGAGATTCTTACTGCTTTTTATTTCCAAGGGCAAAGGTATAAATACGTTTGATTTTAAGTAAAACCTTTTTCACCTTATCCATCAACTTCACATTACACAGTATTTGAACTCTACAAAACCCTCAACAATATCGACCAAGCATTTATTTATCTTCAAAAATGATGCTCAAAACGTTCACCAAAGCATTGGTTATCCAGGCCATCTTGTCTATTTGTTTAAATGGAGTGGTTTATTCTGTAAGTTATTATCTCGTTCAATTTTCTTATAGGTCTGCTGACAGACACTCGTATCTTTATACAGGCACCAACGAATAACATGTTGCAGGTACGCGGAGCTACTCTAGGAGATGTGAATATCGATACTCGAGTTTTCAAGCGCCGCTATAGACATCACAGAGGAAGGGGAAGACGTTTCGGAAGATTCAGGAGTAAATTCCGTAGGCTTACAAACAAGTTCAAGCATATTTTTCATAAACGTAACTTTTTGCAGGAAAAACGAGCTATTAACTATGATGAACCTAATCTCCCTCATCGACACAAAAAAAATAATTAGTTCTTCTCTTTTTCATTCGCGAGATCCTATTCTTAGATAGTAGGGTAATATATACATCAAAGAAATGCGTACGAATCACATCAATATACAGTAATACATCGAAGATAATTAAAATCTGCGAAAGCCACTTTTCTTCGTTCATTTAACATTGACTTTTGGTTTTACCGCATTTCTACCTGGAACGCCAAAGAATTTCTTCATCTTCGGATCGAGATTGAGATTACTAAATATATTGACAATCTTTTGATGTTCTTGAGCTCGGTTCAAGTACCAAGACTTTCCAATTGGTACCTGTTTTGCCCTGCTCAGGTTATGCTTAATCATTCTTTGATGGTGCGGTACATCTCTGATCATGGGCAAACGAGACAATATGTTTAGAGCTATGGCTGTGTTCAGGAGCGTTGAAGCAACTAAAATGATCTGAACGAATGTTAGTAATTGCATCTTTGCCCTAATGAGAACAGCAGATAATTATGTTGTCTAGGGTTTTCTTGGAATTGAGTGAAAGGGGTCCTATTTGTAGGTTAATGTGCATTTGCTCAAACGATCACAACCCTATTGTAAAGCCCCTCATTTTGTGCTTTTGACGACCCTGAACCGGCATGGGGCTCCTTTTCATTGTAAAAGTTTTGGAACCTTGCTCTCCACCTGAACTGATCGTTTCTGCCCCGGATCATTTTATATCGTGAACTGAACAAAACGTTTGAGTGAGATAGAAGTGGCTGTTATATACATGAAACGCAATTTGGTGGTGTGTAAGCAACGAGAAGATGATAAAATCTCAAAAGTATAGACGTCATATTATATACAAAACGTGTAAAAGAATTATCATCACTGTGTAGCCTATAAATGATCAATTTAAACAGCATTATGATCGACATTTGGACTTCTTGGAGAACCTGCGCTGGTATATCCGAGCTGTATTGAATCGCGGAATTTGATCTTATTAATTTCGCGTTCGTCATCGCTGTTTATATGACCAAGTCTTTTATGGACTGCACTATCTTTAGAAATATCACTTAGAACTTTTTTGTGGCTATCTCGCTTTTGCCTTGCATACTTGTGCTTTCCTTCCATAGTATCAGGAAACTTTGCGAGAATTTTACCTACTTTTGTGTTTTTACGAAGGCTTGACCTTTGAGGAAGCGTCGTATCAAGTCTATTTTTTTCTTTATGCCAGTGATTTCGAAGAAATTCAGCATTTTCAGCTTTAGTTTTGAGTTTAACAAATCGTAAACGAGGCACTTCTCTTGCTGTATACGTGATTTCATTTGGTCTTGGTTGCAAACTTTGTTCTATTTCTTTTTCGACACCCTTGCCAAACTTAGTAAGCTGACCATGATTCGGGTGAGCTTGGTTTGCGCTGGCAGAATAGGCGTTCAATGATGGATCTAATGAACATGTAGCGCCGAAGACCATAGAGAGGATGACGAGTACGAAGTACTCGAATGCTAACGATAGCATCACTTAGCACTCTTAGAAATGATGTCAAGATAGCTTGTAAATACCGTTAGAGTGTTGGAGTCTACGAACTCAGTGTGGCACATGAAACGGGACCAAAGGGTGTTTGATAACCTAAGATGTACAGGTGAAGTGCGAAATGTATCAATTATGGGGATGATTTCTGAGGAATTCTGAATGTGCAAGCGCTATTTATGTACTGCATTGAGTGTTGTGTGTGTGTACGCAAGTGTTGTGTGTGTGTACGCAAGTGTTGTGTGTGTGTACGCAAGTGTTGTGTGTGTGTACGCAAGTATCGCGGCTGAAACCCTTGTGTACGGCTGGATAGGTAACCTGAATTTCAATGTATTCACAGCCTTTGCATATTCTTCACTTATATGTTCATGCTTTTATGGACTGATGTATCTGAGATCTAATTGCTAAAAGGAATCGACGAAACATCTTTGTACAAAAATAAGTCAGTAAAGAATGCTTGTTACTCAAGCTGGGAAGTAAAGATGATGATATCATCAAAAAATCTCAATGCTCAATAAGAATCACGGCGAGCGAGAGCGAGAAGATGAAGAGGCATAAAGACGACGAGGAGGGCTTGGACTACGATACCGGTTTGAAAGGCTCGGACTACCATGATGGCTTGATGGGCTTGGACTACCATGATGGCTTGAAAGGTGTGGAGAACCAGATGAAGAGCTAGTTAGAGAAGGTGTAGGTCCAAAAGACGATCCATTCGAGCGGCCATCAGAATGGTAACCAAGCTCATGCGATTCGTGAGGGTATTCCATCTTGGTAATAGTGTGAAAGTCCTTCTGACTGAAATTTCCTTCATCTCGGTGTACTTTTGCGTCAATATGAACATCCTCTAAATGACCTTGGTGGAATCCCCTCTGACCTCTTGCAGACTCATATCCCTTTTTTGCTTGTAGATATCGCTTATTTGCTATATCGTCAGACCTACGACCCGCTCTGTTCTCTTCCTTACGCATCTTCTGCTTGAAAAATAAGATGTCTTTATGATTTTCATTACGCCCTTTTTCTGCTTGTCTTTTATGATCCCATAATCTGTTTACCCTTTGACGACTTACATCTTCTTGTTTCACTTTACCGCTTTTTAAGTCACGTTCTAGGTTTTCTTCATGAAGAACTCCAACGTTGGTCAAACCCTTAAGACTAGGATTTGGTGTATTGGCTTTCGGTGAAGGTCTTTGGTTAGCCTGTTCAATACCAGCTTTATCCATTGAGGCTGCCAATCCTAACAAGTTGAGGATAAGAAACACAACAAAGATCTTGAACGGTAACAAATCTGATTTCAACATTGCAGAAGGAGGAAGGATTTTTCTTCAAGATTCAAAGAAGACCTGAGGATGTGAAAGACTTGAGGATGGAAAACAACCCTAGGAAATTTCGTCTTTTTATCATATTTGCGAATCTGATTTGTGTACACTTGGTTTCCTTGTTTACACTTGGTTTCCTTGTGTACACTTGTTTCCTTGTGTACACTTGGTTTCCTTGTGTACACTTGGTTTCCTTGTGTACACATGGTTTCCTTGTAAAAACGCAAAGGCTAACCTGAAACTTTCAGCGAACAGGCATTATTGCTCTGTCGCATATCAACCGTCCAGATCTCGCTCTCATTCTCCAATGTAAGTGTTGTACACATTCATCATATCACAGATCCCCGAAACGTGCTTAGAAAAGGTGAATTGCAACAAATATACACATAAAGAAATATAAAAGAGGGAACAAAATTTAACCTCATACCGGGGCAATCAGAGGAAAGCATAAATCAAGCCCTATGCACCCGGTGAGAGTTCATTATTATTATCTTGATAATCAAATAGATCGAAGGCGTGATCATATGTAACCTATTGTTGATGTCAGCTAGATCGAAGTTTAGATGTTGCTGTTGAGCTTGGCGATTTCTTGGAAGAAGAAGAGCCAGAAGTAGAGCTTGACGAGCTAGAATGGCCACTAACTCTAGATAAAGAGAGTGATGGAATAGCACTTGAAGATGGGCTGGACTTTGGAGGAGGAGTATGACGTCTGGGACGCGAAATAATTTCTACTGAGCTACTTGGGCTAGGAGACCTACTTCTGTAACCATAAGAAGAACCCTTGGATGCTCCATCAGAGTCATAACCTAAAATTTTTGACATTTTGAATTTAGGCTTTTCGATAAAATTGGCATCTTTTTCACCTATAGTATTAAGCTTTCGGTGAACTTTTGTATCGTGAGCGATATCGCGAAGAGTCTGTCTAAACTGATTCTTTTCAATTTTATTTTCTTCTGCTAATTCCTTCACGCCTCCGAGTTTTAAACGTATTCGTCCAGCAACTGTTTGACTTTTTTTGCGAATCTCTTTCTTAAAGTGTAGGTTATTCAAGTGTCTTGCGTTTCTTTGATGTTCTGCAGAACCTTTCCTGTGCCACATTTCCATTACTCTTGCTGATCCTACCTGTGTTGGATGAAGTCCTTCGCGCACTGATTCTTCTAACTCCTTTTCTACTGCTCGACCGTGAGCAGTTAGGCCGGGTAAGTTTGGTGTTATTTCATCTGCATGCAATGGTCTTTCGGCTGCCTTGTTCTTGTCGGGTAACGGTTGGATCAATCCCTTACGGCCAGCAAATACGAGCAGAGTCCAATTGAGAGTGATTGCCATAAGGCAAATGATGTTGACGCGCGCAAGTTGCTTCAACATGCTTAGGAGAGAAAGCAAAGATGATAGAATGGGGAGTGAAACTAACCAATGTCACATTCTTCTCTTTATACCCTGCGAACGTGGTCAGCTTGAGTTCTTGCAAAAGTCTCACTAGCCCCCGTATATGCGTAGTAAAACTTGTGTACGCGAAAGGCTTGCGCCTCCGGGGATGATTATGGCAAGCACACTTAAGCCCCTTCCATCATGCAAGACTTAATGTGATACGTTCAACGAGTAAACAATGTACATTCAAAGAATAAAAAGGGTAATCTCCACAGAGAAAGACTTGATGTGAGATATGAGAAAAGCTTGAACGTGTTTAATGTACATTAGTGGAACTTGCAGGACACATGAAAGCATCCACTTTGATCCTACCATGATCCTTTCTTCGCTGTCAGGAGTTTTGACAACCAGGCATTGGACATTTGTATCCAAGCTTATGTGAATCGTCGGTTTTGATCCCCACGATTTCATGTTGGTCTTCAGAGCTCAGTAAACCATGTTCTCTGTACAAAGCCGCATCTCTTCCTACTTTATTAAGTACTTGAATATGTTTCTCCTTTTTCTTGATGGCTCTTTCACGTTTTGCGTCCATAGTGTTATGCCAATAAGTACGTACTTTACTCATTTTACTAGCTGGATCACGACCATGAACATTCATCTTTTGAGTATATTGATTTTCTTGTTTGTGGCGGTGGTTTCTCTTTATTTCCTCAAACATACTGATGCCCTCCATACTTACTTTACGTCGCAATGGAATTTCTTCTGGAATCCATTTTCTGCTTCGTTCACTGTTACCTAAATTCTTTTGGATCTCCTCTTCTACACCTCGGCCAATCTTTGATAGACCATGGAGGTCAGTATGGGGCATACGAGGATCTTTTTGAACATTTGTGTCAGTGCTAGAGCTCGCAGCAGAAGTGAGTAAGACAAGAAACAACAAACTTGCAATAAACAGACGAACAAGCTGAATTATCATGTGCAATATCATTGTCGTATGGAAGTGCTAAGTGAGAGTTCGTTCAAAGGTGTAGCAGGGATATATTGCCTATTAAGCGAAGTGCATTACAGCAAATAAACGTTTACAAGGGGCGATGAAGAGGTGACATTGCACTTGTGTACACAAAAGTGTACCCTCAAAGCATTTCCTATCACAGGTGCAGGGCTCGTCATCGCGATGCTAGACTGTGTGCCTGACTTGTTATTGGCTTTAAGTGGGTGTGCATAACGAAATTGTCATTATATGCCACAGCGATGACCTTGTATTTCTAAGCGCCAGTGGTCTTGTGTGAAGGTCCAGGGCCACTTGTTGAACGATTGGGTGAGCTACTTGAAAATTTACCTGAAGAGGCACTGGAAGATCCACGCGGTGAGCCAACTGGGGATCCATGAGGAGAGCTACTGGGAGATCCACGTGGGGAGCCCGTTGGAGAGTTTGGAACCGATGAAACATGACTTCCATCTTTTCGGAATCCAAGCTGACGAGAATGATCAAAATTCATTTGTGTCACAAATCGCACATCTTGTTCAACAAAATTTCCCGCTTTTTGATGGATTCTAGCATCAGATTTAATATTTCGCATAGTTTTTCTATGTTTGTCTCTTTCTTCCTTTGCATTATTGTAGTTGTCGTGCATAGCGATTTCCTTTTGCTTTTCTTCAGCTCGGGTACCGTGTAACATTTTACGTACTCGTTTATCACCTGCTTTGATGTTTTCATGTCCTTGCATCATTTGCGAATCTACATTCATATGATGTTGCTGTTTATTACGCTGAATTTCTGCTTCGCCATGCACTTTGTATAGTTCATTGACTCTGTACGTTCCTACCTCACTTGGATGAACATGATGTAAGTGTTCTTCAATTGCTCTAGCATGACGAGAAAGATCCTTCAAGTTTGGATTCGGGGTGTTTGCGCTCGCTGGTCTTTTGCTTGAATCGGTTAAAAGTGTAACCCTTTCAGAATTCATCGCATAGGTTCCCACTCCAATCGAGACAAGCAGGGAAAACAGTGTGGTCAGTTGAGAAACAAGCATATGTGCTATGACTGATGGTAATTGAAACTCTTGATAGTAAGAGTAGGTTGAAACTTTCTAATCAAAATGAGCGCTTTAAATACTTTCATCTAATATGCGTCGTTGCCTTGAAAGGAATTCAACTGTACTACGCCCCAGTTGGGTCTTTGCATATAATGTATCTGACCTTTTACATCATCTTGTTATACCGCAGAACGCAATGCTCACAGCCAAAGGGGCGCAAAGATCAATACTCATTCTGAACTATACAGCCTTTTGGTTACACAAGTCATGATCAAATTTACAAAACCAAGGGACACAGTTTCTTCCCTTGATTAAATCGAGTATCAGAATAAAGTATCCGTTTTTTTACACCGAGGCTACAAAGGTGATGAAGGTCTTGCTTTTTTTCAAATCAATTTTTGGTAGATGATAATCAGGAAGAACATGGGAACACAAAAGAGGACGCTATAATGGTAGAGTATCGGGGCTTATTTGACGCTCCTGCTTTATGAGTTTGAGTCGGAGAACCAAGCCTGGATCGACCTTTTTCTTTGGGATTGAAGTCTAGATGTTGCTGTGGAACTTGCATGAGACATATGAGAAGAAGTATTATCTGAGCTACTTGAAAAAGGATCACGGCTAGACGCAGGAAGTGAAGGAATAGAACTTGAAGAAGAGCTGGAAGCAGGAGGGGGGGTATTGCGTGTAGGGCGTGAGAAAATTTCGTTTGATTCGCTTGGACTAGGAGGTTTATCTCTGTAGCCGAAAGAAGAACCTTTTGAATTTCCATCAGAATCATAACCTAACGTTTTTGATATCTTATATTTAGGCTTGTTTATATGATTGAAATCTTTTGTACCGATAGTATGAAGTTTTCGGTGTATTTTAGTATCGTGAGCGATATCACGAAGAGTTTGTCGAAATTGATCCTTTTCGATCTTATTGTCTTCTGCCAGTTTTTGGATGCCTTCACGTCTTAAACGTATTCTACCAAAGAAAGTACGACTTTCTTTTTGGATTTGTTTCTTTAGTTGTAAACTTTTCACATGCCTTTTATTTCTTTCATATTCTGCAGTCTTTCCGTGCTCCCACAAATTTCTAACTCTTGCTTCTCCTACTTTTGAAGGACGCAAACCTTGTTGCAAATGACTTTCCAATTCCTTTTCTACTGCTTTACCATGATTAGTCAAACCAGGTAAGTTCGGAGTCACTTCATCAGCATGAAATGGCCTCTCGTGCTCTTTGTTACTTGATGGAAGAGGGTGGTTCATATGATAGCCAGCAAGTACATTGAGAATCAAACTGGTAAACCACACAAGGTTGACGTCCAAAAGTTGCTTCAACATGCGTAAGAATGGACAAGATGATGGATACCAGTGAGAAGGGAGTGGTAAGCTTTTTCCCTTTTTATATCCAGTGATGAGATATCAGATTGTGAAATGCAAACGACCTCATTAGTCCCGAATCGATCGTAGGAGAGCTTATCTGTACTGCTTTTCAAGAGGGGCGTATGCGTTTGTGTGTGTATGTTTGTGTACACATACAAGCCGCCATCCCTAAAGAGGTGCGGGTGGTAATCCTGTTCCAATGTTTAAGCTTTAAATCTGTGCCTGAAACGAAATGGTTGTTGGCGTTAAAAGAGTTTGTCTGCATACGCGCGAAGTTGAACGTAAAATAGAAATGCCACAGCGTTCATCTGTCCGTGCATTTCAAACATTCACCTAAACTAAAAGGGACCGGATCACCCTTTCCACTTCTTCACCACAAACCTCTACCAAAATATGTCTTCAAATTCAAAGGCAAACGGAAGGCCTTCAAATCAGACAAGAAGGCCATCTGTTCGATTCTCAGAACAAAATCAAACAATATTCAATATTCAAGATGATGAAGATGGAGAAGAAGCAGATTTGAGTAAAGGGTTGAATGGACATACCAATCATAAATATCATGCTGGAATACTGTTTGATGAAGATGAAGAAGACAACGAAAATAAATCACCTTCGAAAAAAGGAGCGAGAGCATACGGCCTAAAGTCAACGCAATCATCAAGAGAAGCGGAATTTGATGCAGACGATTCAGATGTTGAAGAGGAAGAATTACAAGCAGCACTTCGAAGTACTGATGAATTAAACGCAGACGTCTCATCAAGATCTCAGAGAGGCGGTTTCAGGATAATGGACCATCTACCTCCGGCTATGAACAGAGCAAGACAGAGTATAAGTGACGCAACCGGTCATGATTTTCGAGAAAGCTTGCGGAGAACGATGGAAAGCGAAGAATTACCGGACTGGCTACGGAGAGGTGCAGGAATACTGGACAGTACCTGGAATATGAGCAATAGCATTTTAGGTGCAGGTGTGGTCGGTTTACCTTACTCGCTTCGGGCTTCGGGTTGTTTTGCTGGAATTGGTTTGATCTTACTTATTGCAATGCTGACAGATTGGACGATTCGTTTGATCGTGCTAAACGCAAAGCTATCCGGACGGACGACATACATAGACATCATGGATCATTGTTTCGGTAAGAATGGAAGGGTGGCTGTCTCAATCTTTCAAGGCGCTTTCGCTTTCGGTGGAATGTGTGCTTTTATCGTGGTCATCGGAGACACCATCCCTCATGTGCTATCTTCACTTATACCCGCACTTGAGCATTCGTTTTTGACGTCAAGAGCTTTCATCATGATTGTTTGCACGATGAGCATATCCTTTCCACTCTCTCTATATCGCGAAATCGAAAGCTTGAGTAGGGCAAGCGCAATTGCGTTGATCAGTATGGTTTTGATCATCATTACTGTTATCGTTCGAGGACCGGCAATGCCTGCAGAATTGAAAGGTGACCCCAGTTTACGATTCACTGTTATCAACATTTCCAACGTCGTCCGATCAATCGCTGTCATTTCTTTCGCATTTGTTTGTCACCACAACTCCTTGCTGATTTATGGAAGTTTGAAGGAACCTTCAATGGACCGATTCGGCAAAGTTACGCACTATTCGACAGCTATTGCTGCTGCTGCTTTGGTGTCAATGAGCTTGGCAGGATATTGGACCTTTACAGATAAAACACTGGGAAACGTCTTGAATAACTTTCCTCCGGATGATACGATGGTCAACATTGCACGATTTTGCTTCGGAATGAACATGCTAACAACATGGCCTTTGGAATTATTCGTCGCACGAGAAGTGATTGAGACATACTTTTTCGAAGGCGAATATGATCATCGGCGACACATTATCGTAACATCAGCGCTAACGGCAGCTTCACTGATCGTCAGTCTTTTAGCAACCGATTTGGGAGTTGTTCTGGAAGTGACAGGAGGATTGAGCGCTACTGCACTCGCCTTCATCTTTCCGGCAATATGTTACTTGAAGCTTTGTGATCAAGAGCCAAGCCAGAGTGCAGCAAATGCAAGGAGGGAAGGACGTGGAGACTATGCGGGAATAGGAAGTGAAGATCAAGATGAGGAAGAAGATGATAATGCATTGCATCGTGAAATGCATGGTGACATCTCTGCGGATGATGTTGAATTGCCACTTCGGCCTGGAGCACAATTGCGAAGAAGGGGAGCTGAATTAAGTGGAAAGGAAACACCTTGGTACTTGACAACGAAACCTTTGGCTGTTGCATGTACTGCATTTGGATGTTTCGTTTTAGTCGTTTCTACAATCACGACGATCAAAGATGCTTTGACAGGCAGCGGTGGACCACCGATTCCTCCTCCTAATCAATTACCTGGAAGTGCGGCAGGAAAAGAAGCTTTGGAATCACTGTCTTCTACCCTTTCCTCGGCACTTTCATCAACAGGTTCAGCAACAGCATCAAATGCCAGTACAACAGCACTCAATACCGCAGCTGCAACATTAGACAGCACTAAAAATATTCTAGAAATTCATAGTTAGACGTCTGGCTCCTCCAGCATTGTTGCATTAATTCATCTTTCCCATCAGCACTTTAGCACACGATCAATGATCCACTTGCAATGTATAAAATCACAATTGAGACAAAACGAATTGGTTGATACTGTACAGATGGTAGTGGTTAACGTTTCCCATTTTAATGCGATAAAAATCGACTTCCTTTTGCTCTTCTACGAGCGAGGATTTTACGTCCAGTTTTGCTTTTTAATCTTGCCAAGAAACCATGCTTACGTTTACGTTTACGTTGTGAAGGTTGATATTCTGCACCGTATGTAGCATAACGAATCGAAGAGCCCAAAGAGCCGGCTTGTAATGGAGATTGTGAAGCGTTTGCAAGTAGATGAGGTGCAATCATTCCCTTAGTTTGGGCAATTGAGGATATTCTTGGTCGTAGTGTAGATCCCATCAGTGATACATTGTGCATGGAAGTATTGTATGTCTTTGGAAGACGTTGGGCAACAGAACCAATTCTAGATGGTCCAGCGACGGCAGCAGCAAATCGAGGTGCTTGAACGGATGCTAGTGGCAATCTACTTGATCGCATTGCAGCGATAGGAAGTCGTGACATGATTGATGATCTTGATGGAGATGTGATTAACAGCATAACTGTTTGTTTGATTGAATTTAGCTTCTGCTTCTTTTTATTCGTATACATTCACGTGATGTCGGCAAGTTTACACTACGCGCCCTATAAAGTCTTCTCATTCGCTCATTCCGCTTCCGAGAAATTAAGCAGTCTTGCCTGGCTGGCTACCGGCTGGTTTAGCTTATTGCCCAGACTCTTAAGTGTACCTGGCTATTGGGCTGTGCTATGATTATATTGTATCGGGAAACAGAATGCCACTGCGTTTTGACATTTCACAAGGCTTGTTGAGTGTATGTGTGTGCATAAAACAGTTAAAGTGCCTTTTCACTCAATCAATTGTCTGTGCCATGCTGCAGATCCGGATTGTGGGCACACAAGACTCAGTTACCACTCAACAAGAACAATTGCTGCTGCCGCCTCCGAAGAAGCCGCACGACATCTCCTTATATGCGGGTATGAGATTATATTAAACATGTTTCTCATTGCACTTATTCGGTAATTCCGTTTACCGTTTCATTCTTCCTCCCCACATTCATTCTTACTCCTCATCTTCAACTTATACATCCCTTAAAGGCCATACAAACAAACAAACCAGACATCCTTCTTTCTGGTAACTGTCATTTCAGCAACCCCCCCCCCCACAAACAAAAGGACAATAATCGATTAACTCCTAAACACACCCACCCAACTAAACAAGATGTCACCTGCCGCCACTGCCGTTTCTGCTCCAGCATACACTGGTCATTTGACCAATGGTGATCCAACAAAAGCAGCAAAATCATACAAACCAACTCATCCAGGTAAATTTGAAGTTCAATTCCGAGATGGTGAATATAATAGTTGTTTGGTAGCATTGCAAGATTACAGCAAAGGTGAAACGATTGCAATGATGAGTCATGCATCTCCAAGTAAAGCAATTCGTTATTCAACAGTTCAAGTAACCGAAAATGATCATATCGAATTAAACAGTGATTTACTTTATTGTAATCATTCTTGCTCTCCTTCCGTTCATTTCAACGTTTCTTCTCCTGATCCAAGTAAATGGCACGCTGAAGCTTTACGTGATATCAAACAAGGTGACGTTTTGGAATTCTTTTATCCAAGCACAGAATGGAATATGTCACAACCTTTTGATTGTTCATGTGGTGCAGGAAACAAGTGTTTAAAGCGTATCTCGGGTGCAAAGTATATCTCACCAGAAGTGTTGAACACGTATGTTGTCAACGATCATATCAAAAGACTTAAAGCCAATCAACAACAAAACGCTTAGAGGGACAAGCGATTGATGATGAGAAAAGAGTCGTATACAATTTGAAACACTCCCAACCGCCCCTCCTTAGATAGACTTCATAGACCAAAATTATCTGCTGCAATTTGATAAGTGCACTCAATGTTTTCTCATAGAGGCAAAAGTGGTGAGATGTCCTTCTATTGACTAATGTACAGGTGGAAGATAGGCCGTCATACGCTCCCTCATACGATGCGCTCTTTTGGTGCTTGTGGTGGAGTCGATTGGGCTGCGAGTGTGTCGTTTGTGGCTGCTATCGAAGATGCTTTTGCTTGATTGGCAGGGACGGGAGATCCTGCAGGAGTTCCAGCAGGCACCCCAATGTCACTAAAGTCATCCTGCTTGATTTTGTAAATACTGTAGAGGTATAGATTCATCGCTGTGACGGCCAATGTTCCACCTACTAATACGTTTCTCACCACAAAAGGTCTTCTTGCCCTTTTCAATCCTTCGGAAACGCCATAGCCACCTGGATGATAACTAGAATGAGCAGAGAGACCTCTTTGTGGCTTCTTTTGATGTTGATCAAATACGCTTTGTCTGTTTGATGCCATGTTGTTATACTTGTTGATGGTGGCTAAATAATACAACTCTTCCCGATTACACACAAACCTCTTCTTGTCTTCCGGGTTTTGTGGAGTGGAAAAATACGCGCACGTGTACTTTAATGGAAATGCTTAACACGCGTAAAGTATGGAAGTGCTCAACGGTAAGGAACAACACCAAAGCAACACTTCCTGTTGACCATAACATTAACACCCGCTTCACATGATGAATAATCTCAGTACATCATGAAGGTAACCATCTCGGATTGGTCAGCAGTAGGATATTGGGTTTGGGATGTAAACAATGAAGATGATGAAGATGCAATTTGCGGTATTTGTCAAAATGCATTCGATGGCGTTTGTGGAACGTGTGATGAACCTGGTGATCAATGTCCGATCTTGTTTGGTAAATGTACGCATATATTTCATATGCATTGCATTATCAGATGGACGGAAAAGATGCAACCGGAACCTCTTTGTCCTTTATGCAAAAGGAAGTGGGGTAAGTACTTTCTAAGGGAGATGTTCAAGTCATGCCAGCAATCCTTACCTTTTCCTTCCCTCTTTCCCCATTGCAGAAGAGATCACAGCTGAGGACAAAGCTACTGCAAATGGAGATCAAACGAATGAAAGACAACAACAGACGGGGGATATGACAACGGATATGCAGGAAAATGTGCCCACAAACACAATCGAAGGCAGTCTGAGCATGGAATCCGAACAGTGATCTATCCTCGAGGGGAGGTCCGTTGTACTATATACTATTATCGAAATCTGTATTATACCAAACACTTGTCATACTTGATAACATATTGCATTTTGATGAACATATCCTTGATGAGAAAGTTGCCGCTCATGTATGCGGCCATAGGCTGCACGGACACGCTTTAAGTGTTAGCGTAGAAAATATACTTCTTCGCATGCATCCTTCCTGACGATCATCCCAAACGAAAAACATGTCCGGACAACAACCAGTGGATGTGACTGAACTAAACGTTGCACAATTACAAGACGTGCGAAAACAGTTGGAGCAAGAACTACAACATCTCACAGCATCTTACGGTCAATTGAAAGCAGCCCAGGCCAGATTCAGAACATGCATCGAATCAATCAATGCTATACAATCACAAAAATCTCAACGTGAACTTTTGGTTCCTTTGACCAGCAGCTTGTACGTTCCAGGAAAGTTGACAGATTCGAAAAAGGTTTTGGTTGATGTTGGAACGGGATATTACGTCGAAAGAAGTACGGAAGATGCACAAAAGATGTATGAAGGAAGAGTGGATTTCGTTTCAAAAAGTTTAGAACAATTACAAGAAACAATCACAAGAAAGGAAGATAATATGCGTGTCGTACGAGATATTTTGGTTGTCAAAGTATCGCAGCAGCAACAACAAGCAGGCGGTGCAGAAGGCCAAACACAAAAAGCATAGCGTCATCATGCTCAATACGATCTACGTCCCGATCATAATTGTACACTAGGCAAATCAATATCATCACTTTTTGCGTAAACGAAACTTCAATTGGGTATAAGTGTACCTTTTGTCGCCATGGCTGTGACATGCGGGTTGAGGGTGATTCGGACTTACCGACGGCCTTTGTATGGCTTTTTCTGTTGGAAGCGGGGCTTCTGCTATGCAAATTTCATTTCTTAATGAGGTACATTCATCCGCTCTCTCTATAAAGTCGGGACGGTTTTCGATTTCCGCCTTTACTTGTCATACCATCGTACTAGGTCTTTCCAAAGAGCAGGTACTCAATCATAACAAAAAGAAAATGCGGATCATTTTAACTATCATAACGCATACAATCTTGACGATTGTATTATCTGTTTTGGAAGCTCAAGCAGCAGGATCGTCACAAGGCAGCGATCATAGTCAAAATCAAAAGCTCGAAGATGCAAGGAAAGCTAGGGATGACACGACCTCAAAAATGAGAGTCATGGTTCGCGGAAAAGCGTTGAATTTGAATAAAGTTCAAGACGTCAAACTTGGCAAAGGATTGAAATCCTATCTTCCATTCACGGAAGATTTTACATATAGGCGATTGCAAAATAAAGAGCGCAAGCAAAGTGATCGTGTAAGTAAACTTGAACGAGGAACAAATCTTTCCTCTTCTCATCAATCGCCGCAATCGCAACATTTGAGTGGTTTCGGAAGCCCTCACAACAGGCAAGGATCTACATCACCGGGCAGTCATGCAGATGAGCTTCAATTTCAAAGGTCTCCCAGCGCTTCTTCAAGCGGTTCGTCAAGCGGAGCTAGAAGTCCAAGTCACGGTCGGGATGAGCGTGAAAAGATGCTGGTTCAGCTCTCGAATAAGAAAGGTGAACCTGTTAGACAAGGAGGCAGAGATGACAAGGGGAAGGGAAAAGCGATCGCTCGCAGTCCAACTTTGGTACATAAAGGCTCTTCCTCTGATTCGGCACATTCTCTTTCTCATGGTGGCAGCAGCGAAAGACATAGAGAGGAATTATATGAATATCAAAACAGTCGTTCTTTGCCAGTCGGTCTTGGCCACCAAGGCAGATCTGGTGGGCTTGGTAGTTTCGCATTTCACTCTCCTGCACATTCTGAATCTGGTATTAATAGAGGGGGAGGAGACTCTTTTAGATCTGCCGGTCGCTCTTCCAGATCTGGCGCTCAATCTGTTGGGAGATCTAGCGTGGGATCTGGAGGATCACTTAGATCCGGTGGGCTAAGTCCAGTGGGCAAAGATATCGAGAAGAGAATAAAGGGTCTTGAAGGAGATCATCAAAAGGCACTCCGTGAAATCTTGGTAAAGGGAACAGGAATTCGTTCGAGTAAAAAAGTGCTTGAGAAGGAGGAGAAAATCGCAGAAATTGATCAAGAGTTATACAAGAAACATCGTCCTGCACCACTAAGTGCTGCGATGAAATACGTTCCTCATACACACGAGTGGGACAGGAGAAAAGCTATGGCTTCACATGATAAACATTTACGACGAATGGAAGATGTAGTAAGTGATGTGAGCCTGCATGCGCAAGAAGGAAAGATGAAATTGGACGTGCTTACGGATATCAGTAAAAATGTTGATGAACAAAACCGACATCGAATGATGATGAAGCAAGAAAAGGCACAAACTCCCAAATCTAAAAGACTTCCACCATTACATCCCTAACAACGCACAATTTCTCACAATCCTCCAACCTCTAATACCTATCGCACTTTAATTTCTCAACTCTAGTCCATATCATGGATCTAATTTTTCAAATTTTCGCAGAAGAAGCTGATTTACTACTCGACCGATGCGCCTCATAAATTTATTAATCCTGTAAACATTCGTACTATGTAAGGAGAAATGACATCTTTAATCATCTATTGAACTTTGTCCCTGATGGCAACGTGTACCAGAGCAAATTTTTGCCTCGACTTGCAAAACCGGGGCAATTATTGAACGGCTTGGTACAAGGAAACTCAATGGCAGTGAACCTGATGAGCGAATTTGTATTTCTCTCACAATCACCATATCCTAGATATTTTTTAATCATACCAAAACAAATAAAAAGACTTGAAAATGATGCTTTTCAATATGAGAGCGATCATGATTCTCCTCTTAGCAAGTATGCAAAATTGGGAAATATGCGGGCTTCCGACCACGTCTACAAGCTGGAATCAAGGAGATCCTATGAAAGGTATTCAAAATAAGGAAGGATTTTTGGGTATTGAGGAAGACAAGATAATCAAAAGGGCTTCTTTGTGGGATCGTGTAAGAGGCAAGAAGATTATAGAAGATGCTCCCAAACAGACATACCAATATAAAAAACTAGAGAAGGAAGGTGATCACAGTCAACACGCTGAACATAGTGGCGAGACAAGCTCACATCACAGTGAAGGACAAATCAGTGAAAGCAGTTTACATGGTTCTACGCGCAAACCTACTCCTTCTTGGTTACAACGTGGCAATTTCCCTGAACATGGTTCGCTTCCCTTGAATACTTCATCGCAACCTCCATCTGGACAATTAACGGTTCAATCGTTGAGTACAGGCGGACGAAAGATCGAGGATAAAGTTAATCAACTTCAAGGAGGCGTTCAACACCGTGAAAGATTTAGGGATGGATTCACATTAATCAGAGGAGCAAAAGCAGCAAAAAAAGTGCTACGACAAGGTGCAAAATTGGACAAGATGGATTCCAAGCCACCTTCTACATTACGTACCGTCATCAATGCCATCCCAAGAAAAGTAACACAAGTGCAATACAACAAAAATCTTAAAACTTTAGGTCGCGTCGAAAAGGATGTCAATATAAACATGAGATCAGGAAGGATGAACAAGAACGTTCTCAGAGATATTGCTGAGACTGCTCATCGAATTAATGATATCAAAATTGAATTGAAAAATGAAAAGAAGGCTAAGAAGGCTTCTAAAGGTTCTTTGTAACAACCATTGTTTATAGCTTATCTTGCATCTGCCCCTTTTCCTTACACCTAAACGGTACATCAACTGTTCTCAATCGTTTATATTCAACTGTACAGCATTTTATCCTCACTGTTGTGTGTTTGCAATGGCACAAGCTCCGTTGTATCCTGGGGCGAGTATGTACGCCCCGTTGCAGAACGTTCCTAAAAGTTAGAGTGACTTATTGATGGTACGTCCTTATACAACGGCCCGATTACCATACGTATAAAGGTATTTGAAGCCCCTCTCGGACTTATGAGGCGATGTACATGCCTTTGAATAAATCTCTATCCTGCTTCATCACAGCTCTTTGTTTGTTGTCTCACGACTATGACAAGCATAATAGGTACTTCATCATGCTTTTGTGTAAGATAACTTTTCTTCTTTTTGCTTTAGCAATAAGTACATCGTTTGGAGCGCAAATAAAACCTCTTGGGTCAAAAAGATCGACAGGACAGTCTACGCACCCTTCACAAGCTAGTCATTTAGCACAAACCACATCTATTCGTTCTGAAGCAGATGTATCTTCAGGCTATCGTGCGATTCCTGTGAAAGAAGCACCACCTCCAAAAGCTCCACCGCTATCTAAGGCAGGACAAAAATATGAATTGCAACAAAAGCGATTGGGTAAGAATCGCGAATACAATCCAGAAAAATTTCTACATAATCAAGTTAAGAAATCTGGAGAAGGCTTAACAGAGGCTATGAGAAATGAAAACAGGTATGCGGGCATGATTAAGTCGGCTCATCGTGACCCAAACTCAATTCTTAGTAAGGCACGCAGAGTACTTCCAGGAACGATGGAATACAAACATAAACAAGCAATCAGACAGACCAACAAACATGCGGGTGCTTTGGCAGATGTGATGCACGATACAAGAGTCTATCATTTGCATAGTGGAATGAGCGAAAAAGCTTTTAATACGCTCAACACGAAAGCACATGCAGCGCTGAAGCAGCGATATGCGATTCATAAATGAATCATTCTGTATATACACAAATAGTACGAGTCTAGAATAAATATCAATTTGTGGAATTGAACGGGTACTGTTTGGCCATGTCTGCTCATTTGCTTACTGAACTGCCATAAGAGCCCCGAATAATCGAATTTGCGTAAGTTTGAGGCAAAATCTGCTTCACTGAACAATGTCGTAATTATTTGAGCTTTATAGATTGCGGAAGTGGCAAATGATAGCCACTCATCCCAAAATCAATTTCAGCAAGATGATATTAACAACTATGCTACTCTTTGTTTTCTTACTCACCATTAGCAGCATCGAGCTTACTTATGTATACTGCTCGTCGCCACCTAATTCTCCAAAGATGGGCTCTCCGCATATGCCAGGCTCCCCATCCAAACCGAAAGATCTTTCGAGCACATCAAACAATAAAGCTGCATCTTTATCGGAACTTGGGTCAAGAATTGAAGAACATATAAAGATGAAAAATATGTCAAAAGAAGAAGCGAATAATTTTCGATATATGCAAATGACACATTTTGGACATCAAGCTCGTGTAAAAAGTGAGTCTGCAAAAATGAAAGCTGAACAAATACATGCAAATATGAGCCAAGGTAGATTCCATAAGAATAGCTCAGTGAATACATTCCTATCAAAAGTACCAAACACAAAGCATAACAAACATAAACTTGCTCTTGATGAGAAAATGCAGCATGATCGGGAAATTGATGAAATTTTAAATGATGCTAGAATTTTACATCAAAGAGGCGAAATGAACTGGGATACCGGTAATTCGATCGCACAATACATTTCACCGTCTTATCCGCACAAACATCGGGATTCTGATAGCGAGTAAGCCCTTTCAAACAAGTAAGGAGAACATGATAAAATGCATAAAGGCGTACATTAAGAATCTAATTAAAGCCACACGATGTGACCTCCCCTTTGTAGAATTCAGTAAATTACCTTTCTTTCTTAGCGTGTGAAGACGGTATATTTCGGAAAGAATTTCGGTCATTTAAAGAAGGTCATGCATGCACGATCTTAGACAAAGGTAGCGTTCTAAAATCCTTTTCAAACTTCTTTAGTGTTATGCAGGTTGATTATATAGAACCAAAGTTGCGGTTTAATTCCATTTTTGGTCGATCAAAGCACTATACTTGTCGGTAAGAGTACCATATCAAAATCGATACCCTGCAGATACGTAGAGTTTGGATTACCCTGCAGGGAAAAAGCATAGAAAATATATCCGTTATGTTTATCCATTGTCTTCATTCCGACAATCCTTTGTTCTTTAAAGTGAATGATTAGCGAGTGAAATTGAACCACTTTTGATTTGTATTTTATGAATAAAAGGACAAAGGTAAGCCCTTTGTGTGTTTATTGTATTGTATATCGTAAATGCCAATCAATGCACGCTTTTCACTAATGAAATGATTCAATCACCGATCGGCTATTCGGCATTAAACAAAATTACCGCTTTTTTGAATAAAACCTATCACTTGTGCATATAACGTAAGACGGAAGTATACTAGCTTTTAAACTCGAAACTCCATTGACCATTTTAGCGTCTTTAACTTTCTTTTCGTGGCGCTCTCTGAGAATTACGTTTAAAGTCAGCTTGACAGCATTTGCCTTGACTCGATCCTAATAACTTGTGGGAATTGTGGGATAAATAGCGGATAGCCAATTCTGATGAACCTCTAGAGGATATTTATCCTTTTTATCCGCTCAATGGTTATTGCAATTGAATTGTTCGGCGTACCACTAATTAATAAAACATTGCCGTCTTTTCAGAAGGGGGAATATGCAATAAGTAGAAGTCAGCATGTGGTGGTTTAATGCAGAACTTTTTATTAGCTCGTAGATCCGCGCTATAGGAAAAATAAAAGAAAGCAATTTATGTACTCAGACGTGGGGTTCCATAAAATAAATCAGGCAGAACATCAAAAGAGGTTTTGATCCTTTTTCTTTTTTTTATTTTGATTCTAATTTGACTACTTGCATACTCTTGCATAAGAAACGGGAAAAGTAGCGCAATTGAATGACAATCACATTCACATCCGCTCTTATAACGCCAAGAGTGACATTTCTTGCTATTATGTGGCTTCAATAAGCAAGTATGTTTGTCAATTTGCAAATCAATCAATCCCCTTTCTTCCATCATCAAATCATTTCTCTGGACGTATCACCTGGTTGCGGCTTCTTTCCTCTTCAAATAACCGTCTTCCGTCATTCGTCATCGGACATTCTCATTTAACGGCGCCGCTTCAAAAAGGTTATATATATATTGTAGTCTCCTACCTGAAGAAACGGCTTTTCACCGGATTTTCCATTTAATCTCTGTCAAGTCATATGATTCTTTGTTTGACAGGTCAAACTTCATTTACCAACTTTCTCCATCAGTGATTCATCAAAATGTTCCGTTGATTTTCTCACTCACTTTTCTTTTCAGCAATGGATGGTCATGTCAATATGCCTGCTTCATCAATGCATCGTACTTCGTCTGCTGAACGAATTGCTGCCGAAAGTCTACCAGATCGAAGGGCAAGCGAACCGGCAAAAGTGTTTATGAAACCATTGCGTACGAACGCAGTACGAAGGCACACAGAGATGGAACTTTCACCTGCTGACAAAGATGCGATCGAAGTGGAAAATTATAAACGACAATTAGCAGTGATGGGCATCGCAGAAGCACCATCATTCGTACCAAAAGCCACTCGATCACAATTGATCAGCCGAGGCAGCAGTGCAGGACAAAGCAGTAACAGTGGCAGAGGAAGTAGCGGTGGCAGTAATCCTGCTCCTCCTCCATTCGGCAGCACCTCAAAAACAAACCTGTTCTCATTCTTCAAAAGTTGTTCGACTAGATGGAGCCAGCGTCGACCTACAACCATACCTTCGAGTGATGATAGCGATGATAATGTATCCTATAACACAACAAATCCTTTCCAAAATGATACCTTGCCAGCAAAACGAGACGATCTCGTTGTCATACCACCAAAAGGAAGACTATGGCTCGATTCAGGAGCGGAGAGAGCACGCATGGAAGCGCATGATCTGCCATCACCTTTCAGTTTCAATTCTCCCAATATGTATTCTACTTCGGGAGCAGAAAGTCGTGGCTCAAGTATACGATCACCACCATCTTCCGTCGGCAGTTCGCGCAAGAGTGCCAATGCAAAACAACTGATCCTCGAAAGAGCGACAGAAGCAGGTGAAAATCTTGCCAGTAGGCCATATCTGACCAGTTCCAGGAGATTCAGTACGAGTGCCGCTCTTCCTACTCTTGCATCAAATGGAATTCATTCAACAAATGCACAAATACGAGAAAAGAATTCTCGAAGCTCATTCTTGCCTTCGCCTGCAATCATTTCTCCAACAAACTTGTCGGATAAAAGTGCGATAGATTTTGATGAAATGCAAAGATCTTTACGTACGACGATGGGAGCTGCAGAAAGACGGCAACGTTCGCAAGCACGACCAAAAACTACGCCTAATCCGTCTCGCACCATAGCACATTCGGCTAGAGCTGGTAGGATTGATGAAGTGTCTGATACGAATCCTGAAGATTTAGTGAATGCATTCAGACAAGCAGTGGATGAAGATGTTAATCGAACGCAAAAGACACACACTCCCGTGTCTCCGCTAGGCACACGTTCACCACCTCCTTTTGGTCATTCGGTTGATCATTCAAGAAATCTTCGCCCACGAACATCACGCGGAAGCTTATTGTCATCGGATGGAGGGACAGCAAGATTTGGTTCTGTACGTGAGGGAAGCGTTTCTGAACGGCCCAGAACACGAACGGGAGATGGTGGTTCAGTGAAACCTTTTGGATTTGGTGTGGTGTCGAATGGTACGAGAAACATGCAAAATACTGGAGAGCAAGGCTCCGAAGCGGAAAATGATCTGGAGAAGAACAGTGAATCGCTTGAACATCCTTTAGAGCGTATCACAACTCGTAGTACCGTGGAAGACTTGATGTAGAATCGCATCACAGGGACGGATCTGGCAAACAAAAGCAAAAAAGTTTTATACTCTTGAATACTCTCATTTTTATAGTTTGTAGTTTATTGTATTATATCGTCAAAGCAGACACTTTCTCTTAATATACCAAGTCCAGATAACAATCGTTGTTGATGATGGCAGTGAATGCCTTTAAGCTCACGTGCGAAATTGGCAGAAGGTTAGCGCGAGATTTTGAGTGGATTTTGAATATTACGTCAGCTTGAATGAAGTTCGATTTCGTTGAGGTGAAGCAAAAACGCAGTTGCACGTGTGCCGCAGTTCAAATTTACCTTTTTTAGACAGACTTTTCGCCCAATACGCGTTTAAATTAGGCATGCTCCTGCACTGGCTGCTTGCTATAGCACTTGGCCCAGAAGCCATAAGCTACAGTCGCCCGAGCTGCTTGCGCGCAGTAGACCTGCGTAGTTGAGTAAATGAGCGAAAGTTGAGTGTTCTAGGCAGGAAGAAGGGAAATCCGTATGTCCAATTCACATATCTACAATCCAGCTTTTGATCATCACCCACCAACCATAATATATACATAGGTCATCATGTCAAGCGGCAACAAGGGTGCAACCAAGGGCACAGGTGAGTAATCCGAGACGAGATGAATGCCGTTCGATTCGATCATTGCGACTGGTTCGATCTTTGTGTGAGAAGAGAGAAGAGAAGTAGGGGATGGGATGATGTGAAAGGGAAGGAATTTGTGATAATATTCAGTACGACATCCAAAATATACCATCAACGCACACTTTCGCGACCATGTACACCAATAGACTCCAACTCGGCATATCAAAACGACATACATCAGTACACTTTGTCGAATTCGAACAGCATTCATCCAATTCCAGCTTCCTACGAATGACATGCTGACCAAATCTTCCTTTGATTCTATCTCTTCAGCCGAAGGTAAGGCTAAGGCTAAGCCACAAGCCATCAAAGCTGCCGCCGCCAAGAAAGCAGCTTTGAAGGGAACCAACGGACAAAAGATCCGTAAGGTCCGTACTTCAGTTACTTTCCGTCAACCAAAGACATTGCGTTTGTCACGTAACCCCAAGTACCCTCGCAAGTCTATCCCCCATGCACCTCGCATGGACGCATACAAGACAATCTTGTACCCTCTCAACACAGAATCCGCCATGAAGAAGATTGAAGAGATCAACACCCTCGTCTTCATCGTTAACCGCACATCCAACAAACGTCAAATCAAGGGCGCAATCAAGACATTGTACGATGTCGAAGCAGAGAAGATCAGAACATTGATCCGACCTGACGGAAAGAAGAAGGCTTACATCAAATTGACACCTGATCAAGATGCTCTTGATGTTTCCAGCCGCGTTGGATTGCTTTAATTTTGGTCAATTCGGTAGATTCTTTCACGACAATGATTATTTCGTCTAATTGACGATCTACATACACATAGCAACCATTTGGAAGCGATCAATTGTTGTTACTCAAGGTTTCAGTAATTTCTTTCTTATGATTTGCAATTTGCATCATTCGACTCACATCATCACACATTCATGTATGCGTACTATTATTAAAAATCCATATGAATGGATATCTCATGTCAAAAGTTTGCACGGGTAGTGATCATTTTCAGATGATTGGCTGATGTTAGTGATCCGTCCATCTTGTCCAATTAATAGTTAGGTTTTGTCAACGATCGTACAAACCTTCGATAGATTGAGTGGTAAAAAGTATGAGAATTAATCGGCAGGCGCTTACACTGCTAATATGCCCGAAATCTTGAGGAGGCTAATTTATGCATCTAAAAACAAAGTTCTTCGAGTCACTTTGAATCTTCTTCGCGAGGCTTGCTTCTGATCACCACGTCAAGAAAGACAGATTATTCAATATGACACCAGCTCATGGTCATATGAACGGAGCAGGTTCAGGTCCTTCTTCGCACAAGAAGCATACACTTGAAACACTTCGACCGATCTTGATCAAATTAACACTTTCATGTTCGGTACCAATTCCAGCACATGCAACACAAGATGGTTCAGGTTCACCTGATCTAGCCACGAACGGAAGCATCTCAGAGAATTTCAACGTTCCTAAAATACCCACACCTTCCGTTAAACCAAGAGGGCCTCCGCTCAATTCGGAAGAATTGACAATCTTATTTGATCATTTAGCAGATGCAGAGTTCACAGCAAATACATCTCATCACGCACAAATTGGAGCATGCTTGACAAGTTTACGAATGAGCGGATGGGATATGAGTAGTCAGGCATTGACGATCGCAAGTGGATTGTTCTTACAGAAAGCTTTACCGGTTCATGTCCCACAAACACTTTCCAAGGAAGAAATTAAAAGTCAACATGCCAGTGACGAATGGTCAAAGGTTTTCCCGATTGAAGGCGATGAAGGATATCAGGGAAGCTTGGATTTGGTAGGCACCGGCGGAGATGGACATGATACATACAATGTTTCTACCACAGCTGCGATCGTTGCTGCTGGTGTACCAGGTGTTCGGGTTTGCAAACATGGAGCTCGTGCTTCTTCGTCTTCTTCAGGTTCAGCAGATTTGCTAGCAGCTTTGGGTGTCCCTCTAGCCAATCTGACGCCTTCGACAATGCCAAGACTGCTACCCAACTCGTCGTTCACTTTCTTGTTTGCTCAACTGTTTCACCCTTCCATGGCTCCTCTGGCTCCGATTCGACGTTCTTTAGGTTTCCCAACGATCTTCAACGTCTTGGGACCTCTAGTCAACCCTGCTCGGCCAAAGCGTAGTGTGATGGGCGTTCACAGCTGGGGATTAGGTCAAACGTTTGCTGAAGCATTACGTGAGAGCAAATGTGAACGTGGTTGGATCGTTTGTGGAAGAGAAGGATTGGATGAAATTTCACCGGAAGGAGAGACTGATGTTTGGGAATTGCGAAATGGTGAAATAAAGCACTCGGTCATCTCTCCTGCTTCGTTTGGTTTGCCTGCTCATCCTTTGGCCCACGTCAAATCAGGAACTGCAGCTGAGAATGCATGCGTTGCACGATACCTGTTCGAACCCAAGACACACAGTGGACCAATTCCCAAGGGACCACTCCCTGACGCTTTGACGTTCACTTCATCTCTCGATGGTAAGGAGTATTCTATCCCTGCAGGAACACATTTGGACGCCCTGTTGGATTATGTGCTTCTTCAGACGGCAGCTTTACTTTATGTGGCCGGCAAAGGAGCAACACTTTCGCAAGCTGTCACTTTAGCCCATTCTTCTCTTGCATTCGGAGGTGCAATCAAAGCCTTAGATCAATTATCTACAGAAGCAAAACGTGCCGGTCAAGCTGTTGAGAGTGAACAACATGAACGTGAAGAACGTGAATTGCGAAGGATTAATCGTAAAGATGACTTTTACTACTCCAAAGATTTACGCAATAGAGGTGGAGATCCGGCCGATACAACTGATGTTGAAGGTCGGTAAAAGGTGTAATCGCATATTGTACAATAGCATGAAAAAGCGTAATTGATCCAAATTGTGGATATAAAGTACATCACTGAAGAGGCCCAGAGTAGGTAGAATACATTAAAATACAAAAGACTAGGAGGTATAGTTCATTCGCTGGCTAGCCAAAGCTGATTGGCAAGGATATACGGAGTAATTCCCCTTGTACGCATTTTTTCGTCATCTACGTCGAATTCTGTTGAACGATTCTTTGCCTCTGATCGAACCATTAAGGACTGGAAGGTATCTTTCACTTCCGTTCCATCTGCTTTGAGGTAGCACGGAACAAAGCCCATCTTTCTGAACAGGCCGACAGCAATTCTAGGATAGGAGAAGGAATGAGGCACAGTCAGCAGTATATCACACACAAAAGCACTGTTAAAACACTTACGCATCTTTGTCCATCTCTTCTTGACTTTCGACATCGTCTTCATCGATTGAAGCAACTTCTTTTTCTAGAGCAGCTACATCTGCCTCTAAGATACGCAATCGAGCTTCTTGATCGTTGATCCTCTTTACAAGATCAAAATTTTGCGATTGCAGCTTTTCCATTTCGTCATCATGTTCTGTGTTCGACTTCCATCCCGCTGAATCACGCGTCGATGTTGCTCGTAATTGAGAAAGCGTTTGTGACAGGACTGATTGTGGAATGGGAAAGCAATCGTGTTAGCATGACTCCTGGCACATTCATGTTATCTCTTCACTCACCTTTGACATGACTTTGAATCTCGTGTACCTCTTGCTTTCGCTGACTCTCTGTATCTCTGATTCCTGCTTCTATCTGAGCATACAGTCTCAAATCCTCTTCCGGATCCAATACATCGAGCAGAGCCCGTGTGCAATCACTGCAGCAGAAAAGGAGAAATGGTCAAATTTAATGTTCTCTGATGCTTCGAGATCATACACGACTTACGGAAGCTCTTCTGGTGATATTTCGTTCATTTTTGCTTGATGAATAGATGTTGATATGATGGTGTTGCTCTCTCTCTCTTAGGTGTTGTATGGCCTTGACACACTTTAAGCTTAAATAATAAACGCGACTTATTGGTGATTTACGCGGGTGTTGCTCACGTGAAAATGAGCCTCCACAGGCTACAGTTTTAAGCTTGATAAGCAGACAAGCCCTGTCAGAATTAAAGCTTACAAACCCGGAATATTCCCCATACATTCATTCTCAACTTAATCAACTTTGATTAACACCATCATCTCTTCCTTAGTCACAATGATGCAACGTCAAGCACTACAAGCAATCAGAAGGAGCACTCCCTTGAGCTCCTCATCGCGTATGATGCTCCAATCAAGGACGCTTCACTCCTCTTTTGTCCGTCTGCAATCATCACCCAAGGATGGCAGTACTGGTGTAGACCCTGGATACTCTACAACAAAGCAAACGATCGAACAAGAACGTGAAGAACCAGAATATGCTCCAAAACTATCTCATATGTCCGACCCTTTCCCTCTACCGTTTGATCCACGTTTGCAAGGATTATCAATGTCAAGCGAACATCAATCGGAAGGCTTGGTGAATGGCGTTGAAGAGCCAATCCCATTACGGGTTCCAGGACGTGAGCCAGGTGAAGAAACAAGAGAGACCAAAGTCAAGAGATTGATATGGCAAGCACGTAAGCGTGGAACGTTGGAAGCTGATCTTCTGTTGGCTACATTTGCAAAGAAAGAGCTCTCCGCTTTGCAAGAAGAAGAGTTGGATGAATTCGATCGATTACTAGACGAACCAGATTGGGATATCTTCTATTGGATGACAGACAGAAAACCCGTTGTGGAACGATGGAAAGAGTCATTTGAAACAGAAGGAAGACTAGGTTGGAGAATGCGAAAACATGCAAAGAACGAAGAAAAGGAAACAAGATTTATGCCAAATATCTAATGTAGAAACACTAAAGCGAGCCTATAATTTGCATTCATTCCCAGCAGATATTGCGATATTTACACTGTAGTACATGTTCCTTTATGATAAAGCAGATGGATACTCTACTGAGACTTCTTTTCAGCTGTATTTCCCGATGAAAGTCCCAATGCTTTCATTTCAGCATCCCTTTTCTTCTCTTCTTCGATTCGTTCAGCACGTTCCATCCACCATTCCGAAGCTTGGAATAGCAAAACCCCGGCAAACAAAGCCAGAATGATTGTATTTCCAGCAGCAATCACCTTTATAGTTGCTTCTTGTTCATCTGCTGTTAATACTTCACTTGCAAGGTCAACAACTGTATCGGCTGATATTTCGCCTGCTTTGACTCGTGCTTTTGCAACTGCTTCACGTTGAGTACGAACGGAAGAACGTAAGAGGAGATCCATATTGTTTGGATCGGCTAAGATGCGTAGGTTAGGTACTTGAACTGCACCATACATTGCAACAGCTCCCATGAATAGCACTGAAAGGGGAAAGAAGATAGGGTCAGCATGCTAAGAAGCAATACATCCTCTCCGAACTTCCGCCTACTCACCCAAACTGACACCATCAAACCATTTTGCAGTTTCTGTCCATCTATGCAATTTTGCCAAAAGACCAATCAAACCCAAACCGATCATACCATGCAATAAAGCAGAGACGGCAGTTGGAGCTTGGAAAAGAGAAAGGTAAAATTTAAGAGAAACGTCTAATTCATGTTGACCATGTTGAGAGTATAATAATGGGAAATCGTATAGCGATGCGATGAACAAGACACCTGAAAGGAACGAAACCGAAACCAACACAAAACCTGTTCGGAAGCCCATCTTGAATGAATGGACGTGGATATGATGATGATGGCAAGTAACAGCAACTGACGGGCTATAATCCGTGCGAAGAAGTCTGACGTCTTTTAAACTCTCCGCATCGGCCTTTTTTCGTTAAGACAGACTGATAAAGACTCAAGGCCTGGCCCAATAAAGTTAAACACGCGTATGCATGAGGTACATAGCCAGAAGTCCTTCAGTCCATCTACCCGCTTTTTGACTGTGCCTGCATTTATTATATGATTCGAGAAGATGAAGCTATGGAAGATGACCTATGTTTATTCAGTCAAGATGCTCTTTATACCTGATAACAGCTGAGAAGGTGGTGAAGGCATCCTTGAATGAATGCTCTCATCATCTTCACGTGTCTTTGTCTGCGCTGTGATTCTTCAAAGAATGACGCTAGAAAACAAACAACGAATTAAAATGAACGCGTCTTTCTTATTAGAGTGCATTTGTGCTGTTGCTGGCGTTTGAGTCCAACACATATGAATAATTTGCGCGCAAAGGTAAAAGAACAGTGTGCGTGTGTGTAAAGACGACTTCAACTTTCAAATCCTTTATTCTCTCTTCACCATCAACACTCTTCGCTCTACGTTACTTCTGAGCGCTTTTCTTTTTCCTCTTTCTTTCCACCTATCTTCCGTCTCCAATCTCAAATTCACAATGCGTGAGGTTCTCTCCATTCACGTCGGTCAAGCCGGTGTGCAAATCGGTAATGCTTGTTGGGAGCTTTATTTGGCCGAACACGGTTTAACACCTGATGGTCGTATCACCGAAGGCAGCCCTTCAAGCAGTGATGATGGTTTCTCAACCTTCTTCTCAGAAACAGGTTCAGGAAAGTACGTTCCTCGTTCCATCTACGTCGATTTGGAACCAAACGTGGTCGACGAAGTTCGCACAGGTACTTTCCGTAGCTTGTTCCACCCTGAAACCTTGGTTACAGGAAAGGAAGATGCTGCTAACAACTACGCCCGTGGTCACTACACTGTCGGTAAGGAATTGATCGATCAAACTCTTGACCGCGTTCGCAAATTGGCCGATGCATGCACTGGTCTTCAAGGTTTCTTCGTCTTCCACTCCTTCGGTGGTGGTACCGGTTCCGGTTTCGGATCCTTGCTTTTGGAACGCCTTGCTCAAGATTACGGCAAAAAGGCAAAATTGGAGTTCACCGTTTACCCTGCACCAATGATGAGCTCTTCCGTTGTTGAACCTTACAACTCCGTCTTGACAACTCACACAACATTGGAAAACTCTGACTGTAGTTTCATGGTTGACAACGAAGCCATTTACGATATCTGCAAGCGTAACTTGGGTATCGCATCCCCAAGCTTCACCAACTTGAACAGATTGATCGCTCAAGTCGTTTCATCCATCACCGCTTCATTGCGTTTCGATGGTTCATTGAACGTTGATTTGAACGAATTCCAAACCAACTTGGTGCCTTTCCCACGTATCCATTTCCCATTGGCTACCTACTCACCAATCATCTCGGCTGAGAAGGCATTCCACGAACAAAACAGCGTTGCTGAAATGACATTCAACTCTTTCGAACGTGGAAACCAAATGGTCAAATGTGATCCTCGTGACGGTAAATTCATGGCATGTTGTTTGTTGTACCGTGGTGATGTCGTTCACAAGGATGTCAACGCTGCCGTTGCAGCAATCAAGACCAAGCGTACCATTCAATTCGTTGACTGGTGCCCAACCGGTTTCAAGATTGGTATCTGTAATGAACCACCAGCCTTGGTTCCAGGTGGTGATTTGGCTCGTGTTAGCCGTAGTATGTGCATGTTGGCCAACACAACTGCCATTGCTGCTGCTTGGAGTCGTTTGGATCGCAAATTCGACTTGCTTTACTCAAAGCGTGCTTTCGTTCACTGGTACGTTGGTGAAGGTATGGAAGAAGGTGAATTTGGTGAAGCCCGTGAAGATTTGGCTGCACTTGAGAAGGATTACGAAGAGGTCGGTCTCGACACTGCCGCTGATGAAGATATCATCGAAGATGAATACTAAAGGAGGTGGTAATTTACCTGCTTTAGCGGTCTTCAGTGTCATTTCCAGCCTTGTTCCCCTTTCCTCGTCAATCCGCTCTCTCTCTTTGACAGATCATACCCCTCCTAGAAAGGGTTCATATTTGAGATGTGTAATCCAATCTCATCTTTAATCAGATTCTTTCACTCCTGTTACAGCGGGTGTCTACCTTAGAGATTTATCTTTACACTTCTGGGAATCCCGTGAATATTGCATTGGCATGAGATCAGAAAGTACATCAGCATAGAAGGACAGGATATTAGTTTTGAGAGGTACTTATAGAGGAAACGTCAGGAATAGTCAGTCCGGCAGCACGAGCTTTTGCCAAAACGGCATCAGCTTGTTTAAGCATTGGTGCATCAATCATGATCATACTTTCACCTTCAACAAATCCCACTGCACCTTTATCATCTTCAACCGATTGTTCATAAGCAAATTTAATCTTTGCAGCCCGTTCAACTTCTTTTTCTCCTGGCGTAAAGAATTTTTGAATTGTTTCCACTTGTGCAGGATGAATTGCTTGTTTTCCATCAAATCCAAACGATCTACCTTCTTGTGCTTCTTCTTGTAGATATTCCAAATCTTTATAATCGATGCATACCATATCGATCGCTTGTAGATCATACGCTTTCGCAATGGTTGCCATGTGTGCTCGTGGAAAGTGTAATTCTTTTCTTGATTTACTACGAATGATGCCTGTAGAAGCACAGTAATCCTCACTGGCAAATAATAAAGCGCCAATTTCAACTTGATCATACATGTCACGATCTTCCTGTTCCAATTCAAATGCCTCAATGATATTTTGCATTTGTAAGAGTGAATTTGCGCTCTCGATTGAAAGAACGAGTGATATTTTTTTGAAATGATTCTTTGGCGCAGAAGAACGATGATATTGAATCTTTTCCATAATAAAGATGACATCATCGATCGATTCAACTTTTGGAACGACGATCGTGTTTAATGCCGTACTCGGAAGGATAACGTCAAGATCATCACTTGCTAAATTTAAATCGCCAGAAGGAGGATTGATACGAACTGCCAATTCAGGACCGGGTCTTGGAGCAGCATTCAAACCATGAAAGACACTTTCACGTGCTGCTCCTTTTCGATGTTGTGCAACACTATCTTCCAAGTCAAAAATTATACAATCTGCTTCGCTATTTTGACTCTTTTTGATCATCTTATCACTACTTCCCGGAACGTATAACATACTTCTTCTTGCGAAATTTGTCTGTTCTGATCCGTCATCTTCTTCTGATCTAGAAATTGAATCTTGTGCTAATCGAGCTATTTGAGTAGTTGTGAAATTTCTCTGTCGGATTGAAGTTGTGATTATGTTCGTTTTAGGGATAGCTGCAGTTGCTTGTCTTGAGATTGTACGGTTGAAGGTTAGAAATGATGATGTTGATCTCACCCCAAGACAACGGGTGGTAGATCGTGTACCTTGTCTGACTATGCCATACATCCTATCAATAGCAGGGGGGATAAATGATCGATGTGGGGATGTTTACAATGTCCCCACTTATGATACATTATGACCATGATCCAATCAATCTGTGTGTGTGCATGTATGCTACTGCATTAAAGGTGTTTGACTCCACAGTCCGTGCGTTTTTGCCTTTATTCGTCCCCTTCTTGTCTCTACACGTGCGGACTTAGTCGGATGTGTGTTCTTGTGTTATTGGCCGTGTTGAGCCGTGTATAAGAAGGGGCGTGTGCAATTCTAGCGCGTATACAATCATGCAAAGACGAGGAAGAATGATGACAACCTTTGTGACCGCCATCGCGTAAATATAGACGACAAAGACACAATAAACAATAATGGCAAGCTCTTCTTCTCAGCCTGCCAAAGGTCTACCGGCCAATCCTCCAAAAGTGTCAAGCGAGGATATCATCAGTCAAAAGGTAGGTGTTCGAGCAAAGGCCGATTCGATACATCATCCAGCATGCTAATCAATCTCTTTTCCCTTCACTACCAATTAGACTGATCTATGCATCAGTAATGCTATCGTAAAGGCTGGTCTTGGCTTCGGATCGGGTGTTTTGTTGAGCGTGATCCTATTCAGAAGTAAGTGAAGCAATCCTCTCAAAATACACTTCTCGAGACTTACCATTTCTTCCCGCTTTTCATCTCCATCAGGAAGAGCATTCCCAGTATGGCTAGGTACAGGTTTCGGATTAGGAAGTGCATGGACAGATTGCGAAAGAAGTTTCAACCCTGTTGCAATTCCAGGTGTTCGAATTTTACCTTCACCAAACAGTCCAAACGCACCTTCACCCGGTCAACCAAGCGTTTTGGAACGTTTATCGGAAAAGACTTCAGGTTTATTCGATAAGAGTAAGGATCTGGCTCAAGATGCATCAGAAAAAGGGAAAGAAATTGCTCAAGACGCTAAACAGAAAGGAAAAGAAGTTCAAAAAGATCTTGAAGAAAAGGTACGCAAGGTTTGATGTGAGAAATAAACATTTATTCATTTTTTATCCCACCCCACCAATCAACTCTTTTGATGCAATCGGATGTGAACATAACGCATACACATCCTTTTGTACACTACATCTTGCACCAAAAGATTATTTGATCTCAATAGAATCATTTTTCACTTGCTTCTTTGTTTCGTGACAAAAATTGCCTGACACTTGTCATTCTTGTCTCTCACTTTGACGAACAGGTAAGCACAACGTCTGATAAATCGTCCAAACGAATGCTCTTTTCGCCTTTAGAATCGAATCAGAAAGGAGTACGGTTGCAAGGTAAAGAGGATGAACCTGTTGCAACTCAACAAGATTGCCTTTCATGTCGTTTGATAGGTTTTGCTACTTGTTTAACTTTGTCTGGCTTCTGTTTTACGGAAGCATTTAAACTGCGATCTGCAGTGAAGCAGTCTTCCATGTCTGGTCGCATGCCACCTTCCGATCCCAAAGCACATACACCAATGCCTTCTATCAAATTACGCTCAAACAATGTCTTCAAAGGTCCGTCACCACCAATACCTCAAAACGTTCGTCTACGCTACTACAGCTTCATTGTCTTGGGCACGGGAACAAGCTTTGCAGGAATCTATCGTCTCATTATGTAGAATATTGGCTAATGGCATAATACATCAAATTGCCTTCCATCGAGATTCCATCGAGAAAAAGATATTGACATATACGAGTGGTATTGGTGTACGCATGATGTCCAAATAAAAAGCATAAAAAATCAGGCTGACTTCGCCCGGACTCGAACCGGGGACCTCCACCGAATTGTTTCAACACTCTCTTTCGAGACATGTTAAGATGGCTTTCTAACCAACTGAAATACGAAGCCTGTGAGTTACGAAGAACTCGCTTATGATAGGTGCGATTTTTGATACAATATAACGCTAAATTCTTTTAACGCGTTCTTCAATCGAATAAACCGTTTAAAATGGCTCGCTCATGCAGGCGGGAATATTACCATCATTACTCAACGTTCTTAACAGCGGGAAGGGTTGTACAACCTTCCTTCTGGGGCTATGTATTCTTCATTAAGCTCAGACATTCTCTTCGGACAATGACAGAAACTTCAAAATTCTCCACGATGGGACATATATGAAATTGAAGAAACTCTAATAAAGCGATATCAAGAAAAAAAAAGGATCATTAAGGAGCAGTGGGAGTACACTTTCTAACGTATGCTCTCTTTTTTTGTCATTTGTTCATTCATTTAGACTTTTGCCAATTCGACGGATTGAGTTGCACCCAAAACACGTTTGATGTCACCGTAAATGGCGAATTGACCGGCTGTCAAAGTACCAATCATAACGAAACGAGCAGTCATACCACCGAACAAACCACGGATACCGATTTGGTTGGCAATCTTGATCAAACGGCTTGTGGTTGTCTCACCTGGCAAAGCCTTGGTCTTGTTAATCTTGGACAACAAAGTATCAGCAGGTTGAGAAACAAATGCGGCTGCGAAACCGGCCAAAACACCACCACCCAAGTTCAAAGCAGTCATTGTGGATGGGGCCAATTCTTCCTTCTTCTTACCGGTTGTCTTGACCAAAGCTTCAAGTGCAACTTCGAAGAAGTAGAACTTGGACATTGTGTATGGGATTTGCTTGAACAAGATTGGTCCGAAACCAGAATAGAAACCTCTCAAACCTTCTTCCTTTGCAATACGTGCGAAACCACCAGCAAGACCGTTAGCAAAGCTTGGTTCAGAGACAAGACGGATACGGGTAGCTTCAAGAGGGCACAAAGCGATATCGGCAAAGAATTCAGCAACACCAGCGGCGGCAAGGTAAACGGCACCACGGTTCTTGGTAGCAGTTTCAACACCGAGGTAATCAATGAGAGCAGCCTTGTTTGCTTCGTAGAAACCGAATTTGAAAGCACCTTGCAAGAAGTAACCGGCAGCAGTTGGTCCGAAACCAGTCAAGAGAGCACCAGATCCTTCTTTTGCAACAACTTGACGGAAAGCGGTGATCATACCTTTGTTGTACACTTCAGGTTCCAATTGGATACGGGTTTTAACCACATCGACGGGTGTCAAAGCACCGTGTGTGATGGCACACTAGAGGAAAGAAAGAGAATCATCAGCAAGAGCTTAAATCATTCACACTTCTCAACGACTACTCACGCAAACAGCACCGGCAAATGCGAAACGACCGTACAAGTTGAAACCTTGAGGAGATTCGTTGGCAGCTTTCAATGGGAAAGCACGTGCCAATTTTGACTCATTGGACGATAGTCCGTTGAGTTGTTGGAACATAGGGGAGGAGTAAGCCATCTTTGCGATTATGGTGAACGTCAAAGGGAGGATGAGATGATGGCGAATGGCACGATAAAAAGAAGGATCGGAATACAAAAACCAACGCCCGCACGCACGTACGCTCCCCTACCTTCTCAGCCTTTTAAAGATTTTTGTTGTCCTTCGAAACTACAAAATGGGCTATTGTGTCTTAAAGCCGTTCAAGTGCCCATAAAATTTGGGCTAAATCATTCATCGGCTAAATAGAGAAAGGCTCTCAACCCGGAACGCTCCTTGTACGCCCTAAGCAAGAGCATCTAACAATTCAATACAATTTCAGTTTGAACACGTGTACATGTTGTTGAAGGAAGACCGTGTATGACTAAGCAACATTCAACACGCCAAAGCACAGGCCCTTCTGTCTGGGGATCTGCTATTCGGAGTAGCTACGATCACCTCTCTCTCTTTATACCTTTATCCTCAATCATGTATCAAAGATGAGCGAATCAAACGATATCTCCATGCAGGATGTGAGCGAGATCTCAGCCAAGAAAGAAGATTCAAATGACTTGGAACGTGCGCCATCTGGAGAAACAACGTCAGCAGAAGCGGCATCTTCATCATCAAAAGCGTTACCGGTCGGAATTGTACCACCCAATAAATCTTCCACGGCAGCGACGCAGGACATCATAAGTAGGTAAACATGAGAGAGAGCCACATTAAAAACGCACAGACTAACATGTTTTCTATTATGTACAGACAAATATGCACCTGGATCAGCGCCGCATTGGCTAGGACATTCGAAAGAAGGTGGCAGTGGAGAAAAGACAAAATCGTGAGTATCTTGAAATAAAGAAATAGCATCCATCACGAAATGAATGCGTCAGCTGCATCAATATTGTATCCTCATCAATCCAACCTCAACCTTATTGTACCTGAAAAAGAGGAGAATCGTGCTGACAATACTTCTCCTTTCAATGTTACCTTTCGCAGTGCAACTGGTACACCACGCAATTTGCCGGTGAAACGGTATGATGGTGAGCCATTGTCACGATCGGATCTACAACACAATGTTTTGTGTCAACTCTTTGATAGCGCAGAAAGATGCTTTACGAACCCCAGACCTGGACCAAGAGGACCAAAAGGTAGCACAACATGGCGTTGTCCTGTGCCAGTGTACCCGTATGGAATGGCCGTTACATGTGCAAGACCTTCTAATGAGACAAAAGAAGAAAATGAGCTCTGGGTAGATCGTTACGTAAATTCCTCTAAAGCGAAGTATAAATCGAGGACAGACGATGACGCTCCAAATTATTCCGTAGACACAAGTAATATCGGCACTGATCTGCAGATGAAGCATAGTTCTTCTCTGCCGCTTTCACTTCATCGAAAGGAAGGCTATCCTCCTCCTGGTAACGAAAAGCTGACATTCAAGGAGTTGTATATGGAAGCATTGTTGCACAGCGGTAAATGCACAAAAGCCATGCGAGACAAGATGTTATTGGATGAAGAATTTGCAGAAGATTTCGCCAAAGTATGTTTGCTTGTCAACGTGGGCAGAATCAATACAACTCTGGCATTCTACCCCGAGATGAAGACCATCCTCCGATCATATCACCCTCTACCATGCTTACAACGGAACGAAAACAGCAGACGTCATCTGCAAGATGCTCCACGTATGAAGTCATTGTTGAAAGCAGTGTTGTTAGACGGAGAAAAGCCGGGATTACCAGGAAGCGGAACAGCGACAGGTGCATTGGCAGCAAAGAATGCGAAAAATGCTGGAGCAGAAAAGGATATGGAAGAAGCACCCGGAGATATCAGTAATCTAGTTCGACGTCTATCGACGCACAAAGGCAAGCCTCCAACAAGTGTGGTCACAGTGATGTTTATCTTAACCACGCATAGCTCCGAGATTGCATCGATGCACTTTGAACATCCGCATGACTTTTACACAATATTCTTCCCACATCCTGATGTGGCCGTTCCGGCAAAACAAAGAGGTAGGGTCTTCTTATGGTTGATGTGGCATTATCTCGAAGGAGGGGTCTTACTGCCGCCCGGTTCGCATGAGAATCCATTCGATGACGACTTTTCACGCGAAAGTGCCAAAAAAGCAAGAGAGGTGTGGGATGCCATGTCAGAATCCGAACAAGAAGCAATAAAAGCGAGAGGGTATTGGAAAGGTGTCAAAAATCCAGAGTATGCCGAGTATAAGAAAAAGAAATCCAACAGTAAACCAAGCTCGAATAAAGAGGATACGATTCATGAAAATGTTCCGCCAGAATACCTTCATCGAATTCTAGCACCAAAAATGGAAAAGATAAGCAATCATGAATCAGCTTTGGAAAATGTGGATACGCCAGAAGAGAAAGAATGGGGCTTGCGTATGAAAGAAGAACGTAGTGCATTCTTGGTTCGATTCCAACAGGAAGAACAAGCAAAGATTCAAGAGAACGAAGCATCACGGGAAGAAGGCAATAATGCAGGACCAGGAAGCGGAAAGGAGAAAGGAACGAAAAAACGTGCGATGGCAGGAGGTGGTAGTTCGTATCCTTTGGCGAATATATTGGCAGCTGCCAATGCCGAAAAGGCGGCTGCAGCGGCCGCGGCCGCGGCCGCTGCAGCAAGTGCTGCTAATGGAGAAGATATGGATGATGATGTCGATCTATATGGTCGTAGCGGCGGGAAGCGCCTTCGATCAGATAGCGCAATGGATCATTATCGAGGCAGATCTGTTGGTGATAAAGCGGATACGTTGTGGGACGTTGATCTTTCATTACCGTTGGAATTGCAAAGGCCAAAGGGAAGTGCACAAAGAAGACGACAAATGGATAGTGGAATTGTTCATTCTCTTCCTCGATTGGCATGGCGAAGAATCTTAGATCGTGCACAAAGAGGAGTAGGGGATGCTTCTTACGATAGTGATGATGAACAATGTGCTCAAGATGAGGCTCGAGATGAAAGACCAAGAGGTGAATTGGCTAGAATTTTGACGTGCATTAGAGATGTTCGAACGTCGCGAGGAGAAATTAGTAAACAACCAGAACGTCGTACTGTTGTTCCTCGTCGGGAACAAGGTGTAAATGCGGGAAGGCAAGAGAAGGCCGAATCAATCGCAGCCGTCGAAGCCGAATTAGAAGATTTGTTGTAAACACACATGTATATTATTCAGACAAGACTATAAGCCATATCATGTATATGTGAAGTGCCTGTCGTGACTCGTAGTTACAATAAGGCAAGACTATGATAAGATTAGGCTGCACAGCGCCGGTGGTGACTCGCTAAATGCGTTTGCCCCGCGTATGGCTCGGCTTTCTAATATGCACTAAACCAAGATTAAGTAATGCGTGCGTACTTGGAAAAAAAAATAAAAAGAGTCAGCCTTGCATGGAAGAAAGGCGGATTGGGTCCAATCTTCTTTACTCACCCCTTTCATCAAAAAGATATAAAGAGAGGTGAAATCGCTGTAAGCTATTCTCACTTCCTCAAACATCAAAATGACTGACGCTATCAAAGCAACTTTCATCGCAAAAGCAGAAAAGAATGAGCCAGTCTTTGTGACTTTTGTCACTGCTGGTTATCCAACAAAACATGATACAGTCGACATTCTGTTAGGATTGGAAGCTGGTGGTGCGGATATTATCGAATTGGGTGTTCCCTTCAGTGACCCTCAAGCCGATGGTCCAGCAATTCAAGAATCAAATCAAGTGGCTCTCATGCAAGGAGTTGATTATACAACATGCTTGCGATACGTTTCAGAAGCTCGTAATCGTGGTCTAAAAGCACCAGTCTTATTGATGGGTTACTATAACCCTCTTTTGGCATACGGTGAAGAGAAAGCAGTAAGCTCTGCAAAATCAGCAGGAGCAAATGGATTCATCGTCGTTGATCTGCCACCAGAAGAAGCAGTCGATTTCCGTCAACAATGCACGAGTCAAGGTATGTCTTACATTCCTTTGATCGCTCCTTCCACTTCTGCAAAACGTATTCAGCATCTGGCAAACTTGGCCGATTCATTCATCTACGTTGTCTCGAAGATGGGAACTACCGGTGCTTCTACCACCGTTTCATCATCTTTGCCCGATTTGTTATCTCGCATTCGTTCAGTAACTTCTGTACCGCTTGCAGTCGGTTTCGGTGTTTCAACTCGCGAGCATTTCATCGAAGTAGGAGAACATGCAGATGGTGTGGTGATCGGAAGTAAGTTGGTACAAGTGATTAAACAAGCAGGTGACTCTACGCAAGCAAGAGTCCAAGCTGCTCAAGAGTATTGCGATCAAATCACAAACAAGAGTAAAGGTTATCTACCCCGTGCCAAAGCTTTGGCTAAGGCAAAGGCTAACGGAACCAATGGCATCAATGGTCATAATGGAGAGATCAACATCAAAGATGCTGTTTCAATTCCCGACAGCGTTGCTGTACCGAAAGTGGACGGCGTGGTTACGGATGAGAACAGGACACCGATTCCTGGATTGGACATGACTGTCGATGCAGAAGGTGTCCTTCGCCCGCCAAGATTCGGTAAATTTGGTGGTCAATATGTTCCTGAGGCATTGTACGATTGCCATGTGGAATTGGAAAAGGCATACTTGGACGCTATTCGAGACCCATCTTTCTGGAAAGAATTCCAAAGTCATTACGAATACATCGGCCGTCCATCTGAATTATACTTAGCAGAAAGGTTAACCGAGAAAGCAGGCGGTGCACGTATCTGGTTGAAACGTGAAGATTTGAATCACACCGGAAGTCACAAGATCAATAATGCAATCGGACAAATCCTGTTGGCCAAACGGTTGGGTAAAACAAGAATTATCGCTGAAACAGGAGCAGGACAACACGGTGTAGCAACTGCTACCGCATGTGCTAAATTTGGTCTAGAGTGTGTTGTGTATATGGGATCAGAAGATGTACGAAGACAAAGCTTGAATGCTTTCCGAATGAAGATGTTGGGAGCAAAGGTTGTCGCAGTAGAAAGTGGAAGCAAAACTTTGAAAGATGCAATCAATGAAGCAAACAGAGATTGGGTAACAAACCTGCACAATACCCATTACCTCGTCGGAAGTGCAATCGGACCACATCCTTTCCCAAGTATCGTAAGAGATTTCCAATCAATCATCGGAAGAGAAGCAAAACAACAATTGCAGGAAAAGAAGGGTAAATTGCCCGAAGCTGTGATTGCATGTGTTGGAGGTGGTAGTAATGCAATCGGAACCTTCCACGAATTCGTCAAGGATGAATCTGTTCGATTAATCGGTGTTGAAGCAGGAGGTGATGGTATCGAAACAGATAGACATAGTGCAACATTGGCAAAAGGGACACCAGGAGTGTTGCACGGTGTTCGAACATACTTGCTTCAAGCGAAAGATGGTCAAATTACAGAAACCCATTCGATTTCAGCCGGTTTAGATTATCCAGGTGTTGGACCTGAGCATGCATTCTTGAAGGATGCCGGTAGAGCAGAATACGTTGCTGCAACGGATGAGCAAGCGTTACGTGCATTCAGGATGTTAACAGAAACAGAAGGTATAATTCCTGCTTTGGAAACTTCTCATGCAATCTGGGAAGCAATTCAAAGAGCCGGTACGATGTCGAAAGATGAAGACATTATCGTTTGCTGTTCTGGACGTGGAGACAAGGATGTCGAGCAGATTTCTCATGCCATTCAAACCGGTGGCTGGGGTGAAAAGTTGGACTGGAACATTGCTTAGAGGCATTTCCATGCTATTTTATATGTAGAGTCATCTTGCTTTCCTAATAGGTGAATCTTTCCTCCGAACACCCTAGATGATCCTGAGCGAGAATTTTAATTTCAGATAGGATATGTAGTACCAGCTATACATAAGGGTCGAGGGATTCTATAGGAACGAAGAAAGCCACGAAAAAGAGAGAAGAAGCAGATCAGAGAAAAGAAGAATGTCAAAAGGGAATAAATTTATAAATACACGGATATCAATGGTTTTGTGTTTGAAGCAAAATTATCGGGTTTTCCGATTACGTCCTTTTGTTTAGCGATCAGCAGGATGCATACGACGGACATGGTGATTGGTTACCCAATTTTCACTTTGACGGGCATGTGAAGGGTAGGCAGGGTTAGAATGATGTTCTGGATGATGATCGTATACTTGAATTGGTTCAGCAATGAATTCTTCTCTGGAGTATGTTGTTGGAGGTGCAAGTTGTAATTGAGTGACGGGGCCGCTAGTGTCCTCTACAGGCCTTTCTTGATCATCCTTCTCTGGATCTCCTGGCACCTTTTGTTCGATATTTTTCGGATTAAGAGCGACGGCACCACGTGGAATGAATGTTGCGGTGAAGATGATCAATGATAAAACAGTAAAATGCACACCGCCAATCATTTTGAGTGCAAATTGTGCTTTGGCCACTAATGCATCTCCTTGTAGATCCCGTAATTGTTTATCGATCCAACGACCTAATTGTGTACTAAGTACACTGTACAGAACAATGTACGTCACATATAAGAATGCCATCACTGCTCCTAATGCTGAAACTTCATCATCTTCTTGTTCAAGTTTGGATAATGTTGATTGAATGTAAGCTGCTAAAGAAACATCACCACCAGCCCAACCATACGAGATCGGAATCATGCATGGTGCCAACTTCCATGCTCGAGAATTTGCTGAACCTTGTGTAGTGAAGAACGGAATGATCCAGATAAGGTTTAACGTCATTGCATCCATTCGTAACCACGGAATGGGCGTAGGAACTGCTTGTGTAAACAGCATAACACTTGCAGCGCCCAACAATTCTCCCAAATTCGAACCTCCAACGATCACTTGTGCTAAACCTGAATTGCCCAAAACACTCTTTGCGTATATTTGCACGACTCCATTTTCAAGGTATCTGTGACCGTAAAGCGCAAAAGTATAACTTGGAATCAGCCAAATAAACTTTCTATGTGTAAAGCATAACCAAGCACCATAGTAGAACGCTTTGACGAATCCATGAAATGCCTTTTGCCAATTTTGTAATAACGTTGATCGTTCGGGGTCTACCTTTATAAGTTCAACAGAACTTGTCGGTGAAGCCCTTTTGCCGTCGTATTCCACCTTTTCGTTCAAGACCACATCTTTGTTGGGTTTATACACGTCCAAGAACCACCAAATAGCACCCGCAAGGAAGAACAATGGTGGCGATAAGAAAGAGGAATAATTGTACCCGAACTTGTCGATCAAGCGTTCAGATGTCAAAGCGCCAATCGTACCTGCCACTTCGTACAAGACGTGAACCAAACCGTCCATCTTTTTCAACCTTGCAGGATCACCGCCAACGATATCTCTTGGGATCACACGTCGGATCAATTCAACCATTCCATAGGATAAACCGGAAAATGTGAAAATTGGAAACATCAAATTCGGATTCCAAGATCCGTATTGCACTTCATCATTTGCAGTCTTGAACTTTATTTTTCCACCCGTTGTTGCATCTACGATCATTATCATTGCTGAAACAACGCCAAATGCAATAATTGCTCCCATCAAAACGATTCGAATCGGCATTCGTTTAACGAGAGGTGCGATTGCGATCGATCCGATACCTTGGGCTGCATAATTCAATCCGGTAAGCAAGCCTAACTTTTCATACCTTGCTTCGCCAAATCGTTCGTTTGCCAATGCCAAAAAGGCACCATTGAAATATTCAATTCCAAATTTGTAGCACATGATACCCGCTACGTATATCATGATATTTCGCCTTTGGTCCGGCATAAAGGCGCTCCATAGCTGTGGAGTCGAAAATTTCATCCTGTCGATGAGATAGATTGATTGATGGGGCTATACGTGGTTGTGCCCTATGTAGAATAGTACGATCTAGTTTGTGAGTGGAGGTAGGAGATTGTTGCAACAAATGTTGAGAATGAAACTGTGAGCGATATCGAATCTGGTTCGAAAAGGGTTTAGGTTTGGGGTCTTCTTCTTCGGACTATGGAAAGAAGGCCTTATATGTCGAATTTGAGTATCAAGAATGAACTTTACCGATGGCAAAACCAAAAGATTTAACTTCGCCATTTGGAACGCCAACATCCTTCCTCGCTGTAAATGGCCAGATCAGCTGTATAAGAAAAAGTTGGCAGACGGCACCTATACGCCTCATTCCTGGCGCATATATATTATCTTAAGCAGGAAAGATGGGTGATGAGGGCGTAAATGTCTCGACTATTGCGGAGTCGATATCTCATCTCCGCTTCGTAAGAGTTCCTTACTCTAGATGCTGCCAGTCTACGACTCGGTCCATTTCTTCGGCTGCTTTTGCATGCCACCCTGCTCCTTGCCAAGCACGACCTTGATAGATGTTACAAGCGCATAGAGAGAAACGTTGGGATTGGAAAGGCGTTTTGCCAACCTTAGTGAAGCCAAAGGCACGTACCTACGCCTCTTGCTGCTGAATGCTTACCTCGACGCCATCACAAAGCCCAACATCACCTTCATAGATAGCTAGAATAAACATGATCCCAAAGAATTCCGAGTAGTTACAATCTTCGTACAAATTTCAAAGAATTCTTTACGACTTCATTCGTTGAGGTGTGAATCGTCGAATGGCATACTCGCGTATCCTGAACGAATTCCCACTTTGAAGGTTTTCGACAAAGGCTTCTGGCGTAGATGAAGCACTGCTTGGCGTACGTGACAGCGGAGGGATGATCACATAGCACAAAATGAGCGTCTTTAGAACTTGTGTATTCACTCGATTGATGGAAGAGAACCAAACCCAATCACGTTTGCCTCCTGTTGGATGTGAACCGAATGGACAGCTTTTCTCATCAGCGGGATCTTCGTAGACTGGCAGGACAACAACAGCAAATTCGGCATGACTGAATGCAGGTCCTTTCTTGTACAGTAGCCAGTCAACACAAAACTTTGTACCCGTCCGTACCACCCAGCCTAGAGATCGAAAGTGATGATAAGCCACATATTGGATCAAGAAAGGATTATCCGCTCGAGCCCAAAGTTCGGATTGGGGCATGATCTTCTCCATAGTCGAAGTATGAAGCGGTGAATGTATGCGGTGTCCTGCTGGAAGACACGAGCTCAAGAATATTGCGTAGAGGTGTTGTAGAGGGATAACGGCTCCATTCTCATCGACCACGTCCAAGATACCAAGCATTCCGGCTAAGAAAAAGACTTCGTGGAATGAAAGCTGTAGAGCTTCCATATCTTCAACGTCCTCAAAGTCATCATCATCTCCTATCGCTTCGTCATTCTTCTCTTTTTGATCAGCCGCCTGAGCTGATTCTTCTGCTTCTTTTGGCTTAAGGTAGATCAATCCAGGAATGTGCTTGCCGTATTGGCTTTCGTCGTGACCTTGTGAGGTTGAGGCGTCTAAATCTCTTTGTACGTCTTGTTGAATTGCTTTTTCATCATCTTCGTTCAATTCGCCCCCTAAAGCGATGATGCCATCTGGTAATTGTTGACCTGCACGAACTGCCAACCGTGCACGCTCAATCTTTGCAGCCCTTCTTTCTTTTCTCCGTAATGCTGTCAATTCTTCGGCAGTATAAATGCGAATCCCTTTAGCACGTTGTCTGGCCACTTTGAGATGTTGCATCTCCCGTGTCTTCCAGCTCGGCTCACTACGACTTAAAGTACCTTTGCCAAAGAAGCCACATTCCCATAGTAAACGCATCGCGGGAGAATGGGATGCATCTTGACCGTTATGACTTCCCGTTTCGACATAGATTGATTGTGTAAGTGGGTCATATTGTGCTTGAACAACGTCAGGTCGATCTTGCTTATTAGATTGACTTTTCCCTTCTTCCGCCCATCCGATTAATGATAACAGGAATTGTGACCATGATGTGGGCTTTCGCTTATAAATGTTCTGTTTAGGTGGAGAAGTTACTTTAATCGGTAAGGGTTGGCTATATTGGGCAGCTTTATTTGCCGTTCTTGCTTTTCCTGTTTGCACTTTTGATCCAGAAGGCAAAACTGTTAGCTGTTGCCCTTTCCTATGACGTCCTTTTGCCATCTTTACTACGACTGAAGAAGAGAGAAAGGATGAATGCTGCTAATGCTTCTTGGTCAAATTTTAGTCTTGCCTACGTCTCTCTATCTCCGCTAAAGCTAAAGACTTTTTCCAAAATCCAAAAGAAGCACGTGTAAACTTTCTTCAGACCTTGCGCTAATTTTAACCCGATGTCATCATGCACGCGATTCTTCCTGATTTCATTTCTTTCCTCCTCATCACATTCAAATTACACTCAAGAAATCATGATTCGATCAGCCCTGCAGCCTCTAAGTCGATCATCTGCGGCATGCAGTAGCTTGATCGCTAGAATTGCACCTCTTCGTACATCGTTGGCCAGTGGTAGTAGTATTCCAACCGCAAATGCATTACCCGTTCTTGGAATAGCGGGTGATGGTTCACTTCATCAAGTACGTAATTCGGCTAAACGTGGTGGTGGTACGACAAAGAATAATAGGAATAGTCCTGGTAAACGTTTGGGTGTGAAAAGATATGGCGGTCAATTTGTTAAAGCTGGAGAAATTATTCTACGACAACGCGGAACATCTTGGCATCCTGGACAAAATGTAAAGATGGGCAAAGATCATACATTGTATGCCGTTGAGCCGGGATACGTTCAATTTTATAAACCTAATCCGATTCAAACACAAGAACAAAATCTTACAATCGCCGGTATGGAATTTTCCACAGAATCTTCCAACGATGCGAATCCATCATTGACCAGCCAAAACAATAATAGCGTCATCTTAACCGCATTGCAAAAGAAATCACTTCCGCTTTCACCTTTTGCTCTTCAGTCTATTCAGCCAATCGCTGAAACGGTCAAATGCCACCCCTCAAGCACGAAACGTAAACAAGGAAGGCGGTATGTTGGTGTTGTACTGGAACGTGAAGATCATCTACCTCTGCCGTTCGGAGAACCACAAAAGCGCAGGTTAGGCCTGATCAACTTAAACGCAGAGAAAAAGACAAATTCTTCTTATGAACTGCCACTACTGAAGTAGAGATAATTTTACTGTTGATAATGTCATTTCCAAAAATCATTGATTCGAACTGTCCCGGCTTAGCTTTGAGTGCTCTTGCTGTGCGAACCGTTCTTAATCCGATTTTCGCCTAATAGCCAGCATCTCTTTATGTTTAGCTGTCATCGGATCACACATCATACTCTCACGTTGATAGAGATATATATTAAGAATAGGTATAAAAATGAGTCTTTCATGCTCAGAGAGCAGAAGTCATCGTTAATTGTTTGGCGTGAACACCAAGTACTGGTGGACCACCGCTGAAAAGATTTTCAAGATGTTGCAAATAGCGTAAACTACGATTAGGATCTTGAGATGTGCCTGCTTCAGGCGCAGGTAAAGCAGTCAAAACGACCGATGTAGAAGCAGATGAGTTTGTACGAATCAGTTCGTTCAAGATCAAATATTGTGCTTTGTTGGGTAATTGATTGAACGTAACCAGAGACTTTCCATGTTGAGAGCGGGAAGTTCCTTTGTCCCCACGTTCTCCTCGTCCTGCTCCTTCTTCACCGTCGTAGATCGATACGTCACTTACACTAGATAAGCTTCTTGGTCTTGATGCTGGAGGCGTGCCATCCTTCGTATTTCTGGATGAAAGCTTTGGCTTCTGTTGTAAGGCAGCTTGAATACGTGCCCGATCTGATGCTCTCAATGTACCATCTGGATCACTTGCTTCTTCTTCTGCTGCAGCTACTTCATGAATGGTAGAGTTGCGGAACGTGCTCGGTCGAGGCGTGCTGCTCATAGACCCATATGAGCCAACATTTGCGAGATCACGTTGAATTTGTCCTTCATACGTTCGTGTGCGTTGTGGTCGTCCACCACCACCACGTCTTCTACGCATGTTGGAGGAAGTTCTTTGACCTCGAGATGGTTGGTTGCCTCCAGTGCTGAATGTTTGAGCTCTTCGTAAGCCATTGTTGTTACTTCCTGCGCTACTGCTCAAAAAGTCAATGTCATCCAGATCCAATCTGGCAAGCTCGTCGCTCAAATCGCCATCGCTATCTGATTCGCTTGCCGAAGTTTCGCTTTCACTGTCACTTTCGCTGCGAGATCGGCGGGCTAGAGTATTCAATCTATTATCCTGCATCTGTCTTCCGGGTACATCCATACTGCCTCGTCGAGCACGTCGACCTGCACGAGGATGGGCTAAACCGATTTGCATATTATGCTGGAAGAAGTCCAAATGTTCTTTTGGCAATGAAACACCCAACAGCTTTTGATCTCGCTTTGATTGTCTTTTTGTGCTTGAGCTACTGCCTGGCACAGGCTGAGCGTTCGATTTACGCTTTTCAGCCTTTTCTTGTTGTCTTCTCTCTTCTTCCTTGCGTAGTGATTTCAACATCTCCCACCATGGATCACCAGCCAAAACAACTTCAATAGGTTTTGGAACAGGTTCTTTGCCACGAACAATGCATGCATAACTTGTCACTTGCTCGGCAGAAAGTGAGAACACCCTCAACGTAGCAGGAACACGCAAGTTGTCCAACAAAGATCGAACCCTTCTTCTTTCTTCCTCTATCTCTTGCTCGAATTCAACAAAGACGGATACACGTAATTTATGATTCTTCCATGATCCCGTCATGCTTAGAATTGTACCTAGTTGCAAAATCATCGTATAAGTATCCCAAGCATGCGATTGATCTGCTTCAGGACTTTGGATTTGTACCGGCCAAAGATCGATGTACAAATCTTCCTCTTCTCCTTTTGCTTTCTGTTCACGGCGATATTGGGTTGATGGTCCACCTAAAGACATATTCTCAAATCCATAGGCTACCGCCAAAGCCTTCTGCAGAGCCAAAGCATCCTCTAAAATACCTACAAACGTACTTGGCTGAATAGGTGTTTCTTTACGTCCAACATCCGTAGGTAGTGTTCGTACATCGATAGACTGATGATTTATTTCTTCTGCGCCCGGTCGAATTGTGATCTCACTGTCATCCTTTTTGATAGGTGCTGTTCGAGCACCTGCAGCTTCTGCAATAGGCCCTTTGGGTAAATTGCGAGGGAATCCAAGGCAAACGATATTAGGACGCATTCCACCCAGGCCACAACTCAAAATCAAATTCCTTGCACCTTCTCTTTCGTCATGGGCAATATTCAGGTTGACAAAGCTCTTGATCCCCGATACATCAACCAATTTCAACCACGCAATCTGTTGCTTTCGGAGTTCGAAGAGACATTCGTTGAATTCTCCCTTGAGTACGTGACCCAAGACGTAGAGTGCTCCTTTCTTTAAGCTGTTGCAGAAGATGATCAAATTCCAATCTGTCCTTGGATTATTGGCCAAAAGCAGAATTTGAGGCCTCCAATGCGTTACTCTTCCCTTGCGTTCATCTAAGCGCAAAAGATATTTGCGGACGATGTGATAATTGAGATTTCGAGTAACATCTCCCCACGGTTTAGGTGGACAGAAGAGGTGGATAGCTGAGAATAAGAATACGGCCAACACAATGCACCCACTTGCTGCGTAAGGCTCAGTGAAAAACATTGCACCGAAAGAGAGCAATGTGCCTGCGCCAGCTGTCCAGATATTCCAATATCTGAATGAGGGTCGAAAAGATGGTGCGCCACCAGCTTTCAAGGCCAATGTTGCAAAGGACAGAGTACCAAACGTCGACAAGGATGTCATGGTGACCAGTTGTGCAATCAAATTGACGCTATCAACAAATAGTACCGCTTGACAAAAGATCCATGTCGCCACCACAGCATATATTGGGGTATCATTCACCTCCGTTCCTTGAGCAAAGACATCCAGAACAGGAAGCAAATCGTCTCGAGCAATCGCTTGCAGTATTTTCCCACAGGCCATAACGCCCATCAAAGCTGAGAATGCTGTCGATGCCAAAACGCCAAAGGTGATCAATTGCGGACTTAATGCGACATCTGAAACGATACCGACATCAAGATAAAACGATTGTCGAGAAATGGTTCCCGCAAAAACCAGAAAGCATAGAACGTAAACTCCATATGTGAATATCAGAGACCAATTCGTTCCTTTTGGGATACTCTTCGAAGGTTTGCGCAAATCGCCTGACATGCTTACTCCAGCCAACAGACCAGTTACTGCAGGGAAGAGAACACCGAACACGGTTTGCCAGTTCTCTTTCAAAGGTCCTGTGCTACTTCCAGCGGCGCCTGAAGTGAAGTGTGGCAAGAGGTTGTTCTCGAATGTTTTGAGACTCCATCCGGTATAGTATGCTCCACGTTCTAAATCGATAAATGGTTTGACGACGAAAGAGGAGACTGGAATACTGAGGATTGCCAGTCCCAGAACGACAGCCAGAGCCAATGTTGCTCTCTTGAAGAAAGCTGATCCAACAAGGCAAACGAGAGTAGACAGAAGCAAGCAAACGCTTCCGTAGCTGAAGTTCCACCAAGGACCTTCGGGCAAGAAGCCATCTCTTGATTCTCCAAATGCATCAGTCAAACTTTCCACAAAACCCAAGACGTTCATGGCAGCATTCAAAGCCTGACCGAGGAAGAACACCAACCCGATCGCTCCTCCAAATTCTGGACCGAGAGAACGGGAGATGAGATAATATGCACCACCTCCTCGTACTTGACCATTCGTTGAAATGGCAGAAACGGACATTGCGGTCAATGCATCGATTGCGTAAGAGATGGTCAGCAGGAGTAATGCACCAATCAAGCCAACTTGACCTAAGATAAATCCAAAACGTAAGAATAGGATGATACCCAAGATATTCAAACTGACAGGCATGAATACTCCGTCCCACGTTCCAAGCTTTCGCGGTACTGAACGAGACTCGATGACACCATTATTTCTGAGATGTGCCTGTGCATCGAGGCTGAGTACATGCATATGCTGACCGGTACCACTTTGTCCTGCAAGGTTCTGTCCATCTTGCTCTGTTCGATGGTGAGAGTGCTGATGATGATGATGACTATGATGACCTCGAAACTTGCGGGGTTGTGGTTTAGATGAGGCAGGTGTGAAACTATTGGTACGTGAAAGATGCTTGTCTGATTTTTGTTTTGGGCTTGAAGCGAATCTAGCTTCATTGTGACCTTCTATATCGTATGCAGTTGGACTATTTTGTGTCGTTGATGGTGCGGTCCTTTGTTCATCTTCTTCATCTTGACCAGATGTTGTATTTCTTTGTTCTAATTGTGCATTTAAATCATCAAAATTTGATTGAGTTGATACGAAATGCGACATTTTCTTGGTGGAAGAACTGATGTCAATTTCACAATGGAAATCGACAAAAGCGGTCTATTGAGACCATACAAAGATGGGCGTAAAGAAGGCAAGACTTTCATTCCAACATTTTTTCACCAGCAAACAGGAGTCCAACACTTTTGAGCACGGGTCACCGCCGCCCTCTGTCTGTAGTGCTTAAAGCTCTCAACGCGTACAGTGGATTCTTTTTAAGGAGGTGGAGAAAAATGAAGAGCATTTCTTCTCATTCCAACAACCAAGTCTCACCATCATGGCAGCATCTACATCAACAAACAATTCTTCAACGTTTCCCGTCACAGGATGGTTCAAATCGCTATCGTCAGCATTTCCTAGGGTCACTTTTGATGCAGTGCCTATTCGCGAAACATGCATCAGACCAGCAAAGTATCGTCAAAATGCCATACTATACGTAGACCAAGGACATCCTACTCCGAGATCTACAGGAAGCAGCTCAAAGAGATGGGCAAGTAGAGATCCCAGATGTCTGGCATGGCAAATGCAATTCGTTTTTCGAGGTATTCCCTTCGAATGTGTTCAGGTTCACGATGACTATACTGCACTTGATTACCATGGAGAAGGCTTTGCAAATGTTCCAATGATACTCGATGTTGATGGAACGGTGGTAGGACAGAAGCATTTAAGGAAGTGGGCAGATACGGTACAGCCTTTCTCGGAAGAATGCGTAGAAAAAGCAAAAGGGGCAGAAGCAAGAATACTGAATAGCGTCATTCAAGGGCCGCTGATGGCAGGTGTCTTGTTGGAATTGATCTTGCTGCCAGACAACTCCTCCTCTGCCAAATCTGATATCCCTTTCCTGGCCCGCAAGTTGCAGTCACAACTTTCTGTACAAAAGAAAGCAAAGATTGCTGCTCAAATCCATGCTCTAAGACATTCAAGTCCAACTTCGCAGATGCCAGGATGGGTAACAACAATGCATGGCCTGTTGAATACGAGTGGAGGAATAGGAAGCACAGGTACTGCATCAGATGAAGCAGAAGATGATACTGATCAAGGTCTATCGATAGCGGCTCTTGGGTTTGATATTGATCAATTGGATCAAGAGTCTATTAGGACAGAAGCTTGTGAGGCAATCGACATCCTTGCTACTTTGTACCCCATTGGAAATACACAAGGCTCAGAAGAAGAAGCAGGATCTTCATGGATATGTGGAACATCTTCACCGAGTCAACTAGATGCTGCGTTCTTTGCACTTTTGCACACAATTATGTCCCTCCCCGTTCAAAGTTCGCACAAACAAGGATCGGCAACACTACGGTCGACGGTTGAGAAATATCCACATTTGGTGGCATATATTCGAAGGATATGGACAGAATATGTCAAACCGTTGGGAGGATAATTTGAGCGTATGCTGTATGAATATGATTGAATTGCATCATCCCACTTGCCATAAGAGTGAGTAAACAAGATTGATTCTCTCTGTGAGCCAATTGCCGGGAGATGAACTTTGAACGGCTTATAGAAATAATCTGCGGGACGATGAATCGGCTTATATAGAGGACTTAGTGTAAGATATATCGGCTTATAGAGAATATCCAGAAAGATGTTCATCGAGCTTATAGAGAATATCCAGAAAGACGTTCATCGGCTTACAGAGAAAATTAAGAAATTAAGGTTTGTTATAGCGAGAACCGGGTTAAAGTGCAACCAACACTTGATCTACGCGACGCGGTAGGGGAAGCATTAGCGGGCACAGCGGAGTCGCGCATTTTAGCAGCTTGTGTTGCATAAGAAGAACACCATCAGAAGTTGTTCTTCACTTCCAAGGTCATCTCGCAAGAGAAATGCAGCTATGGCCCACGCTACGGGCTCATCTGCTGTGATTGATCTTATTGATGATCAAGATGAAAGACCTTATTACCTTTCAGTTCTTCCAGAAGCGCAATACAACGCCGTCACTGCTGATCCCGATGAACCATTACAAATCTTGGCAGGACCGGGAAGTGGAAAGACGCGAGTGTTGGTATCACGCGTTGCATGGTTAATCTTGGAAAAGAAGATCAGTCCAATGGATATGGTCGTTGTCACATTCACGAACAAAGCAGCAAATGAGATGAAAGAAAGATTATTAAAGTTGATCGGAAAAGAAAGAACCGATAATCTCGTCTTAGGAACTTTTCATGCTACTTGTGCACGCTATCTCAGGAGACATGCGACCAAGATTGGCATCAAGAACAACTTTTCTATTTGTGATACGGACGAACAAAAGCGTTTCTTTAAACAATTGGCAAAAGATGACGAATCGGTTCGCAACGGGTTGACAGGTATGGGATTGGCTGCAGGTAAATTTCCCGGGTTTGCAACAAACGAAATTTCAAAAGCAAAAGCCAAGAATCTAGATGCAAGAGGATATATCGCTCACAATAAAGACGTTGTAGCCGAAGCAAAAGGAAAGAAGAATTGGACAGATGAAAAGAAGTATGCGCTGATGGGACATGTTTATCTGGAATACGAAACCCATCTACGCGATATCAACTCTTTAGACTTTGACGATCTAATGATGTTCGGATTGAGATTATTCCTTGAACACGGTAAAGTGATTGCAAACCTCCGTCACGTTCTCGTTGACGAATTTCAAGATACAAATATGATCCAGTATGATTTGATGAGCTGCATGGCCGGTAAGACTGGATCTCGTGGATCCGTTTCGATCGTTGGTGATCCTGATCAATCAATCTACGGTTGGCGATCAGCAGAAGTGGGCAATCTGGAAACCATGGCTAGAGAATTCGCCATATGGACAAAATCTGGTAAAGTTCGACGAGCATTTTTGGAAGAGAATTATCGCAGCACAGGTAGTATTCTTCAAGTAGCAAAGGGAGTGATCGATGGCAGTACCTCCCGTATTGATCGTAATTTGTTCACAAGTCATCAAGATGGTCCGCATGTGATCCTTAGAAAGCCAGAAAATGAAGTGGAAGAAGCTGCTCTTATTGCCACTGAAATAAAGAGATTGATCGCATGCTCTGGTGGCTTGTACACCTTTGACGATTTTGCTATCCTTCTCCGATTCAACGCACTCTCAAGAAATGTTGAACAACAGCTTTCGCACGAAAGTATCCCATTGAGAATTCTAGGAGGAGCACGTTTCTTCGATCGTAAAGAAGTGAAAGATTTGCTGGCATATATGTCATTGGCTGACAATCCCGAATATGTTCCTGCTTTGAATAGGGTGATCAATGTACCCAAACGCAAGATTGGTGATAAGACTCTCGAGAATCTCAGAAATATGGCAAAAAAGAGAGATATCAGTATCATGGCCCTCATTCAAAGAATTGCGGCCGGGGAAAGTGTAGAAGGTGTCCAGGGCGCCGTCAAGAGTCAATTGATCAAATTCGCTGACACCATTAATGAGATTCGTGAAATGGGTTCGGATGGAAGACCGGCAAACGAGATTTTGACAACGGTCATCAAAGCTGTCGATTACGAGGCATACTTGAAGCAAGAGCCAGATTATGATCAAAGATGGGAAAACGTGAAAGAATTGATCAATTTTTCACACATCGTAATGCGTAGTATTGGAATGGCGACAGATTCAGAGACTTACGATGATGAAGTGAACTTGATCTATCCACAAGATGAAGAAGAAGAGGATGGTCAACCAAAATCTCTTTTATCAGAGATTAACAAACTTTCATCTGCACTATTGCCTACTGAAGACATGAAGGGCAAGGCAAGGCAAAGTACTCAAAAAAGTTCACCTGAATCTAAGAAGCGCGCTTATGAAGATGTTTCTTCCTCATCGAAAAAGAGAAAGTCTTCCACATCATCAACGAAGCAGAAGGCCGTAGAGGACGATCACGTTGATTTGCTCTCCTCTTCGTCCGACGAGGAACCACTTGCTAAAGCGAAGAAAGAGGATGCCACTTCAGCTAAAGATGAAAATTCCATCAAGGACCTCATCAACATCGATGATGAAGATGTCGGAGAAAAGTCACCTTTACGTGTCTACTTGGAAGCCTGCTCGTTGTCTACTGATATGCAAGAAAAGGAAGAGGAAGATTCAGCTCAAGCCCCCAAAGTGACAATCTCTACCGTTCATGCTGCCAAAGGATTAGAGTTCCCGGTGGTCTTTGTTATCTCTGTTGAGGATAGCACGTTCCCCTTTTATCGTTCAAAGAACTCACAAGAAGAACTTGATGAAGAGAATCGATTGCTCTATGTGGCCATCACTCGAGCTCAAACATTGTGTTATCTTACGCATGTGAAGAAGCGTGCGGTTTTTGGCGATAGCGAATATAGAGAAATGAGCCCATTCATTGCGCGTATTGCAGATTCAAAAGAGTATGATGGAGGAAAGTGGTTTGACAGCAATATCGGTTCGACAAGTGTGGCTGCAATAGGAGGGTATGAAGTCAAACCATCTTTCTCTCGAGTCACACCAAAAGGTAATTTCAGCAAAGAACGACCAAAGCTGACGATGGAGGTGATTTCCACCTTTGCCAAAATTTTGAATCGACCCGTACCGCCGGAAGATCGAGTTAAGATACTGACAAGTGCTTTTGGTGGTAGCGAAATAGCAACTAAGATCAAAAAGCTGGACAGCAAAGGGAGAGCGGCAAAGGGCGGCAAGGGTGGGCAGGCCAGAGCACAGGCATCTTCTTCACATATTCCCGCCAATGTATCCTTCCAATTTGCTTCCGGACGCTCTGTCAACGGTTCTTTTGGTGGAAGTGATTTTACCAAGAAAGAATTCCAGAAGTTCGATTCGGGAGCTTTCAAAAATGCTTGGACGCCGAATGCTGCCCCTTCTTCGTTTACCTCGGCTGCATCGCTGCTGCCACCGCAAAGTGGATCTAATCCATTACAAATCACCAACCAGAATGTATCGCAAAGTAGCAAGGGCCCCACCAAACTCGTCAATACGTCAAACAAACGGTTAGGCATGGGACGTGGCCCGCTCAAACCACCGGGACCAAAGAAAGACAAGTAATAAAAGTGACGAAGCAGAACAATAGCAAGAGTTGCCTAAATCCGTATTCGTGATCTCTACATCCATACCCTTTTTATGTATCATATTTATCTCAAGTATCTTGTCTAATATTACATATCTTACACATTCATCATTTTTATGAACCAAGTTCAATTGTTCTCCTTGCTTTGAATTTCTTTGTCGCTCGAGTGGGTAAAGTGTTGCAAAGCTGATTGCCATAGAGGGTGATCTCTAGCTTTGCTACATTTGGAGCAAATGGATCGATTCCTGCCTGTTCGTCGCCTGGAATGGTGATTTGTACAACAAATACGCAATCTTGCTTGGGTATGATCTTGACGAGGTTTGCACTTTTTCTTCTCTTATTTTGACTTCGAACAGGCTTTGGTTGTGGTATCAATTGAAACGTAGATTCGCCCTCTTTTGCAACGATGCCTTGTATGCCTACCAAAGAAGGATTTTTGGCTCGAATCACACGAATGGGAGCTCCAGTAAAGTCAGCTTTGACAATTGTGCCTTGAATTGCTGACTGATTGCCAGAATTGATCGAAGCTTGCGAAGAGTTTGAAGATGTTTGAATGATAGATCGATTGGCTTGACCACGTTGATCGACAAGTCCCAAAAGGCTTTGAATATACCCTAGCCACAGATTATGTACTTGCAATAATGATTCATATGTGATATTCTCATCAACTTCATCCAGTCCCATCCTCTTCCTCTGTCTCCTACTCAGTGGTTTGTCTGATTGATCCAGCTTATTGTCGGCCTCGATTGCCATTGCCCCTTTTGCTGAAGGCGTAGTACGTCTCTTACTCTTTTTGATCAATCTAGTCTCTCTCTTTCGAATCTTTTTGGCAGCAAGTGAACCTGGAGGTGGCACTGGTCTTGCTCTGTCCAAATTTTCTAATGTGATTCGTTTATCTTGAACACGAGTATTGAATGCTTGTGCAGCATTGGCGGTGGAGGATGTACTTGGCGATAGAGTTGGACCTCCTTCGGTGAGAATGGAAATGAACACATTTCTGCTCTTTCGAACATCCTCATCAGCTTCGTTCCTGTGGTCACTCATCATTCCTGTTAACCGTATTGCGAATAGGCATTACTTATATCATACTTGCGAATATGGTTGTAGCTGATGATCTTTTAGAAGATCTTGAGGACATGCATTTATTAGTACGCGTAAAATTTCAAGTTGCATATCCGCTTCTCAGCTCAGTTATACGCAAAAAGTTGGCGTTTAAATCAATTGACATTTGGATGCTTTTCTTTCGCATCACCATCTCCATCCCGGGCCATCCATACAAAAATGGGCCGTATAATTATCAAAGGAGGTGTATGGAAGAATACGGAAGATGAGATTCTGAAAGCAGCAATCTGTAAATACGGAAAGAACCAATGGGCCAGAATATCTTCTTTGTTGGTTCGAAAGACACCGAAGCAGTGTAAAGCAAGATGGTATGAATGGTTAGATCCATCGATCAAAAAGACGGAATGGAGTAAAGAAGAAGATGAAAAGTTGTTACATCTAGCTAAACTTATGCCAACACAATGGAGAACTATTGCACCAATTGTTGGAAGAACGGCAACACAATGTTTGGAAAGATATCAAAAATTGCTGGACGAAGCCGAACAAAGAGAAAATGAAGATGGCGCAGGTCCAAGTGGATCAGGTCTGGCATTGACAGGTCCTGATGGTGGTGAAAGTGCACCTTCAGCCGATGAAGTACGAAGATTACGACCAGGTGAAATAGATCCAGATCCCGAAACAAAGCCTGCAAGGCCAGATGCAGTGGATATGGATGAAGATGAAAAAGAAATGTTAAGTGAAGCAAGAGCGAGATTGGCAAATACACAAGGAAAGAAAGCCAAACGAAAAGCCAGAGAGCGTGCATTGGAGGAGGCAAGAAGGTTGGCTATGCTACAAAAGAAGCGTGAGTTGAAGGCTGCCGGAATCAATGTACAACAAAAGAAGCCAAAGAAGGGAATGGATTATATGACCGATATTCCATTCGAGAAGCAGCCTGTGGCGGGATTCTATGATACATTAGAAGAGGATTCTAGAGCAATTCGTGCTCCCGTTGGAAGATCAATCGGACAAATGGACAACCCAGACAAGGCGAAGCGGGATGAAGAGGAAAAGATAAGGCAAAAGAAAGAAGCTGAGAGAAAGAAGCAAAGCGAAGAGGGAAAAGCGGCATTCTCGAAACAGAAAGAAGAGCAATTGCGAAAATTGCAAGAAAGCGAACAAATAAGTAAGAGAAGGAAGCTTAATCTGCCAGAAGCTCAGGTTGGACAGAGAGAGCTGGATGAGATTGTCAAGATGGGATTGGCAAGTGAAACAGCACGCTCACTTGTCACAGGAGCTGATGGCGGCGATGAAAGTAGCCGAGGTCTCTTGGGAGATTACTCTGCCCTCCAACATGTCCGTGATGCCCGAACACCCAAGACTGCTCCTCAAGATGATACAGTAATGCGTGAGGCTCGTAACTTGAGAAATATGGCAAATCTACAAACGCCTTTATTGGGTGATGCTAATGTGGAAATGCATTCAGGTACGGGTAATACAACCGCTCTTCCGTCCCACCAAGTTGCTCAAACACCCAATCCTCTCCTTACCCCTCGCAATGGCATTGATGGAAGGGAAAGTGGTAGCAGGACACCACAAAGTGTATCTACTAGTAGTGTCAGAGGCTCGAGTATTGCATCAACTCCGATGCGAACTCCACTGCGAGATAGCTTCGGCTTGAATATGGACGATAGCATGTCAATGATTGGCGGTGTTGATTCTTCGAAAGAGATGAAGAGAGCAGCTCAAGCAGCTAGAGCTCGATTACAACAAGGTTTCATGGGCTTACCCGCCCCAAAGAATGACTTTGATCTTGTATTGGATGAGGATCAAGAAGAGGAGGCGCAAAAGGGAGACGCTGATGATCAAGCTGCACTTGTGGAAGAAGACGAAGCAGATCGTGAAGCCAAGTTGGCTAAATTAGAGGAAGAAGAGCGAAAGAAGGAGTTTGCACGTAGAAGTCAAGTCGTTCAACGAAATTTGCCAAGGCCAGCAAATGTAGATATCGAGGCAATGCTAAGAGCGATCGGTCCAGCACCTTCGCTCGGTTCTGACATAGCTTTGCGAGTGCATCACTTGATCGCAGAGGAAATGGCACATCTTGCCAAACACGATTCCATACTTTATCCAATCGCCGGTAGTACAGCTACTGGTGGAATGAAGTCAGGTTTGTCTATCATTCCTGATGAGAACCTGTCAGCTGCAAAAGAGTTGGTTCGATCGGAACTTATGCAACAATTGGGCGTCACGAAAGAGGAAGGGAACCAAGAAGAATCGATAAGAAGCGCTATCGATGACCATCTCAATACTGATACTGAATCGGGAAGGCAAGCTCTGGCAGATTTCGAAGAATCCCTCAAACAAGCCCGAGAGTCATTGATGTGGGATACTAGCAGAGGCGTTTGGTGTGATCGTTCTTTGTTGAGTTCGAAATCGATCATTGCTGGACAATCTGCAAGGCTAGAGTCTATTCGCAAGGAGATGACCAGATTAGCAACCCAATCTGCAAAAGAAGAAAAGAAATTAGGGAAACTCCTGGGTGGATACCAGGCCCGTAGTAAAGCCTTAGGTGATACGATTCAGCAATCCTTCCGAACAATGAGCGAAGGCGAAATTGAAAAGGAAGCTTACAGACGTTTACACGAAATTGAAACGATTTCTATGGAAGAACGTATGAAAGCATTACAGAGCGAAGTGAACACCTTGGAGAGGCGTGAAAAGATGGCTCAAGGTATTTACCGTGATAATGATGAAGAAAGGAAAAAGTTACAAGGAGAGATTGAATTATTAGAAGATGAAATCGCAATGCGGGAAGCTGAGCATCTTAATGAGGAAGCATTGCAAAATGAAGCTTAGTGGATCTTCTGACATCTACGTGTATCATACTATGATTCAATCATGTGTATCATGTCTGATAGATTTTCATGAATGGCAATCAGATATATTCAATAGAGGATAAGTGTAAGGGTAATATTATTGTTAGGGTGAAAAGGCAGGAAAACCGTTTCGAGGAGATGTACGAAGATACGAAAGGGTAAGGTTCAGGATATAGGTTCACAAATCATGAAAGCAGGAAAAGAAACACGCTCATATTTAAAGGACGCTGACAGCCAAGGCGGATCCGAAGACGATGGCAAAGGAGGCCATCATGACAGGGTGAACAATTGCATTGACGTTTGCACCATTCGTTCCAGAAGCTGGCTTGCTGGATGATGAAGTTGTGTTTGTTGAGCCAGTGCTTGTCTTGGGGACCGAAGATGAAGATCCAGTTGACGATGTTGAAGAAGTTGAACCTGAAGAACTTGTACCTGAGCTTGAAGGAGTTGTTGAGGAAGATGAAGATGATGCAGGTGTTGATGAACCGGAACTGGTTCCTGTGCTTGTTGCACCTGATGAAGCACCACCTGATGAGGCGCCACCTGATGAACCACCGGAAGTGCCAGAACCAATTGCACCACAAGTACCTGATTCAGGTCCGTGTTGCACAACCGCTTGACCACTGAAATTTGGTTTACCAGTAGCATCGTTGACGATCAAGGTAAACTGTGTGCCGGCAGTAACGTTCACTTTTGGCCATACGAGCGTACCTTCTGCGCTACCAGGTTGAGGTTGGAACTGAATGAGTGGAGTTCCGGATGTATCTTTTCCTTCAACCAAAGAGATGTAAACTGGACCTGAAGGATCAGCATTGTGCCAACTGATCGAAATTGGCTGACATTCAACAACGGTCATTGGCGTATCAATCGTAGCAGCAGAAACCAAAGAGGCGCTCAAGAAGCCCATAAGGCTTACCAAACCCAAAACGGATGAAAATCTTCCTTGCATTCTTGTGAGTGTATTTGAGTTGAGTTGCGGTTGCAGAAAATGAAAAGAGAGAGTAGAGATGATGGTGGTGGTGAAAAGAGAACGAATGAAATACACTTTTATGATTTTAAGGATTCATCAAGTTGTCCTCTTCAAGCACGGAAAGGAGAAAGAATGAACAACATTGAGCGGATTTTGACAGTACGTTAATGACAATTTTCACTTTCTTTCTCAATAAATGAGATGATCAAAAACTTGCTCATACCAAAAAGGGTCATACGGCTAAGATGCCTCTCTTTGGATTTTGTTCTGAGAAAGTATAGGCGTAATGTGCAAATAACATTTCACGCATCAATGGAATCCGAAATTAATTTTCAGCTCCTTTCCATGAAGGCATGATCAAATTGATTTTGGGGGCACTTTGTCTCAAGAGAAATCCTTCTCCTTTCTTTTCGGCCTCCGTGATTTGTAGCAAATGAATGGCGGAAGCCGATATACATTCGTCATTCCGTAACTGACTTGCATTGATGCAATACTCCATTAGGAACGATCTTGAAGCTTTTGCCAAGAATTAAGTTCATTACGATAAAGGGGAATTTGAGTTGCTATTCATAGTTCAGTGCTCTCTTCAAGCCCCTTTACTTTCATTACACTCGCTTTATCTCCTATATGATCGTAGGGAGAAAGCGACCAATCAATGCTGATGTCAGCAAAGATGGTCAAATGGACCCGCTACTGACTTTTTTGTTCCGCGTAGAATGTTCCATGCGGATCAGATAATATAAATGATGTTGTACACATTCTAGAAATACACAAAAGCATCACGTACGCCTAAACCAAGAAGGAGGCTCTCCTCGCATTGGAGGCGGCGCTCCTCGCTTCTTCGAAAACATATCCACTCCGCTCTCTCGACCTTTCTCTCGAGCAGTTCTAAACCTTTCCCTTTCTTCACTTTTCCATAAAGATCTAATCGTACCCTCTTCTTGCAATAATTCATCCTTTTCTACACCGTCAACGATACTTTGAATAATCTTTTGAACGATGCTCGTATGATTACCATCATGTTTATCATCACGTATCCTGTGCAATCTCCAACAAGGAGGTCTTGATGAATCGAGCTCTCCATTAGCTCCATTTGCTTTCTGTGATGGCTCGAGCGGACCTCCATTAGGATCCCAAGAACATTCTACGACTCGGTCATCAAATTGCTCCCCGCTCGCTTTCATATCTTCCCATTCATCGTCCTCAACATATAACCAATCAAAATAACGATAATTATCACGTTGACCTCCTGTAAATTCGTCCAATTGGAAGAAAGGCTTCGCTTGAAGGTCTGGTAAGTTTCCCCTTGGATCTTTTGCCAGATCAGGCGGAAATCTCAAACGCAATTTAAAGTCAATAGTGTTTTCCGATGGTGGTTTCCATTTGATGATTTTAGGATCCGTTCCAAAGATGTAACCTGAATTGACGCAAGTGAAAATAAGACCATCATTTCCATGCTCTAATTGGGGTATATGTTGGTCCAAAACGGTGGAAAGGTGGTAGGCAAGCTGCATACGCTTCACTTTTACCTCAAAGGGAGCATCACGAGCTGCTGCCGGAAATTCTTGTAAGAAATGCTTGTGTGGGGGAACGATTTGGTTCATCAAACTTCCATATCTTCTACTCAAAGGACGTTGAGCCAAGCTTTGACCGTCTAAGATGATGCAGTCAAAGAGTAGTAATCGCATCCTCCTCTCTCCACTTTTTGACACATCCCAAACCAATTCTCCGTCCAAGAGGGTATCTTTCCGAACGGCGTACTTCTCATTGAGTGATCCCAGCTGTAGGGCCGCCATAGCCTTTTGGGAAGGCGGTATTTCGTGAAAGGGGAAAACGATTGAAAGGGGTTGTCGTTTGTACTTGTTTTTCCGATCAATCAGGTATACTTCTTGCGATTCTGTAGCCTTATTCCATGCGATAAACATAAGAACACGTTGACCATCTGACTTTTCACATACCCAATAATCCTCTTCTTTCAATTGATCCAAAGATGACCTTGCGAATGAGACCGGCTGTGCCCCTGGGAAACGTGTATGTCGTAGGCCACATAAGGATGCCACTTTGGCACTCAATGATCGCGCCTGTTTTTCATCTACATCTTCTCCAGGTACGTCAGGTACGGAAGATTGATGTTGGTTGATTTGCGGCTCATTTTGATGACTTGGGCCGGCTCCATTCATATGCTGATGAGAGTACATGATTACACTCACTTAGTTCGAGCACCTGGTTGAAATATGTGATCAACCGGTCTCCACCAAGTGAAACCTGTACGATAAAAAATGATGGATTTAAAGGTTGAAAGATTTGGCAATGAACTTTTTTTTAAACTAGGCTAAGCCAGGCACCGCGTACATTATAACCGTGCACGCTCTCTACGCGTTGGAAGGATTAGAACGAGCCGCCTGATCCTACTCCAGTTTAGGCTCTACATCTGCGTAAGAATACTGGAGCTGTACGCATATACCCGCTGGCTATCCAACACTTTAACCTTCCTAAAGATCATCATCATCATTGACAGCTTCTCCCCACAAAAGGGAAGCTGCAGTGTTATTCTTCATATGATGGAGCTAAGGCAAACAAAGTGGTCACGTCTGGCTCTTCAATTGCCTCTTGTTATACTTGCATTGGTAGTCCTTTTCAATGCTCAACCTGCCAAGATGGTCAGACCCAATGACTTCAAGAAATGCGGCGATTCATCCTTCTGCCGACGTTTGCGTCGTTTATCTTCCTACAGTGAAGAGCAAACACGTAATAATCATGGAAGTCCCTTTGAGTCACCATACTTTATCGCGAGTAAGTCGACAAAATACGACTCCAACACAGCAACCTTAAAGGCAACAGTGAAATCTGCCCTTCATTCTGCACTGCAGTTCGATTTGCAAGTGTTGTTCTACAACGATGGTACCAGTCGCGTAAAGCTCGATCAAGGAGGACAAAAGCATGGGGGATGGAAACGATATGATGAGGCTGCTGCTTGGGCAATCGATCAACAGCCCATTCCTGCTGAAGCTGGTCAAGTGAACGTGCAGGAAGACAATGGCCAAACGACTGTCACATTTGGGCCCAACGGTGAGAACAAATTGCTCTTGTCACATCAACCTCTCAAGGCTACATATCTACGCAATGGTGTCCCTCAAGTAGTGCTCAATGAACGTGGTTTGTTGCACATGGAGCACTACAGACCAAAGCCGGACCCTTTCCCGTCCGCAAACGATGACGATGCTAAGAAGCTTGTATTCCAAAACCGCAAGAGATCCTTTGAGGAAGCTGGTCATGCTTCCATTCGAGCAGATCAGTGGTCCGGCTTCGAACAAGAAGACGATGGCGAATGGGAAGAGAGCTTCAGCGGACGTACCGACACGAAACCGAAAGGACCCGAAGCATTATCGCTGGATATTGAATTTCCCGGCAAGACACACGTGTTCGGTTTGCCAGAGCATGCCAGTCCTCTCAACCTTCGCAGCACTCGTGGACATACCGAAGAGGACTTCAAAGAGCCTTATCGATTGATGAATACAGATGTATTTGAGTATGACTCTGACTCCCCAATGAGTCTTTACGGCTCCGTTCCGATCATGCATGCCCAAAGTGCTGATTCAGCTGCCAGTGTACTGTGGCTTTCCGGCAGTGAGACTTGGATCGACATTGATCGCTCAGAAACGAACAAGGTCTCCAAAGCCCGTGCTCACTTTTTCTCTGAATCAGGCATTTTGGATCTTTGGGTCTTTCTCAAGCCAACTCCAGGGGAGAATCTAGCAACGTTCTCACAACTTACCGGCAGAACACCTTTGCCTGCATACTTCTCACTGGGATACCATCAATGTCGATGGAATTACTTGACAACAGATGATGTTCTAAATGTTAACAAGAGATTTTCCGAAGACGATATTCCCGTTGATGTTCTTTGGCTTGACATTGAATATGCCAAAAACCACTGGTATGGAGTCTGGAACGAAGAAACTTTCCCAAAGCCAGAACGCATGCTAGAAGGACTAGATGCAGAAGGACGTAAGCTGGTGATCATCATTGATCCGCACTTTGCTCGTAAGGATGAGTACTTCCTCTACAAAGAAGCAAACAGCAACGATTTATTCGTTAAAGATGCAGACAACAAGAACAGCTACGAAGGTTGGTGCTGGAGTGGCTCAGCAAGTTGGACTGATAATTTCAATCCTAAATTCTGGGCATGGTGGAAGACCATCTTTAGCCTTGCCGGAAAGAAGATCAAAGCCAACGCAAGAAACATGCACTTCTGGTTGGATATGAATGAGCCAGCTATCTTCAATGGACCTGAAATTACTGCCCCGAAAGATGTGCGTCATCATGGCGGATGGGAACATCGCGATGTGCACAACATTTATTCGGTCGCTTACCACAATGCATCCTATGAAGCTGCAAAAGCCCGTGAAACACCAAATCGAAGACCTTTCTTGCTTGCTCGTGGTTGGTGGATTGGAACATGGAAAGCAGGACCAATTTGGACAGGGGATAATCTCGGTACGTGGGAGCACTTGGCTGTTGCAGCACCGATGATCTTAGCAAACAATATTGGAGGAATGAGCTTCTGCGGTGCAGATGTCGGAGGATTCTTCGGAAACCCTGCTCCTGACTTCTTGCTCAGATGGTACCAAGCCGGTATCTTCCATCCTTTCTTCCGTGCACATGCTCATATCGATACCAAGCGACGTGAGCCTTACTTGTTGGCAGAGCCTCATAAATCCGCTGTCCGCGAATTGATCAAGTTACGTTATCAATTGTTGCCGGTATGGTATACGGCATTCAAACAATCCAATCATGGTGGTTTACCCGTCTTGAGACCTCAATATGTGATGTTCCCGAATGACGTCAACGGATTCTCGATCGACGATCAATACTACATTGGCGATTCGGGTCTTTTGGTCAAACCTGCCGTAAAAGCGGATGCTGAATCTGTTGAAGTGTATTTAGCCGAAGATCAACCATACTACCATTTTTTCACAAAGGAAGTTTACTTTGGTTCAAGCAGTGGCAAAAAGGTCACAGTTCAATCTCCTTTGACGAGCGAAGTGCCTTTGTTGATGCGTGGTGGAAGTATCTTGCCTATCCGTCAACGTGTTCGTCGTTCCGCAGAATTGGGATGGCGTGATCCTTTCACTTTGATTGTTTCCGTCAACAAACCTGCTTCTTCCGGTAGTGATACCGTGCGGGCATCTGGCAGACTGTATTTGGATGATGGCCAAACGTATGACCACGAAAAGGGAGACTTTGTTTGGCGTCAATTCGACTTGCACCATGATCAAAGCGGCAAGCATGTTTTGAAAATCACAGACTTACGCCCAACAAGCTCAAAGACGGAGTTAGCTACATTCACTGGACAAAGCGCATTTGCCGAAGCGATTGCAGATGTTCGAGTGGAACGATTGATCGTTTTAGGTTTGGAGAAAGCACCTAGCGCAATTCATGCGATCGATTCAAAGACGAATGAGCGCGTTCCATTGCAATTCACATGGCAAGCTGGCGTGTCAGCAACGTCAAAGGGACTCAAATCAAGCAAAAAGAGCAGCGAATTGATCATCAAGGATCCCGCAGTGAAGATCATCGGTGATTGGAAGATAGAGTTTGACGTATGATGATCAGACAAAAATGAGGAATGATATTATAAGAATATGCGATAAAATTGATATGTTATAGAAATACTGACTACAATCCACAGATCCGCTCTATCCCAGCGTGGCAAAATAAGAAGCCATCATTGGTGATTGAAAATGAAACGATACAGAAGGAGAAGATGGCGTAGGAGAAGGCATTCGAGAAAGATTTGGAGGATAAGGAGATTTGTTCGGATGTTTTCGATTTCCTTCCTTCTTGGTTGACTTTTGCGATGCTGTTAAAGCAAAACCGTACATTTTTGCACTTTGGTCGTGATTTTTGTCATCGCGTTCGGCTGCTTCGTCCATGAAATCTTCGTTTGCAGTATCTTTGCTTTCTTTTTGTTTTGCCGCTTTTCCATGATCGTAAAAGCTTGTTGTTCTTTTGATGGTTCGGATTGCATTCTTGAAAGTAGAAGTCGCCGTTGCAGAAGCACTTCGCATTCCACCACGATTCATCGTTGAACGTTTATTGTTTGACGGTGCATTGATATGAGGCGTTAAACGTGGAAGGCTTGGCTTTTGCGATTTGACATCCATATAAGAGTCTTTCTTGTCTGTTCTTTGACCTCTATGCCATTCACGTCCAAGGACTGGCGGAGCAGTAAGAATATCATCACCACTTTCACCAAGTGAAATGGAAGATGAAATCTCTGAATGAGTGCAACTTGCAAGTTGCATTGTTGAACTCCTACGTGAAACGTCATCATAACATGAAGAAGCAGCATAAGTATCTTCAAAGCAGAAAGGATTGTCAAAAGCAGGACTACTTTGAATGTCGTCTTCGCTACTGATTGGATTTTCTCCGTTTGACCAATCGGAAAAGTGTACATGCGGAGACGACCAAGGATCATTTGAGTAAATGAGTAATCCATTCGAAGCGGATCTTTTCGTGCATTCATTTCTAGGATCCAAATAAAAAGGTAACAGCGCAGAATTGGCTTCCATACCTGTCGGTGAACCAGCTGATGATGGAAATGTCAACGTCGTAGGCGGTACAGACGGTGTACGTATGATCGTATTTGGTTCCTTTGCTGAATCTTGAATGCATAATGAAGCGGGTCTTCTGGTTTGCAATCTTGAAGTCCTTTGTGTGACTGGAGGTGTATCTTCTTTCAATGATTGCAAACACGGTCCAAGTTGTGTATAATCATTTGTAGGAGGAAGCTCTTCATCTTCAACACGAACTGTTTGATCGGCAAAGATCGAAGATGTTTGAAGCATATCAAACGCTCTTCTTAGTTCGGTCAAAGGTGATTCAACGTCCATCTGTGCAAAGTCGAAAGCACTCCCAATTTGATCAATCATTTCTTCAAGCGTTTCCTCTGTTTCATCCTTTTCGACAGCGTCTAACGGCAGCTTTTGCGAATTAGACGTATCCACGTTCAAGACTGGCAAAGATTTGAGGTTGTCCATCTTTGAAGTGATAATTGAATATCAAATAATAGCAATGCCGCAATTTTCAACGTAAAAAAATAGGCAATAATGAGCAAAATAATAAAACGATAAAAATGATGATGGACCAAAAGTGGTGAAGGAATGGAAAGAAAAATTTGACCACGTCTTTGAGTTGTATTAAATGTGATTGAATCAATAACATCGCTTTCGCATCGCATCATAACTGTGACAATCAAGTTACGTAGCCCATACCCCTCACAGCCGCGGGTTAAAAATGATTATATGTGCCATTCAACAAGAAAAAGGGGCGAAACATCATTCCCTCATTCTGAAGCCCCCCTTTTTCACCTTTTCGGGGCAATGTATGCGCCCCGGATCGACGGTGGAATATGACGATGTCGATCACTCGCCGAAAGGCGCAAGTACAGCATATCACAATGGATGGTACGGATTTTGATATGGCAATAGCATATAGTCATACGCGTGCAATATACGCGCCAAACGCGTAAAGACGAAACCAACACTTTATATGAAGAGCCGTTCCTACATCTTGAACCACCAGAACAACATACCCTCCTCAGGTATGGGATCACCATGCTACAGACAAGACTCGATTTGGGCTGTCCGTTCACTTGGCCCGCTTCTGTTGCATCTATAACACTCACCAATGATCAAGAACAACATAATGCATCGCCACTTATACCCGAAAATTGGATACAACTTCGGTACAATGAAAGTTTGTGGTTAGGCGAGCATCATACACCTCTATCCGCATTCTTATCGCACGTATCACATCTACAGCATACGTGTTCAACCCAGAACACAGCAGAAGCATTACGTTTGCTCATACGATCCCGGGCGGAAGTCCGACAAAGATTCAGTGGTACGGCAGATGGAACCAGTGGCTGGTCTGACAAAGATAAGTTACTTGCATGTATAGATGCAAAAGGGACGATCGATCAACCTGATAGCGAAAGAGCAATCGTGTGCAATGCGCTCAAAAGTGGACCGGCGAAAGTCGTTGCAAAGGAGCTACAAGAATCAAAGGAGAGCGGGATCGGCTCATTCGGAAAATTATGGATCGATGCTATCGAAACAAGAGAGTTACAGCTGCAGGTAATGGTACTCCTTTCTCTCCTACAACTCAATGCAGAAAATCCAGATCTTTCCAAGATGAACAAATCAATTGAAAAAGATGGAGAGAGTAGTTCAAGTCCATCTTCAGTCAAACGCCGCAAGAGAAAGGCGGAAAAGAGTCAAAGGTGGACGGGCGTGGGTAGCATCTTTCCTTGGCAAATGGGCAAACCACCAACAAGCACCGGCTCGAAAGAGACAAATCCTTCGTCAGAATCTCTATCGGATCCGGAGGTCCTATCAAAGCAATTTGAAGGTATAGTTGACTTTCTTTGTCTACGTGTGGCTACGACGAACATCTCTTCGAGCATCCCGTTTGGTTCTGAAGGTAGAAAGAAGGAAAGCAAAGATGATAGGGATGTATTGCAATGGTTTTGTTATTTAATCGAAACTCATTTTGCCAAAGCCCTGCCACGTCAATGTGGTACTTTGCGATCTCGTTGTTTCATTTCAATTGCCGCCACTCCGGCAAAACGTAGCAGACAGAAAGACTCTCGAACGAAGTCTGATGATCCTCGAGCGAAAAGTGTTGACGCCCGACCGAAAGAGTCAGTAGGTGCACTGCAAAGATCACTTTTACGGGAAAATTCTCAAAGAACACAATCTTTCGCAGCTGCGAAGCGAAAGTCAACGTGGGATGCAAGGGAAGTAAGTGTTCGAAAGCGATGGGAACGAAGTCAGAGTGTTGGATCGTCTATCAATGGTGTGGACCGTCAAGATGGTATGGCGTACCAGCAGTCTATCAAACAGCCGGTGCAGCAACCCGCTCAAGTGATTGCTTTAAGCACACCTTCAAAGCCACGCCAAGTTCAACACTTACCCACCCGACGCAAGACGATGAATACCAACGGCTTTTCCCAAATGACCGATGGTAAACAAAAGATCTCTGGTACAAATTGGCATAGAAGCGAATCCCAACCTGTCCTGACGTCATCGGCAGATTCTATCTTCGGCCCAAGTATGAATACAAACGATAATGATGAGGAGGAAGACACTGGAATGGAAAATCTGGACGAGTCCCTCCGTCAAGCTTTTGATGATGATGATGACGATCTCAATACAGATCCGATATTCGGCACGGGCTATTCAGACTGGTAGATAGAAACATGTACAATACTATAATTACTTAATTATGATTAGAAGATGAACCACTACGTTCGTGACCGCTTGAAGCCCGACTGCGAATTAAAGATGTGATGCGATGCCTGAATCTATCTCTTTCTTTGCCTGGCGTTCCCGAAGCTTCACTCGGTGCAGCTGATCCTTCCCGACTTGTCGGACCCTCGGAGTCTAGCCGAGAAGCTTTTACGAATTCGATTTGACTCGTTTGATTTTTGTTGTCAGCTTTAACGGCTTTAGGGGCATCATCTTTCGAAGTATCGCTTTTGGGTGGATCTGCTTTCGGCGGTGGGACTGCTTTTGGTGGATCCGCTTTGGGTACATCCTCCTCCGGAGCGTCTTCTCTGGGGGTATCCACCTTGGGAGGCTCTGCTTTGGGGAGATCAGTTTTTGGTGCATCATCCTTTGGGAGATCTGCAGTGATAGGATCTGCTTGGGGAACATCCACTGTGATTGTGGTGGCATCTACTTTGGGAATCTCTGCTTCCTGTTCCGCCATTCGTGCTTCTTCGTCTGTCTTGATTTGTTGCATCCACATACCTTTGTACAATCCGTTTTCATTAATCAAATCGACGTGACTTCCGTTCTCTACTACTCTACCGTTATCCAAGACGATTATTCTTTCCGAATTGACGATTGTGCTAAGCCGATGAGCAATTGTTAGACTTGTTCTACCTTGCAAGATATTTTTCAGTGCGAGTTGCAGTTGCTTTTCCGTATGGGTATCCAATGCGCTTGTTGCTTCATCTAATAATAAAATCTTTGGGTTTTTCAAAAACGTTCTCGCCAAAGCTACTCTCTGCTTTTCACCTCCCGATAATTTGACTCCTCTTTCTCCAACGACTGTATTCCATCCTTCCGGGAATGACAAGATTCGATCGTAGATTTGAGCTGCTTTGGCCGCTGCTTCTACTTCTTCATCAGACGCAGAGTTGTTTCCGTACAGGATGTTCTGGTAAATGCTGGTATTGAACAATCCGGGCTCTTGTGGCACAATTCCGATCGCTTTTCGCAAACTTGCTTGTTTCACCTTGCTAATGTCTTGTCCGTCAATGAAAATTGTGCCTTGTTGGATATCGTAGAAGCGGTATAACAGTCTCATGATACTACTTTTTCCCGCTCCACTTTCGCCTACCAAAGCGCCACTCTCATTTGCATGAACTTTGAAGTTTACACCTTTCAACGCTTCGATCTTGTTATCATAACTGAAGACAACATCTTTGAATTCGATCACTCCATCGGTAACGATGAGGTCCTTTGCGCCAGGTACATCTTTCACATCTGATTCTTCTTCCAAGAGATTCATCAATTTGTCGGTATCCACCAAATTTTGCATCAATACCCTGTGCAAGGTACCCAAAAAGCTCAATGGGACGTAAACTTGTTGCAAGTATGTGATAAACACCACAAAGTCGCTCGCTTTTGTGTGACCCTCAACCACGCTTTTGGCAACGAGCAAACAGGTGACCAGAGTACTTGAAGTGATGATACTGTTTTGAACCAAGTTGAGCAAATTCAGTGAAGCTGTAACTCGATAATCGGCTTGTTGATAATCCAACAAGGCTGCTCGATACCTGTCCAATTCGTACGGTTCGTTGGAATGTACCTTGACCAATTCGTAATTGATCAACACATCAGCATGAATTGCTCGTGAGATACTGTCCTTGTTGTTAGCTTCACGACGTAAACCTGTACGCCATGTTGTCAATGTGACAGAAACATGCGTATACAAATACATCACCGCAAAGATTGCCACACCCACAGCCCATCCGAATTTCGATCCCAAAAAGACCATTGCAACTGCGATATCGACAAAGATCGGAATAACGTTGAAGGTGAGATACTGGAAGAACGTAGAAATCACTGCACCACGATCCAGGATTCGTAAAATTTCACCCATCTTTCTGCGAGCATGGAAAGCCATACTTAGGTGCAAAAGATGGTCGAATGCCATAATTGAGATACTTCGATCGCTGAATTGCTCAATCGGCAACCAAGCAAGGGCTTGCAAAACAGCCAAAAGACCACCACTTCCTTGCAGCATTTTCAGAAAAGCATATGCGGCAATATGCCACCAAGGCGCTCGCTCGGATGAGAGATCTTCGACAATCTTTCCCAATGTAAGAGGAACAAGCAAGTTCACCAAACGACCTGCTGCCAAAAGGCCAACGCAAAACAGAGCCAAAAGTTGCAGATGCACAGATTGCGAAGGCCAGAGATAAGGGAAAAGAGCCCGAACACGTTGGAAGAACAAACCAAAAGTAGGCGGAGGAGGCTGTGCTGCAAGTGTCAATCCCATAGAAGCATTTGCTGCGTTTGGATTTGGGGATCGCGATCCTGATCCACTTTGCTGACCATTACTGCTGGAGCTAAGTTTGCCATGTGCAGCTTGAACCCCTCCAAGACTTGTGGCACCATATTTGGCGGTCGGAAGCCCTCCAACTGTGCTGCTTGGAGGCTGCAATAAAGATGTTTGTTCTGTTGTTCCGCTAGATTCCGCATTTCCTACATCGCTGGGTAAATTGTTGATTTGTTGTGCCAATTCAGATGCTCTGACGAATGTTGTTTTATCCCAACGTAAGGCAAGGAACACCATTGGGTAGAGCAATACAATTCTGACAAAAATCAAAGCTAATTGACCAATAACCCAAAGCTTGCTTTTCGGAAGATCTTCAATCGGTGCAGATCTGCTTTTGAGGTATAATGCCAGTAAGGTAATATCTCCCGTCATACCGACGAGAGCTGACCAGCCTGCTTTACCTCGACCATAATGTCCCCGTCCTCTAGTAGACTCTTCATATGCGATCGCAATTGCCACAGAGCTCCAAGCAATCAAGCCTAACAATGCTTGCCAATCCAACATTTGCCATCTTTGATGAGATGGTGTCCATGTTTGAGGCGGAATGAGTGCACGTAAAACGATGAATACGCCTGATGCAAAGTATGTACCAGCCAAAGCAGATAGAACCAAGAATGTTAATATCCTTCTACGTGATCGAACAGGAACGATGACTGGTGTTGGTTCGGGTACGGCATCTCTGGGTTGTGGTACCTCACCCGGAATGGGTAAATTGGCAATAGATCCTGATCGAGAAAGCAAGCCGTTGCCATCAGCTCCGTTGATGTTTGTTCCATATCGTGTTGTAGCAGCACTTATTTGATTTGGATTAGGAGCAAAGATGAATTTTGCCAATTCCACTGTTGGTTTGAGTAAAGTGGAAATCAAAACGATTGCTAAAATCGTTAATGGTTGCGCCAATCGAATGACGAACAAGGCAAGAAATATATTATTTGCCTTGCTCATCATGTCCACCAACAACTCCATCCCTGAGACAGACCCCAACATCTTGCAAGACTATGATGGATCTGATAGGAAGAGGAGGAACAATAGCCAGAACGGCAAGTCAATTCAATATGCGGCTTTAAAGATGATTCATGCACCTGCACAGCAAAGGAACCCCTCTCTTGCATACGACTACCCGCTCCGCTTTTAAGGTTAATGCTAATAATGGCTTACCGCTCAAGGTAGATAATTAGAAAAGTGGTGCGGGGGAGAAGTAGCGTGTCTTGCTTCTCAGCACGTGTTCTTTTTCTCCCATTGACGGTGATTGCATTTCTTGCTAAGCTTATTCACATGGAAGAGGCTGTGTAAATTGAATTTCAGTAAGGTATGCATACTTTATCCGATGTACACAACACAATACGGCATCTGTTTATTTGAATGATTGATTGCCAATTTGGCTAATTTAATCTGTAAAATGACGCAAAGGATGGAGAAGTAAGCAGGCGCGCGCGGTTGTATTTGTTTGGCAAAAGTACCGAAGCTTCTTATGCGTACATGCAAAAGGAGCTAGAGTTGCCCTTTGCGCTTTCGTTGGCTATTGTGTAAAAAAAGATGCAAATTTTGAACCCTTTTTGAGTTGTTGAATGCCCCTTATTGTAACCATACCACGTATGTAATCAAGCAGATCATCATTGATTGATGCATTCATTCCTTTCTTTTCTGCTTGATGATGTAAAACCCTTTTTTGGTTCATCTGTCAGTCGGCAACTCTCCCCATGTCCCCAGTCGAATCGCGCTTTTTTGTGTGCATATATGCGCGTACACATGCGTACAACATGACAGGTGGAGGTTGATAAACAACAGTGCTAAAGTGCTGTGTCAATATAATTTTCACGCTAGGGCTGGGAATATTTGCTTGCACTTTCGATCTAAAAGAGGGAATTTGGATTGAATTGTGTGTGTGTTTAAGATCTTCTTCTATCCCCCGGCATATGGCCAGGGACCTTAAACAGTTACTCGCTTCTCTTTGTCATTAATCAAATGTCCATACTCGGAGCTTTTTCACTTAGCTTGCCTAAACACATATAACTTGGACCTTTTCCATTTCATTTCTTTCTTCCTTTCCTCCACCATCACGCATAATTATTTGATACCAACCGGATACCTACTCTTTCTTTCTCTTTTTGAACGAGTACACGATACCATCGATTGGATCGTAATTATTAAACACACTTCCTACATTTATACACTTTTCTTATTTTATTAATCACCACCACCACCACATAATCAATCGTCAAAATGTCAAAAGTCGCTGATTCCGTTCAACAGATCTCCGACAATCCATCAAAAAATGCAGTCACAATGCCTCAAGATGGAAAGTTCAAAGAAGAAGATATTAATCGAAAAATCTCCTTCTATGGTGTAATTCAAGCATTCAGAGAAGGTCGTTTGCCAGACAACCAACAAATCTTTGATGCTTTGACTTATGCAGAACGTAATAGCCCCGTTGATACTTCAAAGTTGTCAAAAGACGGTCAAGTCTTGATCGAAGATATTCGTGCAATCATTGCTTCCATGCGCAAGATTGTCGCTGAAAAGAACTCAAACCAAGAAATTCAAGAATTCATCCATGCAACCGTCAAGGCTGATTACAAGGGTGCTACTGGAATGACCGCACCCGTCACACAAGGCGAAGCCAAGAAAGATGCCGAAACTGCTGGTGAAGCTTTCAGAACTTTGTTCAAACTCTTCTTGCGCAACGGTGAAGCACGTAAATTGTTCAACGATTTGGGCTTGATCGGTCGTGATATCTTTGCAGATGCTGCTCAATACAGCGCCGGCAAGATTCGTCCTGACGAAGAAAAGCTGGCTTCCGTCGATCACCCAGCTCCAGAGAACGAGTTCCATGACGATATTCCACAAGGTCTCAAGACAAAGAGCAAAGAAGAGAAGGAAGCCGCTAAGCTCGAATTGGAAGCAGACAAGAAGCGTGCTGCCGCAAACGGTGACCCAAATCCTGAATTGACCGCACAAGCCAATCGCATTCCTGAAGAACACAAGGAAGTCATTCGCGAACACAAGGATAAGACAGTCAACTACTTCAAGGAGAACTTCCCTGAAGAACGCCGCGATCAATTCATCTACCGTTTGAAGAAGATCTTGGTCGAATGCCAACGTCACCCTGATTATCGTGATGCAATTGAATTCTTCTTGTCAGCCGCTGAGAACTACAAAGGTGTTGCCAATGATATTCACACCCAAGTCGAAAACAACGCAAAGAGCGTTGCCAACGAAAGCAACATCTCTCACGCTCAACGCTCTTTCCGTAAGGTTTTGGAACGTTTTGCCAACGGTCGCCCAACTCAACCAATGTTGGATGCTTTGGATGTCTTGTACAACGATTGTGCCAAGGACCCTGAATTGAAGCAATACTTCAAGTCAATTGACCAATTCGTTCGCCGTTGCGTTCAAGAACCCGGATTCGTCATGAAGGATGAAGCAAACAACCAAGCCAAACAATTGCGAACAACCGGTAAGAAGTTCTTCACCGGAATCAACAAGGATGACAAAGGTAAATACGAAGACCACTTCAAGCACTTCTTCAAAGAAGTTGAAATCTTCTTCTCAGCAATGGGTGATGACCCAACAAACATTGAATTTGGTGAAAAATGGCACAAATTGGGACGTGATGTCTTCTTCAACGCTGAAGGTAAGGCAACCTTCAAGCCTCACTTGTGGGACGATATCCGTGACCCAATCTTGCCACAATTGCTCAAGCATGTTGGATTTGTACCAATCCCACGTATCGAATTCAGTGACCCAATGGTTGACCTTGTCATTGAAAATTTGAACATCGATCCTGCCAACATTATCCCTAACTTGATCGAAATTGAAGCTCATCACTTCCACCGTATGTCTGCATTCAAGAAGATCACTGATAACCACAAGGGATCCGTCAAGATCTTGTTGTCTCAAATTCAAACCGATTTGCGTGACGTTGCATGGTCCATCAACAAGAAGAAGGGTTTCCCCTCTTTGAAGGATTCCGGTGTTGCAGATGTCTTTTTGGGCGGTCAAGGTTTGACTGTTAGCGTTACCCTTGAAACCCGTACAGGAACTCGCGATGTCTTCCAAGTTAAACAAGTCAAAGCAAAGATTCACAAGATCGATTTCGCAATTCGTAAGTCTAAGCATGACGTTTTGGTTAAGATCATGCGTCCTTTGGCAGCCAGCTTGATCAAGAAGCAATTGTGCAAGGTGACCGAAAACGGTATCCGTGACGGATTGGAGAAGGTTAACGATCACCTCGTTGCCGCCAAAGAAGCTGAAGAAGGCAAGAAGATGGACACACTCAAGAACCGATTCGGTAAATCAGACAACGGTTCCCAAAAACCATCTCAAGGTACATTCAAATTGGCCACTTCTAAGCGTGACTCAATCTTGCCAAAGATGGGCTCTCCTGATGGATGGATCCATAGATTGGACGAAACCGAAAAGAAGGCACTCGATGATGGAGGTGCAGCAAAGCCCAACTGGTACTCTGGAGCTTTCTCAATCGTTCCCTCTCAAAAGGTTTAAGGAAAAAAAATTTCATTCCTTTTCCCCCCTGATTCCATGATTACTTTGAACTTGTTCCGTTACTCTTCTACATACTGCTTGCTTTTTATCCCTGTGTGAAATTTATACCCTCGCGCTCGGAAATCATGCTAATGGAATGAAATTTTAAACAAACTTGATCACTTTGATAAACAAATAAAAATAAAGAGCTTCTATGATTAAGTTTTCGGCGAATCGAATGGTCGTCTTGTTTCCGCAATGCTTCCTTTTTAGCGGCAACAAGCTAATATATCAATTTATCAGACTCTCTTGAAATACGCCGCCCAGCGCCACGGGATTCGTTTTTGAAGACGATCAAATGAGTAAAGGTCAGGCGATGTCGTCGCCGGGGACTTTAAGCCCCTTTCTGTTCCTAACTTAGCACACATAGATAATGAAGCACATAAAATGAAACATTCGAGATATAAGCAATAAATAAGCACGAGACAAAAAGAAAGAAAGATAAAAACATCTATGGTAAGAAAAATATAAGAAAAAAATAGGATTGGATTGAATTATGAATCCTTTTGATATATTGATTTGCCTGCTACCCTTAAGCAGCTGCGGCTACTTGAGGTTCAGCATGACCGTTTGCGATAGCAGCTGGCTTCTTTGCTGACCATTTTTGCGAGTTAAAAGTACGCTTTGGAATACCTCCTGACCAGGGCAATCTTGATTCACCTTCCAAATCAGCATCGATTGATGCTGCACAAGCACGACCTTCCATGATACCAGTCACAACCAATGATTGACCACGACGACAATCACCTGTTGCGTATACCTTTTCAACGGAAGTCTTATAAGGTGATTTACCTTCACGGTCATCGGCTAAAATGTTACCGCGACCGTCTTGTTCAAGACCCAAAGAAGAGTAAGCTTCCTTTTCAGGAGACAAGAAACCGAGAGATAAGAATACCAAATCGCATTCCCATCTCTTATCACTTCCTGGTACCTTGTTCATTTGCCAGCGACCAGAAGCATCCTTCTCCCATTTAACTTCTTGCGTATGCAATGCAACCAATTTGCCAGATTCATCCTTTTCGAATTGGGTAGTTGTGATCTCATATGTTCTTGGATCTTCTCCCCATTTCTCTTTGCATTCTGTATGACCGTAATCGGTACGGAAGATACGTGGCCATTGTGGCCATGGGTTATCGCGTGTACGACCAGTCTTGGATGGCATTGGCAACAATTCAAAGTTGTTGATCGATGTTGCACCATGACGGATGGAAGTACCGATACAGTCATTACCTGTATCACCACCACCAATAACGATAACCTTCTTGCCCTTTGCAGAGATGTAACGACCATCTTCATGAGCAGAGTCCAACAAACTTCTTGTGTTCATGCTCAAGAAGTCCATTGCAAAGAAGATACCGTCTGCATCACGACCAGGAATGCTCAAATCACGTGGTTTGGTGCTTCCAGTTGCGAAGACGACTGCATCGTTTTGAGCACGCAAATCATCAGCAGAGACATCTGTACCAACGCTAACGCCGCAAACGAATTTGACGCCTTCGTCTTCCATGATCTTCAAACGACGCATGACGAATCTCTTTTCGAGCTTCATGTTGGGGATACCGTACATCAACAAACCACCTGGACGGTCAGCACGTTCATAGATTGTGACTGAATGACCAGCACGGTTCAATTGATCAGCACATGCTAGACCAGCTGGTCCTGAACCAATGACGGCAATTGTCTTGCCGGTACGGTGTTGAGGTGGGTTTGGCTTCATCCATCCCATTTCCCAAGCCTTGTCAATAATGGCACATTCGACACTCTTGATACCGACAGCTGGTTCATTGATACCCAAAACACATGCACCTTCACATGGAGCAGGGCAAACACGACCAGTGAATTCGGGGAAGTTGTTAGTCTTTGCCAAAGAGTGGAAAGCGGCTTCCCATTGACCCTTGAAGACAAGGTTGTTGAATTGAGGAATAACGTTTGCGATTGGGCAACCAGTTCCTGTTTGACAGAATGGAACACCACAGTCCATGCAACGGGCTGTTTGGTATTTCAATTCGGCATCGGTCAAACGAGTTGAAAGTTCGTTCCAGTCCTTTGTACGCTTAGTGGGTGTACGGTAATGTTCTCCCAATCGCTTGTACTTCATGAAACCACGAGTCTTGTCCAATTTGGCCAATCTTGCCTTTTGAGATTCATCATCAACCATGGAGTCTTCAACATCAGCAACTGCTGGCTCACATTTGACAGCGTTCGCAGTCTTAGCTTCGGTGTCCTCAGTAACGGAAACGTCAACTTGACTACCGTGACGAGAAAGTGTACCGAGCAAGTCAACATGACTCGAACGTTTCTTCTCAGCAGCAGCCTTTGCAGCTTCTTCTTCCAAGACACGCTTGTAGTCCAATGGCATAACACGGACGAAGCGTGGCAAAAGATGGTGGAAGTCATGCAAGACATGTTCAGCAACTGTTGATCCGGTGTAATGACGATGGTTCTCGATCAAGTTACGCAATTCAGCGATATCTTGAGGGTCATTGACTGGACCCAATTCGACCATACCGGTGTTGCATCTTGTGTGGAAGTCTCTGTTCATATCAAGAACGTAAGCGATACCACCGCTCATACCGGCAGCAAAGTTGCGTCCAGTTGCACCCAAGATAACAACACGACCACCAGTCATGTATTCACATCCGTGATCTCCTACACCTTCAACGACAGCATGTGCACCGGAGTTACGTACTGCGAAACGTTCGGCAGCAATACCACGGAAGTATGCATTACCAGAAGTAGCACCGTACAAACAAACGTTACCGACGATGATGTTCTCTTCAGCCTTGAAAGCGGAGTTCTTTGGTGGGTAGATGATCAAGCGACCACCGCTCATACCCTTACCGACGTAATCGTTTGCGTCACCTTCAAGCTCGAATGTGATACCTGGAGCCAAGAAGGCACCGCAAGATTGACCGGCACTTCCCTTTGCGTTGATATGGATTGTGTCACGGGGCAAACCTTCTTCACCGTAAATCTTGGAAACACGGTAAGACAAAGTAGAGCACAATGCACGATCAGTGTTCACAACATCGCATTCGATTTGAACGGGCAAGCCTTGTGTCAAAGCTGGCTCACTTTCTTCGATAAACTTGTTATCGAGACGAATGTATAATTTGTGGTCTTGTTGACGAACCTTGTAAGTTGCGGCACCTGGACGCATTTCATGAGCAGGCTTGAGAACAGCGCTCAGGTCCAAGTTGGCAGTCTTTGGTGTGCGCAAACTTTCATCGACCTTGAGGAGGTCGCTTCTACCAACCATTTCATTGATGGTACGAAGACCAAGTTTGGCCATGATACCACGCAATTCTTCGGCCATCAAGAAGAAGAAGTTTGTAACAGATTCGGGCATACCAGCGAACTTCTCACGGAGAGCAGCATCTTGGGTTGCAATACCGACAGGGCAAGTGTTCTAAAGAGGAAAGAGAGTAGAGTTTTTAGTCAGCAAATAGATCTAGTAGAAGAATACAGGGAGAATAATAAATACGTACCAAATGGCATTTTCTCATCATAATGCATCCCAAAGCGATCAAAGGAGTGGTTGCGAAACCCCATTCTTCAGCACCAAGCAAACATGCGATAGCAACATCACGTCCGGTACGTAATTGACCGTCAGTTTGAACTGTAACACGTCCACGCAAGTCGTTCAAGACCAAAGTTTGATGGGTTTCAGACAATCCCAATTCCCAAGGTGAACCAGCATACTTGATACTTGTCCATTTAGCAGCACCAGTACCACCATCGTGACCTGAGATTGTGATATGATCTGCCTTTGCCTTTGCCACACCAGCAGCAACAACACCAACACCTGGTTCGGCCACCAACTTGACACTGACACGTGCACGAGGGTTACCGCACTTCAAATCGTAGATCAACTGTTTCAAATCTTCGATAGAGTAAATGTCGTGATGGGGTGGTGGTGAAATAAGACCGACACCGGCAGTTGAGTGACGAGTGCGGGCAATGGAAGGAGAAACCTTGTCACCTGGCAATTCACCACCTTCACCTGGCTTAGCACCTTGTGCCATCTTGATTTGCAAATCATCTGAATCAGCAATGTAGTTTGATGTAACACCGAAACGACCAGAAGCGATTTGCTTAATCTTGGAACGCAAGGAGTCACCGTTTGGAAGAGGGATAGAACGCTCGGCATCTTCACCTCCTTCACCGGTGTTCGATTTACCACCGATGCGGTTCATTGCAATGGCCAAAGCAGAATGTGCTTCCATACTGATACTACCGTAAGACATGGCACCAGTTGCAAATCGTTGAACAATTTCAGTCCATGGCTCAACTTGATCGATTGGGATTGGACGTGCTTTTTCGTATGCAAAGTCCAACAAACCACGAAGGGTAACAGATTTGACTGAATTGTGAGCAGCTTTGGAGTATGTGTCGTAAGCAGCTTGATTGCGTTCACGAGCGGCATCTTGCAAGTTAGCAATACTGACAGGGTCGTTGATGTGACCTTCACCACCAGTACGGTAATGGTATTCACCTGATTCCGGCAAACCGGGTGGAGTGACTGTCAAACGGGCAGGGTAACCGCGGTCGTGGAATTCCAATGCGTCCATAGCCAAAAGTTCGAATGTAGAACCCTTGATACGGGAAGCAGTACCAGAGAAACATCTGTCAACAACGGTATCGTCCAAACCCAAAACTTCAAAGATTTGAGCACCCTTGTAAGATTGAAGGGTGGAGATACCCATCTTGGACATCACCTTCAAGATACCACCGTCGATAGACTTACGCCAGTTGGCAATCAATTTCTCGTCAGACATGTCGACCTTGAGCAATCCTTCACGGGAAACCTTCAACATGGCTTCCAATGATAACCAAGGACAGATTGCATCAGCACCGTATCCGACCAAAACACACATGTGATGAATTTCACGTGCTTCACCGGATTCCATGACCAAAGCGACCTTGCTACGTTCCTTGTTGCGGATCAAATGATGATGAACACTACCGCAAGCAACAAGAGAACTGATTGCCACACGTTCAGGGCCAACATTACGGTCAGACAAGACAGCAACGCGGTAGCCATCACGAATAGCTTGAGATGTTTCAGTGCAAATACGGTTGAGAGTAGCTTCGTATCCTTCGATACCTTCACTCTTGTTGTATGTGCAATCGATCACTTGTGCAGGCCAGTCAGAGTGAACCTTGTCCAAGTTCTTGAGAGCATTGCACTCTTGAATAGTCAAGATGGGGCTGCCCAATCGCAATCTGTGACACTGATTGGGGTTCATGTCCAACAAGTTTCCTTCGGGACCAATGTATTGTTCCAAAGACATAACAACAGCTTCACGGATAGGATCAATTGGAGGGTTGGTGACTTGAGCAAACAATTGTCTGAAATAGTCGTAGATCAAACGAGGGGCTTGTGCCATGCATGCCAAAGGAGCATCGTTACCCATAGATCCCAATGCTTCAGATCCATCGTTCACCATTGGCAACATCAAAAGACTGACCTGTTCGGATGTGTAACCGAATGCCAACATTTTGGGATCATTTTGCACGGTGTGTTCGTCAAGTTTAGGTGAGATATCAACGGATCTACGAACCTTGGAAACAATGTTGTTCAAATCCAACAATTGTGCTTCCAACCAAGCAGCAAAGTCTGCACGTTGAGCTGTGGTCTTCTTCAATTCACGATCGTCAATCACGCGGCCTTCAACTGTGTCAACCAAAAGCATCTTTCCGGGTTGCAATCGGCCCTTTGATAAGATGCGTTCGGGTGCAATGGTAACAGCACCGGTTTCGGAGGCACAGACCATGACATCTTCATCTGTGATGCAGTAACGACAAGGACGTAAACCGTTACGGTCCAAATTAGCACCACAGTAACGACCATCAGAGAAGGTGAACAAAGCTGGACCATCCCAAGGTTCCATCAAACAAGCAGCCCACTTGTAGAATGCTGCTTTGGCTGGGTCCATTTCATCTTCGTTTCCTTGCCATGCTTCTGGAACCATCATCATGACTGCTTGTGGCAAAGTCAAAACATTGTTGATGACCAAAAGTTCCAAAACGTTATCGAAAGCAGCAGAGTCTGAACCACCGTTTTCAATAATTGGGTATAACATGTCTAATTCATCCTTGAATGTTTCTGATTTCAACAAACCTTCACGAGCTCGCATCCAGTTCTTGTTACCACGGATGGTGTTGATTTCACCATTGTGGGCTGCCCATCTCATAGGTTGTGCACGATCCCAACTTGGGAATGTGTTTGTTGAGAAACGGGAGTGAACAAGGGCAAAGTGACTTGCGTAGTGTGCGTTATTTAAGTCGTGGTAATAATCGTACACTTGACGAGGACTCAATTGACCCTTGTAAACGATGTTTGTGTTGGACAATGAACAGATGTAGAACCATTTTGGCAAACCGATACCGTGAGTGGCGGATTTACGCAAAACGTACAATTGACGGCTGAAATATTGAGCGTCAAAGGGAGCAGAGGGATCTTTGCACTTGTTTGTATCAGTGCCGTAATGGTCAGCCAAAACGACAAAAGGTTGCAAGATCTTGGGTTCCTTGCTCAAAGCGGCGGGACCAAGGATGGAGTTGTCGACTGGAACCTCACGCCATCCCAAGACGCGCAAATGAAGCTTGCTAGCCATCTTCTCGAAAATGGCGACGTGCTCAGCTCTTGCCTTGTCATCACGAGGATCGAAGAACAAGTTACCGACGGCGTATTGACCTTGAGCGGGCAAAGTGTGACCGATATCACGCTCAGACTCTCTCCTCAAGAAGGTGTCTGGAATACCAGTCATCACACCAGCACCATCACCATCACGGGCATCTGCACCGGTGGCACCACGATGGGTCATGTTGCACAATAGAGATTTTGCATCAGTCACAATTTTGTGTGCTGGCTTTCCCTTGATGTGGCACATGAAACCGACACCGCAAGAATCCTTTTCGTTGTCTGGGTCATAGAGACCTTGAGCAGCAGGTAAAGCGCCAGCCCATGTTTCCGGTGCACGAGAGACCGACTCAAAGCCGTTGGCTTCGATGTCGTTTGAAGTGGTTACTTCTTCATGATCTTGAATTGAACCAAGGTAGGATTGGTTGTTGAATGTCTTATCTTCAGCTCTGCGCTGTTTGTTGTAAGAGACTGTGGCGATTGAAGACATACTTGTGTGAGCAAATCAACTGAAAAGATGAGTAGCTCGGAAAGAAGAATGACAAATAATGAACAGGATTGTCACTTCACACCGTTAATCCTTCTTTGATTGAACGAGAGTTGAGAAGAAGACGAGTAAAGTCGTAGATAAAAAGTGCGCGCCGATGCGCTCAACAGTAAGATCGGAAAACCCTCTTTAAACTTTAGTGGCCACCCTGTACGGGGAATAACGTTCTATGTGGCGATGGCCAAGAATGCAAGAGATGATATGGTGAAGAAGAAGAAAAAAGAGGTGAAGATAGAATGAATAAGCTTCTTTGGCGTGTACGTGTATTTTTGCTTACACTAGAAATGGGCTATCCTATTGGACAAGAGAATTCCTTATGCAGGTGTGAATAAGATACAATTTTGCATCCAATTGAAAGATTGAGTTGATGCACTTTTTCAGTGTATAGATAAGAACGGTTGATAAAAAGTGCGCGATTAATCTATTTTTTATATTTTTTTTTCTCGCTCTTCTCGTCTTTTTTTCACTTAGGTACCTTCTCTGTCAAATATACCTAGTTACTCTAACTACGGCAATAGTGGGGGAAGCGGGTGCCCGCACCTGTGCCAATGTGCATAAAACGGTACAGGTCGGAGAAAGATTAGATGAGCTTGATTGGATGCGCCCGCCAATAAAAAAGTGTATTGCATTGTATGCGCGTATTTCGCCTCAAGTCTAGACCGAATCACAGAAAACATCGCTGCCGTTCTTTCGCTTACGCACGAATATACATTACCTTTTTTTTATCTATTCTGACCAATCATTCAACTGCATGCGTGAAACTAGGACACTAAAATACAACTCAAAGCCGCTTCATGGTTAGTGAATGAACAGGCACTGTGCCTTAATCATAGGCCTATATGGTATTATGGAACATGATTGAGTCTAAATATATGCATACCTTCTTATATGACTTTGACTCCGATGTCATCCGCTGTGTATTATCCGGCGTTGACATGTCTGGAAGCGCTTCTCAACGGAAACAATGATGACTCAGACGGTCACCACCAATCACCGCCTTTTCTTATGCGTGTGTTTTTGATAGCGCCCGAGAGAATACCGAACGAATCGATTGAATTGCTTATGCAAATTATGATTTTTATTTTCACTCAGTAATTTCTCCGAAGGTCTTCGAAAGGGAATAAGAGCCTGCATCGGGCAAAGTACCTTTAAAGCTCTTTTGACATTCAAGGGCTCAGACGCCAAACTTATTAAAAATAGTGGCTGAGCATTATACGCTGCTTAAGCAACACTTCTCGCTTATACTTGCGCCGCTCTTCTTCGTTCTTCGGGTGAATCGGTCGAAAAAGAAAGGCAGGACCCCAATCAAAGCGGGCGTTTTTAGCTCCGTCAACGGTGCCGTCCAAATGAATGCTATGATGGTATTTGTCTGTGCGGTTTGCATCCTAACAATCACCAACACCTTATCACCACCTCGACAATAAGATGAAGATAATTAGCAATAATCATACTTGAATGGGTTCCAGTCTTGCTTAATGATTCATTTGAGAAGAGGCGTGATCGGATATAAGGACAGCACGGTAATAAGGGGGCGTGTAGAATATGGGAAAATACGATCAAATTCATCTTATGAAAGAAGTTCTTGTATCGGTCTCAGCCTTTCCCAACTAAGAAGCCAGCTCTTTGCCTTCGGCATTGCAGACTGTAGAAGTTTGCATTATCCCCTGTGATACGTTCTAGGAAGAATTAGTCAAAAGATTACCAACTTTCAGTCAGATCAGATTTGAAGCGGCTATCCTGTATAGAACAGCAGAGATCCCTAAAGTCCACGAAGTACATTATATGAGAGAGGTGAACTAGTAGGTGGCTTTATAAGTTCTATTTAGCTTTCACTTATTCTTTTACAAGCATCTTTCAAAAGATGAAGTCTCTATTGACTCCTTCTGCTTCTAATCATGAGAAGTAAGGAGAGATTACTCCAGTAGCTATATCTCGAACTTGAGATATATGCAAAGGCAGATTGTCAGACGCTCTTATAGAGACTATCTAGCCTATCTCTGCTCCGGATATAAGCTCATTTCCAAGGTGGAATCCTGTTGCCCTCAATTCAGTACCTCAGATTAAGGAGTGATACTCATCTACATGAATAGATCTATCTCAACATTGATTATTAAAGGGTGTACTCATTGCATAAAAGAAGAAGCAAGGCGGATAAAACATTATCTCTTTACTGATAAAGTGGTATGATCAATTCCGCCGATCTAGGCTTCTAAGAATTGGCAGAACAATTTCATAAAACTTTCTTTTGAAGGTAAGCACGCACGCACGCACGCGTACAAAAAGCCAAGGCAAAGGGCGCACACCATACGCACAAAGAAAAGCCTCGTGCCTTTTCTCTCTCTCGGACACAGAAGTCTAGGCACTGGCCCCTCTAGAAAGACTCCCTGTAAAAGTAGGAAAGTGTGGGAAATCGGCAAATTATCTAACAACACGTATAGTGCCCCAAATTGAGCGGCAGATTATTGTCATGCGTTTATTATATGCTGCTTGCTCTCTTTAGCATTCGGATCACTGTTGATTGAATTATATCCGACATCCAAAACTTCAACTCTTCTTTGAACTGCCTCCTTGCCACTTTACGCAACAACAACAACAATACCATCCTCCGGTCAAGGAAGGAATATCTTGGCGTTCCGAACTCAGGATAACGCTTGGTTTGATAAGGACCCCGCAAAATAATAAAAAAAGTGCTCATCCAAAAACAGCTCAAAACAAAAGGGGCTACCGGATCATCATAGCTCTCCTTCTGAGTTTCAAGATTGAACTGTTTTTTGCATCATCTTGACAACTCTGCTTGTCAAGGAAGCACTGGCCATCGGGTCTATCAAAACATTTCATTCTCGGATTCAACGTTGAGCAGTGTTCTAATCAGCTTATCTCCACGTTCTCATTCAAACAACATCTTGACCAAATTCGCTCCCCAAATAAATCATCTTTGCCAAGATGATGTCCGCACCTGCACCATATCCAACTGTGCAATCATCTGCACCGGCAATCGATGATCATGAAATCACAACGCGCACGCCATCAATTTGTGTGGATTACCTTTCGCATAATTGGACGGATGAAGATGTTTGGAGCAGTTGGAAAGCAATGACAAAGAGAAAGAATGAGATCGCAAACGGAGTTAGATTAGAGAACGCATCATGGAGAACATGGGCAAAACAAAGAGGAAAATTAAAAACAATCAGTCCGGAAACGTTGAATTGGCTAAAAGATTCAGATGTCACTTGGCTTTATGGTCCTTTACATGAACATGCTGAACCCGTTCCTCCTCCAAGACAAGCAACTGCGCGGGAAAGGTTAGGATTAGAAGATGTAACACGCACAAAGTCAATCTTGAAGCATAGGACCATATCAGAAATGCTCACCACTCCCGGTCTAAATGCAACCAGTCCATCTGTTGAAACACCACCACCGGTCGGCAGCGGGTCAACTTCAAGAGATGGTAGTGATGACGGACGAGATTCAACAGGAAGAGACAGTGGTAATGCGACACCGACTAATGCTACAGGAGGAAGGCCTGCGATCACATTCACCAAAAGTGAAACTGCACTATCTGCTTTGGGAAAACGATCTGCAGGCAGTCCACCGGCAAGTGAAAGGTTGATGCGAAATATGACGATAGGCGACAAAAATGATGGAATCGTACACTCGGCACCCGAAGAGAAGAGGCATATCAGCTTTAATCAACGAGTGGATCAATGCATCGCTGTTGACGCTCATGAGGAAGAGGAGGAGGAGGATGAAGATGATTATTCAGACGGAAACTATGAGATCGGAAGAAAGGATGACGATGAAGGTTCTTCTAGCGATGAGGAAGTTTTGACGATGAAGTCTAGTCCCAGATCAACTGCTGCATGGCCCACAATGGCTTCCAGCCGCAACTCCAGTCCTGGACTAGAACATCAAACGATTGCCAAGCTTGCGCCTACAATCCTTAAAACAAGCGACACCTACCCTGCCCCTTCTCCTCAAGTTGTCGATCCGTCTGGATTCACTGCTCACTTCAATGGAAGCGATGTTGCCGGTAGCGATGGACAACCTCGTCTTTCGGCTCAACCTCAACTATATCAGTATGACAATAGCGATGAAGATCTCACACAAACCAGATATAGCCAATGGGATGCAGATGATGACTTCAATGGCGATTTCGATTATTTCAACGGACCTGATGTGCATGACAGTTATCATTCTCAATCTGGTCGGGCTGCTGGCGAAGAGGAGAAAGGTGCTGGCCTATATAATGATGCTTCTGCCAATTCGAATGCACAATCGAACGATAGTGTTGATAATTCCGGCTCAAATCGTACTTCAGAACCTCCAAGAAGTATTTTGAAAAGGAGACCGGCGCCTGCCGAAGTGAATGATCAAGAAGAGCAATTATCTGGCTCACAACATTTCTCGCCTCCATCATCGCCAGAAACGGGTCAATCAAGCCTTGCAACTTCACCGAGTAAAGAACGTGGCCGTACTTCTCAGCGGGTCGGTAGCTCTGCAAGTTATGAAAGGATTCAAGATGCAGCTCGAGGTACAGTTCTAGGCACAGCAAATTCTACGCGAGCAAGAAGTTCTAGCTCAAATGGTTCCATCTATGAAGGTTCAAATGCAGATCAGCCATCGACATCTTCCAGTCCTCCATCGACAGGATCGGGAAACAATAAGAATGTATCTGATCGTCGGGAGTCTTTTAGGGGAAGGGCTGGAGATGGATCAAAAGCAATGGAAGGCAATCGTTCAGGATCCGCATTTGCTGGAAAGAGAGATGGATCGGCAGGTGGAGCATTCGAAGGAGATTCTGACGGAAGAGCTTCTTTGGACTTCAATAGCCCTGGTTATCCTGCCAGTCCTTTGTTGGGCGATAAAGATTACGATTCGGATGGCAGTGATGAAGCCAAATTGTATGGAAATAAAAAGGATTCCAGTAGATGGGCAGATGCACGAAGCGGAAAACAGCAATCGAACAGGAGAGGTGGATCTTCTAAATTGGCCAATAGCGTTCCAAAAGGCGCAGGCGGAATGAGCGATGATGAAGAAGAACAAGAGGAATTGGATGATGAAGGTGAACCTTCAACTCGACTGAGCGTCGATTTGGAAAACCTACCTTCGAACACTGTCAGTCCTCCTGGATCAGCGCCAGGCGGTCCAACTCCACTCAATACACCCACATTTGCATTGGCAAAATCTCGCTCGGGCGGTAAAAAGAGCGCAAAAGGTAGTGCATCAAGTGCAAGTACAAGTGCAGGTGGAATGACTGCAAACAAGCATGCAAAAGATACATCGATCGGTAGCGGTGCTTCAAGCAATGAAGATTGGGAAAATCGAGAACCTGAATCGCCAACATTGCCGAGAAGAAGTAGTGCAACAGGCGCTCTGGTTGCTCCCAGTGATGCTGACAAAGTTGCAGGCGTTCGTGTTCCTTTAGCACATGATTACGTTGAAGAAGACGAAGGCGGAATCGTTGGACGTGCTGTAGAAATTGTGAATACCGCTCGTGATTTGATTGGGGCTCTTTTGGGTACTGGTGGGGATAGAGGCCGAAGTTGGAGAGAAGCCAATTAATCAAGTCAACGAATTATCAACGCTCTTCTATTCTCTCAGGAATTCATCTGTACATCTGCTCAGGCATCGTCACCATCTTCTCGTTTCTTCCATACCACATCAACATATCATTATAAACAACATTATCAGCATTATCGACAATCTCACCATCCAAGCTTTGCATCATTACCGTAAAATGTTTTTAATGTGTTACTTTATTCGGTCTTCCTGCATTTTTTCATATTTCACAATGACTCAATGTTCATGCAAATACAGCGGAATTATGAAAACAGAATAACAAAAGAGATGCGTTTTGATAGTTATACATTAGCCCAAAAGTTCTTTTCCTCGTTTTTGAACATCTTCGAACCTAGGTATGCTCTCCATTGCTCCATTCTTTTCTACCGCCATTGCTGCTGCCGCTCCTGCCCATCGTAAAACTTCTTGTGCTGCTTCGATTGCCTTTTTCTCATTTGCTTCAACTTCGCCTTGATCGTCGTGTAATCGCATCAAACCAGCTACCAAGTTACCAGCAAACGTATCACCTGCTCCTGTTGTATCTACGACTTGTTTGGGTTTAGATGCACGAACATCGATTCTGGTTCTTTGAATTTGCGATACTTTTGATTTGTCTTGCTTGAAGGGTCTAACGTATGCTGCACTTCCTCTGGAACCTTTTGTCATGACGATATAATTGACTTCCTTGAGTTGCGAAACATTTGCAAGTGTATCCAGAACATCACCTTGAGCATTGGTGCCTAATGCCTTTAATAGATCTTCACCTTCGCCTTCATTTACGATGAGAACGTCAACTTCGTTCCATGCAAACTTTCTTACTTCTTCCTCCACAAGCATAGGAGAAGGATTGAAAACGCTGATACATCTTGTTTCCCTTTGTTGATGAGCATGATGAAGGAACGCCTTTGTCGTTTCTAGTGGAATTTCGTTTTGCAAGATCAGATGTGTGATTGGAGAATGAGAAGAAGCACAAGAATCAAAAACTTTTTTGGGATCATCAGCTTGTTCGTTTGGATAAAAGTTTGCACCTTTAAGTAAAACGATTGAATTTTCACCATCTTTTGCAACTTGAATGAATGCACGACCTGTTGGAACGGAATCAAAAACTTGAATCTTGTCTGTTTTTACACCACGACTATCTAATTCATCAATCGGCCATTCTGCATCTTTTCCAACCGCTCCACTCATGATCACCTTTTGACCGGCTAAAGCCACTGCTGCGCTCACATTTGCACCTTTTCCGCCCGGTCTAGATTGCATTTCTGTTGATGAAAGTGTTTCGCCCGGTCGAACTACATGCGGGACGGCAAACATTTGATCGATATTGATACTGCTGCGTACCAAGCATGTTGATTGATGTTTCTTTGCGGCAACCATCTTGAAGGAATGTGAGAAGTGGAGAAGGAAGAGAAGTTAGGATAAATGCAGAGTTTAAATTTTATTATCCGAAGCAATGTCAAACGCGGGAGTGCTTAGACCTGCTACAGCGCGCTTCTTAAGTATGCTGAATTGGCATGACTCTTTTCTTGAAGAGGTCATATCAACAGAGTTAGGCAAAGAATTGACGATAGGATACTCAAATTGCGCTCCATCTGATAGCATGGTATAATATACCCCTAGAAACGCACAAAAATCGAACAAATATACAACCATATGAATACATATTACAGAAACAAATTGAATAATTACACTATCCGGCCATTAGCTCGCCTAGATGAAGAAGATCCAAAAAACCGATTGACATCTTGTTCGATATCGTATAGCTTCCTCTTGACATCATAAACGTCTTCGTGTAAAGCATCATAAACACGAACTAGATCACTATTTCTCCTTCTCATTTCTTCTTTTGATCCTGCAATTCGTTCTATTTTGGCTAGTCTTTCTTCGATCGTTGATACTCTCGCATACACTTGCATCACCTTTTCAGTACTCTCTTCAAGTTCTTGCACAGATATTGCCATTGCTTTACTCGCTTTTCTGTAATCTTGCAAAAGGTATGCGAATCCAAACGCACTAGCAGCTGCCAAACCGAATGCGAATCCCGTCAAAGCACCTCGGAATCCTCCCTGTAATGTTCAAAAGAGAATAATCAGTAAGATCGTAAGGTGGAATCGTATAGTGTACTAGCATCATTACTCACAATCGGCCTTTTCGCTGCAGATGGTATTCCTACTACTCCGGGTGGTGTTCTCAAAACATTTGCTGAATTTGACCGTAGATTGCCCAGCCAAGATCGAAGTGATATTGACCTGCTCATATTATTATCCAGTCACCTCTTCCTTACACTTTGGCACAATCGGTTGTAGTGATCATCAACACATTTACACCAAAAAGTGCACGGTCATTAGGAGCATTTAACATTCTGGTAACAATTTAGCGTGAAGGGTTCACGTGCTTAATGCTCTGATTGAAGCGCGCCCAGTGCATCACTCGCATTAAGCTTGTCAAGAATTTTTGCTGCTTCACAAAAGGGCGGCAAGAAGAAGAAGAATGGTGAGTGAATTCGCGCAGCGCGTGTATTGAGGGAACAAGGCCTTGGGGAGTGGACTGAATGTACAGCTAGAATCTTCATTGGTCACTATCTCTAATCCAAACCACTGTCACCCTTTCGACTCAGGACTTTTGTCATTTCGGTTTGAGTCAAACATTGCCCAACATGGCTGACACAGATCTCACTTCAACGATTCTCAAATACACCGATCGTCATTTGGGATTTCCACTTTTGTCCCATTTGGCCAATTTGGAATCATTCAAGCAAGATGATGTGAACAAAGCAATGTATGAACTTGCAAAAGGTACTTCAATGGTAGACTTTGCATTACAACTACATCAACAAGCATATCCTGGTCAAGCAGCTCCTGCTGATTTGGAGAATAAGAGACAAAAGATCTTGGCAGAAAATGAACGTCTAGCTAAAGATACAGAAGCAGTCTTAAACGTAATCGAAGATCCAACAGTAGCCAACTCACTCAAACAAGATAAAGCACAGAATTTGCATTGGTTGGAGGAAAACTACAAACTCACACTAGATCAAATCAAAGCTCTATACGAATACGGATACTTCCATTACAACGCCGGTAATTATGGTGATGCATCTTCTTACCTTTACCATTTCCGTGTCTTGTCCACCGATCCCGTTTTGACCGTTTCTTCACACTGGGGTAAATTGGCTTCCGACATTTTGACCGGTGAATGGGATCGTGCATTGGAAGAATTGAAACTACTACGCGATCTCATCGATACTTCAAGACCCGATCAAGGCGGACATGAAGCTATTTTGGAACGTAGAACATGGTTGTTGCATTGGTCTCTCTTTGTTTGGTTCAATCATCCCGAAGGACGTGAAGGATTGGTAGAGATGTTCCTTTCGCCTGCTTACCTTAACACAATTCAAACGACATGCTGGTGGCTATTACGTTATTTGGTCGCTGCTCTGATCACCACCCGTCGTTCTTCTCGCGTTTACGTTATCCAGTCTTCTTCTGGTGCCGCAAATGCTGGAATGCCATCTAGCACAAAATTAACACCTTCTGCTGCTTTGCAAGAGGTGACAAAGATTTTACAACAAGAATCACACAGAATTGACAACGATCCTATCCTTTCATTCTTGCGTGAATTATACGTCAACTTCGACTTTGATGCCGCTCAACAAGAACTACGCAAAGCACAAACAGTTGCTGCGAATGACTTCTTCATTAGCGAACATGCTGATGATTTCGTTGAGTCAGCTCGTTTCCTCGTTAGTGAAGCTTATTGCCGTATCCATAAACGTGTTGATATTGCCGACCTTTCCAAGAGACTCAACATGTCAAAAGAAGAGGGAGAGAAATGGATCGTGAACCTTGTACGTGATACACGTGCAGACGCAAAGATTGATTTCAAGGAAGGTATGGTTCACATGAACCAATCTCAATTGGCAGTCTATCAAAGCGTCATCGAAAAGACTCGTGGATTCACTTTCCGTTCAGCAGCCATGGGTCAAGCGATGGACAGAAAAGCACACCCAATCTCTGCCAATTCAGGTAATGATTCTAGAGGAGCAGGTAGCGGTGGTAGAGGAGGTGCTCGTGGAGGAAGAGGCGGTAGAGGTGGCGGTGGCAGAAGTGGTGGTGACAGAAATGCAACATCTACAGCCACTCAAGGTCAAAATAATGCATCAGAGCAAGCTGCAGTTCCACAACAAGAACCGATTGCTGCTTAATTGCATCTTCTGAAATTCATACAATCACTGTAACTCTAGATACTGGAAAAAAGATGACTTGTCCTTTTTCCTTCTCAAAATTCTATACTCCCTTGTCTCACCATGGGAATTGCCAAAAAAAAATAGATATTGTCTGATTAAAGTACACATGAAGCGTACATTGAGGAGCAGCAAGCCAAACTTGTCATGCACGTTTGCTGTTTACGACAGTCATCAATCACCCCTCTTTCCAGGTGTTTTGTTCTGATTTCTATGCCAAAGAATGAACTACCCAATAAGTGATGAACGAGACAGTCACCGCACCGTGAAGAAATTGTTGAGTTGAAGAGCGACATCTACACCTGCTCCATTATGCTAAACAGGAACAATTGCAAGCGTTATTCCTCGAGTCAGTAATCTGCTTGAGTAACTTTGTTTGATGTATCATTCTTGTATTTCTGTTATATTCTTTATTGTACATGATTATCGTTGTGAATCACCCAAAGTGTGGCTTGACGGGGGTCCCGTGTTATTGTGATTGAAGGCGCGACGCGTTCAACGGCTGCAAGGAAGCCGAGCGTTTGTGTGTGCTTAAGCTTAAGTGAATGATTGGTGTTTTGATAGACGCCCAATTTATTGAGTGATTGATATTTTGACACGATTAGATTCTTGATGGCTTCCAATACGGTCAGAAAAGATATATAAGGAGCATATTTTCACGAAATGATTATGTTGAATACCTCCCATCAAGCAATCATCTGCTAAATATCACTCTACCACACACATAAACTCAATTTTCATACACATATCATCATGAACACCACATTGATGCACCACAATCAGCTCATGGCTATTATCGATCAAGAACGTGAAAGCCAATTAAACGAAATGTTCAGTAGAGGTGCAACTTCGAGCAACTCAAAGCCAAACAATGTTATGAAACAAGAAGGATTTGCTTCACCACAATACGTAAAAGTAGAACAATTTGATGGTCCACCACCACCATATTCCGTTGCTACAGAAAGTGTGAGTAACTGGAGCGAATCTCACGCAAGAAAATGTAGCTTATCAAGATTCTTTCTTTCGTCTGACAGAGCATGCAAACGAAACAACAACAACATCCAGAGACAAAAAACAAAGACAAATTGTTGGAAGATCTTCAACAAACTTCCGTAGTCATTGCACAACAACCACCTTTGATTATGGAATTGATCATGGGTCATAAATTGGCCATCAAATTGTGCAAGCGTAGAGAACAAAAACGTTTGGAACGTTTGGAAGAAGTTCATGATGCTTGGGCTCGCTTAGGATTAGATACCCGTACTGGCAATCAACCATTGCCGCCACATTTCTGGAATCCGCCATTGTACGATGCTGCAGAGATGAACCGTCGTTTGGCTGAATTCTTCTGAAATAAATCTTGTAACATCACACATTCATTATACCATATTTTCAATTTTTCATTCATTAGAACTTATTTTGTACAATTTTAGACTGATTGTCCGATAGCTGATTGAGTGTTCGCACTCAAGTAGAATGGATCAGGGTTCTGTCCTAAACTCGACATTTCCGCTATCCGTACCAATTCTAGATACTCCGGCAAGCGGTTGTCATCCCCAGCGATGAAGTCCAAATAAAGCTTATGATTCTCATCCGCCACAAGATTAGGCAATTGAATAACCGAGGCAAGTGTTTGCGGTAAAACCGAACTTGATTCATACAACATCGAATGCAACCTAAACACCAGTTCGGGAATGTAGATTCGACGAATTCGTGTCAATTCTTCCAATCTGAGCGCTGTTTGAGTATCCAGAACCGGTAACGACAATTTGATCCAATCCATCTCTAGAACTTGTCTAATCACAATTTGGGCATCCTCCACTACCCCATTGAGCGCTTTCGTCCAATTGAGTCGATCTAAGCGGGAAGGTGCGTTCTCAGCAGGACGTCTGTTCCACAATTCGACAAATCGAAGGTGATGATCCAGAGCATCAAAGAACGATCTCCAATGAACGAATTCTGTCGCTTGTAGATCTCCATCGCCTGCTTCTTCCAACAGGCCAATCTTCTCAATCACATCGGACGGAACGTCGAACAGCAGTGTACGTGCAGCATTTAGACGACCATTATTGAGGAACAATCGTAGCAGCTGGTTCACCGTAATGATTGCAGTGATATGCGTGCTTTCATCAATGCAAAGCCAATCGATCGCTCGAATCAATCGTTCTTCAGATGGCGTTATTCCAACGCTGAGCTCGACCAATGGAATCTTTGGAATTGGTGCATTGGATGCCATTGATGGGATTATCTCGTCCAAGATCATCGCTACAACCGTGCTTGCAACAGCAGCTACATCCAAATCATTCTCTTGCGCTCGCCTTAGAGCAGCTTCTTTTGCCTCCATCCGTTCTCTTGGCTCCATAAGTTTGAGGTAATGTGCATAACTCTCTGTAGCACTTTCACGCTCCAGACTGCTTGCATAGAGGGCGACTAAATCAGCCTCACCTACGTTTTCCAATACATCAACGTATGCCTTCAAGATAGAATTGCAAACGATATCATTCGGCATGTTGTCCCATTTGATCAAACGGAGAAAGAGAATCAAATGCGCAAAGAATCTTGTTAATCTTGCATATTGCTGAGGAGATACTGTCACACGCATCGAAGGCAACAAAGATTCGATGTGCGTCAGAAGTGCCGGTAATTCGGACAAGATGATAGCACGTTGAACGATACGGAATGGGTGATTTGCCTGAACATGAACATTATTTTGTTCAGTCTGACCAAGCTTGATGAACACATCACGCAGTTCTACAGCAAGCGGAGCATCCTCATCTAAAGCCATTTTCGATTCTAGCATTTTCCCTACATTTGAGCCTGGAATGCGTAGTTCTTGGAGCTGGACTGATCCAAGCTCTTTTGATGTTGAAGAAAGACCGAATCTATCTGCCGCATCTTGACTCCACCAATTGTCTAATTTGTTCAACTTGTGATCAATTGCACTTTCAAGCCGGGCATTGGCATACGCCCATAATTGTGCATCCCATGTAGTACTAACGTTCAAGACAGATTTCAAATCTCCTGACAAGGCACCGTACAGAGCTCGTTCGTATTCATCAACTGATGATTTTGCACACAGCGAGCGACAGACTGCTTTCCATAATGCTCTATTTCGATTGCCCATCGGGGTTGTGAGCTCATCGTCCATGTCATTGTCCAACCCTGACCTCCAGTAAAGTGTCGCTCCTCGCAAGCTAGCAGCTCTCCATGTTCGATCCGTTTGTCGTGCTAGATCTATCGCATTGTCCAATTGACCGCCTCTTGTGTACTCGAATAAGGTCTTGTTCAAAGCTTTCTCGTAGGCGGCATCCTCTAGCTCTAGAGTAGATCCTTCACGAGTTGTTGCGTCTGGGTCTAATGACTTAACGCCTTTGCCCATAGCCGTACTGGCGAATCCAGATCTGCTGCCGAAGGTGGAAGGTCTACCCTTACTAGCCTGTGTGCTTCCAGCTGATCCTGACCTTCTTTCATTACGCAACTTGTTCTTTGTGAAAGGCCAATATCCTTTTCGCACCTCTACTGGATGAATGTATGCAAGATTATTAGACAACCAATCGCGAACGATTTTAAGCTCAGCAAGAGCTGCATCAGCCTCTAGTATATCTTGTACAGCCGCGAATGGTGTTCTGTATGGATTTGATCTTGATGAAGAGGCGAGTGCATCTCCATCAATACCAGCTCTTTGTTCATTTAAACGTTGAACGCGCTCTGCATGCAATTGATGAATCAATCTCCAAGTTTGTTCTTCCAATCTCCATGCTAATGCGTCATCTCCTTCGTCTTCCTCGTATAAATCTAAAAAGCCACTGAAAGGTTCTGATCCATCATTTGTGCCCTGCTGTATCCTTCTGTTTAGCAGCGTTCCTAATCCACCTGTTCCTCCTTCTTCAAATGCATTTGTTGCACGAGCTTCACAAGTCTCTGCAAATAACAATGCCAATCCGTTTGCTGGATCAAGTAAAGAGCTTACAGGCTGATCTCTACTTTGCGATAAAGCTTGAGCAAATTGTGAGAACGAGCTTGTGCTCACTTCATCAACCATTATGCTGATGGTGATGTTCTTTGTTGTTGTAACGCGTATGAAAATTTATCACGAGCAAAATGGACTTAAGAAGAATGAATGAATGAATACACAGTAGCGTAACAACATCACGCGTAAAAGAAAGGTTACCACTTAATTCCCTTCATTCGCACTGTCCATCCACTCTGCCTCCGCCCAGATTCCCCACCTTTAGACTGGCATTGTACCTGGCTAGCATTGATTGAATTTCCCCGCGTGTATGAATGGGAATAGCTGTCAATTTGGATAAAGCTCAATCCCGCCTACTTCTATCTCTTCTACCACCACAAAACAAGATGTCCAATACCGCACCCAAAGCCGTTCTCTATACTTCGGGAGGTAAGTTTCTTTTAATTGCATTGCAGAGAATGGCAAGAGAGAGCAACCCATACTGATCAGTACTGTCCTCACTACTCCTCCAGTCTCTGTCTGGGGTGCCGTTCCTCAGCTGGCCTTCATCGAGAAAGGCTATGAAGAATCTGATTACGAGCTACGATTTGTCAACCTGATGGAAGGTGAGAATTTCGCTCCATCTTATCTTCGTATCAATCAAAATGGTACAGTGCCTTCACTCGTCGTTCCTTTGGCAGAAACGGCAGGACAAGAAGTTGATACCAAATTCAGAGCTTTGAATGGTAGTATTGAAATCACAGAATTTTTGGACGCTTCTCGTTCTCAATCCATCTTGGACATCAAAGGAGAAGATTCTGCAAGACCTGCTCCTGTCCTTTCGCCAGCAACGATCGAAGGCAAAGCTGCCAGCGATGCATTGATCAAAATGGTTCAAGCACCTTTGGCAGAACCAAATGGTCTCCTTTTGGCTGCCAGATCAATGCAAGAGCTAGATCAACAACGTAAGGGTGTACAAGGAACGTTTTGCAAAAATAGACAAGCGGCTCTAGAGCGTTTTAGAGCAGAAGCAAAATCCAATACATCTGCCGAAAACCCTCGTACGGCCAGTGTGACGGAAAGATTGGTACAATGGTATAATGACAAGGAAGCTTCTTTAGCTCCTTTGCATGCAGCTTATCTCCATGCCGATCAAGATGCATCACAAAAGTTCGTTCAACAATCTTTGCAGCTTTGGGTAGGCGCTGCACATGTTTTGGCAGAATTAGAACAAAAGATCCTTTCACCCTTTGTCTTTGGTGATCAAATCTCTTTGGCTGATTTGCACATCACTGCTTGGTTAGCACGTATCTTTTCGATTGCTACCAATTTGGAAGGCGATCAAGATGAAGTTTCAGCCCTTAAGAAAGTGTTGGCAAAGATTGAAGGCAGCGAAGAGGCATCTAGGGGACTGGGACCAAAAGTGATTCAATACTGGAACACAGTCAAAGCTCGTCCTTCGTTCCAACAAGTGTACAAAGATGGTCTACACTGAGAATAATTAACATTCTGTAGAAAGCCAGTCCAGCAAAATGAATAATAAATTAAATGAGATGCAAAATAATACAGTGTAATGAAGAATGTGTGCGAAATGTGTAAATATGTAGATGATAAATGCTGAGTAAGAGAATAAAATAAGTTGATGCAATCAGTCAAAGGAGAGCTGAGCACCACCAAGAGAGCTTCGGATGAGTACACTGCTATCCTTTGCTGCCTCTGAATCTTGCGGTCCAATCGTTCCATGTTCTTGCAATCTGATCACATCTTTGCTCCGCTCAATGCTCTTGAAACCTCTTTGGTCTTTGGATGGTGGTGGTGTCATACCACTTCCGGAAAGACTTCCTTCCAATTGCCATTTACCGACGAATGCTTTGTGCATCCGTGCGAAAACAATGCCAACGCTTGTTGTCAATTTGGCTTGTAGCCCTGTTCCTTTTTCATGATCAACAAACACAACATCAACACCTCCATTCTTGCTTTCCGTTTCTACTCGTACATTCTTGGTTGGATTCAAGAATGAATCAGTTGGCAATCGAACAGCATACGATGCATGAATTGCACCATTTGACGTATACATTTCGATCGTTTTGTTGGTTTTCCAAATACCGCCATCCTTTGATCCTGCATGATCTTTTCCGCCTCCCAAAATATTTCCATTATTCGTTTTGGCAAGGATGTATGAGCTATCGAACCAACTGTTCCGCTTCAGCTCAATATTGCCAGTTTGTGAGATCAATCTACTTTCACGCCAAGCGGTGACTTGACTGTTCTCTTCTAATCGTATACTTCCTGTCATTGTCTCAAATCGAACTTCACCAGAATTAATGTTGCTATCAATTATGATATCGCCATTATAGGTTGTCACTTTCACCACGCCCAATGCTTGTATAGGGACATTTGCTCCTATCCGAACGGGTGTAACACCGCTTTGCAAGATGAAACGACCAAAGTATGGATGGGCAAGCTGGTCTCTCTTGGCGTGAGCTGGCTGAAGCGCTCTGCTCTCTTGGTGAGTCAAAATCATTTCGGGCTCAACAAAGCCACCTATAGACATTGCCGATGCTTGAACGTTCAAAGCTGCAACAGTTGCTCCAGCAGGGATAAGGATTTGAATGCGCATAAGAAGTGGGGGTGGGTTTCTGTTGACGTATTTGGCTGGCAATGGATAGGTGTATATTCCCACACCTTGAGTAACCAAGCCAGATGCCAACTTTGCCACTGTACTTTTCTCAAACACTTCCATTCGACTTTGTTCAAATTCCGCATCTACCACAACTGTCGCTTTGCCCTTTGGTGTTTGACCGGGACCTGTACCTTCAGGTACGAGTTTTACCTCAATTGTTCCAGGTACATGTCCCCTTCCCTCTGATAATTGGTTCTGTCTTGGTGGATCTGCATATACGAAGATACTCTCTGTAGAATGGAATCCTGTTGGAATATCAAGTTCGATCTTCGTTGTAGAGTGACAAACAACATCACCACGATGTGCTTTAGAATTTTGACATGATTCCAATGTCCAATTCGCATAAGATGTTATATGACCATCTCCTGAGATAGGACCGGGCCCTGATTCTGAAAGTTGTTGAACACCCACCCAAGGATAACCTGCACCCGCTCTAGGTCCGGCCTCGTCAAATGCAGGTCCACTTACGATAATCAAGAGCCATAAACCGGCCATGAACATGCCCACTTGAGCAAAACGACTTGTTGGCCAGAATCGACAAATGAAACTCCATATTTTGTAAAGTGCATGTTGCAATATGGATAGATCGGGAGCGCTCAAAGCGGAGAACAATTGTGAAACTTTCAGTGAAAGAGCAGATTTTCCCGTTGCTTCTTTGTATGATGGAGGGGGAGCAGCTGGTGGATATTTGTGTGCATTTCGCTCATCAGATGAACGAGATGGTTCACCGTATGCACCTGTTTCGTCGTCGATTGTAAAGCGAACGTCTGGATTTTCATCCTCTGCATCCCCTTGTTGGTTTAACAGAGGTACCTGATCTGATCTACTTGCCATGATGAATGATGGGTGGAATTGCCTTTTGAGAGGAGTTGAAAGCTAATCAGTGATGTGTTGATCTTGTCCTAGTAAGGCATCTCTTTGATCGTATGTTACTAAGCTGTAATTGAAATGATTTAAATTTAGAGCTTTTGTTGCATGCAATGCCTGCCTGCCTGCCTGCCTGCCTTCTTTCGCCACGAAGGGGCCAGTGCCCCCCATACACAGAGGCTAAAAGAAAAGGCTGCTTACTGCTGCTGCTGCTCTGAACAAGAGAGAGAGAGGGGCGTAATGCAAACGCGTGCGCACGTACGCTCGTTACTTTTTTAGTTGAATGCGTATTACAAGGCAATTCACCAGCGAGAAAAATCTATAGTTGATTTTTTAGACAATTCCGAGGTGCATCCGGTCAATTCAACATCATTCAAAAGATTCAACCTCTTGTTTATGATCATTAACACCTGATCGTCGTCTCTTGTTCCTGATCAAACAAGCTTGCTTTCAGACGAGAAGGGGAAAAGAAGGAAAAGAGGAAGAGAAAGCGTTCTTTGTGCGCGTATCCATCTTTTCCGCCTTTTTATTTTTATTTTTTTTCGATCTTGGGAGGGAACGGACGACGGCTGTTTTTTGTTGCGGAATTGGAAACCGTGTGTGTATTGCTTTTTATTGCATCTCCGATTTGGTTCATCGTCATCATCAAGGAATAGTATGGGTGATCGAGATATCGCTGCAAGTACAACAATGGCACCTGTAGCAACTGTACCTTTATCACATCACGAAAGTACAAGTGGCAATGCAAACAATTTGAATGCTGGTTCAACTTCTTCAATACATCATCAAAATCGTAAAGTGGAAAGACCTGCTTCGAAATCTAGACGAATGAGTTCAGGTGGATCACGAATGGCGGCTAACGGAAATGAAGATGGGGATGGGAGGAATGGATATGGTAGATCTTCAGCCTCAGACAGTTCTACTGAATGGTATCATGCTACAGCTGCAGACAAGCTTGGATCTGGGGCAACATCTATAGAAACACGGCCACAATCATCACCTGGCTCATCAAAAGCGGTAGAATCAAACAGTTCAGCAGATCGAAGAAAAACAGCCGAACCAAATACGCCTTATTTGGATCTGGTCACATATCCACCGCAAGATTTATTGAGAATATTGGCAGCACTTCTACATCAAATCGCTTCAGCAAATGATCAGCTGAGACCAAAGAATGGTGAATCATCAGAAGAAACAGGCGGCAGCACAAACGAAGAAGGTGGTAAAGCACGGCATAGAGAGAGAAATGCTGCGCCTGAACAAGCACTTGCGACACCTTCAGGTTCCAATGCAGATGATCTACTCAGTAAAGCAGGAGATGGAAATGGTGAAGGTGCAGATTGGCTGGGAGATGCCTCAGAGAGTGTGCTATCATCCTCGCAATTATTGCTTCTTCAACGAACGAAACCAACAACGGCCGCTTTGGGAGCATTGCATACGCCAAGCAGTACACTTTGCTTTCGTGCACGCAATATACCCAGCATATCCATCGAAGCGTATCTCTTGCGTATTTTGCGGTATTGTCCTGCAAGCTGTGAAGTGTTTGTCAGTCTCTTGGTCTATTTTGATCGGATGAGCAAGATGGGACAGGGAAATCCTGAGCGCATACTAGCTGGTAATGGGAAGAGTCACGAAGGAGATACGCCCTCAGATTCTCAGCAGAGCGGACAAGATGAAGATGATGGCTTGTTTGTTGGTATGCGTGGATTTGCGATCGATAGCTTCAATGTTCACAGATTGGTGATTGCGGGTGTTACAGTCGCAAGCAAGTTTTTCTCCGATGTCTTTTATACCAATTCTCGATATGCAAAGGTTGGAGGATTACCCGTTCACGAATTGAACCAGCTGGAATTGCAGTTCTTGCTGTTGAATGATTTCAACTTGATGATTCCATTGGAGGAAATGCAGAGATATGCGAATCAATTGCTCGTTTATGGAGGTGCAAGTCCAGATGTTTCGAGAGAATTGGTAGCGCCAAATCCACCGAACGACAAACAGAAACGGACAACAGCAGAAACGCCAGCTCCTCCTGTTGCATCCACAGAGCCGCCTGCATCACCTCGTATGCGACCTTCAGATCAGCAAGGAGATACCACAATGGGAGAAGGGTGATCTTTTCCCTTTTTCAGTACATATTTGTACGTCGTACACACATACATCTCATACAATCCGCATAATACATAGACACTTGGTATTTTCAGTCAAAGTGATACATTATACAATCGTGTGCGAAGAAGAAGAAGAAATGAGATGCAGAACAATAGACAGAGAACGAGATTAATATCCACCTCTTCCGCCTCTGAAACCACCACGACTTCCACCGCGGGGAGCACCACGACCTCCTCCAAAGCCACCTCCACGGCCACCTCCGCCAAAGCCACCTCTTGCACCACCACGACTGCCACCACGTCCGCCAAAGCCGCCACCTCGTGCACCGAATCCACCTCTTCCTCCTCTTGGTGCTCCTCTACCACCACCACGGCCACCGCCGCCACGTTTTGGTTTTGGTCCTTTTGTTAGAGCTTTTGGTTTAGGCAAGAAGCGTTCGACAGGTAAAAGTTTATCACCACCGATGAAAACTTTATCGTCTTTCTTGAACGAAGTAGCTTGCATTCCAGCGTCCATTTTAACGGTAAAAAAAACTTCGTTTATTGGACCTAAAATTTCATCAACTTTTCCAATTTGTGATTTATTTTCCAAATAAATTGGTGCGTTAAAATAAGGAACATGTTTTGCATCCGTACTTGAACATAACATTTCACCTTCTACTGCATGAACGAATGCGCCCATCTCTTGAACACGATCTGGTGGTCCTTGTGGTGCTCCTCCATATCCTCCTCTACCACCACCACGTCCACCGAAGCCTCCTCCCCGACTAAAACCTCCTCCTCCTCTTCCTCCTGCTCCACCTCGTCCACCTCTGAATGACATTATGTTGTTTGTATGTGTGTAGCGTGCGGTTCTTGCTTGGAGAACCTATCTACTTTTGCGAGTATGTGTGATGGATGATGAAGTATATGATCGCTTCCCATTCATTCAATCGTCAAAATTTTGGATTTCTTCTAGTGCTGCTCTTTACGCACAAATCACCGCTTATGCAGGCAGGCAGACAGTCTATAAAGAACCAATGCCAAAAATTCGTAGACAAGCACGTGGACTGCAAAAAAGCCCACTTTTTAAATTTTGCGCGCTTCAATCTTATTGCGTTTTACTAAGCAGACACGTGCACATCGTACAGCTTCATCGCTATGCCTCCTCATGGTACTGGTTGACTGGTAACAATATCTCGCTACTACCACTTCGTATAGATCTAAAGCCTCAAAAGCTCTTATGTTCACTCACTTTGATCGTTCCAATGTGAATTTGCATCCCATTTGTTCATGTATGAGAGAAAGCTCAAAATAAGAATAAAAGAATTAAAAATATGTCTATTGGTTTTAAAATTATTTATGCTTATAAAGACACTTGATAAAACAGTTCTCATGATAATCAGCACACAGAGCTTTATTCCAATGCTGTTCAAGCATAATCAATGATCATAGAAGCACGAGAACAGTATGTATCCAACGGTATAACATTACAGTAAGGATTACTGTATAAATATTATACCCAAAAAAATTTAATCGTTTCAAAGGAGATCCAAGTAAATTGATCCCATTCACTTAGTATGCACAGCAATACCAAAGGAGCACAGAGTATCCAGTAGGTACCAACGAAGCCCTTACATCCGTGAGTGCTACTGTTCCTAATAAGTTGAAAGACAAGATATGCTCTTTATACCTATTCAGCACTTATTTATCCACTCGAAAAATCCATAAGAACACACCTGACTCATGCGATTAGGATTATAGATGCTATTCATGATACGAAAATCCAATTACACATATCAATAGGAACGGAATCTTTCAATTGTCATAAAGAAGGTATTCTTACATCGATGGCGCGCGCTCACGGAACAGGGCATAGCCTGCGCATATGTATGCAGATATCCCATATCACTCAACGCCAATATGAATCGATACACAACACACAGGCAACTCAGCAGAGAAGTCACACTCATCACACGCAAAAGATAAAAGGCGCCATAGATCACGATTGTGACATACTGATTACGAGGCTATAGTACAAGAGCCAAATGGCATATATGGACGCTGAAGGAATGATGTTCCTCAGGAAAAAAGGAGATGCTTAAGCACCGAAACCGTACAATGTGCGGCCTTGACGTTTGAGAGCGTAAACGACATCAAGAGATGTAACTGTCTTGCGCTTTGCGTGTTCGGTGTATGTGACTGAATCACGAATGACGGATTCCAAGAACAATTTGAGAACACCACGGGTTTCGTCGTAGATCAAACCTGAAATACGCTTAACACCACCACGACGAGCCAAACGACGGATAGCTGGCTTTGTAATACCTTGGATGTTGTCACGCAAAATCTGAAGAGTGTTAAAGAAAGAGTCAGATAATGATGATCATAAGTAGTTGTCTATTATAATGTTACTCACCTTACGATGACGTTTGGCACCACCCTTACCGAGACCTTTACCACCTTTTCCACGACCAGACATTATGAATTGAGATTTGAGTTACGAAGGGGGAGAGCGCGAAAGCGAAGATGTTCGTAGTTGTGGGGGAACAAGTTTGGTGTAAGCTGTTGAACAGATGGGTCTTTATAATTTTCCGACCTCTTGCGCGCATGTCAAAGGGTAAACAGTGTAGCGTAACAGTTTAATTAAATGGAACACATGCATAACTTCACGAGATACTCTCTTAGAGACTGCATGCATACTTTATTGCGCACTGCATCAAACCACACTCTTAACACAATCGGTGCGCTAAATCCAACAAGGCACACCGAATTAAGCACGCACGCGTACACGCCATTTGCACCAGAGCGTGTGTGTGTGGATTGAAACAAATCGGCGATTAATTCTTCCTTAAAGACGCGTTCAGAAATGGCGTAAAGAGAAAGTTGTTAATGGCTCTGATCAAAATTACGTTGGAAATGGCGTTTGATTTTCATGCATGTTGTACACAAAAATGCAAAAATACACACCTCACGTAATTTTGAACAGGCAAAGACATAGGCCTATTTTGCATATTCGGCCACCAGCATTCCGCTATCCTTACTGATGTGCCCGCATTACACAGCGACAGAACACTATAGCAGTCCAGGGTGGAAATAAATCGGTGTGTCTGTTTGCAAATGCACAAATGACGAAAATAAGAGATTAACCACTGCTGATGTGCTTAGTCGCAACCTCTGAACAACCCTTGTCTATCGGATGATGATAATATCCCGTCGCTCCGCAATCGAGATGCAATAACGTATGCATGACTATACGATCTAGTCCGTTGTACTGCCTGTGTGCCCCCGGAACATTTAGCGTTACATGTCAAATCCCTAATCAACACAAAATTCCAAAAGCCTTTACGCGATAAAATTTGTACGTGTTCAAACGCGGTGTGTTACAATCTGGTGCGCCATTTCCATATGCACATGCATGCACATCCTGGTAAGTATTGAACAAAGTGTTGGTCTTTTTTTATGCCTCTGTCTGCCTAAACCTGCTTCATACTTCTCGGCACAACAAGGCAAACAAGACCGAATCATACAAATACAAGCTTTTCCAAGATTGATTCCCTTCCTCACATCCACATCTTTGCTCCTGTCTACTATCCTTTAGACTATCTTCTAACAAACATCAAGTGAGTATCTCAACTAGGTGGCATTCTTGGAGATCATATCACTTGCCTGCTATTATCATTATCATCACCATCCTCGAACACACTTGCTGACAATTCAACTCCTTCCTCACCATCAGAATGGCCCGCACAAAACAAACAGCCCGTAAATCTACTGGTGGTAAGGCACCCCGTAAGCAATTGGCCACCAAGGCCGCACGCAAATCTGCCCCATCAACTGGTGGTGTCAAGAAACCCCATCGTTACCGCCCAGGTACCGTTGCTTTGCGTGAAATTCGTCGTTACCAAAAGAGTACCGAATTGTTGATCCGTAAATTGCCTTTCCAACGTTTGGTTCGTGAAATCGCTCAAGATTTCAAGACTGATTTACGTTTCCAATCAAGTGCAGTTTTGGCTTTGCAAGAATCTGCTGAAGCATACCTTGTCTCCCTATTCGAAGACACCAACTTGGCCGCCATTCACGCCAAGCGTGTTACAATTCAACCCCGTGACATTGCTTTGGCTCGTCGTTTGCGTGGTGAACGCACTTAAACGGTGTGTGTGCATATCCATTTGCTTTCGTGACCGGTTGAACTTTTGACATCACTTGTATACAATATAACCTGTCTATGGCCATGAGGAGCATTTTCAAGACCTTTTGTTATGCTTTTTCTTCATGTTTTGCCACTTGTACCATTACTATCCTCTATGACGCTCTGTTAATCTGAGAGTTGCTATTATCTACTTCTTTGTGTGATGTCTGTTCGATTGAGTATTCTCTGGTGTAATTTGCCAGACAACGGTATTTGCAGCATTAGTTGCAATAGCGACCTGTGGTGCGGGAGCTCTAAAACCGTTTGCCGAGAGAAGACGCATTGTAAAGGGGATGATGATTATGTGATCACAAGCTCTACGAGAACACCTTGTGATCAATTGCCAAGAGCTGTTTGTTCGGCCAGTAATGCATGTAATCTCACATGAGCATCATTCAAAAGAACACGTTAGCGTTAGAACACTTGAAGGTGCATTAGACTGCATACATCAAAATCTTACAAAAGACGCCGTACGACTGAGAAGTAGGGAGATGGGGAATGGATTCGTTGTTGACGTCGGATAATTTGGTTGCTCAACAGAAAGCTCTTTGCAAATGAATGCACGATCTGACATGCTTAACAGGCGAAGATCTTTCATTGTCAAAAGAACAAGTCATCATATGTGACATTTGATTGGTCGACCGTACCCTTCTGGCTAGAATGGAGAATCATCCACTTCTTTCAATCCCCCTGAAGCTTGAGAAGAAACCCTATCTTCATTGCAATTAACATACCTTTGATCGTCTTATGATGATGCAATCATAATAAACGTCCAATTTGATGACAAGAATTTAATCTTTCACCATATGCAAGCCAAGACGCATAGGTTATGATTTTTTAGTCAGAGAACAATCTGAGGATTGCAAGAATATAAGTTGAGAGTTGGAGGCACTTGAACTGTGAAAGGCTAGTTTAGTATTAGTGTAAAAACTTCTTCTTTTACCCTTATAGTTGTTGTGTGTAGCCAAAAATACTTTTTTTCTCCCTGTAAAATCGGCGCGAAAGGGGTGGGTGTGGCGCCCAACGCGTTCTTACATGTTTAAATGAAGTACAGTTCATTTGCCTAAGCGGAAAGAATTCATTGCTGCGCCTTGCCGACTAAAGTGATTAATGTACAAAAAAGAACAACACACTGCCGTTGTACCTAACAGGACCAGTACGTTACATTTTTACCATTCGGCTTTTGAGTACGCGTACAAAAAAGAACAAGGCACGGCACAGTAGCCCGCGAACGCGTTAAGATCACTATAACAGCCTTAAGTTTGATTTTAGGGTTCGTATGGGAGGCGAAAGAGGGTGAGTTTTTTACATGGCACATTACCACCCACCTGTTACGTTCAGCTTTCTTTTTTCTTTTGGCTGAACAGGCAGACAGGAACGTATTTACCGATGTACTGCATGCGCCAACACACACACAATCAGGAGATTCAAAAAGGCAGATTTCGAGCGGTTTGCCGCTTGAGAGAGAAAAAGAAGCAGAAGAAAACACACACAACGATTTACACTGTACGTGATAAATAAACCCCTTCTTTTTTTTCTCCTTTCTCATCACCATCAACAACATTTTTCACTCCCCAGCATCCTTACCCTTTCCCCTTCTCTCTCTCTTTTCAAACAAAGTTCGTTTGAACGACCAACACTACAACTTTCAGCACTCTTTTGAAATTTGCTATCAAGAACCGTCTGTGACAGTATCTAGCATCAACGTACAAAAATAAAACCAATCTTTTCATCTGAATTTAAACACAACAACTGTTCAACATGTTCAAGTTTACTTCTTTCCTCACAATCGTCCTCTTCTTGGCCGTTTCATTGCAATTGGCATCTGCATCTCCCGCTTTCACTAGCCCTGTCGCATCTACAAGCGCAGAAGGTGGTGGTAAACTTCAAATCAAATGGATGGATGACGGTAAATCACCCAAATATGATGCACAGAACTGGGGAAATTCCACTCTCTATTTAGCAGCAGGAAGTCAGAACGTTCAATACAAGCTACAAAAATTGGTATCAAACCTTTCTAGCAACCGTCATGGCGGTAGTTGGACAGTTGACAAAACTATCGGTCCAAGTGGAAAGTACTACTTTATCCGTATGGAAGGATCTAAAACAGACTCTTCCGGCAACCCGGTCATGGCTTTCTCTGCCCGTTTCGAATTAAAGGGAATGTCTGGTCAATTCAACAGCACAGTCATGGCTGCTGCCACAGGTGCAGAAGGACCCGCTGCAAGTGGAAGTAACTCTTCTTCTTCTGCTTCTTCATCTTCTGCACCAACAACAGGTCAAACTGGTATGAACCAAGCCACTCTAACAACTAGCAATCCTTCTTCTAATCCAACACCAAACAATGCTTCCACAAGCAAAAATACAACTTCAAGCGCTGGTCGTTTGTCTTCCCTCAACGTCGTTTCCCTCGTTGGCTCTTTTGCCGTGGCTGCAGTCGGTGTTGCTGCTATGGCCTAAATTGAGATCTGTTACGTCATTTCGCTCTTCTTTGGCACGTCAATAGATCTCCCGTCATCGTTTGCTCAATTTTCATTGGATGAGGATCATTTCCAATATGCCCTTGAAGGTTGGGCAAGATGCATGACACTTTCACCTTCCCTTATCCCCTTATTTATTTTTTCTTATTCTCATTTATAGTATGATTAGTACCTTTCTTATTTTATTGATCATCTTCGCGCATCTAATTGTTTGCGAGCATCATCATTTCCTTATTCATGTTCCATTTCTCTGCTTCAGCACGCCAATACTATGCACTCAAATAGAGTAAATTGTGTGTGATCAATAGGTAACTTCTTAAAAACAAAGAAAGTATTGAGAGCAACCATTACAAATCTATTGACATGAAGTATACACGCAGATTACACACTCTCTTTTCTCCACACTTAAAGTGCATGCAAAAAACACATGCGTGCAGTCAACCGGCTCTTGATAAGGGCAGCCGATAAGTCGTCTGACTCCACCACAACAACCACGCGTTCAGGGGGGTCGGGATTTAGGTGTTGTATGGCTAATTCATATCCTCACTTTGATCCTTATCATCACGATCACAACCCTTCGTCATGGTATCAAGGCAAGATCAAAATGTCCAAGATGAAAGGCAAGTTCCACATACAACGCCTGCGAGAGTAGGATGGAGGCGGCTATTAGCCACTTCAAGATCAACTGCCGCTGTTTTCATCGTTGCAAATTCACTCACAGCCGGATCGATATTTTGTTTCCCTTTGTTCGGTCCAAAGATAACGACTGATTTAGGTTTAAGTTTAACCCAAACAAATGCCATTTGGTCAGCCGCAATTTTGGGTCAATATGCTTCAGCGGCTATCTTTGGACATATTGCCGATACTTATGGACCAAGACCTTTATCGTTCATGGCTTCAATCCTCTTTGGTGTTGGATATGTTTTAATGGCACATACAGAAAGTGATGCGATATCACATCACTCGTCATCTTCATCATCAGCCAGCTCCAATAGGGCAAACTTTGTAGCAATGGCGGCTTATTTTGTTCTTGTTGGTACAGGCGTTGCTGCAAGTATATTCTCTGCTCTTCGATCGTCTACCTCGCATTTCAAGTCACATCCTGGTTTGGCACTTTCGATTCCATTAACGCTTTTCAGTCTATCTTCACTTTTCCTTTCAGCATTTGCATCCCTCTCATTCTTCACCGACCCGAATACGGGCGACCTCAATAGTCCAAAATGGTTGGCATGGCTTGGAGCTGCTTTGATGATCACTAATGCACTATCAGCCTTTGGCCTTTCTGTACCGGCTGAAGGCCAAGGACACGATGAGGCTGCAGCTGAGGCAAGACAAGACCAAGACGAACCTGTAACGGAGCGGACGGCATTATTAGGCTCACGGCCATTGCCAGCCTTTCTCTGGTCGATCCCATACAATCGTGATCCATCAGATTATCCACGTGAACCTTTGTTGAGCTTGAAAGAGTATCTCTCTGCACCTTCAGTATGGATAATGGGGATAGTACTGTTTGCTGGAGTGGGTGGAGCAGAGATGGTGATGGGATCTATCGGAAGTATTGTTGTGAGCCTACGAGCCGTACATACTGCCTTAGATGGTGACAATCAAGATGACAAGACTCGATTAGGAAGAGAAACATTGGCCTTGCGAACACAACAAGTGCAGCTATTAGCTATCGCCAATACTGTTTCACGACTGCTTGTAGGGCTGTTGACCGACCTTTGCTCTCCACAAGCATCAAGTAAGAGACCTTCTGCGATTTCCAACAACGCGAGCCGTGCCGATGAAGCAAGCTGGAAAAAGGCTCTGCAAAGGTTCACGATAAGCCGATTATCCCTTCTTCTTGTCGGATTAGCACTTCTGTGTGTCACTTTTATTTATTCTTCAATATTTGTCGATCGAGTTGACAGACTTTGGCTCGTTAGCTTAGCAACCGGAACAGGGTATGGGCTAACATTTACTGTATTACCATCTACGATCATTTGCGTTTGGCCACAACAATTTGGTCGCAACTATGGACTGTTGACCTACGCTGCCGCTCTCGGAAGCTTGTTTTTCTCAATGCTGTTCGCAAATATTAACGATAGAATCGCATCTCGTCAATTTCCCATCAAGATGCCAGACGACAAAATGAATCTTCTTGCTGAAGCACAACAAGCCATTTGTCCATACGGAAGGGAATGTTTTGCACCAAGCTTTGCTTTTGCTGCTCTGGTTGTAGGCGTTGCATTCTTTGCCACAGTACCGCTTTGGCGAGCATGGAGAACGCTTCTTTAGATATGTAGAAGTCATATATCATTTAGAACTTACGACGTATTATCAACTCAATTGTACTATAAGCATCATCATTCAATGTATATCTGCCTCTCACTTCACTCAAACTAGATGAATAATGGTATCATTGAGGAGGAAGGGAGTTAGAATCATCAAAAAGTCACAAAGGACAGTCTATTAAGCGGAACGGGGAATGGCAAGCAGGCAAGGAACTAACTGAGATATTCTTGTATGTTCTTATGCGTTGTCTTTTGCATATTTGGCATAGCATACTTTGCACCGTGGAATACCCACATTGGAGTAGTGATTTTAACTTTTTCGGTGACAAAACAAACTTCATCACCTGAAGATCCTTCTACGGTCCATGTATGCTCAGTGATGATTCCGTATCCTGCATCGATTACCCAATGTGAGCCATAAGATGTTTTCTCAAATGTAGCCGACCAAGATGGTTTTGGAATCAATGGGATGCCTCCTTTAGCCGTGCCTGTGAGGTGTAACGTAGTTTTTGAGGTCAGTATTTATGGTGACAATGATCTCCTCATGCCTACTCACCTTCCCATTTACCAGTCTTTTCATCATATTTGATCGAATCCTCTTCTGTTCCTCCACCCGAGATGAGAAATCGTTTTGGATCTTGTAAAAGTGCCAAAGCTTCAGCTTTTTTGACACTGAGAGGCGTTGTTAATTCATATTGGTGAGATGGCATTTTCGTTCTTATGTTGATCAAGAATGAGAATTGTGATGGTGATGATTATGCAAAGTTACCTACCTTATTTCATTCCCCTATCATGCTGACAGATCTGATCAATTGTTAGGGCTAAATTAAACTGCGTTACGCTTAAGCCACCCCCCTCCCCTTTTAAACGCGTGTTGGTCGATGATGCATTAATTGACACTAATTGTAATATACATTCTTCTCAAAGGGAGCAACAGTACAACCAACGCCCATCATCCTGCTCATCAATCGAGAGAGTAAGGCGACACGACAACAACAACAACAACAATATCGCCAACCATGGCGTCCAGATCATCGCAAGGCGTTCATTCCTTGCTGGAAAAGATGGGCTCGCCCGATGCAGATTTCAGATATATGGCATTAAGCGATCTGATCGCAGAGGCAAATCGTGGGATGCTAAGCTCGGTGGAACAAAAAGTACAAATGACACTTTTACGTAAAGTTTTAGATTTAGTACGGGATCAAAATGGAGAAGTGAAAAATATGAGCGTAAAATGTTTAGGTACTTTGGTCAAAACAAGAAATGATGAAGAAATACGATTGATCATTGATACTTTGGTTGAATATATTTCTTCAAAAGAAGATGAATTACGTGATATCGCTTCTCTTGGTTTAAAGACCGTTATGGGTCAGATACCTGTTGAAGGTGATCAAGCAATCATGGCTGCAGATAAACTCGTACCACGTCTTTTATCACAAATATCCGATCCATCTGCATCGCAAGAACTTTTGATCGATTCTCTAGACGTTCTAGCAGATTATTTCTCACGTTTCCCACATGCAATATCCAATGATGCACCACTACAACGAAATGCAATCAAAGTCATCCTGGCAGCATTGAACAACAACCGTGCCACAGTTAGAAAGCGTGCCATTCAGGCTGTCAGCGCTTTGGCCCCTTTTGCCATTTCAGAAGTTTTTACAAAGTTATCCGAATCGATTGCGGTGGCACTTTCGAGCGACAAAGAGGAATCTATCAAGATCAACGTTCAACTATTGGGCCTTTTGGCAAAGACTAGCTCTCGCCGTTTGGGTCGCAGATTACCAGAATTCATGCCAAGAATTATGACGATCTTGACGAGTGAACAAGCACAAGAAGATGATGAATTACGTGAAATCTGCTTGCAAGCATTGGACAATATTGTTTTGCATTGTCCTGCTGAAGTCACACCTTTCGTCATACAAATCGTCGAGTCTTCTGTCACTTTACTCAAGCACGATCCCAATTACGCTGGCGGATACGAGTCTGATGAAGAAATGGACGCAGAAGATGGATTTGGTGATGACGGGGAAGATGACGACTTTATCGACGATGACCAATATTCAGACGACGATGATGTTTCTTGGAAAGTTCGAAGAGGAGCAGCAAAAGTATTAGCAGGCATCATCGCAACACGTTCAGAGATGCTACCAACATTGACATCAGGTGTAGCACCTGCTCTCGTTTCAAGATTCACAGAAAGGGAAGAGAGTGTACGTAATGAAGTTCTCAATACCTTTTCTGCCCTTTTGCAACAAGTGCGAATGCATGGAAGTGTTCCACAGGCAACAGAAGTTTTGCGTAATTCGCCAGGTGCATTGAAGCGCAAATGGGAGGCAGATGCCGCAGTTGTCGCAACAGAGGGAAGTCCTTTGAGTCAGATCATGTCTCTAAAGCCTGCTCTGGCAAAAGCTTTGTCAAAGACGGTGGTCTCAAAGACTGTACCTACACGTTTGGCAAGCTACGTGGTTCTAAGAGATCTGATCATCCTCCTACACGGAGGGCTAGACGAACATATCGGCCTTCTGGTCACCCAAACAGAAAAGGCTTTGAAAGGAGCAGAGACCTCTACCGGTCCAAGTACGAGCATCAAGACAGAGATTTTGATCTTCTTGAATCTCTTATTCCGATACCACAGGCCAGAATTCTTCGATCAATATTTGGATCATTTGGTGCCTTTTATCGCATCTGTCATCACTGACAAGCTTCAACGTGAAACTATTGAAGGCTTTCGTGTTGCCGCAGAGTTGGTCGCAGTCTTGCGTGCACCATCAATTTCGACAGCTACGAGCGGCAAGTACAAAGCATACACTGAGCAACTTTACACTGCTATCATGGTGCGTTTAGAAAGAAGTGATTCGGATCAAGAAATCAAAGGAAAAGGAATCGATGCATTAAGCAACTTATTGGCATTTGCCGGGGATGATTTGCAGGAACATTTGCCGAAAGCCTTTGCACATCTGCATGATCGTCTCAACAACGAAACGACGAGATTGGCGGCAGTAAAGGCAATAACATTAATCGTCTCCTCAGCTGTCTGTGTGGGAGAGGTGGTCAATCAATTTGCCACACAATCAATCAGCCCTATAGCAGAATTTGTTCGTCAGAACAATCGTGCTCTACGGATTGCTTCTTTCGATGGACTCAATGCTCTTTTGATTAGGATCGGTAAATATGTACCAGAGGAGATTGCGGAACGTGTTGTGGATGAGATCAATCCTCTTCTGCAACACGATTCCAATATCAGTCTTTTGCCTTCGGCCCTAGAAGCACTTTCTCGTCTCGTTGAGAATGGTCGCGGTATCAATGCCATTCAAACAAAAGTTATACCCAACATCTTGAAGCTCGTCAGATCACCTCTGCTCCAAGGCACAGCTCTTGCATCAACATTGAAGTTCCTGGAAGCACTTTTGACTGCTTCACCTGCGGTATCAGAGCCAATCATCAGATCTCTTGATGAAGCTGCACTCACATCACAAGATGCCGCAAATCAAACGTACTTTAGTCAAGTCTCAACTACTCTGGCACAATGCTATTCGGTTGTGGCCAAATGTGTACCGACTGCTTCCGCTCCTATTGTCACACGAGCAAAGAGCATCTTTACCAAAAAGGATGCAAAGGATGCAGAAGTCTATTTCCATCTTTTGCTGATCGGAGAATTGGCTAGGTTCACCAATTTCAGTAAGGACAAATCCTTGTTTGATGACGTTTTGAGATTATACGATGCAGATTCGGATGAAGTCAAATCAGCTGCTGCTTTCGCTGTTGGAAACATGGCTGTAGGCAATCTGGAGAAATTCCTGCCTATTATTGAAGCGCAAATGCATGAAGAGAAGCACAGTCTTTTGGCTTTGCACGCATTGAAGGAGCTCATCACTCATGGATCGTCGGATCAATTGGCAATCTTGGCAAATAGAATCTGGCAGCCGCTGTTTGAGATCTGTGCAGCAAAAGATGAAGCAATTCGCAACATCGGAGCTGAATGTTTGGCTAGATTGATTTTGACGGATCCGGCGCAATATTTGAGTCAATTACAAGCACGAATCAGAGATCCTGCTCCAAGTACACGTGCTTCTGTGATTGCCGCGATCCGATTCACATTGACGGATACTTCGGCAAAATATGACGACCTTTTGTCTCCAAGAATTGTTGAATTTTTGAGCCTCCTTTCGGACGAGTCATTGGAGGTACGCAAGCCGGCCATGTTTGCATTCAATGCAGCAGCACACAATAGACCTGCTTTGATTCGGGACCATTTGACAATACTTTTGCCAATGCTCTACAAAGAGACCGTACCAAGACAAGAGCTCTTACGTAAAGTTTCGATGGGACCGTTCACGGTGACAACGGATGATGGATTGGACTTACGTAAGAACGCATTCGAGACAATGTATACCTTATTGGATACATGCTTTGGTAAGATCAATCTTACAGAATACATTCAACGAGTCATTGCTGGGCTGCGAGATGAGGATGGAATCAAGGTTCTTTCCTCTTTGATGTTGGTTCGTCTGGCCAGCCTTGCTCCAACACAAGTTGCACAACATCTAGACGATATCGTTGAACCAATCACTTCAACATTGAAAGTCAAATTGAAAGATCAAGCAACCAAACAAGATGTAGAAAAGTCAACCGAATTACAGAGATCATTGTTTCGTGCAATGGTTGCATTGGATAAAACGCCTCATTCCGCTCCAAAGTTCCAGGCTTTGGTACGAGATGCAAAGCAAAGCAGTCAATTATACCGTGAAGTGGAAGAATCTTCTTTGGTTGCTATGAATGGGCAAAGAGAAGTTGCCATGGATTTAGATGGGTAGGAGTCAGATCATCCCTTACAAATGTATATCAATCAAAAATCATCCAATATAATTGTTCTCTCCTATGATTGGTGTTAAATGAAGAGGGAGAGAGGATCGCGGTGCTGCGCTTTCTAAAGGCTGAGCAGACTTTGATGCAGGGTACGAGCCTTTTTCTTGCTGCAGAATGTGGCATACAGAGCTCAGGGCGACTTTCTCCATATTGAGTGTGAGTGTGTGTGTAAGTGTAAGTCAACCGCGTTACCGTTCTGGGCTACGCCTGTTTGATTGATTGGCAACGCACATTTCAAAAGTCGCGCTTAAATCGACTTTGCTCCACGCGTGCGCAGGGAAGGGGGGAAAAAAGCGCCCCTATGGAGTGAGTGGTGCAGTGTGTGTGTGTATCGTGAACAGTCAGTCACTTTAGCAAAGAGGAGAAGTTGTTTTTCGTCCAAAAAGTGTGTGTGAGTGCATTTACTCTTTCTCCAACGTCTTTTAGCACGATCCTCAGCTGTTCATCTTGCTTGCCATCAGCTTTTATCGACTTTTAATTCGTTCGTGTGGAATTCGTATTGACTTTGACAGTCTTAATCTACTATAGACGATAACTGATCGGAGCCGAACCAATACTGCAAACATTCGACAAGCAAATCTGTCGTCGCACACCTCATCCACTACAGCTTGATATCGGTGACGACATAGACATTTCGTGGAGAAGGAGTTGATCAAAGATGGGTAATATCTGTAGTTGTTGCGGTCGTTCTCGCAACGCACAATACGAACCATTATTGTTGGACAACGAACGTGATGCCGTTGCAGATCTATTGCAATACCTAGAAAACAGATCAGAGACAAACTTTTTCACAGGCGATCCATTACGTTCACTTTCAACATTATCATTCAGTGATAATGTTGATCTACAGAGATCTGCTGCTTTGGCATTCGCTGAAATCACAGAGAAAGAGGTACGCGAAGTAGGAAGAGATACCCTAGAACCTATCATGTTCTTATTGCAAAGTCATGATGTCGAAGTTCAACGTGCAGCAAGTGCAGCTTTGGGTAACTTGGCAGTCAATTCGGAGAACAAGCTTTTGATCGTCAAATTGGGAGGTCTTGAACCTCTTATTCGTCAAATGTTAAGTCCAAACGTTGAAGTTCAATGCAACGCAGTAGGATGCATCACCAACTTGGCAACACACGATGACAACAAGACAAAGATCGCTAAGTCTGGAGCTTTGGTTCCTCTGACAAGACTGGCACGCTCAAAAGATATGCGTGTTCAAAGAAACGCAACTGGAGCTTTGCTCAACATGACACATAGCGATGAGAACCGTCAACAATTGGTCAATGCAGGTGCCATTCCTGTTCTCGTAGGATTGTTGGGCAGCTCCGATACGGATGTGCAATACTACTGTACAACAGCTTTGAGCAATATCGCAGTAGATGCAACCAATCGCAAAAAGCTTGCTCAAACAGAGCCAAAATTGGTACAAAATTTGATCGGATTGATGGATAGTTCAAGTTTGAAGGTTCAATGTCAAGCTGCACTCGCTTTGCGTAACTTGGCAAGTGATGAGAAGTATCAATTGGAAATCGTTCGTTCGGGTGGATTGCCTCCTCTTCTACGATTGTTGCGTTCCAGCTTCTTGCCATTGATCTTGTCAGCCGCCGCTTGCGTTCGTAACGTTTCTATTCACCCTTTGAACGAGAGCCCAATCATCGATGCTGGATTCTTGCACCCATTGATTGAGTTACTCAGTCATGAAGACAATGAAGAGATTCAGTGCCATGCAATCTCCACTTTGCGTAACCTTGCCGCATCCTCTGAACGAAACAAGACCGCAATCGTAGAGGCAGGAGCAGTAGAAAGGATCAAAGAGCTTGTCTTGGGCGTTCCATTGAGCGTTCAAAGCGAAATGACTGCATGCTTGGCCGTTCTAGCGCTCAGTGAAGATTTGAAGCCTCAATTGTTAGAGATGGGAATCTTGGAAGTTCTCATTCCTCTCACATCAAGTCCAAGTGTGGAAGTACAAGGAAACAGTGCAGCAGCAATTGGTAACTTGTCATCCAAATCGGATGATTATGAAAGTTTCAACGGTGTTTGGCTTCAACCTGATGGAGGTTTGCAAGGATATTTGATAAGGTTCTTGGATTCCAACGATCAAACCTTCCAGCATATCGCCGTTTGGACAATCGTTCAATTGCTTGAATCTGGCGATTCAAGTTTGGAAGAGAACGTTCGTAAGAGTGATAAACTTTTGCCATTGATCCGCACTTTGGCTGCTCAAGAACATAGTAGTGCTGCAAGTGATGCAAGACGTAATTCGACCGATGGAAGTGATGATGGAGGTGATGCTGAAGCTGAGATCAGTAGTTTGGCCAAAAAGATTGAGGAAACACTACTAGAGTCATCGCAACAAGAAGGTGGAGCACGGTGATTAAATCAATATTTCGCAAATCTTCCTCATTTTAAAAAAGTCTTTGTTATATTTGTACGTCTGTGGTGTCAGCCATCCTTTTTCTTAACTTCCATCCATCTTTTCTTTCTCATTATCTTCTTTTTATTGTGATCAAGCACAATCATAAATGATTTGCATATCAGTATGCATTTCAACTTTCTTTTGACCAGCATGATTGCAGCTCACATAGTCTTTCTCGTCCCTATTTCGATATATATCTCACTATGTACGCAGCAATCTCTAACGCCAAATTGATGATCTATAATAACACAAAAGAGGATGCTTTATTATTATTGTACAAAGAGTATGACAGTTTCATTCTGTTGTGTCTTTCTCATGACTTGCAAGATGGGCACCAGCTAATTTAAGAATTTCAACCGTTGATTGATGACCGTTCTGTAATGCTAAGAATAGAGGCGTATGACCTGTATAATCACGAGCGTGAACCAAATGACCTGCTTCTAACAGTTGACGAACTTGATCTGTATGTCCCAATGCAGCAGCGATATGAAGAGAGAACGTTGGTAAGCTTGAGGAGTGAGTTGCGGTTGAATTCGTGTTTGTGTTGGATGATCCATCGGGCGCGTTCGAGATTAGAAGAGGGAAAGCGTCTAATTGATGTTGTCGGTTAAGATGACGTTCCAATGCTTGATTATCACCACGCAAACATGCTTGTTGGATCAAAACTGGTGTATTAAAGGAGGAAGTCAGTAAGGCATATTAAACGATAAGTTTCCGTCCTTAATACTCACAAGGTAAGAAAGAGCGTTCTGCTGCGATTGCAAGATCATCAATGTCTTCATCCACACTAATACTTGCTTCACCTTGTTGTGTGAGGATGTATTGGAACAGCCTTCTAACTTGTCCACCTTCTGAACTTGCTGCTCCAGGTGTTAAGCTTCTTCCTGCATCATTCTCATCGGTCAAATCTTTATGTCTTTCCGTCAATTCACCCCGTAAGCTTTTGCCCATAAGAGTACGAATTTGATCTCTGGTTAGCTCAGGTTTTGCAAGAAGATAACTTAGCTTTGTCAATGCACATTCGGGTGTCATATCTCCTCCTGCCACAACGCCAACGGATTGTAATTGTTTTCCAACTTGATAAATTGCGCTCACTTCTCCACGAATGCATTGACTTATATTCACGATGACGATATCCCGTTCAAATGTTGCTTTTCTGAAGATTTCCAAAAGTTCAGGTTTGTTCGGTGCATTTCCTGCCCCGAAGCTGTGCAAAATTACACCTTGAATAGGCGAAGCGAAAAAGTTGGCAATCGTTTCGACTTGTAAACCGGGGAAAAGGCGCAAGAGAACTACTTGTTGAGACATACGATCATGTACTCTGAACTTTTGTAGTTCTCGCGGTTTGAGCACCAATTGACGATTTACTTGAATAGATATTCCTGCCGTTGCAAGAGGTGCTAAATTTGGTGAATCAAAAGCATCCAAAGTTGAATTTGATAATTTGGAAACACGATTGCCACGATACAAGGTTGAGGAAAAGAATAATGTAACTTCAGGTATAGGATGTGAAGCAGCCAAGATCAATGCACCCAAAATGTTCTCAATTGCATCATTGCGTAATTCTGACAGTGGTACTTGAGCTCCTGTAACCACGACTGGTTTTCCAAGATTCTCAAGCAACATACTCAAAGCTGAACTTGTATAACTCATCGTATCGGTTCCATGCAAGATGACGAAAGCATCAAAAGATTGATAGTTCAAATCAATATCAGCAGCCAAACGTAACCAATCCTTTGTTTCTATATTGCTAGAATCCAACAAAGGGTCATATTCCAAAACAGCGAATCGTATCCTCTTTTTTTCTGCCATTGGAGTTATCATCGTTGGTAAGATCATTTCCAGTCTACCATCTTTATCGATATTGCTTTTAATGGCATTTTTGGTGAACGTTCCTTCAGGCGAAGAAGAGATTACCTTTACACGAGCATCAAAAGCCGTACTAAGATCTTCTGGTGTCTTGTGATGAGATACTCTTCGATCTGATTTTGTAATATTCTGAGAAGATCCTGAAGCATGGTTGGGTGTATTGGATCCGCTTGATGGTCTACTGTATGCTTCTGCCCACTTTTGATAACGTTCTGTTGTATCACTCCAGCTAAAGATTGAATTTCCTTCTGGATCGTGAAATCGACTTTGAGAGCGTAATGTTTCGGTCAAGAAACCAGGATAAGGGACGTATCCTTGTGAGGGATGCCTTACCATTCCCAACGTTCCACCACAGTATAAGATCAAAATGCGACTTTCGTTCATCTTATCGATGTAATCAATGGTCATAATCAAGATCACGATTTATTTCTTCTTCTTTTTTAAAGTTTTAACTCTTACCCCAGCTTTCGTTTTCGCTTTGAATCAATTTTACGCGGCGTCCGTTCCTTTTGTCGGATAAACGGATTAGTGGAGTGATTAGCGTTTGTACTCTTCAAGCTTTTGCGGCTGACTTGCTGCTGCCTATGAGCATGTGAATGCGGTTGTTAGATCGGGTATCCCAAAGAGACCGAATGTCCGGGTAATACACAGAAAACAATCTTCTTTCTCTCATCCATCATCTACAACAAATAATGTCTGCCCAAACTGAACAGTCAAATGGCGGGGAAAAGGTCAAGCTAGAAGCGGATACAGGCAAAAATGGCTCAACGGATGCTGCTCCACCCGCTCTGGATTTTGAAAGATTAAGCGAATCTTTGTTCCTATACAAACCACCGGTGAACAATTTCAAGAGACCTTTCGATGTTTCAGGAGATGCAATTGGTAAATCTTTCAATGATGTTTTACAGCCTGTCCGACCTAGACGTGTAAATGCTCAACTTCCAAGAGTCATTTTGATTATGGGTTGGATGGACGCTCCATTCAGGATTGTGACAAAATATGCAGCTCCTTACGCTTTACTCTTTCCAACGGCTACAATCATAATCAAATTATCCGATGGAATATCGTTCATGCGTGGTAGAAAAGCACAAGCAGAGTCTATGGCCAAAGTGGCAGATTTACTTTGTCAAGCTGAAGCGAGTAATGAAGCAAAAGCTGCATTAAGACAACAATCCGATGAATTACACCAAACAGCCAATCAAGCAGGTTTGACATTGATTGAAGATTATCAAGATCCTTCACAAAATGATGAGAAAAGTCAGACACGAAACGTAAAGAACAATCCAACCACGGGAGGGATGGTCATCCATAACTTCTCAGATGGAGGCTCGGCTAATTTGTTACAGTTACTCCTACAATTACGCAACAAGAATGCACCACAACCATTAGCACACATAATGGATTCATCTCCCGGCAAAGCAAGTCCAGCTTCAGGTTCGAATGCAATGACGATGCCATTAGCAAAAAGACCTTTAATTCGATTCGTCGTTCGTGTAGGTGTATACATGTACCTCTACTTCTTTTCCATCTTTAAGCGTCTCTTCCGTATCAAAGGATGGAGTGAAATTTTACGGGAAAGGCTTAATACCCCGACAATATGGTCATGGTCACAAACAGCCGGTTCAACGAGCAAGACGACGAAATTGCCTCCCAGACTATACCTCTACAGTAAAGCGGACAAATTGATCGATTATCGTGCTGTAGAAGAACATGCTGCTTTGGCTGCCAAATCAAGTGGACTGAAAGCACCCTTGCAATTGCAAGATTTCCTTGAACAAGATAAAGAGCAAGGATCAGCGATTGTGACCACAAAGCGATGGGAACAAGCTGCTCATTGTGATATTGGTCGTGCTGATTTTGCCGGGTACTGGAATAGCGTTCGTGGTTTCTTGGAGAAGGTCCTATGATCGTTGCAACCTGGAATTCTGCATTCAAATATAAAATTTTGTATCATTTAATTTATTCTACATTTTGCTATGATCGCTATGCCACTGTTAAGCGACTGCCCCAAAAGAAGATCTAGCCTAGTCAAACGTTCGAAGACGCATACCTGTTGTAACCTTTGGCAAGTCAATTCCGCTTTCTATTGTCGCATCTCGTTGTTCAACTGCTTCAGCCATACATTGCTTCACCAGCTGTAATGGCCGCATCATTCGTCTTTGGAGGGAGCGGTTGCACCACCTCGACATTCGTGATATGTTGACCGGGTATCATTACCATTCCTGCCCATCGTTTTTGCAAGGTGGTATCTGTGTTTGCAGTATCCACTTCTGTACCTTTTGACTGATTCCTAATTCTATATTCGTGTGTGCCTTGCAAGATAACATTCACTTCGCTATCTGTGCAAACGAATCGACCTTCGAACGTACGACCATCGTTGATTGTAATCTTCGTGTTTTTACCCAAAAATGTCTCTTCGATCGTCTTTACTGCTTTACGTGATTGATCATCTTCTTTGATGTATGGAGCTTGAATCATTACCAAGCTCCCGATGGCAGGGTATAGGGAATGAGAAAGTTGAGTAAATGAACAACCATATCCTTTAACCGCACGCATACACTCGGACAAAAAAGGTCGAAAAAGGTCTGTGCGTCCAAATCGGTTTATGGCCCAGGCATGGCCGCGTATGTAAGTTGAATTCTTCTGAAGGCACTCTAGGCCTATAAAACAAGCAACGACACGCGTCTGTAAGGGAAGACATCCTAATTGGTGATCATTCGGACAATATACCATCATCTCCACCCTTTCTCATTCAACAAAGATGGCAGCAACAAGTAAAATGGATCAAGCCGGATCTACTTCGAGTGGATTCGACTTTGGCCTACATACAAGAAATGCACATTTGAGCTCATCAAAAGGTTTACATCTACCAAAGGCAACAAGTACAGGTACAACGATTGTGGGATGTGTCTATAAAGATGGTATCGTTCTAGGTGCTGATACAAGAGCAACAGAAGGTCCAATCGTTGCCGATAAGAATTGCGAAAAGATTCATTATATCACCGATAACATTCGTTGCTGTGGTGCTGGAACGGCTGCTGATACGGAATTTGTGACTGCATTGATTTCCAGTAATATGCAATTACACGAACTACATACCGGACGTAAAGCAAGAGTTGTTACCGCAATGACAATGTTGAAACAACGTTTATTCCAATATCAAGGTCATATCGGTGCTGCTCTTGTTTTGGGAGGATACGATGAAACTGGACCAAATCTATTCACAGTTGCACCCCACGGATCAACAGACAAGTTACCCTATGTCACCATGGGTAGTGGTAGTTTAGCAGCAATGGCTGTTTTCGAATCAGGATGGGTAAAGGATATGGACAGAGAATCAGCAATCGCATTAGTAGCAGCAGCCATTCAATCTGGTATCTTTAACGATTTGGGTTCAGGTTCAAATGTTGATGTTTGTGTGATTACAAAAGAGAAGACAGACATGTACAGAAATTACGAGAAGCCAAACGAACGTGGTGTCAAAGAGCAAAAGTATCTTTTCCCCAAGGGAACAACACCTTGGACAAAAGAACTAATTCATCAAATGATTGTCAGAGAGGGTGAGTAGATAAGTGTGTCGATTCTAGGAGTAGTTTACTGACCTTATATCTTTTTCCTTTGCGCAGATGTTCTAGAAGTTGGAAAGCAACAAAAGCAACAAGCATCAACAGTCACTACAGGTGGTGATGGCATGGATTTGAGCTAAATGTACATTTGACGTAATTCAATCTGTTTAAGCGATTGCGATGATTGGCAAAATACAAATTAAGAGATGGTATAAAATACAGTTTTGATCTTACCAAGACCAATTTTCCTCCTCTTCGCCTTTCTTCTGGTTGGACTTTGTCGATTGCAGATGATCGAGATCTTGTCCGGGTTGGTCATTCAGGCTGATGTCTTGCATATCCTCGCCGCTACGTCTGGACTTGCCGCTCCTATTGTCCTGTGATCGAGACTGCGATTGCGGTTTAGATGACTCTTCGTGCATGCCAACGAGCCCTATGCCCATTCCGTTGATCGCACCATTCTCGGGCAATGGCTGCAAAGGAGCATCCCAGTCCCATGCTGTTTCCATAGCATTTTCTTTCGCTTTTGGACTTAAGACGTTTCCACTTTCACCTTGATCAAGCGCCGCTCTAGCAGCAAAGCGAGTACGACTTTGTCCACTCAATCGTTTCTTGTTCTTGTCTAAATCCATTGTACGTTGACCAGGAGAAGTTGCCGAATTGGATTCTTCTCCCGGTGATTTTTCACCTAACCAAACCGCACTTAGAACATCAAATATACCCGTCATACGCTTTTCGGGATTCTTCATTGGTCCAACGCCACTGGCACTTGTCCTTCTCACTTTTGTGACACCTAAAGGAGGCGAGTGAAGACCTGCATTGCTGCCTCTTTCGTTCGGTGAATGATCTGGTCGTGTAGTAGATTGTGAAGATGATGCTGGAGATGCAGCACGGGCTACTCGTCTAGCATCTTCCAGCCTTAGTAAATTTTGTGAATTCAAATTACCGTTTGTAGATTGCAAATCTGGAGAAGTAACAGAAGTGGTCACTCTATCCACACTTCCACTCATCTTGATACCAGCCATACTGTTCAACCAACTCAATTCTGCCAATGCGGCCTTTTCACGATCATTTTCTTCAGCAAAACCCCTTGGTCCGCCGATGCTTGAATTGCTTTTTGCTTTCTCGTTTGGTTTTTGATCGTCAAGTTGAAGTAAATCATCAATCGTCATCGCTTGTCCAAGTTTGGCCTCAGCCATTGCTAAATAGCCAGACGCATTCTCACGAGCTTCTTTGAATCGTTTAGAAAGATTGCCCCAGCTGAAATCATTGGCAGAAGGTCCTGCTTGTGAATGATCTTTATTCTCTTTGTCTTCTTTGGACGTTGCACCGCCCAATCCTTCCTTTGATTGTCTATTCTTTGCATCTTCTTCTCCTCCCAATGCAGGTGCGAATTGTTGTTCCATCTGTTTTTGGAAAGCAGCAAAAGATGCACCAAAAATCGAGCTTCGCTTTGAATGGTTTTTGGGCATCTCTTTCGAAGCTTGCGTAGGAGGTACTGATTTGGATGTAGGGGATAGCTTGCTCGGCACTGGAGGTGGAACGCCAGATCGATTTTTAGCCGGTTGTCCTCCTTCTTCTTCATCTTCTTCCAGCAGCGATCCTAAAGACGTGTTGCGGGTATCGGTTGAGGATGCTTCGTTGGTACTGCTTACGCTTTCTGTCGTTGGAACATTTACCAATTGATCCAAAAATGCATTGAACTGAGTTCCAATTCCACTTTGTAGTTTGGCAGAGAGACCCTTGAATGTATCTGAAGCTGCACTCGTTGGAATCGAGTTGATAGCATCGGCGTCCAATGAGGGTAACCGGATCTCATCTTTTCTATCCGAACGATCGCCTATTTCAGTACTACTTCTTCCATTACTGGCAAGCTCTCGAGCGGCACTCTTTTGCCATTCCACACGTAACGCCAAAAGCTCCTTCTCTTCTTTAGCAAGAGTTTCTTTGAGCTCAAGAATGGCTCTTTCCTTTTCAGCAATGCGTTCCAAAACGCCCTTGTGCTGGTTGAGTATTGTTTCTCCATCAAGTGAGCTGCTATCGAAGGATGCTGTCGTGGAAACGGAAGCGCTTCGAGGAGCTGTTGATCGTGTGAACCTTGGCTGGGCTATACTTCCTGAAGAAGGTGTGTTGGACCCATTCGCTGCAGGAGCAGAATACGGAGTAGGACTTTGGGATGATCGAGCATCGGGTGAAGGAAAATAGCCTAAACTCATTCGATGTGCCTTTCTACCGCTTCTTGGCGTAGAAGCAGTTGGCGTTCGAATTGCTAGAGGAGATGTGTTCGGCGAAGATGGAGAATTGGACAGCCCATTGTTGATTAAAAGACTCAACCTCTTGGCGCCTTTATTCGCACTCGAGGGAGTGGATTGAGCGGGACTGTTCGTCATGAAATTATTGCTATTCCGGTTAGCTCTCTGTGCACTTCTGAAGGTGCCGTTTGCGGCTTCTTGTGATCCCATGACAGGTGTGGTAAACTGCTCCACACTCTCGCCAGAAAAATCGGACTTTTGGACGTTGGTCTCATCTTTTGGAGGTAGTTCGGGACCTTTTTCTGAGGTTGCACTGCTCGGTTGTAATGCGGCCTGGTCTTCGCTGTTGTCGTCATCGTCAAAGAGGTCAAGCTCGGCTCGCGTTGTCATATCTCCCATTGCATTCTGTTCATTCAAACCCCCGTTCGTATGCATGTTCAATTCACAAGATTGCCCCATTGATGCCGCTCCTTGATCTTCTTCTGAGAAATTCCCAGACATCTCCGGATGATTATGGGAGAGGTAGTCGGCCTTTGAAGCCTTGTCCTCATCTGACTCTATGGGATTCTCATACGATCCATGTTGTGGATTAAAAGAGGGACCCCTACTATGTGTACGATTAGTGATTGCTTGTATCGAATTGGCTTGGTGTGAATTTGGCAGTAATGGGCTAGAAGCAGTACTGCTCAAGAGGTTGTCCTTGGGCTCTTCTCTGTCATATTGAAAAGCATTTTCCTGTATACCCTGTTCGCCTTCCCCAGCAGGTGAGAATGCATCGGCTCCACTACCTCCATTTGGTGAAGAGAGATCATTGGAACTTGAACCAGGCTTTTGCAAGCTTACACGTTTCTTGATCTGGACACTTGACCTTTGTCGTGTATGTCTCCTTGTTGTTGATGTGTTTTCTGCCATTTTGATGACCAGCACACAAAGATGGAAAGAAAAGAGAAGGTTTGAAGTTATAGTTCAAGAAGAAGATAAAATAAAAGCGGTCAATCCTTTGCCGTCTTTATGTTAAACGCTTAAACCATCTTTAAATTCATGCACGTCAAAGGGGAAAAACCGTTACGGCGCTGCGCTGTGGAAGTGCGTGTGTGCGTGTTTCTGCATTTCACACTCTCATTCATGGCCGTTACTTGCATGGAACGCCGCGTCTCCTTCCCGCACCTTTCTTCTTAGCAAAGAAACAGAACAACATAAAGGATGTTGCTTTTGGTGTGGCATTTAATGTTATCAACATACTTTGACTATATCCTTCTAATCACCCTTCCTAACGCAGGAAAGATTTAATGCATAATTGTTTATATCTTATCTTATCTTCACTCCTTATTGCCGGCGCCTTTGTAAGATAAATATAAATCATTTAGATTGTCTTTTAAAGCTGACTAAGAATTATTTTCAACTCATCCAAGTATCTTCTTGCCTTTGCTCTGAACGGATGTTAGTATTCCGAGGGAAGAAGCATGTTTTTTGACTTCCGTGGATGCCAGAGTTGACATTAAGCAGGCTTTTAGAGATTACCGGCGTATACCGAGATCCCCGGTTTAAGCTATTGCATAAAGGTACTTTTACAGCCTTTTCTCATGGCCTTTCTGAGAAAATGTGCACAAAACCAGTATGAACGCGCGCAAAGTAATCTTCCCCCACATACATAAAGCTTAATCTTCTTAAAATGAAGACATCCTGTTGTCTTCTCTTAATACCACCATCTTTAACTTCTCTCAAACATTGCCAAAATGTCTTCAAACGGTAATTTCATCGATCCCTTCGAAGAGACAATCATTCGTCATCCTCAACTTTCTCTTCGGGCTCATATTATCCCATTGGGTTTAAACGTGACAAGATTGATCTTTGATGATCCTGTTGAAAGTTTCGAACATGATGTCATAATCGGACCTGAATCTCCTCAAGATCATTGGAGATTCGGTAGAAAATTTTTAGGTCCGGTGGTGGGACGATATGCAAACCGATTACCGGTGGGAAAACATAAATTCGATCATGATCAACAAACGATTGATATTGAAGAATATTCGGCATTTTCAAAATCTGGTGTTTCATTGCATGGAGGACCAGAAGAGGAAAATAGACAGCTTGGTCAAATACCAAGAAATGGTTTTTTAGTTCCTCAAGTTGGCCCTTTTGACAGATTGGTTTGGCAACCTTTATCGTCCGATCAATCGCAATTGTTCGGCCCTGAATCTGCTTCTACTGCGAAAGGCTCTTCAGCCATCTTTGGTTTATTAAGTAAAGGTGTCGCACCTGGTGGACAACAGAAAGGCTATCCTGGAGATATTCGGATCGAAGTTCGTCTTGCAATCGTACCCGGTAAAGAAGGTAATGAAAGCATTTCTACCTCTACAACAACACCAGCCAATCTTGGTAAAAGTGCTGGTACATTCCATATGGAATATCGAGCCAAATTGGTGGACGGTGAGTGCACTGCCACACCTATCAATTTGACTCATCATTGGGCTTTCAATGTAAGCACTTCCGATGCAAAAGCACGTTCACAAGACAAAGGTACGATTGAAAATCATACCTTCCGTTTGATCCCTCCTCCAATGTTTGACGAACAACGAAAGCCTCAATTATATGCTATCGGAACGTGTGAAAAATGGATACCTACAGGAACTTTATTGGAAACCGAAAACACACCGCATGATTGGTCAAATGAAGGAAAAGAAGGATTGGGTAAAACAATCATTCATAAAGGTGGACATGAAGGTTACGATCAATTTTATACATGGGGAGCACCGGAAAAGAAAATTGTTGAAAAATTAAATCAATCTGAATATGAAAAAGCATTGCATGCACAACCAAGAATGATTTTGCATGCTCCTAGCTCACAAGTCACTTTAACCGTTCGAACCAATCAAACGGGTGTTCAAGTATACACTGCAAACAGTCAACCACCACATCCTGCTGTAGCTGAAGAGAGTGGTGGCGCAAAGAAGAAACTTCATTCTAATCCAGGTGAAGAAGGATTGGGAAATCATCAAAGAAGTGGAATCGCTTTGGAATTCTCCCATCCACACGGAACTTTCCTTCATGAAAAACATCAACAATTCGCTCAAGATGATACAGTTTTACGTAAAGGTGAACAATATAGAAATTGGGTAGAATTAGAAGTATTCAAAAGGGTTTGAGGGCCGCTTCAACAAATCATTCTTCGACTAATTTTTATCATTTAATGACAGAGATATATCGAAATAGAATAGCTTTCCTTTCTTCTCATCTGCACACAACACACGAATGTCTGTGAGCTGGGAAGTGATATGCTCCGAAGCAATGAAATGATAAAATATGTATGTGGTGCTGAAAATGGAAAAGATGGAAACCGATAAATATACAGTGGTGTTAATGATAAATAGAAAAAAATCAACGAGATTGCTCTTTCGTTTGACGGGATCGAACTTCTTCCCAAACTTCCCATCTTGCTTTCTCTTGTTTTTGTCTTCTTTCATGTTCGATCTTTTGTAAGAACTTTTCACGTTCTTCACGTTCTTTTTGCGCTTTCTCTTTTCGATTACGTTCTTGTTCCGCTTGTTTATTCTTTTCCGCTTCTAATGCTTTCTTTACTTCGTTATAACGCTTTTCCGCTTTGCTCAATTGTACTTCATCTCCTTTTCCGCCGCTTCCGTTACTTATCGCACCTCCGCTTTTCTGTCGTACAATTCCAGGCATTTGTTGCGTTGAGGACCTCTTTTGCTCCAGCTTACTTGCATCATTGCTCGTCTTTCGATTCAAAAGTTTAGAGGCTTCCGCACTCGAAGATGATTTCCGAGCCAGATTTTGTGGCCTTGATTGGATTAGCTGAGCAGGTGAGGCAGTCATACTTCGATTATTTGTGCTGAGACCCGGTGTAGGAGGATTGGAAGTAGAGGGACTTCTCTCGTAAGTCAAGCTTTCGGCCAAAGCACGAGCCAAAGCTGCATCTTCCGTCAATTGCAGTTCACGTTCACTTTGTTGGCTACTACCAGGTGTAGCATCATTCACAGGTGGAATGAGGGCAGGCGAAGGTTCCGGCATAGGCATTAATGTTTCACTTGCCGGGCCATCATCTTTCTCAAATGGAAGTAAATTTCTTATAGGTGGAAGTTCTGGCTTCTCCGGAAGCTTTACGTATTTCTTAAAGATAGGCTTGCTTTTTCCAGTTTTTGTATTATTATCCTCCCCATTCCCTCCATTGTTTGTCGCCAATCCAGAAGCAAGCGAGGCACCCGAAGCTCGTCCATTGCTACCATTTTGTCCTTCTCCTGAAGCTCGAGCGGCTTCGGTAATCTTTGCCAATCGCTCATCCTTGCCGGACGTTCCTGATCTGCTGGACATTCTCCGGGATCCTAAAGGTGCATTGCTTTTAATCTGATGAACCTCAGAACTGGCAGCAGTGAAAGAAACGAAGGCTTCCATGTTACCATACTCGCCAGCTTCTACTCCTTCTGCAGGAGGGGTGATTGCACCTTTGTTGCTACTCTCACCGCCACTGTTCACCCTTCCAACCTTGCCTTGTACACCAGGTCCGATAATTAGAGCTTGCGAGGGCATGGACTTTTGACCAGCTTTTCGCAACTTTTCCCTCTCTGCTCGAGCTGCTTTTGAAGGGCCAGATTCTGTAATTGCTTGTGACATCAAAATCTCTTTATTTGAAATGGATGGTGAAGTCGGAGGAGAATGCAAAGGCGATCGTCTGACTTCAGATACTATGCCATCATTCGATTCTTTGATAATCGGAGGTTTAGCAGGAACATTGGACGAATTACGTCTGGTTGGCTTCGGTGTCTGATCCACTAAACCGTTTGAGCCTTCTGACATAAGTCTCTTTGGCTTACTGCGCCTTGCCGGCTTCGTTGTGGTATTGTTGTTCACCCCGTTTGCATCATTATTGTTGTTTAAATACATGACTCTATGCCAGCCGGCGGGCGTACTTTTGTGTCTCATGGTAGTTTCATATTGTCCATTAGGATGTGCTGAAACGCTTGAAGAATGCGAAGATGGTTCTCTAGGTTCGATCAATGTTGCCGATGGAACTCCAAATTCGTACTCTTCCTGTATGCTCGTGTACGGTGGTGGTGGACCAAGGAGGGTTCCAGATCGGGTCAAGGAGGGTTGATTGGGTAGTCCATATTCGTGCCTTGAGGACAACTTTGGTAAACGTAAAGATTCGATCTCTTGTCCTTCACGTAACCAAATATTGATTTCATCCCCATGTTCCAATAATGCGCATTCATGATCGTCAGCGAGTACGAAACCTGTTCCTCTTTGTTCGTGTTCACCGTTTGTTTCATCATCCATATGCTGTCGTGTTTCTGGAGCGATCAATGCATTCTGTTTGAGTTCTAAAACGAGACCTTTCAATCTCCATTCGTGTAGAGTTTGTTGTTTAAGATGTTCGGAATAACTTAATCCCGCATCCGTACTATTTGGTGTGACTGAGGATGATGGATCTTTTGCTGTCGCTTGACCGGTAAGAATTGCCAAGACTGTATTCCTCAATTGCGATACCAGAGCTGATGATTGAGGAACGGGAATCGCACATCGAAATTGAGGTAAAGGAGAGTGAGATTTTAAGATCAAATGACCGCGGGAAGACGGTGACTTTGGATCACCGGACATAGTCATTTTCTTTATTTTAGTAGGATAGCATCGCTTTGTTTATAGAATGTGGCTCTACTCTAAATGTCAATCGTCGATATAACATAAAAAAGAAGAGCAAGATAAGTGAGGATGAGCATGTTAAAAGAAGGACGATACTCCACAGCAATTCATGTGAGACCACGGAATACAGCACCCTGACTGCCAATACTGCTCCTGCTTGAAGCCCGCTTAAATTGTCTGCATAAATAGAGTGTGCCGGCGCTTTGAATAAAATAAGAAGAGAGAGAATACTTCTGCCGGCTTAATACCGTAAGCCAAACAAATCATTACTTTCACTAGAATATCCGCTAGAGCGCCGAAATTGTGCCTAAAGCTTGGCGTTACACAATCCTAATTAAACTCATCATCATCGTATGGCTGGGATGACTTCCTTTAAATGATACATTGATAGAATAATACAGTGAATAAAGTACATGTGTTTGATTACCAACGATTTCTCCTATTTTGATTGTTATTCCTTCTCTTCCAATTATTCTCATACGATCCACCTCTTGATGTTGAAGATTTATTGTCCCCCTCTGAATGATGCGATGGCCCAATCTTTCGCCATCTGTTGGGTGGTGGTCTATCATCACGCGATTTCCGATCAGAATAATCCTTCCTCTCATCGTCCTGGTCATTTTTGCGTTTTGGCGTTGTTTGTTCCTCTAATTCGGTCGAGCGTCTTCGCTTCCTTTCATCATCTTGCTCAATCGTCACATCTGGTTGATTTGCTACCAATCTTTCCTTCTCCATCGTCAGCTGCTTCTCATGAAAGGGTACGCTACCCCACCATTTTCGATCGATATCTTGCATCTTGTCGTAATCATCTTCATTTAAATCGCTTACACTTTCCCACATATCATCGAACTCTATGTTCAAAGCATCAGGCTTTGTCGTGGAAGATGATGCAGCTTTTGCTCCTTCTATCTTCTTTGCAGATGAGAGAGCAGGCTTATTGCTTGCAGGAATGGCCCTTTGGGGAACAGCATCTGCGAATGATTTTGCTGGTAAGATCCAAACTCGCTCCCTCAATCTTTTGTGCCGCTCTCGATCTTCTTCTATTCTTCTCAATGTATCTTGCTTTGAGAATCGAGTATGAGAAGAGGAAGGAAGTTTAGAGAGAGCTTCTTTACGAATTTGGAGTTCATGAATGCTCGCATCTATTCCTGCCAAATCAAACATTCCTACTCGTTTCCATGATGAAAGTACCTTTTGCGTATCTGTCGCATTCATTCGAACGGCATCCCAATCTTCTTTTGGTACAACGCTATGCACAATCCTACCTAGATCTCGGGATGCTAAGGTCAAATATGTTGAGGCTGTGATTGATGAATTTGATGACGAAGAACCTTCCAGCTTGGTAGAGCTTGAGCCTGGATCCGAAAAGGAGGAATAACCAACAGGATCCACAATACTGAGCAAAAGAGCATCAAGCAAGAACAATATGTTTAGCTTGGTATTCAAAGATGCTTTTTCGCATTCTGTAATGATGCAATCCCAAACGTCATCTGCTGCTACAGAAGCATATTTAACGGCAAAATCCACCACTTTTGCTATCGCTTGTTGAGATGCATTTATCTTTTTGACCAAAGCGATACAGTCTAATCGAATTTGAAAGACATCCATTGCCATCAAAAGCAATTGATGAATGACATGCAAAACGAAAGAGTGTAATCGACACGCTTTAAGCCTAGAGTTAGAATAGGGCTAAATGTTCGTACTTGCTTGAAACGCGTAGAAAGTATTCGGAGCCTTTACAGGAACAAAGCTTTGCAGATCAACCAACACTTTTACTGCCATCCACCATACAAACACACACACACACACACACATTCCACCCGCCATGGATAGAAGGAGGAGTGGTATACCCGGACCAAGTTCCAATATCGGAGGTATTCCAAAGCGAGCTCCTTCTCCTTCTAGTGCTGCTTTTGCATCAGCATCTTCAACAGCAGCAGCAGGCGGAGGTCCTTTGGGAGGATATCGTCCACCATCACGGGATGGTCACGCAGATCCACCAAGACGATTCGGATTTGGCAGCACAAGTGGTACAAATGCTCCTTCAGGACTAGCAAAGGGAACCCCACAGGCTAGTAGAATTGCTGTACCTCCTTCATCTGCAGCGAAAAGGAGTATATCCAGTACGGGAATACAAGATACAAATCATGCTACTCCAAACGGAGGCTCGAACAAAAGACCTTTCCTGACCAGCGGTGGATCTGCACGATCTTCATTGGCAGCATCTAGCTCTGGCGCTCATGATCATTCTACAATGGAAGCAGAATACAAACGTAAAGAGCTATTAGCCCAACAAGCGTATGAACGTTTACAGCAAGAACTAAATGCGAAAGGCAGGGAAGTGGAAAAAGAAAAGGAGGAAAGGGCTGGTCTTTTACGTCAATGGGAGGCACTCAATGAAGATCTTGTCCAAGAAAGAAAGACGAATGCAGAACAAAAGAAAGCTTTGCAACAGCGTGCAAATGAACTTCAAGCAAGAAACAATGAACTGTCCTCCCATATCGATGAAGCAGATTCGGAAAAAGCTAAGGCTCTTCAGAGTGCACAAACAACAAAGACATCATTATCCATCAAGATTGCCGAATTGGAAGCACAATACGCCGGAGCGGCTGAAGAAGCGGAAGCTCAAGAACAGGCTCGTAAACGAGTAGAAGATCAGTTGAAAAGTCTAGAAGAGGATTGGCAAAAGGAGCGGGAACAATTACAGTCTGGAAGGAAAGATGACGAAGAGTCTGCTAAATTGACCAAAGAACTTCACAACCTTCTTGCAAAGATCCGAAAATTGGAAGCAGAAAACCTCACCCTTTCACACGATAACAAGCATCTACAATCACGTAAAGATAGCGTAGAAGCTCTGAAGGAACAGAATCGAGACCTTGAGAAAAAGGTGGGCGTCATGAACGAGATTCGAAGAAAACTTGCCGAAGCAGAGACAAAGGCTCAAGACTTAGAGAATGAGAAACAGCAATGGCAACAATCTATACGGACCGGTCGAGAAACATCTGCTTACCAAGAAGCTTTTGCTACCTATTCGGACACATATGCAAAAGCGGTAGAGATTGATGAGCTAGCCAACGTTTCAGTATCAACCGTTGGACCATACCTCTCCACATTGCAAGGAGCTTTCGCAGGACTTTTGTCGAGAAGTGCATCGTTGACGCAAAGAGCAGATACTCTGCGCAAGCAACAAATCGAATTGGAAGAGTCACAAAAGGCTGAAGCAGCTCGAGCGGATAAACTATCTTTTGAACTCGAACAAAGTAAGACAGCAAGACTGAAAAGCGAAAAAGCAAGAGAAGCCGTTGTGATGGAATTGGAAAACTATAAGCGCCTTCTTGAAACGTATCAACAAGAAGCACAGAATATGTCTGTCCAATATGATGGTGCTTCGGCGGAACAAATTGCCTTGTTGGAAGAACAGCTGAAGGCAAGGAACGATGAATTGGAGAAGGTCTATGCTGAACTAGAAGAAGCCCAAAATGCCTTGTCCGGTCTCAATGCCCCCGGTGGAATCTCTGCTGACGAAAAGAATCGATTGGAAAGCGCACATGAAGAGCGGGAGAAGGAACTGCTGAAGCTCATCGAGGAGTCAAAGCAATCATACGCTGAATTGGAGAAGCAGTGCATTTCATTGGGCAAATCCAACGATGAACTGTTTGTTCGACTAGGTAGAGGTGAATTTGATCAAAGCAAATTGCGAGTTCTGGAACTCAAAGATAATCCCGTGAGCAGAGATCGGGTGATCAGAACGAGTACTTTGGATGCTTTGAAGAAGGAGAATGCTCAATTGATTGAACAAGTAAAAGATCTCAACGAACGGGTTGGGCAATCGAATAATGGATCGATCAATTCGACCGATGGCGGAATGATTCCAGCACAGTCGTTAGAGAATATGAAGGACGAATACGCCAAGCTACAACAGACGATGCGTGATCGCGATAAAGCTTTTGATCGACTGAAAGAAGTCTTTGGTGCAAAAGCCACCGAGTACGTTGCTGCCGTCAAGGCTTTGTTTGGGTATGATATGCATGTTCTTTCTCGTGGAAAGGTGAAATTACGTTCAGTATATGCACGAACATCAAAAGGTACTTCGCTAACATTTGATGCAGGAGAAGATGATATTGCAAATATGCGATTGATCGGAGAAGCAAGACAAGGGGCAGCTAATGTGGCCAATCTCAAACGATATTGGCTCAATGCTGATCGCTGTAGCGTTCCATGCTTTTTGGCTGCTTTACAGTTGGAATTATACGAAAGCACAACCCAAGCTGTCCGAGTTGGTTGGACAGAAGGAGATGAAGAGGAGTGAAGAATATAAAGTCGTGTGTTTAGTAATGTATCAATACCCATATAGTATTCTAGCAATTATTTCTTCATTGTCATTACCATTTGATTGGGAGTGATGTTCGGACGTGCGTAAGTATGGCACAGTGTATGGTGGACATTTTTTTAGTTGCAGCGCACAGGCCTTCCATGCTTGCAAGTAACACTGAGGTTGTGCTGCTTTTGCTACCAGCCGCGCGTTCTACAAGCAACTGCTCACTTAAAGGACGCGAATGCACAACCTTCTCGAGCAACATCAAGAACATATCTGTACTTTCTTCAGATCGTCATCATCCTTCACTGAAACAAGGCCAATCACAACATCAACAACACATAAACCATGTCACGCTCCTACGATCGTGCCTTGACGGTTTTCTCGCCAGACGGACATTTGTTCCAAGTAGAATATGCATTAGAAGCAGTGAACAAGGGAACATGTGCAGTCGGTGTAAAGGGAAAAGATGTTGTTGTTTTGGGAGTTGAAAAGAAATCAGTTTTACAATTACAAGATCCAAGAACGATCAGAAAGACTGCAATGTTGGATGATCATGTTTGTTTGGCTTTCGCAGGATTAACAGCAGACGCAAGAATTTTGATCGATAAAGCAAGAATTGAATGTCAATCACATCGTTTAACCGTTGAAGATCCGGTAACGATTGATTATATCACTCGTCATGTCGCAGGTATTCAACAACGTTATACACAATCTGGTGGTGTCAGACCTTTTGGAATTTCTACTTTGATCATTGGATTCGATCAAAGTGAATCTATACCAAGACTATATCAAACCGAGCCAAGTGGAATGTATAATGCATGGAAAGCATGTGCGATCGGAAGATCAAGCAAAACTGTTCGTGAATTCCTGGAGAAGAATCATGAAGATAACATGTCAAAAGATCAAACAATCAAACTTGCTATCAAGAGTTTATTGGAAGTCGTTCAAACAGGAGCAAAGAATATCGAAATCGCTTTGATGGAAGGTCATGGTAAAGTTCGCAATCTAGAATTGGCAGAAGTAGAAGCAGTCGTAAAAGAAATCGAAACTGAACGTGAAGCAGAAGCAGAAAGGAGAAGGACACGATTGGCCGCCACAGCAGGCGCACAAGCTTCTATGGCATCAGGTGTAGGCGAATGAGCAACGCATCTCTTTGTACATATACGATCATAACAGTCAATATAACGCAGTAAGACCTAAATTGAGCTACGATTGTCTGATTATGCTGGTACAGATAAAAATACATGATGATATAAGTTTTGATGAGACTTTTAAGTTAGACGCTCTCCTCGGTCGATTTCGCTTTTTTGAACTTGTCCCCTAGATCGTATCGTTTTATGATGCTGTGAATAGAGCAGAGGGGAAGCAAATGTCAGGAAAGGCTGTCAAATTGTCCAATGATGTTGTACAATACTCACTTTGCCTCGTGTGGGTTCTCTTCTTCGGGATATATCAGCAAGCGTTCCAATCTTCTATCGCGGAATTTGTTCTTTGGCAGCATTCCCGATACAGCCTTTCGAATGATCTGAAAAGTAGAAGTCAAAGACGGATCAGCATAAAGTTGAATAAACTTGATTGAGGTTCTGAGAACCATCGATAACTCACCTCATCCGGTTTCTTCTCCATCATATCTTCATATTTGATCTCTTTCAATCCTCCAGGATACATTGTATGATGTCTATACAGCTTGTGATGTGCTTTCTTTCCTGTAACGGCAACGTGACGTGAATTGGTAACTACGACATAATCTCCAATATCCATAGCTTGATCATAAATTGGTTTACGTTTTCCCATCAATAATTCCGCAATATCTACTGCCAATTTACCTAAAATTGCATTCTTTGCTGAAACATGATGCCATGTTCGTGCCATGGCTAATGCCGTACTTCCAACATTTTGCGACATCTTGCCTTTTGATAGGTTTCGATATGACAGATAAAGGAGCAAAAGGTCGCAATGATCGATTGGGATTTGATGGAAGAAGCTTCCCAGTGCCATTCTTAATTTTAGGCGTTTTACCTGAACAATAAATTATCCAACAGAAGCGCGCTCATTCAGGAAAAATCTGTCACGTGTTCCTCTCACTTCCTTCCTTCTCCCCACTCATATGGTACGAATGCCAACCAATTCGATGCTTTTTATATGAAATATTACAAGATTATGTTTAGAGAATGTACATGAGGAGAAGAAAAGTATCCTGATTTAATTCACGCTTGCTTTGCTCGTCGTTCTAGGCGTGATTGCACGAGAATCATCCACCTCATGACCTTGAACACCGCCAAAATGATCTTCTTCATATCCCATTTGACTTCTACGAGAAGCACGTTCTCGATCAACATTTAAGAGCGATTGTCTTTCTCGTTCGCCATCCAATTCATCATCATTGCCGATAACACTTTGTTGTGCTACGGTGTTGACATGTTTGGTTTTGATCGGAGGTGGTGAAAATTCTATACTGATATCATGTCTTTGATCGTTCGCCGTTCCGTAAATATCATGATCTCCTTCGAAATCTGACATTGCATTTGCATGCTTTTCCATTTCGGCAATACTCTCCACTAAACTTGTTTGACTGTCCATATACCTCTTTGAAACAAAAGTATTGCCTACACTGTTGTTCGATTGTGATGCAGTCATCGGACGAGAAGAAGGTGTATAGCCCCAAGCACCAAAGAAACCGCCATCTTTTGCCGTATTACCACTTCCGTCTCCATGTACACCTCCGTCTACATTTGAAGAAGGAGCTATGAATAGCGGCGTAGCGCCTTCAGTTGATTCGTGTGCTTTATGCTTCATCACATTCAACATTCCACCTCCATTGACAAGCGTTGCATCACTATTGCTATTTCGACCAGCGAATTGCACTCCATTCGAGCGAACAAAGCTTTGAGAGGAATTCCTTTGACTGCCACTCACATCTTCGCGTGATCCATCACTTGACACATTTCGCGAGCTATCAAAACCTGCATTGGCGATATTGAGCTCATCTTCTTCCAGCCCGTCCGCACTTTCTTCATCGGTGGCCATCAATTCGTATTCATCTGCCGCTAGTTCATCTTCGTCTAATTCTTCGTCCACAGCTTTTCTTGCAACGCTGAAAAGGTAGAGAAAAATACCCACACAAAGCACAACACCAACGAGACCGAAAATGTGCTTGATCAATTCAGCCGTTTCAGAGGCTTTTGCTTGATCTGTGTTCGCATGATCATCCCCAATCAGAGGTTCACCTTTTGCGTTTGTACCGGGCGAAGAAGCCGCTCCGTTGTAAGCAGCAAAATTCTTGATCGTCGTTCCTAATCCACAATGAACCAATAATTTTGGTAAAGCCAAAGCAGTGCACATCGTGTACGTCTTCAAAGTCAATGTTGGCGAACTTGCTAAAAGTGTGTTCATAAGATTGTACGGATAAGGAGCTAAACGGACCAGGAACAAAAGTTTAGGTCTCTTTTCGATCGCTCGAACGACTTTCTTCAATCCTCCACTTTGATTGAGCAAACCGACCATCCATCCTTTGAGGAAGCTTCTACTCATAACGAAGACAACTATCGCGCCTGAGAGAGCAGCGATATAACTGATGATAAAGCCTTGAATCAAGCCAAAACTGAAACCACATAAGATGATCAAAGTGGAATAAAGAGGCAAAGGCGGGAAAGTTGTGATAAAAATCAAGAAACCAAGGATCAAACGACCTGTCAATCCCAGACTTTGCAGATATAGCGACAATCTATCCAAACCTTGAAAGACTTCTGTATGCCATACCAGAACGGTAAACGTGCTGCTCAGACTGACAGCAAGCCAGATCAAAAGCGGTACGTATGCTCCTAGCCATGCAGGCCTCCAAACGCGATTTCCCGTTCTGGGATCACGAAAAGCTTTATCGATATCGTGCATCGTTGTGGTAATGAATGAAGAAAAGCTTTTACAGGCTCCCAAAGGATGCAGTAATGCCCAAAAGACCAATTTTAATATGCGAACGACTTGAATATGAATAGGTACCGAATGAGAGGTCACACGATTACGCCTTTTACCCCCTCCGCCGCTCTTTCCTCTCCTGTTTGCATGGCGTAAATTGATCGCCCCTCGTCTTGCTTGAGGAACGATCAATGGAGATGCATTTGCTCCTGAGCCAGAACTTGGCCCGATATTTGGCGAAGATTGTAGAGGATTTTTGTGTAAGGAAGCATGACGGGAATGCGACATCATTTGCGGTGACTGCATCTTGATCGAATGGGATGATGCAGACGTTGAGGATGCTGTTGACATTTTATGAGCGTGCGAAAGAGGATGCATTTGCCTTGTAGCAGGCGAGGAAGGAGTATAAGCGCCATTGGCCTTACTATGATTCCGAGAGGCACTCCTTCCTCCATACCCACTTCCAGACACCGTATTCATGACCACATTCGATGCTTCTTGCGACGGCTGTTCTATCACTAATCCTAATTTCGGGCCGCTCTCTGTTTGTGGACGATAGCGAGCAGGAGTTTTGCGACCACCAAGTGCAGGTTGATCGTTGGTGTCGTAAGCAACCTCTTCGTCTTCTTGTGCCATTTCTTCTGGTTCAGAGGTCACCATTTTGAAGCGGGGCGAGATAGGCTGGGCACTCTTATGCGAAGACGATGCTGTGCTTGCTGCCGCATTATGATTCGTAAATGTGCTTACAGGCGAAAAACGTCCTTCGGCCTTTCGGAGCATATTACTCAATATTGTTGGTGTCCATCTTCCTCCGCTGTTATTGGCAGCGAAACTTGCACTGGCACGTCTGCTAGCCCCGTGTCCTTTATCCTGTTCATCATCTTCAAATGTGATGCCTTCTTCCTCAAACACGTTCTGATAAGGATGATAATGACTGATTGTTGCGCTTTGTGGATGATGAACATGTTGATTTTGTCCATAGGTTGGCGAATTTGATGGCCACTGATGCGAAGAATGTTGATCGATGGGTGAAGCAATGTGTTCGCTTCGCCTCCTGTTGATCGCACTTGCCGAACCCGGTCGATTGACTATGAAGTTGCCTGAATTGGCGAATACTGAAGCCGATTGCGGTGTATTCCTTCCACCAGCCCCAATAACGCCTCCATGTGGATTTGGAGAAGGTGCTGCTAGATCGAAACTATTTGCCGCACCTTTTCCATTGATTGTTGTGGGTGATGATATGTTTGGAGATATGGACACCCCTGTTGTTGTACCGGAGGTTGTTCGAATTGGTGCTTTACCGGCTTGTGAGGATGTGGAAGAGGTATTGAATGAAGATGAAGTTGGCGAAGCGATTGGCTGATTGCCTTTCAAGCTGGACTGACGTGAGAGCGGCATGGTGGAGATTCCGTCTTCCTTTATGAGATGATACACACAGCTTTATGTGATGTGGTTGCAGAGCTCACTATTGTCTCGAATGACCGAACTGTCTTTTCTCCATTCGCTTTAAATTTGATCGCAATCTTGCCTCTGTCGTATGGGAGTCCACGATTGTACTTGTCAAGTACGACAGGTGGAGTAAGTTATGCTCTGCTTCGATACCTGATTGAGATGCCATTCATTCACAGCATCTGTATTGCACCTTTGATGAATAGACTGTATGGTCAGAAGATCGAGTAGGATTTGTGCACTTTGATGATGATGATAGAAGATGATGGAGAAGATTGCATATAAAAGCAGGACACAAGATGCGTGTGCATGTATGCTACTACTCCATATGCTGGCCTTATTTTATTGGCAGGCGATTAGTGCATAAGCAATGCCAGGCAAATAAATACAAATATAAAAAAGAGGCTCAAAATAGACTATGTTGCATTTGTATACGCTGATCCGCCGCCTTTTATTCATGCCGTGTGATTTTTAATGCGTTCTTTTCCATGTGGACAAAGCCTAGTACAATACATACAGTCAACTTTAAAAACAGGAACAAATGTGGACAGTTAGACAGTTCATAAGATAGCCGATTTCCTTCTTTGCACTCCGCTTCCTTTTTTGCTTGCTTGCTGCTTGGCTCCTCCGCCACAAACAGAAGGAACTCAAGAAAAGGACGGTAAAAGGTTTCCGTGCCGAGAACGCGATTACGCACCGCTGGTTACACTTTATGACACCACAAAAAAAGGTTCCAATTCGTAATTCCCATCTTTGAAAGGAATAACACATCATACTGATTCAAACAATTAATACTATCAATCAAACCTTTTCAAACAATCTTTCTCACAACAAATTGACACGTTCACAATCTCATCTAGCGTCATTTAACCCACTTGTCAAATTAGTATTCCAAACGCTAAGATGAACACAAAGAAGCACTTTGACATGTGGTTTTTCGTGAACTTACGTAGAGTGTGTATGTGTCTGAGTGACAAAAAGAGCAATCAGGAACACATTGAAGCCAAAAGACAGTATAAGAATGCTAGCAGCATTAGGACTGCCACATGTACAATAATGCTAGAGTCCCACTGTGGCGTAATAAAAGATGCACTTTGTACACGTGGGGAAAGATTGTGATCCGGAAAATTGATTCCAATGGGCGTAACGCGAACATGTCGAGATATCAATTTAACCGACATACTCGCAATTGATTATTTAAGCAACACGTAAATATCCTCGAGACCACTTGGACAGGTTCTTCTGTCATTTGCTACATTGATCCTCCATCACAGGCGTATACTTGACATCCTACTGGGAGGTAGGTGTTGTGTATTTCTTAGCTGGCCTGCGATGATCATCTTCACTCCCCTTTCAGAGCCATATCGTGTGGTTCCAAAAGGAAAAGGCAAAGGAAAGAAAGCTCAAAAAGGAGAAGTGGAACATGTGAAAGCTTTGGCATATTTGGCAGAAGTGGATGATATTCGAATTTTGATCGATTGTGGTGCACCAGAATCATTTCAATTCAACGAAAACGGAGGTGATCTAGACGACAAATTGCGAGAGATTGCGCCTACCATCGATTTGGTATTGCTATGTCATTCCAGTATGGCCCATCTGGGATTGTATGCATATGCAAAGGCTAGGTTCGGATTGACAGCACCATGTTATACTACTCTACCAGTTGCAACTATGGGTCGATTGACAGTTCTGGAATCGATACAATCTATACGTGCGGAGAACGATTTGGATCCATCCTCCAGCAAAACAACGGACGAAAATGAGCAGAGCCAGGAAGATACTGCTGAGCAGAAACCGCATTGGTGTATAGCGACTGCGGATGAGGTCAATGATGCATTCGAGCAGATCATCACTTTGCGCTACCTACAGCCTACTCATCTGGATGGTCGTTGTGCCGGTCTCACGCTCACTGCATATAGCGCTGGTCATACATTAGGAGGTGCCGTTTGGAAGTTACGCAGTCCTTCATCAGGAACACTATTGATCGCATTAGATTGGAATCACTTCAGAGAAAGGCATATAGACGGTACTGCTCTTGTTGCATCATCAGGAATGTCTGTCAGATCTGGTGATGGAGATGAAGATAGCTCTAATGCAATCGCTGATGCAATCCGAAGACCCGATTTGCTCATCACCTCTATGGCACGCTTCAACTACAAAAATACACAGCGGAGGAAACGAGATACGGCTCTTTTGGATATGATTCACAACACCATTCGTGCTGGCAATACGGTCTTGATCCCCGTCGATGCTGCCAGTAGATTGTTGGAACTTTTAGTCTTGCTCGATCAACATTGGGCATATGCATATCCACATGTACGCTTTCCGCTTTGTCTTGTCAGTCAAACCGGTCGAGAGATGTTAGAACGTGCAAGAACGTTGATGGAATGGATGACAGGCGAATGGGCAAGAAAAGGTCAAAATACGGCATCTGCGGAAGCAGGTGTGGAAGAAGAGGAAGGTGAGGCAAGAAAGAAGCCTCGAAACAATAGATCGAACAACGGTGCTCAGGCGCCTTCTTCGCCGTTAGACTTTAAGTTCTTGAGGATCTTCTCTTCTCTGCAAGCGATGGATGAAGCACTGTCCCCTTCTGATGCAAAAGTTGTCCTAGCATGGCCACCAAGCTTGACACATGGACCAGCTCGAAAATTGGTCGCTCGTGTGGCAGCTAGCGAGAAAGACGTGATTGTATTGACGGGTAAAGGCGAACCGAACTCGTTAACAAGACAAATCTATGATGAATGGGAGAAACGTCAAGATGCTACCGCTAAGCCAGGTTTGGGAAATCAAGGCGAACCCATCCAGGGAAACTGCAAATTGAAAATCGAGATTCATGATAAAGTTCCGCTACAAGGCGAAGAACTTGAAGCTCACAATGAGGCTATCAGAGCAGCCAACGAAAGAGCAGCTCAGCAAAGAGCACTTTTAGCCCGCTCAACCCGGCGAATTGAAGCTGACGATAACGTGTCGAATGGAGAAGGTTCGTCTGACGATGAGTCTGATGAAGAAGAGGAGGATATGCTAGAGGAAGCTACTGGAGAGGAAGCCAAGAATCGGGGGCAGGGTATGGAAGCAGATGAGGGTCAAGGAGGTCCGGAGATATCTTTCGATATCTATCTCAAAGGCAATGCGAGCAGAGCTAATAACTTTGTTGAATCATCAGGAGAAAGAACTGTTGGTCGCTATAAAACTGGTATTCGCTTCCGTACTTTCCCTGTAGTCGAGCGAAAAAAGCGAATTGATGGCTACGGGGAGACCTTAGATCTGAGACAGTGGCTTCACCGCAGAAAGCAATTGGAAGCACTGGGCGGAGAAGAGATCGAAGCCCAATCAGCAGAAGATCGTAGAGTGCAATTTCAAAAGCAACAAGCACAAAAAGCTGAAGAGGAAGAAAAGAAACGTAAAGAACGTGAACCTCCGACCAAATTTGTGGTAGAAAATGTTAATGTTCATCTGAAGTGTAAATTGCTCTTTGTCGAAATGGACGGACTTGGAGATAGTCAAGCATTACGAACAATCATTCCTCAATTGGAGCCTAGACGGGTAATCTTTGTGGAATCAAATAGTGCCGAACAACGTCAAGCATTGGAGGATGCGATGGGAAAGATCTTGAGAAGGACGGCGAAAGATATCTATATGCCCATAATGGGTGAAAAGATTGAAATCGGTGAATCCACAGCAAATTTCACAGTAAATCTGGGAGAGGATATTATGGGCTCTGTACGCTTCAGCTCATTCCAAGATTACGATGTGACCCTTTTGCGAGCAAAGGTCAATTTCCGAACTGAATCGTCAATTCCCATGCTAGAGCCAGTGCAAGCCGCAACAATAAAAGAGGAAGGGGATGAGAATGCAGACGTAAATGCTGAACCTCGTGATGATGTGATTGCACTTGATGATGAACAGGAGAACGAACGAGGAAACAGGAAAGAATTACAGCCAACAACGTTATTCATTGGTGATTTGAAACTATCATCGCTCAAACAAACACTTTCACGTACACAAAGACCTGCAATTCCATCTGAATTTATCGGTCAAGGTACACTTGTTTGTGGTGCTTCAGCTTTTAAAGCAAATGCAACCGAAGATGATGTAGTCACCGTTCGTAAGGAAAACCAAGGCGAAATTGTTATCGAAGGAAATGCAAGTAGAAACTTTTATAAAATCCGCGATGCAGTTTACGGTTTGCATGCACAAGTGACCGGACAATGAGTAGAATCATCTGTACAATTTGTATATTATCATTAACTGAAGCAATCTATTGAGTTTTGTGAAATCTAGATAAGCGTGGAGAACAATCAGACAGAGAGAGTAAACTGATCGATTGATGAACATCAAAAGAAAGAGAAATACATAGGTAAAATTATTATTTAAGTCATTATTAGTTACTCTAATATTAAACGTCTAGATACTTTATTTCCCGATTAAGTAGTATTGATAAAGTCACCTAAAACAATGGCGCCGGTACCTTGAATGTCGTCTTTGAAAGCACACACGTCTGGAACCCATCGATGTACGATGTATCCGAAATGAGCCGCCTCCTAGCCTAACACTTCCCAGTCATGTAACAAAGTCGCACGCTCTCACAACACTCAATCTCATTGCTGGTACAGTTACTCACTGTTTCAGTCATCACTTATTGGGTAGTTCATTCATTGGCATATAAATCAGTACAAAACGCCTTCGCAACTACCCGAGCAGACGTATCAAGAAAAAATGTGTATGTGGGTGCGAGATCAAAATGATGGCGATGAGAGAATTGCTCCACTCCACCTTTAGAAGCGCATAGCGTGAGGGCATTCTCCGTTGGACAGAGAGAAGGTGGCAGCCAAGTATTTAGCCAATGCGGGTCCTCCCTTCTTGATGGATTCGATGATGGACTTGTCGAGTGCCTTTTGGTCAGCAACCTTTGCTTCTGGGTGTGCGGCCTTGTTCTTTGGGTCAGCGAAGAAAGAGGCTTCTGGCTTGGGACCAGACAACTTTTCCTTGTTGAAGTAAGCATCGTTGAATTTAGCATCAACCTTGACACCTGAAACGTCCAATTTGGTGGATGTGGCGATGACGTAGGCTTGGTTGACGCGACGGATGGGGACACCGTTGACCTTGAATGGACCGGTGACGAGCAACAAACCTGAAGCGAGTTGTTTCAAGAAGACAACACGCTTTCCACGGAAACGACCGGCCAACAAGATCAAAACGGTACCGGGTGTGATAGTTGGACGAAGTTTTGCCTGACCAGGGGTCTTACGGCTCTTCTTTGGTACGGCAACATCTTCGGATGGGTAGAAACGTTGAGCCTTGACTGATGGCTTTGAACGTTTACCGCCTTTGATGTCAACAGAGACTGAAGAAGGTTGCTCTTGAGCCTTAGCAGGTCCTGTGGATTTACGAACACCCTTGTGCTTGTAAGAGCCCTTCTTGGTGTACACGGCTGTACGGCTCATGCTGCCAACGTTGGCGCTGGCTGGGTTGTTACGTCCTGTGGCAACCATGATGATAAATGTCGAAAAGAGGGACGATTGATTGATGACAGTCGCAATCGTAAAGAAAGAAAGAACAACGAAGCTTGATTCGAGAAGTACACAGACAAGTTTGGCTGCTCGATGTACGCTGCGTGCAGCACTACCTCCAGAAAGGCCGAATTTGTGCGTGTGAAGGCTTTACGTGAGTGAGTTTGTGTGCAGAACTGCATTTGCTAGACGCACTTTAACTCTGCGGCGCAAAAGTGGGTGCACGTGTTGGAGGTGTACATTTAACGAACTTTCGACATGCTTAGTAAGCCGGAAGTCGGAATAATCTGTGCTGATCTCGTGACTAACGTGCGGGGTCAATTTAGCGGAACTTACGCTATTAGTTACAGGGAAGATCCGCTTACACATATTAATACGTCTTTCGATCATCCTGCTCGTGAAAGCTGTAGGGATGGTTTGATTGTAAGGGGAGATGAGTTGTGAATAGATGGTCCCTATTTTAGCGTGCGATGAAAGCTATCAGACAGATAAGATGCTATCTATATTTAACCTATTATGGTATGAAAGCCATCTGTAGAATGACTCTTCTAAGATGCGGGGTGCATACAACCGTAGGACTTTATGTACTTCGTCATGTCTTATACTGAGATCGATATCATCAACCTTTATAAGTATGATCGAAAGACTTCTAATAAATCGATCATATGATTGATCGCTTAGAAAGCTTAAAGCTCTTAAGGTGTATGGATTCAATTCACTTATAGCACTCTGATCAATGATTTGTCTTTTGAGCCTGATTAAAGTCTTTAATTCAACAAATGAAGAAGAATGACTTGCCTTTTGTCGGGTAAAGCCGCTTGGATTAATTTTATCTCCACAATCAAGGCTGTACCTTGAATGAATGCATTTATATCTTACACCTATTCTATAACAGTGTTTATGAGCCCCAAAAGTGCTTAATACTCTTAACACTGGTTGGGGACCCAAATTGGCATATTAAGCGCGCTGTTTATTGTCTAGTGTATATTTTATAGGAAGCTCCATTCCGACTTTTAACAAAAGACGGAGAAAAATTAAAGACTGATTTAGTGCCTTTTTAAACCGATCCTTTTGGACATATGTTGGTATTGTCCGTGCGATCCCAACAGGGTATACCCTAAGAAGACAATCAAAGTTGATTATTCTTCATTTATATCAAAGGATTCCACTTCATCCTTCCCTACCAACACTACATCCCAAAACAAGTTAAAAAAGATCATAAAAGATCATCTTTCTTATTGGGCAACATCATTTAAACATCGAATCAACCACTTTTCCAACTTTACCACTTTTACCACCCCTACAAAATGACACCACCAGCTACCAACGGTACTTCTCGTCGTGAGAAACCTCCACAAGTGAGTGATTAAACCTTGAGAGTGGTTATAAACTGCCTCTTTTGAGCATTTTACTGATATTCTAACTCCACTTCAGACATTACCAGATGACAAGGCTTATGATGACTTTAAATCTAGCAGTTCAGTCCATTATAGTGCACAAGTAAGTCTTGCCAGTCAAATCTTTACCAATCTGTCTTGATGATTGACTCGTCTTTACCCCTCTCTTACTACAACCTAGGGCCACGGTGGTGGTTATGCCGCTCTACGAGACCATTTCTACAATCAAGGTAAGTTCTTTGGCAAATCTTTCCACTTTTGATGACATGCTTGGGATGTTCTGACTGGATCACAACGGCTATTCAAGCATCAACCTTAAGAACCGGCTAGAGCGGCTTTTTCATGTTGCTGTCAACCATTATCATCTTCCAACTTTGCTTGTCATTTTAAGCTGTTTCACGCTTTCACTTTGGGAGAATGAAAAAAAAAACGGCACTAGAAGACTGGTGGATTGGGTGGCGCTGTGGAGAAGTGTATTATTGTGCGCTATACGCGCTTGAAGCTTATGACTCGTGTGTTTCGCGTACATACTCTGCTCTTTTGCCTTGAACGGGAAGTAGGACCCTTGATAAGATTATCGAGGTATGTCGTCCTGTTTATTCCGTTAGCCTGTGCGAAAGAGAGAAGACGAGAAGATTGTTGACAAGAACCAGAAGAAGAATGGTTGGGGCAAACATTGTTCTCTTCTCTCATTCATCATCATCATACATACCCATACAGACAATGTCTCTCTTACCTGGGAGATGTCAGATCCTACTGAAATCTCCTTCTAGGCTACCGCTTACTCGTTCAACAGCGTGTTCCTCATCCTCACCATCTCGTATTGCCTCCTCTTCTCGATCCCATATCCAATCTCGTAATGTCGCATCACTAACCGATTCACTCCCTCTTCCTGAACATTCAACCACTGCTATCGACCCATTCACTTGGAAAGATACCGCTTTTGGAGATGAAAAACGTTCAACTTTGGGTCTTCGAGGTCTTTTACCTCCAACCCATCAAAGCTTAGCAACACAAGTTCAGCGAACATTGCATCAATTGCGTTCCAAAAAGACTGATTTGGGCAAGTACATCTTCCTCACTTCACTACGTCAAACCAACGTTCGTCTATTCTATGCAACAATTATGCAAAATGCGGAAGAGTGTCTGCCTCTAATCTATACACCCGTTGTGGGAGAAGCTTGCCAAAAATTTTCACGCATTTATCGTCGTCCTGAAGGTTTGACAATCTCTCTCGAGGACAAGGGCAAAGTAGCAGAAGTGATTGATAACTGGCCAGTGCCAGCAGGTGCTCCTCGTATTGCCGTTTTGACAGATGGTAGTCGTATTTTGGGTTTGGGTGATCAAGGATGGGATGGTTTGGGAATTTCGATCGGTAAATTGAGCTTGTATGTGGCAGCAGCTGGTATCCACCCTCGTGCAACGGTCCCAATCTGTGTGGACTTGGGTACCGATAACAAGGAAAAGCTTGAAGATCCTCTCTACCTCGGTCTTCGCCGTGAACGTGCCGGTGATGATGAATATCATCCATTCATGGATGAAGTCATGGATGCTCTCAATAAGAAGTATCCCAACTTGATCGTACAATTCGAAGATTTCAGCACAGAACGTGCATTCCACTTCCTCGAACGCTATCAAAAGACACACCGTGTATTCAACGATGATATTCAAGGTACCGGTGCTGTTGTCTTGGGTGGATTTGTCAATGCAGCTCGTTTGAGCAGTAAAGCTTCTGGACGCCCATTGCACGATCAACGCATCTTGTTCTTCGGTGCCGGAAGTGCAGGTGTTGGTGTTGCAACCCAACTCAAGAGCTTCTTCACCCGTCAAGGCTTGAGCGATGATGAAGCTCGTGAACGTATTTGGCTTTGCGATTCGAAGGGTTTGGTAACCAAGGATCGTGGAGACAAGCTGCCCGAGCACAAGATTCACTTTGCCCGTGAAGACAATGAAGGCAAGCAATGCAAGTCGTTGATTGAAGCTGTTGATTATATCAAGCCAACTGCAATTATTGGTTTGAGCACCGTTCCAGACACGTTTACGGAAGAAGTCTTGGGCCGTATGGCAGAGTTGAACAAACGCCCAATCATCTTCCCTCTCAGTAACCCTAGCCATCTATCCGAATGTAACTTCGAGACCGCCATCAAGGCAACAAAGGGTACTGCAATCTTTGCATCAGGAAGTCCTTTCCCTGAACTTGACTACGAAGGAAAGCACTACATTCCTGGACAAGGCAATAACGTGAGTTGTCCCACTTGTTCTTTCTTCCTTTCTCATCTGACTAATTTTCTTCTACTCTAATTACAGCTTTACGTATTCCCCGGTATCGGTCTTGCAGGTGAGAATGCTCTATGATAATGTCCTTTGAGAACGGCAGCTTACTAATTCTGATATCTTCTCCCCACAGGTGCATTGAGTAAATGCGGACATATCAGCGATGAAATGATTACCGAATCTGCTTTGGCTTTAGCAGACAGTGTGAATGACGAAGAAAAGGCGGAAGGTCGAATTTATCCTTCGCTCAAGAGAATGCGTGATATCTCAAGAGATGTTTCCGTTCGAGTTATTCAAATGGCCAACAAGCAAGGCTTCACCCGTGATAATGGATATACAAAGGGCATGGATGATGAAGAATTGAAGCATTGGGTCGAGGGTGAGATGTGGCAACCAACTTACGAATCTTTCGCTGCTTAGGCTCCATTGATAAATTCATACTCTTGATTGTGATACCTTTAACATCACCTACCCAGTAACGACTGGAGAAACCAAAAAGTTACCCGTGTACAGCACGTCTTCTTGCATATAATGTCACCTCAGCTTTGTTACCAATGTGATATCTAGTTTCATATAACCGTTGGAAAGTGGTAGTTTTACTGTTATATTTTGCTACTTGATGGTATACTGAAAGTGAGAAGTGAGGATTGACCATGGAGGATAGCATGATTGCAGCAAATTCAATCGCGTCACGTGTACTCCACGCCCAGGATTTTTTTTGAGAATTTTGGAAGACAAGGCAACGCGCAGAAATAGTGCCTAAAGTTATAACACTTCCTTCTCCTTTGCTTACAATCATACATTCACACTTCAAGTCATGTCTGATCCTTTCTTTCAAAAAAAGAGAAAGAGGACAGATTCTGCCGGTAAAAGTGAAGGTGGAAGAGGTGGAAGGGGAGGTGGGAAATTCGGAACAGGAAGAGGTGGTGGAAGAGGAGGTGGCAATGCAGATAGAAGCAAACAACCTAGAGCAGGTGCTGCTGGACCTTCCCGATTACGAATGAGAGAAAAAGCGGGCAAAGGAAGAGGTGGAGATGACGATGATGATGAAAATTTACCTCGAATGAACGGTAGAGCCGATGCAAGTGATGATGACGCTGATAGCGGGGATGAAGGAGGAATCGAAGCAATGGATCTCGCTCATAAATATGAAGAAGATTTAGAAGCTTCAGATGAAGATGCGATCGATGAAACACCTGCAGAAGCCCGTGTACGGTTAGCAAAGATGTATTTGGACAGTTTACGAGCTTATCAAGATGAAGATGGGCTGGGAGCAGGCGAGATCAATGCAGCTGATGTGGACCGAGAAAATATTTCTGCTAGACTTCAACGTGATGCAGCAAGTCATTCAACGCATATGCACGATTTGATCGCTGATCGGATACGGCTGCCACCCAAAGGTGATACAACGCATATCCTTGCTTGTCGTGGACATAGACTTTCGGTCACTTCTGCTTCCGTCTCGCATGATTGTACTTCTATATGGACAGCAGGTAAAGATGGACGAATCATTCGTTGGAGATTACGTGATGGAAAGATGGTGGAAATGATAAGTAGAGCATCTACCAGTGCGGAAACAATCAACGGAAATGGCTTTGCTGTTAATGGTGCTCGGAAAAATGGAAACGGCAAACAGTCTGGAAGTAGTGGTGCGGCTAGAAGGAGAGCACGAGCACAGGCGGCAGCAGCAGCAGAGCAAGATAACGGACAAAACGAGAATGATGCAAGGGAAAACGGCAAAGAGCATTGTCGTCTTGTTGTCCCTGCAGCTGGTTCTGGACATACAGACGAGATCTGGTCTCTCACATCAAGTCAAGATGGAAAGTTTCTCGCAACGGGCGGGAAGGATAGGCGGATATGCATTTGGGCGACAAAATCGATTGAAAAGTCATCAAAGGACGAACTCACATCATTTGTCAAATCTCTAGGAGGTCACAGAGATAGCATCACAGCTTTGCGATTCCGACATGGGACCTATGATCTATTCAGTGCTTCTTTTGACAGGACGTTGAAGCTTTTCGATATTTCTCAACTATCTTACGTCGAGACATTCTTCGGGCATCAGGAAGAGATCCCTTCGCTAGATATTCTGCGTGGCGAGGTAGCCGTCTCGGCCGGTGCCCGGGATCGAACTTGTCGTTGGTGGAAGGTCCGCGATGAGAGTCAATTGGTATTCCGTGGTGGTGCAAAGTCTAGAATGAGAGACGTTTTGGAAGGAGGAGATATTATGGAAGAAGAACAGGAAGAAGGAGGTCCAATTGCTAGATCTGAACGCAAGCAATTGATCGAAGGAAGCATTGATGCCGTTGCAATGATTGATGAGCACACTTTCTTGAGCGGTGGTGATACTGGTACGATCTCTTTATGGTCGTTGGCTAAAAAGAAGCCGGTGTTCACCTTTTCGGCTGCACATGGCTTCGAACAAGGTCCTGAAGGCACTGAGCAACAACCAAGGTGGATCACATCTCTGACTTGTTTGCCATATGGAGACGTGTTTGCTTCCGGATCGTGGGACGGGTCTATTCGTTTGTGGAAGCTATCACCCACGCTCAAATCATTCTCTGCACTTGTCGAAGTTCCCGCACTGGGATTCGTTAACTCTTTGCAACTTATGCATCCCAATAAATCCATCATGAAGAAAAGAGGCGGAAGCGTGATTGAGCCTGATCAGTGGAGAAGGCATGGAGGACTGCAAGGCGGAGCCAAAAAGGTATTTAGCGATGCGGAAGGTGGTGCTAGCGAGGCGAATAGCGAAGGAGAGGAAGAAGCTGCTCCGATCCCCAGCAAGGATGGTTCTACAGAACCTCCTCTCATCTTGATTGCAGCTTTGGGACAAGAGCCAACTCGCGGTCGTTGGCAAAAGCTTAAAGAAGCCAGGAATGGTACCTTGGTCGTTCCATTTTCTGTTGGTTCGTTATGATTCGACAACACTAGTACCCAAACTTCAATTTACATGTACAATTTCATCCCATTGCAATCATAATATAAAAAGCGAGCATATCCTGCATATATACGTGTGTGTGCGCGTATCCCATTTCGTGTGAACCCAATCCAGATTAATCGGCCAAACCCTGCCATCAGAATGGCAATTCAGGTAAACTGAACAAACCATCCGAACCTCTTTCCAATCGATATTCTTCGGCAAAATCTTTTGATGGATCCAAAGTACCATAAATATGACCAAATTCCGTTCCTGCAGCAGGTTCGAATTTTAATCGATTTTGCGCATCAACGATGTTCGTTCGGGGTAGGGCCAATAGGTAGAGTGTATCGCCAACATCGGATGATGCAGAAAAGAATCTTTCTAGTGTACCGGCTGTTTGATGAGATGTTGATAGATGGATAAAGCCGTCTTTTTGCTGAAAGAGAGGAAAGCAGAGTCAAACATTGATTTGCCTTCTCCTGTTCCTGGCATTGCATATACTCACATCAAATTCTGTTCCTTTCCATTCATTTTGCGGAAGTGATTCTTTCTCAGAAGGTGTCAATATTTTATACAATATTGTACATGTTCTTGGATCAGGAGGTGATTGTTGCGCCATAATTGTACGTAAAGGTTGATGATGTTGACAAACGAAGAAGATGCTTTGTACGGCAAACAGGCTATTTGAATGTACCGAGTGAATGAAATGAATGCATGTAATGTACTTTAACAGGGAGATGCAACTCTGAACCCGAAAAGTTTACTCCCTTGTGTGTGTGTTCCTAGTTTATATGTTCTCAGGAGAAGAGTTGATTTGATTAGCGTGTCTTTGTTTTATTTTTAGCGCTAAAGAAGAAATAGGAAGAGATGTGAATTATATAAGCAAGCACCCTAAGAGCAAACGTGATAGGCTTAAAAAGGGAAGCGCGTTCTCCAATTCAGAAGGGAACAATGATACTCTTGTGTGTATGCATGAGACGCACAGATGATTGAAAGAAGAAAGGGGATCATCATCATCAATACCAACTCTACAACCTCTTTGACAAACAGATGATATAGTACAAAGATGCGGATAATAGCCATTCCATTAGCAAGGGCAAGAGCAGGTGTAACACCCGTTTCCACCTTTTTAGCACAAAAGACGCCGATCAAACCTTCATTCACTTCTCACAAATTAGCCGAAGCAGAAAAGACAAAGAGTAAAGCATCATCATCCTCAATAAAAGATGCAGCGAAACCAAGCGAAGAAGCTAAGGAACCTTTATCCAAAAGAATCATGTCAAAAGCTTCTGCTTTTTGGGTTGACTTAGGAAGAGAAGATCAAAAGTCCACTTTTGATTGGAAGAGACGGACGTATACGCTTGGTGAAAAATTGATGGATCAAATCGAATACGAAGAATGGGCTTTGAAAGGCGTTGATCCTTCGATAGGGCCTACTCTGACACATCCAAAAAGCGCTCAAAAGGATAATGCTACAGAATCATCAGCTGAATCTTCAGGACAACCCATAGCCTCCAGATCGACCCCTAAAAATGTGAGCATGAATGCGAGCATAGAGTGGATCATAGTATCGCTAACACATTCTCATCCAAATCACAGGTTTCGCTCCTCTTCCCTCCATCCCTGCTCTCCGGAAATACTCTTCTAAGCTCGCTAACAAAGATGACCGCATCTCGGCAACCTCATCATCGGCAAAGGATGATATGGTGTATCCTTGGAATGCCGCTCACAATCCCATTTATCGTTATCCCGGTCATTCCAAATTTGCCGTTCTTCTATCTTGTTTGGAGAGCATGGTCGCATTGGCGAGCGTTCCAATCGTCCAAATACCTTTCCGACTTAATTCAACAAGGTCGTTTGATCCCTACACCATCGGAAGATTTAGATCAAATTCTGTCCAAACCTCCTTCACCGGAAGAAAGGCCACCTGCATCTACCGCCATAACGGAAGAAAAACCACAAGATGGACAACAACCTCAAGTGTCCAAAATAGAATTGGATTCATTAATGATTTTACAGCCTTTTCATATCAAAAGGTTATCGGAATCGTTCAAGATGGATCGACAGCTTTCCGTAGACTTACATCGAGCTCGTCAACAAACAATCAAAGCCATCAAATCCGGTCGTCTTGGCAAATTAGAAGCTGCAGCCAAAGATGGAGCCGGTCATGACAAGAAGGCATAATGCTTACTTCTTAAACTTGTACGCAATCAGCATAGACACACCACCAAATGCAACTTTTCAAACACTTCATTTCTTGTTTTACGGTACTTTTACACTTTCTCGGATGGATTATTGAATAATATACAAATGTAACGGATCTTGTTTTGAATCTTTTAGGGTAATTGTGTCTCCAAATGAATCATGGAGCGGTAATTATTATCTCGTGCCACATGGAAGTAACGATCGATACCACCACAGCTTTGCGATAATTGTGAGAGAAATTTGGTATCATGTGTGATGATGATGAGTTGGAAATTGCTTTGTCTGCGACGTTCGTCGATCAGAGTACCCAAGCTTTCAGCAAGTGCCATGATGTTATGTTCGTCCAAATTGGTAGTCGGTTCATCCAAAGCCATAATACCGCAATTCTCTGAGAATGAATCTGCCAAAGCCAATCGAATCAAGATCGACGCCAAACACTTCTGTCCAGCACTGCAACGACCTCGCATATCCATCTCAACTGAATCTTTCACCATGACCACACGATAATTGTATGTTCGATTGCCTGTACCTTCTCCGTCAGCTTTGATCATGATCGTGTCAATATCTGTTCCTTTGTATGTCTTGCCCCACAGATTGTTCAACGTTTCATTAATCTCTTCCATTTTGATAGAATGGAAGCGCATGATTGCTGCATTCAAGGCTTTCTGGTACAATTCTAAGTCGTTTTGACCTAATTCGGAAGTTTTCACATCGATCAACTTCTTTGTGAACGTCTCATGGACGTTTTTGTAATCCTCACGCAATTCACGTTCTCGTGCTTGGATTTGGGCCTTGAGCGAAGATGTTTCACCATTCAAGTGAGCTGCTTTACCGTTCAAGTCATTCTCCGTTCGTTTGGAGTCATTATACTTGGTATCCCAATTTTGTCTGGCTTGTAAAGCTTCCTCCAAATCAATCTTCTTCAGATCATCATCGATTTGCTTGACCTCACGACTTAATTCGAGGAAGCGCAAATTATCAGAAATATTACGCTCAGTTGCTCGACTTTCGTTCAAGTCTTTCTCGATGCTATCGACGTCTTGTTGTACTTTGTCAATACTCTCTTGAGCTTCCCGCGATTCACGCTTCAAGCGTTCGATAGATTCTTGACATTCTTTCAGCTTTTGAGGACCACGCTGAGAGATAAACAATTCCGCCGCAGTGTTTGACTCTTGCAATTGACGTACATGTCCGCTCACATCAGAGATCTTGGCTTGAGCAGCTTGGTGCTTGCGTGATGACTCGGCCTTCAAGCGGTCCAATTCTTCGCCCATAGAACGAATCGGCTCATTGGATTTTTCGATATCTGCTTCGATACGCTTCAATTTTTCGCCTTGTTCGCTCGATTCAGTTTTCAACTCTTCTAATCGAGTCTCTTGTGCCAACATCTTTTCGTGATCTTGCATCTTTTGTGCTACAGCCATCTCTGCTTTGTGCACGGTGCGTTCTTGATTAGAAATTGTCACGCGAAGAGACTCTTTCTCTTGTTGCAACGTTTGCAATTCTCGCTTCACACGTTTGATCTTGTCTGTCAAACTGTCAATCTCCTCTTGCACTTGATCACCTGTTCGAACAGATCCGGTACTGCGAAGATCACGTTCAATCGCTTCCGCATCTTTCTCGGATTGTGCTTGTTCAGCTGCAAGTCGGGTAATATCGCTTGCTACACGACGAAGGTTTGCCAGATCTCTCAAAGCAGATTTGCAATTTTCAACTTTGGCCAAACTACCATCTACTTCTTCTTGCATGGTACGCATCTTTTCTTGCGCTTCTGTGATCTCTTTTTCATGCTTTGCGATCTCTTCATCTCGCAATTGTTCCAAGCGGGCAAGACTGGGTTTCAACTCCAGGAATTTCTGTTGTTGTTCTTCCCAACTCTCCAAATCGTCTCGATAGCTTTGTAATTTGGCCGGTTGAGATTTTTGGAACAAATCAGCAATGTGGGCCTCGATGATGGGCATCTCATCGTGATTGATACCACGATTACAACCAAAACAAGTCTTTTTATCTTTCACTGATGAACTAAGATTCTTGAGAAAGGTTGACATGGATTCAAATATGGAGATATGTTCTTTTGAATAATCGATTTCTACTTGACATTGCTTCAATGCTTCGTCCAAGGTTGAATATTCTCCTTCAAGGGCTCGATTGATTTGTTCTTCGATCGACTTGGCTTGCTGTTGCTTCTCCTTCAATTGAGTACGCGCAAATGCCAGATTGGATTCGACCTGCTGATGACGTCGAGTGACTTCTTGGGATTCAGCCTCGTACAGCGCATTCTCTTCTTCCTTTTCTGAGATGGCTTTCAAAACGTCTTCTTCCACTTTCTCTGCAGAAGAAGGTCCACCGACATACTTTGTGAGCATGTCAACATTGCGAGAGAGGAGAGATTCAATGCTGGCCTTTTTCTGCTCAGCCGCTTTCTCGTTCATATCGAATTTGGCTCGGAAATCTGCCTGACGATTAAGAGTATTCAACTCGGTTGTCAACGTCTCACGACGATCATCCATCTCGCGAATTTCGGAATTCTTCTCTGCGATCTTCGCATCATGTCTAGCTTCCATCTGTTCTTTGCTCAATTCTTCCAAACGAGCCTTTTGGGATGTGTGCTCCTTCTTTGCTGCGTCGATGTCGATTTGAGCAGAAGGCGTACTTTCGATCTCGTTTTGCATCTTTTTGATCTTATCACGAAGCTTCTTCATGTCTTCCGTCAATGTTGATCGACTTGATTCTTTGGCACGTAACATCCCACGCAAATCTTGGTAGCGTCTACTCAAATCATCTTCTTTTGAGCTGTCTTCCGATTTCACCTGTTCAAAATCTCGCTTCAATCGACGGAGATCATCTTCAACTTGCTCTGAGAATTCTTGAATGCTTTCGTCCGTCAGAGATTCGGCATCATAGCCACGCATACCCAATTGCGTACTGATCTGTTGAATTGTCTCTTGTCTCGAGCGCACTGCCCGTTCGTGATGCTTCTTTTCACTTTCAAGCGCACCTTTTTCGCTAAGACGCTTACTGTATGATCGATCCACATCAGCAAGGTCGCTTTTCTTGGATGCAATTTGGCGCTTGAGTTCATCTTGCTTTCGCTTTAAATCTTCCAGGTGGCTCTTGAAACCGTTCTTTCGACGTTCCAATTCCGACTCGTCTTCGTGCAACTCAGTCATTGCATCTTTCAAGGCTTTCAAATTGCCCTCTCTGATCTGTTTGCGTTCTTCCAAACTCTCCGCTTGAACGACTGTCTCACGGAATTTGACCGCCTTGTCATACAGCTCCTTGTTATACAGCGTCAGCTCTTCAATTTCAACATTCAATGCTTCCAAGCGATCTTCTTTGTCCAGCAATTCGGCTTCCATCTTTTTGATTTTGTCCTTAACCGCATCAGCTCGTTGTCTGTCCACTTTGAGACCTTCCAATTCTGCTTTGCCCACTTTGAGAGAAATACCGCGCTCCTTGCGAAGAGCCTTAATATTATCTAGAGCTTTGGTGTATCTTGTTGCCTCAAAAATATCGTCGAAACGCTTCTTTAAACTCGATGGCTCTCCGAGAGGCCAATTATTGTCTTCTTGATGACAAAAGATCACATTATCCAAAATGGCTCTTGAGACACCCAAGCTTGCAGGTACTTCCTCATCAACTTCAGCGCATTTAGTCGACAATGTCGTACGACGATTTTCACCTCGTTGAGTGTCTTCAGTCTGCAAAATCGCTTCAAGCGTTTTCATTGTCAGGCCACCGCCTTTCTTTCTCGTCACCTGCAGATTGCGAATGCAATTGATGCGAACCTTATTTGTATTGTAGAATCGCAAACGGATTTGTGCCTTTACCTCATTCGCTGTGGCCATCTGTAGCAATCAGGGAGTGAAGGATCGTTTCGGAACGTCAGTATATGCGCTCAATTGATCAGTCATGACAGCGTACTCACCCCAGGATCATGCACAAAGGCACCACCTTTTGAGTTGGGTGGTAAATCACCCGTAGTACAGTATTTGAGGCATTCGATGATGGTCTGTGATAGGTAAAAAGGACGCATATATTGCCATTCTTGTCAGTCCAATCAACTCAAAGATAGACATGCAGTTCGTCAACGTACAGTTTTACCGCTACCATTTGTTCCTACGATCACAGTCAATGGCGAGAAGAATTGAATAGCGTTGATTCTCTTTTCGTCAAATGATCGTACGCCACGAATGGCCATACCTGATGAATTAAAGGAAAGAACATGTCAGGGAGGTTCATCATATCTCCAAACAACATCATTAATCACTCACGATCAAGTGAAGCCATCTTTGACCTCAAATTCTCATGGGAAGAGAAGATGGAAGAACAACACAAGCTTTGATTAGATTATTTCTGCTGAGTCTAAATGCATGCAAACGCGCTCACGCGTCTCCACTTTAAACATTCATTCTTCTAATTCATAAAGACCAACCAATTATCATCTTCTACTTCACTATTCATTGCAATCGCATTTCTACAACATCACTACAAAGCATGACAAACGTTTCCAAATACTCCATTGGAGATACAGCCTTTTCTTCCAATAAAATAGCGATACTCGTTGCTGTTTGACATGGATGAAGATAGGCACAGCCATGTCCATTTGCAGGATTTTCTCCGATACTGATAATTGGAAAGGTTGCGTTCGATGCATCCTGATCGTGTGTATTGGGCTGAATGTGAAAGATTGTCGATCGAAGCAGATCGTTGACTGGTACAATTGAACCATCATTTTTGCTTGCTTCTATGTACATCACCGGAACATTCCAAGTCGATGAGAAGACGATGGTTTGATGTACATGTAAGATTGTTGCTGCTAGTGGCCCTATCTTGGTACCTGCGTCAAAATCTTCAGCAATTGATAATTCATCAAGCGTATCGTCCTCTGGATGATCGGAAGGCAGTCTCACACCTGTTACGATGCCAGCCCTGGCCATGTGTTGCGTGAAAGGTGGGAATTTGCCCTGTTTCCATTGCCATCCTCGAGAGTACAGGTGTTTGCCGACGTTATCGTAGTCAGAATCGGATTGGAAGTGTGAATTTGCCTCAATGTATGCTATTGCTCCTTCTGCAAACTTGTCTCTGCTAAGATGACTCTTTGCAGTACCATCGTCTGTGCCCGCTTCATCTTGTTCCGCCATATGAGTCCAGCTCCGACAAGCAATCAGACGACCTCCTTGATACTACCAATCGTGATGATGTCCATCCCCACCTTTGAAAGGTAATGGTGGTTTGTAGTGATGTGTTTCACAGCATAGGCCCACAAGGATTAGCGTATGATAATGAAATTAATCGGCCAATGAATCAAACTCCGGGACAAAATAAGCAGCGCTAAAAGTAATCCGCTAAAAGGCCGAAAGACGCCAATCAATAAAGTGTAAATGTCAATTGAATGGCAGGAGAGCACAATGGCTGCACTTCCCCACTAAATTGTGACTTGCAGAATTTAAACTGTTCAAGGCACTTAATCTGCGTACACTCTTCACGCACGCACGCACGACCTATCAGCCTGAATATGTTCCTGATTCGGGTAAAGTGTTCCTTTAAGAGATAGAGAGGATTGCGTGATCTGATAGAAGTCTCTTCTCTTCTTGACCACGATCTCAATTGTCTCATCTTCTTTTGCGGACACCGCAACTTTTCCGTCGGAAAAAGGAGGCATTTCATTTGTTCAATTTTTGCCGTACGCCCTTTTGTCTGCGGGGTGGGGTAACGCCGTTCAAAGAAAATCACACAAGAAGCTTGCCTTTTTATGGCTCCGACGAGAACCGACAAAGGGAGTTAAATTCACTGCACTTCATATCGTATCTTTTATCATTAACGCTCATCTCCTCGCACTCAAGCGACATTCGTTAACTTTCTGATCTTCTTCACTATACACCAACACTGATAACGGAATGCGTGCATCCTGATTCATTGATAAGGCAGGAAAGCTTACAAGACGGACTGTGATTGAAACAAGACTGGCAGCATTGCATTCATCTCAAACTTTTTCATCTAATCTTCATCATGCCGCCAACGAAGAGACAATTGTCTTCCTATTCAAAGGATGGATCGCCTATATCTCCTACTGACATCAAAGGATCTCAATTTGAAGATGATAACGGCTTTGGATCGACAAAAGGTGATGTGAAGCCACAAAAAGCATGCGTACAATGTAGAAGGTCAAAAGTCAAATGTGTACATGAAGGAGGTCCGCCTTGTCGAAGGTGCACGGACACAAAGCAAGAATGCAAATTTCGATTACGGGCAGATGACGAGACATGGAGAGAAAGAACAGATGAAAGATTGGACAAGCTCACAATGGCCGTTGAGACCCACATCCTGAGAAGTGCGTCATCTGCGCCCCAACAGCCGGCGCCGTCTAATCGTCCGATCTTGCCAGTGAGGAATGCATCTGCACCTGGCTTTTATACCCACCATCATCCATTCTCTCCAGGTCACCATCCTCCCCCTCTATCAACTTTTGGCACTGCGATGCCTTCACCTCACCTTCCAAATCGTTTTGCCACCATGAATGGCTTACCTCCTCTCAATTCTCCTCATTCTGATCCTCCCGTTCACATTTTGAATTCTCCCAATCATGATCTCAATGGATCACATGATGCACCGTCTCCAGGATACAATCGTAGGCTCTTGCCAAGAAAGCGTGAATCGTCTTCTTTTGATGTAGAAGCTCATCATCATCCATCACCACAAACTCCCTCTCAATCGGGCAGAGTTCGCAGTAATAGCACACAACGTATGCCACCGCCTTTGCCACCGATGACCATGAACGCTGACCAATGGGTGCCTCCTCCCATGCTTTCTCAATTGGCGTATAGACGTTCACCTGTTTATATTCCTGACTTGTTCGCTACACCAAGATGGACGTCAGCACAGCCGAAAAATTATTCCAAAGCCACATCAACGATAGGTGCTTCAGATCCTCGTTTTTCGGTGATTAGGATGGGATTGATTACGATGGACAAAGCCAAATCTTTATTCATCTCTTTTGCGGACAAGCTCCAACCGCATTCTTTTGGTTTTCCTACTTATCCAGCATCAGAGGCTATGACACCGGTCATCATTGCGGCCATCTTGACTGTTTCATCTCTTTTTGAACCTTCTTCACGGCTTTTGCATGACTCTCTTCGCAAGACATTCTTTAATGAGTACGTAAAATTGGAACAAGAGGTACACTTGGATACACCGCTTGATCCCGAATTGGGCATCGGTGTCGAAGAAATCACTGGAGGATGCATTGCATCTGCTTGGCTTGGTGGCGAGCTTGGATGGAAAACGGCAAGAATGACGAGATGGTGGGCGATCGGTTATCTGAAACATTTTGAGATTGCTGAACGTAATGTTACGATCGGAGAACGTTTTGATATGCTTCCACCATTTCGTCAAATCGATTATGTGGACAAATTACGAATCTTTTTGGCTGCTTATGTAGCAGAAGCGCAACAATCGTTCATGTTAGACCGTCCAACTTTGATTCCAGATGCAAGTCCAACGGCATACGTTGATGCATTGCGAAATGCACTCAATGATTACGTACCCGCTTCACCGGCCAGTGCTAACGGAATGGATACTCGCGGTAGTATGACAGGTGGATCGCAAAAAGATATACATACCCCGGATCGTCAATTGACTGGTCATGCCAGCATTCTATATATCCTGTTGGAAGCTCAAAGGTTACAGCGAGAAACACGATGGGCAATCTCAGCAGAAGAAAGTCGTTTAGCAACTTATGGGCATAGTCCAAATGGTGTCGCGGTGAATTATGCAACCGTGAACGAATGTGTTGATCGAATGATTCATATCTGGACTAGTTGGATGGAGCAAACGGAACACTGGTACAAGGAGGCTGCCAAGTTGGAAGGTGAGTATGGGAAAAGTAACCTCTTGAAGTTAGATGATTTACTGATATTGACAATCTTTTCTTAGACTTGTCATCCAATACTGCATCAGCGTTGGATTTGTCATTGACGCATCGTCTCGTCAACGCATATCTTGGCTCATTGGCATACAATCCAGAATATCATGCCAATGCGGCAGTCGCACGTGCGGCATCAAAAGATCCTCGATTGCTTCACGTCCAAACGAGAATGATCAAGATGGCAATGGTCGAAGCATTTGAGGCATTGGAATCAATCATCATGAAATCGAGATTTCGTGATCGATTGATCTATTTGCCAAATTTTTATCATTTCTTACTCGTTAATTCAGCTAGCTTTCTCTTACACGTACTTCACGATAAGAGTCTCTTTTTGAGAGAAGGAAAAGCAAAATGTGAGTATGATGTGTGTTAGATTGTGAAAAAGATTTAGCTTACTGATTCGCATCTCTGTCCGTACAGCCATCCTTGAAATGGTCGAACAATTTACGCAATTCTATGTTTCTGAATTGACCAACCTGAACCTCGATTCAACTCCAGGTTCTAGCGGACACTCATCAATGACAAGTGCACAAGCATTAGCTCGTGCTTGTCACGATTTCAAATCTCAAATTGTAACACCCTGAAACTTTTTCAAACACAAAAAGCTTCGTTTTCTTCACACATTCTCCTCCCTCTTAACCGTTTGTATCATATCGTGTAATATCAAAATTTCATCATTTCTGTACAGTTATCCTACAAAGATTGAATGTACATTTCTATTAGCTTTTCTAGCAATCATTTTTCAATTCGTGCAGAAACAAGTCAGAGTATGAGTCAAATGCGAGCAAGCTGTGTGCTTTGTACTGCTGTGCTTACTGCTTTGGCTTTTGGTGATGAGCATTGTCAGGCAGCATCACTCAAGGAGCAGGATTGGGTGGTGGTGCAGTATCACCTTTGTTGTAAACGCTCTCATAAGATGATCGGGCTGGTTTAGGGTGAATGCCTCCGTTGAAGAAAGCACCTTCGACACGATGATAAGCGTTCAAGTTCTTGTGAGCAGTGATTTGGAATGCACTTGATCCTCCTTCCCGTGCAACAATCACAGAAGAAGCCAAGAAGAATGTCCAAATACGACAAAGACGTTCACCGTATTTTGCTTTCATTGCATCGTAATTTCTGGCAAAGTTGTGCATCCAACGTTCCAAGGTGGCAGAGTAATGCACACCAATCACATCAGCAGATCGTACCTCAAATCCGGCAGCTTCCAATTTGTTAATCACCCAACCTAAAGTGCATGATGCATCAGCACCACGGAAGATGTACTTGTTCATGAACAATCCCCAAATCAAATCCCAGAATTGCCAATTTGGTCGTAGTCCGGCAACTTGCAATACAAATGTACCTTCATCATTCAAACGTTCATGAATATCAGCCAAGAAGCGAGAGTAGTGACGAATACCAACGTGTTCTGCCATTTCCAGACTGACGATTTTATCGTAATGTCCTTTGTCAACGGGAATATCACGGTAGTCCATGCACAAGATTCTTGCTTGTTCTTTTGTTAATCCGTTCAATTCAATACGCTTGTTACCAAACTTGGTTTGTTCACGAGCCAATGTTACACCAGTGGCATCAACGCCGAAGTTCTTTGCAGCAAATGCAGTCAAGGTTCCCCAACCGCATCCAATGTCCAATAGCTTTTCTCCAGGTTTTAGGCCCAATTTTGTGCAGACGGTAGCCAATTTGTTATCTTGCATTTCCTCAAGAGTTTCACGTTTGGTGGGGTCGCTTAACATACCAGATGTGTAGATCATTTGGGGACCCAAAAATGATTCGTAGAAATCGTTACCCCGGTCATAATGATCACGTACCATATCTTCATCAGCTTTGGCAGAGTGCGTTAAAACATCAGGAATCAATACAGTCAAAACGAATTTGAACAATTCGGGTGTCATATGCATATCAGCCCAGTCGAGACGGTGTTCCAAAACATTCAACATGTCGCCTTTGATATCAATCTTGCCGTCAAAGTATGCTTCATAGAATACTTCCATTGGGATTTTACGTTTGCCATACTTTTCGCGTAATTTTGCATCGTTGAAGGTCAAATATGTTTCGATTGGCTTGCCGGGTAGAGTAATGCGTTCATCTTTTCGTGGACCATACATACTGCATACGGTCCAGTATCCAATGGTGATTGGGACTCCCAAAATTGCAACGAGGAAGAAGTAACCGAGCCAGGAGAACCAGCTTGCTTTTACGAATGGAATGACACGCAACAAGACTGCAGGAAGGAACAAAACCAAACCTGCCAAATGCAAGTTGTTGAAATATCCGTTACCTTCAGCAGGAAGAGGAGCATTGGCGATTGAGGGATAATTTGTCAATCGCACCTTTCCTCCGGGTGCGACACCGGCATGAGACATTTCACGAGGTGGATAGCCCGGTAAAGAGGAAGCAGCCCGTTCCAAACGTTCTTTGACTCCACTGAGTCCGTTTGTGGCATTCAAGCCAACATCATCTTCTAATTGCGACATGATGAAATGGCCTCTTTAGAGATGGTGTCGGGAAGGCAAAGATGAACTTCTAACCGAAGTTACAATCTTTCGCGCGCGAAATATGAGAAAGTGTTCTTCTCAAAATGGCGTAAATAAAACAAAACAAGCACTTTACCAGTCTTGAAGATTAAAGTTCTTGCTGGCCAGAGGAGCGTGCTTGCTACACAGGGCAGTTTTAATTTTAACGCTAGGCATCTTCTGTTCTAAGGGATGGTGACTGCTGATCCGCAAGCCAGGCTTCAAATGCGAATCCTTCAAAGACTTGACCTAATTCTCTCGTAGCAGAAGAAGTCGAATCTGTTCAAACAGATCATTGTCAACTTAAGATATCAGAATGCTATTGCACTCCCACACTCACCTGATCCATGGAAACCATTTCGTGTATCACCAAGACCGTAAATAGCACGTAAACAATCAGGCTGTTCCCATTTTGCTCTACAGAAATGAAAGAAAAAGTCAATTTAAAGACACACTTTTGATTTTCGACAAGCACTCACTTGTATGCTTTAGTTGGGCCTAGCATCGCTCGCCAATCCTGTATAACGTTTGGACCAGCCAAAGCTAATGCGATAGATGGTCCACTTCAAGAGAGGAAACAATGTGATGTATGCAATGGCATTAGTTATTGTCATTCGTTCCAGCGCTCTCTCAGCTCTCACCTGGTCATTCCTGCAATCAATCGATCATAATAGAACTTCCCTTTGTGTTCAGCATAGAACTGCTCGGCATCTTCCGTTTTCCAAAACAATCTCTTTTGTCGTACGATGTGTACATCTGGATTCGTCTTTTTGATCCTTTTCAGGATTGTGCTCACGTCAGGTTGATAAGAGCATATAGTCGGTTTAATGAGGCCTAAAGTCATCTGCCACCTAGCATGAGGATTGGATTTGGTGGCCGAAGCAATAGCAGACATGAATGCTTGATTGTTCTATACTGGGTACAATGATGACCCCAATGTGACGCTAGGTGGAGGCAGAGAGGCAAGGATGTGTGGTCAGCTGCAGTGGGATCACATCATCCTTACACGCATCAAGTACTTGGCCGAATCAGCTGACCACACATCCTTGCCTCTCTGCCTCCACCTAGCGTCACATAGGGGTCATCATTGATTGATGATGCTATTGTGGCTTTGCATGGTAATATCAAGCACCGTTTAGCTCGCACCACTTTCAAACACACCACCCACTGTCAGCCAAACAGCTTCACCCATCCTCCTTTGTACACTTACGGTGTCATCTGCTTCCTCCCCCTCAAGCCTGTCTACTGTTACTCTCGTTCGACCAAAGCTGTTTTGTACTTTCATAGTGTCTTGTTTCTTTCATACCCATTCAGCTTCGGCTCAGATTTTGATGTATATACAAAAGAACACAACTAGTCATACCTTATCCTCATGACCACAACTCTACTCAAAACCACTCCAAAGTAACTCTTTTGATATGAATTGCATTGCATTGAGACGATTGCCAGCGGTGCTGATGAGATCGTCGTCGTTTGAAGTAAATGTTCTACTGAGAAAGAAGCGAAAAGTGTTCCAAAGGTTGGTTGGATGATAAAATGTCGAAAAATTCTCAACGATGACAAGCATCGTTGAAGTAACTTTTGTAAGTAGTTTGCAAATAGCAAAAAGTTTTGCCTCAGTCGTGACTTCACCGGCTAAAACGACTACCGCTGCACAAGGATGAAGAACAGAAGGAAGAAAGTTGCCATCCAGATTTTACTTTTTATAGTCTTGCTGTTTTATTTTTCGCGCTCTTTTCGGTCTGGCGCAGTGCAGTGCTGAGATCTATCTTGGGCGGGCTGAGCGTTTTTTGCTTTAGGGCTGCTAAAGCAACACACGTCGCTTTGCAGGCGTACTGCACGTGTATACCATAAGACACCCCCTGTTAATCAACCGGCCAAGCATGGAGCTCCAACTCCATTGGTCTGTGCAGCGAAAGGTTCATCTTACTATCATCATCATCATCATCATCATAGATCACACTTGCTATACTCTCGGGGGGCCATACGATCATGGCAAACGTAGCTGACAATAGAACGCTGATTGCGTTAATCTCTGATGAAGATACAGCAACAGGACTACTATTAGCAGGTATAGGGCACGTCTCTTCCGATCAAAGCGATAATAAGAATCAAGAGAATGGCGGCAGCGGAGGTGGAAGGCATCAAGGAAGCGGCGGAGCAGAACTGATAAATGATTCAGAAAAAGCACAAAGAGTTGCTCAACAATGTATGGAGAGAAACTTTTTTATTGTAACATCAACAACAAATGTTTCAGAAATCGAATCTGCTTTTCAAACATTTACACAGAATAGAGGTGATATTGCCATCTTGCTTATCACCCAACCACTTGCCGAAAAGATTCGACAGATCTGTGATCGATATGAACAGGCTTTCCCTGCCGTTTTGGAAATCCCAAGCAAGGATGCACCGTACGGTATGTGTTGAACAAAGTTTGACTGACATTTCATTGAATGCTGATTTGATCTTCTTTTCCTCTCCTTTCCAGATCCTTCAAAGGACTCTATCCTAAAGCGCGTACAAAAGGTGAGTACCTAAGATTCTATCTCTTTGGGAGAGCCGAACATTTGCTGACGACATTCTTCTCCCTCTTTTCACTTGACAGCTTTTCGGAGAATAGACATATACCTTTGTACAGCATTCGGTTTTCGACATACATATCTTCTATCTTTCTCTCATTTCGTTCTGTTCATCGTGGTATCTTGTGTTCACGCATATTTCTAATTTAGGCATTCAAAAGCATCGAATCGAATTATCGAACCAGCCAGCGTCCTCGTCTGCACAATTGGCAAATAAGCAGCTGCTCTTTGTGTCCACTGTAATCGACGCCTTTATTCGCACTCATCAGTGCTTCAATCTACTTTTCAATCACACTCCTTGCAGCGATCCCAGAGCGCAACACAAGTCTATACCGACAAATCACAAAATTGATCGAATGCATGTCTGATGAAGAATGTCAATGAGAAGGTATGGTACAAACGATTGATAGATCGTAAATGTTAAGAGAAAATAAGAAAGATTATATGAAACAAGATGAAGGTAAAAGATAGATGCGAAACCAGATGATAGAGAAAGAGAAAAAAAAAGCCGAGAAGATTGTCGTTCATTGTTCGTCATTTGAATTGTTAAAAGAAAAAGGTGACGGTTGAGGAGATAGAAGTTGCAAACGTGCCATCATCCGATCAAGTCATATTCACTACCACTTTCGTAGCAGAATTCACTTGCGGGGCTATCATAGCCGCACGCAGATGGCGATGGAGCAAGTTCATAAGATGGTGAAGATTGTGCACCCACAATCGGTCGTATTCCCGGTCTTGTAGGTTTTGCAGAAGGAGATCCATAAAACATATTCGGATCATATCTTGTCGTACAAGGAGACATTGATCGATTGCGTACAGGACTTTGTGAATCGATCGAAGAAGGTGGACTTGGACATGTTCGCTTAAAGCTTGGAATTTCGCCAGGTACATTTGATGTTCGATTGTATTCTGTCACGGTTGCATCAGTAGAAGTAGAATTATGATTCGCATTTCTTCCCGTACTCTTTTCCATCGATCGTCCTCGTGGTGTATCATCTTGCTTTTGTGCTTCAACTTCTTCAGCTTCTGCTTCAATCTCATACGCATCTTGCACTTGTGGGAATGCATTCCCAGAATCGTATCCAGATCCACGTACAGGAGGCGCACTATTTGGCCGATAAAGACTTGCGCCTCCGTTGTAGTTGGAATTTGCATATTGACCGTGAGTAGGTGTACCAGGTGAATGTGGTTGAGAACTTCCACTTCCGCTTCCGCTAGACGAACAAGGAGCAACCATGCCAGGCAACGGTGGAGGCGGCTTGCTTAAGCCAAAACGACTGATGATCGAAGATGCTCCAAACGTTTCACATCCACCGTGAGGCATTTGACGTGTGTTTGGATTGCCTCCAGTATATCGGAAACCAACACCAGTTCCAATGCCCGCCATCCTGCAAACACGTTCACGTTCTTTCTCACGTTCCATTCGTAGATATTCTGCTGGTGTCATCCGAGATGCACCGTTGCCATCTTTACCATCTCTTTGTGCAAAGCGAGAGCCACAGAATGTACTAGGTGATGAAGACGAAATCGAATCTGCTCTTTTACGATCGCCCGTTGGCATTTGATAAGGCGGATGAAGGCCATTCTCACTTTCGCTTTCACTTTCTGTCCAATCTCCACCGTGAGAATGATGGGTGCTGAACCTGCCCGGACTAGAAGGAATTTGGTCACCCTTGCATGCCGCCAAAGCAGCACATTTTGCTTCCAACAGACCCATTTCCATCTTCATCGTTCGTAATTCTTCCAGATCTTCCGGACTTAAACGATTACTGATCGGACATGCTTTACGATCATATTCTACCGGACTATGGGTACGGACTTCCGTTGGCGGTGCAGGTGAAAAGCGAACTTTCGTACGTCCACGAGAAGAAGTTTTCTCACTTTCAGATGATGATCCAGCATAATTGCCCGTAGTCAAAGCTGATCCCATTTGAGCGGATCCACGGCGTTTGAAGCACGGTCGAAGTGGAATCTTGGGCTTAGAGCGACCGGGAGAAGATGATCTTCTACTACGACCAGATCCTTTTCTTGACAACAATTGCGGAGAAGTAGCAGGGCTTGTGATAGCAGTAGAAGCTGAGACATACGAATCCGAACGTCCAGAAGCGGAAGGCGAAGGTGGAGTAGGTGTACGCAATCCAGTGGGTGTGTCCAGGGAAAAGCTGTCAAAATGTGACCCTTCATTTGTTGGTGTAATCACCTCGGTCACATCTCCCTTTTCGTCGTCGGCCGTCAGACAAACACATAAAGGACTTGGAACGACTGGAATCGTTTCACTTGGACTTACACTACGAACAGGTAGCGCAGGGGGTCCAAAGATTTCCATCTCAACGTGATCAGGATGACCATGACTATCTTGCGGTGGCATAGATATCGAAGCTGGCAAGGCAGGTGCGGCACTGTTTTCCGCTGGTTCTTCGGTCTTTGAAGTGCCTTCCTCTTTTTCCTTTTCAGGTGATGTTGGAGTGGGCATCTTTGTAGTGGTGATTGCTCCTCCTGTCCCTTCTTCTGCCAATTCTGCCAAACGTCCTTTGTTACGTCTACGTGCTGCCAGATTTGGTGGCGCTCGCAAGAGATAACGTGACGCATGAGAGAGACCATGTCCACCAGCACGAGGAGAGAAATGGGGATGGATTGGAGGACCGTGAGGATGGAGTTGAGAAGCATGATGACTGCTATGATGGTGATGATTATGCGACGCAGGATGCGAATCTCCTAGATTGTGACGTTGGAATTTGCGACGTGGCGAATGATCATTGAATGTACTTCTTGTAGGTTGACGATGATGTACGTTATCATCATCTGATTCATTGATCGGACGATCACTTCCACTTACGAAACCGCTACTTTCTTCGTCCATCTCACTAACCGTTTCCAATTCTGGTTCGCCCATCGTCACTCCGTCCAATTCCAAATCCTCCACATCGGCCAAATCACCTCTTCTTCCGCCAGCCCATGAATTCCAACTGGACATGCTGCTTGGACTATCAGGCTCATGCTCATAATCGTAATCTGAAGCACTTCCTCCTGTACTCTCAGCAACGGAAGGGGAATGTGGCATGCTTGGTGAAAGTCTGACATTTGCTTCACCAGAAGCAGTTGCTCTTTTGATTGAAGTATCGAGTGAAGTTGAAAGAAGCGAAACATTCTTTTGACTTACTTGGTTTGATTGATGAGTTGAACTGTTGCCTTCTTTGTAAAAGCCTATCGAAAGAGAAGGTAACGTTTTTGACTTTGTTGGCCGATCATTTTGCGAGTTATCGATTCGTAGTCCGCTAATATCCGGTGGTTCTTCCGTGGCAGTGGTTTCGTCCGCCATGTTGCTATGTGTTGTTTCGCGTTGTGCGAGGGGAGTTGCGACGTTCATGATGATTGAAAACAGGTGTTGCTGTTTAGACTGAAAGAGAAGTTTGTTGCGTATTACTGAGATCGCCTTTTTTGAGAAGTAGGAGAAAGATAAAAACAAATGTATGCGGTTGTGAGGCTGTACAGGATCCAAGAAATTTGAACTTGCTGTGCTAGAGACCTCTAATTAAAGGCGAGCAATACACAACGTCTAGAATGGCTATGAGTGAAATGCGTTGGCTATTGTGACCATTGTGTCGCTCCGTTCAATAGGGGCGAATTATGACGGAAGGGCGATGAGTGATTAAGTTCGGTTTTCAGTTGGGGCAAACAGCGTCCCGAGGTTGTCGTTATGGTGATAATTTGTAAGGAAATGCTTCTTGCACTTTCGATGATGGGAGATGGTTTGACAAGATGATTCTTCCCTGAACGCCTTCTTTAGCAGTTTGTTATGTTTCAGTCAGAGACTCCCAGGAGATTTTGCCTTCGTATATGGTGGCACAAGTGTGTTTTCTTTTTTGTATTTAAATTTCCACAAGTGGATCCACATGCTCGTACCGACTAAGGTTCTCTTACCATGCCTACACAAACGCGTGTCCGAAAAGAAGGCAGTAAAGCAGAGAAAGTAGCAATCCGAGAGAGAAGGCAAAAATAGGGACCGGCGCACCGCAAGAGTCTTTTAATGGAGCACGTCAAATGACGAATTTTGAAATTGTATTACAACAATAATTTGTATTGCATGAATACAAGACGGATAAAAGGGTAATAATTTGAACCTTACCCTTACTCGGATCAAATTTCGTCATTTCACAGGCGATTCTCCTCACAAGAAAGTTTACAGTTCTTTGCCTAGGAATTTGAGAATGAAGAATGCTGATTTAGATTCCACTGGAAGAAATATGAGATGATAAAGAGTGTAGAGATAGGACATCTTTCCATTTTTGTATGTTGAATACAATTACTTATCACGAGCATGAGTTATATGTTCTTATGCGTGTGTGTGTGTGGCCATATGCTGCTCGCACGCAATAAACGGATTCAAGTCCGTTGTCTGTCTGTATCAGAGCGGCCGTTGTAGTGCATGTTCATTCTTAGCGCTGTATGGTGGTGTCAGGATCGATCGATAAAGATTCACGCTTAATTTCACTTCATTAGGCAATTGTGTGTGTTCCGCTCACGCGATAAACGGAAGGAAGGGTTCTGTTTTTGCTGCTAACACATACTCCTACAATAATGGGTTAAGGGTAATGCGTGCGGGTTTAGGGTGATAAGGAAGTGAGATTGATTGAACGTTGGCTCATCAATATTCGATCTGATTTTGCTATAATTATATGACCAAGAGATCTGAGAATGAATCAAATCCATATCAATAATAAGTAGTCCAAATGCCAAAAGGCCAAATCCGTTCATAATGAATCAATTGTGGCTTTTTTTAATTTTGGCGCGTTTCAAAGGTACTCGGGACCTCTTCTTGTCTTGCTTATAACGGAATTGAAGATAGACTAGAAGAACACACCGTTGATCTCTTTCGTTCTGGCTCAGGGGCAGAGTTGCATAGTATTGCTAAAAGGGTGGTCCCCATTTCACTTCAAGACGATCCGCGTATCTGGAAATGGTATGGGGCGGCACTACTAGTCAGTCATGAGGGTATTCGTATTCATTCATAGACTCAACAGCACAAACAAGCTTCGTACGATTTGTAAGAAAGCAGGCTAAAGTCGATCAAACAGGAACCAGCTGATTCTTCATTACAATATCATAATACAAAACAAGGTTTTGATGACCTCATTACTAGCTTGGCAGGGTAGGTAGCAAGCAGAGTAGTCTTTGGCGATACCACATGATCGAACCCAACATTTACATACTTGCAATCTTTATTTTGATCTGCAGATGAAAGTGTGGGGTATATGCAAGTGATTGTTGCAAAAGAGAGCCACAACGTTTCGGCGCTTTTCATTCATTGATCAAATGCCCAGCCTTTTTGGCTAAGGGCCGACCAGCCGATTTACACGCGTAACCAAAGAGAGGTGAGGGAGGTCAAATTGTTTGCATAAATTTTTATCAAAAGCTGCCAAGCGTGCCAACTCTAAAAAATATTTTTTAATTTTTGGATGGCAGACACGACAATCTTCCAAGGTGGAGTTGGACGATTAAACTTTCTTTTTCAAAGCTGCTTTTGAGGTGAATCCTTAATCTTGTTTTGCTGTCACTCAATCAAAGTCAGCAAAGATGAGGCAAAAGCGGGCAAAGACGTATAGGAAACTATTGGCCAGCTATATCCGTACCTTCGGATTACGACCTCCTCTACAAATATTGATTGATTCAGAGATGGCGATTTCGATGGCAAGTATGAAATTTCAACCAGAAGAAGTATACACACGTTTAGAATCTACATTTCAAGTTTCTTCAGCTTTACCTTCAAGTGCTCGACCACAATCGATCAACGCAACAAAGTTTAACAAATCTGCTGCATACGTTAAACCGATGATAACGCAATGTTGTATAAATGAATTGTATAAAGCACAAAAAGAAGGTCAGCCTCAAGCAAATGCTGTTGAACTTGCAAAAGGATGGGAAAGAAGGTTTTGCAATCATAAAGATCCCATACCCGGAGATCGTTGTTTGCGACAAGTGATCGGGGAAACGAATAAGCATAGATATTGTTTAGCTGCAAATAGCGTCGCTTTGAGAAATGCAATCAGACATACAGTAGCTGGAGTCCCGATTGCTCATGTCAATGATCACAAAGTCATGGTCATGGAACCAATGAGTGATCTAACCAGGAAGAGATGTGAGGAGTTCGAAAGGGAAAAGCTACAAAACGTATCCGGAAGGCAGTCCACTGTTTTGGGTAAACGATCTTCAGATATCATCACAGGGGAAGAGGGTGCACTTCCGGCCACAACAGTCGAAGGAGAGACAGATCAAGGTGCTGAACCAGCATTCAAACCTCGGAAGAAGAAAGCAAAGGGTCCCAATCCGCTCAGTATGAAGAAGTCAAAGAAGGACAAAGGAAAGAATCAATCGGACAACCAAGCAGGTCCTTCAAAGGCAAAGAAACGAAAAGCCAATGTACAAGTAAGCCAATCATCTTGAATAGAATTCCCGAAAGAATCCCACATCAAGTGCTAGATAGAATCATCATCTTTTGTATACTAAGCAATATATTCACTCGTTCCATTAAATCTATGCAAGAGAAGTGGTGCCAATTATTTTGGTAAATGTATGAGAAGAGACAATAATGATACACAAGCTGAACGTGCAAGACGTTGCATTTGACTTCTTTTCTTGGGACTAAACTCAAGCGATCAGAAGCCAGGAGGACGGATACCTTGAGGGTTTTGACCTTCTGGTCCTTGTTGTGCAGGGAATCCTGGAGGTTGTGCTCCGAGCATCTGTGAGAGAGTAATGGTGGGTCAGCAAACAATTCTTCCGGTACAGCATCCTTTCTCGTGCTACTTACAGATTGTGCACCGTTTTGTTGAGTGTTCATATCACGTTCTTGTTGCATAACTCGCATTTCATCTTCGACAGCCAAACTGTACGGTAATCCCCATAAGAGCATTGTAGTTGAAAGGACCCAAACGGCACGACCGCCCCAAAGAAGAGAAACACCGCCATAAGCTGAAAAAGTGTTGATTTTTTGTGTGATTGATCTGCGTGTGGAAGGTGGAATGATATCCCTTAAAGCAGAAATACGTTCCCAAACACTTTCTTGTGGAATTGTAAGGCCACGTTCCATAACTTCATCATCCGAATCATCTTCATCTGAATCATCAGTCTCTGATCCAAACTTTTCATCATCTTCACTTTTCCAATCATCTTCATCTTCTATTGCTCTAAGACGAGCATTAAATTCTTCATCTTGAATATCTTCAACGTGTGCTGCCCTTCCTGACATCTTGACTATGTATGTGTGTGTAGGGATGTGGATGTGGATCGATTGTCGGGAATGTGATGGTGATGAGGATTATGCTCTCTTTGTCTACTTTGAGCACAATCGTATTTCCTATGCGCTAATCACGTTTTTCAGAATTGAATTTTTCAGTCAGCACTCGCCTTTAACAAGCTTGGGCTGTAGTGGAGCTGATCGACTTTGACTGGTAAAGCGCGTACAGTGAAATATTTTTGCGCTTTTTGTCTGCTCTATCTGCGCGCAATGCTTATGCAGATCGTTAGCACACGCTACATCCTCTAATTAAGAAGAAGTACCTTGAAGTGTACACTAGATAGTATGATAATGATAATATCATCAACATAGAAATAACACTCAATAATGATAAGACATCGATTTAATAAGAAAAATACATCATCTACATCCATTGATTACGGTCAAATCCTGGATCCTGCAAGAAAGCGCACAGTACCTTACTTCCAGTCTGCAGAAGGAGAAAGGAGTTTATTATTAGCAATATAATCCATACTTCTTCATGATTTCCATGCTCACCTGTAATAGAGGATGTCCAGCAACCACTTGTAAGAAACGCTCTAATCCTTCCCTTCTTGCTTCAATCACTTCATCGGTAAATCTGTTGGTAAACACTTTCCCTGGCAAAGGTGGAATATTCACCCTTGTTGATTCACGTTCAAGAATATCACGGAAATATTCGAAATCCGAATACCTTCTTCGAACACTTGAATAACGAACACGAAATGCGGGAATGTTTGTTCTCGTTACAATCTCATAATCAGTATACATCTTACGCCCGAAGCCTGTGAGAAAAAGGAACATATAAGCTTAGCGGATCTTCTCTCGTTATCTGTTCCTGATACTCACCATGTGTCATCGGATTGCGTACTTCCACCTCCAAGAAATTTTCCGGGACACCATACATATCCTCTACCGACTCTTTTCTTGTGTTCTCTACGCGAGCAAAAGGGCTATAATTTGTCGGGGTCGAATAGGATTGAGGCATCGGATATCCGGGCGTAAGTTGTGCTGGACCATTTGATTGTGCTCCATATCCGTCCTGACCTGAATGTCCACCTAATGGACCGGAATTTGGCATGACCGAAGAAGGATTGTGGGATTGAAATGTGCGCTGATTGAAAGCGGAAGAAGGTTGTGGCACAGGTTTATCATACCCTTGTCCAGCTGAAGAGCTTTGCTGGCCAAAAGCAGGAGCTGAGCGTGGTTGTCCTTGGGGTGAACTGAAACCATTGCTGGCTGCTGAGCCGAATCCATGCTGATCTTCGCTTCCATAAAAGTTTGATGATGCACTTCTGTTCCCATTCTCGCCGTATCCGCTACTGGATAAACCTTCATCACGCCCTTGCCTGCCAAATAGATCGTCATGCTCAGCTGCTCTAGAGGAAGAACCTATCGATGTGTTACCTCTTCCTGTTCCTGGCCCACCACTACTTCCGTTATTGTAGGATGACTGACGTGCAAACGGTGAAGCGATATAAGGATCTGAAGCGAATCCTGCGTCCAAATCGTTACTGTATGCGTTTGAGCTAGGATTGCCAAATCCACCCATCAGTGCTTCACGATCTGTCAAATCGCTGCTAGACTGTGTCTCGAAACCTCCTCCTGCAGATGTATTTGCGTTTGTCGTTGTTGATGCTAATGTAGCAGTAGCAGGCGGTGGTGGTGGTGCTCCCCATGGATGTTCTTCGTCTTCGTATAAATTGGATGATAATGGATTATTGCCAGAGGATGATTCCCCACCTCCAAATAGATCGGACATTGTGTGCTTGTGTGATTGTTTCTCCCGGTGTCCTTCTTGAACCAATGATGGAGATTGGATCCAACAAACACTTTTCTCTTTCTCCACCAATGTGTTGTACACTTTCTCCTAATCTCCACAGTCGGCGCAGGTTTGCAGATGTGATAATGTATGCTGGGCTTAAGCGGTGTTCCATAGAGACGGGCTGGCTGGTGGTCTGTCTGGGCTTATAGCAAGCAACAGTAGGCGCGCTGGCTTGAGCGTTTATTTCCGTACAAGGCGAAATCGGCCGAATAGAAGAATTGTCACGCTAAATTGACAAGATTACAATTTTAAGATTCTCATCACCATCACCATCACATACACACACATAATAGACAAGATGGCATCTACGGCACTATCGAGAGCCTTCCCTGCTGCATTGAAGGAAGTGCGATTCCACATGTGTCAATCAGGTCAAGCAAGTGCAGGAGCAAGGTGAGTAATTTGGAAAGATGTGATGATCGTTGCCAAGTGAAGATGGAGATGGAATGAGCTGTTGATCATCTTGCGCACGAGCACACATCAACATGACACTCCAGGGACTGTACTGACATCGTGCATCTTTACCCCCTCATTCGACCTTTTAGACAATTCATCGAATCATCATACAAATCCATCAAACAATCAAACCCAGAGCTACCGTTCTTGATCAGAGAAGCATCTGGAGCACCAGCACGTATCTTTGCACGATTTGGTGAGTGGAAGGAGGAGCTATGTTATTCTCATTAGATGCAGTATACTGATCCAACTTTTTTATCCATTCTGCCGCACAGATCGTGGAGTAGAGAAACATGCTGAACTTGATGGATTATCAGCTTCGGATGTTGAAAAGAAAGTTACAGAGCTCATCAGTCAAGGAGGAAAAGCGTAAAAAGATTGTATAGTGTCTTTATGGGATTAATCGATCATATCAAAAATATCAGATTTTGGTCTTGTGCCTCGCTGCTTACGTCAGACGTCAGATAGGAGAATGGAAGATTAATGGGTTCACATTCTTCCAGTTTATAGGGAGAATGTTGTATTGGTTGCTGAATGCTCCTTGGGGGTAGGAATAATCCTAACCCTAACTTTAATTAATGCGGGGCTAAATTGTGACATAAGACAAAAAAGATTAGAGGAAGATTGATGGATTGAAATAGGGTCACTGAGAATGACGTATTGTTTGCTAATGCTACTTAGGGATATGATTCAAAGTCTCCCAACTGTACAGTCACTGGAAATATCGAATTAAAGACTGCAAAACTCAAAAGAGTAAAATAGCAACAACTATAACCTAGAAAAGGTTGACTATTCCTTACAATGGATTCCGATTTACCTCTAAATCGATAAAACTCATAGAGAACTAAGATAAAGAAGTAAAGTAGAAATTTAGAAGCTCGAGAATTAATCTGTCATTATAGAAGGCTAATACTGAAAGTACCAAAGCCTTATTACTCTATACTACTTTCTCTCGTTTATGGTTATTATAATCCAATCCCTTGGGCGAGTATTTAAATAGACCAAAAACAAGATAAAGTAAAGAAAAAAATTAGTGGCATATCGGGTGCTGAAAGCTATTTAGGATTAAGAATAATCCCAATCCTAAATGGTCCAGGGCTACCCTGATTAAATCCGCCCGAAGTGGTCCAAGACTATCCTGACTAAATCCGCCCTGAGTACCTAGTCCATGGCTATCCTGAATTGATCTGAAGCCTATATAGTCTGAGGTTTACAACTCAAGTTAAAATAGCCTGAGGTTATCCTTATTGAATTTTAACCGATAGGGACGGAGCAATCCTGATTAGATCTTAACCCCGAAACAGTCCAGGACTTATCCAGAAGTTGGAATATCGGAGATCCGAATAAGCAGAATGGATCGATGGTATCGTAATTCAAACTCAGACCGTCAAGGTAATTCCATGGAAGGAAAAGTATTGCATAACAAGCACCGATGCGTATTTGACAGACGACATGTGCGTACCTGAGCTTTGCGCTTTTCTAAACATTCTTCCGCTTGCAGTATGATCTATTATTGTGGCTATCAATTAACAAATCAAATGAAATCAATTTGGCTTGAGAACAAAGGGTCAATTTATGAAAGAGGCTTGAAACAATCTACGCATTCTATGCATATTGGAAGGAGATCATCGGTGACCCACACAAAAGATGATATTATATGAATTTCGAATATGTTTGAAGAGAGCGAGAGAGTGGAGTAGTCCGCGCAGGATGCTCTGCTGTTCAAAAGAGAGAGAAAGGACATTGCCTCTTGTTTTTCTAATTTAACCGCTGCGCGTGACGCGTTCTTTGTGTTCATAATTTATCCGCATCCCGTTTCAACGGCTTTTTCTTCCTCTCACTTTTCGCCCCGTTTAAGCCACTCGCTTAGAATATGGTATGCAGTTATGTGTCAATTGATCTTATATTAATCGGAGATGAAATTTATCTGACTTTTTTGAATTCCATGGAATTAAAGATGTTATATCATGTCTCATAGAATATGTAGTCAAGTGGTACCTTTGTTCACGATTCACCGGGGTACTGCCACTATAGGGTCATGGGAGAGTAAGAGTGGGGGTCATTTTTCTCGGCTTGCATTTTCCTTGGCCATTGCATGATGATCATGATTATTTTTTCGGGTTTAACTTCTCCACGTCAATACGACGCGATACGCCAAGATTAAACGCCGGTCATTCCATTGATTCAGGCGTGTGAACATACTTGCATGGATTAATGATTCTAGCAGTATATAATACAAGTTCATCCGAATGCATTTTTATTCATCATTCGTACGTGTATGAGATCGGCCAAGAAAATGTTTTAAGTTCGATCAATGAAATCATGTCACATCATCAATCATTTGACAGCCGCACAAAAAAGGTTGTTCTCTCTGCATACCACCTGTCCGAAAAGAAGTATGGCTTGTTCCTGAAAATTTCAACGGAAATTATTCTTACTCTTTTATTATTTCAATTTCGGCTAAATGCATTCCGACGTTCTTTTACTGTGCAGTGCTGCGATAATGCATTTTATGCATGTTCGGCTTGACGTGCATATACTCTGCATAAATAGATCACAGTATAAAGCACCCACAAAAACAGAGACTGGAAATTCAAATCCGAATTAGAGTTTATGCTCATAGGCAACACAGCTCTCTTTCGGTCTTTTTACTTGATTTTTCGGGCCACCTTCCGAAACCACGGAGATGCAGTCAGCGAATTGACGTAAGAAAAAAGAGTGTAAGAACCATAAAGAGTGTCAGTTAGCCGATGTCATGTCAGATTTTGGCTTACTCTTATTGCATGATGGCGGGGGATCAGTTTGACTGCATAGTACGGGCCGTACTTTAAATCGATTTAGACATATTGTTTAACAAGCATACGTACGGCATATTGACTCGCATGAAAGGGTTTCGGACTTCCTTCCACATGGGCTGCTGCTTGTGTAGCGGATAGAAATGGACACACGCTTTGTTCCCCCCTCCCCTTTCAGCATGACAATAAAACCCTCTTACATACCTGCTTTTCGCCGTACTTGCCGCATTCTTTCTTCGTCTCCGCTCATGCCGCCGATTGTTATTGAATTGATTATAGAAAGATCAAATGCCTATCTTACCTGTCGTGTACCTTTTATTCGGTTGATTGCATCATATCACACACTCCAAAAATGATCACCGATAGAGTACCCCCCGTCATGAACGGATTTAATGTCAATTAGTAAAAACGGAATTCATTTTCCGCCATCTTGCCACTATTGATTAAAACATACACACAAGATTCTTTTGCTTCTTTTGTGGCACTTTTACTTTGTAGGGCCCGCGGACGTCTACTTTATTTTTATTTTAACACGCTCTGCCGCGAAAGTCTTGGCGGGGATTGAAATACTAATTAAGGGGAGAAGATTATCATTTGACATCTTTGAAGGGCCAATAGGAAGAATTGACAGCATTGACACATCTCAATTTAAAACCATCATCTCAGCTTCCATTTCAGATCGCTAGGATTACGTCACGATCAAGTAGGGGCACAATCAATCTTGGTCAAATAATATTGAAAAGAAAAAAAGAGCGCCAATCTTGAACTTCTTTCGTCATTTTTGATCTTTTTCCAGCTCAGCCCTCTTTATACACAACCTTTTTTTTGACGCCCTTTTCTCCGTCTTCTTTCGCCGCCGCCATATAAATTAACTTCAGGAACGGAAGTGGGACAAATCACTCAAATCACACAAAGTCTTGTTCCTGAGCAGATCGAAATTCACGTCGGAGTAATTGCCTTTACTGAAAGGAATAATTAGGCAAATCTGGAGAACGAAATAAGGAAGCGCTTCTACTCTTCGTGTCATAAAACGTTGAGTTCAAACTTTGCCCTCTTTAGAAGTACTTTTGCACAAAAGCACGGACTGCTCTCAAATTTTTGATCGCAATCCTCCGCTACGTACCGGCTTCTTCATAGTTCAACTAGCAAAAACGGTAATCTTCCTTCAAATCTTTTCGCATTAGCCAATTGTACGCCACAAATTCCCACTGGATAATTTTGTTGTGTTCGCAAGGCCGAGACCATCATCCAAAGAATTGACGTAGATTGACGAGAGATTACGCCTATCATTTCACAGCCAACACGCCACTTCATCAACAGCCCTCAGGTAAAATTTGATTTGATCGACGATCAATTGGACGGCACCAGCTGGAAGAAGAGCGGATCTTGAAGTGTGTGCAAACAAATTATAAAGAAAGACTTTCTTCTTTGGAAAAGGGAAAGAATTCCCATCTCTGGAAACTTTGATTGATTGCTAGACAATCATATAAAAGCAACGCTTTCCCTTTACCCCCCAAAACAAAGGTAACCAAAATTTCACCATTCATTCCAAGGTATCCTTCAATATCATCAATGGCGTCTGCAATGACAGAACCCTCTTCATTTGCACATCATACAATCGGTCCACAGCCTACGAGGCGACCTAGATCTCCTCTGTTGAAAAGACCTGGAGGCTCACCAAGATCGTTTGCTAGTGATGAACGTGGATATGACAGATCACCTCCATTCCTTCCTCAAAGAAGCAATATGGCAACAGCAGAAGAAGAACAAGAACGATACCGTCAACGAGTAAGAGAATACGATTCTCCTCCACAAGACAACTTGCATCGATTGCCTCACCTTACCGAATCCTACCCACCCCCAACGATGAGAACTTTAAAAGACGAAGAGCCATCGGCAAGATCACCTCCTCTAGCATACAGACACAGAGCTTCACCTCTATCGACGAAGAGACCTGGCTCACCGTTATTGCATGATGAAGAATATGATGCTCCACCTCATGCAAGATCTGTTTCTCACCAAGGTGATTATTACGGTCGATCTGCCAGAGAAGATGGTGAAGAGAGTTGGGTGCCTGACAATCGTAGAGCACGTTCACCTTTGGATGGGAGCTACGATCGTGAAATCAAGTCTCGCTCGCAAGAGAACACCCGTTGGAAATCGCCTATTCATGACACCACCCGTTCCAACGGTTTGGCTGCAGCTCCTTTTCCTCGCTCTTCATTTTCGGCAAGCAATAGTCCACATGAAGATAGGCCAACGTTACCGGCTTTATCGGGGAACGGTAGTGGAAGCATGTTTGGAAGCAGTCGATTCGATTCTTATCGTTTACCGCCAATGAATGAGCATAATCGTTTTCACGGAGGAAGTATGAGTAGCAGTGGCAGCAGCAATGATCATCCACAGCCTCATAATATTCCACAATATGCTTATCGATCCAATGCAGGCATGCCTCGCTCTTCTTTGCCAAGTTTGAGATCTTTGTCCATGCCTTATCCATATGAATCTCCTTCAACGCAACATGCACATGCACAAAGGGGTGGTCACGAGAATGGTACAGGTGAACCTGCTCGTGCAGATTCTGGCGGTCATAGTACCCCATACTATGATGGATCACCTTCTTTACGACAGGAACAGGCTCATCCATCAAGAGGTTCATCTTCTTTGCATTCTTCTCCTAGACATCATCCGTATGCGATGTCTCATGGTCAATCCCACCATGCACCTTCTTCTGGTCATGCATACGAAAGTGGATCAGCTCAAGCCGGTGTCGGATCGCCAACGAGTATGCCAAGAAGACGCGGAAAATTGCCAAAGCCCGTAACGGATCTGTTGAAGAGTTGGTTGCTAGATCACTCTGCTCATCCTTATCCGACCGAAGAAGAAAAGAGACGATTGTGTGCTTCTACCGGTTTGAGTATCAGTCAAGTATCCAACTGGTTCATCAATGCACGTAGAAGAATTTTGATTCCTCAAGGTAGCGGTCATTTCGGCATCGGACCTTCTGCAAGCGGAAGCGGCGCAGAATCTGGCAATGGCCAATACGAAAGACGTCAACATTCACCTAATTCGATCAAACATTCTTCTGATCATCATTCAATTTATGCACCGCCTCCATCGCATTCTTCTAATCATTTGCGTCATTCGATCGCCTCTTTGCCTCCTCCAAGTAATCGTCATCATCAAGGTGGAATGCCTTCTCCATTGCCACCTTTGTCTTCTCAACATCATGGCATGTATAGAAATGGTCCAGACGTTGAACCATACTCAAGAAGTGCCGAGCAAAGTCCACGAATGAGACGTGATCGTTATGAGTCACCTTGATGGTGGCAGGGATACAGGTGCACTTTTCCCTATCTCCCTTTCTTTTCCTAAGCACGCATACATTTGCACAACCCCTTTAAAAATGATCTTATACATATATATTGCTGTATTCTTCGCTTTTTTCTTTTCCCTTCTTTTACAACTTTTCTGGGTCTCATTCCAAACAGCATTCGTACAACATTTACAATTCTTGCAGCAAATTTAGCATACCTTTTACCTTAATTACGCACTTCCTCTTTCTCATAACTCGTATTTTATCAAAACAAACATTAATGGAATTCAATCAATTGGAAAATATGTGACATTGTGTAGCTCCGTGTGATGAGAATGTTGAGATGGTTGGATATGTATAAAATGTTGATATGCGGTACAAGTACAATTGAAAATTTTTGTATGTTAAAGTTCATCCAAGAAATGTCGAAGCTGACTGTCAAGACCTGAATCGCTTGGAATGCTCATAGCATCTTGACTGCTACTGAGATTGACCGGCTTCGATTGCCGGGAAGAGGATCTATTTCGAGTAAAACTTTTTGGTTGAAGAGAAGTGGCTGTGGCACGTGAACCTTCATTATCAAGCCGTAATCGATTGCTGGAACGAGGAGGGGCTTGCGATTCATGCTCATCGTCGAGCGTTGCACCCAGACAATCCAACTCATCGTCTGAGTCAACATTCTCGGGGTCGCTCATAGCGGCGTGCTGAATGTCAGATTCTTGAGTTCCTTTTGCCGTACGAGAGAAGCCGAACGAATTGAGGCTACTCTGGGTCTGACTCTTTCGCTTCTTTGCAACGGTTTTATCGGTATCAATGTGACCACTCCAGACCTGACTCAGATCATTCCAGCCAGCAGAATAGCGCGGTGTATTCTGCTTACCATGCTTTTGTGAAGCTTTCTTCTTTGAAGTTTTGAGCGGCGGATCTTCGGCAAATTCATCTTCCCAAGCTAACGGTTGTGTTTCAACGTCGCTAAGTGAGCTGGTCGTATCGAATGCGTCGGTCTTGTCGGCCCCATTGCTGTCTCTTTTCTTCGAAACAGATCGCAGCGTGCGCTTTGTGACAGCGGTCCGAAGATCTGGCAGCTCTTGAGAGGACGGCAATCGAAAAGTTTCGTCGATAATGTTGTCACCTGCCTCCGGAGTCTCGCTCATGTACGTCTCTTCGTATCGAAAGGGAGGCGAGGACTTCCTTTGAGATTCGTTTGCCTCACTCACTGATGCCTTCCGGCTGATGCTGTCCGTTACTTCTTGCTCGGTCTGTCTATCCCCGCTTCTGGTTTGACCAGGCCATGATCCGCCAGGTGCTGTCTGGCTACTTCCTACAGCATTGCTTGCTTCTCCTTCCTGAGTTTCCATGCCATTATCTCGGTTGTCATCCATTTCCATGCTATCCTCTTCGGTGAGAATGCCAAGTCCACTCTTCAACTGAGACGCCGCTTGTGTTTCGTACGCATATATGCGCTGTTTTGTTTTAGCAGGTGATGACTGAGCTCGCTTCTTTTCAAGAGAATTTGAAAAAGGCATCATTCGGGACATGAGTGGTGATGTCGGGCCGCCTAGCATATCAAGGTCATCTTCTTCATCAGAATCTGGCTCGTCATGTGAGAAATAGTCTCCGTTCCCTACTTGAACAATGGAGAAGCCTTTACGCAGTGGACTGGGCGTTTTGTCCCGTAATGCACCGATGCTTTGATAGCTACATGGATCGAGAAATCCAATACGCTTTGAGTCGCATTGATTCTCGATGGGACTAAGTGCATTTCTCTGATTCCGTTTAGCTTGTTGCATAGCACAATCTTTTGCACTTTGTTCGATAAGCGTCTTCCTCTTTGATGGTGAAATCGCGGGAGCAAAGGCAGACTTGGTGCGCCTCTTGGGTTTAATCTTGCGCTTCTGGACTGGACTCGGTTGCTTTGGTTTGATTGATTGTTCTTCATCACTGCTCCAAGCTAATGGTTGTGTCTCCTCCGTTGCAGAAGCAGAAGCAAGCTCCCGATTGTGTTCTTTCGGTTGATCATATAGTCTTCTACCCTCATCCTCAGAAGACGAGCTGAGAACGTTCTCGAATGAAGTCTGAGAAGTCCTTCTACGCTTGACAGGCTCTTTGTCTTCTTCAGTTGTTCTGCTCGATCTCACATCGCCTGTATCTGTTTTTCGTCTTTTCCCAATCGTTTTACCGGATGAATGCGATGAAAGGTGGGATTGCAGTGAGCCGAACAAGGTTGAATGCTGTGCCCCTTTATTGGCATTCAAATGTGAGGCAAAAGACATTTCCACGTCACCTTTATCTGTTAAAAGATCTTCATTCGATTGTACGGAAGAGCCTTGGCCGGTAAAGTGATGATGCAATGTCGATTGCTTATTATCGTGCAAGCTCTTGTTCTCCTTCTGTTGGTAAGCGTTGAAGCTGGCTGAAGAGGAAATTTGCGCTTGAGAAGAGATGTTTGGCAAGCTTTTGCGAGTAACTTTTCGTTTGATCCCGGAGAGACTAGATTGGATGCCGCCTAAAGTTCCCCTTTTACTTGGTAATGGCTTATTTGTACGATCGGTTGATGGGATGGGACGCTCTTGTATCCAATCCAACATAATGCTCGATAAGCGAACTTGTTAGATTGCTTCAAGCTATTCCTTCATACTCTGAACATCTTGAAGAAACTCTTCTCTGCTTGATGTGATGATGGAGACAAATCTGCACAAGGTGGCAAGAAGGAGTCAGCAGCCCCTTTGGCGTGTTGAATAGGGTAAGTGTTGGTTATTGCATAAGAGAGTGTTGGATCTGTTCCTTTGATTTGACGCGTTTGGCGTGCTTAATCATGTGTCGTTCCTGTTTTGGGAAGGGGAAGAATAGTGCCCATTGATCACATAAGCGGTCCGTACGGATATTATTATTTTCGGATATCATAGAGAAACCTTAAAAAAGAAGAATTGAAAGACACACTCACAACTTCCTTTTCATCATCATCACATCAGCTTTTGTAGGCTATGAGCGCTATTGCTGCTCGGCGAGCACGTCTGGCAGCAGCTGCTCAAGCATCCTTAAGCTCAACGCCGGAGCCTTTACCAATCAGTGAAAAGGGAAAAGAGGCAGCAAGTGGAACATTGAGCAATAACAGCAGTGATACAAAGAGGCTCAGCAACGCCATCATAAGTGAAGAAAGCAGTAGTGCGGATGAAAGACGCAGAGGAGATAAGAAAGGAAAGCGGATAAAAATTGCGGAAGATGACGCTAGAAAACAGGACAACTTGCCCAACAGTAGCTACGATAGCGCATACACACACAATGGAAGTGGAACAGATGTTCGACAGACTAGAAATGATGCAGAGGTCATACTGTCAAAGGTGACAGAAAGCAGCAAGTTCACGCCCATATTGGAGGGAGAAGGCAAAAATGTACACCTTGTCACCAAGAAAAGTGCAATTTGTGCATTGGAAGTGGGCGAAACGATGAACTTGCTCGGTCGTGGTACAGTGAAAGTACTGGATGGTTCTGCATCATTAGGTGGTGCCCTTCTCTCATCTCAACATCGGGAAGCACTTGTTCTAGCCTCTACAGTATCGCCATTACCAGTATTGGAAGCCATCGGAACGACATCCGCACCAGCCCAATTGAAGCAATATGGATTCGGTCTGGCGCGCAATTATGCCGCCGTCATTCAAGTGGAAGAAGACATTCCTAGCAGAGTGGGGGAATTGCATTCAATTTGCACTCAGATTCCTAAAAATGCCTTTGAAGTGTCTTCATTCTATCATCCATCTTGGCCTTTGGCATCTGTTGGTCCGCAGTATACACAAAGTAAGGCGTTGCTGCACGTACATGTACCAAATGCTTGGAAAAGGGTCCTAACAGCAACCGAGGAGCTCTTGCAATATGGTCAGACTCTTCCACCAACGTTTCTCGTAAGAGGGCCGAAAAGAGTTGGCAAATCAACCTTGAGCCGCTTTCTGTTGCAGAGACTTTTGACAAAACACGAAGGACAAGTTGCCTACCTTGAAACGGATTTAGGTCAATCAGAGTTTAGTTTGCCCGGTATGGTGTCTCTGCATGTCTTCGATTCAGCATGGCAAAAAGAGGAAGGGTCAACACCTCTACTCTTCGCGCCCAGTTGGGCAAGTATTCGACAACCTGTCAATGCTCACTTTTTGGGTGATTACAGCCCGAAAAACGATCCGGGCAGATATATCGCAGCAATTCAGAATTTGTTGACATCTTACAGGAATCATTGGGCCTCGCAAGGTGTGCCTTTGATCGTCAATACTCAAGGCTGGGTCAAGGGATTGGGAGCACAGCTATTGTCGCAAATTGAAGCGCTTGTCGAGCCATCACTGATACTCAATATCTCAGAGGAAGTAGATATGAATGACGCAGAGGAATTCCAAGATGCACCACTACCTCGCATCGTTACATTGGAAGCTTCTCCGTCATTATTTACGAGAGAGAGGAGTATGAATGCGGTAGAAGCTCGATCTTTGAGTATCATTTCCTATTTCTATGCCTCAAACTTACCCGCAACGGGTAAGGACATCCTTCCTTCTTGGTCCACATCAAAAGGCATATTGGAACGGCCGCCGTTTAGCATTAAGGTTTCTACTGGTCTCAAGGGTGGTATACATATCTTGGATCATGGTGCTTGCGTATCAGAAAGGCTTTCGCTGATGGCTTTGAACGGAAGCTGTGTAGCTGTTGTCATCAGTCGTGACGATGGGCAGGATGATCAAGACGAGTCTACTCAGTCTTCACCTTGGTCTACTGCTCTACGAAAGCAGTTCCCCCCACATGACGCAAGTACATGCATTGGGTTGGGCATCGTTCAATCTATAGACGTTGCCAACGGGTCGCTTAATCTGATCTCTCCAATATCAGAGTTCGTCATTCGGTCTGCAGCGAGAGCTTTGTATGGGGGAGATGAGAACTCCCATTCTATCAAGATGTCGATCATCAAAGGAGCAGTTGATATACCCGTCTGTCTGTCTCTAGATCGTGCAGTATTGAATTCGCTCAACAGTTCAAATACTGACCAAAATATACCCAGAGGTGTTGCTAATGTTGCATTCGCAGATGTGCCTTACCTAGACTTTGATGTCAATACAGCCGAAGAAGAAGTTGTGATTGATATGAAAAAGCGTAGGATAAGACGCAATCTTCTTCGACCTAGTCAAAGGAAAGGATGATCTGAATGCCTTGTACTTCTATACACAAACATAAAATTGTATTATACATTTAGCATTTGTATTGCAATAATTGTACAATAGATCTGGTATCATCAATCCGTTTTTATGATATGCATAACAACAGACCCGCCAAAGACAAAGATTGTCAAGAATAAAGTTGCCCAATTGATCCTCTTGTGAATCTGAGATATTGTTCCCGACTGAACATATATCCTTGGTTTACGAGGTTGAAATGCCGGCTTCTTCGCTGCCCCTCGCTCATCATCATCTCTTTTGGAGGATGTACCATTGGACCCTCCGTTTGCTCTGTTTCGTGCTGATTCACTCATGCTGCCTTGTCTATTGTGCCGAGACTTGGATAGCGAATCCTCTGCTACATTTGAGCTTGAAAGTCTATCATCTGCCTTCCTGTGCTGCTCCACACCATTTACGCTGGCGCTTTGATCCAGCGGAGAGAACCAATATGCAAAAAGCATGGTCAAGAAAACGTCACCGTCCAAAGTCGGCAAAGGTAACATGTTGAATAAAGCCATCGCTACACTCAAGGTTAGCGAGTAATTGAAGATCATCGACATCAAATTGAACAAACGACCTGGCCAACGAAATCCTGACCATAATCGGAACGCATAAGGTGAAACATCCAGAGCCAAATGAACGGCATAGCGATTTCCTTGAAATAGGACAACTCTCTCTTTCGTCTTTCCGGCCATTTGTTCTTGCACTGTGATTCTCAAAAGCTCTTCGCGGCTATCAGGTCGAACACAGATGGATTCGGCGGGGTATCCATTCACATCTGTGAAAGGACATGAGGCTATACATCGCTCTGCTTTTCCCTCCACCAAAAAGACTGGATCATAACATCGTCCTTGAGTACGATCATTAGTCACAAAGCACAATTTTGTACCTAAAGCACTCGTACTGTCATCTTCTGTACTCCTCTGTGTTTGTCCGCCAACGAACTTTTCACAGCAAGTGGCCGGACTGCTTTTCCATATATGTGGTGCCACACACCAGCCTTGATCTACGACTGGAGATACTGTGTCGGTCTGCTCGTACGCCAGGTATTGATCCCACAACAATGATCGCTTCTCACCACTCTTTGAGGTAGATTCTGTGAGATCGATGTCGTCCAAATGCGTTATGATCGCTCCAGATGAAAGATGCATTGCCAAAGGCGAAGACGATCGAACTTTTTGTACTCTTAGCGCTCCAGAATCATAGAAGAATATAGTGTGAATAAATGATCCGACTGGAATGACAAGAAACACTGCAAGGATAATCGCAGTCAAAGCATTGTGCCAAACACCCGCAGAAACGATTTGCATCTTTTCACGCAGAGATACATGAGGATAAAAATCTTCGTCTTCCTCTTCGCTTGCTAATCCTCTTTCGAGTTCTTGCCATGATTGATTCTCATCTTCCTCTGCATCATCATTTGCTGGTCCAATGGAAGACGCTGTTCGTGGCAATACCACAAATGCGCCGGGTATTATAGGATAGAGAAACATGATCCCCGTTCGCAGTGGAGGGAGGTCATGGAGTGTGCCGCATATTGCGTGGCCTGCTTCGTGTAATACTTGTGTGACAACAAGAGCGATCACCAATGGCAAGAGGTGAGTCCATGGTAATGTCAATCCGGGTATAAGTGGTTTCAAGTTTGGCGTCCATGCAGAAGTATTTGAGTCTTGTGGAGTGGGTGTCATCGCTTGATTGGTTGATAGCTGTCTTCGTTGTATGTTACCGTATACCTGTGCCATCTCTGTTGCTTGTGCTTCTACACTCTTCTCAATTACATCAACAGGCTGTGTTTGCATCAGCCCAACGATATCTCCTATGAGCACAAAGGCTCCCCATACAATGATTGTCAGGCTAGCAAAGAATGCCAGAAATGCAAAAACGATGCCAAGGTCGTACAATCTGGACAACAATTTAGACCGATTCGATTTCGCAGTGCCATTCTGTCGAGAGCGTTGTGAGATGTCTTCGCGATCATAAGGTAGATTCGAGAAGCTTTTAGATCCTATTATCCTATTCAAAAAATTTTCCGGAAGAGTATTGAATGCTGTTGTTTCCAATTTGATCCAAAATGTGCCTCGAGAAATGGAAAGATTGTTGGCTATCCTGTGTGAATAGAATTGTATTAAAGGTATTTGGATGTTTTTGTTCAACCCATGATTGCGTATGTAGAAATCGATAAGCTCCAAGGCAAGCCAAGGTAAGCTCAATACGATGATGCCTTGCACCAATGTAGCGATCGCCATCGGATCAAAATTTCCCTTGGAATGATCTTCGAGGGTTGATCACTAATCACTTTCCTTTCTTCTCCGCAATGAGATCTATCTAGGATCCATTTCGTCCTTCTCGTTAAATCGTTATGAGCAATGGAGGCCTTTATGTTGTTACCGGAAGTCAACGTCTAGAGAAGAAATAATGACCGGCATATATTTGTTCACAAGATTTAGTGCAGATTTGGTTTCTTAGAAATCTTGCACTGCTGTAGTGCGTAAAAATGCACAACGTACTCTCTCCCAAGCTCGAGCCATGATTCCGATCTGCATCCCCGCGCCACATCTGACAGAGTAACCTTAGAGTCAGGAAGTCAATCGAGCTTGGCAGACGTTGTGATCATTAACGGCAATCAAGTAATGGCCAGACAAAGAAGCTCACTCTTTCATCAAATCGTTCACAACAAACAACAAACAACAATAATTCCGATGATCTCATTTCTGAAACTTGCAATAGATCTTATTGACAACAGCGTTCGGATGACAGGTGAAGAAAGTGAGAAATAGTGTTGCATGTTCTTTACGAAATGTGTATATAAAGAAAGATTGATCTTGATTTGTGTTTATATGGGAAAGGAAAAATGTGTGGAGTAGGTGATTGCACTTGATGTGTGATAATGCTTGTAGAAGATGTTTGAGAAGGATCTATTGACCTGGCTTGACCCGTCTGATCCAATGGAACCTCTCCAGGTCCGTGCCAGATCTACATTCCCGCTTTCATCATCTCCCTTCTTACTTGCATGATGGTCCTTCAGATGCACGTGTGTTGAGAATCAAAGCAACAATCAATCCGTACAATCCCAAAACTTCTGCGAAAATCAAGATCAAAATCATACCGATGAACAATCTTGGTTGTTGAGCTGTTCCTCTTACACCTGCGTCTCCCACAATTCCGATTGCGATTCCTGCTGCCAAACCAGATAATCCGACAGAAAGACCTGCTCCTAATTGAATGAAACCGGCGTATAATGTCATTGGGTTTTCAATTCCACCCGAAATCAAAACACTAACGACCAATCCATAAATGGCAATAATACCAGCCATAACGACTGGAATAATACACTTGATCAACAAGTCAGGACGCAAGACACCCATTGCACTAATACCGACACCGGATTTTGATGTACCGTACGAAGCACCGAGACCTAGACAAGATGACAAAGCGGGAAGGATTGTCAGTGACCACAGCGTTATAGGGAGATAGCAGCAATTCACTACTCACAGGTGAAGACGATAGCAGCAGTGCAGCCCTATTGAATGCCACGGAAAGAAGAAGAGGAGGGTATGATAAGCATCTTTATCGAAATCATCCTTCCATTCCATGCTTTACTCACCATTGCACCAAAGAATGGTGCATACACGGGACACAGTTCAGAGCTCGACATCTTGAATATTGATTTATTTGTTGTTTTGTGTCGGTCGGTGACAAGATGAGAAATTGATCGAAGGTGAGAGATGAACTTCAAAGATTCGCGCGATGAACGATGGCGGCAAAAAGGTTCGCAAGCCAAGCAACTGACACTGTATGCACACAATAGAGGGGGTGTGTGTGTATGTGCGAGCGAGGGCTGACAGTCAGGCTTTGAAGATGTAAGAAAGAGGCATGTGCGCGGCTGAGTATGCATTTGCGCTGTGCTTTAACGTTGAATAACCCCTTTCCTTTCCTTCTGCGCGTGCTAAATGACAAAGCATACACACACACACTCTCTCTCTCTCTCGTCCACGTGTCGGGCATTGAACAAAGCTGTATTCACTCACACTCACGCGAATGTGCTGCCATAGATCTTCTTCTCCGTGACATCATATACACAACTGTTGTTGCTCTCTCTGAATTTAATCCACTGCTTGCTTTGACATCATCTTTACCAATAATCTGCTGCATAATTATGAAAGATGGTGAAACTGAGAGGAAATGCTGTCATGGCAGTAACGCCAAACATTGCCTCGCAATTGAAATTGTTCGGTGTTCAGGACGACAAAATGAGAATAATCTTGGAAGACGAAAGTTTTGACAGATTTGAATCGGTATTTGATGCATTGACGAAGGAAATCGAAGTCGAAACAATCACTTCTTCCAAATTGTTTCCAGAGCCTGCATTTGCGCAAAACTCCATGAATGAGGCAAACAAGAATATGCGTTCTCTTAGGGTCTTGTCACTTTTTAGTGGTTGTGGTGGGTTGGATAGAGGCCTTGCAGGTGCAGATGGCAAAGGAGGCTTCAAAACCAAATGGGCAATCGATGCCTGTGCGAATTCCATCGAAACGCTGAAAGCTCATATGCCATCCACGAAAACATTCGTATTAGATGTAGGTGATGTGTTGGAGCAAATGCATACTTTGCCCGGAATGCCAAAGAAAGGCGAAGTGGATGTGATTCTGATGGGAACACCTTGTGAGCCGTTCTCTTTCCTGGTGAGTACACAGAATAAAGATTATGAAAGTGCAAAGTTGTGGATCTGACTCTACCCTCTTACAGAATCGTTATCGATTGACGGGGAAACAAGAAACGGACCCACGCAGTCTTTTGATTTCTACCAGTATGGCTTACATGGATGTGTATCGTCCACCATATGGAGTCATCGAAAATGTTTGCGGAATGCTCGTTCATGGCGATTGTGGTGAGTACATCAAAGCATTTTGAACATTTTGAATTGACGAACAATTTGATCACCAGGAAGTGTCAAGAAAGTTGGCATAATTAGATTCATTCGTGCTTGTCTGGTTGGGATGGGTTACAATGTGCGCTTTTGCAAGGTGCAGTGCGGCTTTTACGGAGTTCCACAGCACAGATGGAGAGTCAAATTCATCTTTGCCCAAAAAGGTCTCACGTTGCCTCTTGCACCATGCCCAACAACTCGAATGGCAGGTTTTGGAGATGCAGGCGGAAAGGGAGACGCCATCACAATTCACGATGCAATCTCAGATCTTCAACGATGGGAGTTTGTGAGTTTGAAAAGAAGAAATGCACTGATTTTATTCTGACTATCCTTTCCAGCGCAATCCTCACATAGTGTATGGAAAAGATTCAACTTTGAAAGATGACCGACAAGACTATTTGAAACCTTTACAATACGATTCAGATGGAATGACAACCATTGGACCATTTCAAAGCCAGTACGCTTCCCATCCTCAGAATGATTTTCAACGCAGTGTAAGACCTGTCCCGTCTGACTCAGTCTATCAGCATCAAACCTTACCAGTACATCTTCCAGCAATTGAGAGAATTTGGAACATCCCGTTCACACCTGGCTCGAACCACCTCTCTTTGTTGAACGGTCATGCTCGCTTGGCACTCGGTTCATCTGTTGAGTTGGAGGGAGAGCATGCGAGCCAGAAAGCATACGGCCGATTAGACTCAAACGGGATTTTCGACATCGTCACCTCAAACTATACCCTTGAGACCAAACATGGAAGGTGAGTAAGCAAGGGAAATATTAATGCAGTCAAGCTGACTTACCTTTCCTGCCGATTGATTGACAGAATGCTGATGCCGGATCAAAATCGATTGCCAACATTACGAGAACTAGCAAGAGCGCAAGGATTCCCTGATCCCATCTTCTTTCATGGCTCACCGAACCAGATCGTTCGTCAGATCGGGAATTCCGTACCGGTTCCACTCGGCCGTACGATTGGCAAAAGCATACGAGAAGCCGCCATCCAAGATTACCTCAATGGTGATAGAAGGTTCGCTCGTCCATCCTCACATCAAAAATCGTAATCATCAAACAAATTACACTTTTTTCGTCCTTTTTACAAAATATATCATTTCAATAAAACATGAACATAAACAATTGTGGAATGAGAATGCGACATAAATGAAATGGTATGAATGTTATAATGATCATGAAAGGACCAAAGCCCTCTCATATGCAACATTTTTTGAGTCTTGAAAACGATGGTAATCCTTCAGGCTGCCTTGGCTGCACCAGCTTTTTGCTCTCCACCACCTCCGTTGCTTGCGGCTGATTTCCTTCTCTCGCCATGGCCACCTCTACCACCTCTTCCACCACGTCCGCCACGAGATCCACCTCTGCCACGACCACGTTCACCGCCGCCACCTCTTGCAGGTACAGAGCTTGCTTCTCCATCACCTTTTGCTGTTGGCGCTTCCGTTCCGCTTTCCGCTCCTGCTCCTGCACTTTTGGTCGTATCATTACTAGGCTTTGCATCATTGCTTTCTTTGGCAACATGCTTTGCTTCACTCTCTGAAGCGCTCTTTTCACTTCGGCTTGACCAGCCTGCACTACTTGCTCCACTCTTTTTGTTACGATGTCCACGTCCTCTGCTAGATCTTGACGCTGAAGCATGCTCTTCATTTGCGCTCGCTCCGTTTGCAGGAGTGGCAGGCGTTGCGGTTGCCTCGGATTTCGTCGACTCTGCTACTTTGGTCTCTTTGATGGCAGGTGTTGCTACTGTTGGCTGTGATTTTTCACCATTAGCAACACCTTTTGGTCCGCGCAAATTACCTTCATCACCGCTGCTTCGATGTCCATGCTTTGCTCCACGTGAAGATGTTGGTCGAGAATGTCCTTCCTGATCAGAAACCGTTCCTGCACTAGCACCACTTTGACTATTGGCAGATCGATGTTTTGGATTCTTTGGTGGGAATTGTCCTCGTCCAGGTGGTGTACTGCTTGCTGGTGCTTGACCTTCCTGTTGTCTGAACTTGGCTGGTCCTGTGGGTATCTTGGGCGATTGTTGCTGTCTGACAGCAGCTTGTGGAGCAGTGTTCGGAACAGTAGTGGCTGCTGCTGGTGATGGTGCGGGCACAGATGCAGTCTCGGCTCGACGATATGCAAAATTGAATCCTTGACTCTTCATCTCACTGCTCACCTTGCCTTCACTAATATCAAGCACAAGATGACCGAAAGCTGCATCGGGCAAGTTCCAATTCCATGTATTCTTCCAAGCCGGTTCTTCTTGCAACGGTCCTCCTGTTCCGGTCGTTTGGCTCGGTGCACGATTTGTAACTGCCAAACCGTTGTTCAGCAGGATTCTTTGTTGATCATCTACAACTTCTTCCACTTGTGCTCGTACACTATCCCAAACTTCTCCGAAAGCGGACTTTGATTGTAGAAGCTTACGTCTGAATTGTTCTGGATCACTTTGGACGCTGAACTCGTTGTAAGATGCTCCGTAACGGAAATGCAGGCCAGCAGAAATTGTCAGATCAGCCTTGAGAGCCAGAGCCAGCTGCATCAACAACCCTTCCCTTCCTGGTGAAGCATGTGTGACCAATAATCGTGTTTCGGATGGATCGTAACATTTCTGTGCTGTATCAACCAATTCACCAATTTGTAAGATCGTAGTCCACATCGTACCTTGACCACCAGCGATCGTTGCTGCACCTTCTCCGTTATCGAACAGCTTGTGTAGCACCACAGCACCGCCCAATCCGAACAAACGCAATCGGACACCTCCAACCTCCAAGGCTACTGTGGATGCTTCATCGAGAACATGCAAATTCTCAATCTCATACTCCTTTGTGCGTATTTTTTCTAGAATTCGAACATCTTCACATGCTCCCCAAACAGTGTAAACCGGTACATTCAATCGCAACTTTCCTGATAGCAACGATGGAAATTCTGTTAGTAAGGGACTGTCGGGATGAGCCAAAATTTGATTGCGCATCTCCTTGCAAGGTGTTGTAGGAGGTGGCATGGCAGCATTTGTACCTGTACCATTTCCAGTCGAACGTGCTGCTCCTGGAACATCGGCAGTGAGGAGCTTTGTGCGTAATTGTGTGGGTATCAAAGTTGAATATTGCACCAAATGACGTAATGTTCGATCGCTGATCCGTTCAAAGCTTTCATTTTCATAAAATCCAAAATCTCCCGAGTGAATGATTGCTTGAGCGTCAGTTTGAGCGGCAAGTTTGTTTAATGAGCTCAAATTACCACGAACGTCGGCCACACATAAGATTCTGCCGCCTGGACCTTCGATCAAATGTGCTTTGCCTGCTGCAGAAGAATTGATTGGACTTGCTTGAACGGCAGCATTTGGACTACGACCTGGATAATTACGACGAGGAGTGCTACTGTTATTCACACCGCGTGAGCCAGGTCCAAAAGTGGCGGCCGTTGCATTTGAATGAGCAGGCGAAGTGGTTGCAGATGTTTGTCCGATTGAAGAAGCGGAAGGTGCGGCTAAATGTGGTGAAGCCATTTTGTCTGATTGATCAGGAATGATTGCAAGTTCAGCTTTTGGGGTATTTGGTCTTGATCGTGGTAATGTTACGTTTATGGCTTCTTTTTCAAAAGGTGAAGATGTCTTGGAGCTTGACTGTGGCCCCGATGTCGACCTTGAAGTTGCGTCAAAGGAAGAGGGTGGGGGCCTTGAAAGTCTTTTTGCCTTGGCGAAGAGTATGTTGGTGGAGGGTGATGATGAGAATGAAGATGGTAAAAGAACAAAGGATAATCAGATGTTCTTCTAAACCTTAAATTGAAGATGCAATTAACAAAGCGTGAGAGGTATGATTGGATTGGATTGTATGTGTGCTAGCGGAACCGTGGTTAACAGCCATTCAACACACACACACACACACACACACACTTTGCATTGACACGCATTCGGGCCAATGCGAGTTAATCACGTGATATTAACGCTAAATCTTACCTGCCTTGCCCCGATCCACGGGTCAGATTGCATTCAACGCGATTCTCTGCAACAATTTCCTTCTAGACTGGAAAATACAAGCAAGGGGGAGACTATTCATTGGTTCTGAAACAACGGCCTCCTTGATGCATTTTGGCTCTTTAAGAGAGGAGATCATTAAAATCTTCCGATAAGTTCAGGAACATGGAAACTAGTCATGCTGAGATGATGAAAATTAGAACGATTCTAAACTCATACACTTGATATTTATTCCCCTACCTATATACGAATCGCTGTCAATGTCATCAACTTGTGGCAAATGTCATAATGGCGTTTAAAATGACCACTTTAAATCATAAAGTGCTCTCATAACTTTCCTTTAGCGCAAACTTCTCTACGCCTCATCTTCACGCTAGAAAAAAGAGGGGTGTAGCCCGTCAAAGAGCACAAACAATGCACCTCACCTGTTCCCATAAAAACCACGCTAGTCCGAATACCAAGGGTAAATATCTTGCGTTTTTGTTTGTTAGCGTGGTTTGTTTATATGTGTGCATGTTTTGCATAAACACTGATTGTATGCTTGTTTTTCCCGATCAATCTGCATAATTTCATTCTCCTACGTTCATTGTTCTTCAAGCACGCCAATTTGTGGGTAGAAGGTTTGTCTGTTCTGTTGCAGCAAGTAGTCTTGGTCTCTCTCTCTCTCTGTCTTTTAGGTTTCATTTTTACTTACACGCGCAATGTGATTTGATTGATTGATTGATTGATGAACGGACATCTTATTATATGAACAACTTCATTTAACACTCTTTCATTTCATCATCACCACGAACCTCTTTCTCTCTTTTATACACATAAACGGCTCATTCAAAGGGGAAATGATTGATCAACTTTAAACAAAGGTAAGTACTCAATCAAAGAACAAATAGAATTACGGCACCGCAACTACAAAAAGAAAGGTCATCGAGAGTATATTTCGGATGACCGTTGCGGACAACGGAGCATGAAGAGAAAAAGAGCAAAAGAAGAAAAGAATTATATTACAAATTTCTTTGCCCATTTTACGGCCCGTCTTTTTGCGCAATATGCCACAGTAAGCGGTCATGGAGATGCCGTGTGTATCTGTCTCTGTACGCCGCCTTACAAGTTATTATTATTCATTGTGCCGTCATGAATGCGCACTCAGAATAATGGGGGTGCAAAAATAACATCATTCTAATCTCATCCTAATAACGATCACTGACCATGATTATTCTTCCTCTTCTCTTTCACGCCTTTCATTCCCACGTATCCCTTTCGAAATCATCATCATCATCACTTGCAACCATTTTCCCTTTAGCATTGACAGTGTATCGATTCACACTTGCACTCGCATTCGACAATCGCCTTTTTTGACGTTTTACACTTCGATCTCCAATATATGCTTTTGCTTTGATAGCTTTGGCCACGTTCGTTTCTCTCAACCTTTTATCAACCTACATCGATCTCTTTTTACGACCTTTTCCTTCATCCTCGCACTCAATCCAACCATCACGACATACTCGCACGCACACACACATATACGCCAGAATGAAGGTCCAAATCTGGGGTCAATTACTCGCCCTGACTGTTTTGGCAGTCATCACTTCCACGCAAGCAACAAATGATCCCAATCTTTCTGCACTACAAGGTCGTGGACAGAGACCATCAAAGCAGCTAGGTGGCACACTAGAAAAGAGACTTGGAAATGTAGTCAACTCAGTCACAAGTGCTTTGACCGGTGATAATGGCGACAACGGAAAAAAGAATGGAGATAAAAGTGACTCTTCCGATAACTCTAAAAGCGGAGACAAACAACAGCAATCATCTTCGTCCACTTCCTCCTCTTCTCACGAATATTCCAGCACACCTACACCAAAGAACGATGACAAATCACAATCGCAATCAAGCAATCAGCAGCATGATAACTCGGGCGATAATGGTCTTTTGAGTGGAGTAACAAAAGCAGTAGGCAATGTTGTCGGAGGTGATTCGAGCACCAAATCTGGCTCTTATAAACCCTCTTCGACACATTCGAGCTCAGATGATCAGCAGAGACACTCTTCCGACAACCAGAACTCTTCTGATGATAGCGACAATGGTCTCTTGAGTGGTGTAACCAAGACGGCCGGTAAAGTTTTGGGAGATGGAAGTAGTGGCGACGATGACCAGAAGAAGAACGGTCAAAGCAGCTCTACTCACAGTTCATCTCAGTCTCAATCGACTCAATCAAAAACGCAGGACAAACAGTCTGATGGAAAGGACAATGGTAGCTTGCTCGGTAGCATCACCAACTCTGCTGGAAAGTTATTGGGAGGTGGAAGTGACAGTGGATCAGATGACAATCAGAACAAGAAAGGTCAGTCACAGTCCAACGCACAACAAAAGAGCAAATCAACTGATAGCGACAGTGGTAGCAACAGCGATGACAACAAACAGGGTGGTGGTCTACTAAGCGGCATCACACAAAGCGCTGGCAAATTATTGGGAGGAGGAGACGACAATAGCTCCAGCAAGTCCAACAGTCAGCCTTCTCAAACTTCGACCAACACAGCAAGCGATGACAAACAGAATGACAACGGTCTGTTGAGCGGTGTAACAGGTACGGCTGGCAAGTTGCTCGGTGGAAATGGTGCAGACAAAAGTCAGAGCACATCTTCACAGCCTTCATCAACATCAGATTCATCGTCTGACAACAAGAAGAGCGGCGGTGGTCCTTTAGATGGTCTAGGTGGTGTATTGGGAAATCTCGGTGGAGGTTTAGGAAACGGCCTTGGAAATGTTGAACAAGGATTGGGATCAGCTGTTCATGATCTTGGAGATGGACTTGGAAACACTCTAGGTGGAGATGGAAGTGGAAAAAAGAGCGGCGGCCTACTCAGCAACGGTGATGGCTCCTCCTCTTCCAGCGATGGTCAACCCAAGAATGTCGTTACCGGACTAGGCAGTGCTCTGGGTGATGTTCTCGGTATCCCTAGCAATGGCAATGACAAGGACAACAGTTCCGGGAATGACCAGAGCAACAGTGGAGGTCTGTTACCAGCACTTGGCAACATTGTGGGCAATTCCGCTTCATCAGACGACGGTGATTCAAGCGGCAAGCAAAAGAGCACCGGATCGGATGACGGCAGCAAGACATCTGAAGGCTTGTTGGGCGCACTCGGCAGTCTGACTGGAAACAAAGCCGACCAAAGTGACGGTCTCGGCGGTGGATTAGGAGATACCGTAGGAGGATTGTTGAACGGTAAGCCATCAAGCGACTCATCCTCGGACGGTTCAGACTCTCAAGTCGGTGAAAGCAAAGCCAATTCTGGCTTGTTGGGCGGGTTGGGAGATCTTATCGGAGGCGGAAGCAGCGATGGCCAAGGCTCAAACAATGACGGCCTTTTGAACGGTGTTGGAGGTTTATTGCAAGGCGGTGACAGTTCTTCTTCCACTGGCAATAAAAATTCCGATAGCTCAAACAATGGAGGTCTTTTGGGTGGCCTCGGCAGCGTCCTTGGAGGACCGAAGAAGGATTCCGATTCAGGTGTCTTAGGAAGTGTAGGTCAACTACTTGGCGGATCGAATACAAATGACAACAGTAATTCGAACGGCGGTGGAAAAACAGGAGGCCTTTTGGGTGGATTAGGAAGCGTTGTAGGCGGCCCATCCGATAGTAGCGACGAAGGTCTTCTAGGAGGCGTCGGTCAGCTTCTCGGAGGAACAAACACAGAAGGAAATTCAGGTTCCGGCAGCAGCGGCGGTAGCGGCGGCAAGCAAGGTGGTTTGTTGGGCGGTCTGGATGGATTGTTAAATGGAACGCCATCCGACGACGATAATGGCAAGCAAGGCGGTTCAGGAGGCAATGGTGGTCTCTTGGGTAGTCTGGGCAACGCACTCGGCGGTCAAGACCATTCAGGAGGATCAAATGGAGGCAATAACAATAACAATGGAGGTAGCAAAGGTGGTCTTTTGGGAGGATTAGGATCTGTTTTGGGCGGAGGTCAAAACAGTGGCTCAGGCTCTTCCAACGGCAACAATAATGGCGGTTCCGATTCAAACAATAATGGTGGTGTTCTAGGCGGATTGGGATCAATCTTGAATCCTGGTAACAGCGGCTCCCAAAACAATGATGGCGGAAGTACTTCTGGTGGCCAATCTTCCAACAGCGGCTCACAATTTGGAACAGATCCTGAATCAGGTAGCGGCAGTCTTCCAGCCTATGGCGGTATTGGATATGTACCACCAGTTTCCACTCAATCTGGCTTGGGTAGCGATAGTAATCCAACCCAAAGTGTCAGCCCAAGTACCAACACCGGTACAACTTCCAAGCCAGAGACTTCATCGTCAAATGAGAGTGGCAGTGGCAGTGGAAATCCAGCAACGGCCAGCAGAATTCCTGCCACACAGGCATTCGGATATGCTAATCCAGATCAATTGATCTTGCCAAGTTCACAGGACAACAATGGCAACAGTGCTACTTGGAACTCTTCTCTCGGTTCATCATCATCATCCATTCCTCTACCTAATACGATCATCCCAGAAGGTGCAGCCAATTCTCAACCTCCAAATACAACCGTGATCGCTATTCTCTTCAAGCCGATCTTGAAATGGACTTTCTTGGCTACCTCTACAGGAACCGTTGCTCAAATCTTTGGTTACATGCCCGGAATCATCTCCGAAGCTATTAATCTACAACCTGCTGACATCAGCACTGTGCGATTACAGAGTTATTATCCAACGGACGATAAGACCAATCAAGATAATGCTTTGTCTTTATATGTTGCTTACATACCCACAGACCAAGCGATCAATCTGCAGAAGCAGGTGAAGGACTACAACGCCTCTTCGTTCTATACCTTGCCAACGAACAACGTCGCCAAGGAATTGTCACAAGAAGTTGATCCAAGCTTTGACATTTTGAGCATGGCATCAGTTTTGAAGCCAAACGCAGCAACATTGCAAGCCAATCGTGACAGTAATGCAACCTTGCGCAATGCTTTGGTAGGCGTGGCTGCGGCTTTGGTAGCATGTATTGCAGCCTTTATTGCATGGCGTTTGTGGAGACATAAGAAGAAGCAACAACGTCGTTTGGCATCTGCTTCGATCTATAATGGTGCTGCAGCTGGAAGGGCGGGAACGATTCGTTCTTTCGGTGGTGGTGCAGGTAATAGAAGCTTACGTGAGACATGGGCTCCAAGCGTGCACGAACAAGAACGTGTATTACAAGGTCAATTAACGGAGACTTGGGATCATGCAGTAAGAAATCCCATCAGTTCTCACGGTCATCGAAGCAATATGCAATCCGAAATGGCATTCACGGCTGCAATGCCAAGTCATTATACATCATCAGCCGGTCACACCGATCCATTCCACGATGCAACAGAGAATCGTGCAAGTCAAGAAACTGAAAGAACGGGAGGTTCTTCCAGTTTGAGCAGCAGAAGTAGCGCAGAAAGAAGGAACACTCTATTGTCGAACAGATTCAGTACAGGATCAGGATCTAGCTTGACGGAAGCACAAAGAATTCAACAGGCATACATAGACAGTCAAGCACCTTCAATCACCTCAGCAGCTGATGCATTAGCATCCACAAGCGTATTCCAAGATCAATATGATACGCCACAACAATACACATCTAGTCATGCATACGGACCAAGAGTGGCAGATAACCGTAAGAAGCGTTTAAGCAAAGGCAGCGTAACTGGTAGTTCAATCTCTAGACCAGAGATGAGAAGCAACAGTATGCTGTTCTGATTTGATTCTTCGTTTCGACACTTCTTTTTTATCTTCGTCAAGGGCTTTCGCTTTTCAGAACAATTTCTCATTTCCAAAAAATGATCCCCACCTATTCACTCGGATCATCATACCCAAGACCCATTTGATCATAGGTTTGCTTCAATCTTCTTCACACAAAATCAAATACCCTTTTTCTGGTTTTCAAGCTGGATTTCGATTTGATCTCTTTTGGTTGAGCCTAGGAGTCATTCGAAACATTTGCGCAATAGATTCAATCTTTTACGACAACACAACACATTCGCTCCATCTTTTTGTACTTTTTTTTCTGTAAATGTTTGCTGATCAGTTTCTTTTGTTAAACTTTGGTCGCACATTCATCCATATATATACATTCTTTCGCTTTCACCATCTCTTCGTAGATATACAAGAGAGAGACATTCATTTTTACCCAATTTTCATTGCATTTCAATCATTTATAATACGAGTGATTATGGCGGGATTGTGTTTTCTTAGGGCGTTCAGGCAGTGAAGCAGTGTCTTAGCGTAAAATCAAAGCGGCTCGCGCACGGCAATGAAATGTGACAATGAATCAATCTCAGCTTGATCGATGACCATCACCACGATCATCTTTCACACGCAAGATGTCTACGCCAGGCGAAGGTAGATCACATCCATTACGACCATACTACTCTTCCACAGATGAAAATGCGGCATTCGTAGCCACAGCACCACGCTTCCAGTCTAACGCAGGCTCAAATTCCACGTCCGGATCATCTCGAGGAGGTTCTTTTGCTCCTGCTGGATTAAGCTCAAGTCGATATGCAAGTGCAAATGATGATGCAACCTTAAACGAAGCCATTGCTGATTTGAATGGTGGTGGCGGAGGCGTGAAGGATTGGGCACGTTCGATTGCAATCTCGGCGGCTTTTGGTTACACGTCAACGTGTTTGGCAATGCCCTTTGAAGTTGGTAAGCTTCTGTTACAGATTCAATGGGTACCAAGAGATGAAGTTTGGGTAGCATTCGGAGATATGGAAAGGGAAGATGAGATGGTAAAGATGAATTCCTTGGCAAGAAGCAGAGGCAATCAAAGAAGATCTGGTTCACCTACAAGTAGACGTTCAGCAATCGGTCGTAATGAATGGAATGAAGGTGAAGAAAGCGATGAAGGTCCGGATGATGAAGACTTGATGGGCGGATCATCAAGCTGGGCAGACGAAGGCGGAAGTAAGAGAGATTTCGGAGGTGAGCAAGATGAATTATCCGATGAAGATGATGCGGAAGCCTACTTTAGAGATCTATCCGATCAATCTGGAAGGCCGACAAATCTGACCAATCGAACGGAACGACAAAAGAGGAAGAAGACAGATTCTTCCGGCTATGTTATGCGCAAAAGCGTTCATGAGGATACCACAAGACCCGAATTTGTCATGCCAGTCGTTGTTCGAGGTGGTGTCTGGGAAATGATAAAAGCAGTCGGAAGAGGCAAAGAAGGTTGGCTAGGCTTATGGAAAGGATCTTTAACGACCTTCGTGATCGATACAGTAACACAGACCGTTCAACCTTTTGTGTCTTTTGTTCTCTCGTTTGCTGTGCCCTCGGCTTTGACACCTTTACCTTTGCCGTATGCACCATATCCTCTCAGATCGTTGAGTCTCCTATTAGCCTCACATTTGGTCACAGGTGTTATCGTCTCTCCTTTGGATCTCGTCCGTACAAGATTGATTGCTCAATCCACACTACCGCCCCATCGCAAGTACAACTCACCCTGGAATGCACTTCAACAGATTCTACATGAAGAAGGCGGCTGGCGCACGGTCTACTTCCATCCCAACCTTTTCATTCCCACCGTATTGGATTTCACAGTTAGACCTCTTTTGAGTCTAGGAGCCCCGCTATTCATCGAACATAGATTACGACTAGATCCAATGACAAGTCCAGTGCGTTATTCGTTGGCCGAATTTTGCATCTCAACGGCCAGTCTTTTGGTCACTCTGCCGATCGAGACGGTACGTAGGAGATTACAGCTACAAGCAAGGGCTGCTTGGGGTAAGAAGATCTCAAAAGTGCACGGAAGTAGACCTAAACCAAACCATAGAAGTTCCGGATCAGCAAGTACACTTTCATCCCTTCAAGGTCAAGAAGAAGTTCAAAAGAGCCCATCTTCTCGATCTGAGAGGAAAGATATGGGAAACACATTCTTTGCAAGTGTGACTGGAGCTATTCCACAACCGATTTTCAGCAAGCCATTACGCACATGCGTGGAAACAAGACCGAAGCCATATGAAGGTGTGGCAGAAGCAATTTACCGTATCCTAACAGAGGAAACCAGTATAACACCTGCCAAGAAGATTGGCAAGGGAAGCAAGCCTGGCAATACAGAGCCTGTAGATCTCAAAGACAGCGGTATCTTGGCCAAGCCTGGCTCATCGACTTTCGGCGGTCTGTATAGCCTTTATCGCGGTTTAGGATTCTCTATTGGAGCCAATGCTCTTGTCTTTGTCCTAACGATCGTGACTGGTGAACGCACCCATGGTACAGCTGGATGGACAGAGATCTGATTTTGCTACCCACTATTATTTGCACTTCTACTATATACCCTTATTGTTTGATTTTTGTTTCTTAAGGTTAGGATTATTCTAATCTTCAGTAGACAGTCTCTATACTAAACCTCTTCCCTACTCTTCTTTGCTCTATTGTGAAACACTCGCCACTCAATGAGATGATTGGATTAGATCATTTATACAGAATGTAGCGCTTCCCGATATCAAGAACTCGATTGAGAGGCTGCAGATGCTGCTGCTGCGATGGATGCCTGTAATTCTTCTCTTTGTTGATTGATTGAATCTTGCATTGCTTGAAGTTTGGCTCTTCCAGATCTGAGCTTTCTTAATCCATCAAGTTCGGCTCTATTGGCGAAACGTACAAAATAAATAAAAGTTCCCATCATCAAGATGAACATCATTACGGAAATTGACCATTGAATTAAACCTTCTTCGGCACGAACGGCTCCCATCTTTTCAAGTTCCCATAAACAAGTCTCAAACTGTTTACTCATGGCTTGACGTGAGAATTTTTCTTTCACACGATCTTGTGCGTTTCGCGCAATCTCTTTTTGTTGCGATTCACTCAACTTTAGCAAATCCAACGCAGCTGGAGCCCATAATGTTGCCTTTGCACGACGAAGGAGACCTGTTCCGCTCGTGTTGGTATAGAGTAATCCTCCATTCGGACCATCAGTGGTGCCTTTTTCATTTTTCTGTACATTCAAATCTACCACGCTTTCCATCGGACCTCCAGTATTTGTTGCCAATACGGGAACACCAACTGCCATTGCCTCTAAAGGTACGATTCCGAAATGCTCATCCGTTGGTGTGTAAAGCAGGATTCTTGTTGATCGATTTTTCAACAAACTTGTCAGTAACACATACGGTACACTTGGCAAGAAGATCACGCTTGCATTCTTCCATTCAGCTGCAGGAGGAGCACTTGCAGGAGGTTCATGAGGACTTGCACGATTATAAAAGAGTGTCAATTGTGCCAAGCCATGCTTTTGACATTGTTCTTGAAGTTCTTTCAACGTCAGAATGTTATCTTGCAATCGATAATCATATCCACCTGCCAAGACCAAACGCAGCTTTTGAGAATTTCCTTGAGCAGCATATTCCTTTTGCACCTGTACAAATGTCTCTAAAGCCAGCGCAACGTTCTTCTTTGCCTCGAAGCGATTGATCGAGATGAGTGTTGGCCTGTCTTCTGATTGAACGATTGTTCGGATCGCTTTTTGCACAGATTCAACACCGGAATCTGTTGTTGGATTCTTTGATTCGTTAGCGGTAAGCTTTGCAAGTTGTGATGTGATATGTGCATCCGAAGACTCTTGTAAATCGATACCGGGATAAACAACTCTAGGAATTCTTGCCAAACGGTGAAATGTTTGCACGAATTGCCTGGAGGTGAATTCGGAATTGACCATAATTTTGTCTGATGTACTTAAAGTCATCTCCTCCAACATATCAAAAGGAATGCGGTATATAGAGCGTACAACGCCTGGACCTGGCTGACCACGCTCGATGGCTTTTTGCAAGGCGATACTGTTGCTCACATCTTTGTCGGGAAAGTGACAGTAAAAGATGACTCTTGTTGCAGTAAAGATCCGTAAGAGCGGAACGATGGCGGATAATTGATCGACGACAAATGCGTCATACCCTTGCAAAGGTGAAAGACTCGTTAGTAGCTTATAGAGGAAGCTTGGTATTGAGCCATGGAATCGGAAAGCGAACAGAGCGAGTAAGAGTTGGAAAAAGAGTGACATCTGTCTTGCAATGGCTAAGGGTAAATGAAGTCCGCCAAAGATATGTCGGGGAACATTTGTCTTGGCATGCCGAACGTTTAATGTACCATCCCGTGTTGGCTCGAAACAATGGGTTGGGTCATGATGCGAAGTGATAATATCTACCTCATGACCTAATTCTTGCAAACCAATCGCTGCATCGACTACTAATCTTTCTGCTCCACCGATTCCTAGATCTGGATGAATGAAAGCTACTCTGAAAGTTTTGTTCTTTCTGATTTGTTCATTGATTTGCTCGGTATTATCGTGTGGATCAAAAGACATCTTTGTGTTTGTCATTGAGCAGTTGGAAGAATGCTAAGAAGCCGTAAATCCGGAGAAGAATGACCGTTGCGCACAAGAGGTCACACACACACACACGCGTTAGAAGAGAGTGAAATGGATTTGTTGTGTTACTTTTGCACGCTAAAACATCGGAAAAAGGCTTTACCAATAAACGCTGTACAGCCAACAACAAGCGGGCCTACCGAACCGAAATGAGAGAAACGTCAACTATCTTTCTTTTTTCTCTTCTACCATAATAATTGTGGCTGAGACGTAATTATCCGAATATGAACATTACCTTCTCTGACTAGCTCAGGAACCGCATCCCCAAAGTCCAGAATGAAATTATTTTTGGGGAAAGCGGCTCCTTAATTTGATCAGAATTTCTTGTCAAGACACAGATTTGATGCCGTATAATCTGAAAGCTGTGTCACCGTTACTGACATTAGCATATGACATCAACATACCGGTGCCATCCCTTTCCACGAAAAAATATCCGGTACCGTTCCAGCATGTTCGACATTAGCAAAGCTATCATGAAGCAAGGAAAGCCTATAAAATATGCTCAGAAAGTGGTACAATATTTCACCTCCTCCCACGATTTCCCATACAGCTGCACTTAGATATGATTCTGACAAAGCCTCTCCTCTTTTTGACTATCTTGGTCCAGGTCGCTTGGGCTTCCACGAAGCCTAAAGATGAACAAACGGTTTCACCGTCCATGGAAAAAGTCTTTATTTCTTCTCAAACTACTCCACCTGCAATCGTAACCGACTTCCTCGATACGGCTACGTATTATGGAGGTCAACGTTCAGAGTTGGTAGCAGATGATCTATTGCAACAGGCATTCGATATGGGTCTAACTCTAACAACTGTTCAATATGATGCTATTGGTGATATAAAAGCATCTGAATTCGTTCCAGGTCCACCAAAAGATTTCCATAAATCATGGGAAGATGGTGCTTATGCACTTGCAATTACCTGTAACAAATTTGGCGATTCGATCGTCGAAAATCTCAACAAGAATTGCGATAAATGCGGAAAAGTTTTTACGCTCGGCTTGTTTTGGGGAACATTTAAAGGAATGAATTTCGATAAGGATGCGATCCTGTCAGCCGGTTGTTCAGCATTAGAGATGGAAAATTCCGATAGTTGTTTCCAAAATTTCCCAAAAGGTTGCTCTTTGAAAGCCGTAGGTGATCCAGTGTCTTTATGGACGGAACAAACGGTCAGAATAGCCGAGAACTCAGGCTCAAAAGAGGAGATCGTCGCTGCACTAAAGAAGTATGGTCAAGAAAAGTCTCAAAATATCACACTTCCTTCTACTTGAATTTGACAACATGTCTCGACAGTACGCTCGTAACTGTTTACCAAAATATCACCCCCTCTTTAAGAATGATCTCTTCATTTACATTATGCAAAGAGATCTATATAATCACAACTCATTTAAGACGGCCCCCTATGTCACATTCCTAAATTATATTATATTTCCAATTCATACTCATTGCTTGCAATCTCGAAAGACATAAATAAGGAGGTCATTGGGCTAGGACCTGTTTGCATTGCCCACTTCGGCTCACGTCTTTCTCTCAACCACTTTCATAAAGAAATTTGCAGGTATGATGATGAAAAACTTCTCACTCACCAAAGTGTCCTTATTATTTGCGCTCTTTGCAGAGGTAATTCTCGCATCGGCAGTGAATAAGCGAGCTCCTGTCTCTGGTTCAATGAACAATGTTATCATTTCTTCAATGAACAATCCTCCTTCGGATGCTCAAGGCTTTCTCAAGCAAGGCTCATTCTATGGTGGAGCACGTTCAAGTATGGAAGCAGATGGAGTGATACAACAAGCTATGGGTTGGGGAATGGCTTTCACAACTGTACAAATGCCTTTGAACACCGTCAAAGCCGCAGAGTATGTTCCTGGTTCGCCTGCAAGTTTCACAGAAACGTGGCAAGGTGGTGCTTATGATATGGCTCTGACCTGTCATAAGTATGGTCAATCAATCGTTGACGATTTAAATGCAAAATGCAAAAATTGTGGAAAGACGTATACCTTAGCAATAGTTTGGGGTATATTCAGTGGTATGAATTTTGATAAAGATGCAATCTTCTCTGGTGGTTGTTCAGCTTTAGAAGTAACAAATTCAGACAGTTGTTTCAACAACTTCCCAAGCGGTTGCTCAATTCGTGCAGTTGGCGAATCGGTTGAACTGTGGAACGAAAAAACAACTCATATCAGTGTTAATGCAAGATCCCGCAGTCAAATCATTGCTGCCATCAAGAAATATGCAGCCGACAAGCATCTAAGCGTTGCCCTTCCACCAGCCTAGAAGTATCCAAGCTCTCTCTCTCTTTTCCCCTACCACATTTTTCCCACATTATTCAGCCCCTCACAAGCTATGTAAATGTTGTGCTTGCCTTCCATAAATTTCATCAATCCACGTATTACTCCTACGTAAAATCATTTTCTAAGCCATACATTCAGAAACGGATTTCATTTTGTGTTGGCTTCCTCCTCTTTGCTGTGTTGACCCACACCACCATCAACAACTCAACTTTCACGATTCATTACCACGCATACTAAGACAACGAAAGATGAAGCTTGGAAGGAACAATTTTTTGCGCACTACATTTGTGCAGCTCTCCGTCTTCTTCTTTGCTTTTCCCGCAAATGGAGGAGTATCAAAGACAATCACACCTGCCATGAAAAAAGTTACGATAGACACAAAGCTATGGCAACCTGACCAGAATCCCGAATTTTTAGAACAAGCAATATACTTTGGAGGACAACGTAACAATGTAGCGGCAGATGGACTTTTTCAACAAGTAATGGGTTGGGGTATGGGCTTGACAGCTGTGCAATTTCCTACGAATAATTTAAGAGCTGTGGATTACATTCCTGGCTCACCCGATGGTTATGAGAATCAATGGAAAGATGGTGCTTATGGATTTGCCTATAGTTGTTCAAAGTATGGCGAGCCAATTGCAAAAAGTCTGAATGAAGGATGTAAGAATTGCGGCAAGACATACTTTTTAGGTTTGGCTTGGGGTACATTGAACGGAATGAACTTTGATAGAGACGCTGTAATGATTTCAGGTTGTTCCGCTTTGGAGGTCGTGGATTCCGACGATTGTTTTGCCAATTTTCCCAATCGTTGTTCGATTCGCGCTGTCGGCCAACCGGTTGAACTGAGGACCAAAGAACCTACAAGGATTGTAATCAATTCCAAATCAAGAGCAGAAATCATTGCAGCCATCAAAAGGTACGCTGCAGGTAAACATCAAAATATCGCGGTCCCGAGCTCTTGATTCGTCATTGCTTGGGCTTCTCTTTAGATCAAAGAATTAAAGATGTCTATGTTCGAGAGAAAGGTGTGCACAATATTTCTGATATCGCGAAATAAGATAGTATGAGCTCCTTCATTTCCAGTCCGGAGAAGAACATGGCGAAGAAATGCTTCTCTGTATGATGTTTTGATCTTTTGCTTCCAGCCTTTCCTTGCGGAAAGCTTCTTTAAAATACTATACAGCTCCCATTTTATTTTTGTAATCAGATTCTTTTGTTTCGTGGTAATTTGCGTAATAATCTGTGGCGCAAATAATATTACCCTTTCCTTTTTTCCTCAACGGATGATCCGTAATACTCAATCACGGTCAGCCGTACGAATGACGTGTATTGTTGCTGCCTTTGTAAGATCACATCAACGAGACGGCCAAATGTTGTTCGCAGAATTCAATGAACAGCACTAATTTGCGACACAAACGCCGGCATGAACCCCGCTCATGTCAATAATCAACCCTTAGAGGTTGACCGCCGTTATTTTGACCCTTTCTTAATCAATTTCGAGTGTACGTTCCTACTTTTACTCGATTGTTCCTGAGATAAATTTGATCTTGGCGTCGCGGAAGAAGATTTTCGGCTTGAACTTATTTGAAAAAAGAAAGCATTGAATGTTGAAGTTCACGACGAGATTATTAGAACGATTATTGCAGCTATCTCAAGTACTATTCTTATTTGCGTTTTAACACCGTGCATTTTCAATCCAACATTTCATGCATCTCCTTTTATTCAGTGATTGTGACTTTAAAGAGGGACTGAAATGAGAACTTGGCGTCTATATTAGTCCCTTTATAGCAAACATTGCGGCACGGTAATGTGACAAAAAAAATCTCATTATGAATGCTTGCCCCTGAGCGGAGTTCAAAGATATTTTCGACATCGAAATCTTAAGAATGAAGCAGTGAACATCCGTTGCCCTCATATTTACTCCAAGTAGGGGATAATATGGCGTTTCCTACCTTTCGCTGTTCCGCCCTAATAAAGCTTAACGGGTATCGAAAGGAATGGTGTTTGGATGGATGAAACCTTAAATATCGAGCATTCTTGACTTTCAGCTCCCTCACTCTCCATTCGCAACAACTCTGTCCCTTGTCAATTCAACCCTTTTCTTGCAACCTCAAATGATGCATTCAAAGCTTTCTTCCTCTTTCGCCAACTTGGCGTTATTCGTCTTCGTTTTGATTGAAGTCGCTCTTGCGCTCCCTTCGAGCAAGCGTGCATCTAACCCTGTTTCATCAAAGTTGAGAAGTGTCATCCTTCCAGAAGATAATGATCCTCCTCAAGATGCTTCCTCATTCTTACAAAGAGGTGCTTATTTCGGCGGAGCACGATCATCATTAGACGCAGATGGTTTAATTCAACAAGGCATGGGTTGGGGAATGAGTTTTACGGCTATTCAATACGATGCAAATACGGTAAAAGGTGCAGATTTTATTCCTGGACCACCTGAAAATTTTGTTAAAACATGGAAAGACGGAGCTTATGCTTTCGCTCTCACTTGTAATAAATATGGTCAAGCAATCGCGGATGATTTTAATGCAAAATGCAACAATTGCGGAAAGACGTACACAACGGCCATCATTTGGGGAACGTACAAGGGAATGAATTTCGATAAAGATTCAGTTCTTAGCGCTGGTTGTTCCGCTTTGGAGGTCACGAATTCCGATGAATGTTTCGCCAATTTCCCCAGTGGTTGTTCTATTCGTGCAGTAGGCCAACCGGTCGATTTGTGGAATGACAGTATTACAAGAGTGGTAAAGAATGCTAAATCTCGCAGTGAGATTATTGCAGGTATCAAGAAGTATGCGCAAGAGAAGCATGAAAGCATTGCAGTACCCTCCTCTTGAGCGCTGAGATAGTGGTAAATGATCCTAGCTAACATCACGGCAATCTTTGACTTTTCATTAAATAAACATCATCCCGCTCCTCATCTTCTCTCATTTCGCAATTCTTCCGTCATATAAGTATCAGTAATCAATATAACTTCCCCATATAACCATAGTCAGATTAAAAGCTGCTTTTGACCGTCATATGTGAAGATGGTGATTGTGAAGAGAAGTGACAACGCCCTGCCTTAATTGGCGGCTAACCGTTTATGAAGTGCAATCAGCAGCCAACAGGGCTGAGTAGCACGTGATGCCAAAAAAGCTCAAGCCGTTTGCGCGCATATGGAGGCATAGAAGCTTAAAGCAGCTTTTCGAATCACAGGGAAGGTGCTAGATTGCCTGTCTGCTTGCCTAGTGAATTTTTCAGAATTTTTTTGTTTGAGAAGAAATGGAAAATTGACATTAGAGTTGAAATGCAGAAAATTCTCAGTGCTGCTGCTTCAATAGAGGGCAACAAACGTTGGCTGTAATAAAAGTAGGGCTGAGTGGTGAGTGTAACAGTGCGCATATATAGTGTAACATCAAATACAACATCCTCATCATCATAATAACCATCATCGACGATTGATTGATCTTTCATTACATTTCATTCATCGTATAATCAAAAATGGCATCCACAGTCGGTATTGATGTGGGTAACTCCAGCAGTAAGATCGGTGCTGCCCGATCGCGTGGTGTAGACGTTTTGGCAAACGAAGTGTCAAATCGTCAAACACCTTCTTTGGTCTCATTCGGACAAAAGAGTCGTGCTCTTGGTGAATCAGCAGCCACAATGCAAACATCAAACTTCAAAAATACAATCGGATCACTAAAACGTTTGGTCGGACGAACACTACAAGATAAAGATATTCAAGAAGTTGAAAAGAAGTTCATCAATGCTGAATTGGTTGACGCTCAAGGTGAAGTCGGTGTCAAGGTTCGTTTCGGTGATGAACAACAAGTCTTCTCTGCAACTCAATTGATGGGAATGTACTTGGGTAAATTGCGTGACACTGCTTCAAAAGAGTTGGGAGGATCAGGTGTTAGCGATGTAGTCATTTCCGTTCCAAGCTGGTTCACAGATGCACAAAGACGTGCTATGCTTGATGCAGCAGATGTTGCAGGCTTGAACCCATTGCGTCTCATGAACGACACAACAGCATCAGCATTGCAATACGGTATCACAAAGACTGACTTGCCAGAAGCAGAGGACCCACGTCACGTTGTCATTTGCGATTTCGGTCACTCCAGTTACCAAGTTGCCATTGTTGCTTTCGCAAAAGGTCAATTGACTGTTTTGGGATCTGCAGCTGATCGTCACTTTGGTGGTCGTGACTTCGACCGTGCTTTGCTCCACCACTTTGCTGAGGAATTCAAGGGCAAGTACAAGATTGATGTCATGTCTAGTCCTAAGGCTATCTTCCGATTGGCAACCGGGTGTGAACGTTTGAAGAAGGTCTTGTCTGCCAACGCTGTCGCACCTTTGAACGTTGAGAGTCTCATGGAAGACATTGATGCTGTTTCTCAACTAAAACGTGAAGAATTCGAAGAATTGATCAAGCCTCTGCTCGACCGGGTCGACGTTCCTTTGAAGGCCGCTTTGGAACAGTCCGGTTTGACCAAAGAACAGATTCACAGCATCGAATTGGTCGGTGGAAGCAGTCGTGTTCCAGCATTGAAAGAGCGTGTGCAAAACTACTTCGGAAAGCCTCTCTCTTTCACCTCCAACCAAGACGAAGCCGTCGCCCGTGGATGTACTTTGGCTTGTGCCATCCTTTCACCCGTCTTCCGCGTTCGTGAATTCCAAGTTCACGACTCCAACATGTACCCTATCAAGGTCACATGGGACAAAGTACCTGATGTTGATGAAGACACTCAATTGGAAGTGTTCAAGCAAAACAACCCCATTCCGTCTACCAAGATTTTGACATTCTACCGCAAAGAGCCCTTTGCAATCGAAGCACACTACGCAAATCCCGAAGAGCTTCCCGCAGGTATCAACCCATGGATTGGAAGATTCCAAATCAAGGGTGTTACCCCCAACGCTGAGGGAGATCACTCCATCGTCAAGATCAAGGCTCGCCTCAACTTGCACGGTGTTCTCAACTTCGAGAGCGCTTACGTTGTTGAAGAAGTAGAGAAGGAAGAGGAAGTCCCAGTCGACCCTTCCGCCATGCAAACTGATGGCGAAGCACCAAAGACTGAGAAGAAGATCGTCAAGAAGATGCAAAGAAAGGGTGACTTGCCAGTCGTTGCCGGTATCAATGCACGCGATGCCAGCATCGTTGCCGAATACAAAGACAAAGAAGGACAAATGGCAGCTAATGACAAATTGGTTCTCGACACAGAAGACCGCAAGAACGCATTGGAAGAGTTCATCTACGACCAACGCAGCAAATTGGACGAAAGATACCGTGCTTACGCAACATCAGCCGAGAAAGAGAAGTACTTGGCTGCATTGAACGAACAAGAAGAATGGTTATACTCTGAAGAGGGAGAAGATGCAAAGAAGTCTGATTACGTTTCCAGATTAGAGAGTCTACAGAAATTGGGAAGCCCAATCAGCTCCCGCTGGCGCGAAAATGAAGACCGCCCCAAGGCAGCAAGCGCTTTGCGTGACACCATTGCTATGTTCAACGAAGCTGTTCAAGGTGGTGATGCCAAGTACGATCACTTGACAGATGATGACAAGATGAAGGTTTTGGAAAAGTGTGCCACTGTTGAAAAATGGTTGAGCGATAACTTGATTCGCGTTCAAGAACAACCAAAGGACGTTAACCCAAAGATTACTGTTGCTGATATGAACAAGAACCGTGATGATGTTTTGTTCACATGCAACCCAATCGTTAACAAGCCAAAGCCTCGTGCACCACCCGCTCCTACCAACACAGAAGCACCAAAGAAGGACCAAGCTCCTCCTAAAGAAGAAGAGCAAAAAGAGGAAGGACCCGGAGAGATGGATGTCGATTAAATATTCATGTGAAATACGCTGAGATATCCACTCCTTTTTCCGATATACAAAATTACCTGTGTAAGCCATATATACTTCAATACAGATAGATGGGTTTCCGATATGTTGCATCATTGCCTCGATAATCCAATCCGATTTCCAAAATCTCAGACTGATGAGTGTCAACATCTATTAGATCATGAAAACACACAGAGTACGGAACCCGCTGAAGTGACGATATAATGGGGCTTACCGTCGTTATTGCGGTGTGAAAGCTATGTAAATCACCAATTGTGCGTGCGGGGTTATAAGATTCGCTTCGCTCCCTCATCTTTACTAGAGGTCATCCTTTTTTTTCGTCCGATAAAATGCATAACTTCATATATATATAAGTCATCGCCACTTTCAATTTCTTACTTATTTTCAACTTCTTGTTTTTGTCTTGTTGATTTCGAACTACATACACCTTTCACCTCTATGTCACAATTATGGTTCGAATGCTGAATTTTTGGTTTGCATCTGTAGCTTCTTGGAGCGTTTTGCAATGTTTTGCTTTGCCGATGGTGTGTATGATGTAGATTGGGTAGGTGAGAACAAAAGAGCTGATCAATTTCCGGTTTCTTTCCCTTCCTCTGCTTCAGGCTTCCTTCACTGATTCAATCATGCCCGGCACATTCTTAGAAGAAGGCTCTTTACCTTTACCCATCTTGGATATGATTCAAATGGCCGAAAGAGAAGGAGAGGTTTATTTTTACGATCCTACATCCAGAGGTTCAACTTCGAGACCGATACGCTCCATTCTTCAGACGTAAATATCCGAATGAGTATTGTCTGATATCCCATTTGAGGAAATCATGGACAAGATCGTTGCTCAAGTAAAATAGTAGCAATTTCAACCTGCAAGCCTCTGTTCATATTCGCTTTCGATTCTCTTTTCAATTCCTGTACAGTTGGAATGATTCTCTAATCCTATGGAAATGCCTTTGATATGCTAAAGTGGCTTGCCAAGGATGATGATACGGTAGGTCTGTGTCATTCATTTTCCATGCTAATGCAGGGTTTAGAGTATCAATGCTCAGTCAATCAGCGCGAGTCATACCGTTTCATGCTCTATCGGCATCATTAAGCTTCTACACCAAGCTTTTTGACAGAATCAGTCATGACATCAGAAGTGTTCTGAAGGGAAGGAGAAGAAGAAGCAACAGCGCATTCATTCATTTTGGCCGTTGAGTGACTGCGTGTCTATCATGATTAAATCTTGGGCAGTTGACGCGTCTGGGTATAAGACATTTGCCACTTAAATCCGAACCGTACATCTTTCCACAACGGGCTACTTTTTCCAGGGCTGTCAAACGAGATATGAAATTTAAACGAGAGGCAGGCAAAAGTACATCAAATTTAAATTTATCCTCCCGGTAAAATAAATAAACATTCTTAAGCCTTCTATAGTGGCAATAAAGGGAGAATAAAGTGACATCCATCAACAGTCAAATATCTTTAAAGCTTTGTTCGCTTTCATTAATGAAATGCTGAGCCATACGCGGGCGCATAACACGTACCCACTTAGTTTGCCTTTTTAGTCTCTCGGTGTTAGAATTGATACTGTCGTCGTACGGCCTTAAAAAAAAGTTTCTATTAAATGCATGCAGCTCAGAAGGGAAAAAAAGGGTAAATTCAACTGGTAAAGTGCTATAACGACCTTAAACTTCTTTTACTTTATGGCAACCATTTGCATCTTATATCCACAGCCACCACAAATCAACGAAGGCGGTGACTATTCCACTTCGATCGCTCCTTTGAGGGAAAGAGAATCCCGTAAGAATCGCAATCAAGGCAACATACGCATTCCACCTTTCCCATTCGTATAATACAATCATACATCATGGTTGGCCGACCAAGCCAATCTTATTCAAGAGATGAATCAGAAGAGTTGGATTCCGAAACATCTTCCGTCGTTGGTAATGATTCAACAAATATGACAGAAGCCGGCAACCTATCCAATAGACCGCCACCAAAAAAGAGAAATCGCGCCGCTCTAAGTTGTACTTTGTGCCGTGAACGAAAGGTAAAGTGCGATCGAGTTATTCCATGTCAACAATGCATCAAGCGTGGTGATGCAGACTTTTGTCATTTGGATCCTAGCAAGAAAGGTCCTGATCAAAAGAAGAAAGGTGGTCGCACTTCAAAAGCCAAAGACGAGGTACAACATGACCAAGTTCCGATGCAATACAACCCATACGGTCCATCACAATTTGAACAATTTTCATCAACCCTCAGTAGCATGGCACCACCTCAACAACAGAAAGCAAACTCGACAGCATCTCCTGCAAGTTCGTCCGCAAGTGAAGTGGATGCAATCAAAGCACGCTTGGCACAACTAGAACAAGTATTAGCACAAAGACAATCTCAAGATATCAGTCCAGGATTCGGCAGTGCTCAGGCGCTTTCCGATGCCGCTTCTATTCCCGGTTTGAGCCCAAGATATCCATGGCAACCATCATTGAACGGTAGCAGCAATGCATCTGGCTCATTTGTTACAAGTCCAATGAATCAAATCGCAGCAGGTAATTCGCCTTCTAATCCGATCAATCATCGTTCCAATTCCGCCTCTTCACCTTCTCGAACTGGATTTGCTGCCGTTTTCGCTCAACAGCAACAACAGCAAGGAGGTGTTCCCGGCATGAGCAATAGCCCTAGCAGTGGAAGTCTTCAGATGGTCTCCCCATCGACAGGCTCAGCAGAAAGACCATCCTCTCATCGTTCTGGCAGCGGCAAGAGCACATCCAAGTTGAACAGCAAACCACGCAAGACAGACAATATCCCTTCGACCGACTCTAATCCGGCCTCGGGCCCTAGAGGTGAAGTGGACTCTGACACAGAAGATGCAGCCTTGGTTCTAGAGGGCTTGGCGATGGGAAGAGCAGGAGAATGCGGAGAAAAGAAGACTTTGAAGCCCGAAAGAGCTGCATTGGAAATCATTGAAAAGGACCCGGTGAAAAGCATTCAAGGTTTCGTGGAAGAAGATCGTGCCGAGGATATCATGACAGAAGGCAAATACAGTTTCGAAAAGAAGAAAACGAGTGCCGACAAGGACGGATGTGGAATTAGTGCAAAGTGTGACTATGATGATAAGGATGGAGAAGCAGCAACCGTTCTACGAGAATTCTTACGAAAGAACCCTGATGCCGTCTTTGGACCGGATGGACAACGTCTGTCGCCTGCTAAACGTGTTTGCGTTTTGCTCAGCCGACATGAGTCTTTATTCAACCTTGTTTGGGGTCCAGAAACATTCTTAGGATGGGGTATGGGTTGGGCTTTCCCCGCCGCTGAAGCTGCAGGTGATATGATGAACGTTTCCGAAGTTGTTGGATGCAAAGGAGCATTGCAAAGGGAAGCTGTCTTGCGAGCCATCATTCGTAGCTTGCCTGAACGAGAGGTAGCCATGCATCTTGTTGACGTTTTCGATAGCCGAGTAAAATTCTTGGCTGGAAATTGTTTCCACGTTCCAACGTTCAAGAAAGATATGTCTGCATTCTATGATCTTGCCACGGTCGAAAAGCGTGCAAGAGTGATCAACTTTGTCGATCCCGGTTGGCTTTCATTGATGTTGATGATCTTTGTTCTGGCCCTTCACTTCCATCCTTGCGAACGTCCAGAGCTTGTACAACATCTCTTCGATGGTCGAACAATCCATCTTTGGCGTTCAGCTGCCCAAACTAGTCTGGTGCTCGCAAGATATCAATCCTCTTCCTCAATGGCTGTCTTGCAAACGATTATCCTGATCAACCTACTCTCAATGGGTCAAGGCAAAGAGAACTTCAGTCTTACCCACACTGCAATCAGCAATGCTCTCGAAATGGGCCTGCATCGCTTGGGAGACAAGGACAAGCAAGCAAAAGCAGGTGAATGCCCAGCCACTTCAATCCGTAGAGAGATGGCAAAGCGTATTTGGCATCAATTGACATTTACTGATTGGTGTTCTGCAACGATACATGCTGGTTCTTATCGTATCCATCCTCATCAGTTCAATACACCTTTGCCCGGCAATTACAACGATGAAGATCTTTGTCAATGTCCTCAACCGGCTCCACGACCAGACACAGAACATACAGATATGTCGTATTCCCTGGCAATGCTCAAATTGGCCGATATCTCCCGTCAAAATGTTGACATGATTCATTCTTCAGAAGGTAAACGGATCGCATGCTCTGATATGGCATACCTCGATACATCTTACCGTGGTTTGTTGGAACAAGCACCGTCGTTCTACAAGATTGGATCAGATGAAGGAGCAGGCGCGAACATTGAAGTGGAAAGATGGCTATTCCAACAAAGTGTTTTCCACAAGCTTTTACGATTACACAGACCACAACTAAGCAGTCGTACCAGTGCAAGAACAAGCTGTGTGCTATTAGCACGTAGCATTTTGGACATGCAACGTCGTATTCGTAGCAGGTGTAGTGTTGTTGATCGATTGTTCGTCAATCTTGCTCAATCATTCTCAGCAGCAATTGTTCTTTGTTTAGACTTATTGCAAACACGTCCAAGTGCAACCATGCGTTCAATCGTTCGTGGTGAAATTTTCGAAGCTCTCAAAGCATTACGACATGTTGGAGCAAGTCATCATACGACCGAGAATAGCATTCGTGTGATTGAAGCCTTGCTTGAAGAAGAAGAATGTAGATGGAATAGCCCTCAAAGTGCAGCAGCAGCCAATGAACAAGGCTCTGGCAAGAGACGACGAGGAGAAAATTCGTCTGGCCGTGGTGAACGTCGCAAGGACATGCTTAACCTCGCTCTACGTGTCGCCAAAGCTGCACATGGTGATGGAGTGCATAGTGGAAGTGAAGATGTTGATATGGCAGATGGCGATCATAGTTCAGCAACAGATTCGCACGATGAGCCTACGAATGACCAAGCCATGGCACAAAGGATCAAAGATCAACAATCAAGACAAATGTTTGATCAATTATTGGCTGGCCGTCCAACGTTTGCAGAGCCAAGCTCGTTCTCCAGTGCACCTTTCCAAACAAATGTGTTTGATCAACCACGCGGAACAGTTGCTCCTAATGGCTTAGACTTTGGATTTGGTTGGACACCACCAAATGCTGAAAATGGACAAATGTTTGACCTGACGAAATTCTTGGCTGAAGCTGAGACAAACAGCAGTCCGGGCAATGGCGATAATGCTAACAGCAGTGCAGCTAGCGATAGCGGACATAGTTCTTTGCATGGAGGCAGAGCTAATTCAACGTCTAGTGGTCATTTGAGTCACAGCAGTAGCTTCAGCAACGGACCTAAAGCATTTACAGGCTCAGCAACTCAACATAATGGTGCTTCCAACAACACTGCTTCCAGTGGGGGAGATCCAACCCATTCGCCAGTAGATACTTTCTCATTTGGCGATGGCGTGAGCGGACCTGTGATCTCTCCAAGTGCATTTGAGAGACCATCAACGAATCTTGATGGATTTTGGAATTGGGTTCTTGCCCAAGGATCGTCAGGATTTGCCACGACGAACAGTGATAATGTACAACAAGCACCTTTGGGTGGTGGCGGTGCGGTTGCAAATGGTCTACAGCAAACGTTACAAAATACAAAACAAAATGATCCTGTCACAACTTCTGCACCGCCAACCAGCGTTCAACAAGCGCAGTTTGCCAATGCATTAGCACAGAATATCAATGGAGGTATGGGTGCAAATCCGGTCAGTAGTGCTACCATTGATGCCAACCTGCCCGCTGCTGCTCCGCAACAATCTAGCAATCCTTTCGCTGCTGGATCTTCCGTAAAGACACCGTCAACGGGCGTGAATGCAAGTGGAAGTGAATTACCATTTTATTCTGTTGGTACACCAAGTGCAGGAATGGGTAATTCATGGATGAGTACACCTGGTCTGTTTGATTTCGCTTATGAATTCGGCGGTGAAGGTCAATCATCTAGTCAGCAAAACAATACAAGTGCAGCCACCAACACTTTCGCATGATAATGCATTATTTCTTTATTTATCTTTCTTTCTTTTCTGCGTCAACCTATCCTCCTTTTGTATTCGTATTATACCGTCTCTTTTTTACCTCTACTTCGTCTCTTCTCGTGTATCTTTCGCTTCTTATCCCCCTTTTAGGAAAATGGTGTAAATCAGACTTTGGACTAATGATATTAGCATATTCGCATATTTGTACAATTCTGAGGTGATTCGGGATTTTATTCCTTGCCATTGCCATCATCTGAATCCGATAAGATTTCCATAGTTTCATATCCATTTTCACCTTCATATTGAATGCCTGTACGTACCCTTCCACCATGAGCAGCAACGATTTGCTCGACAGTTTTAGGCTCATCTTTCGTATCCGTAAACCAACCAAGATGATCTGCAATCAAATGACGATTTTTACACGAAGGACATTGAACTAAAACAATTCCTTTTTCATAACTTCGTTTTGTAAATTGATGGGTTGATCGATGTCCGCATTCGTTTGCCGTACATGTAAATGTCAAAGCAAGCTTTGGTTCGTCTGCTAAGGTTGATTGGTCACTTTCGCCGTTCTCAGATTTTGCAGGTGGAGATGATGATTGTTGTTGTTGGCGAATTGATGTCGTGTGAGAGAATGCACGGATTGTAGGATAAGAACTGGATGCAACCTTCACTTTGGAATGCGCCAATCCGACTCTAGCAAATGATCTAGATGGACCAGCAGCACATCGCAAAAGCGAAGAAGGAGGTTGCTGTAGAAGCAAAGAACGAGTGCAGTTCCGTAGCATTTTCGACAAAAGTGGCAAGTTTGGAAAGATGGTGGTTGAGAATCTAGAAGAAAAGTTCAATTTCAGTGGAGGCGAAGGCAGGCGGGAATTCGGAAATAGGCACAGGCAATTAAACTTTTGACAGACACGCGTTTCATGCACAGTTGAGCATTTCTCCGCCATCATGTACAGCTATAGAAAGGCCTTTTGCTAGGGAGGAAAACCTTAAACAAACTCAACAAGCCTCAAACCGAAAGACACAATTCTGGCTAAACGCACACATTGATGGAATTGCTTTTCGTAATCATTCCTTGAAGGTATTTTTCGATCCAAGTCTATATACACGAACATATGAAAGATAAATACAAAGAAAAAGGAAAGAATTGATGAAAATATACAATTGTGCCAGACAAGAGTAAAAGTGTACATACATTAATCATTCGTATCAAAAGATGATCTTTCCATTTGAGCAGAAGAATCCAAAGTAGAATTGCCAATCAAACGTAACGAAGAACGTCTTCTGCCGGTTAGTGAATTGATCGTATGCGATGAACCACGATGGGTTTGATTCGTGTTAAGCCAATGCTCGAATGGAGAGACAATATCTTGGTTTCCCGAACCAGATCGAACTAGCAGCTGTGGATCTGTCGCGGATGTCATTAAAGTGACCGGGCTTGAAAGTCTGTGTAGATTACGCTGATCTGTGTTGTAGCCTCCATCTGATCGAGCAATGTTTGACCTGAATGTGCTTGACATGCTTACTGATTGAAATTCTCTCGGCGTCGAGTGCAAGAGAGAAGGTTCAGAAGTCTTTGCTCGTCTGACGCCCGAAAATGGTGATCCAGAAATACTACGATCAGACCTATCACGCTTCATCTTTGGTCGTACTTCCAATGTGCTTAGTGACATGATTGCTCTTCGATGCACTCGTTTGAAACTCAAATTTTGCACCCTTGCTCTTGCATTGCTTCGTCTATGGCTCACTGGAACGCCACTGTCCACCTCATTTGACCATACGATACTAGACCGTGTTGAATTTTGACGAACGTTCAAATTATCTGAGCCATGTCCGATCGAAGTAAGAGCGGTATCAATCATACTCTCATGGCCTGAGCTGGGTGTCTTCTTTGAGATGGGCGAAACGGTGAAATCACTTTGCAGCATAGGACCGGCAAAATCTGCAGCACATGAAATCGGTCTTGGTCGTTGAGGAGGTAAGTGAGCATGAACGTCTGAACTTTGTCTGTGATCACTACCACTTGACGCTCTCGAAAGTGATTCGGGCAGTATTTGTTGATCGCTTACCAAACTTGGAAAACTTGTCAGGCCTGCAACTTCCATCGTTGGCCAAGGTGAAACAGCAGGAACGCATTCTGGATCAACATCACGAACGCATGGATTCGCAATGCTTACCAAACTTGATCGTGAGATTGAATGTCTTGCATCCGTCTCTACATTGTCCCATGGATTGTACTCTAATTCCGTTTGATGTAAGTAAGCTTCTGCTGAACTGACGTGGATCGAATGTGCTCTTGCTAGAGGTGACCTGCTTCGTTGTGGCAGAGGCAGAGAATGACGATGGTATGACTTTTCATTGATTTCCAAATCCGGCGTTGAAAAGATTGCGATTGGTCCATGTGACTGATTTGTTTCTGGCGAGAATGAATCCCTTCTTTTGGGGAAAAATTGATCAAGTTGAAACCGTTTGCGTCTTCTATACAAGCAAAACATCAAAATCACCAGCAAAGTAAACATAAAAGCACCTATTAAGCTGCCTACCAATAAACCATTTTGTGAATGCCCATCACTTTTTCTTTGAGCGACATTTTGATCGAATTGATTTGTTTGGCCGGCAGTATCTGTAGCGTTTGTTGTGCTCATTGCAACGATCAGAACAATGAGTACACCAAAGTTGAGCATCAACTGAAGTGCGATTCAGTGATGATGGTAATAAGTTGCATTCTACCAAGAAAAGGGGAAGTACGGATAGAAAAAGCTGAGTTTGAAGCCCTTTTGACCAAGGAACGTTAGAGTAGTAAGTGATAAGCCTCCTTGGATTATGAATCAGTGGTAATATGACGCCTTTTTCCTGCTTGAGGATAATCTGGGAATGTTGCATGAATGGCAACAATCCGTAAATTGAATCTTGGGGCTTTCTTGAGGCCTGTGTTTGGTTTATTTTTATCTTACTCTGCGGTCCTAGCTTGAGCGGTCCACCTGTTCTTTGACAATTTATTTATCCAGCATTTACGCAATGACGTCTTCATTTACGCTCAGATGAGAAAAGAATGCCATAAAGCTGAAGTGGCTTTATTAGCCCAGAAAACAGCAATGACGGATTACAACATTCCTATCCGCCCCTTCTCCTCACATCTATTCATTCATGCCTTGTTGTTGTGTGATAATAGGAGAGTATGAATTCATTTTGCGCTTTCAAGTGGCGCGAATTGAGTGAAGTCTTGTTTCTTTATCTTGTCACTGTTTATTTTCAAAGAATGTCAATATTGCGCCATCGGTACCGTTTTGATCATTTCCTATCTGGATTCATTTGACCGTTTCTGTATGACAAGCACGTGTAGTAGCATACAATCGCCGAACACTTTTTTACTCATGCTATCGGCTGTCGGCTATCGGCGAATCGGATGATAGTACAAAGGATGGAGTAGGTTTCCTGTTTTGTTATCACTGCTTTGCATCATCTTTCCTGCTTGGCTTGCTCTTTTGATAAGATCACCTTGGCGTTTTCATGCTGCGTCTTATGGGGAAAGCGGGAGTCACATCAATTTACACCTGTTCTTCTCCTGAATCTTCATTTTACTTCTGAAGCATCAGCGATCATTAAGAAGAAGAATGGACGAATGATTATGTACGTAAGCAAGATTTGTCTTCCATACGAGAAAGGAAGAAGGGACCGGGGTCGATGTTGTGCATACATTGGGGTCCACTTTATACGCGTGTAAAGGTAATGCTTCTTTAAGGCGAAAGTGCCGAACTTTGTTTTGGTCGCACAATACCCCGCATTTCTATGGATCTCAATCAAAATAGAGTTGACCATGGTTCATGACCAAGCATCTCATTCTTCTAAGCGAGCTGCACTACTTTGAGGCTAATCATCATCATAACGCAGAAAAGAAAGAAAACAAGACAACGAAACATCCTTTGCGCCACGCGCGGAACGCCTTGTCTTTTGGTCCATTGTCAATTTATTGTTTTTTTTTTTCTGCTGATGATGTTTACCCCAACTTGATGATCAGAGTGACATTGTTTGTACTAATTATATGACTCCAACTTCAGCCACTTCACTTTGATCGATTTTTAAAGTCAGTTGAGAGGTAAGTACTCAATTTCCACTCTTATGCACCACACACGTCATGGAGGTTAGCCCGCGGCGCCGCGCCAATGCAATTTTTGCCGAACATAAAGAGCAACCAAGAAAGAGAGAAATAAGGTGTACACGCAGCATAACGCCTAAACGGGCTGAAGAGCAACACAACACAACACACCACACATGCATACACACACGCACATGCCATACACGGAAAAGCGGAAAGGTACATCAAGTAAATTATAAAACGTTGTATGGGGTTAAGGGCGCCCTTCTCATGGGCTGTGCACTTCAACAGAGTCAGATCAAAAAAAGATCAATCATCAATGACAAATCAGACCTTATTCAAGCAAACCTCTCTTTCTTCTTGACAACCACTTCTAACTCTTTCTTATCTCGACGTTTGTATACGTATTTCTACGTGTGCATGTCAATTCTCCACTTTAAGCCTTTCTCATTAACAAGATAGGCTCTTCTTTCCATTCTTCACCAACCTTGCAAACCCTTCTTGTGAATCATGTCGGGTCCTGTAGCAAATGGAGCCGCAAACGCTCCAGCAGGCTTGAACAATTTGGCAAGCTTGAAAACATCTTTGATGACTCCTCCTTCAGGTGCAGGCACGCCAAATCGTCCTCATACGCCTGCTGTTGCCAATAATGCTGGTTATACAGAACCTGTTTTTGAAGGAAAAGCAGAACAAGCAAATCAAGTAAAAGCAATGCTTCGTGAACGAGGCTTTTTACCTCCTGATCTATCCGATAGCGAAGTTGATTGGTTTTATGAAAATTTAGGTATTTCTGATACTTATTTCGCTCTCGAAACCCCAAAGACAATTTGTGATCACATTTTGGCTTTGTATGGTGCAAAGATTATGGCCTACACAAAGCATTCAAACACACTTGAAATCGATTTGGAACATGCAACCGAAGATGGTGCAGTTTTCATTCATTCCAGTGCACCGGGTGTCAGTCAACAAGAAGGTCCTCAATGGGAAAAGAAGATCGATCAAAATTACTTGGACAAGTCTACCGCTGCATCTGCTTATCGCTTGGAAACGTATCGTGCTGCTGGCTCTGTTTCAGCTCAATCTACCCAACGTCTTCGTTGTTACTTCGTATCAAAGTGTCATTTCAATGAGCCCGCTCCTTTGCCTGGTACTCCCGAATACGGAGATATTCGTCATGTGAGCGACAAGACTTTCTTGTCTAAAGCTTCTGACAACACCTTGGCTATCTATCAAGAAATGATGGATCAAGTTTTGCAAAGACAGGGCCCTGTGATTGAAATGTTTGAAGTTGAAGGCAGTCGTGAACATCGTATCGTGATCGGTTACCGCATGGAAACAACTACAAGTTATTTCAGCGCTCTTTCAGATCTTTACCACTTCTATGGTCTCTTCTCCTCGAGAAAGTATGTTGAACAATTCAGTAACAATGTTACAATCATTTCAATCTACTTGAACCCAATGCCAAGCTCAAGCAGTCCACCGATCGAGCACAGCATCTGGCAAATCATCAAAGAAGCAAGTTTGCTTTACGTCTTGCCTGACAATCCATTCTTCCAACCAAGCGAAGGAGAGCATGGACATGCAGTACAAGAAGCTACATATGCTTATGTCGGATGGATGTTTGCACAACACTTCTGCAATCGTTTGGGTCAGGCTTATCAAGCTTTACGTAATGTTTTGGATGAATCAGATGCCGCTCAAGCTTCAATTTTGAACGATATTAAACAAAGATTACGTGAGGAAACCTTCACACGTCAATCTATCCAAGAGGTTATCCAATCTTACCCAGACCTGGTTCGTTTGTTGTATGTGCATTTCGCAAACGTTCATTATCCAGGAGGTGGCTCACAAGACCATGAATTGGTTCCAACGCTAAGTTATCAAAGATTGGTAAAGGGTGAAGTTTTGACAGATCAACAAATGTACGAAAGGATTCGCAAGGTTGTGACGAACAAATATGAACGTCAAGTTTTGGAAGCTTTACTATTTTTCAACAAAGCTGTTTTGAAGACCAACTTCTATACACCAACAAAGGTTGCCCTAAGTTTCCGCTTAGATCCAAACTTCTTGCCTGATGTGGAATACCCATTGAAGCCATACGGAATCATCTTTGTTGTCGGATCGGAGTTCCGTGGTTTCCACGTTCGATTCCGTGATGTTGCCCGAGGTGGTATTCGTATCATTCGCAGTCGTAACAGAGAAGCATATTCTGTCAATCAACGTTCTTTGTTTGACGAAAATTATGCTTTGGCAAGTACGCAACATTTGAAGAACAAGGATATCCCAGAAGGTGGTTCAAAAGGAACAATCTTGCCTACATTAGATGCAGACCCTAAGATCGCATTTGAAAAGTACGTTGATGCTATCATTGATATTTTACTCAAAGGTCAAACACCCGGTGTTAAAGAAGAGATTGTTGATTTGCTCGGAAAGGAAGAAATTCTCTTCTTGGGTCCTGATGAAGGTACGGCAAATTACATGGACTGGGCTGCAGAACATGCAAGAGCTCGTGGAGCACCTTGGTGGAAATCCTTCACTACCGGAAAGACTGCTGCTACGTTGGGAGGTGTTCCACACGATACTTGGGGTATGACATCCTTGTCTGTACGTCAATATGAAGTGGGCATTTATCGTAAATTAGGATTATCCGAACAAGAAATTACCAAAGTACAAACTGGTGGACCGGATGGAGATTTGGGATCGAATGAAATCTTACTCTCAAAGGATAAGACTGTTGCTATCATCGATGGTTCAGGTGTTCTACACGACCCCATTGGTATTGATCGTACAGAGCTCATCCGTCTTGCAAAAGCACGCAAGATGATCTCTGACTTTGATGCCAGCAAATTATCACCACAAGGTTATCGTGTTCTGGTAGAAGATCATGACATCAAGCTGCCATCCGGTGAAGTGGTGCCCGAAGGTGTCACATTCCGCAATTCGGCACATTTGATCTTCAAGGCAGACATGTTTGTCCCTTGCGGTGGAAGACCTGAATCGATCAATATCAGTAATGTGAACAAACTGTTTGATGCAGATGGCAAATGTCATTTCAAGTATATCGTTGAAGGAGCAAATTTGTTCATCACCAAACAAGCAAGAATAGAATTGGAACGTAGAGGTGCGGTCTTGTACCCTGATGCAAGTGCAAACAAAGGTGGTGTTACAAGTAGTAGTTTGGAAGTTTTGTGTGGTTTGAGCTTGTCCGATGAAGAATATACGAGCAAGATGACATTCCCGAACAGCAAGCCACCACGCTTCTATCTGTCTTATGTTGCTGATATCCAAAACATCATCTGTGCCAATGCCGCCAAAGAATTTGAAGCAATTTGGGCCGAGCATCAAAAGTCGGGCAAGCCAAGATCTGTATTGTCAACCGAATTAAGTCAATCTTTGAACAGATTGTCAGAAGAATTAGAAGCAACAGATTTGTTCGATCAACCACAAGTACGAAGAGCTGTTCTTTCTCATGTATTCCCGCAAACGTTACAAGAAGCTGTTGGATTAGATACTTTGATTCAACGTGTTCCTCGCAATTATGCTCAAAGTGCATTTGCTGCTTTCTTGGCCGCTGACTTTATCTACAAGAATGGACCTGATGCAAGTGCTGTTGCGTTCTACAAGCACGTCAATGCACTGGAACATGGTCATCGTACTTGATATGCCACTTTTCAATCTTTTCTGTTTCTTGGACGAAATTGATCGGCCTAGAAACAAGATCATATTTAATACTTTTCCATTGATGTTGTACCCATAATAAGGTGAATCCTGAAAGACGTGTAAAAAAGCTCGAGAGTGTGATGTGTGAGATATGCATTCAGTCATTAGATTATACAAAATTGCTGCTAGGCATAAAAGAGTGCTTAGAGGAGGAGGAGAGAATAGACTGAATCTAGATCTATCGAGGATGCAAGCCATTTGCATAACGAGAAGAGGCAGGATGACGTTCTTTTCTAGGTTCCTTACCTGGCATCCACATATATCCACCGGCAATGGCTTGTTTGATGGTGTTTGGTTGCCACTTTTGTATCCAATTTGAAAGAAGAACTTGATTTAATGGCATTCGATCTGCACCACGATATTTCAAAAGACCAGAAATGATTTCTTGTGATAAAACTGGAATATAATCTTTTCCTTGACGATCTTTAGGGAACGTATAACGAACTTTACGAATCCTTTGCTTTTGTTCTTCCGGATCAGGATGTTCGAACGGAGGCGCTCCATGCAAAAATTCATAGATCAAAACACCCAAAGACCACAAGTCCACCGTTTCATCGTGTTCAGTCTTTTCGACCATTTCAGGAGCAAGGTATTGAAGTGTTCCGCACATCGTTGTTCGGCGAGTTGTAGGAGCATGTACACTCCAACCAAAGTCGGCCACCTTTAAATCTCCTTTAAGATCCATCAAGAGGTTTTCCGGTTTGATATCACGATGAATGACATTCTTGTGATGCAAATAAGCCAAAGCATCAGTCATTTGAGCAGTTAATTTTGCCGCTGTTTCTTCATCAAAATGACAATTGGGTAATTTACTCATAATCTTGTACAATTCACCTTTTCCGGCAAATTCTAACATCATAAATATTCTGCCTTCATCATGGAAAAAGCCGTGCAATCGTAAAACGTGAGGATGTCTCAAGTTCATTTGGATTTCCAACTCTCTACGTACTTGCAATTCCAATCCTTCTTTGCGAATTTCATCCTTGTATAATGCTTTTAAAGCGATGATATAACCAGAAGGTGCTCCTGGAACGGCATTGGGTTTCGTTCTTGCAACAAACACTCGTCCGAATTTACCTTTTCCGAGTGGATGACCTAATTCCAAATCCAACAAAGACCATTGTCTCTGTTGTGGTGGAACGGCCAATTGTTTTGCATCAAAGTCCAATAATCCACCACGAACGTCATTCGAACGTCTTCCACGCTTTTCATCCCTTTCCAAACTTCCGTCATACTGTCCTATATCCAAAGGTCGAACTTTTGCTTTCGGCATTGTACCCGCCTTTAGGAAAGAAGACGATCCTGAAGTGCTTACACCATTTGAGGAAGGGTTGACTTTTGCCGTATAATTCCCGTTCAATCTATCAATGCTTTGTTTTTGTTTTAACGTACTTCCGCTTGCTGTACTATAAGATTGCATACTGCTTTGTGGAATCTTTGCAAGTGGTCCACGGTATGTTCCATCACCTGTGATTCTTTGATGTGTTGATGTGCTTGGATGTTGTTTGTACGAAGAGCCTGTTCCTGACTTGTTTGTCACGCTCATCCGTTTAAGTTCTGCAGCCAGGTTTTCATCCATTACACGGGCTGTCATTGTGATCGATTGAGTGTGTCGATGATGATGATGATGCGAATGAGGAAGTGGAGAGTGAATGCTAAGTATGATGTTTTGGCAATGTTGATTAAGTGTTGTTCTCTGCACTCAGCCATATGCTTACGCCTACGCGGGTAGATGTTTGTCTTGACTTTGTCGGATTTAAAGTTTGAGTGTAAAATCCGCTGTGCCTGGTTAATTGAACGCGTCTCAAAAGTGTTGTTCGTTTCTCACGTGCGTATGCAATGTTCTTTGGCATGCTTTGGTGGACCAATAGCTTATTATATTTTAAGCTTCTTACCATAAAGATCATTTTGGAATCATTCTATTGGGAAAGTGGGGAAGGATGGTGCTATTTTACACATCAACTAGTGAGTAGTAAATACAGTCGCAAGAAAATCTTCAATTTGTCTTACATTTTTCAATGCTCCAGCAATCGATCCACCGGCAACGATTTATATGGGTCGTGATAAAGTGGAAAATGAAGATTTGATCAAATACGGAGATGATGAAGATGTTTGGTTTCACGTTGACAAACTTTCATCTGCGCATGTTTACTTGCGATTACCAGCGGGTATGAAATGGGATTCAATACCGACAAAACTGCTGGATGATCTAGGACAATTGACCAAAGCAAACAGTATTGAAGGGAATAGGAAGAATAATCAAACAATCATTTATACTCCATGGAGGAATATTAAGAAACAGGGTGATATGGCTATTGGAACAGTCATGTTTCATAATGATCAAGTTGTCAGGAGGCATCATATCGCACAAAGGGATAATGCTATCGTTAATCGACTCAATAAAACAAAGAGGGAGGAAAAAGTAGATCATGAAGCCGTACGACAAGAACGTGAAAAGGAACGAAACAAAGTCAAGAGGGATGCAGCTAATAAACTCAAAAATTCCGAGCTGGAAGAAAAACGAAAAAGGCTGGCAGAAAAAGAAGCAGCGGATTATAGCAATGTATACTCTCAAGAAGCTATCGAAGAAGAAAGGGAACGAAAAGAGCGAGAGAAAGCACAGAAACAGCAAAGTAATGGCAAAGAAGGTGAGGAAGAGGAAGATGATGGGATGGATAGTGATGACAGCTTCATGTAGAATAACAAAGAATAGAATGTGTATAATAGCGGAACTGTATGTATGCACAAGGTGAAGTTGTTGTCGCGCATGATGCGCGGAAATAGCGTAGTGTAACCCTATGTGGAGATTGCAGCATACATCATTCATAGATGACATTGCAGCATGGTTCTTTCTCTTTACGATCACCACCTTCGAAGCACCGCCATCCATCGCTCAAATCAACCGAAAATGCCTACTTATCCACCAAATAGAGATGTACGGATCGAATTAATCCAGGACGAGCAAGATCTTCGTGAAAATTTCGCATGTCAATATGAAACCTTTGGCCAACAAACAAGCAATGCATTTTGGCTTGCAATGAGCCCAAACGCAGACACAGATGCAGGTTTCGAAGCAGGAGTGAAATCAGGACAGAATAATTTCAAGAAGCAATCAGCACATAATGGTGGACATTCTTGGTACCTTAAAGCAATCGCACCAGATCCGGAAACGGGTAAAGATACAATTGCCGGAATTGCAACTTGGACGGAAAATCTTCATTCTAGAAATCCAATCCCGAAAGAAATGAATAAAGAAAGATTAGAGAAACTTTATCCGGGTAATGAAACAGAACAAAGGTACGTCAACCAAATGTTCCAATCTTTCCTTCGACGTAGAGGTGAATTGGTTGAAGAAGCGGGTAAAGAAGGTAGAGCAGTGATGGTTCTTGACATCTGTGTCGTTCGTCCACGATTTCAAAGGCGTGGAATTGCAAGTGAGCTGGTCAAATGGGGACTTCGTAAAGCCGAAGAATTAGGCCAAAACGGACAAGCAATCGAATGCGTCACCGAAGCATCTCCGATGGGCAAGCCAGTATACGTTAAATTAGGCTTTGAAGCCGAAGGAGAGGTGGTATACAAGGTAGATGAAGAATTTCAAAATAGAAAAAGATCAGTGGACACAGTACTTCGTCGTCCGGTGGGAACAAAGTTGGTAGAATAAAAATTTGGTTACTCTCGATGTTGTATTTCAACCAATCAAATTTTTGTAATAGAAACGAAGGGATCTTTATCTGAAACCTTGTCATTGGACAGTCTTTAAGCGCAAAAGTACTATCCTAACGAAAGATCAGGACGTATGAGATAGAGGAGGTACGTTGCATAGATTAGCTTCATAAGAATGTTTTAAATTGTTGGAAGAAGGGGAAAGACAATGTAGGTCGATCCGAGTTCTAGCAGTACGTATCTTTTAGCCATTAAAATGCGAGATAGCAAGTGATGTTAAAGAAATTCGAAAAGAATATGACAAGACGAACAATGAAACGAGGCTAGCGATTTGATCAGATCATACGAGAAGAGGAAGTGGTGTTACTGATAAGCAATAGGTCAATACCATTCCCGCAGGTTGGCTTAGGTGTGTCCCAGGCTCTAAAGCAAACGCGGGGAAGTGATGACCGAGAAATGCAAGATAGTCCCTACAAATACCGGCGGGCGGTGGTCTGATTCTTTGCAATTCAATGATTTTCTGGTATCAACCTTTAAACAGAAGGTTTATCCAAAGTGCTTCATTAAAACACTCTACCCCAATTCCGGTTCCGATGAAGGGAAGGACTATTTCAGTACAATTTTCTTTCACACTATAGATTGTCAGCTAGTGCTAGCGTGCGGATCATACTCACATTACTCCGGATGGCCCCATACATATTGCTGATAAGAAGTGTATTGATTCAACAGGATGTGTGATAGCCAATCAATGACAGTTTATATCAATTCCTTATCTTAGCCTATGAAGGGTGAATGAAGTCAAAGTAAGTGAAGGTAACCCTGCACACGCGTAAGATGAACACAAAGGGTGCAGCAGGATAATGATTAGCGTTAAAATTGTTGAAAAGATAAAGATAAGCTTTTATTTTACTATGATCATCAGAAATGCCAAGAGAAAATGAGAAGATAAGCTATTGAGGCTGAAATGGTGCAGATCAAAATTGAACATCTCTAATCCGAAAGATTTCCGGGAAGTTTTTTGTAAATACAAATTCGGGTGATGGGCACTAAACGGGAAGAAAGCGGATGATGAACCCCGCTCTCGCTTGGGAGAACGTTATGGACCGTGATGAGTTATCAGAGAATATATAAGAAGGATGAAACAATGCTGTCAGGCTTTGAAACTCAAACATCCCTCCAAGAAACCTCATCCCTCTTCCTATAACTTTGAACTTCATTCACAATGGCAGAAGCACCTCAAATGATCTCGCTTGAACAAGCAACTTGGGCTTGGATTCATGCTGGAACAAAGAAGCATCATAGTGAACTTGGCGTTCGATTCGTAAAAGGTGCAATGGCAGGAATGATGTTAAGTTTAGGTGGTACGCTTGTTCAAATCATGACGGCAAATCCTTGGTTTGCAACAAACGCTCCTGGTTTACTCAAAATCCTTCAAGGTCTCGTTTTCCCAGTTGGTTTGGTGATGATCGTTTTGTTCCAAGCTGATCTCGTTACCGGTAATATGGCAATCATGATCATGTCAACGGTCAAGAGAAAGGTACCTTATTGGGCTTTCGTTATCGATTGGACAATTTGCTTCCTTGGTAACCTTGTTGGTGCTTTGTTTTATGCCGGCCTTATCGTTCACTTTTCCGATATCTATACTACCGCAATGGATACTGGAGCAGGAATGCAAGCAGATGCAAAAGTTTCTGCAATCAATTTCCGTCAAATATTCTTAAGAGGTATTGGTTGTAATTACGCCGTCGTGTCTGCCGTCTTCTTAGCTTCCTTGGCCAAAGATGTTGTTTCAAAGGTGGTGATTGCATATTTGCCCATATTCTTTTTTGTTGCGGCCGGTGAGTGCTGTTTTGATTCTCATTTAATTTTGCAAGTTGTTGACCATCTTCTCTTCTTCTATTAGGTTACGAGCACGTTGTTGCCAATATGTTCTTGATTCCCGAAGGTTTGATGACCGGAAAGGCAAATTTCGGAACAGGAGAATACATTTGGAAGAGTATCATCGCTTCTTTCTTGGGTAACATCGTCGGTGCAGCACTTCTTGTTTTGCCTTTGGTATACATTCATGGTCGTGATGAATTTGATCCTCACAGTGTCAATCAAGACATGATCGGAACAAGTTCTCCTACAGGCACTTATGCTGGACCACAAAAGAAGAGTGATCATTGGAAAGATGATGTTGAAAGAACTGCTGCAGCACAATAAACTTTTGGCATCGAAGACATCTTTCGTTGTCTCTTTGAATATGATAGTACTTTATACCTCTTTCTTTCATTGATGTTATACCATGACGTAATTGATCGTCGTTGATTGAAGAGCAACGAGTAATGTGTGAGTGAGTGACTCTTCGGTTACTTATCGTCTCTTTGGACACCGAGATCTGGTCCGAGTCTGTTTGTCCGCCGCCGAACGTGGGATATACCCTGGCTTATCCTTATGGAGGTTTTCTGTCAGCCGATGCGCAATACCATCGACGCATGAATGAGGGTGCATTCATGCAAGAATCATGAGTGAGGGCGATATTGTCTCTTTGAATCTTGTTCACAACCCAGATCATACCATCACCTCCTTCGTACATATTGTTGAAGAGTATTGAGAATTCAACTCATTGATCAACGATGTCGTCCAACAATCGCATTTTGACCAAATGGGAACCCGATTATAGTGAGCCCGATAACATGAAACAAACAAGCATTTGGCGTGCACAAGTGATTCCTACAGGTTTGCGCAATGATGATGTTTGGAGTGGTAGTGGTACATTGATCGATGAAAAGAAAGCAAAAGAGGCTTTAGCGGCAGAAAAGAAAGCAAATCGCAAAAAGACTTTGGGAATGATTGCTGTGGCAGCCGCAACAGCAGCTTTGGCAGGCGCAGCAATTCATGAATGGGAGAAACATAGAGAAGCAAAACAAAAAGACTCAAAGGAAGAAAAGGAAACACAACATATGCCTGGCGAATTTTCTGATTCTCATCATCATCAGTCTTCCGGCAGCAAATGAATCATGGCGCCTATGATTGAAGGCTTCCTCATAAGCGTAGCTGTACCGTCAATCAAATTTCGGTCACATAGCTAGAATAAACACTTGATTTGGCTTCTTCTAGCTGTTAAGTGATTGTTCCTTTTCATAAGATACCTTTGTCAACTTCATTGAATCGAAGATGTTAAACTCGTATAGATGATTGATGGTGGTGTTCGCTGAGTATGCGCGCTAAAAGCCTTGAGTCTAATCTTCTCCGCTTACTCAAACAGAATTAAGCTCAAGCTAGTGCAATGTCAATTTAAACACTTTACACTCATCTTCCTGCTTCTTGTTCTGTCAACCACTGGACGATGATCAATGACCTATTGGCAGAAAATGCCAAAGGTACAAAAGATAGTACAGACAAAGCGGCAGTACTGCCACCTGAAGATCTAGCACAAATTTTGACGAGCATTCAGACTATCTTGCAACTCTATGCAACAAACGAAGAAGAAGATATAGATCTGGGAAAGGAAGACGAACAAGCGATCAAACACATTGCAGATTATCTGAGGCTACCATTGGCTACTCTGGGCGATGAGAATAGTACTCGGATACAAAACGCCTTGCCGGATTGTGTCAGACTAGGATTACGATTGCGACCTTGGCGTGGAACAGGAAGTTCAAAAGCAATTGAGGACCAGAGTCTATACCTTGAAACATCCTTCAACGTTCGCAAGACCGGTCAAGCCTCTGAAGATATGCTGTGGCCGATGTGGAAGCTGCACAAAGCAACATGGCTTGTAGATGAGAAATACTCGGAATTGGTAGAAGCAGGAAACAGAGCAGCAAAGGAGTACAAAACACGAATGAAAGAGGACAAAGATGAAGGCCAAATGACCGCAAGCTATGTTCTCAATATCGCAGAAGCAATCACAGAAACAGCATTAGAACAAGAATAGTGATAATCAACAAGATCAAACGATCGTTCTGTATTATTATCAAACATGTATATGTACAGTAAATTTTGAATCAAAAAAGGTGCAAAAGTGAAGAAGAAAAGGTATCTATGATGAGGAGAAAAAAAGATGGTGACCAAATACAGCTTTTGTAATGGTCCCTAATCATTTTGTTTGTTTTGTTTTCATTTTTGACTGCCCTTTCACCTGGAGCCAAAGTTGATCGAAAAGGGTGACATAAAGTCTTTCTTGCGCGGAGCACCTGGACCTGGACCACTTCCGGCTGGTGGAATTGCTGGTGGGATCGCACTTGCTTTGGGTAAGGATTGAGAAGCAGCTGGAATATCTGGCATCGGAGGAGCAGCGGAGAAGTTCATCATTCCTGGCATTCCTCCCATACCCATACCACCCATTCCCATGCCCATATTCATCGGCATGATACTTGGCATAGGCATAGGCATCGGAGCCATTGGCATTGCAGAAGAAGCAGCACTGGCTAACTTCATTTGTTCAATCTCAGCAAGATGCTTGCTCTTGAATGAGAACAATTCGGACATCTCCAATTCTAATGCACGTTTTGCTTCGCGAATCTTGCCGACATCTTCAAACATGACGCTTACATCACGTCCGATCAATCTCTTTAGATCATCTGCATGAGCTTCAACGTTGTTACGCAACATCTCTCTTGCGGCCGCATGAACTGCTTCGACCAATTTACCATTTGCTTCTGAAGTTGTTCGGACGAGATCTTCTGCCATTTGCTTGACGGCAAGATCTGCTGCCGCTCTTTGTGATGCATCTGCTTGCCTTTGCGTGTTGATTGCTGCTACGAGAGACTCAATTGCTGATTTTGGATCCATCTCACGTTGACGAGCAGCAGCTTCCGCATCTGCACGTTCCTTCTCAGCTTGCATTTTGGCAAAGATGGTTTCCACCAATTCCATTCTCTCTTGATCACGCAACGAGCTCAATTTTGATTCACGTTCTTCCATTTCTTGTCTGCGTTCTGCTTCACGCATCGCTTCTGCATCCGCTTGAGCTTGTCGTATGCGTTGTTCATCTTCCTTCTTTTCCAAAAGATGCTTCAAGATTTCTTCAACAGCCAGAGCAAGTGCTCCATCACCTCCGCCTTGTCGTGTATCGAGATTGTTTACAGCGTTTCGCAACGTACTCTCTCCAACGCTGTGAACACTTTCACCGGATCTCTTGCCACCAACTTCCATTCTGACTGCCGTACCTTGAGAATCATAGGAATTGCGCAATGTTTTATCATCACTCTGTGCGTTGTCTCCTTCAGGCGCTGAAAGCTCACGCAAATCCTCAGCCATTTGAACGATCGCAGGCTTGCCGAATCCAGCAGCAGAAGCATCAGAGATGACTTTACGAATCTTTTCTTCATCTCCGCTTTGAGCTGCTTGAGTGATCTTCTCTTGTTCTGCTGCAGGTACATGATCAAGTTTGACATGTTCTCCCGTTTGTGCATCTGGTTCTTTTGATGCTTCTTCCGGCTTACCCTCCTTTCTTTGACGATCTTTATGCTTATCCCATTCATGTATTGCTGCACCTGCCAAAGCAGCACCAACAGCGCCTGCGACAATTTTGCCGAAAGATTTACGTCTATTCGCTCTCTTTTCAGCTTTCTTGTCTTCTTTCTCCTTCTTTTTATCAGGAACAGTACCGCTATTTTGCCAAACGTCATCATTTCGTAATGGCGTTGGACCATTTTGTGTACGCCAAGTTCGCGTTCCACTTCTCTTTACCGGTGATCCTGGTCTTGGTATATTGAGTGGTGCAGGTGCATCAGCTCCTAATTGTGCTAATGCTTGACTGGTTAATGGCATTTGACCGCCAAATGCAGCTTCGGCAGCTTGAGATGGATGAAGGATTCCAGCAGATGGTTGTTGAACATCAGGTGTGGGCATTCCGCGCGGACCTTGTGGGCCTGCGCCTTGCATGACTGCATTGTTTCCGAATTCATGCGCTACAGGTTGTGGTACAAAACCACCTGCAAACGTATTATCAGCAAAGGATATATGCGGTGCTGCTCCATCGGGATGAGGAGCTTGATGAGCTTGTGGCATTGGCATTGCCATTAGTTCACCTCCGCCAGCGCTTCGTCCGACTGGTGTGACATCACCACCGCCATCTGCCATTGCCATCACACCCGGCATTGCAGAAGTGGTTGCCAATCCAGCCTGAGCTCTGATCGAGTTGAGCTCATCATGCAATTGTGTAACTCCCATTGCCAAGGTACGCCATTCTTTGCTTCGATCAATAACGTCCTTTTCAAGCCATGAGTTCAATTCGTTCAAATAACGTGCAATGTCCTGCTGTTGTTGACTTTGTGCTTTACGGGTATGCTCATTATCCTTGATCGCATCCAACAACAATTCAATGTCTGCATTCGTTGATCTCTGACCGCCGGATTCGATTGCCGGCGTTTGAATTGCTTGTGACGTTCGAGGTTGACGAGGTGTGGGCATTGACAATCCTAAACCAGAATTGGAATCTTGAGGCATCATGCTTTGACCGCCTGGTCTTGGCGTGTACCAACCACCTTGATGAGGTCGCTGAGAAGACGATACGTTTCGTGCACCAACGGCATTACGCATCCTTCTCCTGCGAATTTCTGCCTCCATATCAATACTGACGTTGCTCAAACTATCACCAGGTGCCAATGGATCATATTGCGACCTAGCAGAGTTCATCATTCCGTACGCTGATCGTTCGACTGGTCCTCTTCTTTCTGCGTTCAGCAAAGATGCTCCATGCTCCGTATTAGCAGGTGGACTTGGGATGCCATCAGCTGAAATCCAACTTCGGGCTGGAATACGATCACTTTCGGAAACCATGCTGCCTTCAGAATGCGAAGGGACCATTCCCATACTGCCAGTCATACCCATAGCGGGACTATAAAGATCTGCCATATCGCTTGGCGGTAATCCTGCTCTTTCTCCGGTCATGGGCGTAAGGAAACCATCATTGCCTTCACTTAGTTCATCTTGTTCCATGTCGGCTGGCGCGCTCATTCTACGGTTAGCCGCGCGAGTACCATGTACCATTCGATCGGCCAAAATTGCGCGATCTCGACCATCAAGAGGACGATCCATCTGAATAGATCTGTTATAAGCACGAAGGGCATGTGGTAGAGTGTTTGACTGAATTTGATTCATCAACGAGCCAAGCGTTTGTTCGATTCTTGCCAATTCTGCCGAATTTGGTGAAGCAAATGTAGGTGGTTGTGGACCTCTAGGCGTTCCATCTTCCGCGACATTCTCAAGACGATGTTGACCTTCTGTCACATTACCGACCATAGAAAGAACACGATCCAGCTTTTCTTGCATAGCAGCAATTGCAGCCGCATCCGCAGCAACTGTAGCAGCGGCAGCAGCTGTTGCATCGCTACGTCTTGAAGAGCGCACGTTCCTCTCACTTCCACTCTGTCTTGTCGAGCTAGAAATGGATCTTCCACCTGCTTCTGAGCTACTTCTACGGCTATGTCTAGACGATCCGCCCCTTTGTAGATTGATGATGGTTTCTTGGAATGCACGGAATTGTTCTTCCATCTGTCTTTCACGTCGATCACGATCTTCGTTTTGTTGTTCGATGAATTGCAACAATTTGGCCAATTCTTGACTACTGACACTGCCTGAGGTTTGAATCGAAAGTAAGCTTCCTGGACCACCCTTTTTCTGTTTGACAGATTTACGTGAAGAACCCAAATTTGCTTGTTGAGGAGATTGAACAGAAGTGAGAGCTGCTTGACTCAATGTCTCTTCCACCACTGTATCCAACGTTCTGGCTGTCGGTGGTGGCTCATCTGAATCCAATTCTTCATCTACGCCCACAAATTGATCGCGAATAGTCTGAGCGGGTGTACGAGGAGGTGATTCTTCTTCTTTTGCTTCTTCCACCTTTTCGGACCGATAACCAGCCAAAGCGGAAAATCTGCTCAAAATTGTTCCCGTCAGACTTCTAGAGGGCCTTTGACTTGCACTGTCAGCAGGAACAATATCACGATCAGAATCCGCCAGATTGCTAAAGTTCAAAACAGCTTCACTTCTTGGTGATCTTGGTCCAAATTCATCATCACCAACTTCTGATTGATCATGTGTTCTGGAAGAATGGAAAGTTTCACGAGACATATTGTTGGGAGGCGTATCCTGCGCTCGAGTTTGACGAATTTCAGGTCGATCTTCGTTGAGCACCAAAGTTTCTTGACTATGTTTACTTTCATCCGATTCAACATTTGAAGGCGATTCTGGCTTGATGACTGGCTCATCAATGAACCTCTTACGCTTTTGCTTCTCTTTTGGTGGCAATGGAGGTGGAACCATTTCTGCTGCATATGATGACACAGCTTCATATCGACCTCTATCAGGAGATGATGTTTCGATTTGCGTTACATCTTCCATACTACTTTCCAAAGGAATGGCTGCCAAACCACTGGGAACCAAGCGACGAACAGGACTATCGGAAAGTTGAACGTTGAAATTTGGCGGAGGAGGTGACATGGGCAATCCAGATGGTCTTGGTGTGGTCATATGAACATCGGCAATATCAGTTGCTATATCCGTCATACCTCCAACAGCAGAATAATTTGCCGAGACTTGTCGAGATCGAGGTTGTTGATTGGAAGAAGAACGAACTCCCAAAGAATCCCAAACGGATGCAACCCACATTACTCTCTCGCGTGCTGTATCGACTGCTAAACGTTCAACACCATCATTGAAGATTAATTGGAACGGATTAATCCTTCGAAGACCTTGTTCGCGCGCCACAAATGCACCTGCATCATCACCACTACTGGGATGATCGGGACCTGGGACGGAATGTACTTCCCTGCAAGCAGACAAATCCAAGATTACGCTCACACGACCACCTCCAGATGGTATCCAGCTCAAAGCCAACGCAGATGGTAATAGCACAGCTTGTGCACGTTGCCAGATTGGTTTCTCGACGTGAACATTGAAATAGTATACCAATCCTGTCCTGAACGGTTCCACATTAGGTTCTCCCATCAAAGCCAAAGTAGCATCAGTATCAATACGAAGGTTGGCACCTGCTTCGGTCTTTTGACGATAAGAAGCAGTCGTTCCGATCGTACGCGTACTCAAAACGCTTTGAAGATCAGTCAATTCGCTCGATGATTGACGTCGCATATTGATCAATTGAGATGGATTCCTAAAAGACGAAGGCGGAGGAACACCAGTTTGATGTGCACCTTGCCATGACGTCCTTCTTCCTCCTTGATCACCGCCGCCACCACCGCTTCCACCACGTGAAGTTGGAGCATCTGCACCTGTGATGTCCACACCTTGACTTAATGCTTTGATGATATTCTTCACTCCACTACGGAAAGGGCTAGTGTTTGAACCTTTACCGGTGCCTGTTGATCCGCCTGCTCTATAGCCATCTCCAGAACCACCACCTCCTTCTGATGTTCTGCCAGGCGCATCTTGTGCTTCTTCCGTCTTCTTTGCATCTCCCTTTTTGTTTTCAGGTGATGATCCAGACAAGAATCTACCAAAGATGTTGGACGATATTCTCTTTTCCTTCTTTTTAGTGCCAGCCGAACCGGGTAGCCGAGGCTGTCCCTTCAGAACGCTTGGTAGATGATTCTCGTCATCATCATCACTTTCTTCTTCATTTTCGGCACTTGCGGCATTTGATTCGTACGAGCTCGAAAACGGATCTTGACCTCCACCTTCACCGCCAGCAGTGATTCCAACCAAACCACCAGGCCTTGCTCTTCTACGATTGACTCTTCCAAGAGTTGTAATCTTTTCTTGGATACCATCGTCATTCTCGACAATATTCTCATTCGTTCCTTCGATCGTGATTCGATTGGAAAGACCAGAAGATCCTAAAGCTTGTCGGAATCTGCTAGCCATCTGAGCAGGTGATTCACCTTTCATCGGGCTCAATTGCTTTGCCGTTGGTTTAGAAGGAGAAGTGCGTGATAAAGTTGGACTGTTGGGTGCACTTGATTGCTCAAAAAATTGAATTAAATCTTTTGCTCTCTTTGGCGTTCCGAGTAAAGAAGGCGAAACACCAGCTTCAGGTACATCCAAAATTGGTTTACGTAAAGGCGATCTTGGTCGGACCGTGGAATCATCAACAAAAGGTAATGGAACATCTTTGCGCGGTGGCGTTGGAGGTATTGTGGACGTATTGCTCTTCTTTGTCGCTCGCGTACTGGACCTTGTCAAAGTAGAGAATGCGACAGACTTTTCACGTTTTAAAGGCTCTATCGTTTCTGCTTTGGGTTGAATTGTCACATCACCTTCGTCTTCTGTCAAGATCGAAGAAACTATCGATGAAGATACTTCACTCTTGGCATCTTCATCCATCATCGTTGGCTCTTCTGTAGTCGTTTCTGTCAAAATGCGACTCTTGACCGAATCATTTTCCATCATAGATCCAATACTTGTTGCTTGGGTAGCATCGGTGCGTAATCTGCGTAAAAGAGGGGGTACAGGACGTCTTGTACTTTGCTTATCATCTTCTGATGAAGTGATGGCCGCAAATCGTCTCTTGCCAAATCCATATCCGAACGGAGAGCTTACATCAGATTCACTTTGTAAGCCAGGAGAGGTAGGCAGCGAGCTTGGTGAATCGGGTATAGATCCGCGCCTTGACCAAAATGCAGAAGCAGTACCATTATCGGAAGAGATGTAGCTTTCTTGATTTGGAGATCGTAAATCGTGTTTGGCATTTTCCGAACTACGGGTATCTTGACGAGAGAGGAAAATGCTTGAATTTGTAGAGGTAGATGGCGCTGCAAGATGTTTGGAAGATGATGCTTTCGCCTGGTCTTCCTCTGCTTTCTCGTCCTTTTGCTCACTGGCGGCATCTGCATTGCTCTCTGAGGCAGGCTCTTCCCCTCGGAAACCAGGAAACGAAGCTTTCTTGCGTAGAGTAGATGCCATTGACTGTAGCAAAGATCCAGTACCGGAGCTCCAAGAGACAGGTTCAAGGACCGGTGCAGTTTTTGAAACAGTTGTCTGTTTTGCCGCAATCTTATCCAATCCTTCTCTCTCTTGAACAGCTTTCTTTACACTTCCCAACGATGGACTGTCGATCTTCAGAGGTGTTGGTTCAAGTGGTGGTTTCCTTCCAAATTGCGTTTTTGCCCGTGATAAGAGAACATCTGAAGCACCTGAGCCTGTTTCAAACATCGATGCAAAATCTCGTACGGTAGGCTTTTGATCATCGGATGAAGTAGATGCAGTCTTTCTCAAACTTTCCCTTCCAAATCCTAGCTCTGTGCTTGGTGCAGTGAGTGGTCTCCTTTTCGCATCTTTTCCAGGCATCAATGCTGATGTGGAAGCTGTTGTCGCCCGTTTCAGTGTCTGTCTAGGAGGAGATGCTGCCATGTCTTCATATGGTGCTTTTGGTCCTGCCATACTTTTTGCCCGTGTGACATTTGGTTTCTCAAACGTATCCACTGTATCGTTCATCATGTCTAGCATATCCAAAACAGCCTGTTCTTCATTCGCCATTCTACCTTCCATCCTATCACTTTCAACAGCATCGTCCAACATCCGCTCTTCCTCTTCTGCATCGATCAAGCGCGACCCATGGATTTCTTGTATTCTGCGTTCGTTCAACCTTGCCCATGGATTCGTCATCTTTCTATCGCGTCTTTCTTTGCTCATCGTTGATACACTTCCGCCCGCCACGCTACTTTCCGTATCTGTCACCAGGGGCGTAACTGAACCTCTAGGTGCATCATCCAAATTTCTCACTAGCAAAGGAGCAGCTAAACGTTCTGCCCATTCATCCGAATTCGAAGCGGGTAAATTTGGTGTGGACATTGTTGCTAGATGAAGTGTACCAACTGTCGTTCGCGTTGCTGAACGTCCCAAAGCTGCGGCATTGGATGCATCTCTCTTGATCCCTGAATATGGACCGTTGTCCCCTTCATCTAGAGGCCAAAGTGTGTTGTGGTTCTCTTGAGCATCGTCATCATCGAATTCGTTTTGAAGGACGAGTGATGAAACAGGCGGTGTACCGTGTGAAACATCGATCGAATTGGCCCGTACATGTGGTGAACTTATCCCTCCTGATCGATTAGAATGTGCACCTAGTGCATATCTTGATAAATTGTTATTACTATTTCCCACGGACATCAAACTGTTCACCCAACTTCTTGGTCTTGGCAATTTCAAGCTGGATGTTGATCCGGATGTTGGAATACCGTATATGGAACTGCCGGTGTCCAAGTTGGATAAAGCTCTCCCTTTTCCTTTATCTTTCTTGCCCGTCAAACCACTCAAACCGAACAAGCTAGAAGAAGAGTTATTGGATGGAAAAGCGATTCCACCCTTGAATGAAGGTCCATCCGAGCCTGCTGCGCCATCGAATGAATTTTTCCTATTTTTCCCCTTATCGTGCGATTTACGAAATCGTTGCATGTTGTCGGATGTGAACTGAATTAATTCTTTTGATTGCTCATCGATGCGATCTTGTACTTGCTTGTCGATTTGAAGTTGTTGTGGTGATGATGATGGTGATACTTGCTCTGAATGTTGGTCACCGGTCTGTACCTCAATTTGTCTTGGTTCTGCACTAGTTGAAAGTTGATTCTTTAAAGGTTGTAAGATTGTATGAATTACCTGTGTATACCTTCTCTTGATCGGTGGTGCAGTTTCGATAGGTTGATTTTGAAGTACTGCAATTGTATTACTGCGTGTGATTGAGTTTGATCCTTGACTTGACTGTTGTTGTGTTGATGTTGTTGCCGCCTAGTAATACAAAATGAGCAATAATTGATAGCATATGAGAGAGGGTAAGATAGGATTAGCAACACATCTAGCATTAGTGTATAATTGGTAATGTGATCCGCATCGGGTGAGTGTTTAGAGTGTTTATGGTTGCTAAGCCTGACTGACTGTACGGTGAAAAACAACAACAACACAACAACAAATGCATGCATGCACAAACACACACACTTTGTAGAAATGAAAATCAACAAAGACGCGTGATGTGCAGGATACTGTATGCTTGACGCGTGCAGTCTTGGGTTGTTCTTCTGCATGTGTTCGAGTATCATACGCTAACTTGTCAACGTTTTGCCTTTCTCTCTTTTACTCACCTTTTGCCAATCATCTTTTTCTCCTTTTTCCGTTTTGGGATCATGATTCACGCTAATATCTTGATGATTATGCGATTCAAGCAATAAAAGAAGTATATCGTCTTGCAATCGTTGCCCGTTTGAATGTCTTGCATCTTGCTTATACAGCCTCGAATCACAGTCTATTAAACCATCAAAATTCTCCGAAGAAAGTCCAGTGTGGCTTTCATAGCTTGTTGAAGTGACGCTAGTAATTGATAATCTTGTTCTTTGTTCCTGTTGAACTCTTTTTGGTTGGATTGTTTGATCGGAATCATCAGTTTCACAACTTGAAGAAGAAAGTGAAGCTTGACCAAATGTACTCCTTCTTCCACCAAACAGTTGAGGTGATGCCAATTCACTCGTCGGTCTTGGCTTATGAACTGATTCACGCGCCATCCTTTCAACTTTTGTCTGTCATTCCATTCTCATCCTTGCCGATAGAATGGATGCGCTGATCAAGATGATGAAAGATGGCAAAGAATGAAATGAGTTGATTTTCATTGTTCATTTCGGAGACAAAAGCGGGTAAGTGTAATTACAACAAGAGTGAAAATGTGCCTCTTCGCATCGTCTAATTTTACGCCTTCCGACGGCTTCATAGCGTGCAAGAAAACAAAGAAGGCTCGATGACGTTGTGTTATAGGAAAGCATGATAAGTAATGTACAATGACATCCGGATAAGAGAACCTCCTTTTGAGTATGTTGGTATAAAGTAAGTGTATTACAGAGGATGGAAAATGAGCGATTAGGGAGAACTCCATACAGCCTTTGCGAGAATAGAGAATCATTCTTCTTCATCCCCCTCAAATCCTCCATCGTCTTGCGATTTGCGTTTTATTCTGCCTGGATTGACCAAACTCGTACTGGGTTCATGATAACGTTCATTTTTACGATTATCATGAATCAATTTTCGTGATGAATTTCGTTCACGTTCTAACGATTGCGCCTTCGTTCGTAGTGTTCCCATCGCTTTCATCAATTCGATCGCTACATTTGATGCATGTTGTATTTCATCAGCTTTCTCACTTATTCGATGCAGTTGCAATGATATGACTTTCTCGTTTGAAAGTTCTTCTAAACCTTCTTCTTCTTTCACAGTCGGTGTTTCCCGTTTGATGCGTTGGGAGGAGGCAAATGGCAGAGAGGTAGCCCTTGTGCTACAATTATTCTGAAATTGGAATTGTAGTCGTAGCTCGGTATATGTCTGATCGTCTTTCTGATCTTCTTCTCGTCCCAAAACATCTACTGAGCCAGCATCCCAAGCTGAGCGAATTAGCGTTTCCAATTCGTCCCATCTTCTGACTTTTGCTTGATCGAGCAACGGTTGAATCTGATCATGTTCTAGTGAGAGTAGGTACCATGCGATCACCTCTTTATCATTAAGATTCGCAACAGACTCTCTGGGTTCCTTTTTTACAGTTCTTTTCTGCTTCTGACTGTTTTCCTCGTCTTCTTCGGTGGAGGAATCATCATTTACTGCGTTCTTGCTACGTTCTTGCAAGTCGATTTTCTGACACAGTCTAATCGTCCACTTGTCTAGCTGTGCATGCTTGAGCCTTTGCAACTTTTGAGGGGAAGGGGTAGCTGATCGTCTTGAGCTCTGAGATAAGCTAGGGCCATTAGTATTCGTTGTTGGGATTGCATTCAATCGGACATGTTCGGATGAGAAAAGGTAGAATGATTCTCCGCTTTCTGCTTGAACATGCAATGTAAGATTATTGAGTGGACCTGGATGAATTTCTTGATGAATGTCAGATGTCATGCTGATCGCATTGCCATCATTTCCTGTGTTCACACATAGTATGATGATTGCATTGATTCTCTCCACATCACAACTCTAATCTTAAAACTTGATGAGAATTACAGAAATGCTTAGTAAGCAACAGAAGACAAAAGTTTCGCGTCGCGTTTAATAATTCCCCTACCCCAACCAGAGCGGTCTACTTCGCACGGGGTATCCGATGGGAAAATGGAAGTCTTGGGGGAGAATTGAATACACGCGTAAGAAGCGGTGTTGCTAGCACCACAATACAAAAGGCAGACAGGCACGCACGCACGCACGCACACACAAAACGCCCATCCGCCCCTACACAAACGCACAGCCCAAAGCACACACACACACACACACACACAACGAGAAAAAATTCATCCAAGCTTAAAAGGTGGCCAAAAGTTAGAAATTATAACGAGTACTGCAAGGAGAAACTCATCTTTGTTGCCGTCATCCATCATAAAGGCTCACACGTCATTTCATCGATTTGATCGTGTTTGATTCTTTGAGACAATCTCGATCTTATATTCGACAAAGTTCTCTTGGTTGTTGGTAAATCGATCGATTCATATAACTTCATTTAATTAGGAGTGGATCAACTATCACACATCTTGCCCATCATGTCAGGCAACGTACCTATCTCACAAAGGAATGCCGATTTCACGGCACCTACACCGCAAAACACTCCTTTGAGCAACGCACCAATCACGCGTGAAGCACTTTCTCGACCAACTGTTGGTACCATTGGAGAAGAAAACGAAGATGGAGGTGAGTGTTGTTGGAAGAATTGAGCGCTCGGCTCATGAAGCGTATACTGTGGTAAGGTTGCATAACGGAATAATTGACTCATTAAACCCCCTTCCAACAGCCGCCGCTGGTGCCGCTGCAGCCCTAAAAGCTAACCCTGCTTTGGCTGGTTTGATCCAAAATAAGCTCTCCGGATTGGTAGGACGTTCAAGTGGATATATCGAATCTTTGCCATCCCACTTGAAGAGAAGAGTGGAAGGCTTGAAAGGCATTCACGTCGATCACACAAAAATCGAAGCAGAATTCCAAAAGGAGATCTTGGAATTAGAGAAGAAGTATGCAGAACGTTATCGTCCTTTGTACGAAAGACGTGCAGCCATCGTTCAAGGCAAACAAGAGCCAAGCAAAGAAGAAGTTTTGGCCGGAGAAGCATCTCATGAAGATGACGACGATGAAGATGAGGAAGACGATAAGCCAGAAAAGAAATCATTGGCAGATGCCACAGCTCCTGCAGACGCTGAAAAGGGTATCCCTGAATTCTGGTTGACAGCATTGAAGAACCATGTCGCACTTTCTGAATTGATCACAGAGCGTGATGAAGAAGCATTACGATCATTGGTGGACATTCGTATGTCATATTTGCCTGGATCTCAGGCTGGTTTCAAGCTTGAGTTCGAATTTGACCCTTCTCAAAATGCATTCTTTACCAACAAAACTTTGACAAAGACATACTACTACCAAGATGAAGTTGGTTTCTCTGGCGATTTGGTGTACGATCACGCTGAAGGAGACAAGATCGACTGGAAGGAAGACAAGGATTTGACACACAAGATCGAAACAAAGAAACAACGTAACAAGAACACAAATCAAACCAGAACAGTCAAGAGATCTGTTCCCGTTGAATCTTTCTTCAACTTCTTCTCTCCACCAAAGCCACCAAAGAATGGTGAAAATGAAGACACTGACTTTGACGAATTGGATGAACGATTGGAATTGGACTACCAAATCGGAGAAGACTTGAAGGATCGCATCATTCCTCATTCGATTCTTTACTTCACCGGCGAAGCAACAGCATACGAAATGGATGATGATGACTTTGAAGATGAATTCGATGATGAAGAAGATGAAGATGAGGAGGATGACGAAGATGGACCTGCTCGTCCTGCCAATATGGCCGTCAGCGCAGGATCTCAAGCTGAGAATCAAGAATGCAAACAACAATAAATAATTCGTGTCTCTTTCTTTGTTGTTTAGGCAAATTAGAAGTAACCATTTGATCTCTATGTGAAATTTTGAACTCAAACCCCCCAAACGATGATAAACAAAAAGACAAACCCGTGTAAAATTTTATTCGATCCGTTCAGCTCTTTTCTTTTTGGCAATCTTATTCTCCTTTCTCTCTTTCTCTTTGTTGACGTGATCTTTTCACTCCCTTGCTTTCTATACGTGTGTTTTGTCTTTTTCCCTTCCCTCAAATTCAATAAAACAATATTAACGACAAGATGATATACACAATGTGTCTAGAAGTAGCTTTCAAACATCATGCGAAGAGAAGAAATAAATATAGCCGTTACCGCTTGCTTCCCTGACTGATAAGGTTGAGCGAGCAACTTTGGCTCAGCCCATGACAGATATGACAGAGCGCGCCCACAGGATTAAGCAATTGCATTATGGCCCTTTCTCTATTTCCTTTTGCGCTGCGCACAGCTGAGTCTGGTGTGGATAAAAATGCGTGCAAAGCAGGGGGACTGACGACGGATTGATAAACAAAAACAAGACACTTGCAAAATAGGGCCCCTCCCTCCATCGCAACACTCACCGCACACACACGCACGCGTTTATGCCTTGGCCCTGGCCCTAAACACAGACAAGGTGTGATGTGCATCAGACAACTTTTGGTTGGCTATCTCCACCATCCTACCTTTGTCAAACACATCTTTTCGTCAGAATACGCACAGAGTTGTGTATTACGTTCTTGAACAACACTCGTATCGTAGAGGCTCTTATCACAGCTCATCTTGCTATCAAAGACTGTTATCGATTGGATCAATCTAGTCCTTCGTAACAGCTGCATTATCCAAGTGGAGAAAGTGAATTGCTCAAGGTAATCGGCCACCACAGACCGCCTTTCAGCTGGATTATACAAGTCTCACACCAAGCTACAATCGCCATCAGTATATAGCGAAGGTCTTTTAGGCAGGGGCGAGGAAAGTACCATCTATTTTTTGATAACTTCACATCAATTTTGCATAAACTTTTCCAGCACCATCAAACCTTTACAAAATGTCTACCTGGGGTTCTTGGCTAGTGGGCAAAAGGGATAATCCCAATTCTGCCAAAGATGCAATCGTTGGATTACGACAACAATTGATCATGCTAGAAAAGAAAGAAGAACATTTAACGAAAAAGATTGATGATGAAACAAGAAAAGCAAAAGCAAATGTTACAACTAACAAACGTGCAGCACAAGCAGCACTAAGACAGAGAAAACAATATGAAAATGAACTTGATCGTATTTCCGGTACAAGGATGACGTTAGAAACTCAAGTACATGCGATCGAAAGTGCGAATATGAATTTGGAAACGATGAAGGCAATGCGCAAGGGAGCGGATGCATTGAAGGGCATACATGGAAGCTTGAATATCGATAAAGTGGACGCTACAATGGATTCTATTCGTGAACAAATGGATTTGACAAATGAAATTTCGGATGCAATCTCTAATCCTGTGGCAATGGGACAAGATATCGATGAGGACGAATTGAAGAACGAATTGGACGAGCTTGAACAAGCAGAATTGAACGATCGCTTGGTCGGAGCAGAGTCTGTACCAGCTCACACACCTGCCGTTACCGCCGGACCTAGTCGTGTGAATGGACAAGCCAATCACGCACAAACAGTTGATGATGACGATGCTGAACTTCGGGCTCTTCAAGCTGAGTTGGCGATGTAATCAATTGCCTTGCTGAAGCCTAGGTTTTATCGTTCTTTTTCATTGCTGTCTCATTTATGTGCTACACATTCTTCAGTTCCATTTATATATTATCCCATTCTTTTCGATCCTTGTACGCATATTCATCGCTTTACACGAGCAAATGTTACCGATTCATCATATACGATACATTGAGAGCACTAATCCAATACAGAAGATAAGGCACGCGGTGAAAATTGAGAGTGTGATAGTACAATTGTGGCTTTACTACAACATGATGGATTAAATCAATCAAATGGAATCCTTCTGATGCTATTGCTACCTTCGAAACGAAGATTGCCCGCTCCCTTCATCTTTTCACGTTCTTGTTGTGCAGCAGCAAAAGCACTTGGGATCGGGATACCGCAACAATCACCCCATCCAGAAATGGCAGCAGCTGGACCACCTTCTTCAGCACCACCGGAAGCAATGGGAGCATGAACGTGCGAATTACCACTTGCATCTGTATGAACAATACCTCCTTTTTGAACGGCTTCTTGTAGCGCTTGATCTTCTTCTTCTTTCTCGTCTTCATGTGCTGTTTGCGGGAATGTCAACAAACTACCAAAGAAGATATGTTGAGCGATTGGCAATTTCAACAAAACCTCTGCTTTGTACATTTTTACCATTCCTTCATTCACTTTTGCCCATGTCTTTACGCCGCTGATATCGTCCAACATGGGAGAATGCCAACGCAAGGATGCGGTCTTGATACTATTGATAAAGTGAATGCATGCAAAGTACATGTAGTCTTTACCGAAATCCGACAAGATCTCATCATCGTGAATCGATTTGGGTCGAAAGATTTTGTGTCCTTTTAGCTGAGCGCTGCCCCATAGGAATGGCAAGAAATGATAATCGTCCAATCCCCAAACTCCATGACTTCCGGCTGGCTCAAGCCAATAGGTGGATTGAATAGCACGCATTACCTCGATATATCTCCAAAAGATTCGCAAAACGATAGCTGGCGCTTCACGTTCTATATCCAAGATTCCCAGTTTGACTAGACACAATAGCCAACAAGCAAAATTGAGTTCCATACCGCTACCGTAATCGATACGTTTTTCGTTTCCAAAAGATTCGTCCAAGTATACCTGAATCTCGCCTATCGCATCGGTGGTTTGCCCTTCAGCGTTCGCTTCTGATGCTCCTTCCTGGCCTTTGATTGATTGCAGGCCAGGAATGCGATTGTGCAACTCTCTGCTTTGCTCCTTCACTCGTCCATAGAACGTTCTGAATGCGGGATTTCCAAATCGAGAAGAAGATCCTTCTTCTGGTGGTACCTCTTCCACGATCTTCATAATCGTGTTCAGTATTGACATGATTGCCTCCACAGCAGGACTTTCTTCAATCTTTTCCGATAACTTCCGCCCGACGACAGCATCATTACATGCCATCACAAAGCCCAAAATTTCATCAAACGTCTGTGAATGTTGCCATCTCTTCATACTACCCGGGGATACGATCCTCTTTTGTGGTACAAAATACCTTTTTGATGTAATCTCTTCTTGCGATAATGCTTTCGGAACAGGTAGTGGAGCTACGGGCGGAAGAGGTGTGCCGGTGTTGTGTGAATTTGGGATGGCATCAGCTTCTTTGGGTGTCGCATTTAAGCTTTTAGGCGTTGGCAATGTGGAATTGAGACCATTATTGGCTTGCAGTGGAGAATTTGATGTGGTTTGTTCTTTAGTTTGTAGAGGTGCTGGTGAAACAGTATTTGGACTCTTTTGTTGAATGGATTGTAGCTTTTGACTCAGCAGATCTCTAGCTTGTTCTGAAGAAGGAATCGCATTCGGACTGATTGAAGTCATCTTGTGCGAATATGATGGTGGCAATGTGAGAAGGTTGGTTGAAGGATTGCAAATGACTTTTGAGTGCACGTCCACTTTTCAGTGTGTACGCGATTCGTGCTGGGCGGGCGCTGTATTGCCGCTAACTGATACGGTACATACTTCAACTCCATGTCCTCTTGATTCTTTCCTCTCTGCTTCCAGTTTTTGTGGTCATACTGTGTGACTATTCCTATGGACTCAGTATCAGGGGCTTGAAACATACTAATGACTTGCAGCTTATCTTTTCAATTATATGAGCCACAAGGGGCGAAATATTGATTGTGTGCACTGCAATCGTGAATTGAAAAGTTTCCGGAATCTGTTTAAAGTTGATCCTCTGCAAATGCCTTTCGAGCGGGCAATCGCCATCGTTGCAGGAAGTATTGAAGTAGGATGTACAGAGTTCGCATACTTTGCCTAAGAGTGCTCCCATTCGTATTATGCTTGCAACTATTAAGCAAATCATTTTGGTTATCAAGCATCACTTCAATCACCGCAAGCGGTACTGATGAATTTTTCAAAGAAGAAATGATACCGTTCCTTCGACGAGCAGAAGAAGGAGAAAAGAAGGAGAAAATTGACTATCACAAATCAGCTAGGCATATTATTCGATCGTTAGAGAGGAAAATAAAAAAGCCTAAACCTATTCCTGATGACGCTTCAAGGTCACGAAAAGCGATATACCATAAAAGTTTGAAGAATTATCATAAAAAGAAAGCAGAATTGGATCGATATAAGTGAGTATCCTTTTGGACATCGTAAGATTAAGTAGCAAGAAAAGTTGACTTAATCCTCGAATCTTCAATAGACGATTCAAGACAATCAAAGAAGAAGTGGCAAAAGCAACAAAGCTTAAAAGTGCAGCGGTTGCCGTTCGGGCCAAAACGATTTACAAAGCTGAATTGGATGGAGATCATCAGGCATTAGAAAAAGCAGTTGCAAAGATCCATTCTAGAGGCAAAGTAAGAGAGCTGCAAGGAGATTCCGGAGGCAAAGCAGGGGAGCGACAAAAAGATGCAGATGTTGTACATTATGATTCAAAAGCTGACGATATTATGGAGAAATATTTTCCAAATTCATGGCAACACCCCGGCAAACGAAATTGAACCCCCTAAATATCTTCATCAATCCATCTGGCAATTCGTCCCCACGTTTGACTGCGTTCAGGTTCGAACCAATCAAATAATGTGTAGTCGTGTATCCCATCAATGCACTCATCTAGAACGACTGAACGATCTTCTCCTCCCAAATCGAAATAAGATTGCGCTTGTCCACCTGCACGTGAAAGCGGCTGTGTGAATGGCGTAACAAAGCATGAACTCGATGGGAGTCCATTCTCCGACGTAGCGTCATTAGAAACTTCTCCTTCTTCGCCTTTCTGTGGAAGTTGTGTGAAAATTGTCGAAGAATGATCATTCGCTTCATCTTTCCTTCCAGCTTCTCGATGCGTAGTACGCGCATTTGTTGCCGTATCTTTTTCCTTCACCACTTTTGTCGTTTTTCTGCCTTCTCCTGCCTCTGCATCTTTTGGATTCGAGCCTTTACCATCCACACGTTGACGACTCGTTCGTTCGCTAGAGGTATCACTGGTTCCTTCATTTTTCAGGCGTGCAATTCGGGGTACATAGCCATCAGCATTCTTTAATCTTGAGCTGACCGCATCCAAAGCAGACATAGTCACATCGAAAGCCGTATCACGGGCTGATTTGACCTGTCCACTTAAGTTCTTGCTATTCTTCGCACTTGCTTCAGGAGCATCTCCTCGAGCAGAAGACGGTACAGCGGAAGTACCTTTTTGTTGCACTTCTCCCTTCTCATTCTTGTTTACACCTGGAACACGTCTGCCTTCCCAAGAACGTGAATCGTCTGATATAGGTGTTGTGATTGGCGTATTCTGAGCGCTTGGCCAAATTGTTACTTCATGATTCTCAGGTCTTGGATATTGCAAACGAGCAGCCATTTCGTATGGATCTGCATCCTCGCTACATTTGTCTCCTTCATGCATCGGTACTCGAAGTGCTGTTCCGGCTGCCATTCGATATGCCAAGGTTAAATGTTGATCATGACTGATCTCTGCCGTACCTGTACAAATATAAGTCCTTTTGGGGAAGCCTTCGAAACCATACGAAGGGCCAGCTCCGCCATTTTTGGCATCCAATTGTAAGGAGATCGAGCTCAAATACGGATTGCGGTACGTCTCACGAGCAGCCATTTTACCCAACAAAGCGGAAACGGCAGTATTACGAAAAGCTGCCGAATTTGCTATGATATCGCTCTTTCGATTACGCCAAACCGTATCAAGCTTATTGGGACGAGCGATCGGACCGGAATGGGAACGAGAAGTATCTGCCCAAGGTGAAAGAAGAAGCATAGCACCTGGCACTTTTAATCCGTCCAGCTTTTCATCGCGCAGATAACGACAAAGAGCCAAAGCTAAGTTACCACCTGCACTATCACCGGCAACGATGATATTCTTTGGCTCAAAATTGCATTCGTTCACCAAATATCGATAGCCTGCAACAGCATCTGCCAATGGAGCTGGGAATGAACCTACTTCCGGTCTTCCAGGAACGCATAATCGATAATCGAGAGAAAAGGCACGCTTGCACACTCCCCCACTTCCTGCTCCTGGTCCTCCTTCCGGAGGATGGGGACTTGGATGACCATTTGTTGTTTGTAATTCTTTCTTGCCAGCTTCATTGGTAGATGGTAGCCTATTGGAATAGATTTGATCTAATGCTTTTAGGATTTGCACATTCACAGCAGATGTGACGTCATCTTCATGGGCAGTCCCAATCCAATACGCACCGCCGTGTAAATGGTAAATGACCTTTTCGTTCGGTGAAGCCTTTTGTCCAACACCACCTCCACCATCCCTTTCTCCGTACCAGAAACCACATGTACGAACAGTGCTTAGTCCTTGAATTTCTAACATCCGCTTCAATTCACCACGAACAAAGTCTTCCGACAATCCTTCAACCCAAACAAATTTAGCACGGACTGTTTTGCTATGCGGTACCTCTTTTGTGAGATCACGACTGAGTGACGTATGCGTTCGAAAGGTGAGTCTTGTTCCATGTCTGTAGAGCTTGACCAGTGTACTTTTCTTCCAAGTCCATGAAGGCCTTTCTCGCTTGGAGGGAAATATAGACACGATTGCGAACCAAGGCAGGAAGATGAAACCGACGGACAGACCAAAATAGATGAAATAAAAGATCTTGTAAGGCTGTCGTGACCATAGTGGTGCTTCTTGTGCAAATTCCGACATCCTCCCGGTGCCCTGCCCGGGGAAAGCAACGATAGGTAATAATGGATTCGGCAATGCACTCAAGCCAGGGTATTTTGCATGGAATTCTGATAATCTTTGTTTTAGAGGTTTTGGCACCTCTCCCATGGCTGTTGCTGTTTCATGTGACTCTCCATTACCATGTTGACCGCCTTCATCGACCGGGACAGGAGGCATTTGCGCTCTGTTAGGAACGACTCCTTCGCCAAAACTTCCAGAAGGCGTTATATGATGATGTTCCGGAACATTCGGACTTGTCACCTCGTTCTTACGTGGCCTGCTTAGTGATCTCTTTGATTTTATCCTCTCATCTGTCGACATTGACCTTCTCTGACTTCTTGATCTTTGTATTTTCATAGTAGGCGATTTGAATAAGTTACGTTGAAGTGAAGATCCATCCCTACGTGAATTGAAACCGCCTTCCGTTCTGCTTCTTCCCACTGCGTATGATTCCATTGTTTGTAATTCCGGTCGATCGGATTTATTGAAAATGGTAGCACTTGCCGGTATTTGAGTTTCATCTGGAGATGCTACAGGAGACACCATTACTCTTTTAGATGATGATGCATCTTGATTGGAAGGACCTACACCAGCGCTATGCGGAATATCTGTTACATTTATCGTTAGAGGCGGAGTTGGGCCATTCTGATCACCAGTAGAAGAACGCTTGATAGGCTTCTTGACTTCTTCATTGGATTGCTTTCGTGCTTGCCATGGTAGTTTGCCTAGAGATGATCGTATTGATTTTGGCGAGGATGGTTCGCCTGTCTGACGTTGTGCTTCGACATCTTCCATCGTGTATGTGATGATGGAATATTATTAGGTATATGTGGTGGTATGATGATAAGCAGCAGCAGCATGATGCCGATCCTTGCAAGACCTGCATACATTTGTTATGCAATCAATACGGAATATCGGATAGGCAAAACAAACCCGGGCACTTAAGGAGCGGGAAAACTCCACTAATAACAATAAGCGCGGAGAAATAATTAGTGAAAATAAGTGTTGGTTGGATTGAGTTGTTCTTCTTTGGGCAACCTTATTTTCATCATTCCATTATCAAACAAAATGTCAACCGATGATCCAAATAGTCAACAAAAAGGATTGAACACAATCAAAGATCTCAAAGGATCACTAGAGGCAGGCAATGAAGAACAATACGACGAAGTAGATATACTCTCTCATGCCGAACAATTCGTCAAGGAAAAGTTTCGAAATCATGATCCTTCGCATGATTGGCATCATGTTCATCGAGTACGTTTGATGGCTTTAAACTTAACAAGATGTCCAAGCGTATCTTCAAAAGATCCAAATCTACTTGTGGTGGAATTAGGTGCTCTATTTCATGATTTATGCGATGCCAAATATATCACTGAAGAACAAAAGTCAAAGTCGCAAATCAAAGCTTCTGACGTTTTGGAAAACTTCTTTCAACCATACTTAGACCAAGGCATCATTCAAGCTGAACAAGTTCATACAATATACCGAATCGTCGATAATGTATCATGGAGCAAAGAAGAAGCTCGTAAACGCAGGTTGGCAGCATCACCGGACAATGAAGCGGATCTAGAACAACAAAAATGGGAAGATGAATGTGCGGAATTTCAATGTATCAGCGATGCCGATCGATTGGATTCGATCGGAAGTATTGGTATTATGAGAGTGGCTGCATTTAGTGCAAAGAAGAATAGACCTTTGCATATCCCACCTGCCAATGCACAAAATGATTCCAAACCACCAGCAGAACAAGCAGAAGGATATAATGGAAGCGCAGTTGCACACTTTCATGAAAAGTTACTGAAAATTCGTGGCGATCGCTTAAAGACAGATATGGCACGCGAAGAAGCAGAGAGGCGGCAATCTATGATGTCATCCTTTTTGGCAGAATTGGATATAGAATGGCTTGTGGCCGATCAAGGCGCTCAACTATCACTGTTGCAGTAATTGTAAAATGCTATGAATAAATGTACATTGATTGTATGTTTGACTTGCTTGCATTCTATGGATGCACAAATGTGAGAATATCTTCTCGAAATGCTGCCAATACAGCACGTAAATCTTTCCTTCTCCATTCTAATCGATATACGATTTCGTCTACTGTGTGTTTCCCATTGAGGAAAGGTAAGAGTTTATACATCCTCTCTGTTTGCCATGCTTCTTTACCTTCCACCATTGCAGCAATCCATTCATTCTCATCACCTGATGCTCGGCTAGGTTCAGCAATGATACTTGCGATTGGTTGTGTTTCCCATTGTTCAAATTCGATATCGTAATTGAGGTATAATTCATCATCTTCTGAATCGTCCATCTCATCTTGTTTGGGTGTAGACTCTTTGAGCGTTGAGTCAGGATCTTTTTCCGCTTCCGCATCCTTTTCCTCTCCCACAAGACTTAGTCTGCGAAAATCTTCTTTTAGTGATCTTCTTTCATCTTGACTTCCACTTGAACGTGGTCTAGATCTTCTTGCAAGATCAACCCCTTTCTCACCATCATCACGTCGATCGATTTGACCTGCTGTCTGATCTTCACCTTTCTTGCTTTCGTCCATATATACTTCTTCATCATCTCCGAAACCTGTTACGCGCAATCTTGCTTGAGAAGGTGACCTTTTCCTACGCTCAATTCGATTTGCATTGTGAGGTTCTGTAGACTGATTTGCACCGGCAATAGGACCCGAGGGAGCACTTTCAATCACGTTGTCTTCATCATCTTTCGCTTCTGTGCTAGAGATTCGCAGAGCAGACGTGCCTTCTCCTAAGTTAGCTGCTGCTGCTGCCGCTGCTTGCAAACTTGATTCACGAGAATGCGTCAATAATCTACCCCGACCACGAGGTGTACTGGGTCTAGAACCATTTCCACTTCGATGCGTTCCAAAGCTGCTAGGTGCTCCACCATTTGTGGGTGTAAATCCCAAAATCCGTGAAGGCGATCTAGAACGCAAAACAGGTCTACGTTCAAATCGTAATTCGTCTCCTTTATAAAATGCAGGCACATCTTCCGTGACTGGTGTGGTTGTACTTGTAGCCGTAGAACTGGAAGGATTGGCTCCCATCTTCAAGGCTAAAAGACTGGCTGGCTTTGGGGATGGAGATGCTCCATGAGCTTTACCATCGGGACGTGTTGCACTCAATGCTGATGGAGCGATTTCCATTGGCGCAGTAGAGGTTTGGAATATCTCTTCAGCGTGTGGTGATAGCGAACGATCTCGTGTTCGTCCTCGATCTTTCTTGGCTGTCTTGATACCTTCATCCCTTTCACCCCTAAATACCGGTGCAGATTGAGAGAGATCAGCACTGAATGCTTGCATTGATGCACCAAAGGAAGAAAAACCATCCACCATTTCACCACTTGCCTCTTCCTTCTTTCTACGTTCTGCAATGAGCACTCGTTTCTTCCGAATCCTCTCGCGCTCTTGATCACGAGCGATTGCTGCTTTTCGCTTGCAAGATTCGTTGGCTACCAAACGTAAACGGACATGCATTTGAACTACGATTTCATGACGTAATAGCCAAATCAGAGCATCCAAGCACAGCTGTCTCTGATCTCTTCGATTAATTTGCATGCTAAATGGCTTCAAAGCGGAAGATAGAGTAGCCAAGAAGGATGGTAGCGGAGGTAAGGTGAGGAACTTGATAGACCATGACGTTGAAAGCTTTGCCAACTCTGCAAGCTCGAACAAAGGCGAAACGGAATAATAATTTTGAATTCTTGGAACATCGATCACTCTTGCTTCACGATAGTATATCAAATGTCGTACCATTGGATAAATATCTTCCTCCAAATTCCACCCCAAAAGATCAGCTGAATCTGCTAATGTTGGAACACCATCCAGTGTGGGTTTCATCAAAGATGTGAACTTACGAGCCCATGCTTCAATTCCTTTGTCTGCAAATGCTGAATATTCACTTGCATCGTCCGGATCATCAGGTCTTCCATGTTCATGATTCTCTCTCAGCAACAAGAGAGTTTTCCATGGCAAGAGAAACGGACCTGTAGTTCTACTCCATTCTTCATGCATCAATTGCTCTGCATTGATTGGTCTGGACGGCAAAACCCGGCCATCTTTGGTTGAAGTTGTGTTGGTGAAGATTGCATCATTGATGTCGATTGGCGTTTCGATATCTGCCATTTTCATCATCTTTGAGGGTTCATGCAGCATAGGTGGTAATTGCAAATGCGCTTCGATGGATTCGTTGATTGTAACAAATGCATTGGATGATAGCGAGATCGAAGAGTATACTTGTTGAATAGATTTTGCGAGCGAAGAGGTATGATTGGCATGTGTAAGGAAAGATGAATAAGATTGTCCATCATCCATGCACCTTTCGCGTAAAGCTCCAATCTTATCGCATTCTTGCGAAACGTATTGGCATCGAATCTCTTCGGCAAAGAGCGCTGCTGTCATTTTGAATGCTATGTTATCGTAGAATATTTGCAGCCAGGAAGTTAGGTCGAGCGCTGGTAGGTCGGGCGACGGGTCAGGTCGATCTAATACCAAGACGAAATGAAACAATGTCATAGGATTAGCAATCGTTGAAGAGCGTGAAGGTTCTGCGAGAGCATGATCGGGTGATCCTATTCGATAGCCTGAAGCCGAGCCTCTTCTGGTGTCATCTCTACCTCTTAATTCTTCATCCGAGCTGGCTTCCTCAACATCCCACTTGCCGTCCTTATCAACACAGACTGGATGACCGACGAATGCTAGATCGTCAATGACCAATTCGAACTTTTGATGACAGAGTTCCCTCTTTGGTGCCAATAGAGAAGCTAAGGTTTCACAGTCGTACCCTAAGTATTGCTCGTACGCTCTTTTCCTTCTCCGCGCATGCTCAGCAGCTTCTACAGTGGCAGCCGCCTCTTTGGTAGCAGCTGAAGCGCCGCCTACACTGCTTGCAACTTCGGCGTCTTCTTTTCTAGATGATGGTGCTGGTGTAGCATCTATGTTGGAATGATCATCATCATCTGTTGTGCCATCTAGATCCAATGCATCTCCTTCTTCTTCGCTTGAGCTTGAATCGCTTACTGAGCCTTCATCAAGATCTTCGCTTAATGTTGATCCCGCATCAAAATCGTCATTCATTTCATCATCTTGCAAGTTTACTCCTCCAGCATGATCTTTACTGATCACATTGCTACTACGTCTACTTTGTCTTTGTGAAGTGGGCTGCGATTCTTGCTTGACTTCCTGTTTGGCTACCAAATAACGTACTTTTGAATATCTCTTTTCCAATTTTGGTCTTCTAGGAAATCGAAAGCTCAGCGAAGGACCTCGTGAAGATGAAGTGACCAAAAGTACTGCCAGTAAAGGCGATGAAACGTGTTGGGACATTATGACACTTCTATGCAAGGAATGTACGGGGGGTGCTCCTATTTCACCTAATCTTCATCGTAATTGGGTTATTGGATAGAGTAGATGCGATACAAGAATGATGGTTATCAAGAAGAACTTTATCCTGATAAGGTCTGTGCGTGTTTGCATCTGAAGGAGACGCGTGGGGAACACTTTGTGATTCTGTGATCTTTTTCCTTCTGGTTCTTACTATCTAGCATTTCTTCATGACTTCCAGGGCATGGCTCTATAAATAGACTCATCGTCATCATGGCTTATCAATGATTTTGCTCTTGTACTCAGCACTAATGATGGTCACATGGAATCCTCCATACATGCCCACACCCTGTAATTGATAAAGTCACTCAATACATTGCAAAGCCGGCTTGATAAATAAGAAATCCTCGGCGGAAATGCAACGCGCTGAGCAGGGCGTGAGGGAGATACTGTAAATCAATCACCCAGGCAGAGGCAGGCAGGCAGGCAGACAGACAAACTAAAAAGGCGGTGATGTGAATGGGCGTGAAATGAGTGTGTTTGTGTTAAGGATAAATCTCAAACTTGCATATTGCGTGTGTCCATCTTAACTTGGTAACACATTCAACTGTGATCACTTCTATCATCTTGACCACCTCAACAACACTCACAATGTCAAACGCACAATCACAGAATAATGGAGCACCAGCTGCTGCTGCTGCTTCTACACAACAAAAACCATTCCAAACAAAGCTCGTACTTTTGGTAAGTGGCAAGGAGAGCGATTTGATTAGCAAAGGGAAACTAACATTCTAACTTATTCATACCACCCAGGGAGAAGCAGCAGTTGGAAAATCATCCGTAGTCTTACGATTCGTCAGCAACGAATTCCAAGAAAACAAAGAACCCACAATCGGAGCAGCTTTTTTAACACAAAAATGTCGATTAGATTCTGCCGTTATCAAATTTGAAATTTGGGATACAGCAGGACAAGAACGCTTTCATAGTTTAGCACCAATGTATTATCGTAACGCACAGGCAAGTGCAGTCATTTATGATATCACAAAAGCAAGTTCATTCGAAAAAGCAAAATCATGGGTAAAAGAATTACAACGTCAAGCTAATCCGAATATCGTGATTGCTTTAGTGGGAAATAAACTTGATTTGGTTGCTGAAACAGGTTCAGGAAAAGCAGCATCTACAAAAACTGACGAAGATGATGAAGAAGCAGATGATGATGATGACGAAAATGGAACAGTGACAGCAGAAGGACAATCAACAAACTCAGCCCGTGCCGTTCCAAAAGATGAAGCAAAAGCATATGCAGATGAAGCAGGACTTTTATTCTTTGAAACAAGTGCAAAGACTGGAGAAGGAGTTGTTGAATTATTCACAGAAGTTGCTAAAAAGATTCCAATCGATCAAATCGTTGCTAATCAACAACGCAATGCAGCCGCCAACGGAAACGGACAAGGAGCAGGCGCATCAAGAACTGGAGTCAATGCAGGAAGGGTGGATATTGGGGCAAATCAGAATAACCCTACTCGCGATGCATGCAACTGTTAATCATTTTTTTGCTTTCTTTCTTGCTTACGTTCATTCTGATCATACTTTACACTTATATCCCACGTCTTTTTGTACATATCTCTTTTCTCTCTGAACATTTGGTTAATTATTCGATGCTGTCATGTGATCTCATGGAGAGCTGCTTTTTATAATAATACATGATATCTCGTCTGATCTTGAATCATTGACTCCTACTACCGATTCGTGCCAAACTATCCTCTGAATTCTCTGCTTCCTCTATAGCGTCTGATTGACTGACCACACGCAGAACGGATTTCTTGCTTGATTCCTGTACTTCTCCCGATATGATTAATTCGTCCAAGATTGAATATGCTTTCTGGAAGTTGAAGATCAAATCCAATTCACAGACATTTCCAAAATATCTGTCCAAGATCTCAACATATCGATGAATGATTTCCAACGTGATCAATTCGTTATCATCTTGACTTATTCCCGTTACGAAAAACAAGGATGCATATCTTCTATACACCACTTTCGTATCTTTGTATTCTAGGAAATTACACATCCTTGACCTTCTCGCGAGCACAAGTTGTGTGACATCTTTTGTAATCTTTGATTTTGCTTTTGGACTCATTGTTGTGAACCATTTTGCCAGACGGACTTTGCCTTGACGTGAGATGAGTAGTACCCAATTTAGCTGTAGAGCAATCAACAAAACGAGTAAGCATCCGAATCATTATAAGTCCCTCTGTCAATACTTACACCCATGATGTATATTTGCGCTTCTCCAGAACCGAGATGAGAAGATGGCCTATGAGATTGGTGATTGTAAGAATACGACGATGGTCAACATCAATTCATTCAATGCACAGGGCACAAGGCATACACACACACACGTGTAGTTTAATGCTTGCTTACAGCGCGGGCTAATAGAATATTCATAATGCCTGCAATCAATTGACGGACAGCCTTTAGCCCATAGGCTTATACTTTATTAACTCTTGGCTGAGAGTGCAGTTAGGCCGGTTCAACCTTTCCCCGCAGAACCGGTATGTAGAGAGGCATCATGTTCGGGCATATAATCAAACAAAAGTCCATCAACCCGAGCCGTGCATTATGTGAAAGTGGGAATGTTACTCTTGACAATCATCCTGGGAAAAAGAGCATGCAAAGATTGCTAACATCATTCACTAAAGCATCTCTTCGTCCTTCCTTCCGACTAAATCACTCGATTCGCACAATGGCTTCTTATCCAGTCTCCTTTCCGGCTGATAAACCGGTTTTACGTTTAGACAGACTTCAAACATCACCTTCAATTTATGTTTTACATATGCTTTCCGCAGAAACACCAGATAATAGACTTACAGTACACTTTCTTGAACAATGGATGGAAGCATTAAAGTTTGTAGAAAAACAATGGGATCAATCTGATGAACAAAAAGCCGGAGCAGCTTTGGTTTCAACAGGTCTAACAGATCCAAAAGCAAAATTTTATAGTAACGGATTGGATTTCGAGAAAGTTTTACAAGATCCCGAATTTTTCGATAAACATCTCAACCCAGTCTATGAGAAACTTCTCACATTTCCAATCCCGACCGTTGCTGCAATCGGTGGTCATTGTTTCGCTGCGGGTTTTGGATTGGTAATGTCGCATGATTATCGTGTGCAAAACGGTCAAAAAGGTTTCCTCTGTATGAATGAGATTGATTTTGGAGCTCAAATACCGCCTGGATTGTATGCAGCTCTAAACAGTAAAAACTTACCAAGCAACGTCATGCGAAAGATGGTTTTGGAAGGTCATCGATTCGGAGCAAAAGAAGCGCAAGCAGAACGTATTGTCGATATCATCTCTCCTTCAGCAGACGAAAAGGTCGAATCAGCACCGGCAAAAACGTTGGAAACAGCGATCGAATTGGCTAAGAATTTCGCCAAAAAAGCAGGTGCAGATGCTTATCAATCTAACAAATTGGTCATGTATGCTCCTTATTTGGCAACATTGCGTGAACGAAACGAAGACGCAACTGCCCGTCTTTAGAAGACAATCTGTCCGAATATCGTTTCTGTGTATAACTATCCTCTTAATGAATCTCATGCTCTGTTCAAACAAGTGGAAGTAGAAAAGGATTGCTTGTGTGTTCCTGAAGTATTATAATACAATGCATTTATCAGTCCATTTCCATAGGCACGCCTTCTCCATCTGCAACGCCTACTAATCGTGCTTTCTCTTCTTTTTTCAACTTTTCTTGTAATGCACGTTCTGCTTTTGTTCGATCACGTTCTCTACGAATCCTTCTTTCGCCCATTCGAATCGCTTCACGTAATTCCGTAGGTCCTGGACTGGCAGCAACAGCATCAGGTTGAAAACCAAGATTTTGTCGTACCCAACGTTTCGTTGTTGGTCCGATTACCGCGATCCTAGGATATCCTTCTGGTGGTCCCATCGATAACCATTTCTCCTTTCTACGTGCAGCCTCAGGACTATCTTTTGCGTATTGTTGCTTTTCTGCATCAAACGTATACGGTCCCGGTAACCATTTACGCTTTTGCAAATCTTCCAAAGCATATTGAATCCCGCTAGGCGAAAAGAATACGATCCAATCAGGCTTCGTTCCCGTTCCTGTTCCCAATCCAATATCCGTATCTAGAGGTGGTATTTCCATATCTTCTACTGGTGACGCCAGAAGCTCAGGCGTATGCTGTTGTTCGGGTGTTGAGGCAAACGGAGTCATTGCTGTTAAAGCAGGTCCGGCTGAACCTCCCATAGAATGATTGGAATGATTCAATCCTGTTGGCTTTTGACCAAAATCACTTGCCCCTCCGCTCCTCTTGCGTTCCAAATTTGCCCCTACTCCACCACCAAATAAGCTGCCCACGCTCGGCCTTCTTGTGCTACTGCTAGATCCTGCTCGACTTGATCTCCTACTTCCTGGCCGACTTTGCGGTGCAGGAGGTAAAGATCTAGATAAGGTTGAACAAGCATGTACGAATTGAGGGTGCAGGCAAGTCTCATACACCATCAACTGTTCTACTTGAATTGGCGGACTGGCAGACGAAAGCATTTCTGGAATTGTTGGTGCATTCTTATCGCCAGATAGATAAAGCAGAGGAGGTTCATCCGGATTCACTTCTAAAGCATCACCGGGTGCCGCTCCTTGAGGGCCATTGAAATGTCGAATGATGTAATTTGCCAACGCTTCTCCTGTTCCTGTTGCGCCTCCGCCCATCACTAGAGAGGTTCTCAGTGGGAGAATTGTTTGCTTGGCAGCCGCACGCAAGGCTTCTGATGTTGCAGGTCCAACAGCAAAGACAGGCGTTCTAGGCCAATTGGTTTTGGTTTCCTTCCCTGATCGGACCTGTTCTGCTGCAATGACTGCTGCCTCCATCCATGCTTCAACAGCCCGTTGACTTGTGATCACTGCGCCGCGAAAAGGTTTTCTGCCGTTGCCTGTATCTTCACTTCCTTCAAGCATTTTATCGACCAATTGATCGATGTTGAGCGTACGATGTCCTAAGATTGTCAAACTTGTTACGCAAAATTCTCGTTTTGGAATTTCATCGTTTGTATCTGCCGATGTGCCAGCGACATCATCTGGTTCAGAAGATAAATGATGGGTTGTCAAGGTGCCATCGTCATCGATCCAACGTCCTCGTCTTCTTCCAGTCGAACTAGCTGCCAATGCGTTTCGAAGCAAATCAGCTCCTGTTCGTTCGTTTGCCGACATTGTCAAACTATTTGTAGGCGGTAAAGGTGTTGAAGAACCAGATTCCAAAGCACTAAATGGAAACGAAGGTAAACAAAACGGACCAAAAGCATCATGATATGGATCTGTCCCTTGCGAAGGTGGAATTGGTGTTCGTAGCATTAGCACACTTGTTGGTCGTAAGAATGCAGGGACTTGCGTATCAATTGCAGAGAGAACAGGAGAAGCCATGATGAAAGATGATTATATTTGCGTTGTTGTTGTTATTGTTATTGCTTCTGACCTAGGATCGATGGCTGATGTATTGCCTTTTATCCTTTGCGCGTTTGTCTCTTTACTCTCATACTCGATCACAATTTTTGTACCTCGTTATGATGAGCTATCCTACGATAACGAATAGGTTGTGAATGAGGAAGAGAAAGAGAAACACCTTCAGCCCTTTTCCAGAGAAGCCAATGTCAATCAGTGCTTTGTACCTTGTACCTAACCCTAAATCATGCTAAAATAAGAGACAGCTTTCTCGATGCAGTGCATAACATACGTACGCGTACGATAGAAAGAAAGAAGCTCTTCTTGGCTGTGTACTCGTAGAATTTATACTCTGCTTCTTAGTATAGAATCATTGACAAGCGTCACTTACCCTTACACGCACGGCCCTCAACTACTCAAGATCAAAATTCAACCCTTTCTTCCGTTAGCATTCCTTCTCCTATTCCTGTTCATGAGCATGTTAGCATGACAAGCTCATCTGGATCGACATCTTGGCTTCCATGGCCATCATTACCGGAAAAGATTGCAGGTCATGGAAGGAGAACGTTCTTCTTTGTTGGAATAATAAGCGGAATAACGTTATCGTTAGGAAGTTTAGCAACTGCTTTAATTTTAGCCGATATACGAGCACATCGTAAACGTAAGAAGAGGTTTAGCAAAATCAATAAACGTTCAAAAGATGAAAGATCACAACATAATCATCGTGCTGATCTGATCGATATTCGTGCTGGTTCTGTGGTAAATGGAGTATCAGGCTTGATCGGAAATACGCCTTTGATGAGGATAAACAGTTTATCCGAATTGACAGGATGCGAAATATTAGGAAAAGCAGAATGGCTTAATCCAGGAGGAAGTCCGAAAGATCGTGTTGCAAAACAAATATTAGAAGATGCAGAAGATGAAGGTTTATTGCATCCCAATACTGGAAGTTGCATATTTGAAGGTACAGTCGGATCTACTGGCATTTCTCTTGCAACACTAGCAAAAGCGAAAGGGTATAGATGCTCTATAGTCATACCGGATGACGTAGCAAGTGAAAAAATGGACCTCTTACGTCTACTTGGAGCAGAGATCGATGCTGTCAGACCGCGTGGAATCGTTGATCCTCGACATTTCGTAAACGAGGCAAGAAAGCGAGCGGAAGAATTCGGAAAGGTTGAGCTGGTCGGACCACATGCATATGATGAAGGATCAGATGCGGGTATAATACCTGGCTGGGATGGAGAAAAACGAGATGATCTTGTTGTGACGACGAATGCAGAAATAAGTGCAAATACCGATGAAAAGACGGTAGATGAAATGGAATTGAAACCAAGAGGCTTCTTTGCCGACCAATTCGAGAATATATCCAACTTTTATGCTCATTACCATGGCACTGGTCCAGAAATATGGCGACAAACGGGAGGGATCATCGATGCTTTCGTGGCTGGAGCGGGGACTGGTGGAACTTTGGCTGGAGTTGCGGCTTATTTGAAAGAATCTGTAGCTAAAGCAAATCAATCGGGTAGCGATGGATCTGGGTCTGACTCGGAAGAAGATGATTCATCTTGGTTTAGCGTTGGAAGGGGTAGTCCTGCCAAGCGGATACGTGCTTCTACTGTAAGGGAAGATCGCGAAGATTTACCCTGGAAAACCAGATCAGCATTCTTTGGCGATCAAAGGGAAAGGTCGATCGATATCGTATTGGCAGATCCTCAGGGTTCCGGTTTATTCAATAGAGTCAAATATGGAGTCATGTTCAATCAAACAGAAGCAGAAGGGAAAAGGCGAAGACATCAAGTTGATACGGTAGTGGAAGGCATTGGACTTAATCGGCTAACAAAGAATTTTGGCCTTGGATTGGATTATTACGATGATGCTGTAAACGTGACAGATGAAGAAGCAGTTAGCATGTCGAGGCATCTGGTTCTCAATGATGGTCTATTCCTCGGTTCATCTTCGGCTGTCAATTGTGTGGCATCAGTCAAAACCGCTTTGCGTATCAAAAGAGAACGTGAAAAGAATGGTCAACTAGACGAGGAAACGCCAATTGTCGTTGTGACAATCTTATGTGATCATGGTTCGAGACATTTGTCTAAATTCTGGAATGATGAAGCGCTTACCAAGTTGGACATCAAGATTGATAATGATATAAGTACGATCCTGGAATAGGATTTAATTTGCATGTATTGCTCTCCATTAATGTATTCTATGTATATTCCGTATGTAAAAGAGTGTGTGAGTATATGTCAGTATCTGGAGGCAGAACAATTATGACTGCCCATATAAATGCCAAAGTATGGCCCAAGATGATTGTCAACGTCGTACTCATAAAATGGAACTGAATCGGAGCATTGAGGATTTTCTTGACCGGGACATCGAAGTGCTGAATAGCTGCCATTGTGATTGATCCAAATTTCTCCGGAAGGTGATTGAAAACCAAGTGATTTCCCGGGCAAATGTGGAACGGGATCATGATAATTTACGATATGATTTTGATCTGGAACGTATTTATCGATCGCATTTGCGAATTCATCATTTCCAACTCGTGGAAGGCCAAATAAAACCGTTTGAAGGGTAGCGTTTATATTGTTAGATATATAAGCAGAAGTTAATAAAGCCAAAGCTGCTCCAAGACTATGACCGACGACGAGTAAATTTGAATGATGATATTGTTTCAGTGCTTTTTTTGTTTCGTTCAACACTTTATCCGCCGTTAATAACCATTGATCTTGAAAACCGTCTGAAATTTTAACGTCCTTTCCCAAGAATGCCAAACGAGAATCTACGTGTTTCCGGACAGGTTCGATATCATCTTCGATAGAATGAATACTAGACGTGTTTGTACCTTGATAAGCGACTATTATACCCTGCGAAGGTGAATGGGCAACATAAACACGTTGGATTTTACGACCATCTCCGGCATAGTATAAAATTTTCGCATCTTCGGCTAAGATGCTTCCTCTTTTGAGAGTTGTACAATAAGCTGAAGATGCAAATTGAGCAGGAATGATGTATTGTTTTGTCTGTGCAGAACTGATGGCTACCGGTGCTCCGTCCCTGGGCTTAAGAGGAAATGCCAGAGTATATGCTACAAACGCAAGAATGCCAAAAAGGCTAAACAATTGTCGAAATCGAAACATGATCGATGTTTCTGATAAGAAGAGGAGGAGGTTGGTTTCTCACTGATATCTTCGCGAAAGAGAAGAATTGAAAAGGGGGAGAGGGATTATTGCGCCCTCGATAGGGACAGTAGCATCTTGGCAAGCTATTATGGTGGTGTATGGTTGTCCTGAAACACGGTCCGAAGTTTGTCAAATGATGAAATCATCTCGTCGGCCAGTCTTATGGCCATGCATTGTAGCAGAAAGCAGGAACGTGTCTTGATTGAAGTGCATTTCGTACGAATTCAATGATCTACACAATATGATCGGCAAGCAAGAAGACGCAAAGTTAGAGGTTCGTACTTTTGTATTCCGGCATGTATTCTTCTTGCATTCCATGCAGTTATAATTAGCGTCATTCTAATGCACAATTCTATTGGGGGCATACATGCCGTTTACACACAACGTTTATCAATCCCTAGCTTCTTTTTCCCCTATGAGGTTGGCATTTCTATAGCCTAGATGATCCAACCGATCTTTAAATAGCCAAGACCTGTCACATCATATTCGATATTCTGACTTGACCATCACTTCCTTCTGATCAACATTGTAAGTCACCATCTTAGAATGAGTGTTCCCGATCAAGTGAATGACAGACACTGGTAAAGCGCCTAAAGAAACGCGTGTAAAAATGACAAAAAGATAGTTCGGGACACAGAGATTCGAACTCTGGATCGGATGATTGATTCATCAAGCAACTCGTTTAAAGCACTCGATGATTAATTACAGTCATACGCATTGCCGGGCTATGCTATGTCCCGTAATATTAGTAGCGGGTAAAAAATTGTAGCAATAAGAGCACGTACACAAAACAGCTGCTGGAAAAATTGTCTGCTCGGACCGAAAGATGGTTCCCCTGCGACTCGCAAGATACAGCATACATTGTGATCACAAATACACTGCTTTGCACGAAGGGATGAATGCATGGCGGACTCAGACGGACCGAGACTTCGCCGTTGATGTCTTGTCTTTTGATTGAGTGACAATGCCAAGCACTGCCATGTGAAAAGAAATGATAAGGAGAATCGGTCCCCATTAGCAAATGCATTTGTCAAAAGTGACGTCTGTGCATGTTCATCTCAAAGATAGGCACGCATCATGCAATGAAATCATGATGAAACCTTATCTCTGCCCACACGGACTATCACACGCCACTTTCTCTCGATCGCCCCACACCCGAACTCCAACGGAAACGGTGTTGGCCAATGAGGAAGCACGGATCAAGGTCAACGGCCGCTCAGATCAGGAAGAGGAAGGTATAAAGACCCTGACTCGAATCAATTCCAACATTCCTTGCTTCCCATATCCTTTTTCTTCAAAAGTATAAACTCGTATTTCAAACAAACATGGTGAGTGCCTCGTGACCACAACTTCTTTCGACTTGTCGCTCATCATTCCTTCTTCTTCCTGTAGCAATTCAACAAAGAAATCGTCAAAGATGTATTGGTGAACAAAGGTGACCCATGTGAAGGTTGTTCTGTGCGTATCTCACCAAACTTGACTGAAGGTTGATTGATTACTGACATTGTTTTTCCGTTATCAGTGCTCTGACAAGGACAAATGCAGTTGCTGTGACAAGGACAAGTGTGATTGCAAGGCTGCAAGCTGTGGTGGTTGTTGAACAACTTCACATCTTTGAGCCAAAGCTCGACAACGATTATGATCTCACATTGTCTATCTCATCTCTTCCTCCGTCGAATACCACCTTGTCATGATTCAAACTCTTTCAAATTTCCATGATTCATTGCGAAGAACTTGTGTGTGAATGATAAAGTAGGAATCAACCTTTACGTATGAGAACACCAAAAAGAACACATGTATGATTACGATTAGGAAAACACATCGAAACAAAGGCGGCGGGGGATCATTCTCTAGAATGTCCTTACTTTTTTGAAAAGAAAGAGAAAAGAAAACGGAACACTATAAAACAATACATTAGGATGTTGTCGTAACAGAGGTTGCTGTTGAAGTTGTAGGTTGAGCTTCAGTAGGTGGTGATTGAATCGAAACCGGTGGCGCTGGTGCAGGCACAGCCATTGCCGCTTCACCTGTTGATACAGTCGAAAGTGCGGCTTGTTGATCAGAAGAAGCACTGGTGACAGATACATTGCCTGCATCGGAGAACGTAGCCTGCGAAGAACGAGAGCCGGCATTACGCAGAGAGTCCAGTAACTCAGCCGCAGTCCTCTGATCTTCATCGTGAGAAGGTTCCTTTTCTTCTCTACTTAACCCTTCACCTTCTGCATCTCCTTCTTCCTTCTTGACTTCATCTCCCACTTCATCTTCTACTTTGGCTATCTTTCTTCCTTCTTCGTCATCTTCTCGCTTTCTCTTTCCATCCGTACCGGCTGCTGCCGCTGCTGCAGGAGATGGAGAAGATCCACGTTTTGCTTCATTGGCACCACCTTGTGCAGATTGACTTCTTTCTATTGCCGATCCTGATTGACCTTGTTGGCTGATGCTATCACGTTTACTCATCGAAGAACTGGCAGGCTTGCTGGGCGGTCGCATTGTCCAGTCAAATACATTCAAACTTGCTCCAGGAGTACCAGGAATGATTCCTCTACTTGGACTTGCAACAAAAGGTGTATCGCGAGCATTGGAGAAGGCAGAGAGATACGGTGACATTGTTGAACTCAATGCGATACTCGAAAAAGGCGAAAGAGGACCAGTTGAAACGGCAAACCGTTGTGGTTCTCCTCTTGGTGTAGTTACACCGTTCAATCCTCCAGAAACGGGCAATGTCATGCCCGATGCAGTATCCGCCAAACTGAGAGGTGCTTGACCTGATCCTCCTGCGCTAACATAATCATTTGCGTTATTCTTGGCAGCAGGATCGAGAGCGTCCCAAAATTCGGGCGCATATTGATTAGGTGTTGTTCCTGTCATTCCACTTCCCGCTACACCTGAACGAGGACCGATATGATCGAAAGAACCTCCTTTACGAAGCGAGAAACGTGAACCATTACTTCCATGACGTGCCATATCACGGGATGAAAAGCGTGGACTGCTATGTTGTGACATTGTGCCGTTGGATTCAGGACTGGAAGGATAATGATGTTGTGGATTAACAATATTTGTGAAATTGGAAAGATGAGGAGGCATCATACCCGGGAAAGGTTGATTGCTTGATACGTTTGGCAAAATCATTCCATTTGCATCTGTTCCGTACGGGGCTGGAGGAAGGAGTGGAGGCGGAGCGGATGTGCCAAGTTGGACACCCGGTTGAGGCGGGAAAGGGAATGAGTTTCCGATATTGGTCATATTGGAAGCAGGATGTGGTTGACTTGCTCCAGGGAAGGACATCGGAAGATGATGAGGCGGTTGGGATTGCTGTTGGTGTTGCTGGTTGACTTGCGGTGAATCATCGTCATCATCATCAGGCGTGTTTTGTAGAGAATCAGATCGTTCTCCAGATGCCGTTGCGGCACTCTTTCTACCGTTGGCTCTTGCTGTTGTCGTTCCATTTGTAGATGATTTTCTACTATTTTGTCTGCCACTGGATGCTCGTCTGCCTACGCCGTTGTTTGCTCTCCCTGAACTACCTCCGTTACTTGCTATGCTTGTGTCCCCATCTGCCGATCCTCCGTTCAGATGAACCGCACATTGTCTCTTGTGACGAGAAAGGACGTCACTACGAGAGAATCCTTTTCCACAATCACAAACGAAAGGACGGATATCGGCATGTCTACGTTCATGTCTTCGTAAATATTCTAATCGTGAGTATGTTGTTTGACATGTTGGACATAAATAAGGAGGACCTGATTGTGTAGCACTGCCACCTGGCATGGAAGAATTTGGCATAGCTGAAGCGGTGGAAGTTGCACTCATTCTGATTTATTCGTGAACAAAGAAGTGGATGTTATGGAAATGAGCGTGTACGTGTCATCGACGAGGAGGACTTAGATGGGAAAGCGGATGCGATTATTTTGAAGATCTTGTATTTTCGGATTTAAGGATTGCCAATGATGATCAGAACGATCAATATTCCAGAAAATTTGTGATGAGGTAGGGGTTCAATGAGAGACAAGACACACACACACACACATACACGTTACACAGCTTAGGGAGAATAAATGCCGCTTCAAGTTCAAGAACCACACCCTTCACGCGAAAGAGAGAGAGAGAGAAAGGTGGAGAGTTATAGCGTATATGCAAAGCCTGTGCTGGTACAAGAGCAGTGTATAACAGCAAAAGTACTTCTTTTTAATCTTCAAACATAGGCAGTGGAGGCGTCAAAACCGATTAAAATCTCGTGTATTGGAAAAAAAATAAAATAAAAAAGCACTTGCTAACCGGCTGCCTTTGTGAGTGCTTCGCCGCGCACGCATTGCCAGACTAAAAAGTGGACTCTGGCAAAGTTGCAACAACACGTAAGCGCGCTGCTCTGCGCACACACACACGATTAATCGGTACGGTGCTTTCCATGCCACAACTCTTAGATTGCAAGTCAGATCGGAACCTTTTTTGTTAGGAAAATCGCCGTGTTGGCATACAACCAATGAACGCCTAAAGCCACAAAGACTAAGAGGGTATACCATGATCATTAATGGATGATTGACATATGATACAATTGAGTATAGTGACAATTAGAGAGAGAAAAAGGCATACTCATCAACCAGTGTTCTTGCCCAGTATCTCCTCTATATACCGAGCACATTCTTCTTTGGATTTGGCAGTACTGTGTATTAATGCAATCGCTTCATCATCCAAAGTCTGCCCGTTCTTTGATCCTTCTTGCTTGCTTTCCACTTCTTCTTCGCATTGGATGGGTTCTTGCGATAATAGCAATGACAGCTTCAAAGCATGACTGAGTAATGTGAGCGATTGTGCTGATCGTACCTGTTGGGTAAATGCAGCTTGTGTAAGCAATACAGTCGTATCATTGTACCACTCTTTATACTCACCATTGTGTCTGCTCGTGCCTCTGCTTCAAACTTCTCTTGTGCGATTCGAAAGCGATCCTTATCACGAATCTATGAAAGAGATCAACTAAGTCAGTACAAGCCAGCCAGCCTTTGGTAGCAAATCAATAACGCACACTACTCAGATTGATCAATGCATTGAATGCATCCAAGATTGCTCGAATGTCTACATCGATCTGTCGATTGACCGACTCTACCGCTTCATCCAGATATTCGTTTGCGCTTGCATTGCCATTAGTACCTGTACTTGCAGATGGATTCAGCCTCGAAGACGATGTAGCTGATGCAGTAACAGAAGCCATTTGGGTGGACAAACTCGATCTGTCCTTCCCCGTATACCACTTTGATCAAGTGATCAAAAGGGACATCAGCTGGTGGTATCTATAGATACGATATCGATGCGATTTGTCAAGTGGAGCGAATATGATGATGATATGAACGATAAAAGCCATCATCGTCTGTGCGTTATATTTTCAATTTCATACTAGCTAATCAGAAAATTAAAATCCGGCTTACGTCCGAGCGGAGATGTACGTAGTGTGAACGCGTCGATCGAGTGCGCCAGCGCGTACTTTATAAGCGGAGATGTTCTTACCATGGATATATGCAGCAGCTATTATTAATCATCATCCCTTCTTATCATCACAATTTTATCAAGAGAATGTTATATGATGACGATTCGCCTTTGCAGCAGCTCTATAAACAAAAGAAAGGAAAGCAAGGTATATACAAAGCGCGCTGGCAAGAATCGATCACGTTGAAGATCTGTAAAAAGAGCGTGGGTCCAATACGTGTGTGTACTGGATTGTAGAGAGATGAATGAAAGATCACTTCATCATCTTTGAATTTACGAGACCGAAGTGCGAAAAACGAGAAAAACGAGAAAAAGGAAGGCTTGCAAATAAATTAAACAATTGATGACGATCGAAACGGGAACACGAAACAGCAATGGAATTTTTGGTTGGGAATAAGGAAATCTAAGCATTCACGGATGAAAGTCCGGGAATATCAGATAATCCAAAAGGTTGATCATCATTGACACCTGTAACCTTTCCTGTTGCTGTCAAGCTTCCAAGACTGCTCAAATCGGGCAATTGGCGTTTGGATGTTCCATCAACGTTGAAAACATTCACGTCCTTTGCGATTTCGTTCAAACCAGATCCGGTCAAAGCACCTTGAAGGGTGTATGTGTCATCATCGGCTTGTCTCTTGGAGGCTCCGTCAACATTGAAGACGTTCACGTCTTTTGCGACTTCGTTCAAAGCAGATCCGGTCAAAGCACCTTGGAAGGTGTATG